TTCGCCGTTCGGCGCCTCGTCCGCCTCGCTAGACTCCTTCGTACCCGTCCGCTCTCTGCTCCCTGGTCGGCTTGAACAAGCACTCCTTGCGGAGCGCAGCATGTTCTCGCGACTTGCTCCCCGAATGCTCGCCATACGTTCCGCTGCTTCACCGACGTCTCCTGCACGATGTCGCTTCTTCGCGACGCATTCGTCATGCTTGTACGGAGCTCGACCACTGCCGTTCAACTCGCCAGCCAACGCAGTCCGACGAGGACCCGCTAAAGCGGACAGCGACGAACAAGCCTTCGAGGCGAAGCTGGCTGCCGAGCCTGCTGAAGCACCAGTCAGGCGCCTCAGTCTCTACGATACTCTGTTGGCCGACGTAGAAGCGGGCAAGGGCATGCGACGGTCGAAGGAGGACGGGGAGCAGCCGTACAAGGAGGTCAAGGAACCGGTCAAGCCGAAGCCGAAGTGCGTACTGCATTCGCCTGCGTCTTCTGCCTTGCGCTAACCCTAAGCCTGAACCCTCAGACCAGCGAGGGCAATGAAGCGAGAAGCGGAGGCGGCGGTTCAAGCAGAGCTACGAGCAAAGTGGCCGGATTCGTTCAACTACACCGACTACAACCCGCGGCTGGTGCTTGCGGCAAGCGATGCACTTATTCAAGAAGAGCTAAGACGAATGAACGGGTTCGTGCGATTCCTGCACCCGGATCTGGCTCGGCTAAGCGCTCCCTGGGACTCGCAGGCCGTTCGGGTTCGGTACGCGCTTCCGTCGATGCACATTCTCCGACTGCTGACACATACTCTCACAGATCTCGAATGGTCCCCGTTCATTCGGCCAGGCGTTCAGGGTACCACCGCTCTCATCCAAATCTGCGACCGCCAAAGCGTCCTGCTCGTTCACCTCGCCCAAATGAATTGTGCGATGCCTTTCACCGCACGTTCAGGTTTGACATCATCTGATCTTGCTCCCGAGCCTTGCAGACCAGCTGCCGGATGTTCTGCGGCGCTTCATCGAGGACGAGGAGGTGATCAAGCTCGGTGTGCACATCAATGGTCAATCTCACTCCCAGCTTCTGCTCGAAGACGCGCACTGATTCCTTTGCCTCTCCAGGTGACGTACACAAGCTTAGGCGCGACTTTGACGTCTCGCCGCGCGGTTGTGTCGAGATCAGCGACTTGCACCGACGGTACGGCGGCGTGGGCACGGCTGGCGGCAGGTTGATCAGTCTCCAGCGGCTTGTTGGACATTACCTCGAGTCTTACCTGCCCAAGGACGAAGATGTCCGCATGGGCAGGTGGAGCCACGCTCTCTCGCCGGCGCAGATACACTGTAAGCTCCCTCCTTCGTCGACTTTGCCGCGCATTTGGACTGATATAGGTTCTCCGCTTTCTGCAGATGCCGCCAACGACGTATACGCCTCGCTGATGGTCGTCGAACGAGCGGCGGAGGCTGCGGGAAGGACGGCCGGGCAACTTGCGCAGGACCTGGCTGCGCTGGCTTCGTAGCGGCATCAGTCGTGCAAGGATCGCGAGTTGACAGTTTCGAAGCTCTACGATAAACCTGCGGACCTTTGGAGGACGAGTGTGACTCGTAATCGTGAACCTGAAGAGTCGACACCGGTCATTTGAGGGAAAGGACCCAAGTCAGCGGTGCAGGCACCTTCGCGAAGCATACTGATGCTGTCAGTGACTCTCGTTTGTCTCCTCGCAGCAACCGCGACACAGCAGAGGCCGCAAGAACGGGGTGAAGGATTGTTTGTGCTTTATACACGCATGACGCGCTCGCCTTTTCATCGCCTGGCTCTTTAGCTCAGTTGGGAGAGCGACAGACTGAAGCTTGATCAAGCTGCACTTCTGCAGGTCTCCGGTTCAATCCCGGAAAGGGCCATGTTCTTTTTCCCTAGTTCCTTTTTTCCCCCACTCGCAACCGCCGTTTTTTTTTTTGCTGAAGCCTGTTGCCGCAACTCCTGCTGCCCCCTCACGTCTTCCTGCCCTTGCTCTTCCTCTGTCGCCCGTCGTAGAAGCCGACAGAGAAAGCTTGTCCAGCGTCGCCGCGAATGCTCGCCTTGGCACAACGCGTGTCGGGATTGCTCGATTGGAAGAAGACGGGCACAGGCTTGCCATCCATCGAGACGAAGAAGGGTTTCATCGGATCCTCGAGGAAGAGCCTGCGTTGGAGCGAGTGAGGGAGGGTCAGCGTTGTTCGCGGTGCAGAGCGGATGGACGGACATACACCGAGTGACCCTGATCCGGAACAATCATCGCGAGCTAGGTATCGAGTGCAAAGCGAGCGGGAGGGAGGAGAGAGAGGAAGCTCGAGAGCCGAAGTGCGGGGTAAGCGGCAGAGGGGAACAAAGGCGGCAGTCGAGTGAGACGAAAGTGCTTCGCGAGACAAGCAGTCCGGCGACACAGCAGGCGAAGAGAGGAAGCGCCAACTTGCGAGGAGGCGAACGCACCGTCGACCTTCCCAAATCGCGGAGTTCGTAACGCGATGCCCATTTCACAGCCGAATCCATCAAGCGCTCCATCCAAACAGCAAGCGACACACCAGCAGCACCTAGACGCCGCCGCGCCACTCCTCGCCGACCTGCGTAGCGCCCGCTGCGCCGACACCGCTTCCTCCGGCGACGGGACCCTCTTCGTCCGCCTCAAATTCGTTCTGCTGCTCGTCGGCGCTGCGGCGCTGCGTGATGGCGATGCCGGACGCCGAGTGACCGGCGAAAGTCGAGGAAGCGAGCTCAGGAGTGGGTGGAGGGAGAGTGACGGTTCCGCCCTTCGCGGCAGCCTTGATGAGCGCGTAGAGCTGCGGGTTCTGGTGGAGCGTACGAGCGAGTTGCTGCGGCGAAAGGTCGTCGTCGTCGCTATCGTCGTCCGTCTCGCTGAACGAGGTGGCCTCGCGGAAGAAGGTGTCTCCGTCGGCGGGAAGGTGCGAGTCGTCGCCAGCCGCGTGCGACGTCTTGGGACGCTTCGCAGGGCGGCTCTTGGCGAGCTGGACGTCCTTTTCGACCTCTTCTTCGTCGTGGTCGAGGTAGATCGCACCGTCGGCAGCGACCGCTCCTTTCGGCATGACCGCCTTCTGGCCGGGCTCGGCGTTAATCTGCCTGTCGATCCAAGCTGTCCAGTGAAGTAGAGCAGCGATCAGGTCACACGTGGAGCGGAAGGTGGAGCAAGCGAGACGTACCGGAGGAGCGAATGTAGAAAACGAATTCGATGTCCGTGTCGGCGACGTACGTGTAGGTGGTCTCGTACTCGGGCTCTGCGGTCTCCACCTGCGCAACTGGTGTCGAAGTGCCGCCGTCGAGACGGGCGCCGAAGCTAGAGATGCCCGCTAGTGAGCCGACGGTTTGTCGAGGCAGGAGAAGGGGTAAACGCACGACGGAGTGAGACCGAACTGTCCCTTGTCGGAGCGCTCGTTGACCGCACCGAGCTCCTTCCAGACTGACTGCTGTTCGCGAAGCGGGTCTTCCTCCTTAGCCTTCGACGCTTGCACGCGCTTCTTCTCCTTCTTCCTCTTCTTGATGCCCTTGATGCCCTTGTAAACGACCCTGATGCAATTGAGCTCGTTGATCTTGCTCGTATCGGAGCAGGCGACCGCAGAATCGTCGGTAGTGGGAAGCTTGGCGAACTGGAACGGCTGTTCAGAAAGCACGCAGCTCGAATGAGTCAGTACGCCTCGGCGCGGCCGCATGCGGGCGCAACGTACACGTCCAGCCTTCTTTTCCCAGCGGTCGAAGCGGTTGATGTCGTCGCTCGCACCTTCCGTGCAAATCTGCTTGTTCGAAGCGTACCAACCACCAATCCTGCATCTCGATATCAGCGTTAGCGCCACTCGAGTCCTTGGGGCAGCCCCCAGAAACTTACCACTGCTCCCCGAAGAACAATTCGACGTTCCGCCCATATTTCGAGCTTTTCTTCCTGCCATCCCAGAAAGCGACATGGAACGTCTGCCCCGGCACACCCTTGATGCTTCCCGTGACGCGGCGCTGTCCCTCCTGACGAGTCAAGAAGACGGGAACGGGTTTGCCGTCGATAGAGATAAATGCACGCTTCGACGGGTCGTCGAGGAGGAAGCTGTGAGGAGGACAGAGTCGTCAGCGCGCGAGCGAGGGCGCGGGAGGGAAGGGGAATCACGCACAGCGAGTGTCCCTGGTCCGGTACCTCCATCTGAGCAGCAAGCGAGGGCAGGTGAGCGAGAACAGCGGAGCGAGTGAGGAGAAGGAGATGAAGAGATGAGGCGGGGAAGGGTCCGAGCAACCTCGCAGAGCAGGCGAAGCGAAGGTTGGCGGAGGGTACGAAGCGTCTCGTAGACGTCGTTTGCGAGACAAGCGAGCCCAGCGAGAGTCAATCGGGAGTGGAGAAGCGGGAGGTAGCCTCTCGTCGAAACCCAGCAGACGCTGCTCACGCGGACGAAGAAGGAGACCTTACCCGCTCGATGCACCAAAGTGTCCTTCGGCTGACCGCACGACCCGCTTACTTCGCCCGACGATGCACGACCGACTTGCCGACTTCCTGGTACTCGTCCTTGCCGATCCAGAGCTGCGCGACGCGAGAGCGAGTCAGTCTGGTGCCTGGATGAGGGAGAGACGATGATTCTGAAGCGTAGGAGAGCGCACGCACCTGGTGGAACGTCCCGAGCGAAGCGAGAATCGACCCGCCGAGCCAGGACGAGTGCGTGCGCTCGGCGGCAGAGGCGGCGGCGTCTGCATCGCGGAAGCGGGTATCGGAGTCAGCACGAGCAGGTGAAAATGACGAGGTAAGCGCGACTCACGAATCTTGATCTTCATGCCAGGCGCGACGATGCCCAACTCTGCCTGCAACCTGTCGACAAAGCCAGGAATGAGGGTCGTGCCGCCCGTAACGACAACGTTGGCGAGCAGCGTCGCTTGGAGGTCCGGGTCGACCTGGATGAGCGTGTTGCGGATGAGGCCGGCGAGAGGCTGGAGGGCAGAGTAGGGGTGGGAGGGGATCGTGGAGGCGGACGGAGGGAGTTGTCGGTTCTTGAACTGGAACAAGGCGCGTCAGTCCAGTCACACTCGGCGGAAGAGTAGGGCCGGTACGCACCTCTACCGGAAGGAAGCGCTGCGGGTTGAAGATGATCTCGGGCGTGCTGAGGCGAACAGTGCCGAGGTAGGTGTTGAAACCGTCAGGGAACTCGAACGCCCGACTCGCTTTCTGGTTGACCGAACTACGAAGGGGGAGAGCCGTCAGCGCGACAGGTGACCAACCGTCCAGTGAGCGAGACTCACTTGTCATCCCAGCTGGGCGTCATCACCTCGCACACCGACTCCTTCAGCTCGTGCATCAACCGCATCTCCTCCAGGCGATGGTACGAAGGCGTTGTCGCGGCGTTCGGGTCAGACGGATTGGGTAGCCGGTCCTCCCTGCGAGGGCACGAAAGGTCAGCCAGGCGGCGACTTGAGGCAAGGGAACTCGATGTACCGCAGTTGCGCATTCGCCGGCTGGTTGGGCTCGACCGCCTCCTTTGTCTTGACGAGGTAGTGCGGCGTAACGGGAAGTGATTGGGATTTGAGGCTGGAGAGGAGGACTTCGGAGAGGAGTGCGCCGCCCGTGGGCTGCTTTTGGATGGCTGCGCACGGGAGAGCGTAAGTAGTGCTGTCCTAGAAGAGCACAGGCGGGCTGACGCACCTTTTCGCAGGACAAACCCGTCGTAGACCGGCGTCACAGTCGTCAACTCCTCTCCAACATTCACGATCAAAGCTGAACCCTTGCCCGCCGCAAATCTGCGCGACCAGTGCGTGCCATGTCAGCATTGCTGCGAAAGAAAGCCCTGGCTGGGCAAACGAAACTCACGCGCTCATGACCGCCTTGTCGACCGAGTAGAACGCCGGCGTCTGCCACGTCTCGAACGCCAGCTCGCACATCTTCTCCTTGTTCTCCTTCGTGTTCCAGCTCGGCTCTGTCGCCATCAAGGGGAACTCCTCGAGCGTCTTGACCCTCATCCGGTCCTGGAACGCATGTTCGAGCGCGCGACCCGCCGCATCCCAGTCGGTGACGATCTGGTCTGCGACGAAGCTCAATACGGTTGCGTGCGGGCGGTAGAGATGGACGTTGTTGCCGTGCACGTAGGTCGGCGGTTGTGAAGGGTCGGAGGAAGGGACAGTCGCGAAGGCGGTGGGGAAGAGGCACTTTGGCGCGTCTTCGCCGGCGTAGCTGCGTGCGCAAGTCCTGTGTGAGCGTTCCACGTACACCTCTAGCCAGTCCTGCCCACTCACCCTGCTCGGACGGTACTCGACCCGATGTCGAGGACAAGCGCGCCAACCTCATCTCCTCCATACTGCACGGGCGGGCTCATGGTGGACTAGCAGACAGAAGCCAAGCAGTGAGCCTCTGAAACGAAGCGAGCGTTCCAAGCGGTGTAAAGGCGAGCGGTATTGAGCAGACCAGCAAGTGCACTTGTTGACCTCGACCACTCACAGCACACCGGACTGGATGGTGCAGCTGGACTGGCCTTGATCTTTCAAGAGCTACTGACGGACCTGGCTACCGACACAGACCGTCAAATCGCCTGTGTACTCCCCGTGCTCCCCTCGCCAATCCTATCACTCGAGGCGCTCAACGGCTGGCACACGCCTGCTGGACGCCAACCGTCCGAGCCACCTCATACACAGCGGACTCTCAGCCACGAAACCTGCCGGAAGGGCGCGAGGAAGATCAGACTCGACCTTTCTCCAGCCTCGTTTCCCTCTCCGCTCACTCAAACGTTGTGGTGGAACTGCTTGTTACTGCTCAAGGGTTCTGTACATAGTGCGACGCCCGCTTAGTGGCCAATGTCCTCCTGGGTCTTCGAGCCGCCGCGCTTGCCCGCCTCCGATGCGAGATCCTTGTTTCCGCCGAAGCCTGTTCGTTGAGAAGAGGGAAGGAAGGGACGGCGTCGGCTGACTGAGAATAAGGACAAGTGGGAAGGGAAGGACGCACCGTGCTCGCTGCTAACACGCTTGTCAGGCGAGCCCTGCGAACCCAACTCCTCGAGATCAGCTTCGCTCGTTCCCGCAACCTCGCAAGGAGCGTCAACGCACGTCCTTCTTCTTTCCGTCGTGCTCCTTGGGCCTGTACTGGAAGCTGTCCTGAGCCTCGGCGTGCTCGGTCATCTCGTTCGAACCCTTGGCCATGTCGAGGTCGGACTGAAAGGTAGGCGAGGCGCGGGACGAATCGGCGCGGGGAGAGGGAAGTGAGCGGGGTTAAAAAGGGTGGGTGAAAGGAAACGAGGAAGCAGGAGGAGACGGTGGGATCAAGGGAAGTCAGCTTGAAGCGACGGACGAGAGAGTTGACAGATCGAAACGCACCATCTTGATTTGTAGTTAGTGGTGCTGCGAAGTGGGAAAAGTGCGTGAGTGTTCGCGTGAACGGTTGGAAGAGAAGAGGGGAAAGCCAAGCGAGATGAGAGATCAACAGATGCATCGACGTAGGGAGGCCATGACGAACCTTCGCTGACGACACCGAGAACAGGTCGGCCATCGAGTGGGAGAATCGAAAGCGTGGGCGCACTGTGAGCGATTGTCTGATAGCAGAGCAATCGGTGAAGGGCGCTGAGGGATCGTTAGAGGACGAAGCAGGTCCCTACATCGCGGCAAGCGAAACAAGCGTTTCTCGAATGTGAAGTTCCGACGGCGTGCAGGGAAAGCGAATTGCGTGGAAGTAGAGAGCGAGCAAGAGGGGGGGAGGAAACGAGTCGTAGCCGGGGAAGAAGTGCGAGAAGTGCCTCGTACTTGCCTCGAGCTGAGCATGGACACCAACGACGGGGTGCGGCAGCGTAAATCTTCATGCGCAAGACTACACAGCGTCGTCGTATTGCTGCGAGAGAGCCGGGGAATCAAGCAAGGAAGAGTGGAAAGCAAGAGGATGGATGACCTGAAGGTCTGCCGGCTCCCGTATGGAGCAGCGCGCTTCCTCGCGCCCCTCAAAGAGGGAAACGCTCGACGCCCGCTGAGTAAGGAGACCATCGCTCTGTGCCCCCGTGTACGGAGAACCCTCGTCTTCGCCGATCCTTGCGAGAAAGGTCGAGACGAGGGGGATGCGACTTTGATGACCGTGAGAGGAGCGGCCACCGAAGTCGACCTGGAGGCAGGTGTGTATGTTTTCGAAGTGTATGGAATGGTCGTACGGATGCTTTAAGCTCATCGCGAGGGGTTAAGCAGGGTGTCAAAGAGGCGAGGGTGGTGTTGTCCGCAAGCGCGCGCATTCGCATGCGCCGTTCAGCTCCATCCCATCAGCAGCAGCTCAGGACATGCCCTCCAACACCCGTCCGCCTCATTCGAGGTCGACTTTGTCGCGAAAAAGTTGTGCGAGGACGAGGAGGACGAGCGAGGTGACGGCAGGGTGTGCGAGCGTGGGAGCGGTACGCGCAGGTAGCTGAGTGTCAGCGGAGCCTTGTGAGCACCTCGCAGGCCCCATTGAGCGTGTGCATTGGGCGGCGAGAGATGTCGACGGGGTCAACCTGCGCCGTCGCCTCCCGCGCCCTCCTCGTCCTCCTCCAACTCGCCCAAACACCCGCTGTTGACCATGTTTGCTGCCATCCGCACTCCCATGCTCCGCACTGCTGCCCGCCCGGCACTCGCCGCCCGCGTCGCTGCTCCCCAGACCCGCCTCTACCACGAGAAGGTGAGATGCCGACTGCTCCTCATCACTCGCCCGCCTCGCGCGCTGACACTCGCCTCTGACGCAGGTGATCGACCACTACGAGCGTCCCAGGAATGTAAGGCGTCTTTCTGCGCTACTCTGGACCGGATCGGAGGCGTGGTGGCCGCGCGCGGGATTAATCAGACGAGGAGGGTGGCGAAGGGGCGATGACGGTCTCGCGCCGCATCAACGGCTGGGGCGGCGCTGTGGGCGTGTGCAGAGCGATGATAGGGCATCGTCGGGGCTGGCGAAAGAGCGACTCGATTGCGAGGACGGCGCGCTGACTCCGGGTCGAATCGCCGCAGGTCGGCTCGCTCGACAAGAACGACATCAACGTCGGCAGTGGTCTCGTTGGTGCTCCCGCTTGCGGTGACGGTGCGTAGCGTGGCTCCTGTGTGATGCGCTTGTGCTGACCCATGCGCGTACAGTCATGAAGCTCATGATCCAGGTCGACGACAAGGGAATCATCTCGGACGTCAAGTTCAAGACGTTCGGCTGCGGTTCTGCCATCGCCTCGTCGTCTTACATGACCGAGCGTGTCAAGGGGTTGTCCTTGGAGGAAGCTGGAGCGATCAAGAACACGGAGATCGCGCAAGTGAGTCCAGTTGGCTCTTCTCCTTCTCCCCGTCGCCATACTGACGCTTTTCTGCGTTTGAAGGGCCTCTCCCTTCCCCCTGTCAAGCTTCACTGCTCCATGCTTGCGTGCGTCCCTCCACCGCCTCCCAGCTTAGCCAGCTCGAACTGCGGCGCTGATTTTGTTCGCCCCCCCCTCACACACGCAGCGAGGACGCCATCAAGGCTGCCATCAAGGACTACCACAAGAAGCGTGCCGCTGGAGGAAAGGCGACCAAGCCCGGCCACATCGACGTCAGCATGAGCGCGGCGACGGGCAAGACGGAGGCGCAGGCCCACCCCGGCTCGGGCGCCGTCTAAGTTCCTTCGCACCGCCTACGCCATACACATGGCTCAGTCGTCGTTCGCACAACGTAGGAACAGCGCTTGGACGACGGTGATATGGATATCTGCGCCTCGCTTGCGCTCCCTGTACAGAATAGCCTCCCTCTCTTGCCTCTCCGGGTTTTCGCATTGTTCCCCTCCTTCCCTACCTCATTGTGTCGATGCATGTGATAACAAGCAGTTCCAAATAATCCCGTCTGGCGAGCGAGCGGCTTGCGAACCTCCGCTGTCCGAGAGATCGCCTTCTCCCGTTCGACTTCTCGCTCCTCACTCGCTTTCGATGGCTACCGCTCGCTCAACACGCAGTCCATCATTCGAATCGCACGCAGAGATGGTCCGTCCGCCGCCTCGCGCCCGCCTCTCGAGTGCCGGAACTTGATCGCTCATCGCTTCCATCGCAGGACACGGACAACGAGGACGGTCCGAGAGGGTCGGAGGACGCGGCGAAGGGTGCTACGACGGCTAAGAAGGGGAAGAGCAAGGCGAGCAAGTGAGTCTGGCTTGTTGCGAGTCGAGCGTCGCCGCCGAAACCTCGCAGGGGCTGTGAAGCCGGGTCGAGGGGTTCGGTTCCAAGCTGTCAGCTTGCGAGGAGGGGTTCAGCGATATGAGCTGACCATACTGAGCACGGCGAAACGCAGAGGACAGGACAGGAAGGCGCAGAACCGCATCGCTCAGCGCGAGTTCCGTCAAGTGAGTCCAGGTATCCCCATCTCTCCAGCCAAGTCTCTTTCTGACGGCTTTCTTGCACAGCGGAAACAAGCCTACGTCAAGGAACTCGAGGCCAAGGCGGCGATGATGGAGATGTCGCGCGACGAGCAGTTCAACCGCTTCAGCGAAGCGTTCCGTACCCTGCTCGAGGAGAACCAGAAGCTGCGCACGCTGCTGCAGACATTGTCGGGCTTCATTGGCGAAGGACTGGGCGGAGCGCTCGCAAAGATCGGGACGGACTTGCCAGGTCCGTCGTCCTCGCACCTTGCACACGGCTCGCTGAACTGACGCTCTTCATCCGCAGAGTTCCAGGACTTCATCACACGAAATCGCATTGACACGGCGACTGATGCACTGCGACTTACGAAACCGCATCCAGTATCTGCGCCGGCTCGCCAACATTCGCACCGGAGCAACGAATCGCCTGTACGAGACGGAGACCCTCCGTTGAAGCAACAACAGGTTAACGGCTTGTCAACGACAACCGCGGACTTGGCATCTCAAGGTCTCCCCGAGTCGACCTACGCCCACGCTTCAACGAGCAGCCACCCTCATCCTCCTCAACCTTTCTGCCCACCGCAACCTCCGCTACCCTATCCTCCTCAACTCAGTACGAGCGCACCTCCAAGCCAACCACCGCAACCCCAGTACCCCTACGAAGCCGCCTTTTCCACCTCCTTCGATGCATCTCCCCCTTTCGCCTTCGCACCCGATCCTGCCGTCTCCGGCCCGCCACTGCCCGACCCGCCCTATGCTACCGAGCAGTCTCGCCTCCATCCAATCGACACTTCGAGCACAGCGCTCCAGCATGAAGGCCGCGGGAGCATTCCCCGGACATGCGACCTAACGCCCGAGCAGAGTGCCGAGATCCTTGGCAATCTCGTGCAGGGCGACCTAGATCTCGCTCATTCCAAGATGGCCGACCTTCTAGTACGTCTGCGGAGTCCCCCTTCCGCTGCGTACAGCGGAACTGACAGCTCCCTCCTCTAGCCCGCTAACGACACAGCCTTCCAAGCAATCCAGCTAATTGCCTACCACATGCGTTGCAAACGCGACAACCCCGCCTACACTCTTCCACCCTCCCTCACGCTCACGAACCTCCAGCGCTCCGTGCCTCACCCGCCCTTCTTCGACGGCATCATCTGGCCTTCCCTGCGCGACCGCCTCATCCTCCTCAAGGACCAGTTTGCGTTGCCGACCTTGATCGAGGACTTCTGCAATGGCGTGTCGGTGAACGGGGACGACTCGCTCGCTCCAGAGGCGTGGGAGCTGAGCGAGGATTTCGTCCGCAAGTACTGGTGCGCGACTCGTTTCCTTCGCCGTTCCTCGCACCGCTCACGATGCTCTCGCAGGTACATCGTCGACCAGGAGACGCTGCAGATAACGAACAGGTGGCGGAAAGAGCGCGGCGAGAAGGAGCTTTCCCTATCGGAGCTGATACCCAGGGCCGCCTAGAACTCGCATTGTACCTAGCTAGCATGATGTTGCGAAATGTATGCGTTGCAAGCAGTACGCAGAGAGGCACCTACCGGTCTGTGGCGGAGAAGCAAGGTCAGCGAGAGCGCAAAATCGGAAAAGAGAACAGGGCAGCACGCACAGAATGCAGGGCGGTCGTCCTCGCGCTTGACTGTTTGGCGCCACGCCTCCTCAAAATCGGCAGGCAAGATTACGTATCTGCGGGGGGAGAGGCGATGTCAGCGACGATTGAGGACGGCAATGGCTGAGAGCGAGGTCAACGCACCGGTTCTTCCGCACGGCTTGCAGACCGGCAGCTTGGCAGATGGCCGCAATCTCGGCTGACGAGATCTTCTCCGGTCGCGAGACGTCTGCGATGCGAGAAGATGGTCAGCCGGAACGCGGCAGGCGGACAACGAGGACTTGACCCACAGTCTTCGAGGTCGACCTCGGGACTGATGCTCATCTTGCTCGTGATGGTCTGGAAGATGAGGCGCTTCTCCCTCCGGCTCGGATTCGGAAACTCGATCTTCCTGTCCAACCGACCGGGTCGCAGCAAGGCCGGGTCGAGCGTGTCGGCACGGTTCGTCGCCATGATGACCTTGACATTCGAGCCTTGGTCGAAGCCGTCCATTTGCGTGAGGAGCTCGATCAGGATGCGCTGGACTTCGCGGTCGGCGCCGGTCTGGGCGTCGAAACGCTTCGTCGCGATCGCGTCGACCTGTTCGGTGCAAGCCATACTGCTTATCAGTCGACGTGCAAGGAAAGAGGACGCGGCTGACGGAGCGAGGTGGCACGACGCACCTCGTCGATGAAGATGATGCTCGGCGCGTTCTCCCTCGCCATCCTGAAGACATCCCTGACCATCCGCGGTCCCTCACCAAGGTACTTCTGCACAAACTCTGAACCGTTGACGCGAATGAAGGAAGCGGTCGTGTGGTGTGCGACAGCCTTGACGAGCATCGTCTTGCCCGTACCTGCGAGTTCTCGTCGTTAGCCGGCATCACCATGGCAGCGAAGGAGCGCGACGCACCAGGGGGACCGTACAGCAGCACACCGCGAGGCGGGTCGATACCGATCTGGCGGTACAAGTCAAAATGGGTGAGGGGCAGCTCGACCGCCTCGCGAATCTCCTGCTTCTGGATGTCCATTCCTCCGATGTCCGAGTATTTCCTGTATCCCGTCGAGCATCAGCCAATAGCGGAGTACAGGAGGCACAGGCGAACGCACACGTCGGGCTTCTCCTCCGATCCGAGCATGGTGATGCTCGAGTCTGCCTCGGGCGGCAAGACGTCGACGAGCGAGTTCGAGTGGCGGTGGAGGGCGACGCTCGAGCTAGGCTTGAGCAGCTCGCGGTCGATCGTGCTCAGGATGCGGACGACATAGTTGCTGCCGGTCGTCGAGCCGACGATTCCAGTGTTCTGGTCGATCGGTTCGAGGAACTGGCCAATGACGAGCGGGACACTCTTGATGCGCTTGACTTCCTCTTGCGCACGGAGGAGCTCGCGCTTCAGGTTGCGCGACTCGTCTTTGATGTAGTCCTCCTGGAGGGCGAGCAACTCGAGGTGCGCTTCGAGCTTGGCGAGTTTGAGGAAGAGGTCCTCGTTCGAGGGGAGGTTCGAGAGGAGAGTCGCCTTGTCGGCAACAGTCGTGGCGAACGTCGGGTCCTGAGCGAGTGCGAGTAGGTGAGCGAACTGGCAGATGAAGGCGAGGGGGACGAGGTGTTGTGGCACTCACCTCGCGCTCAATTTCGATGCCGATATCCTCCATCGTGTTCTAGTGGGTAACGAGGTCGGTTCAGGTGGTCTGGCGAGCTGCCCGGCGTGAGGTGCCGGCTGTGGAGCGTTGGAGGTGCGGTGACGAAGGGGAGTGGTGGGAGAGGCGGAACAAGCGAGCGCTGGTTGCGTAGGTGAGGCTAAAGCTGGTGCTCGGGCTAGCAAGTGCTCAACGCAAGCCTGTGCGAGCTAAGTGGATCGTAGCGAAGAGGCGCAAGAGCTCGTTGCCGCGCAAGCTGCCAAGGTCGACCGTCTCTCGAAGAGCTTCTTGCGCGAAGTACGGCTCGCTAAACCCTCGCAAGACTCAGCAGGAGTGCACATCCACGTTCGGAACGAGCGCAACGCTGTTGTGGCATTCCAGCGGCTCGGGGAAGGAAGGGGTATCGACACAGAATGACGGCAAAAGGTGGCTGGGCTGGACTAGACGTTCCGACGACCACGACGAGGTGGGAAAGATGCGAGCGTTGAGGGCATAGTACAGGTCGGATGAGAGAGGGAGAGTTGCGAGGCGGAGAAAGGCCAGAGGGAAAGAGTGTCTACTTGCTTTGCAGCGCGGTTGCGAGCCTGCGCGGGCATGGTTGTCAGCTGCCGAGCATGCAAGAATCGGAAAGACGCCACGCACCAATCCAGGCCCTCCTCGAGTCCCTCGCCCTTAATCGCGCAACTCTTGAAGATGCTCCATTGCCGGTTCTTGAGCGTGTCGAGTCCCAGGCCTTCCGACACTTCTGCCGGCGTCATCGCGTCTGGTTGGTCCTGTGTGCGTGAGCGTCAGCACAAGCCAGAGCGGGTCGACGTGGACAGCTGGCGACGCACCTGCTTGTTGGCAAACACGAGCAGCTTTGCGTCGTGCAGCTCCTCCTCGTTCAGCATCGCCAGCAGCTCTGCCTTGTTGATGGGCAGCCGTTCGCGGTCTGACGAGTCGACGACGTAGACGACCGCCTTGGTGTCGGCGTAGTAGCATCGCCAGTACGGCCGGATCGAGGTCTGCCCGCCCAAGTCCCATACCTGAATTCGTCGCGCATCAGCAGCGTACTGGCGAAGAAAGCGAGGGGAGACGAACCTGGAACTTGATGTTCTTGTACTGCACCGTCTCGACGTTGAATCCGATCGTAGGGATAGTCGTCACGACTTCTCCAATTTGCAGCCGGTACAAGATCGTCGTCTTTCCCCTGTGGGCCGTCCTTTGGTCAGTGAAGCTCGTGTAGGAGGCAAGGGAGGGCACGCACGCCGAGTCGAGTCCGAGCATGAGTATCCGGACTTCTGTTTGCCGCGAGAACAGGCCGGAGATTTTGGTAAAGAGGGAGGAGAAGGAGACGCCCTGTGTGCAGCCGTCCCACGTGCAGACGAGTGGGCAGACGCGGTGTGAGGGAACAAGGTCGGTTGCGAGGTGCGGGGGAAGGGGGGCGAGTTGGGTGCACGGGGTTATGAGCGGTGTCAGCTCGACTCTGCGGGCGTGCGGGTAAAAGGAACGCACCATTGTGACCCCTGCAGCAGTCCTGCGCGTCCGTCCGGCTCAACAGTCGAGAGTGAGGTAAGCGAGCGCGAGTCGGCGATGTGGTGGCTGAGCGGAGGACGAGTCGAGCGGATCGAGGCGGGAGTTGGACGAGGGTATCAGGCGAGTCCTAGCTGTGCAGTCTGAGCCTTTTCCAGCCAGCCAGACCGCTCCGGTGTGAGCAAAGTGAGTGGAAGTCGACCTTGTCCTCGTCGAGCAGCAGGGTCGACCACACGAAGTTGCTTGTTCGCCGCCCAGCTCGCAGGGAGGATCAAGCGAGTGCCGCAGCTGCCGATGGCGTCCATCCGAACACTCCCCAGCTTCTCCCGCCAGCTCGCGCGGTCGCGTTCTCCCGCCGTCGCCAGCTTCCTTCCCTCGCAGCGACGACTCGTCCACCACCGCGTCCCGCCAGCGTTCGACGTCGAGAAGGGCCTGCGACCATTCTTGGGCCCGGAGAACCTCCGCACGGTCGCCGTCGACTGGCAGGATGGCGTTCTTGCGCGCCTCAACGAGCTCACCCGGGGTCCGTCTCTCTCGTCCTCTCATCGCGCTGCGTTCTCGCGGTCGTGGGTCATTGAGAGGGGCTCGCGGTCGAGCTGACATACTTTCTGTTCAACGTCGCTTTCTCACACTCACAGGAACCGAGTACGAGAACATGAGCGTCCTGCAGACCCTCAAGCAGTCTGCGATGAACCCCGCGCACGCACTCATCTTCAACTATGCCTCCGAGGCACTCAACAACTCGTTCTTCCTGTCCAACCTCGTGCGTGCCCGCTCCCGTGCACTCGGTTACGCTCCTCGACTGACCTCAACCTCCTCGTCAACTTTCCCGCACGAAAACAGTCCGACAAGCCCACGCAGCCCACTCCCAACTCGAACTTCTCTCAACAAATCGCCGCAACCGCCTCGCTCGGCTCCTTCCCGGCTCTGATCTCGCACTTCTCGGCGCACGTCTCAGGCCTGCACCCGTCCTCGGGCGCGTACGTCTGGCTCGTGACGGATCCGCATGGGAACCTCGGTGTGGTTGGGACGTACGCGGGTGGGACGGTCCTCGTTCGCGAGAGGGCGCAGATGGGACCGGGTGGGTATGCGAGCAAGGACTTGAGGGTGCTGGGGGAGAAGGTCGAGGTCAAGGACGGCGAGGCGCCGCCTGTGCCGGCGGGTGAGACGGCATCCGCAGCGGGAGGAGCGGCGACGACGGGCGCGGCGGCGGCGGCGGGATCGGCGTGGCAGACGGTCCAGCCCGGTTCGCAGCGGCAGGCGTCGCAGACTCCGGTCGGCGACTCGCTCCTCAAGGACGGCGCGCTCGACCCGTCCAAGATCCTGTTCGGAGCGAAGCAGCACCACGCGTCGAGCATCGGGCAGTCGATCCACCCGCTCGTGTGCATCTCGACGCACCCGCACTGCTACTTTGAGGACTATGGCCTCTGGGGCCGCGACGAGTACGTACAGAAGTGGTGGGGCGCCGTCGACTGGCACAAGGTCGAGCAGGCGTACGACCAGTTCCGCATCAAGCAGCAGGGCATCTAGGCGGACGAGGGGAGTGTCGTCGCAGGACTGGGTGTAGACTCGCAGCAACTCTCTCGCAACAAGGTGGTCCATCCCACTACTGGGTATCTCTGCGTCTCTATGAGATACCTCTACACTCGCTGGTAATCCAGTGAGATGCCCCCTTTCCGAGTGAGTCGCTGCTTGTTGGTGACGCACACCGCCGACTGTCCGAGAGCGAGCAGCTGCGTCGCTGCCGACTCGACACCCGCTGGACAGCGACAACGACCACGCCAGCCGCACCAGCACCACTCACTCACCCACTCCAGCCGCCGCGCCCCGTCGCCACCACCGCCGGTCCTCTTTTTCTTCGCGAGCGCATTCGATCCATCTCTCGCCCACACCGCACTCCGGGACAGGCTGGACAGCACATTCAGGGCTGAAAGGACTCGAGCACACGCTTGCATGCGCGCCTGAGCACTCCCGACGCCGTCCGACTCGCCCTTCATCCCTCCCTCACGACTTCGAATCGCTTCGTCATCAACACACCCCCGGACAACGATCCCACCTCGTCGCGCGCGGGACTTGCAGTGGCCCGGAGTCACATGGAGACTCCTTCTGCTTTCTTGCGTGAGTCGGGTGCTCGCTGGCAGCAGGGACTCGCGACTGGGCTGGCGTTCTCCGAGGGCGGAAGGGAGGGATATGACGACCGCGGCAGACGGATCTCTCGAGCGCGTTGCGGGCGTCCGGTTGCGTCCGGATGGGTGCGAACTGCTTGCAGGGGACTTTTTTGGAGCTGGGCGAGGTGCGCGGGACGGGCGAGGCAGCAGCGACCAGCGCCGGAGCTTGAGCAGGCGAGTTGGCGCGCACAAAGGACGCGGTGTGGTTGGATGGGACCGAAGCAAGGCAGGCCTGGCGGAGCGAATCTCACTACGCAGGAGAAGCTGGTCGTACTCGAAGAACGCCCGTGCTGACGAAGCCTGCTCTCCTCCCGCCTCGACACCTCGCAGCAGGACGGCATCGCGCCTCATCTGACCCGCTCTCGCGCGGCGGCGCCTTTCTCGACGGCGCAGGCTTGCTCCAGCAGGAACCTAACCCGTTCGAGCAGTCGTTCGGTCCACAGGCGAGCACGTCCAAGCCGACTGACGGCACCTTGACGGCCGGCGGACGACGAGCGCGCTCGACCAGTCCCTCGGCGCTCCTTCCTCGCGCGACCCCAGGCGGGTTGCAACGACTGCCGCCGCTCTCGCTTATGCAGACGCCCGGCGGCGAGCTCTCGGCGTTCAACTGGGGCGTCGACTCGCTCCGAACCGGTCCTCTGTCTCCAGCGCTGCTCAACGGACCGACTGGCACGTCTGCCCTGTTCGAGTCGTCCTTGAGGACGGGGCTGACACCCTTCGTGGCGTCTGGTGCTCCGAACGGTCACGCAGGCGGAGGCGTCTCGTTCCCGCCGCCCAGTCCGGCGACCGCCGCCCTCTTCGCCATGATGACCAACAACACGCCCGGCACGTCGGACGCCGCTGCGCTCGCTGGCGGCGGACCGAGGCCGCACGAAGGCCTGAACGAGGCCAACTCGTTCGACGCGAGCTTTGCGCAGGCCAACTCGACCCAGCACAGCAAGTTGCGCAACTCGCTTCGCGCGTCCGACTCGCCTGTCGACATGAACGGCGGCGTCACGCAGCCCTCCTCGACGGCGGGAATGAGAACACACACACGCTCGTCGTCGAACGTCTCGGTTGCGCCTCCCCCTCCTCCGCCTGGCGTCGCGTACCCGCCTCAAGGCCCGCCCGGCTCGCACGTCTACTACCCTCCCGGGCCTCACGCACACGCCGCCGTTCCTCCGCCAGGCGCCCCTCCCCCAGGCTACGCCTTTCCTCCGCACCCACCACCTCCCCAACCTCATTCTCACGCCCACTCGCAAGGTCCGCCGCCCCCTCCCGGCGCTCCTCCTCACCCACACTTCACCGGTCCTCCAGGCCAACTCGGCTTCACCGCCCCTCCTCCACCCACCAACCCGCTCGACCTCCTCACCCAAGCCTCGTTTCACAACGACGATGCCGTTGCAGCTGCAGCAGCGCTCTCGGGACTCGCTACGCCCGGTGGTGGGTTCCCTGCTGCGGCGGTACTCGCTGCGGCTCAGCAGCAAGGAGCGACGGGAGGAATCATGCCCGCTTCGACAGTCACGGGCGGACCTGGAGCGGTCGGGACTGGACCTGCGAATGGCGGACCGGCGATCAAGGACTCGAGTCCGGCGCCTAGTGCGGATTCGAGTGCGGGAGGGGGGACGGGGCGCGCGAAGCGTGGAGCGGCGGCGGCTGGTGCGGCGGTCTCGAGTGTGCCGGCGAAGAGGGCGAGGAAGCCGACTGCGGCGGCGGCGGCGGCGGCTGAGGAGATGAGTCTTGGATTGGACGAGGAGGAAGTCGCGACGACTTTGACGACGAAGAAGGCGCCTGCGAAGAGGGGAGGGAGGAAGGCTGCTGCGGCTGTGGCGGCGGCAAAGAAGGAGGACCCGGACACGGACGGGATGTCGGTTTCGGCGAATGGGTCGGTGCCTCCCGAAGCGGGCGGGAGCGGAGAGTACCAGATGGAAGGAATGGAGATGCCGACGGGACCGTCGAAGGGCGGGCGCGGGAGGAAGAAGGACACGGGCGAGACGGAGGAGGAGAAGCGCCGCAACTTTCTCGAGCGCAACCGACAGGCCGCGCTCAAGTGTCGTCAGCGCAAAAAGGCGTGGCTCCAGTCGCTCCAGACCAAGGTCGAACTCCTCACGACCGACAACGACGCCTTACAGACGACGGTCAACAATCTCAAGGAGGAGGTCAACTCGCTCCGCGCCATCCTCGCCGCTCACGCATCGTGTCCCGTCGCGCTCGGCAACGTCCCGCCCGCGCCGCTGCCGCCCGGTATGTCGCCGATCGACCCGCGCCGCGCAGCGATCCCAGGCATGCCGCCTGGTTCCGCGCCCCCTCCTCACGCCGGTCATTCGCCCGCCAGCATCCCGCCAGGCTACGCTCCGAGGGCCGTCTACCAGTGACGCTTTGCCGCCACAATGTTCATAGTTCTCCTTTCTCACCCGCGTTTTCCTCTCCTCCTTGTCCACACCGCATCAGTACCTTCACACTTTCTCGCTCCTATACTTCATAGCTTGTTCTTGCGTTTCCTCGTCGCGTCCGCCTCACGGACACTGCTTTCCGTCGTTCTTCCTTCCCTCCTCCTCGCCACTACTTCCCCTCTCGATCCACCATTGTCGTCGCAAATATACTCTCTTCCCCTCTCACCGCCGCAATGTTGCATCTGTCTTCACTCTCCTCAGCGCACGTAAAACGGAGAGAAAGTACCGCGTTGCGAGTCTCACGCCTCGTGCGCCTCCGTCTCCGTCTTGACAGGCGCCTCGCCAGGCAACGGGCTCGGACTCTGGCCCGGTGACTCGCCCTGCCCAACCGCGAGCGACTCCTTGACCGCGCCGAGCATCGCCAGCTTGCTCGAAGCGACGACAGCCGCCTGGGCGAGCGTCGTGCGTGCCTTCTTCGATGCGGGCGTCGACGAGCCGTCCATGTCGCTCGCCGTTTTGCCTACTTCTGCTGCACCCGTGGGACCGGCAAGTGCTGCTTGTTCTGCGGCGACCTTCTGCGCGGCAAGGAGGACGCGGACGGCGTCTTGCTCATCGAGGTCATCGAGGCGCGCCTGCTCGGCGTTGTACTCGTCGTAGCGGTCGCACAGCGGTCGCCAGGTCTTCCGGTTGTCGAGTCGAGGCGGCTTGTACGTGTGCGGAGAGCGGGGCGGGTGAGGCGAGGAGGCGAGGACGGCCTCGATGTCGTCGGGTGGAGGGAAGGCAAAGTCGGGTCCCGAGTTGATCGTCGCGATACCGCCGCCAAAGACGGACGCCATGGGGAAGTAGCCGAGTGCGCCGTCGTCGTGCCAGTTCTCCATCATGCTCCGCGCATCCTTCTTCTTCTCCTTGCCGCCCTTGTTCTTCCGCAGTGGCAAGAAGTCGTACAAGTCCTCAAATGCTACGCCTTGGCACTCGCCGTCGACGAAAAAAGCGACCTTGCTGCCTTCGAGCTTCGGCAAGGGACGAAGAGGCGGACCTTCGTCGAGGTTCGCCGGCGGTGCTCGTGTGCCAGGAGCCGCGGCCTTCGCCTTCGCTTCCTTTTCCTCCTTCTGCCGCTGCTTGAACGCCTTGAGCGCAGGATCGACGAGCAACTCCTCCATCTCCTTGCTGGGCGCATACTCGAGCTGCTCAAAGTAGAGCTGGCCTTTGTAGCGGATCGGGATGCGCTTGCGAACAACTCGGGCGGGCGAACGCTTGTCGGCTATATTGTAGGCGGGTCGAGGGGGGAGAGCGAGGTAGATGCCGATGACAGTGGAGGAGCCGTAGGGTTTGCCGTAGGGAGTCGGTTGGGCGAGAGTGACAGAGTCGCCGCTCTTGTCGCGGTAGCCATACGAGTATCTGCGAGCGCATGGTAAGCTCTGCGAAGCGTCTAACCGGTGTCGAGCGTGTACGTACCCGTCAATCCCGACCGGGGCATTCAGAGGACTTTCTCGTCTGCCTACTCCCACCCGAACCCAGCTGCCTTGCCCTTCACCGCCCTGGTCTCGCCCGCCTTCTCCGCCACTGCGGTCTATCCGCACCTCCCAATACCATGCACCTTCGCGCACGCCGATGTTACTTCGTGCCGCGCGCCAACCCTTGTCTGTCGTGAGCGTCTTGGCGTCCTCCGTCAACAAGGTGAACAAGCTTCGATCTTCCCAGCTCCACCGAATACCCTGAGGGTACGACTCGATTGACCGTTGAGGCGGGACCGGTAGAAGAGTGTGAGGAGACGGTCCGCAAGGCGTGTAGCGGAACCCGAACTTGTTGAAGGGGTGAGAACGGGTCGCGAAGAACTCGAATGGGCTGTCGGGTAGTTGTGCTGTGTGCGAGACAAGTACAGGAGGGTTGGAGACGTCTGACGGGTCGGCAAGGGCTGGTGCGGGCGAATGAGAGGGGGGTGTCGCGGCGGACGGAGAGTGTTTGCGCTTTGTAGGCCGTCGTCGCGGCTCCTGCACGACGCGAGCGTGTCAATCTGCGACACAGTATGCCATCGTATGCTCTGACGGGCGCACCTCGGACTCGTCGCGCTCTGGAGTGTCTGCACCTGGCGACTGTTCGCGGTCTTCGATGAGAGGGGGAGTCGGGGCGAGCGGGTCGCCGTTCGCAAGCAGAGCCGGGTCAATGCCTCCAGAGTACATCTCTGCGCGGTCTGAGCAACCCAGCGAAGAAGTCTGAGCGGTGAGCGGGCGATGGCAGTCAGCGACGTCCGCCTTCCCCTCTCCTTCTCGTCCAACTCGCTCACAAACGACTCTCATCGCTGTTGAGCTCGCTCGCTCGTTGCCTCGTACTCTTGTGGCTTCCAGGATGGCTACAGGCATGGTCGGCGCCCGCCTCGGACGCGTTGTCGCCACCCTGCTCTTCATCTCTTTCACCCTCGGCGTCGCCGCACACGAGCACCACGAGGTCGAGACGGGCCCGTACGAGCAGAACTTCACGAACGACGAGGACCTGGACTCGGTGATCAAGTGGCACATCGCGTTCGTCTCTCTTTCCCTACTCTCGCTCCGTCCTCCACAACCTGCTTTCACGGCTTCCTCCGCCTCTGGAGTCAACGTTAACTGTTTTCCTTTCCGCCTACAGCATTCAGATCTTCTGCTGGGGCCTGCTCTTCCCTGCGGGTCAGTGCCGTTTCGAGGGAATCGCTCGACAGCTGCTGACACCGCTTGGAGCAGGCATGGTCCTCGGCATCACCCGCTCTCGCTTCCACGTCCCTCTGCAGTCTCTCGGCATCGTCCTCACCCTCTCTGGCAACTTCCTCGGCCACCACCATGCCGGCCGGTCGTTCCACATGACCGCACACGCCTACTTCGCCGGATACCTCTGGTGGTACCTCATCCTCCAGACGGTGATGGGCGTGTTCCTCAAGCTGCACGTTATGGAAGGGACGGCGCTGAGACGAGGAGTCGTTACTGCGCACGGGATTGTCGGGAAAAGCTTTCCGATCGCTGGATGGGTGCAGATGCTGTTCGGGTTCGTCCTGCTTTCTTTGCGCCAAGCGAGCTTCCCTCTGACTCGTCGAGACTGCCAGCGGCATCGCGGCGTCCGGCTTCTGCTTTGGCGAGCACTTCACTCAATGGTACGCGCTTTCCTTTCTCCGCCCTGAAGCGATTTTGACCCGCCTTCATCCCGCAGTCTCGCGCACTTCATCATGGGATCCGCCTTCATCGCCTACGCCATGATCCTCCTTCTCATGCTTCGAGTCGGCGCCGGCTTCCTCGCCCGCAACAAGCTCAGCCAGGAGTACCTCGACTCGTGGGTGATCATGCTTTGGGGTGCGCCCCCTGCGTCCCCAACTCCTACGCGAGACGCCTACCTGATCACTTTGCTCGACAGGCATCGTCAACACGTTCACCGAGCACAACTTCCTTTCCGCGCACCCAACGGGGTGGTCCCACAAGGATATGGCACGCTTCCGTCCCTGGCTTCTCCTCGAAGGCTGATGCTAACCGTCTTTCTGGAGCAGCAACACACCTCGCTCGGCGTCTTGTGGTGGGCTGGCGGTGCGCTCGGCATCTGGCTTGGTCGCAAGCAGCGTCGCAACATTGTTCCGGCTCTCATCATCGTGAGTGTAGCTTGCTCCTTGCTCACAGACCTCAAACCGATCCTCCAACCCGCAGGGCATGACCGGCTACGCGATGGCCAACCACGGCCAGCACCTCCAGTTCTCGGAAGACGTGCACAAGTTCTTCGGCTATGCTCTCGTCTTTGCCGCCCTCGCCCGCATCATCGAAGTCTGCTTCGTCCTGCGAGATGCGCCGACTCCTGCGCCGAGCGAGACGGAAGGTCCCCGCTCGTTCCAGCACCTTACGCCGTTCTTGCTCGTCTTGAGCGGCTTGACTTTCCTCTCGGCGACGGAGGAGCAGATGCAGTGGGTTGCGGGGAGCGGGATGGACTCGACGACGTACTCCATCGTGTGTAGCTCTCCTTCCTCAACCCTTGAGCACCTCGCCTGACCTCGAACCTTTCGCAGATTCTCGTCTCGGGCGCCTTTGCCATCTACCTCGTCGGCGTTTCGATCGTCGACCTCTACGAACACCAAATGCGTCTCAAGTCGACCGCCCAGGCCGTGGGCATTGCGTCCGCAGACGCAGATGTCGAGGGCAACGGCGGCGGGATTGCTCTCGACTCGAGCCCGAACCTGCGGAGCTCGTCGCCCACCGCGCGGAATCTGCGCGTGTTCGGGATGGCGGTGCCGGGCATCGTCGCAGGCGTGGTCGGCAAGGTCATGCAGGTGGTGCAAGCGCTTGAGCGAGACGGCGGGTCTCGAGAAACCGCAGCACGGGATGCAGGCGCGATGGGACATGCGCGACGGGCGACCGTCGAGTACGAGTCGTTGCCGCTCACCGCGGGGCGGGACTCGGTCGACGCGAGACAAGACGACGGCGTCGAGATGCAGCAGCGGAGCGGTCGGGCGGCTGGTAGCGGCTCGGCGGGCAGCGACGAGACGGTGTTTGAGCTGGGAGACTACGAGGACGATGGCGGAGACGGGTACTGGGCGGAGAAGGACGAGGACGGTCGAGGACGTCGTCCCGCGGTACGGGCTTGACAGCCTCCGCTCGCTCGTAGACTTCACTCCTGTACCACTGTTCATTCTCGCGGCGTTTCTGTCGTCTGGATTGCGCCGCAGTTGGACTCGGCGGATGCGCCTTTGCCGACGGCGCGACCTTCCGCTTGTCCTCGTCGCTCTTCCCTCGACAGCTTCGCTCGCTACGAGAATGACTCGCGCAGCCAAGGCTTACCATCAGACGCTCCCGCACCTCACAAAGGACAACTGGCGCGAGCACGCTGCCGCAAAGCGCGAGCAGCGCGACGGCTTGATTCCGACGGAATGGAGGCTGTCTCCTGACGTCCTCGCTGCCGCCGGGGACAACGTGACGGGCGTGCCGGCTACTTGTGGGATCTTATCGGCGAAGGAGCTCGAGATCACCGAGCTGGACGAGGTTGAGGAGGTGCGCTCTCCTCCTCCTTCAGCGAACCATGTGGGGAGCTCATCGACTCTCTTCCTCACGCAGCTCGCCAAACGCATCGCCGACAAGACGTACACTGCTGTCGAAGTCGCTACCGCCTTCAGCAAGCGCGCCGCAGTCGCTCAGCAGCTCACGAACTGTTCGTTTCGCTCTCGCAACTCGCTTCCCGCGGCCTGCGCTGATACTGTTCCGAGCTGCTAGGCTTGACCGAGATCTTCTTCAACGAGGCTCTCGAACGGGCGAAGGAGCTTGATGCAATCCTCGAGAAGACGGGCAAGACCATTGGTCCTTTGCGTGCGTCGTCCATTTTTTCCTGCTGCTCCTCGTTACGCTCCTTCGCTTGAGGTGCAAATGGAGTGACGCATGATTGAGCTCGCATGCTGACGCCGTCGTATTGCTCCTCCCAGATGGGGTCCCGGTCTCGCTCAAGGACCAGTTCGACATCGCCGGAACCGAGTTGACCATGGGCTACGTCTCGTACCTCGGCCGCATCTCGCCGCGGGATAGTGCGATCGTCGCGCTCCTCCGCGACGCGGGCGCCGTCTTCTACTGCAGGACGAACGTGCCTCAAACGCTCATGATCGTGAGTTTCGTCAGCTCCTGGCTCGTCTTGCGCATTCTCCTTTCTTCCCTCGCTTCTTTGGTACGGACACTGCTGACCATCTTCGCGCACGCAGGGCGACACGAACAACCACCTCTTCGGCCGCACTCACAACCCGCACCACCGCAAGCTCAGTCCCGGCGGCAGCAGCGGCGGCGAAGGCGCCCTCATCGCTATGAAGGGATCCATCATTGGCGTCGGCACCGACATTGGAGGATCCGTACGCATCCCGTCGGCAATGTGCGGTCTTCACACCATCCGACCGACAACCCGTCGCGTTCCGTACGGCCACGCAACGAACAGTCTGGTGCGCTTTCGACTTCGCCTGCTCAACCGTCAGCTGAGACCTGACCTTTGCGTGGACAGCTGGGCCAAGAGTCCGTGCTCTCCGTCGCAGGACCGATGGCTCGCTCGCTTTCGAGTTGTACCTACTTCCTCCGCTCGCTCTTCAACCTCAACCCGTCGAACTACGACGCGACTTCCCTCCCCTTCGCCTTCAACGACGCAGCCTATGCCGCTAGCCAGAAGCGCGGCAAGCTCGCCTTCGGCATCATCCGCACCGACCACAACGTCACGCCGACCCCGCCTATCAAGCGCGCGCTCGAAACGGCCGCCAAGAAGCTTGTTGACGCAGGCCACGAGGTCATCGAATTCGACTCGACGCTCATCAAGGATGCGTTCGAGCTTTCGAACGACTTCTTCGCCGCTGATGGCGGCGAGGACTTCAAGCGCACGCTCGGCACGATCGAAGAGCCGCTCATTCCCGGTCTCTCGCCTACTCCCGAAGGCTTGAAGACGGTCTGGGAACTTTGGCAGCTCAACCGGGCCAAGGAGGAGATGCAGCAGGCTTTCCTCGCGCAATGGCTTGCGACGGCAGGTCAGACGTCGACTGGTCGTCCGATCGATGGCTTGCTCTGCCCGCCTGGTCCCGTCACCGCCGTCCTGCCTGGCAACAATCGCCACGCTGGCTACACTGGGTGAGCCTTCCCTCCTTGTTCGCGCTTCCGTCTCGTTCGTCCGCTCGTGCTGATAACTCCTCTCCACAGCATGTTCAACCTCCTCGACGTCCCGGCTCTTTGCTTCCCCGTCACCAAGGTCGACCCTTCTGTTGACCAGCCCGACCCGAACTTCAAGGCGCTCGACGAGGAAGACCAGCGCTTCCACGACGAATGTGCGTTCCCTCGCGCCGTGTCCAGCACTTCGGCTCCTCGCTAACTCTGCGGCATCTTCAGACGATGCGCAGCTTACGGCGGGCGTGCCCGCCGGCGTTCAACTCATCGGACGTCGCTGGCAAGACGAGGAGCTGCTCGGCTTGGGCGAAATCGTCTCCGACATTATCGGCAGCAAGCACTGGGCCGCCTAGACGTCTCGCAAGTATTTATTGACTCGTTCTGCAGTACTTATCAGCGAGTCGCTACATCCGGTCTGCGGTTGAAGGCCCGCCGGCCGTCGCTTTAAGCAAGTCGACAGTCACTTGCCTTTACCTGCTCGCTCTCTCAGCACATACGACGCTTTCTTGGCACTCCGAAACGTCGGGAACGGGAGGAGTGGAGCGCGGAAGGAATGTTGCGCGTTGGAGGGAGGTAGTGAGTGTCGAGCGAGCCTTTCCCCGTCGTTCATCGGCTGGCTCGCGTTGCGGCGCATCCCGACTAAGTCACGAGGCGGCGATTGGGTGAACGAACGGTGGTTGCGGCGGATACGCTGAGCATTGCGTTGCGGAGGAATTGTGCCGCTTCGCTGCCGAGACGCCGGCTTCGACCAGCCGTCGGTTGGGCGTTCTCCCGCTCCCACTCTACGAGCTGCCATATGCAGCTTGCAGCATGATACACTCCGCGCTCCGCAAATGCGGGTGTGGCGCTGATAGACGCTCGAGTCCTACTGCTTTCTCGACCGCTCTCTGCTTCTCCCCAGACCCTTCCGCACGACAATGGCTATCAAGACTTCACCTTACCATCAGACGCTCCCGCACCTGACGAAGGACAATTGGCGCGAGCACGCCGCCGACAAAAGAGCTCGTCAAGCGGCGCTTATTCCGCAGGAATGGAGGCTGTCGCCCGAGGCGCTGGACACTGCTGGCGACGACGTAACGGAGGTTCCGAGGACTTGCGGTATTCTGTCAGAGCGTGAACTGGAGATCACGGAGCTCGACGAGGTCAAGGAGGTGCGCGCCTTTCCCTTTGCCAGCTTGGCGAGGGAGTTGCTGACGACATTCTCCGCTACACAGCTCGCCAAGCGCATCGCCGAAAAGACGTACACTTCCGTCGAAGTTGCTACTGCCTTCAGCAAGCGCGCTGCCATCGCCCAGCAGCTCACGAACTGTGCGTCTCCGTTGAACCCTGTTTGCGGCTCTCGCTAACGCTTCCCTGAGGGTATCAGGCTTGACCGAGATCTTCTTTAAGGAGGCTCTTGAGCAGGCGAAAGAGTTGGACGAGATCCTCGAGAAGACGGGCAAGCCTGTTGGACCTTTGCGTGCGCTCCCCTCCTCCGACTGTCTCGGCCGAACGAGCTTCTGATGCATTCCGCTTCTTCAGACGGCGTTCCTGTCTCTCTGAAGGACCAGTTCGACGTCGCCGGTGCCGAGTCGACGATGGGCTACTGCTCCTACCTCGGTCGGATCTCGACCCACGACAGCGCGCTGGTCCGCTTGCTCCGCGACGCAGGCGCAGTCTTCCACTGTCGAACCAACATCCCGCAGACGCTCATGATTGGCGACGTCTTCAACCACCTCTTCGGGCGTTGCTGCAATCCGCGCAATCGCAAGCTCATTCCCGGCGGCAGCAGCGGCGGCGAGGGCGCGCTCATCGCCATGAAGGGCTCCATCGTCGGTGTTGGAACCGATGTCGGTGGCTCAGTTCGCATTCCGTCAGCGATGTGCGGTCTCCACACAATCCGCCCGACGACCCGCAGGCTGCTTTACGCTGGCGCGACAACAAGCCTTGTAGGTACCTCTCCTTCTCTCAAAAACCTGTCCACTTTGCTGACACGCTTTCGCCACAGATCGGACAGTAAGCGGTCGTCTGCGTTGCGGGACCGATGGCTCGCTCCCTTTCCAGCTGCGCTTACTTCCTCCGCACTGTGCTCAACCTCAACCCCGCCAACTACGACCCCACGCCTCTTCCCTATCCCTTCAACGACGCTGCGTACACGTCGACTGCGAATCGCGGCAAGCTCGCCTTCGGCATCATCCGCACCGACCACAACGTCACGCCAACTCCGCCTATCAAGCGAGCGGTCGATTTGGCTGCGCAGAAGCTCGTCGAAGCCGGTCACGAGGTCATTGAATTCGACTCGGTCTTGCTCAAGGACGCTTTCCAGCTGGCGAACGACATTTTCGGTGCCGACGGCGGCGAGGACTTCAAGCGTGCTTTGGACCCGATCGGCGAGCCGCTCATTCCCGGCATCTCGCCGACTCAGAACAGTCTCAAGACGGTGTCCGAGTTCTGGCAGCTCAACTACGCCAAGGAGCTCGTCCAGCAAGGTTTCCTCGCTCAATGGCTCGCGACGGTCGACCAGACTTCCACTGGTCGACCGATTGACGGGCTGCTGTGCCCTCCTGCGCCTGTGACCGCTGTTCTGCCGGGCGGGAATCGCCACGCTGGCTACACAGGGTCAGTCCGCGCCTTTGCCCACCCACCTTCTCTCACGCTTGAGTCTGACGGCCTCCCCGCCCCACAGCATGTTCAACCTCCTCGACGTACCTGTGCTCTGCTTTCCCGTCACCAAGGTCGACCCGGCTGTCGACCTGCCCGACCCAAACTTCAAGCCGCTGAACCCGGAGGACCAACGCTTCCACGACGAGTGTGCGCTCCCTCGGTCTTCTGTCGCGCTTGATTCTTGCTGACTGGTTGCCGTCTGCAGACGATGCGCAGCTGACGGCTGGCATGCCTGTCGGCATTCAGCTTGTCGGTCGACGTTGGCAGGACGAGGAACTTCTCGGTTTGGGCGAAGTCGTCGCAGGGATCCTTGGCAGCAAGGACTGGGCGGCATGAAGCAGAGCCGTAGTGCGCGCAAAGTCAGTGCAAAGAATCCGTATCCACTCTCAGGCGTATCTTACGGCAGGCGCGCGAGCGAAGCGCTTTCGCATGAGATTAGGAAGGTCGAATAAGTAAGTGGCTGCTTTCCGTCTGAACGCGGCGTACACTAGATACATTTCCCACGCCGTGACAACAGTGAGCATGATGCCCGGCGCACTAGGGGTGATGGACTTGATGAGCACCCATAAGCGTCGAGTCCGCTCCTTCTCCGACAACTCCTCCTTCATTCTCCACAATTGCTTCTCCGTGCGAATCGCGAACGCCTTTCGGCTGCTTCTCGTCGCAGAAGTCGTCTGCGAGGCCGAGGAGGACGTTGAAGGCTTTGATGGCAATGAGGAGAGCGGCGGGGGCCACGGCTGGATCATGTTTGTCCTGAGCGACGTCTTCATGAGCCGGAGCATCGTTGCAGGCTGGAGATTCTTGTCGCCGTTGACGAGCTCGGGAGAAGACGGCGAAAGGTCTGTCAGAGGGAAGCGAGGGAAAAGTCAAGACGAGATCTTCCTCGTCGGGCGCCGGTCGTGAGGGCATGGCAAGCTCGGGAGCGAGTAGCAGAGCACGATTCAGCCATAATGAACCTGAGACGGCGCAACAGCGAACAAGCAGCGGGAGGAGAATAGGAAGGCCGACGAGGCAGCGGCTCGCCATCAGCCTACGGCGCATGTACCTGACGAGTTTGCAGTCGGTGCTGCGTCATGGAGCGAGACAAGTCAAAGCCCCACCACTCAGCAGAGCCACTGCTGAAACGCGGCGAGCAGGAAAGCGAAGCGCGTATTAGTCGAAGAGAGCGTCGAACTACTGCTGGGTCACGGCAAGGGCGAGCCGCGTGGCGGATGCAGGCAAGCACGGCAGCCGAGTGGAAGGCGGCGTCCGCCCGAGAGAAACGCATTGTGCATCGCATGGCAGAGAGGGACGAGGTCGGCTTCCTCGAGGAAAGTCGCCGGCGAGGGTTCGGTCGCAGAAGGTTCCGCCGGTGCTTCCAGCGAAAGAAAGAGCGCGCGGGTTCGTCGTGTTCCTTCAAGGGTTCGGCCGAGTCGTGTGAGAGCGACGAGGAAGAACAGCGTTTCGCTTCGTTTCGCGATCTGAGCAGACAGCAGCGAGAGGTGCGCGCCTGCCGTCTGTACTCTCGAGAACTCGGCAAAGTGCGATGAAGGGGCAGGCGAGATGCCGCCGGTGAAAGGAGGGTAAGATTCGAAAGACACGACTGTGCGACACAACAGAAAGAGAGTGAAACTGCGCGTAGAATGTGTGAAGGGAAGGGAACCTATCGAACAACCTAGCGTACAGCTGTGACACCTCACACAGCGAGGACAGCCGGCGCGGCCAGCGACGCCTGCTGTCCATGCTCATTCTGCGCAGCCGACCTCCCGCTCCTCGCCTTCAAACTCACAATCGCCTTTGCCCTGATGCGCGCCGAAAAATTTGTCGCCTCGAAGTCGGTGGGCGGACCGCGAGGCTGGCGAGTCGCAGTCGCGGTGCCGGGAACGGGAGGCGGAACGGCGCGGGTGTTGGAGAAGTAGGCGGTCGGAGGAGACGGCGGGGAAGGCGCGAAGGCGGGTGCGCGAGGCGAGAGCTGCGCTGCGTTCGATGCGGCGGCAGCTGCAGCGCGCGAGGGGGAAGAGGTGGCCGAATCGCTGACGGAGCGGTTCGAGTTCCGAGGGGAAGGGTGACGAGGGCCGGCATTGAGCGACTGGTCGGCCGAGTGGGCGGGACGGAGACGGCGCTCCGTAGCCGATGAGAGCGTATTGGTGAGCGTGTCGAGGTGCGAACGACGCCGAGACGCCTTGGCCTCCTTCGAAGCCTGCTTGCCCTGCGACTGTTGCTGCTGCTGGTTGGAGCGTCCTCCATTCTGCTTCGCGCCCCTCGCCTGCGACTGTCCATACGGCGTCGACGGCCTCGTCTCGCCGCTCTCCGACCCAGACGAGGTGTCGGGGTACGGCTCGCCCGGCGCAGACAAGATGACGGCGGGCGGCGTCGGGGTCGAGCGGTTCGAAACAGGCGGCGTCGAGCGGTGCTCGCGAGGCTGGTGCTCTTGGCCCGAGACGCGGCGCTGCTGCTCCTGGCGCTGCCTGCGCGCGAGAGCCGACGCAACTAGCGGGTTCTGCGCCTGCGCCTGCGCCTGGACGAGGTGCGGCGCCGTCGCATACTGGGCGTGCGCCTGCTGCTGCTGTTGCTGCTGCTGGTAGGCGTACTGCGAGCCCGCACGAGGTCCAGCCGAATACGGCGCCTGAGCAGGGTACGTGAACGGCTGAGGCTGCTGCTGCTGAGCGGCGAGCAAGCGGTACGTAGCCTCTCGCTCCATCTGCTGCTGAACAATGATCTGGTGCTGGATCGTCGCCTGGAGCTCATTCATGTAGGCAGACTGGGCGTGCTGGAAGTCGACGAGGGCATGGGCTGCCTGCGGGTTCTGGTACCCGCGCGCCTGGCTCGCATGACCGCCGTACGAGCCTGCCTGACCATACTGCTGCTGATTTTGGGGAAGAGGTGCCGAACGAAGCGAGGCGAGGAGCTGGGCGCGGTGCGCCGGGTTCGAGGTGTGTTGGGACGACTGAGGACCGAGGGAAAGGGGCTCGGGACGGTGGCGCGGAGCGTGCATGTGTGCCATCGTGTGTAGGGTGGTTTTGCTGGGTCTGCGAGTGTAAACGGCTGCGGAAGTCGCGTCGACAACGGTCAGCCCAAAACGCGGGGAGAGGGTGGCGACGAGCTGTCGAGCTCGACTCACGGGAGTCGGATGGCTACAGTGTGCGAGTGTTGCGAGTGCGTGGGGCTTGTCGAGACCTGCTCGAGCGTGCTGGATGGGTCGTTAAGGTGAAAGAGGCCGGGACGGGAAAGTTGCGACGAGCGAGCTGTGCGGGCGGGTATTCGGCGGCGGCGGCGGTCGCTGGCGGTTGCTGGTGGTCGTCAAGGGTCGAGCAGTGGTATCGAAGAGAGAAGGAACGAAGCAGGCGGTACGGAGAGAGAGGGAGAGCGAAGCGGGTGAGGAGGACGAGGACAACCCGCGGTGTTGCCGTCCCGCTCAACCTCGTCCTCCGCTGTTCTCGCTGTTGACAGATTCCTGGCGATGCTGTACAGGCTGGATCTGCTTTGAGGTCCCTGTACCAGCCAGGCGAGCCTTTGCGGTCGACATTCGCGTCCTTCCCGTCGTCTCGCGATAGTACTCTCTCGTCTGCTACGACGAAGGACTGCCAGAGTATGGAACTACTACGCGGGTGCGCGCTCGGCTTGGAGGAGGCAGAGGCGAACTGCGGGTGACCCACCAATACTCTCCAGAAGCGTAATGACCTTCCCTTTTCCTCCTCGTCGCACACTGCGTGTACTGACGCTTTCCCTCGACACGCAGAGTCTCGAAGAACGTGCTCTATCGCTAGCTATTCCCCAGAAGCGCCAGAACCAGCTCAAGGAGCGACTCGAATGCTTCTCCTGTCTCTCAGCTCGACTTTGCGGCATTCAGCCCTGCTCTCAGCCTTTTGCTTGAGTTGGTCTCAGAACGGCTGAGCGCATCGACGACAGCATGCTTTCGCGTGTCGAAGCATCTTCAGAACCGAGGACTTGCGTCGAGCATGTAACCTTTTCTCCAGCGCCGCTTTCCTTTCTCTCCTGCTCGTACCGCCAGACAAGACAGGACAGCGGACGATCCTCGGCCGCCCTTCATCCTCCTCCCCAGCTTTCGTCCCTGCGAGCGCACCGAACCGACCCCGACTTCTCCTCGCCCTCCTCGATCCGCCCTAACCTTGTTTCCGCATTAACGTTGCCTTGTCTCTCGCTCGACTGCCGAGCTGAGCGAGCGATGCGCCAGCGTGAAAGAGCATGCATCGCGGATACTGGAGATGTGTGGCGGTCGTTCGCGGAAGAGCAGGCGAAAGGCGGGAGGTGAGCTCGAGGCGAAGAGAGGCCGTTTGCTAGACCTTAGTCTCTCGCTAGGCTTCTGGCTCGCTGTAGTCTGTATCTTACAGAATCTCTACGATGCGAGTGAACCTCTGGCCAACCCGAGGGAGGGGACGACGCGACGAGCAGGACGCGAAGTCGCTTCAAATTCACCTTCGAGGCGGTCCTAACGCCTCCTCCAGCGCAATTGCCGGCACTTCACACCTTACGGGCCTCTTACACGCGGCTATCAACGAGCAGCGCAGTACCGTTTCGCCCTGCCACCGCCAAACGGCCTCGACAACCTCGCAGCTCGTCCGCAACTCGACATCTTCGCCACCTCCTCGACCGATCTGCCTACGCTGCCCCTAGTCCACAGCGCGCGCCACCGAAGTACATCAAGGCGACTCGTCGAAGGCCAAGTCGACGGGCTGAGGCGAGGACAGCGTTGGCCTGGGTTTGGGAAGGTGGTCGTGTCGAGCTCATCGTCGGAGAAGAGCAGCGTCGGGGTCCGCTTCAGGCGCTTCTGGGTCGCGTGATGGCCAGGGTCGGAGGCTGCGAGTGCGTCGGACTCGGAGAGAGGATGAGACGAGGAGAGGAGAAGAGGGAAGAGCGTCGGCTCGTCGCGTCTCGCGCTGCGGCCTCGCTCGCCATCTCGCCCGCCTCGTCGCCTCCTCCTCGCTGTCCTCCTTCAGCTGAAGGACGGACGAAGCCTGCAACTCGCCAGGAGCCAGTCTGCCTGTCCTCGTCCTCGTCCCGCTCCTCGTCTCGCAGCTCTCACCTCACGCACCCGCCGATCCCGACAGGATCGACACAAGGCACTCATTCCACGCTGGGGAACAAGCGATGCTCAACTCTAATTCGCTACACGTAACGAGACGGGATGAGGCAAATGCGAGGGAAAACAGAGAATCCATCCTCGAGGCTAAGGACGGGGGTATGATGCAAAGAGGTTTGGGAGGCCTTACGGAGCGCATGTATGTGCATGAGAGAGGGGGATGAGAGGAGAGAGGAGCGGTTCGGTGCGGTGGTGGTTGGCGCGGTTTGACGCGGACGAAGGGCAAGACAACAGGATACCGAGAATGGGAGAGCCTTGATACGGCAATGGCGCTACGAAGCGAGACGAGGGTACGGAAAGGGCGAGGAGGCAGGGGCGGAGAGTTTGCGTGGGGTGAGAGTGGAAACGGCCGGAGGAGCGGAAACAGCGTTTGGCGTCGCTCGCGCGCTGGAAGGGGTCGACTTAGGCCCTTATTGCCGCTGCTTTTTCGCCGCCGGCTCGCCGTTCTCTTCGGCAGGAGCGTCGAATGCACGCCGACCGCCGAAGGAGGGTGGTCCGCCAGCCGGGTTGAGCAGGGCAGACAAGGGCGGCAGGGAGGTCGTCTTGCCGAGCGCCTTGTCGTGTGCTGGAGCGGCGGCGGTAGAAGGCGGAGGGTGCGCGGACGAGGAGGACGACGTCGGCGGGTTGAGCGCACCCCAGCTCATTCGAGGCGAGGGGTACGACGTCGCCTGCTCAGTCGCGGCGTGTGGCGCTCGTCCGGCGTCGGGCTGAGGCTGAGGCTGAGGAGGATAGGGAGCCGATTCGGCGGGATGGTGAGGGTGCGTAGGAGCAGCGGGGTCGGGCCTAGAGTCGGGTCGAGACGTGCGAGTGTACGACTCGACGGCTGGAACGCGGTTGTAGTAGAACTGCGAGGCGCTGGTCGAGGGTCGAGGCGTTGGGAACGGGTAGGTGCCGTTGCTGGGCGGCCAGGACGAGCCGGACGAGGCGTAGCCGAACGGGTTCGGGTTCTGCGTGCTGGGCGAGACGTCGGCATTGAGCTTCGAAACGGCGTAAGCGACCGCTTGGACTGCGAGGGCAAAGTCAGTCTCGACGGCCGAGAGAGGAGCCCAAGGCGGGACTCACGCTCCTCTGCTCGTCGACCGTCCGGGTCCAGACTCGCCACAACTCCGATGAGCGACTGCAGCGCATCGTAAGACATCGCCCTCGCGGCCGCCGACTCCTGCTGCGTATAATGCAACGCGTCCGCGAGCGACCGAACCTGTCCCTCGAGGTAGTGGACCTGTCGCGCGAGTTGGTCGTCGCCATAGGGGTAGCGGTAGGTCGAGTAGGAGGCCGGGAGGGGGTACGGGCGAGTGCCCGGCGAGTATGAGGGCTGAGGTTGCGTGTAGTGGTTCATATGCGAGGGGTGAGGGGCGGGATGGCGCGAGTTGGGCGGAGAGTGCTGCGTCGAGGCTGGTCGTTCTGCGTGCACGGATCATCAGTACCGTGCGCGACGACGTGGCGAGAGGCAAACTCACCACCATTCTCCTCCTTGAGCCGAATCGCAGGCTGCACCTCGCCATTGTAAGGCGCAAACTCGGCCAATCCCGCCGCAACCCGCTTCGGCACCGTGACATAGTCCTCCCTCGTCGGTCCACCGGGCACGTTAGGCGTGCTCGCCGCGCTTCCCGCATACCCAGCGGTCGAGGACGCCGCGTCGCCCGTCCGGTCCTCCTGCAACGCCTGAGCCGCTGCCGCTGCGCCATCCACCAGCCCACCCAAATCGCGCTTCGACGCACGAGACGGCGCAGTAGCAGCGACGTTGACAGAGACGGATCCTCGTCGTCTTGCTGCGGCAGGACTGTTCGCGGCGCTGGATTTGGCCGTCTTGCGCTTGATGCGCGCGAGGAGGTCCGGTCGGCCGCGCTGGAAGGAGGGGTTGCGGAACTCCCACGCTTGGCCTTGCGAGCCGTCGGGGTTGGTGAAGTGGTTCGAGGAGCTGAGGGCGTCGTTGACCCTGTGGGTCGGCGAAACGGTCAATTTCGGCTCGAACAGCTGGCGAAAGGAGCGAAGTAAACGCACTTGGACCAGTTGTAGAAGTTGCACTAGAAGCGGGAGCGAGAGCAGGACGCATGTCAGCCCAACCCCTCGAGGCTCGCGCCAGACTACTTGAGCGGTACGAAACGCCCGCTGACGCACCTGCCGCAAGAAGCTCGAAAAGTTGCTATGCTTGAAGTACCTCGGGAGGACCTCGCGCGCAAACTCGGAGGGGTTGAAGACGAGGAACGATTTGCCGTCTTCGCTCCAGGCGATGTATTTCCGCAGCGAAGGGTCTTCGAGCATGCTGCGTGCGTGGATTGCGTCAGTACGGTGGAGGTAGCCTAAAGGCGGTGGGGCGAGGAATGGAGCGCGAACTCACGCCCAAACCCTGCGAGGAGGGAAAAGAAGGACGGGTCAGTCAGCGAGCGATTCGCGAGGGAACTCGGCAGCGAGCAAACGCACTTGTGCACGAACGACGCTTGCGACTTGCCGCCCGTCGCTACAGGCGCGGAGAAGCCGCGTCCGTGGTCATCTTCGACAGCCGGTGTCGCCGCGACGGTCCCAGGCTCGGAACCCCTCGCTCCTCCGCCCTCGCTCTCCGTGCCATCCTCTCCTTCGTCGTCGAGCTCATCCTGGTCGACCTCGTCGTCGTCCTGCTCGCGATCGGCTGGGTCGTTCTCGGGCGATCCGGGGTTGCGTCCAGAGTCGAATCGGTCGGCTCCTCCTCCTCCTCCTCCTCCTCCTCCTGTTGCCGCCGCTGCTGCTGCTGCCTGAGCGCGCGATGCAGTCCGCGCTCGAGAGTCGTCTGCGGCCATGCGAGCACGAGGACGAGGTGCGAGGTGGGTTCCGGTTCGGCGATGAGGACGCGGTTTGGAACTCTTGCGCTCCTGGCACCGACGCGGTGGGGCTGAGGCAGCGAGTCTGTCGATCCTGCACGTACTAGTGTGCACCCAAGGGAGTCCGTAATGCGCGGCGAGAACGAAGCGGAGCGCGGCGAGAGGAGCCAGCGAACGATGCGAGAGAGCGGAGGCGGGAACGAGCGACTGGGTTTGGGCTGGGCTGAGGGCGCGAGAGAAGCGGGACGGCGTTACGGGTGGCTGCGGTGTTCGATGCACTCGTGGAAGCAAACAGGATGCGCACGGCGGCAGGGGGGGTGCGAGCGCGGCGAGGTCTGTGGTCGACTGGCGGAGACGGCGCAAGGGGGTGAGATGCCGAGGGCGCGAGGTGCGAAGCGGGCGACGAGGCGAGTCGAGTGCGAAGGGGTGTGCTGTGTCGTCGAGACCTGGTCCCCGACGTGCTTTTCCCTCGAAGAAGGATCTCGCTTGAAGAAGCGAGACGACGACGACGAGGAGAAGGCGAAGCCGAGAGCACGAAGGGCTTCTCTCGCACGCACGCCTTGCCCTGTGCCCCTTTGCCCCCCGGGCGCTCAAACGCAGGCACACGCTTACTCGCACCCGGAATGAAAAGCGGAAGCCGCTCGACGTACAACGCCCTCGCCAGGATCGCTCGCCCTTGCAGCGCTCTTTCAGTGTTGTCTCCCATGCACACACGTCTACACTGGATTGACAACCGAGCGCACACCACGATCCCCGCGAGCAGGCGTCTGCAGCGCGCGAAGTTTTCTGCCTTCTGCGCGGACGAGAGTCCCCTTGCGGCGTCGATCCCCCCGCCGGGCGCCGAACGACCCGGGACGTGTGCCTCGTTGCAGCCCGCAGAACCTCCCGCACGCCTTCTCTCCCGCGCATCGTCATCCCTTCACCGCGCTCAAAGGGTCGCGGTGCAGCGAGGACAGCTGACGAGGCGAGGACCTGAGTACGCGACGATGGTGGGTGGAAGTCGCCCGGCGGCGCTCCGATTAATTCTTCGCTAGCGCACCACGACCAAAGGGTTCCGCAGCGTAACTCCGGCAGCTGCTGCTTCGCTCTTCTAGGGCTGAGGTGGACCAGGCTCCACCGCTCGCGCTTAGGTATCTGGCTCGACTTCGACCGGTCGAACGAACGCCCTTCAACGTCGAGACGAACCCTTCGCGCAAAGAGCGCATCATTCGTCGGGGACGAGCAGCCCGTAGGCTCGGCTCGGTTCCGCTGGCGAGCGAAAAAGAAATTGGTGGCTCCTACGCGGATGGCGACGCTAAGTTAAGTTACTGTCGCGAGAGCAACCTTGGCGCAGGAAGCGGCGTCGTCAAGCGAGCGAGGAAGAGGCAAGGCGGATGCGGACGCGGCTGCGGTTCGTTGCTCGCGTGGCGAAGAACACTTCTACGCATCGCTGGCGATTCGCTGTTCTTTTCGCCGCTCGTTCTTTGTGCGAAGGGCGCGGCGAGGGCAAGGGAAGAAGCAAAATCGAAGAAGATTTCAGCGCCTGCTTCTCGCAGAACTTCTCGAGGAGACGACGAGCGAATCGGAGCGTCGCCGATTCACCTCGTAACTTAGCCAGAGCTTCTCGCACGATTCGCGTTGCTGGCAGGATTGTTCGTTCGGTGTTCCTCCGCTTCCGTTCTCCGGGCGGACTTCGCTCCATCAGATGCTGCTTCTTCCCGCTCCTTGCTCGTGTACAAACAAACGCAAGAGTATCGCGCTCGTCGACCGAGAAGGGCAGCGTAATCTCGAGCACAGAAGCAGCGCCAGATCCGATCTGTTCGCCTGCTCCTCCTCGCAGGGTTTCGTACTGCTCCAGCTGCGGCTTGTGGCTTCCGCGCTGGAGGATCTTCGTCTGTTGTTCGTGGAACAGGGTGATCTCCATAGCGCTGGAGCCGAGGAGCGAGGCAAGAGTGAGGAGAGAGGAGTGAAGGAACAGGAGGCGAAAGAGGAGGAGGAGCGAAGCTGCCGCCTGATCACCGTCGTGAGCACCCCCCTTCACCCGAATGAACACAGACAAGCGCAGGCAAAAGGAGCGACAGGTAAGCAAGTCCGAGCGAGCAAGAGCGCCGGAAAACGCAGTTGGGAAGGTCCCCTCCCTCGTCATTTCGTGTATGAAAGCTGTGGATGCATTGCGAGAAGCGTGGAGGGTATCTGCCGGATCGAAGCGGGTGGGGTATGCGAGAGTCGTGGGTCGGTGTGAGGTATGCGATGCGGTAGGAGGGTCGAGGGTCAAGCGAGGTGTAGGTGTACGCGTATGTACAGGCGAAGCGTTCGACTGTCTCGAAAGGGATGTACAGGAAGGGGGCGAAAACAAGCGCGGGCTTTAGTCGAGGTTGAGGCGGTGCTCGTCGAGGTCGAGCGGGATGAAGGTCTCGAGGTCGACGTCTTGTTCGACGAGGAGCGCTTGTCTCGCGTGTGGCGGGACGAGGATCGTATTCAGGTCGGGGCGGATGGACAGTTCTGCGCAACGAGTTGGTCAGCTTTTCGACAGAGGTCGAGGGAAGGAAAGGCGGAACGCACCAAACCTCGAAAAGTCAAACAATCCGACCGTGACACATTTTCCATTCGGCATCTGCACGCCCCACGAGCCGTTCGACTCGCGCGTGTTGCCGCGGCGGAGGTCGTCGAAAAAGTTGTGCGCCATCGCTTCGACTGCGGTGAGCCGGCGGGAGGGGTCGTAGAGGAGTAGCGAGCCGAGGAGGTCGATGGCGGCGGCAGAGGCGCGAGGAAGGATCTGCGGATTGAGGTCAGCCGACGTCGAAGCAGAACGAGCGGACTCGCGACCCACCTGCTCGAGCGGGACGGCCTGAACTTGCGGGAAGTTGTGCTCGGTGTAATGAGCGTTCATCGCCTTCACGTGCTCGCGAGTGGGCGTTCCGAGCACCTTGACGATCTCGACGAGCTGGTCGATGCTGCTCTCGCCAGGGAAGAAGACGCTGCCGCATAGCAGCTCGCCGAGGACGCAGCCGGCCGACCAGACGTCGATGCTGTCTGCGGAGTGAGGCGGAGTCAGGAGCTGATCAGTTGAGAGAGGAGCAGCCATGCGCACCGTTGTACCTCGTCGAGCCGAAGATGAGCTCCGGCGCGCGGTAGTATCGCGAGCAAGCGTAGCTGACGTTCTCGGCGCCCTCGCGCAAGACCTTCGCCGAGCCAAAATCGATCAAGACGAGGCGGCCGCTGTCGGCGTCGACGAGGACGTTGTGAGGCTTGATGTCGCGGTGGCAGACGCCCACGGCGTGAAGGTAGGCGAGCGCCCGGAGGAGCTGGTACATGTAGAGCTTGGTCGAAACTTCGGGGAAGTACTGCCGCCTCTTGGTGTACGTGCGGTACGCGCGATAGAGCGTCTCGGGCTGTGCGTGGGAGAGCAGTCAGGCTACGGCTCATTCTCCGCTCAAAAACGTAGCCCGAGTCGCGCAAGGCGGGTCGGACAGAATGCTTCGTCTGGAAGCCGCAGCAACTCAGGCAAGCTCGTGAAAGACGAACGCACCAGGAATTCGAGGACGAGGTTGAGCACAACGATCGAGTCGCCTTCGTCTTGGGCCGACTCGTACCAGTAGAAGAGCATCTTGACGATGTTGGGATGGCTTACTGCGGACATAATCTGCAGCTCGCGGTTCTGCGTGTGAATATTGTCAGCCGTGCGTCAAGCACGAAACCAGAGAGCGGAACTGACTTTGAACCGCTTGTCCTGCCGAGTCCGCTTGAACGCCACGACGCCGTGTCCGCCTCTCACCAGCTCGCCGCGGAAGACGACACTGAAGGATCCATGACCCGCCGCCGCGGTGTGCACGAAGGCCAGCTCGACTTGCTTGTTGGTCGCGGCATCTGTCGCAACGACGCGGTACACGCGGGTGTCGTCGATCCCTGGAGGTGCAAAGGGCCGGTTTGACGTCCGTTCAGCTGCGACCGAGACGTTCCGGGACCACGAAGCGAGACTTACCCGCCGCCTCTTTGGCCATCCTCGCCGACGCCCGCTCCGAGCCTTTCCTGACCCGCTCGGCCCCTCCGCCGATAGCGTGCTCCGTCGCCTGCTTCGGCGGTGCCGGAAGACCCTTCAGCAGCGTTGATGCGAGGTCGACCCGACAGGTGCGCTAACGCGCCGCCCCCGTCGTCCTGCGGCTGCAGACAAGGTCGGAGGCGGTGGCACGTCTCCCGCCGCGTGCTGCCGGCGCTGGCCGAGGTTCGTCGTCGTCGGCGGCGAAGATGGTGGCGAGTCGAGGGGGAGTGACGATGAGGAAAGGCGGCGGGAGCGAGGGAAGAGGGCGCTGATGAACTGGAGCGGCGAACAGGGACCCAGCGTGGCGTCACGGAGTGGATGTCGACCGTAGCAGGTGCGAGAGCGGCAGCCGAGCGGAGAGCGTGCGAGGAAGAGGACAAGGAGGAAGGGAAGCTGTGGAAGAGGAGGTCGAATACGTCCAGGAGAATCCGCGGACCCTGCGAGGAGCGGACAGAAGCTTCAAGACGCAGGACAACGCAGCAGAGAGGCGCAAGCCATGAATGAAGCTCTCTCGATAGCTGCGGACCTTCGCAGGAATCAGATAAATACCTCGAGCGGACCCTTCCTCCTCATCTCGATGACGCTGCTGCCGCTGCCGCCCTCAACCTGGCCCTCAAAGCTTCGTGCCGTCCTCGCACGTCTGCGCCACCCTCGCTCCTGGTCGATTTGCCTTCCCGGCCGACGCTCGCCGCGTCTTCCTCGTCCGAGTCGTCGTAGTTGCCGGACACGCGACTTGCGAAGAGCGATGCACCGCCAGACGGTGCTGAGCGAGAGCTGAGCACGCTTACGATCGAGCGTCGTCGTTCTCGCTTGCCTGCGTCCGGTTGTCGTGGAGGCGCCGGCTTGTTGACAGCGATCTCGGCAGACAAGCGGCGGCGAGACGCCGCGGACGTAAAGGCAGACGTCGAAGCCGTCTGCGGGCGGGCGGACACGGAGGGTGCTGGATAGGGCGAAGCTCCGGCAGACGAAGCGGGGGTCGCAAGTGCCGGACGATAGCTCGTCGCAGCCGTCGATGCCGACGCAGCCGATGTGCCCCATAAGGAGCGAGAAGGTGTGCTGGAGAGAGTGGATGAGGTGTTTGAGGAAGCACGAGCCGGAGAGGGGCGAGCTGGCGAGGCGAGAGGTGACGAGGCGGCACTTGGGGAAGAGCCGAGGCGCAGGCGGCCGCTGCAAGAGTTACCGAGTCGTCAGCTCGCCTGCAAATGCATGAAGAGCGGAACCCTGAGGACCTGTATGACCGCAAAGCCTTCTTCGCGCCCGTCTTGATCTTCCAGACCTGGAAGGCTCCGCCTGCGAGAATCGGAACTCAGCGCGCCCTACGACTGAGAAGAAGGCGATACTCACCGATAACGGACCCCTCGTCCGCCTCGATAGCCCGCCTCGTGAGGTCTGCGGGCGGCGTCCATGCTTGCCAGGCGAGAAGAGCATGCGAGGCGAGGAGGCGGTTGTAAAGCTGTATCGCCGCGACGGTCTGTACACCGAGATCAATCAGGATGGACGTCAGCATGCATAAGCGGTGAGCGCTTCAACGCCGAAGCGAGCGAGACCTTCAGCGTACCTTCGTCCGGCTCTTCCATTGCGCCCATGCCTCTCCCCGTTCCCGCTGCGCTCTCCGTCGCTGGACCTGCTCCTCTGAGCGCCGCAAAGACCCTTCGCGCCAACAGTCGAAGGCAGCTTCGAGAGTCTTGCGCCTTCGTGAGGTGTCGAAGCGGTCGAGCCGTACGCGCAGCGCGGCGGATCGGCGGGAGGATGACAGCCAGGCGTGGAAGAGGCGATCGCGGAGTTCTGCAAAGCCATCGTGAGATAGAGTTGAAGGGAAAGGGATTTATGCGGCACACCTTCGAGCTTGACGCTGCGGAACGAGGCTGCCCGCAGGATCCGTTCTTCCGCCTTGACCGTCTGCTGCGCCCAGCGTCGGAAGCCATCGCTGCGTCATCGAAGGTGTCAGTCTGAAAGTGCCTGCAACACCGTCGCCAGCCGCAGACACAACCAAAGGAAACTCACCGGACAAGCTTGCGATCCCGCCAGTCTCGCGCCTCAACCTCGTCCTCCTTCCGCAAGACAACAGCGAGTTTCCATTGCTCCAACGAAGCAGCGAGGAGCCGCTGTCATAAGAAAAAGCCGGTTAGCGATTTGCGAAGATTCCGGGAGATGCGGCGACGGACCTGTCCTTGCTGGCGCTGTAGCTGCGTAACGAGCTCGCGGTCTCGTCGTCGTTGCCGAAGCTGGGTGAGCCAGTCTGATGGGCGCATGCGAAGGAGAGGTCAGCTTCAGGTGCGGAAGAAATGGCTGGGCAGAACTCACAGTCGAGCGTCTCCTTCGCCCGCTTTCGCCTCCGCTCGACCTCCCATGTCGCCCTCTTGCGCTCCCACACTTCCTCACTCCACCTCCTCCAAGCCCGCCTTGTCACAAAGAAGTCCCTTACGACCTCCGCCTTCTTCTCCCTCACCCGCTCCACCTCCCATCGCCTCTTCCACTTCTCCAACCCTCTCGCGACACTCCTCAACCTCGAATACGTCTCCGCAGCCCCCTGTAGCTTCACTCGATGCGCGACCGCACTCCTCCAAACCTCCAACGCAACACCCCCAACTCGCGTATCACGAGTCGCGATCAGTGCGTCCGCGCGCCCCTCGAGCTCGATCTGGACGTGCTCGTAGGCGTCGAGCCAGTGTGAGAGGGAGGTGGAGAGGAGCGAGTCGGCGCGGACGCGGAGAGCGAGGCGAAGGCGGAGCGAGAGGCGCCAGTGGGTTAGTTGGGAGGATGCGCGGCGCGTGAGGAGGGTGTGGGCGTGTGAGGAGGCGAGGGAGGACAGCGAGACGAGGTGGGCGGTTCGGGTGCGCCAGGTTGTGAGGGTTTGGTGGGCGAGATGGCGAGCGTCGTGCGCCGAGGCGACTTGCTCGAGGTGGCGGACGTGGTCTCTACGCTGTCTGCATTCGAGCAGAAGATCAGCGAAGTTGCGATGAGAGTAATCGAGAGTCGCGCACTTCATCTCCCTCCACCACTCCCAGCCCTCCCTGCGCAGCGCTTCCTCCTTCGCACCGACCCACTCCGCCTCCTTGACCCTTAATGCCGTCCGCCTCACCCACCATGCCCACCTCTCCCTCTTCCTCCCATCCTCCGCTTCTGCCCACTTCTCATCCGCCACTTCCTCCATCACCTGCGCGCGATGCCGGACGTCGGCTACCCTCCTAACCCACTTCTCCACCGCCCTCCGCTGCAGACCCGCCCCCAGGACCTTGTCCACCCTCTTCGTCGCGCACCGGATCCTCCATTCCCGCAATGACCGGACCGCAAGTCCGCGATACCGGAAAGAAAGGACCGCATCCCTCGCCTCCCTCAACGCCGCTTCTTTCTCCTTCCTCGCTTCTTCCCTTTCCGCCGCTTGACGAACCTCGAGCCTCGCGAGCCATCGCACCTTCCACGCTGCGAATGCCCCGCCGAGCGCCTTCCTCCGTCCCGTTCTCGAGAGACGCCGCTCGTCCTGCTCCTTCCTCCATTCCTCCGCCTTCCGCGTTCCCTCTCTTACTCGCCCAACCCGCCCGACCCACTGTTCCCACCCACACCGCCTCAACCACCCCTCCCTCCTCGCAACCAACTCCCCCTCCCTCTCTCTCACAAACCGCACTCGGGCCTTCCAGTGCGTCAAAAGCGGCATCAGCAGTCTGAGGCGATCGAACGAGAGAGCGAGGGAGAGCGCTTCGGGCGGTGAGAGGGTTGAGGAGATGAGCATTGAGGAGGATGAGGAGGGTGGGCGGGGAGAGGGAGTGGGAGAGGAGGAGCGAGGGCGTAGGGCGGAGAGGCGGCGGGAGAGGAGGGGGTGGGCGTCGGAGCGGGTAGGTAGGGGAGTCGGTTCGGGCGAGGGAGGAGATGGTGGACGGGCGGAGGGTCGGGGAGTGCTTGTCAGGACTTGGTGGGCGGTTGTGGAGGAAAAGCGACGGCGTCGGGTCGTTTGGTCGGGCGCATCATCGTCTGTCGTCGAGAAAGGTACTCGTTCTGTGCGAGGAGGAAGCGCGAGTCTTGATGCGCGAGCAGTTGGCGGAGTCGGGACTCCCACAAACTGGTCGTCCGAGCTAGAGTACCCTCCCGCCTCCTGCGCCGACCGAACGAGCAGCTGCCTCGGCGGCGTCGACTTGGGTCTCGTGCGTGGTGGGAGCGGACGCGGTGCAGAGTTGTGTGGCTGGGGCGGGTCGAGTGCAACGGTGTCGAGTTTCCGGCGCAAGAGGTCGAGGTTGTCGCTCGGTCTCCTGCGGTGGCCGCGACGGTTTGCGAGGGGCGTCACCGCGTTCTGTCCATCGTCGACCTCGGCCTCTTCCCACTGCCGCTGCACGGCGTCCCACTTGTCATGCCAAGTCGTCCCCTCGACCCAAACCATCCTGAGCCAGACCTCGTACAGCCTCTCTATCTCGTCCGCACTCGCATGCCCGTCCCTCTGGAGTACTCCCTGAGCGTGTGTGAGGTCTGCCCATGTGTGTGCGTCGTGGGCGAGGAGAGCGAGGGTGTGGTTGATGAGGGTTCGCTGGGAGGACGAGAGGGGTGGGAAGGGTTCGAGGGTGGATGACTGGGTCTGCGAGTCGTCCCCTGGGTGTGGTGCCATCCCGTCCAACCCCTTCTAGCTGTGTATAGTACTAGTTAGTGAATGCGACGAGGGAGAGGATTGGGCTCGCGTCGTTGTCGTGTGTCGGCGTGTCGTTGATGAAGTCGGCGTCGAACTCTCGCTCGCTTCCACCTCACACCTGCACTCCCTTTCGTGTGCTCGCAAGGCTACAGACTCGTGCTGGACCCGCGCAGACTCGCCAGACTGAGCGGACCAGCTCCCACGGCCGCTCTCCCTCTCCATCTCGCGCTAGTCTCGACACGGATCGCAGCGACTCGCAGGACCACGCTGGGCACGCCATGTACCGCCAACAGCCCGCAACACGCCCACTGAGCGGCCGACCAACCTTCCCACGGCGCCTCCTCTCCAGACGCGCTCGCCTCCACCCCGTCGTCCTTGTCCCCGTCTTCCTCTGCGGCGCTCTCCTCTCGCCTTTCTTCACGCAGCATCTTGGCGGGACAGGGACGAGCGTCAGCGACTTGGCGAGGCGGAGGGCGCCTGAGCCGGTCTATCGCGCGGAGGACTACCAGTGGAGGAGCGAGGACGTCTTTGCGCCTGCGGATGCGCCGCCGCTCGATGCGTCCGCCGATGACTTTGCCAGCGACTCGGCGCGAGGGACGAGGGCGAAGTTGAAGGCGGCGGGTGAGGAAAGGGTTCTCGCACGGGAAGGACACGGAGACGGAGCAGACGAGTGGGAATGGTGGGAACCTCCCGCTGCGGATCCAGACACACCTGACGACGGCGGACTCGGTTCAGGCGCCGACTTGACCTCGTCGATGTACTACGTCCACTCGGGCCTGCTCTACTTCCGCTCGTCGCCCTCGACCATCCCCGTCTTCGACCTTGCGAAACCGTTCCCCGTAGCGCCCGCACAGCCTCTCATCCGACCCCCTCCGTACCCTTCCCAGCCGGACGAAGGCCTCACACGCGCCCCGCCTCCTCCAAAAGACTGGCTCGCACCAGGCGAGATCTTCGCGCACCCGCCCGGCAAGCGCAAGCACGCTATCCCGCTCAAGAAAGGTCTCGAAGACCTTCACGCGCCTCTCCCTCCCGCTCCGCCGCGAGTGAACCCCTTCGCCGCCGCTCGAGCACCCGAACGACGCGTGAATCCAGCCGTCGCGAATCGCCGCAAAGCTGTTCGAGACGCCGAGGGACACGTATTGGGACCGAACGCGGCGGCAATGGCGCTGGCGAGGAAAGAGGGAAAACCGTTCGTGCCGGGTAAGCCGGCGGAGGTGTTGGAGGAACAGCGGAAGGCGCAGTTGGCGAGGAATAGCGAGAAGGAGAAGCAGAGGCAGCAGAAGGGATTGAGGGAGGGCAGCGGGAAATGGTTCCAAGCGGAACAGCAACAGCCAATACCTGCTGCGGGAGGAGTCCCGGCTCGGCAAGTTGCCGCGCAGCTGGACAACCAGGACGATGAGGAGGAAGACTCGGAGCCTTGGGCAGCCTTTGCGGACGACTCGTCCGACGTCGGCAGCGACTTGGACGACGACGAAGCGCTCCTCGAAGCCGTCCGCCACCTTGATCCGGAGGAACTCTCCCTCCTCTCGTCCGAAGAACGCGCCTTGATCGCCGACCTCCAAGCGAAGCGCGGCATCGCCCCTCCTCCTCCTCCCGCACAGCCGCCTGTTGCACGCCAAGTCGGACGAAAAGATTGGCGCGCGGCAGAGCAGCCTGAGAATGCACGTGCGGCGCAGGAGAAGAGGCTCAATCCCCAGAAGGTGCCGTTGCCTAAGCCGGTATTCAAGGGTGCGAAGGGGATGGAGGAGGACGCAAAGAGGAAGGAACAGCAACTGAAGGCTGCCGCAGAGGCGAAGAAGGGCTGGAAGGTCAGGCGAAAAAGGGATGTCGTCGAGTTGGGCGAACCGGAACAGCAGGACGAGCCGACGCTAGCGGCGGCCGGAGCCTCTCCGACGACCGACACTCGCGACGAGGACTCCACCACATCGGCGCCTACCGCCTCCGCCAATCTCACCCGCCGAGCTGTCTCCTCGACTTCCGCCAACTCTCCTCCCGACCGCCTGCATCCGATCGCCCACCTCATTGAGCGCGCCGAAGCAGAGTGGGACGACATGCTTCGCAAGCAGAGTCAGACGCTCGACCAGGCTGTCGCCGAATACAAGCGTCGGTACCGCATGAACCCGCCGGTCGGGTTCGACAGTTGGTGCGTATAGCCTCGAGTGAGCTTATCCGCAGACGAGCTGACGAGATGCTCTCTCCTGCAGGTGGCGTTACGCGATGCAGAACCACGTCGTCCTCGTTGACGAGTACGACCAAATCTACGACGACATCCTCCCCTTCCTCGCCCTCAAGCCTTCCGAATTTCGCGACCGCGCGCGGTCCCTCCGATCCGACACATCGCTCCCTTGGCACGCTCACTCTTTCTCGCTCGAGGTCAAAGACGGGACGGTCGTCTTCCCGCCTGGCGGGGCGCCGGGTCAAGGCAAGAAGGAGGACATGCTCGAGTTGCTGGCCGACTTTGTCGAGATGCTGCCTGATCTGGACATCCGGCTGAGCAGCGGGGACGAACCGAGCGTCGTCATTAGCGGCGAGGCGAGGCAGAAGCATGAGATGGCGGCTAGGGAGGGCAAGGGTGCGTCTCATCTCGCTCTCTCTCAGGCTCATGGCTCAGAGTGTCGCGACGGTGCTGATGTGATGTTTTGATGTGCGTGCAGTCCTGAGCATTCCGTCGTCCTTCGAGAATTCCGAACCGACCGGCTTCTCGCCCTGGGACTCGCTGTGCCCGCCCAACTCGACCGCGCGTCGCCTCGCTCAGTCTCTTCCAGTCGATGCGCCCGCCAAGCGACCCTCGATGCGCAGTTTTGTATCGATTGAGCACGATCGCACGCTCGATCTCTGCGAGTACCCCGAGGTGCGGGATCTAAACGGCTTCACCTCCTGGTGCGCGCCGCTCTCTTCAGTTCATGATCTTTGCATCGGGCTGACGAATTTACTGGCAGGTCCGGACCGCGACCGCACCTCCCCTACCCTCTCTTCTCCTTCACCAAGACCTCGGTCCACGCCGACCTCCTCGTCCCGTTCATCTCGAATGACTACTTCATCGAGATCGGCCGCGACCCGGTCTGGGAGAGCAAGAAGCACAACAAGGTGCTGTGGCGGGGAGACACGGTGGGAGCGTACCATGCAAAGGGGACGGGCTGGAGGCAGACCCAGCGGCCGAGGCTGGTCAAGCGTGCGTGCTGCTCCCTCTGAGACTATTCGCGCCTCGCGCTAATTGTTCTCTCCCTTCTGTGAACGCCGTCGTCACGCACAGTCGCCAATGAGCGCTCGGGCACGACATCGCTCCACCTCGCCGACCCCAAAGCCGCCGACTCGCTCCGCCTCGTCGACGCCCCGAGCAAAGACGTCTCCGCCTTCTACTTCGACGTCGCCTACTCTGGCCAGCCCGTCCAGTGCAGCTCGAAGGATACGACTTGCAAGATCCTCCAGCACGAGTTCCGCTTCGACAAAGGCTTGACGAACGACGAGGAAAACACGTACAAATACGTCCTCGACGTCGATGCGAACTATGCCAGCGGCAAGTTCAAACGGTTGATGTGAGTAGCACTCGTGTCGCTCGCTTCGCCGGAGCTAACGAAGTCTGGGTTGCAGGAGCTCGCGCTCGCTCGTCTTCAAGTCGACAAGCTTCCCCGAGTGGTGGACGAGGCGCGTTATGCCCGTGCGTTTGCACATTGCCCTCATTCGACGGACTACCTGTACTGACGTTCGTCTTCTCGTCGCTCGCTCCGCAATTCGCAGTGGTACCAGTCAGTCTCACCCTTCGTCTTTTTCATGCTTCCTCGCTGACACTCTACGCTACACAGCTACATCCCCATCCAGCCTGACTATTCAGACCTCATCGATGTCGCCGCCTTCTTCATCGGCGCACCCGACGGAACCGGCTCGCACGACGCCGTCGCCAAGCGCATCGCCGCGCAAGGCAAAAGGTGGAGCGACGAGCACTGGCGAGAAGTCGACATGGCGGCTTACTTGTTCAGGCTTCGTGAGTCCTCAAGCTTATGTTCGATAGGCAGCGCAGCGTGCTGACCTTCCTCATTGCAGTCCTCGAGTACGCCCGCCTCCTCAAGCGCACCGATAACGACCTGCATTCTATGGATTATGACCCATAGACGACCCTCTCCCGCATATACATCTTCTATCTATACCCTCGCATCTGCATCCTCGCAATGGACGTTTCTCGGGCCTTTCCGTATCAACTGCATGTTACAGGCTCCGCTCATACAGTCTCAGTCTCCCGACGCCCTCATAGACCCGCTGCGCTCCAGACCCGGACCCCTCGTGAACTGCGTTCGCCCCTCCGCGCCTTCGCCCTCCTCGTCAAGCGAGTGCGTTAAGAGTTCCGAGAAGCTCTCGGCCCGTATGCGAACGGGACTCCAGCGACCGCCTTCTGCAGCGAGTCGAGACGGCGAGGACGAGCGAGAGAGGGAAGAGGCAGGAGTCGAGGTGGATGAGAGGACGGTCGAGGTGTGTTCGCCGTGCGGGTCAGGCGAGGACGACCGAGTCGGAGGGAACGAGCCGCCAAAGCTGTCGCCATCCCCGCCTTGTTCGAACTTGGGCAGGTTCGGCACGCCTTTTCCTGCTCCCTCCCTCTTTTCCTCGACAGTCTTCTCCTTCGCAGATTCCGCCTGCGCAGCTGGACGCGCACCTCGTCTCCGCCAGGGCATCATCCATCTCATCCACCCCGCCTTTCCCTGCCCCTCACGCTGCACCCTCTTCGCCTCCGCACGCCGTCGCTCCCACTCCGCCCTATACCGCTCATAGCCTTCCCTAAACTGCGGGTTGACGCGCGACGAGAAGATGAGTTCGCCGCGGGGGTTCTGTGCTGGGGGTATCGGGGGGATCGGAACGCCGCTTCGAGGGGAAGAGCTGGGTGGAGGGGAGGGCGGCGCGCGAGTGACGGGTCCGTCGTCGATCGTTTCGGGAAGGGCAAGAGTACGCCGAGAGGGCGATGGAGGTGGAGATGCGTTTGCTGCGAGTGGAGGAGAGGGAGGCGGAGAGCGGAATGCGCCGGTTGACCGGATCGTGTCGGTCGACGAGGCGGCGGAGGAAGCTGATGTTCGTCGAGAGAGGGGTGGAGACGAGAGTTCAGATGTCGGTGTGAGAGAGCGTCCTGATGGTGTCCGTGACAGGGCGGGGATGGCGGAGGATCCGAATAGGCGGAAAAGGGAGAAGCGGGAGCGGTGCCGTGTATTGAGGTAAATGTTGAAGGGTCGCAAGGCCCGGTTCGCTTGCGGGACGAACCTGTGCCAGTGTCTGTCAGTGTCAACCTGCAACCATTTTGGGCGACCAACGACGCACTTGTGCGCGTAAGCGATCTTCTCGCTGTACATGCCGGTCGCGAAAAACAAGATGAGCGTCGTTACGGCGACGAGGAGCATGGCGATGTTGCTGTAGTGAACGAGCGAATACTGGTCGGTTGAGGAATAAGGGGTCAGCCTCGCTTCAGCACGGAGAGTCGAATGAACGGACGATGGACGGCAAGACGAAGACCCCGTATCCCAAGTACACGATGACGCCCACGAGCGAGAACAGGAAGGCTGTAACGTGAGAAGTCGACAGTCAGCAGCTTCCAGACAGCCATTCTTCCTTGCAAAGCGTCTATACGAGTTGCCGGCGGGGAAGGAGCTGAGCGAAGGGGGATCAACGAACCCTCGTACTTGCGCCGCTGCTTCTGCAGCCTGTGAAGGAGACTTGTCAGCTATAGCAAGTCCACAATCGCCAGCGAGCGACGCACCGTTCGGCATTCTGCTTGAGCCGCTCCTCGAAGATGAGCAAGTCCTTGAACGACTCGCGCGTCGCGGGCGGGTGGAATGTCCGTGCCCGTCTGGACACGAGTGCAGGGCTCATGCAGCAGCGCGTCCCCAGCAAGCACCGGAAGCCAGTCGAGCCGAGTCGTGCGTGTTGTCGCGGACCAAGAGGTGGTTTGTTGCGATCCATCGCTATACTTCCTCTGAACTCGCTCGGGAAGGCTTGCTTTGTTGCTGCGAGGCGTCACTGGTGTCGTCGCATCCGCCGAGACTCGCCGCAACGCCAGCGAAGCTCTCCTCACCAATCCACATCCCCCCACCTTCCCTCATCTCTTCGAAAAGCCACCGCTCGAGGCGTGTTGGCAGGCGCACGAGGGTTCGACTGTGTTGAGTACAGATTGTAGGCGGGCGGACAACCGGGCAGGATGGGTGCGTCGAGTCTCTCACAGCCGTTTCCGATCTGCCTCTCCAGACTAAACCGCTCGCTGGATCCGCAGAACGATGGACGGCTCTCATGCCCGACAGGGCCCCTGCACCTGGTACACTTCCGGCACGGCCGCGACTGATCGGTCGACTACCTGAAGAGGCGTGGCTTTGCGTCCTTCAATTCCTCCCTATCCCCGACCTGCCACAAGTCGCCCTTTGCTCGCGCAAACTCGCCAGCATTGCGCGAGACGATCGGCTGTGGAGGGTGAAGCTTAGCTGGCTGGGTTACCACGGGCCGGGCGAGATTGACTGGCGAGACGGGAAGGAAGCGGTAGAAGGGTTGAGGCCAGAGGTCGCAGATGGACAGCTTGCAGAAGCTGACGCGGTACAGGGTGGCGAGAACGGTTTAACAGCGTCGGGTGCCATTTACGAGTCAAGCGACGACGAGTTTGGCGACTTCTTCCAGGGCGACAAGGAGGCCAAGCCGCGCGATGCAGAAGCGGACGACGGCTTTGGCGACTTCCAAGATGGCGATTTGGAAGGAGAGGATCCCTTCGGTTTGGCGGAAGACTTCTCGACGGTCGCGCTCGGAGATGCGCCGCCTCGAACGAAGCCGCCTCCAGCCGACGACCTGCTTCTCATGTTCGACGATGATGTCGCCCCTCCGACGTCTCTCCCGGCTCCAAGCAAACCTCGGCGGCCACCACCGGTATCAAAGCTCACTTTCGACACGCCAATCGCCGCCGGCTCGCCTACGACACCCTCGTGCAAACCGGGCGCCTTCACCTTCAACCCCTCGACGCCTACCTCCGCGACCCCAACTTCCGCCGGCCCTTCACAAAGTTTCCTTACCCTCTACAAGAAGCACCACGCCATCCTATTACCCTACTACATCTCGCTGCAGACCCTCACAACCTCGTCTCTCGTCTTCACCACTTCATCCCTCACACCCATGCTCCGCGCTCAACTCCTCGCCTCTCTTGCACGATTCTGCCATCCTCTTGTCGCTCCGACCCGCTCTCTCCCGCAGCGGATGACCGTTCTCCGCAACGTCCAGTCTGCCATCGACTTCTTCGAATCAGCGCTGCTCGCCGAGTTCGAGCGCGCCGACTCGATCCAGGACGAGCAGTCAATGAAGGAGAAGGCAGAGGTGATGTGGGAGCTCAATCAGAGCACGACGGTCTCGCAGGTGTTCGTGCAGAAGCGCGAGACGCTCTTCGGGACGAACCACTACCCCTTGCGGAACCTCACGAAGATCGAGACGCCTTCGGGCGCCGAAGCGGACGGCATCGACTTCTCAGCGATGGACCGCTTCATGTCGAACAACATCTCGGTCCTCTCCCGGGAAGGATCCCTCATCGCCCGTGTCTTTCCGCCAGAAGCGAAGGTCCTGCTGTACTTCCTCGAGCGCATCGCGAATGATGTCGTCTCCGACTACATCGCACAACTGCTCGGCGCCGCACAACCACTCCAGAACCCTCTCTTCCTCCTCGCGACCGCCGCAACGTTCGGTCAGGTCTACCGCCTTGTCGACGCAGTTCTCGCTATCGAGCCGAAGAATCCGCTCATAACGAAGGACGCTGCCGAGGACGTCATCTTCAAGATGTTCGAACCGCAGATGGACGACTACCTGTCGGAAGAGGGCGAGTGGATTCGCGAGGTGCTCGAAGGCATGTGCGAGGAATGGGATCGCAAGGTGCGCTCACCTTCCTAGCTCTTTGCATGAGCTGATCGGCTAACTGCTATGCGCGCCAGACCGCTTCCGCTCTCGCCGTTTCCGACCCGACCTTCCTCGCCTCGTCGAATCCTGCTCAAGTCAAGAAAAACGTCCTTGCCGGCTTCACCAAGGTTCTCCTCCTTCCCGTCACAATCATCCCTAAGACCGCCTCCTACGGCCTGAACGCCATCACCTACGGCGCGACAGGCGTCATCGACACTTTCGCCTCTCTCGGCACGCAGCTGAGCGGGAATCGGACACCAACGGTCGCGCCCGCTGCATCCTCGTCCGCTTCCTCAGTTGCAGAGGCGCCGCCACCGCCACCCTCTGTACCCATCGCCAGTGTGCCGATCGAGTCCTCCGCTTCAGCTTGGGGCGGAGATGACGACGTGGCGCACGCTGGGCGTCTCTCGGTCGACGCAAACGGCACGATCTCCGTGGCCAACGGCAACGCACACGACATCCCGCTCTCATCCGCGCCATCTTCTGCTTCGACACCTCCGCCTCGACCAGCGACGCGAAGTCGTTTCGACCGGCTGCAGCTTCTGCTGTCGCTCGACACCGCTCTCCAGCTCATTCAAGCCGACCGCGACTCGCTCAAGCGCATCCAGACCTTCATCCGCTATCCCGGCACGTACGGTCGCAAGGTCCGCGACGCGATCGAGGAGGTCTTCATTGTCCTCCTGCAGGTCCTGGGCGAGAAGCACGTCTGTCCCGCGTTCGAGAAGGCGAAGTTGCAGATGGAGACGTACAAGCCGCAGGACCACGACGACGACGAGGATGTTGCGCCGCTGGTGCAGTTCTTTGAGCTCGTTCACATCGGCGACACGATCCAGCAGATGGTCGACGTCTACTTCGAGAAGGAGATGGTGAGCGGCGCGTTTCGCCAGCTGCGGCTTTCTCCACTGCTCACGTCTGTGTCCTGCAGAACGCCTACATCGACAAGCGCGACTTCCTCAACGTCGTCGTGCGGGAGAAGAAGAAGTTCGAAACCTCGCTTGACGACGCCGTCGCGCAAGGCTTGAACGCTGCAGTCAACATCCTGATGGGTCAAGTCGAGCATGTCATCACCTCGCGACAAGGCATCCGCGACTACACGCCAGACGAGTCGGAGGACCTGGACCTTCAGCCGACGCGGGCGTGCAAGGACGCGACCCAGGTCCTGTCGAAGCATTGTGACATGCTCAAGGGCAGTACGGACAAGCAGATCCTCGAGGTTTTCTACCAGGAGGTCGGCATCCGGTTACACGGGTGAGCTACGTTCGTTACAGCCTCGCATCTCGGCTCGCACTGACCACCTACTCTCGCAGCATCCTCCTCAAGCACCTCAAGCGACAGATCGTCTCGACGCTCGGCGGCTTGCAGCTCATCGCCGATCTCAACGCCTACCACGCCTTTGTCACGTCGCTGCGACAGCCGCAGGTCACGGCGTACTTCTCGAGTCTCAAGATGGTGGGCGAGCTGTTCCTCATCGAGTCGCCTAAGGACCTCGGCGCCCTCGTGCGGGATACGACGCGGTACGAGGGGACGCTGAGTCCGGATGACCTGTACGAGCTGGGTGCGTTCAGCTTCGTTCGGTCGTCACGAAGTGCGCATGACGCTAACCCTGCGCACGGCAGTACAACGGCGAGCGGATTGGAGCAAGATTGAGCGGATCGTCGACAAGCAGCTGTTCTCCCTTAGTGCCCAGGATTGTTGTCTCCAGTAGCATCGCCTGTACGATTAGAAGTCTCCGCCGTCTTTCTGCATCGAGCATTGTCGCTCGGAGAAGACGCGCAAGCACGAATCGAGGTGACTTCAAGTCTTTGCAGTTGCTTTGCTACTTTCGATGCACTACGGACGAGCGGCGAAGGACCGACCGAGGTCAGCTTGAGACTGAATAAGACCGTACGCAAGCGAGCGCACCTGTACATCTCGCTGCTACACATTCGCGCCTACCCAAGCGCCGATTAGACCGCTCCCTGCAGAATCCGCCTTTACTTTTCCTGCCTTACGACGCAACGATGATGGCGTCGCCCTCAGTCCTGTTCGACTCGGGGACGGGAGGCGCAGCGTTCGACTCGGCCGCGTCGCCCTCGTTGGCCTCCCTCGCGGCAGCCTGCTCGGCGCCCTGGCCCTCTCCGCCCTCGGGCTGGATCGCGACCTTGAGGTTGAGCTGCCTGCCCTCGAGCTCGGTGCCCTGGTACTTCTCGAGCGCCTTGAGCTGGTCCTCGTGCGTCTCAAAGTCGACAAATGCGAAGCCCTTGCTCCTGCCCGCCTTCTGGCCAAACTTGAGCGTGACGACGACGGCCGACTTGACCTTGCACTCGGGGAAGGCGGCGGCGAGCATCTCGTTCGTGACGCTGAAGTGGAGGTTGCCGACGAAGATGAGGGTTTGCGACTCGACGCCGGTCGAGGGGGGACCGCGGCGGCGAGGCTGACGAGGCTGGCGGGGCTTGGCGGCGCCGAGAGCAGGGGGCTCACCCTCGCCCGCACCCTCAGAGACCTCGCCCTCAGCACCGGTCTTGCGAGCGCGGGGCTTGCGGGTGCGAGGCTTGCGGGCACGGGGAGCGGCGCCGTCCTCGAGGTGCGTGTTGGCGAGCTGGTCGGCGGCGTCGGAAACAGCGCTGTTGCCGACAGGTGCGTCGCCAGCCTCCTCAGTCTCCTCGTCGTTGCGAGGCGCGCGAGGACCGCGAGTCTTGGTGCGCTGCGAGGTTGGGCGGAAGCGTCAGCTCGTCACCTGGACATCGTCCAGAGAAGTGAACATACGGGCTTGCGAGCCTTCTTCGGCCTGGCCTCGCCCTCACCCTCAGCCGCCTCCTGCGCCGTCTCCCTCGTCGCCGCGACCTCAGCCGCCTTCTTCGCCGCCTTCCTGGGTGCTCGCGCCGCAGGAGGGCCATCGTACACGGGCATGGGCTTCGCAACCTCGACGTTGACCTGGCGACCAGAGATCTCGGACTTGTCGAGCTGGGAAACGGCAGAGGCGGCGTCGGACTCCGAGGTGTAGGTCACGAAGCCGTAGCTGCGGGGATTCGAGAATCGTCGTCAGCAACGGATCTGAGAGCGTTCGGAGGCCGGAAGTGCAGAACGCAAGCAGACGAAGGCGTCGAGCAAGGGGAACGTACCCAAGCGAGCGCCTGCCCCGGTGGATGATCTGCGCGTCGGTACTGTGGGATCGACGTGGTCAGCTCGGAATCCGCGATGACAACGTTGCGGGAGTGCCCATCTCGCAGCGAAGTTAGGGAAACGCGCACTCACACCTGGCCCACCTTGCCAAAGATCTCCTTGATCGACTCGTCCGTCGCGTCAAAGGGGAGGTTGCCGACAAAGACCTGTGCAGGATTGGAAGAACATGAGAGCGGTCAGTTCGCTGAATGGGCAGAGCTTGGCATGTATCCAAGTCGACGATGGCGGGAAGGTGCGAGAGAGGGGGAGTTGGTGAAGCCACACGTGCTCGTTCGCCGCCCCCGTCCAGCCAGCGAGACAGTAGGGAACATCCTGCTGCTCCTGGCAAGCCCTCTGTGTTCGTCCTCGCTGATGTGCAGCGCCATCAACCCGACGTGGTGGAGTATCGTCTTCACACCCTCGCACATCGCTCGATCGGCCACTTAGACAGAGCTGTTGTGTTCACTCACCTTGTGGCCAAGCTCCTGGGGAGTCGCCTGCATGGCCTGCGCGATGGCGGGCTGTTGCTGCTCGGCGGGTGCGGTCGAGGACGAGGCGGTTTCGGCGGGGGCAGACATCTGGAAAGGGCTGGATTGGGTGATAGGGTGGTTTCTGAGGTGTGTGAGTCTGGTGCAAGCAGTAAACTTGAAGCGAGAGAAGAGCGAAGTGACTTGGCGAGAGCAGCTCCCCGTCGACGTCGAGGGAGCAAGGCGAACGTTTTCCTCTCTGCTTCATTCGAGAACTGCTGTACGAGAACGTACTGGCCATGCTCTCAGAGACTCGAATGAGGTCCAGCCGCTAGATTACAGGCGAAGTGACATGTTTGAGAGAGGCCCTCCTCGCCTTCGTCCACCTCCTAATGGGCTACAGCCTGTTCAGCCGGCTCGAAACGCACATTCGCCGCCCCAACAGCTTCACTGACCCGGCGCGACTTTCTTGCGAGAACTCCGCCGCGTCGTCATACCTTCTTCCTCCGCCGGTTCCGCCTCCTCCTGCTCGGGGGCGGCTCCCTCGACCCCGTCCTCCTTTTCCTGCTCGCCAGCCGACTCTCCGCCGTCTTCCAACTCCCTCGTCCTGGCGGCCCGCGCCGTCCCACCACCTCGACCCCTCCCCCTGCCTCTGCCTCTCCCCCTCCCCCTCGTCGCGCTCGCCATCTTCTGCCTCTTCGCCGCCGGCTCCGCTTCGGCCTCACCAACCGACCCGACGTCGTCCTGCGCGATCTCAAAGTCGTCCTCGTCATCGCTGACAGGCCGCTTTGGCGCGCGCTTCTTCCGCTTCTTCTTCGGCGGTTTCTTCAGGTCCGTGTAGCGGCGAAGGCACTGCAGGCACGCACGAGTGATCGCGCAAGTCAGCGCGGTGAAAAAGCGAGAGGAAGAGGAGAACGAGGCGAGACGCACGTTGCTGTCGGTCCTCGTCCCGCCGAATCCGCGCAGCGAGATCTCGTTCCAGGGGAGCTGCTCCTCGTCACGCATGCGCAGTAGCGTCGCGTCCTCCTGCAGTTTTACCCATGTCAGTAAGGACGCAACGTGAACTCGAGCGGCTCCGCGCGCTGCCGCAGGGAGGAGTGGCCAAGAAGCAAGCGAGCGAAGTTGCGACTGACCTCCTCCGTCCAATTCTTCGTGCCCAGCACCTTTGGGTCCAAAATATTCGACCACCTCTCCCTACACTGGGCGTCCGTGCGTCCGTCAACCCGCTCGCTGATCGCAGTCCAGTTCTTCCCGCAAGCCTGGACAGCCAACTTCAGCTTGGCGTCTTCTTCGGCGCTCCATTTGCCGCGACGGAGGGTCGGGAGGAGGGAGTTCGTGTAGCGGTTGTGGCAAGCATTAGGGTTGCGTTGGACGTGGCGCGCGACTGTCGAGATATGCACGTTAGCGAACCGGCCTCATGATGTGCAGGATATCGTACGCAATCCGCTTTGTTGCTCGTGCGCAAGCGAGAAGCTGGTAATGAATGTGAGGACGCTCGACTCACCGACTTGCCAGTTCTCGCCCCACCAGACCACCGCCTCCTTGAGCCGCTCGTCGTCCTCGGTCGTCCAAGACTCCTTCGGCAGCGGACGTCGTTGATAGGCGCTGAGGCAAGCCATACTCGAGCGGTTTGTCTGCGCAGCATCGCGGAAAGGTTAACATCGCGTCCCAAGCGAGGAGAACGGGACGAGACCGCGGACGCACCCCAAGTTCGCTCGCAACTCCCTCCCACCCGCCGTTGTCCTCCTTGACGCCATTTGCGCGCGACTCGACGATCTCGTACAAGCGCTTGAGCTCGTCCTTGCCCCACTTGCTCGAGGTATTGAGGCGCGGGTGGTCGTGTTGGAGCCATTGCATGCGGCAGGCGGAGGGAGAGCGCCGTTCCATCTGCATGCATCAACATCATGCGCGCACCACGTCAGCCTTCTGATCGAACGGCTAATGCGGAGCGAGCGAAGCGAGACGAGACGAGACGCACGACGACAGCGACCTGGTCCCAGTCCAGTCCCTCCAAGTTCTCGACGAACCACTTCGGGTCCTGTGCCGCCATGACTTGTGTGATGTCTCGACCGCTGTGGAATACGAGCCAGACGGAGTCAGCCAACGGTCGAACTAGACAGCGAGCGAGACGAAGGTCGCCTCAACCTGAAGCGAGTATGACGCTGCAACTCAACATCGTTCGGTGGGTCAGTGAGAAGAACACGTACAGCCTCAGAGCCTCCTTGGCGACCATCCGGTGGTTCTGCGCGACAATCTCCTGCCTGAGGCGAGCGCGTTCGGCGGGAGTCCCTGCAGGTCGCCCGCGCGGGAAGGAGCATGAGCTCAAAGGGACAGACACCAAGTCGGAGCATCTCATGCGAAGGACGGACGTACAGGCGACAATGCGGATGGCAGAGAGATAGCGGTCCCGCGCTTCGCCGTCCGGGTTAGGCGGGAGGTCCTGTTTCGATTGCGAGCGTCAGATCCTCTCCTGCTTGAGTAGAGAAGGGTGGCAAGCGCACCTTGCCGTAATAATGCTTGAAGAACGGCAAACCTGGGTCGCTCGTCCCAGGCGCGCTGATCTTGAAAGTTGTCTGCCCGAGAGCCCTTGTCGAGGCGACCAACTCCGCGAACGGCGCTTCTGCGGCGGTTGCTGACGGAGACGCCGCGTCGGCTGGCTGGGCGGAGGCCATCTCTTCGGAGAGAGCGGTGAGGAGGGTCTGTCAAGGTAAGAAGAGTTAGCGAGCGCGAACACTGGCAGTCCTGCCGCTTCGTCAGAAGCTCGAAAACTCGCCTCAAGTTCGCTGATGCGCTTGCGAGCCGCGTCAACCCGGTCCATCGCCTTCATGAGCTCCGCCTGGTACGCCTTGTTTGCGGCGAGAGCGACGTCGGCGTCGGCTCCCATCTCGCGCAGACTTGCAAAGTCGGCGTTGCCCGCGAACTCGTCGTCGTCCATTGCGCCGTGGCTCTCCAGGAAGGCCGCAGGAGGCGTGAAGAGCTCCGCGCCGAAGTCACGCAGAGTGTTGGCCGTACCCGCCGAAGCCCCCGCACCCTGAGCCAGTCCGGCGCGTGCTAGCTCCATCCTGTCCATCTCTGAGCGTTCCTGCGCCCGTCAGACCCCCTGCGAACCCGTGCAGCCGAGTCTGTCGAGTGAGGCTGTGGAGTCGACTGATGAAGCGGGATGACGGCGCGACAAGCGGACTGGCGGGCAGGCTGGGGACGCTGACAGCCCTCTGGAGATAGTCCAGCAGCGTACAGCCCGTGCACAGCTCGAGCAAGCGTGGTGTCGCTGTTGCTGAACCTCGTCTTCCTGCCAGACCCTCTCGGCTCCCTCTCTCGCTTCGACTCCTCACTTTTAAGTGATTGCACACCGATACAAGCTCGTGCTGGACCCACAAAGACTCTTCGGACCCCCAAGACCATCCCGGCCCAGCTGCATCACAGATCCCGGCCGTCTCCACCTCTCGCTGTCGTGGATCGCCCCTCGTTTGCCCGACTCGAGCGCTCCGAACTCGCCAAGGACGGATAGGCGACGCAATCGAATAGTCGCACGCTCCGACATCTCCCACCCCGCCATCTATCGCGCCCGCGATCGCTTGTCCCTCTATCCTGCCCGCCCTTCCCTCGCTTCGCTCTTGCCCCACTTGCACTCGCCTCCTGCTTCACAATGCCCGCCGAACGCGCAGACATCCTCCAGAACACGTCGCCGTCGCCATATGACCCGCTTGCATCCGTTCGAGGCGGTTCCAGCGACGCAGACGGCGATTCTGCGTTTAGGAGGGACTTCAATGCTGCGGTCTACGATTGCGTGCGCCGCGTTCCAGAGGGAAAGGTGTGCATGAGCTTGACCGTCAGCTCTGTACGTCCTTGGCTAACACCGGCTCGAGCACAGGTCGTCTCGTACGGCCAGGTCGCCAAGCTGATCGGGCACCCGCGCCATTCGCGCATGTGCGTCTCGTCTTCCCGGTTGCTCGCAAGCTGCATTCTCACTGACAGTCCCGCTGTACACAGGGTTGGCTCAGCGCTCAAGGTCCTCCCCTCGCGCCTCTCGATGCCCTACCTCCCTCCAACGCCATCCTCAATCTCCTCCGCCTCCTCATCCGACGAGCCCCTCCCACCGCCCGAGCCGAACCCCGACTTCGTACCGTGGCACCGCGTCGTCGCTTCCTCAGGCCTCATCTCGCCGAGGGGAAACGTCGCTGCGACGAGGAGGCAGGCAGAGTGGTTGGAGGCTGAGGGTGTCGAGGTTAGGGAGGGACCGAGAGCGGGAGGAGGAGATGGTAATGGACAGCCGGGTGGTGGGACGGCGGACGCGTTTGGACTTGGCGGAGCGGTGGGAGGAGGAAGGGTCAACATGGGTCGCTATGCCTGGAAGGGCTGAGTGGGCAGACTCTCGCACACACAGACTTTCTTGCGTCAATACGACGGTGACCATATTCCCGCGCCAGCCCTTGTACACCTAGCCTTGTTTCCTCGCATGTTGCCGTCGTCTTCCCTCGTCCCCTTCTCCGGACCTTCTCCCTTGTAGCGAAACAGATATCGTCTTCCGCAAAGTATCGCGTTCGCCTCGAGTCCCTCAGACTGAAAGGAGCACAGCCAACGGTAGCAAGCTGGGGTGGGGACGCTAGCAAGCGAGCGATATCTCCCGAAGCAGACCCTTTCCCGTTCGCCCAGCGAGCAGGATGTATACAAGACCTCGTCATGTATTGCGGTGACCGAAGCACAATATACAGAGTCTGCGCCAGCCCGTTTACTTGGTGACGGTCGCGGCGCCCTTCTGCTCCATCGCCTGGGCGGCCTGCGCGCACAGTGCGGCTGCGCGAGTACGATCAGGGTCAGTCGCGCTCACAAAGAGATGAGGATCTAGACGCACCTCCGACGCCGGAACCGTCCTTCGCCAAAACGATGTCGACCCTCTTCTGCACCTCGTCTCCAAGCAACTCCCTCAACGCATCCCTGACCCTCTGCTCAAACCTCGGATAGAACTCGACCAAGCTTCCATCAAGACCAAAGATGATCTTCTTCGCCTCTGGCCAGTCGCGCGCGTCGCCGCCCGTCTGCCTAACCGTCGCCGCGATCGCACAAGCCGAGAGCCTGCACCCGCGCGTGCCGACGACTTCCGAGATGCGTGCGGCGGCGAGGCAGTCTGCGTCGTCGATGAGCGAGGCGGAGATGCCGAGTTCCGAGGTGAGCACTTGGCGGATGGCGGTGAGGGCGTCGCCGGACTGGGGAGAGTTGGGGACGAAGGGCGCTTCGAGGGCGGACATGATCGCCGTGTCGAGGCCGTAGTGGCGGTTCAGACTCTGCGAGGAGAAACCGTTGAAGAGGACTTGCGAGTCGACGAGGTGGAGGAGCGCGTTGCGGGTGACTTCGCCGAGGTCTGCGGGCGACGGGGGTCAGCGTGCGCGATTGGCTTGACGACTCGAGCTCTCGAAGCGTACACATTCCGGAGATCATCTGCGAGAGCGCGACGTCAGTACAGGAGCTAGAGAGTAGGAAGAGAACTGACGCACCTTCTCGTACGCCTGCTTCCGAGGGTTGATCGAGATGCGGTCGACGCGGCTGTCGAAGATGGTGAACGGCAACACCTTGCGCTCGTTGTCGAACGCTCCCCACTCGGTGTTGACAACCATCTTGTCGAGTCCCTGCTCCTTGTTGCGCTCGAGCTCGTCTGCCTGGTAGCCCATCTTGGTGAGCTTGTCGATACTCTCGACGTAGGCGCCGTTCGTGCCCGTGCCAAAGATACCGCCGCACAAGCAGTCGCCGCGCTCGTACGCGGCGGCCATCAAGGTGCCGCAAGTGTCGTTGACGAGCGCCGAGCAGCGGACGTGGATGTGCTTGCGGTCGAGGGCGTCCTGCAGGAGCTGGACGACGTCCTTGCCGACAGCATTCTTGCACTCGAAGCCCTGTAGCACGACGGTAGCATGAAGAAGTCAGTCTCGCAACGAAACGTGGCTCATGTCTGGCGCGCCACGCACCTTTGTCCAGTTGATGAGGGTTCCCGCAGCGAGCGCAGTCTGAGCGACGGGGAACGAGAAGGTGAAACCGAGGTGGAGCTTCTCGTCCTCGCTCGCGGTCGTGCCGATCTCGGTCAAAAAGTGGTCGACGGAACCCGCGATGTAGTCGAACAAGGCGGTGACATCTCCGACCTTGAGGGCGTCCGAGACGCGGTACTTCTGCTGCTTCATGCGCCACTTGCTGTCGCCGAGCAACTCGACCTCGCACACACGCAGGTTGGTGCCGCCAAGGTCGAGCGCGAGGAAGGTGCCCTTCTCCTTGCCGTGCGGGATGTGCTGGATGTAGGAGGGGATCATCGGGCTGCGTTCGCACGAGTGTCTGTCAGTCTCGAACGACCTCCCAGGACACGATTAGACCTGCAACTCACACGAAAGTGTCCCTCGTCTCGTCCGTGGGCAATTCGGACAAGCCCTTGTTGTACTCCCACAGCATCTGGTCGGTGATCTCGCGCAACTTGTCTGTCGGCAAGTCGAACTGCTGCTCGATGTCGTCGACCGCGGCCTGCAGCTTGGGCGGCAGGGTCGCGACATTGGGCAGCGGGAGGAGGTAAGGGGGCGACATGGCTTGGCGGAGAGTCGCTGTGAGCTGGTGGGAGTTTGCGCGGCTGTTGCGAGTGTTGCTGGAGGTGTCAGCGTGCGATCGAGGCTGTCCCCGGCCTCTCGTGCGCCGTCACCGAGCGAGCGAGTCCGAGGGAGGACGAGCAGGCGAAGAGTAGTGGACGCACGCCTCGCGGACTTGTTCGAGCGGGCAGGGTGGGTCAAGCAGAGGCTGGGAGCACGGCGAGCTGGTCTGCGGAGCACACGGAGCGAGCAAAGGTGGAGAAGCAGCCAAATCGACCGCTGCCCCGCCGTGACGCTGAGTGAACGATTTCTGTACGCAACAACTCCTTCGGGCGGGGTTCCTGTTGAGCTGGGATGCATCAGGACTGTCGATTGATCCCATCCATCGAAAGAGCGAAGCAGCTGGTGCGAGTTGCTGGCGAGCTGTCTCACACCCGCTCGTCTTCATCGCCTGACATTTGGCTTGCACGCTCTCACACGCTCTGGCTGGCTCGGCAATGGCTATGAACGGACTGCAGGACCCTTACTCGGCTGACGCTGCTGCTGGACCGTCGAATGCGCGTGGTGCGAGGGCACAGGACGAGTCGGCGCACGGACTTGTGGGGAGAGGGAAGAGGGTCAGGAGCCAGACGGTGGACGACGAGGACGAGCTGTCGGACGACGACGTGCGTGCACTCCCTGCGTCGGCATCTAGAGCGACCGCTGACCATCTCGTTGTTCTCTCACCTCGCCGCCCATCTCCCCCTTCTTCGCCTCAACTTGTCGCTGACCGCTCAACAGTCGCGCAATGCGTCTCCTGCACTCGGCCCAGGCGAACTCCCAACCAAGCCGAAGCGGAAACGGAACCGCGCGGCCTTGTCTTGCGCCCTATGCAAGAAGCGCAAGATCAAGTGCGACCGCAAGCTGCCGTGCGAAGCGTGCATCAAGCGCAACGAGCAGCACCTGTGTCGATGGGAGCAACCCAAGGTCGAGCCGGCACCTCAGCCTTTCGCCCTCGCCGTTGACCACGAGCAGCTGCGGCGCCGGGTCGCCGTTCTCGAGACTGTTCTAGCTCGTCTTGCGCCAGATCTGGCGGGCGAGTTGGCCGACGCGGCTGCAGCGCCTGTCACTCTGCCCCTTCGCCCCAAGGCGTCGACAAACGACGGCGATGAGCAGCAGGACTCGGATGCTGAGAATGTCGAGGATGCGGCACTTGTTCTCGAGGAGCTGGGTACGCTGGGGTCGAGCTTCTCTCTCTTCTCATGCGCTGACATCTTCGGCAACTCTAGCTCTCCACCACAAGCTCACCCGCGTCGCGCCAAAGACCGGCAAGACAGCTCGATCCGCCTCTCCCCGCCTCGCCTCTTCCTCACACGCCCTTCCCGTCCTGCCACCCATCCTCTCCGGGTCCGGCGCCATGCACCTCAGCCCCTCGTCCACCATCTCGAATGCCGACCTCGCCAGTCGCGCGCTCGACTCCCTTGTCGTCCCTGCCATCGACTCGAGGCGCAAGCTCGTCCTCGACGATATCTACGCAAACCTGCCGCAGCGCAAATCGGTGTCGGACTGGATGCTGAGGAACTACTTCGAGCGGGTAGACTGGGCATGGCATCGTGCGTCGCCCTCGTTCGCTCTTTCGCATTTCCTGCCTGACCTCCCCCTCCATGCAGTGCACCACAAGCCGACCTTCCTCGCCGAATACGACGCCTTCTGTCTCCTCCGCTCCGAAGGTCGACAAGCCGAGATCGACCCCCTCTGGCTCGCCTGCTTCGCCATGACCCTCTGTCTCTCCGTCAACTCGCTCGAGTCTCCTATCGAGTCACCACTCTGCAGCATCACCGCGCAGGATCTCGATACCCTTCCGTGGAAGTTTTTCGAGTGCGCCCAGAGTGCGCTCGAGTGTGGAGATTGGACGGGAAAACCGAGGTTCAGGACGCTCCAGGCGATCGTGCTGTTTGCGCCGTTCTTCCTCTTCGCCGGTAACCGAGCGTGCGTGTCGCTCTCCTCCTTTCGCTATGATTTCGCTGAGGAAGGTTGTGCAGTGCCGCCGAACGCCATCAGACCTACATCGGCGCCGCCCTCCGCATGGCCCAGTCAATGGGTCTGCACCAACTCGGCTCCGACCCGTCAACGATGCCGTTACTGAGCGAAGAAGACGAAATCAACTCGGGCTTGCCGCCCGGCGTCAACACGCTCAAGCGCGAGATGGCCCTGCGGATGTTGACGACGTTGCTGTTCCTCGATTATACGAGCTTGCGAATCAAGACGAGCTTGCCGCCTCATCTCGGTGCGTCGAGCTCATCTTCTACGCATGCTTTTTGCGCTGACGGCTTGGCATGTGTCGTAGTCACGTCCGCCCTGCCTGGCAACTACAACGATTCGGACCTCTCGCCCGACGAGGTCGTCCCGCCTCGACCAGCAGAAGAAGCGACCGACATCTCCCTTGACGTGAGTGCCGCTGCTCTCCTTTTCGCTGCGTACGCTAAGCATGGTCCGTACAGCTCGTCAAGTTCCGCACCGCGCTTGAGCAGCGGAAGTTCAAGGAGATGATGTGCGTTGCATTTGCGTCCCGCTCGTGTGGACCATCGCTGAGCGAGTCCTCCTTGTGTAGGGACGGCGACCTACCGCTCACATACGAGGCGATCTTGGCCATCGACGGAAACTACCGGTACGCTTGACCTCTGCCGTCCGCCCGTCCCCTTAATTTACTCCTCCCTCCGATCAGCGCCATCCTCGACTCGCTTCCGGTCCAGCTACGTGAAGACTACATCCCGCCGCTCGGCGAGCCCCTCACCAACCTGTGGCGCCGCAACATGGCGATCCAGAGCGTCCACTCGCGCATCCTCCGCGTGCACCGGCCGTTCATGGCGAAGGGCTGGACAGTTGAGAAGTATCGTCGGTCGACGACGACTGCGATCTCGGCTGCGAGGTCGATCCTTGCGTGTCAGACCTCGCTCAACTCGGGTGCGTCCTTCCGCCTCATCTGTGTCGCAGAGCTGAAGCTGACCGCTCGCGTGGCGCAGCTCCTCTACTCAAGAGCGGCTTCCAGCTTCTCAACGTCCAGATCGCCATCATCGTCCTCTTCATGTCGCTCTGGCAAGACACGGCGCAAACTCCTCGCGAAGCGGACGACGACTTGACCGCCATCACAGCCACCTTCCCCTGGTTCGAGAAGCACGTGGACTCGCGCGTCGCGGAGGTCAGGATGATCGCCAAGAGTAGCTTGAGCGCGTTCAGGTTGCTGAAGGAGGCGTATGAGGACAAGGAGAGTAGGAGGAGGGCGGCGGGAGACTTGTGGGACCAGTCGCAGGAGGAGCCGTGCGTCCGCTCGGATTGCGCCAGCAAGGAGTTGTAGCTGACGCGTTTCGTGTCTCGCAGATACGGCCGCCTGCTCCAGCGAGTCGGCGCCATCGTCTCCGCCACGAGCAGCTCGTCAACCGACACTCTCTTCGTCTCTCCCGCCGCGACGACTTCTCAGCCGCGCGCGGGCGGCGCAATGTCGCTCGACTCGCTCCTCGCGCCGCAACAGGCGCATCACTCGCTCGGCGCGGTCGAGTCTTGGGCGGGTTTCGCGAACGGTGGCGGTCCGAACGGCGGGCCTGTCTTTGCTTCTTCCGCTGCGCTCGGACTGTGTGTTGCCTCTCTACAGCGGGACTTGACTCGCCGAGTTGACGCTGCCTCGACTTGCAGGAGCGACGCCCAGCCGGACCTCGCTGTCGACTTCGACCTGGCGATGCTCGAAGGACCTGAGTGCGTTCACGCTCGCTATTCAGCCATCACGTTCAGCTCGCTGATTTGCACTCATCGCAGGTTCGCCGACCCAAACTTCTCTTGGTCGACTTGGACCGCGCTTGGCCAGTTCGCCTCGCTCGGGACCTTCTAGTATTTCTTGTTGTTTGTGCAATCCGCGTTGCTGTACAGTCCCGCTACAGCCTTGGAGGGGGAGACTGGGAGAGCTTTGCACGCTGACCTTCTCAAGCTTGTTTGGCCTGCGTTGCGAGCGGCCACAGCTTCGCGAAGCAGTGGATCATATCCTGCGCGAATTCCTCCGGCTGCTCGGCCGCCGCAAAGTGTCCGCCCTGTCCGCGCGAGCGATGTCAGCGGCGAGTGATGAGGCGAGAACGGGGCGAAGGACATTTGCCGAGTCCCGCGCAACGCACCTTCGCATGGTAGCTATAGAACTGCAAGTTGCCGTTCCTTCCAGCCCAGGCCTCGGGAGTCGACGAGATCTCACCCTGGAACGAGCTGTAACCGAAGGGCTTCTCAAGGCGGTAGCTTGGGTCGTTGTGCAGGGCCGAGATGCCGGTCTTGAGGATGTCCGCGTACGCCCAGATCGACGAGGGGAAGCTGTCGCGTATCCACCAGATCGTCGCGATGGAGAGGACGTGGTCAAGCGGGAGCTCCTCGTCTCTGCGCGGGTAAGGATGTCAGTCCGTTCACGGCTGGTTGACGAGCTGAAACGCGCGACACGCACGTCCAGTCTCGGTACTTCTCGCCAACTGTGAACCGTAAGGTTAGCCTCGTCGCGCAACGTGAAGACGGCAAAAGAGACGCACGCCAAGCGAGCAATGCGACGGGTGAGCTGCCGACGACCATGCCTGCGGGACGAACGAGCGTGAGGAGAAGCTCTCAACGATGTCGAGGAGTAACGCACCGATCGTTGACGGCCTCGTGGCGTGCTCGATGGCATACCCACGGCCCGTTGCCTGGAACTGTTCGCTTCGTTGCAGCGACTTCTCCTCGTGTGGCTTGAGCTGCTTCCGCTCCGGCGAGCCAGGCGGAGGCGCGACCGCCGGCAGGTAGTTGACGTTGATGCACTTGCAACCGTCGTACTTGAGCGCGAGAGTTCGAGCGAGCCCGCTGCCGATGTCTCCGCCTTGTACGGCATAGCCGTCGCCGAAGCCGAGTCCCTGCATGAGCTTGTCGAGGAGGCGCGCGCAGTCGTCCATGTTGAAGCCGCGGTCAAGCGGAGGAGGCGAACTCCAGCCGTAGCCGGGTTCCATCGGCGCGATGAGGTGGAAGGCGGGCGACGTGCTCTTGCGCAGGATCTTGATGACTGCCAAGCTATACTGTCAGCTGGAAATCCTGGCAGGAGGAGGCATTGGTTGGACAGATACCTTCGATGAATTCGAACGCCGAGCCCTGCGAACGGTAAAGGTCAATCCCGGTTTCCAGCGCCGGACGAAGCTGCCTGTACGTGCTGGCCAGCCGTGCAAGAGCATGAGAGGGATAGCGTTGGGGTCGGGCGACTCGTGGAAGATGAAGTGGACCTGCGAGACGATTGTCAACTGGAGGGCTTCGTCGACGAGCGGAAGTCTACGCGCACTTTGTGCTCGACACCTTCGTCCTGAATCGTAGTCATGTAGTGGTCCACTTCGTTCAGCTCGTCTTCATGCTTCTGCCTACGGTGGCAGTCCAAGGATGAGCCGAGTTGACGAGAAGCAAGTTCGCGCGCAACTTACCAGTCAAACCCGTTTTGCCACCGCCCGAGCGCCTTCTTCATCCATGCATGCGTGATGCCGTACCGCTCCTGCCTCGATGCATACGTCTCGGCGGGTAACCTTGAGGACCGGATCGAAGTCTGGAGGTTGGCAAGTTCCTGCGCCGAGAAGCTGGGCTTGAACTGGGAGAGCTTGAGAGTGCGCTGAGTGACCATTCTAGCTAACAAGCGTGCGCTATGGAGCAAAGGAGTGAGCAGTCGCTGACCACGAGAGGGCCCGCTCGTTCGGCACGGGTTGTCGAGGGTCCTCGCCTCGCTGTCGAGCCTCGCTGAGCGCCTTGAACGGTTGGGCGGCCTTTTGAGTTTGCTTCCTGGCCAGTACACTGGTTCCGACGAGCCCCGCTGTGAGCTCACCGAACCCTCGACCTCATCACTCTCTTCGCCCCACACGACGCAAACTCGACGAGTACGACGCTGGCGGGCACAAGACGAGCCCCCTTAGACACCTACGAGGCGATTACGAAGGCGCCAACCAGGGCAAGGTGGACGGATGTATATATCGGTGTGACAGGCGCCTCTAAGGTGCAATTCCGTACGCCTTCCTCGCATTGCCCTCAAAGATCCGGTCGAGCGCCTCGCCGTCCAGCCCGAGCTGCAAGAAGCAGTCGAGGTAGAGCTGCAGCTCGAAAGCCCAGGCTGCAGCTTCCTCGTCCACGTTGGTCACTGGGCAGTGTGCGGGCGAAGGAGAGGTCGAGGTTGGCGGGAGGAGGACAGGGCGGAACATGGGCCAGTCTATCACGCATGGAAAGAGTGTCAGTGCTGGTCGTGGCAAACGCAACTGACATGGAGAGCACGAGGTTGAGGTCGTCGACACACCTGCACCAACTAGAATCCGCTCGTCTCCAAAAGCCTCGATCGCCGGCTCGAGTACCGCAAGGATCCTCGCCTTCAGCCGCTCGTACGCACTCTCGCGCTTGCGCTTCTTGTAATCGCCGCTCCTGAACTCCGCAAAGGCGGCTTGCGCGGTGGGCGGGTCGGCGGAGTTTAGAAGTGCGGAGAGTTTGAGGTACGTGTGAGGAAGGAGCGAGAGCTGGAAGAGGCAATCGACATAGGAGGCGTGGGTGGGCGGTGGAGGGACGGTGTGGTCGGCGGTGAGAGGCGGCTTTGCGAAGTGGTCTGTGGCAGCTCGCGTCAGTCTCTGGATCGGTTCATGCCGCTAGAACACACGCACCAACCACGAAGACAGTCTGCTTGTCCTCCGCTTGACCCGCCCGTACTCGCTCGATCGCGTCTACCGCATCCTCCAAGACCTTCGTCTTGCCCGTCTCCTCGTGCGTGACGTCCAGCGTCAAATCGAACGCAAGCCCTTGCTCGCCGAGCCATCGTAGACCGTCGATGAAATCGTCGCGAAGGAAGAAACCGGGAGGCGAGTCTTGGAGGAGGTAGCGCACAGCTTGGATGGGCGAATAGCCGAGGCGGGCGGTCAGAGTTGCGAGCGAGGGCTGCGTCGTGAGCTGCGAGAAGTACTCTTCGAGTCGCGCGCGGTCGAGGTGGACGGGTGCCTGCGAGTGTGAAGCAGGTTGGTCCTGGCCAAGCAAATTCCGTCAAAACGGAGAATTTACCCAAGGTACGAGAGCTAGCACCGGAACCGGGCTCTCCAGGGCAGCAGCGCAAACACTGTAGGCCTCTGAGCGATGAGATGGGTCAAGAAGCGACGAAGGATGAGCGAACGAACCTTTCAACCTCGTCAAGCGAAGCCTCCCAGCCGTTCTCGTGCTCGACCCTGAGCGCCAGCAAGTCAGCTAGACTTCTGCAGCACTGCGAGAGGACATACACACTCTGCCTGAATGAAGATGATTCCCTTGTGCGCCGTTTTGCCGCCAGCGACTGTCTTGATTCCTCGCAAGACGAGACTCGCGTAGTCACCGAGTTCGTGCGGTCCGCCCAGCTGCTTCTCTCCGCCGTCCGCCCTCGGCCAAGTCATGTGGCCCTTCTCGAGTTGCTCAGCCGTCCAGAGGTGGACGTGAGCGTCGATGAGGCCTGTTGGGTATGTTCTGCGAGTCGCGGATGACGGTGGGGCTTGGAAGGCGCGCAAGTCGAGCTTTGGCGGGGCGCGCTTGCCTGGGCGCATAGCAGGGACAGAAGGAGTGCTCATGGCAAAGCGACAGACGCAGCGGAGCGAGTCGAGAAGAGCGAGGCGAAGGACAGAGAGCGGACTACCAAGGTCCGCCCGCGACTGCTCGTCGACCACAGCTGATGACGCCGCTTGTGATGCTTGCTAGCTTTCCAGACAGTGGACTCATCTGCTGCGCGCTTCAAAGCACCGCCGGAACTCGTCGTCGTCGGTCCTCCGCTTCATCACCTCGACCCCTCAAAGGCGGCGTGTACGAGGTGCGGGGCTACGGGCTGACTGTAGCGGCGGGAAGAGCTTTCAATGGCGCCGCGATCAGACGACCAGGCTCCCATTGATGCGTGATCCCACCGGATGCCACCCTCCGCTCCTCCTCCTCGTCGCGATTGCCTCGCCCCCACTCTCTCGCTTTGATCAGCGCGCCGACGTCTGCGCCGCCAGGAGCCCTTTGGCAGGGCCCGCCGGGCCAAGGAGCGACAGTTGTGCGCCGCTTGCCGGCCGGTAACCGCCTCACGGGTCCGGCTGCTGTAAACGATCAATGACTAGCTTCTCCTGCTCCTCTTGCGCTCGCGAGGCGGGGAAGAAGCATGGAGACCCGCTTGCTCGCTCGCTTCTTCCATCGCTTCTCTACCGCTGCAGTCGGCCACTCCAGCCAACCATGCAGCTCCCGACTTCAACCCTCGCCGCGCTCTTCGCCAGTCTCGTGTTCAGCTCATTTGCGGCTGCTGCTCCCACTGCTGAGCTCGACAACAACGGAGGACCCGTCGTCGACCTTGGCAAGTACGGCAAGTTCTTGGGAACTGTGCAAAACAACGGCACCGTCCACTCGTGGAAAGGTGAGTCGTCCGCGCCCTCGGTTCTGTCTCCCCTCGACTGACGCTGCTTTGCTCGCGCCAGCCGTCCCGTATGCCGCCCCTCCCGTCGGCGATCTCCGCTTCAAGGGTGAGTCTCGAGGCAGCAACCCATCTCTCAAAGCCGTCTCGCACATCCCATTCCGCAGCTCCTCGCTCGCTTCCAACCCAGAACAGCACCATCCAAGACGTCTCGCAAGACTTCCCAGGGCACATCACCGCCTGCGTCCAGTTCGGGACGACATCCTTCGTTGGTGTGAAGTGAGGGTCCTTCCTTCGCTTCCTCCTCTCCACCCGCCTTCCTTTCCTTTCCAACATTCGCATGATCAATACGAGCAACTCGGCAAGAGCCCCGTTGTAGTCGGAAGCTTGTGCTGACATTCGATGATCGCAGCGCCTCGCCAGGTACGGAGGACTGCCTCAAGCTTTGGATTTGGGCGCCGGCGAAGGCCAAGGCAGGCGACAAACTGCCTGTCGTCGTTTATACCCATGGTGGAGGGCTACAAGTACGTACACCTATCTATTCCCACACAAGAACCAGCAACTTAGCCATTTTCCCCGCTCCGTGCGGTATTCGCTTCGCAGAACTCGCAGTCGCCGAACAACGACTTCTCCGACATGGTCGGGCAGGACGGAGGGTTCATTGCGGTCAACGCCAACTACCGCCTCGGCTTGCTCGGGCATTGGAACAGCGTTGCCTCGCGCGACGAAGGCGAGCCGGGCAACCTCAGTCTGCTTGACGGTCGCTTCGCCGTCGACTGGGTTCACAAGAATATCGCGGTGAGTGTCATCGCTCGTCGAGTGTGATCAAGCTGACATAGCGCTTGCCCAGCAATTTGGTGGCGACCCTAACAACATCGCGATCCAGGGCCAGAGCGGCGGAGGCGGAGCCATCATGTCCCAGCTGGTCCTCTACGATGGCAAGAAGCCCAACTACCAGAAGGCGATTCCGCGCTCGAACCAGAACTACGCGGCGTACAAGATCGAGGATTTGACGGTGCGTGCAGCTGCGCTTCTCCTTCTGATCAGTGAGCTGACCCGCTTGTTTCAGCCCCGCAACGACGCCTTCGCCAAGCTAGTCAACTGCACCGACTCGGCTAGCACGAAGGAAGGCGCAGCAAAGCAGCTCGCTTGCATGCGCTCGCTTCCAGCCGAGACGATCCGTCTGGCCGCGGTCAACTTCTCTCGCACGGCGCAGCCCAACGGGTGCGTCCTTCTTGCATCTGACTCGAAGTTAAAGTAGCTGACACAGCGCCGCAGGTACTCGTGGCCTGGATGGCTCCCCTCGGTTGACGGCGAGACGCTCACGGACCAGCCAATCCGCCTCTTCAACCAGGGCAAGATCGCCAAGGTCCCCGTCTTGAGTACGCATCGTCTCCGCGGTCTTGTATCGCTCGGTGCTGATTGCTGGACCTGCAGCTGGCGACGTGACGAACGAGTTTGGCCAACTGAACCCGCACCCGAACGGCAACTTCACGGCGCTCGTCAACAGCACCATTGGGCCCGCAGTCACACCCGACTTTATCGCAGAGATGGAGCGCATCTACCCGGCGCCGATCGCGAACGCCTCGCTCGACACAAACACCTACGCCAGTTCGTCCAGCTTCCTCCTCCACCTCGTTGATCATCTTAACGGGATCTTGTCCACAGCGGAAGATAACCGCGGCTGGACCTTCATGAACGAGTACTCGTTCAACGGCGCGGCGTTCGCGATCGCGCGCGCAGCGAAGAAAGCCGGCCTCCCCTCGTTCTACTACCGCTTCAACGCGCCGCAGACGCAGAAGTACCCCGCCTACTACGGGGCCAGTCACAGTGCGGACAACTGGCACCTCCAGAATGCTACGAGCGAGATGAACGCGACGGAGAAGGCGGTCGCGTACGAGTGCGTATGGACTTTCCCAAGCTCTGCTTCTGCTTGCTGAATTGTCTTGCGCACTCTCAGGTGGCGCGCCTACATTTCGAGCTTCATCAAGCACAGCGAGTGTGTCACGCTCTGCCCAGGGAATCCGCAGGCCATCTCTAACCGCCACCTCCTTCTCGCAGCCCAAACACAGCCCGCCTCGCCTCCTCTCCCGAATGGCAGCAATTCAACCCGACCTACCGCTACGCTCCGCGCCTTCTCGTACAGCAACAACTCGCCGCTTCGGCGAACCTCTCGGCTCCGACGGGGACGGGGATGGAGTTGGTCCCGACGAACGAGTGGGATAGGCTGGCGCTGTGGACTTCGGAGGAGGTGATCAAGATGACGAAGCAGTGAGGCGTCAGGGCCGTTTGATTTTTGTTGGGTCGAAAGGAAGGAACGCTCGTACAGGCTCTCGAAGAAATGTCAAGTCAATTGTCCGTAGTCTCGTTCTCTGCGGCGCCCGTGACGACGATGCGCATGAGTCCTTCCACGGCCTCCTCGATGCTAAGCACAAGAAGCGACCGAACCGAAGACGAGGGACGAAGAGAGAGAGAGAGAGAGAGAGTGAGTGTGTGAGAGCGAGTTTGCAGGTACAACGGCAGAGCAGTTTACGACCGGAAGTGAGACGGAGAGACGGAAGAGAAGAGAAGAGAAGAACAACGAGGAAGAGAAGGAAGAGGCTATTGAGGAGGCTATGTGGCTGGCGGAGCGGGAGGAGATGCTGCGAGAGTTGAGAAGGAGGGAGGGTGAAGGCGATAGTATGGTAGGGGTGTGCCCGCGGGGTGAACGCGAGAGAGGGAGAGACGCAGGGCGGGCCGTTGAAGGGACCGTTGGTATACGAGATGTCGAGCGATGTCGACGAGAGGCGGAATGGAAGACCGGGGAAACGAAGGCGGGAGTGGAACGACAAGATAAAGAAGACGAGGAGGGCGAGGGAAGTGCGAATGTACGCCTAGTCGAGGTGAACGCGCATCTGGTCGAGCGGGATCGGGTCAAAGTTGTTGACGTCGACGCCCCTGCTCAGCAGCTCCTGCTCGGCATGGGCGGGGACGAGGTTCTTGATCAAGTCGGGCCTGCACGACAACTCTTCGCGGGTAAAGTCGAACAGCGGCGGGAGGTCCTTGCCCGTCGGCATCTTGGCGTCGGGGACCTTGAGGTCGTCGAAGAAGGGATGGCACATGGATTCGATGGCGGTGAGGCGGGCGGAGGGCGTGTATTCGAGGAGCTTGGAGATGAGGTCGATGGCCTCGGGAGGCGTGCGGGGACGGAAGACCTTGACAAAGGGATGAGGCTGCGCGGGGGACGGAGGTCAGCGGTTACTCTCGCTCGAACACGCTGGAAACGCACCTTGATCTGCGGGAACTTGTGCTCCATGTAGTTCGGGTTCATCGTCTTGATCTGCTCGCGAGTCGGCGTGCCAAGCACCTTGATGATCTCGACGAGCTGGTCGATCCTGCGGGCGGGGTCCTGGTCAGCTCGCGGCGATGACGAGTCGCGAGGAAACGCCGGACTCACCCAGACTCGCCGGGGAAGAGGGGCTGTCCAAGCATGAGCTCCGCCATGACACATCCCGCCGACCAGACGTCTGGGCGCGACAAAAGGGTTAGTTCATCAGCCGCTCGACGAGCGAGCGAATTGCCGACTCACCAATGTTGGTGGTGTAGTTGGTTGCGCCAAAGATGAGTTCGGGCGCGCGGTAGTACCTCGAGCAGATGTAGCTGACGTTGGGTTCTCCCTCGACCAAGATCTTTGCCGACCCAAAGTCGCACAGCTTGAGGACGCCAGTCGGGGGGTTGAGGAGCAAGTTCTGAGGCTTGATGTCGCGGTGGCAGATGCCGATCGAGTGGATGTAGGCGAGCGAGCGCATGAGCTGGTACATGTACAGCTTGATGTAGGCCATCGGCATCGTCTGCTTGAGCTTGGCGTAGTGCCGCGACGCGCGGTAGACCGTCTCGGGCACGTACTCGAGGACGAGGTTGAGGTACACCTCGTCCTTCTTGGGCTGCGAGCAACCTAAGGTGAGCGTGACCCTCCAGGACGCGTCTCAGCCCAGACTGACCTTGTCCCCGTTCGAGTAGAAGAATGCGCGCAGGTTGACGACGTTCGGGTGCCTGACGACCCTCATGATCTGCAGCTCTCGGTTCTGCGGGCGCGCAGCGAAAAGAAAGCCCCAGTCAGCCTCCCCTCCTCCCTCACACTGGGCCTTTCGAGACGCACCTTGAACCGCTTGTCCTGCAACACCTTTTTGATCGCGACATCGTCATCGCCCTCGTTGTCGGGTCCGAGCGATCCAGGCGCGAGTTTTGCCGCAAAGACGACGCCGAAGGAGCCGTTGCCGACGACCTTGGTCGACGAGTAGCTCAACTCGCATTGCTCGCCCGTGCGCCCGTTCGAGGCGATCACCTTGACGACCTTTTGAGATTCGTCGGCTGTGCTCGTGCGAGCGCGAGGCGCGAGAGGAGGTGTCATCGATGTCGATGCGAGGGTGTGGTCGCGGTCGAGGGCGGCATCCCGGGCGGCGTGCGCGTCCGGCACAGGCGACGAGGTAGGCGTGACGAGTGCCGCAGCGAGCGGCGGTGGGCGGTTGCGAGACCGGAGCGAGCGAGAACGCGACCGAGGTCGCCGGTTCGAGGAGGGCGAGTCGAGCACGTGTGGGGAGGACGGGTTGAGAGGCGAGCGAGGGGTGACGGGCGATGCGGGGCGCGACCAGGAGATGGGGGAGCGAGGGCCGACGTATTCGATCAGGAGGGAGAAGGGGAGGACGGGGCGAGGTTGCGAGGGTGCCGAGGGGTTGAGCGAGAGCGGGAAGTCGAGAGGGGGCAGGAGCGAGTTCATTCGAGCGAGTGTCAGCGTGTTGTTTCCTCCCTGTGAGTGTGTTGCTGTGTGCTATCGTTCCATGGCTAAGCGAGTGCGAGTGTGAGAGAGAGAGCGAGAGCGATGTCGTCGAGTGGGCGAGGCCCAGCCCAGCTGACCCGCGAACGAGCAAGCCAACCCGCGTCTGCCGTCCTCGCACCCTCACTGAGCCATACAGCCAGTCCACCGTAGTCTGCTCAGCCTGTCTTGCCACCCAGAGAACGAGCGCAACCCTGCGTGCGAGCGAGCGAGTGTATGCTCCGTCTCGTGATCCCTCCCGTCGCTGCCTGCCCACCACACGGCCCTTTTCGAGTCGACACAAGCCGGGATGGCGAGATCCAACCCTGTGTACGAAGGAGAGACCGCACGCACCCATGTACTGGACGTGGTGAGGGAGTTTGAAAGGCGAGAGAGTCGAGGAGGGTGGGGTGGAGTGAAGCGGGCGACGCAGAGTGAGGGAGCGGCGTGGTCGGATGGGCGTGAGATGCGGTGCGTCCTGTGAGGTTGTGTTTCGTGCGACTGGGCAGCAGTACCAGGAGAGGCGGGCGTCGAGGTGAGTCTGGGTGAGCGAGGGGGACGACGAGCAAGAGAGGGTCGGTCAGTGACCCTCGACACGGCCGTCGTACAGCGTGGACTCGACCGCACAGCGACGACCACAGCCAACTCACTCTCTCGCAAACAAGTCCAGCCCAAAAGACGGCGTGTCGTCGTGTTCCTCTCCTCGAACCCAAGCAAGACCAACGTCGCAAACAGGACCAATCTCGCAGCAGTGCTCGCGGATCCCGCACCTCCACCGCTGCGATCACCCGACTTGAGCACATCCGAGACCCCGTCAGAGACCGCCGAACAACAGAGTCGCGGCCCTGTCTCCCTCTCCAGGTCGATGCGAAAAGGTACTGTTACAGTCGCAAGGCCGCGTAGAGTACAGTTACACGACAACGGGAGAGAGAGAGAGAAAGATACTGGTGTGACAACGAGAAGATGGTGATAGTCGAGGCGTGAAGCGGGAAAAGCGAGGCGAAAGAGAGGGTAAGACGTCGGGGTTCGTTCACCGCCTGCGGTGAGGCTTGCAGCCCTTGCGCTTCTCTGCGAACACGAGAGAACATCAGCAACTCTCCTCTCCGAAGGAGGCAACGCATCGCTGTGTAAGATGCCCGGAAAACCGCAACTCACTCTCTCCAGGCGCGGTAAAGTGCGTCCGAGGCGTCTGCTTGACCGTGAAGCCCTTGGACGACCTGTATGCCTCGCGGCGGGACATGCGTGGGCCCGAGGTCGAGATCTTGGGTTTGGGGGCGGACGAGTCGGCGGCAGAGGCGGAGGTTGAGGCGGTGGGTTCGACGTCCATGACTGCGAGGGAGAGGAGTCAGCGTGTTTGCGGCGCGAACGCTTCGCACATCGAGAGCTCGTGTCACGCGTGTTCAACGAGCCCCCGAAAGCGCCAAAGCGACTCGCAAACAGACGGAAGACTCACCTCCCTCCTTCTCCTCCTCCTTCTCCTCCTCCTCCGCCTCGTCCTCTCCCTCAACAGTCTCATACCCCGCCTGTTCCCTCTCCCACTCCTCCTTATCCGTCAACTGCCTAGGCTTCAACGAGCTCTGCTTGAGCTTTGCGTTCAACCGCGCCAGTCGGATGTCTTCGGCCAGCTTGAAGGCGGATTTGGGGTCTTCCCGCTTGACGGCGCGGAAGTGGCGTTTGGTTTTCGAGCGCTGCGGGCGGGAGAAGAGTCGGGAGGGAGAGGTGGAGAGTAGGAGGTCAGCATGGAGCAGGAAGCGGGCGAGTCGGAGCGTTAGAGTAGCGCACGAGAGACTTGGCCTGCGAGCGTAGACGGTCACAGTGTCAGCGTTCGCTCGGTTGCGTGGCGAGTTGTGCGATGAGGCGATGAAGATGGCGAGGCGGGGTGGGAGGCGTGCGAGTCGCTCGGCGTAGCAGCCTGGATCGCTCGGCGGGATGTACGCACCATTGTGAGTGTCTATGCGCGTTCACGAGCGGGCAGGCGGTGTGCGAGTGTGCCAAGTCGAGTGCGGAGGGGAACCGCCTCTCCCAAGCTCAGCCAACACACTCGCTCTCTCCACCTCCCACTTTCCAACGCTACGAAGACGATGGGCAAGAAGTCTCAATCCAAGGGCAAGCAGCCCGCACCCGCGCGACCCACTTCCAAGCCCACCGCCGCACCAAAGAAGCCCGCCAACTCGCCCAAGACCAAGCTCGCGAAGGCTGTTGCGGTGCCTCTCCCGCGCGAGAGCTCGCCTGATGTGATGGACCGTGCGGGTGAGGAGGAGTCAGAGGAGGACGAGGAGTTTGAGCTGGAGGACTTGCTGGATGTTGAGGCGAGTGAGGACGATGAGGATGAGGAGATGGAGAGTGGGGAGGACGAGGCGGAGGGGTTGGGACCGATGAGCGGGGAGAGCTCGAGTGAGGAGGACGGCGAGGGCGAGAGCGAGTCGGAGGACGAGGAGGACGACGTGACGGAGGAGGCCTTCGAGCGGATGATGAAGGTGTGTTCGGCTCGCCCTCCATTTGCGGACTTTCGAGCGCGCTGACGGTCGTCTTATACAGCTCCTTGGACCAGTAGACGCGGCCGAACTCGGTCTGCTCGACGCCGAGGACGAGGAAGAGGAAGGATCGGACGAGGAGGAGGAGGAGGGCTCTGAGGAGGAGTCCGTGGAAGAGGCTGTTGCGGAGAACGAGGATGTCGAGCTCAAGCCGTACGAGGATCTCGAAGAGGAGGACCCGGATGTTGCGCCCGTCGAGAAGAACACGGTCAACGACAAGGTGCGTTCCCGCCTCCCTCTGCTTTCCTTTCGACGGCCAGCTCACTCGCGCTTCTCTCGTAGGTCGCCCTCGAGCGAGTACTTACGACGATCAAGGCGGACGCCGGCTTCTTCGACACCCTCACTCTCGTCAACCCGACTCCTCTGAATGTCCCCGACGCGAACAACGACCTCGAGCGCGAGTTGGAGTTGTGCGTCGCGAGCTTCCATGTTCATATCGCTTCTGACGATACTGACGTCCCTTCGCACTCGCAGCTACAAGCAGTCCCTGTGGGCCGCGATGCACGCCGAATCGCTCTTCGAATCCGCCGACCTGCCCTTCCACCGCCCGACCGACTACTTCGCCGAGATGGTCAAGACGGACGCGCACATGGCCAAGATCCGCCAGTCGCTCCTCGACGAGCAGGCGGGCATGAAGGCGAGCGACGAGGCGCGCAAGTTGCGCGACGCCAAGAAGTTTGGAAAGAAGGTCCAGGTCGAGCGGTTGCGCGAGCGCGAGATGGAGAAGAAGGCGGTTGGGCAGAGGCTCGAGAGTCTCAAGAAGAGTGAGTCGTCGCAGATGCCTTTCTGCACGAGCGAGCGAGGGCTGACTCTCACTTCGTCCCGCGCAGAGCGCAAGTCTGGCGAGGCATCGTTCGGCGGCGAGGACTTCGATGTCGCACTCGAAGACGCGCTCGCGCAGACGTCCTCGTCGAAGAAGCGCAAGCTGAACGAGTCGGAGCGCCCCGGCCGCGCACGAAAAGGCATCTCTCGCAAGGGTCGCGACGCCAAGTACGGGTTCGGCGGTGGCTCACGACGGGGCAAGCAGAACAACGACAGGGAGGACGACAAGAAGGCGTCTGGTGGTGGAGGCGGAGGCAGGGGACGCGGTGGAAAGGCGGGAGGAGGAGGAGCGGGCGGAGCGGGCGGAGGCAAGCCGAAGCGGCTGGGCAAGAGCAGGCGGAAGTGAGCGGGTCTACTCTCCTGCAGTGCAGGTTCATTCACGCTTCGCTCGCCTGGAAACGAGAGATGAGGTCGTCGTCGTTGTCGGCGGGAAAGGGGGCGTCGCGAGTTCGCCGGGGCCTCCGCAATTTCCACAGCGGCGAAGTTGGGCGCTCGTCTCCTTCCGCTCGCTCACTCCTCCGTCTGCTGCTTTCTTCGATTCTATACACAGCTAACGAGCATATCCTACAATGCCGGCCACCCCTCTCCCAACGTGCGTCCTCGCTCTCGCTCCTCGCCGCCCGTCATTCTCCCCACATCGGTCTCCTCGTCCTCGCCGCTCGAGCACTCGCGCACGCACGCTATGGGGCTGGCAGCGTCGACAGTGATGCGATGGAGCACCGCGAACCACTCAGAGACTGACCGCCGCCCTCGTTTGTCCCGTTCGCAGCGACGGCGTCGTCGGCAAACTCACCTCTGAGCAGGAGCGCAAGCTCAAAGAGTTCTGGACCGAGTTCTTCAAGCTGATCGACGAGTCGCCGACCGAGGGCAGCGGCGCAAAGTCGGCGGCGATGCAGGAGGCGAGCGACAAGCCTGGAAAGGACATCCCCAAGGACGATGCGGCGAAGGAGCGCATGAAGGCGGAGCAGGAGATGCGGGACGCCAAGCTCGCTTTCATTGAGTGTGAGTGGAGATGCTGGGGGACGGATAACGCGAACCGGGCGAGACTAACGAGACCGTTGTGACCTCGCCGACAGACGGCAGCGTTCGCTTCATGGACGCATACTGGCGCCTCGTGCGTCGTTCCGGCTTGCATCCGCTACCACTATTGTACTGACGAGCCCTGTTGTACGCAGATCGCCATGGACGACCCCGACGGCATCATGCTCCGCTTCCTTCGCGCTCGCAAATGGTCGCCTAGCGCCGGTGTTGCAATGGTGCGCCTCATTCCGCTGCGCTCTCCTAGACCAGCATTGTTGACTCGTACTGTCGTAGCTTGCCGCGTGCGTCAAGTGGCGCATGGGATCGGACGTCGAGAAGATCTTCGAGAAAGGCGAGGAGGGCATGAAGGAGGCCGAGGGTTTCATCAAGCAGATGGTGCGTGCGTGCGACAGTTTACCTGAGTACAGGACTGACGTGGCACGCGACGCAGGAAATTGGCAAGACTTACACGCAAGGAACCGACTACTTCGGTCGTCCCGTCGTGTCAGTTCCGCTTCCCATCTCGTGTTCTTCCTTCGCGATCCACCACTCACCCTGTCGTGACGCAGCTACATCCACGTCGCCAAGCACCGCACATTCGACCAGTCTCCCAAGGCGCTCGAGGATTTCGTTCTGTTCCAGATGGAGAGTATCAGGTGTCTCTTCGCTCCTCCCGTCGACAAGATCAACAGTACGTTCGCTTTGCGCATCCTCGCATAGTGTGTGTGCTGACTGAGAGGACTACGCAGTGGTCTTCGACATGACTGGCTTCGGTATTCGTAACGTGAGCTCCGTCTCTCCGCCTTCCGTACTCTCGCCTCGTGCTGACCGCCTCTCGCTTGGCAGATGGGTCCGTCTCATATCGATGGCTCTCAGCAAGTCGAGCGCTCTGACCAACTCGTCTCACAGATTGGCGCTGCATCCTCTTCATCGTCAAATGCCTCGAAGCGTACTACCCCGAATCGCTCAATGTCATGCTCATTCATAACGGTGCGTCCCCATCAATCCTCACTCAGCCCCGTCGGAAACTGACGCGGCATTCGTGCAGCCCCGTGGGTCTTCCAGGGTATCTGGAAGGTCCTTGCGCCGATGCTTGACCCCGTTGTCCGTAACAAGATTGTGCGCCGCGCTCCCTTGCGTCCGCATCTGCTCTGCCCAGCGCTTGAAACTGACTAGAAAGGGTCTCCGCGTGTTCAGCAAATGACCAAGTCGACCGAAGACCTCGTCCAGCACATCCCCAAGGTGCGCACCCGCCTTCTCTCGTCCGTCGTGCGGGCGCTATCAGGACGCTGACGTTCCCGGTCTTCGCAGGCACACCTCGTCCGCGAACTCGGCGGCACGTCCGAGTGGAAGTGGCAGTACCCGCCTATCGTTCCAGGCGAGAATGCGCCTCAGCAGTGCGTCCGGTTCTTCGCCTTCTTTTCGCCGGCCGCTGCTGATTTTCCTACCTCCATGCAGGGACCGCGAAGGCAGGCAGGCGAGTCTCCACGACCTCTCGCCGCCAAACAAGCGACCTCACTAACCCGGACCTTCTCAACCCTCCCACAGAAAGCACAAGCCGCACGCAACGCGCTCATCGAAGAATACGTCGAGGTGACGCGCCAGTGGATCAAGACGGACGACCCGGCCGTGACGAAGAAGAGGCGGATGATTGTCGACAAGATGCGCGCGCAGTACCATGAGCTTGACCCGTTCATTCGTGGGCGTGGGGCGTACCACCGGAACGGAAACGTGCGTGCGGTCTTCCTGATTGACAGTAGCAGTGTGTACTGACTCGTCGTCGATTCACCCGCAGATCGTCGGAAACGTAAGTTCATCCTTTTCGGGCGAGTCGCCCGCTTCCTCGAGCTTGACTGACGCTTTCGTCCGCAGGGCCTTGTCGTCTTTACCTACCCGTCAAGCAGCGACGAGAAGAGCGAGGGCGAGTGGGAGGTTCGCGGCTACGAGACGTGCCGCGAGTCGTGCTTGCTCCGCGCAAAGGTGACGGAGGAGGAGCTCAAGGCGGGCGTCTGAACGTCCCAGGACCCTTCTCTCCATCTTACGACCCAACAGATGTGTCTGTAGCTGTAGCTATCGCCGTTGTTCCACCTTGTCGAGTCCTGTATTGCCGTTTATTCCGTCCGTCGCCTCTTCGGCCTCCTCGGGAGACTGACCATCGCGGTGGCGACTCCCCTTGGACGCTCGCTGGCCAGGAGAGCGCCAATGCGCCCGGAGAAAGTGGCGACAGAAGTCCAGGAGACTCGGTTCTCTTCGCAACGTCGGCGACTTTGGCAAAGGCGGGGCCTCCCTCTCCTCGCCCTCCTACTCGCTCTCAACTCGCCTTCGCGGGACTCGGGGACAAGCTAGGACACTCGCACACGCTCGACCGAGCATACCCGAGCCAAGCACGCCCAACTCCAACGCCTTGACACCCTCCCGATCCTCACCTTCTCCACACCTGCTCTCGCACTCGCCGCCAGCCATGGTCAATCTCGACATGACGCCAGGCCAGCGGGCTGTCTTGACCGCTGTCGCCGACGCCGCCTTCCAGGCCCACGGGCCAGAGACGGTCAGCGAGATCAAGTCGCTTCTCCCGCCAGGTGCCCCGCAATACCAGCTCGAGAACCGCACGCTCGTTCGCCGCCCTCTATTCGATGCAAGCTGACGTTGTTCGTCGCACACAGTCGAGAGGTTTGTGCGGAGCAAGTTCAGCGACTTGCCTGGGTCGGTCGATGCGCTCGCCCAGCAATTCTGCACCTCGCTCTCGAAGGAGAACGTCGACAAGATCGCCCTCACCCTCTCGCTCCTCTCGACCCGTCCCGGCACCCTCCTCCTCGCCGGCCACGCGACACCCTTCCCCGACTTGACGGTCCAGCAGCGCGAACTCGTCCTCCAGAAGTGGCGCGTCTCGTCCCTCCCGCTCCTCCGCCAGGCCTTCCGCGGCCTCGTCTCGCTCGCCCTCTTCGTCGCCTACAACCTCTACGACGAGGTCCTCTTCGCCATCGGCTATCCCGCTTCGGGCGATGAGAAGCGCTTCGCCGACCCCGACCGCCTGCGCAAGCACTTCCCCTACACCTTCGAGAAGATCGAAGTTCCCTACCAGGTCTTCGACACCGACATGCTTGTCGTCGGATCCGGCGCAGGCGGTGGAGTCGTCGCCTCTGAGCTGTCGAAGAAGGGATGGAACGTCTTTGTCGTCGAGAAGGGCCAGTACGTCAAGCCGGAGGACATGGCTGGCACGCAGCGCGACGGCTTCAAGAGGCTGTACGAGTCTGAGGGCTTGATGGCCACAGAGGACGGCTCGATGAACGTCCTTGCCGGCTCGACCTTTGGCGGCGGAACGGTCGGTGCGTGCTGTTCCTCTCTCCGCAGCTTACTCAGTCCCTCACGTTGTTCCGTGCGCAGTCAACTGGTCCGCCTCGCTCCGCCCTCAGCACTTCCTCCGCGAGCAGTGGGCGAAGGAGCACGGCCTTCCCTACTTCCTCTCGACCGAGTACGCAAAGTCGATCGAATACGTCTGCGACCGCATGGGCGTTTCGGACGAGCACCTCGAGCACAACCGCGCGAACCAGCTTCTCGTCGAGGGATCAAAGAAGCTCGGCTACCCTATCTCGAAGATCCCCGTGCGTTCCCTTCGCCGGCCTTGCGAAAGGCTTCGCTCATGCTCTTCCGCTCACAGCAAAACACCGGCGGCCACGCCCACGCTTGCGGCTACTGCGGCTTCGGCTGCACATACAGCGAGAAGCAGTCCGGCACGGTGACTTGGCTCCGCGACGCCGCCGAGCACGGCGCCAAGTTCATGACCGAGACCTCCGTCGAGCGCCTGCTCTTCGCTGCCTCCCCTTCTTCGGCCCTTCCCACACCCGAGACGCTCGACAAGTACACCCCCTCGTCGAGCCGAAGGCACTGCATCGGCGCGCTCGTCAAGGACAAGAACGGCAACCTTGCTGTGATCCGCGCTAAGCAGTCGACCATCGTCTCGGCGGGTACGATCCACTCGCCTGCGGTGTTGATGCGCAGCGGTCTCAAGAACCCGCGCATTGGCCGCAACCTTCGCTTGCACCCGGTCGTGGTGAGTTGACTTCGCCCTCTCGGTACTTTTGCATGACCCACGCTGATCTTCGTCTGGCAGTTCACGACCGGTCTTTACGATGAGCACATCAGGCCGTGGGAGGGCGCGATCATGACGGCCGTCACTGGCGTGCAGGAGGTCCGTCGCCTTTTCGCTCCTCGCACCGAGCATTCCGCTAATCTCTCGCACTCGTCTCGCACGCAGAACTGGGACGGTTCGCACCACGGCGTCAAGATCGAGGTCATCCAGTCATTCCCTGGAGGACAGGCAGCAGGCTTTATCGGCTGGACGTCGAGCAAGGAGCACAAGAAGACGATGGCGCAGTACGGCAACTTGCTCACGCTCATCTCGATTGCGCGAGACCGTGGCTGTGAGTGCGAGTTTCGTCGTGCTTGGGCGAACGTCGAGCTGACCTTCTCACCCTCGTTGTAGCGGGCCGCGTCTTCCTTGACTCGGAGGGCAAACCTAGGATGGACTACACCGTCAACTCCTACGACAGCAACTCCCTTGTGCGGGGCACGATCGCCGCCGCCGAGATCCACCTCGTGAACGGCGCCAAACGCATCACGACCGCCCAAGTCGACGTCGAGGACTACGTCCCTGCTCCGGGTCACCAGTACCTCGCCGACCCCAAGTGGAAGGAGTGGGTTGCGAAGATTGAAAAGGCGGGTGTGTACCCTGGACGGTGCGCGATTGGGAGCGCACACCAGATGGGCTCGTGCCAGATGGGAGCGAAGCCTTCGACGAGCGTCGTCGACCCGCGTGGAAGGGTTTGGGGAACGGATGGCCTCTACGTCGCGGACGCTTCGGTGTTCCCGACCGCGTCGGGCGTGAACCCGATGATCACGGTGCGTTCGAGCCGACCCTTCTCTCGCCTCTCGTCCTCGAGCTGACGTCCCGCCCACCTCGCTAACGCAGAACATGTCGCTCTCGCACTCGATCGCGCGGTTCATCGACGAAGACGCGCGCGAAGCCGTCTCTCAGCCCGTCCAGGCGCAGCTCTAAGCTGCCCTCCTTAACGACCTTTCGCTCCCTCCTCCTTACTCTCGGTTTCTCTCTCGCTCTCGCTGTTGTTTCCCGGTCTGTATCGCTCATTAGTGCCAAATTATGAAGTGGTTCTTTACAGAGCTGAGCGAGGGGGAACGAAAGTGCACTGCGAGAGAGAGAGAGAGTATGGACTGTACAGCTTGCCAAGCGAGAGAAAGCGCGCTAGACGAGGGAAAGAGCGGAGGGGGAGCCAAGGCTGACCGAACGCGACGCTGCCTTGCCTCGATCCTAGACCATGGTCGTCGCAGGTTGCTGGGTCGGCGCGGCGGCGGCGGTTCCCATGTTTCCTCCTCCACCGACGACGGGCGCATTCTTGGCCTCGGTCGTCATCGCATCGTGGCGGGTTCCTCCCATCGTCGTCGAGTCGTAAGCGATCGGCTGAGTCCACGCCTGCGAGCCCTTGTTGCGGTGGCCAAAGATGGCGAAGGTGAGGAGGAAGGCGAGGAGGAGGGTGAGGTCGACCCAAGTCAACCACGCAAACGCCTGAGTCGCCTTGCCCGTGCCCGAGATGGTGCTCGTCCAGCCCCACCAGACCCAGCCGAACCCGCTCGAGAGGGCGCCGGCGCCGCCGACGAAGAGGCACCAGAGGACGAAGACGAGGACCAGCTCGACGAGGATCGACGAGAGGACGTGCGTCGAGTTGCGGCGGTGGAAGAGGAAGTGGCTGTGCGCGCGCGGGAGGCGAGAGATGGTCAGCTCAGTTCGAAGAGGGCGAGGGCACGTGAAAACTCACAGGACGGGAAGGGAGAGGAGGAGGATGACGGATGCGGCGATGAGCTCGGCTCCGGCGGGGTCGTACCACTCAAAGGTGGACTGGAGCTTGGCGGTGTAGGCGCAGGCGAGGACGAAGGTGAGGAGGGCGGTTCCCGTTGCGATTGCTACGAGGAGGGTGTGGACGAGCGCCCAGGTTGAGAACGCCATGGTTGCGGGCAGTCGCAGGTGGTACGGTCGAGAGTGCAGCGAGTTGTGCAAGTGAGCAGGAAGCGTACGACGGAGAGAGTGAGCTTGTGAGAGAGTGAAGGTGGAAGAGAAGCGAAGAGGACGACGCGGGAAGGGGAGCCACGGGGTCCGAGAGCGATCTCGCTCCAGCTCGAGAGCTTCCAAGCACCGCCTCGCTCTGCCCCCATTCAATCTGGGAAACGAGCGCACGAGCACCGCCCAGCCTCAGCTCTTCCCTCTTGCCCTCCGCCTGCTGACCCTGGTGCGCGCTGTTCCTGTGCAAAGAGAGAGCACCGCCTGAAACTGCCCTGTCGTGGCAAGTGAGCGGCAAGAATGCGCAATCAGAGACCCACTCGCCCGGGAGGGTCACCAGGTCAAGGGCAGCGCGACAAAGTGGGTCTGCGTGCCAAGAAGAGCCGAAAATGGCTGAGCGAACCCCGTTCTGGTCCTGCTCGAGTGCTGTACACGCAAGGCTGTGCTCGTGCGGCCCGCCCAGCTACAACGACGACTCGAGTGGCTGGAGGACGAGAGCCAGGCTGAGCGGAGGAGGAGGCGACTCCAGGACCACCCGCTGTGACCTGCTCACACTCGCTCAATGGCGCGACTGCTGCGCAAGAAGTACAGCTACCTCCCTCCAGAAGGCACAGTCGACCACCTCGTCGTCGGCGCAGGCGTCGTCGTGCGTCTCTCGCTCCTTCCCCACCTCCAACCGATGAAGTTGGACGAGGCAGACGTGGCTTCCTGCTGGCTCGTGCTGACTGTGACACGAGCACGATAGGGTCTCGCTGTTGCTGAGCGACTCGTCAAGGCCTTTCCCGGGCGCAGCACCTTTGTAGTCGAGCGGTTCGTCCACTTCCTCCCCGTCGGGTGTCCTCGCTGACCCGTCCTCTTCGCGCAGACACGGCCAAGTAGGCCAAGAGACCTCTTCCCGAAACAGCGAAGTCATCCACTCAGGGATCTACTACCCCCCTCACTCGCTCAAGACCGCCCTGTGCATCCGCGGGCGCGACTTGATCTATCAGCGATGCGAGCAGTACGGGATTGGGTGCAAGAACACGGGCAAACTCGTGCTGGCGACGAGTAAGGAGCAGATGGGGTACTTGAAGGCGCTGCATGAGAAGGCGGGAAAGTTGAGGGAGTTGGGAGTTGGGGACGTGCCGCTCGAGTGGTTGAGCGGCGAGCGGGTGCGCGAGTTGGAGCCTGATGTGGGCGAGAGGGTCGTCGGGGCGCTGTTGAGTCCCAAGACGGGCATCGTGTCGAGCCACGAGTTGATGGAGAACCTCGAGAAGGGTGCGTCCCGTCCTCCGTCCCTTCGCTTCCACCTGTGCTGACCTCCTCCCCGCGCACAGAAATCACCGACAGCGAGACGGGCGAACTGGTCTACGGCACGCGGGTCGTACGGATAGACCGGGCGGAACCGAGCGGAGGAGGCAAGCGAGGAGACGGGAGCGAGGACGGCTGGGTCGTGCAGACTTTGACGGAGGACGGCGGCGGCGGAGAGGGCGAACGGACGGCGGTGTTGGCCAAGTCGGTCATCAATGCGGCTGGGTTGAAGTGAGTCGGATCCCTTCCATCGCTTGTAGAAGCGGGACTGACGAGGACTTCGGCGCAGCGCGCACCACATCCTCAACCAGATTCTGCCGCAGGAGCAACGACTACAGCTGCACTTTGCCAAGGGCTCCTACTTCTCATGTGCGATCGCGTCCCCTTCGCCTCACCAAGCGTCCTTCGCTGACATCCTCTTTGAGCAGATCGCGGTCCCGGCGTGAGCAACGTCCGACACCTTCTGTACCCTTGTCCCGAGGAGAATGTGTGCGTCCGCCCCACCCAATCCCTTTGCTTACGCGCTGAACTCGCCAACGATCCAGCTCCCTCTCCGGCCTCGGCACTCACCTAACCCTCAACATGGACGGCGAGATCCGTTTCGGTCCCGACGTCGAATGGCTCTCTCCGCCCTTGGATGAAGAAGGGGAAGACGTGCCGGACTTTTGGGAGACGAGGATGGCGGTGACGAATGAGAGGATGGAGTTGGCGATTGAAGAGGTGAGGAAGTTTTTGCCGGGCGTCAAGTCGGAGGGGTTCGCTCCTGACTGTGCGTGAAGTTCCTCCCTACTCTCTTTATCGTTGTTGAGACGGGCGTGCGCAGACTCGGGCATCCGCCCCAAACTCTCCAAGAAGGGCGAAACAGCCGTCGACTTCTCCATCACCCACCCCCGACCAGGGTTCATCTCGCTGCAGGGCATCGAGTCGCCTGGACTGACGTCGTCGCTGGCTATTGCGGAGAGGGTCGAGGTGATGGTGCGTGAGGAGGTGCATGGGTTGGGACGCGGGAGGGGGCAGAATGTGAGCGAGCGGGGACGGCTAGAGTCGTGGGCGTAGAGCTTGAATAGTATCGTATTCGCATTGCATCAGTCATGAGCACACAGGACTTGGTTGAGGTGATGTCGAAACTTGGCGACAGGAGGAGCGCGAGCAGCTCGACCTCCGCACCTTCCTCGCATTGCGCTCTCACGGCCTCTGTGGCCTGCTTGCTCACTCTGCTGGACCGCTAGACCGCCTTCACACTCGCCTGACACCCTCACCGAACCGCCACGATGGGCCACAAGCTCAAGAACCCCGTCGGCACCTTGCGAGGACTGCCGCGAATGGTGCGTCCCGCCCGCTCGTCGCGGGTGTGCGATGAGGGCGCAAAATGTCCCGCGTAGTGCACAGGCTGACCTGCGAGGCGTCTGTCCGCTCGCCGCGTCGTCTCTCGCAGAGCTGGCACCCGAAGAACCTCTTCAACCTGTACATGCGGACATACGGGCCTTCGAACGCCGACACGCGGTTCCAAAAGAGCGCGTTGACGATGTTTGCGCAAAAGTGGAAGGCCAAGAAGCTCGCGCGGGCGTATCACGGCGACTGGATCCCCGAGACCAAGTTCAAGCGGCACTTCCTCCCCGACGAACTCCCGCCCATCATTGGCAAGCCAGGCGAGGAGAAGGTCCCCCTTGCCAGCTTGATGTTCTCAGAGATTGAGAAGCGCCTCGATACGGTCATCTTCCGGAGCTGCCTTGCCCAGTCGGTCTACGGCGCAAGGCATCTCGTCCTGGCGGGCAAGGTCAGGGTGAACGGGGAAAAGGTGCGTTGCGAGCCAAAGATGGCGGACAAGCGAATGTGCTGACGGAGTCCGCTCGCACAGTGGAAAGATCCCAACTATCGGATGCAGCCTGGCGACCTGATCTCTGTCGACCCTCAGCACATCGTCACGCTCCGACCAGGCAACCCTTGGAAGCCGGAGACGCTCCGCCGCGCAGACGAGTCGGACGACCTGGATGAGGCGGAACCTGCGCCAGAACCCTCCGCCGACGCTTCAGCCGAATCCTCCGCTGATGCCTCGACTTCCGACGCATCAGCAGCAGCTCCTGCACCCTCCACCTCCGCCAAGCCCTCGAAACCCCTCAAGTTCAACCTCCCCGACTACGCCGCCCCCTTCCTCTTCGTCCCTCCTTACCTCGAAGTCAGCTGGACGACCTGCTCCATCGTCTACCTCCGGCATCCGACCGCCCGGCCTGGAGTCAGCGAGATTCCGACGCCGTACGAGGCAGATGGCGAGGTTATGCGGTTGACATGGGTGCGTTCACCGCTTTCCTTTGCGCAGGAATCGCCTGCCGTCTTCTCCTGCCGCTCTCGCTATTTGTGCAGTTGCTGACACGCTTCGTCCCGCGCCGCAGGAGTACTACCTTGGGCTCGGCAGGAAGGGCGACAAGCGACCGGCGTCGCAGTTTGGCAAGCGTCTCGGAGCATGAGCAGGACGGAGGGAGAAGAGGGGTTGTCCCCTGGTTCTCTCGCTCGCATCTCGCCAGGCAGCTGGCTCGCAATCACACTGTTCTTATACTCTCACTGCTATCGTGCAGCTCAGCGAGAAGAGCGCGCTTCTCGTGGACTTTCACTTGCCCTTCCCTCGCTGCGTGAGGTTGTCCTCCTCGACGTTGACCTTGATTCGCTTCCGCGCTCGCTGCAACCCTCGCCTTGCTCTGGAGATTGTGCTGGACCTGTGCATAGACGGTGAACGACGGTCCGACGCCCTCATCCCTTGATCACCCTCGCTCACCACCCCTCTCCTCCCTCCCATCCTCAACTCGCCCAAACACGCTCGCGCTCGCGACAGCGCATCTCGTACGGTCGACTGAGCCCTCCGATGGCCCAGTACGGCTACCAGCAGCCCAGCATGAGCGCGCACGCCGGCGCTCTCGAGGCAGGGAGTCCGTTCGCATCTGGGTCGGGGTCGGCAACCCCTCTCGGTGGCTCGACTCGCTCTGGGCGCGTCGTGAAACCCGTCCAACCCTATACCGCGCCCGTACAACCTCCGCGCGGCTCGACCTCAAGAGCCAAGTCCGGCCTCAACCCACTCAAGGGCGCACCGGCAGGTCCACCTCCTCCGCCGCAGCGACACCCGCTCAGCCTCGCACCTTCCGCCGTGCCGCCCATGACGCGCATCACGGGTCGCGGGAACGAGGGGAAGCAGAGCATGTTCACGACGTATCCGGCGCGGATGAGGCTCGGGACGTCGAGTTTGATGCAGCCGAACGCGTTCGCTGGGACGAGCGGAGGGACGCCGACAGGCGCGAACGTGACGGGGACTACGACGCCGGTGACGGGAGGCAAGCGGAGTCGGACGGCGATCAACTATGCCGAGCTCGAGACGCTCGACGACCTCGACGAGGATGGCGACGCCGGGCGGAATAAGCGCGGCGGGAGTGGGACGCCGGCAGCGATTGCGGCGAAGAAGGCTCCGGCAGCAGCACCGACACCACCGCCAAAGCCAGACGTCTGGGGCGACGGGAAGAGCTACCTCGGCGCGCTTCCTCCAGGCAACCTCGTCCAGGTTCAGCCCGCAAAGGCGACAAAGCATGTCTCTGCGTGAGTCGGCCTTCCAACATCTTCATTTATTCGCTGCTGACGAGCCTCCGAATCGCAGAACGGAGGAGCAGCTCGAGGAGTATGCGGAACGACCAGCTGCTCTTGTGCCGGTCCAGATAGACTTGGACGTCGATACATTCAAGATACGAGACACCTTTGTCTGGAACGCTCTCGGTGCGTACAACCCTGTGCAATCTCGTCCCGACGTTTGCTGACGCGCCTCTCTCGCAGAACGGCATATCACGCCCGCCGCTTTTGCCCGCGTCTTCTGCGACGACCTCGACCTCGATACCCAGACATACGCAAAGGAGGTTGAGCGACAGATTGCGGAACAGGTGGAGGAGCAGGCTGGACTGGCGCTGTATCCGCTGAGAAGCGAGGAGGAAGAGGCGGAGATGGTGGAGAAGGACTTGCGGGTGATTATCAACGTGCGTTCCCCTCCTTTCAGACCCGCTTGCGCACAACTGACTGGTCATTATCCGCAGCTCGACGTCCAGATCGGCACCCTTCGACTGCAAGACAAGCTCGAATGGGACCTTTCGTCCTCGCTCACGCCCGAACTCTTCGCCGCCTCCCTCTGCCGCGACCTCTCACTCTCGTCCAACGCCGCACCCCTGATCGCCCACGCGCTCCACGAAGAGCTAATCCGCCTCAAGCGGAGCTGTCTCGAAATCGGCTTGTTGAACGAGAACGACACGAACAAGGGCAGGAGGGGCGCCAAGATGCTCGAGGGCGTTTGGCGGGACTGGAACGAGGCGCAGAACTTTGGGCCGAAGGTGGAAAGGCTCACGCTGGACGAGCTGGACAAGGTCGAGCAGGAAAGGGAGAGGGCGAACAGGTGCGTCCTCGGTCGTCCACTCTCTTCGCGTCGGACTGACGCTCCTCCCTCTCGCCAGACGAGCAAAACGGGACCGTGTAGGCGTCGCAAGGAATGCGCCGCGTCCCAAGCGGTAGTGACACTGCAACCACAGCGTGCTGTTTCCGCAACCTTTTCCCTGGGCGAACGGGGCTCCCTTCCTCCCCCGCTCAAGTCGCTCGCGGAAGAGACGGTCTCCTTTGCATTCGCTGTTCACTGCTGTCGTCTGCGAGCTGGCGCTGCGCATCTCCCAAGCTGACACTCGCGCGAGAAAGCGGGCCGCTGTCGTCCGCGCCGACTCCGCCTGCCGACGAGCTCGCGCTTCATCAGTTGTGCTTCGTTGAGTCGCCCTCGCTCTTCTGGCTCACTGGTGTACTGCACTGCTGCATTGGGCTCTCCTTCTGACTGCTTGAGCGTGTCGAGCGCGCCCGCTGCGTCCCCGCCATGCACCGTCCATCGAAGTATGCCGTGCAGGTCTTCTTATCCACCTGCTTCGCCTCGCTCGCGGCCGGGTTATTTGGGTGCGTTCGTCTTGTCTGTGATTCGCTGAAGCGCCGGCTGACCCGCATCTTGCAGCTTCGACACGGGCAGGTGAGCCTCCTCTTCCGCTCCTCCTTCTTCTTTATCCGTGGAAGCCCGTCTTTCAGCTTGACTGACCGCTTCCAATGCAGCATCGGTGCTATCACAGAGATGTCGACGTTTGAGGACGAATTCGGAGTCCTCTCGCCCTTCATACGAGGATTGACAGTCTCGGTGCGTTCCAGCTTCTTTTCAGTACCCAGCTCTCCGCCCTTACAACCAGCTTATGCTTCCTCTTCGCAGATCATCCTCTTGCCGTCCGCCTTGTCAGGCATGCTCGCGGGAAACGTCTCGGACAAAATCAGCCGGAAGAAGAGCATCTCGCTCGGTGCAGCCATCTTCGCCGCCGGCTCCGCACTCAGCGCTGGCGCGAAAGGCTCGCTCGTCATGCTCATCGTCGCAAGATGTATCGCGGGAACGGGCGAAGGCTTGTTCCGTGAGTTCAGACGGTCTTCTGCGACTGACCGCTGCTGACCTCGCTTCCACATAGTCGGCTGCCTCGGCGTGTACCTCACCGAGATCTCGCCCCGACACATGCGGTCCCACATGCTCCTCATCAACCAGCTTATGACGAGCGGCGCCATCGCAGCAGGCTTCTTCATCTGCTACGGCTCGGCCAACATCACCAACTCGATGGGCTGGCGCTTCCCCTTCATCCTCCAGACCATCACCGCGACCATCCTGGCGGTTGGCGCGCCGTTCCTTCCGTACTCGGCACGGTGGCTCATCTCGCAAGGTCGTCGAGACGAAGCTCTCGCCGTCCTCGACCGGCTCGTCGACCCGAAGGACATCGAAGAACGCCGCGAGCTGCTCGCCATCCCGCCAGCAGCCGTACGGAACCGTTCGCAAATCGCCGCGCTCAAGGACATCTGGGCGCCTGGAGTTCGAGGACGAACCACGCTTGGCGCTATCCTCCAGGTCTTCCAGCAGCTCAGCGGTATCGACTTTGTGCGTGCTGCTTAACGACTCTGATCTCTCGTGCCGGGAGCGCATTTCTGACGTCTCGCGCTTCACAGGTCCTCTTCTACGCCCCGCTCCTCTTCCAGCAAGCCGGTCTCGATCCGAGCACCAGCTCCTTCATCGCTTCCGGCTGCACCGGTCTCGTCCTCGTCGCCTGCGTCTTCGCCGGCACATTCTACATCGAGAAAGTTGGCCGACGGAAGATTTGGATGGTCGGCGGAACGGGCACGTCCGTCTGCCTCTTCACCCTAGGCTTCTTGTACGCGACGGGAGCGGCGCATACCCCGGTTGGCAAGTATGCGGCGATCATCTTCATCGAGCTCTTTGCTGTTTGCTTCACGAGCAGCTGGAGCTTGATCACAAAGCTCTGTGCGTCTCGCACGATTTCTCCACCACTTGGCCAAACTCGCTTGCGAATCCTCTCCTTTCCTCAGACGCCGCCGAGATTCAGCCTATGCGCACTCGCGCTGCCGCGACGTCGACTGGCCAAGCTGTCAACCAGGCAGTAAACTTCGTCGTGCGTTGCGAAAGGGCTCTTTTCGCTCAAACGAATCACTCGCTGACGTCTCGACTTCTACAGGTCGCCATCTCGGGCCCCGCTTTCCTCGCTCGATCCAGCTCCGGTCCTTACTTCTTGTATGCCTTCGCCCAAACACTCTTTCTCCTCGACCCGCTACTCACGCTCCTCTCGCACAGCTACGGCGGCTGCACCGCGCTCGGCGTCATCTTCGCCATGTTCTTCATGCACGAAGTGCGCGGCAAGTCGCTCGAGTCGATCGACACGACCTTCGAAGGCTCCGCGCTCGCGACATCCTGGCCTAAGGTCTTCCAGGCTGCTCGCCTCACCGAAGCGAGGTTGCGCAAGAACAGCAGGTCGCAGTCGACGAATTTGCCGGGCGAGACCAGGGCGGAGATCAGGGAGCACATACAGATGGAGACGATTGGGGAGAACTCGGTGTTCGAGGAGGAAGAGTAGATGTCGGCAATGCCGCTGGAGATAGACTAGAGACTTGGTTCCGCTCCCTTTCGTTCTAGACATGATTCTGTATCTGTAGACTCGTCATCCGATGCGTCTTTCAGTACAGCTTCCAGCTCCATGGCGAGGGCGAGGAGTCCGACAAAGTTGCGATTCCAAGAAGAAAGGATCCAGCAGTTCAGCGTAGCGCTCCTCCTCCAATCTCATTCATCGCGGCACACTACACGAACGCCTTCCGGGACACGGACACAACAGGGTGCAGTCCAATGAAGTCACGCCCTTCCGGGAACTGCCCGCAGGCAGAAGGGAGGCAATCCCAACCGGGAAGAGGTGCGCTGCGCGGCGAGATGGCCAGGTCGAAGCAATCGCGGATGAAGTCGGCAGTGGTGGCCTCGGAAAGCCACACAGCGTCGTTGTCGAGAAATTGAAGGACTTCCTGGTAGGCGTGCCACATCTGCGAGGGACTGTAGGAGGCCGGACGGTCCGCCTTGTGTGCGACCCAGTGCAGTTCAAAAAGTGTGATGAGTTTGTGGCGAAGCAGCCATAAGGAAGGCGGTCGAACCCTTCGCCACCATCGAGCTCGACACCATCGAGGAACGGCATCAGCAGGTTCCAGTCAAAAGAACCGATTCCGTCGTATGTCGGTGGAGCTTCGGCGTCTGGATGCGCTGCATAGAAGTGGTAGGCGCGGAAGCGACGCGTGATGATGAGGATCTGCTGACTCTGCATATCGTTGGCTGCATGGTATGCGAGCGCGGCTGGGTGCTTCTCGGTGATGCAGTCGATGATGTTCTGAACAACATGCGTGAGAGATGTTAGCCCTGGCCGTCGCAAAGGACGGAATCGCGCGACTTGCCTCTGGCGAGCGGGTATCGCCTGCGACCGCTTGAAAAGCTTGGGCGATCGACTTGCGGGTGCCGGTGTCGTCCAACCAAGCAATCGGCTTGTGCTTGTAGGCCTTGGTCTCTGCGGCCTCTTCAGGCGTGAGGAGCGGGAGAGCGATGGGCGACTTTCCACAGACGCGCTTGTGAGCTGGCCAGACCTGCGCGCGCGGTACGAATGTGTCAGCGCACTCATCGAGAGTAAGTGACGAAGCCACTCACGAGCTTCTGGCATTCCGGCGAGCAGAAGAAGAGGCTGCATCCGGTTCCATCGAGTCCTCCTGAGACCGCGCAACGACTGCAAGACGAGCGCGTCGCCTTCCCGCACACGCAACACTGCCCAGACGCTGCCGGAGAAGCAGAAGCAGCGGTGGACATGGTAGGCGAGTGCGTCGAGGCGGAAAGCGTGAGGAGGTCGAGGCGTGGAGGCGGTTGACGGGAGGTGAGCAGACCTTGTTAACAGCGCTACCCGAGACGAATGGACTCCAGTAAGCAGCAGAAGGCTGAACCAAGCGGAACGGAGCGCGTGGTCCACAGTCAACTTCGAGGTCGAGTCTCGCGGAGGAGCTCTGCCAGTTCCAACTCGCTCGCGCACGGCTTTGCGCGTTCGTAGACTGCTCGCTAGACTTCAGTAGCTCCGTACAACCCGGCCAAGCTACCCTCAGCCGCACCGCTTGTCCATTGGCCCCTCGAACCCTCATCACTTTCCTCGACCTTTCCACCTCGAAACTAGCCATCCGCCATGGGTATCGATTTGCAGCTCCTCCAGAATGACAAGGGCGGCGACTTTGAGGGCGTGTGCGCGTCGCAGAAGAAGCGCTTCGCTTCCGAGGAGCTCGTGCACGAGGTTCTCGCGATGTACAAGGAGTGGACGAAGAGTGCGTTCTCTCGCGCGGGAATAGGTTGCAAACGGCGCAAAAAGACTGATGAGCCTCTCTTGACGCTCTGCAGCCCAATTCGACACCCAGCAGTTGCAGAAGGAGGTCAACAAGATCCAGAAGGACATCGGCGCCTGCATGAAGGCGAGTCGGTAGCCTCCCAGAGCTTTTTCCGGCCCAGCTGACCGTTCATAGCCAACAGGACATGAAGGACGCGGCGAAGAAGGAGGAAGCGAGCAAGAAGGTTGAGGAGCTCAAGGCGCAGAAGGCAGACATGGACGCCAAGATTGTCGGTCTTCGGGCGCAGGCGGTTGAGCAGGAGACGGCAATGCGCAGGAAGGGCAACACGATCGGCAACATTGTTCACGAAAGTGTGCCGGTCAGCGACAACGAGGTGAGCGCGAATGCCCCGCCGACAGCTTCCTTTCGGTGACCCGCTTCTCTTCGCAGGACAACAACAAGGTTGAGCGGACGTTCTACCCGAAGGACGCGAACGGCGACTCGGCACCTCCTGTCAAGGGAGCCGGTTTGACCATGAAGGAGGGCGTTCTTTCGCACCACGAAGTCATGTACCGGTTGGGCATGCTCGAGATGGAGCGAGGTGAATGTCTCTCGTGTATCCACTGCATCGCAAGCTCACCGCGTCATACACAGGCACCAAGGTCGCTGGCCACCGCGGCTACTACCTCGTCGGTGATGGTGTCGACCTCAACCAGGCGCTTATCACCTACGGCCTCGACTTCCTGCGCAGCAAGGAGTACAAGAAGGTCCAGCCTCCCTTCTTCATGAACAAGGCGATGATGGGCAAGACGGCGCAGCTCGAGGAGTTTGACGAGGCGCTGTACAAGGTGCGCGCCACGCTTCTTCCGCTTTAAGCGCTGCTAACGTTGTGTCTGCGCAGCTTGAGGGCTCGAACGAGGAAACGGAGAAGTACCTCATCGCGACGTCTGAGCAGCCCATCTCGGCCATGCACGCCGACGAGTGGTTCGAGAAGCCGTCCGAGCAGCTCCCGATCAAGTACGCCGGTTACTCGACCTGCTTCCGTAAGGAGGCCGGCTCGTCTGGTCGCGATGTCCTCGGTGTCTTCCGTGTCCATCAATTCGAGAAGGTTGAGCAGGTATGTCCGGAGGACCAACGCAAGCGCGAGTCGAGGCTGACCTTGCTTCCCTCGCAGTTCTGCATTACCGACCCGTCCTCTTCCTGGGAGATTTTCGACCAGATGATCGCCAACTCTGAAGAGTTCTACCAGTCCCTCGGCCTCCCCTACCAGCTCATCTCTATCGTCTCTGGCGCGCTCAACAACGCCGCTGCGAAGAAGTACGACCTCGAGGCCTGGTTCCCTCACCAGGGCGAGTACAAGGAGCTCGTCTCCGTCTCGAACTGCACGGACTACCGTGAGTTTACCCCTTGTGCGTGTCGAAGACGCCGCTGACGCACTTGGCGACTTCACAGAGTCCCGCAGCCTCGAGGTCCGCTGCGGAATCAAGAAGCAGGGCGACACGCGCAAGGTCTACGTCCACATGCTCAACGGCACTCTCTGCGCCACCGAGCGAGCATTGTGCTGCATCGTCGAGAACTACCAGACTCCCGAGGTGCGTTTGCTCGCTTGGACCTTGACCCGGGACTAACTTTCCTCGTTCCGCAGGGTGTCATGATCCCCGAGCCTATGCAGAAGTACATGCAGGGCAGAACATTCCTCCCGTATGTGCGCGAGCTCCCGACTACAGCGGCGCAGAAGCCGGCGAAGCAAAAGCACTGAGCGAGTGCGCGGGTTCCCTCTGGGCTAGACGGCGGTCTGTAACGGGCGATACATTCCATTCCTATTCTCGCGTGCTGGCTGCTACCACTGCTGCTCGCGCTTTCGCCCGAAGCGTCAGCTGATCGTAAGGAGGTGAGGCAAATCCATTGCGAGAGGACGCGAAGCAGGAGAAGTCTACACAAGGGGGTGGGGAGCGCAAATGCAAGATGCAGCCAAATGAAGAGAGTGAATGCAAAGATCAAGACTGGAAAATGCGAAGGAAGCAGAGGAAAGGGGAAGGGGAGCTATCGCACCGAGATGCCCGTCTTGCCCTTCCTGCCGATGCCGTCGTTCTCGGCAAGGTCCTTGCCCGTCAAGCTGCGTCCCGCGCCCGCCTTAACGCCCTTGGGTATCTCGAACATCTTCCAGAACTTGAGGTCCTCGTCGCTGCTCGCCGTGACGACCGTCATCCCGTCCGGACTGAGCGACGAATGCAAAATGCGGCTCTGATGCGCATTCGGGATCTCGGCGACCTTGCTGAGCGAGGGGTAGGACCACAGGGCGATGTGGTGGTCGGGAACGCCGTGCGTCGAGAGGAGCTCCTTGGCATGCGGGTTCCAGACGAGCGACGTGACTTGCGAGTTGGTGACGAGGCTGTTGAGGCGGGCGGATTGCGTCGTGTTCCAGAAGTGGATCGTCTTGTCGGACGACCCGCCGCCCGAGGCGAGGAGGGACGAGTTCCAGGGGCACCAAGCGAGAGCCTGCCAGAGTCGCTGGTCAGCTTCCGACTACAGGGCGACGGCGAGCACTTCGCTTACCTTGACTGCCGCCGTATGGTTCGTCTTGCTCATCTTGGGCGCCGTCGTCATGCGGCAATCCCAGACGTTGACCACGTTGTCGTTTCCGCCCGAAGCGAGGAGCTGGAGCGCGTCATCAGTATCGTTCACAAGCCAAATGACAAGACGGACGCACCCCTTGACCGCCGCCAGAAAGACCGCCCGCGATTTCCGGCCGCCATTCGAGCCCGCACACCTCGCCTCGATGACCCTTGAGCTGGGCGACATTGTGCTGCGCAATGCGCACGTCCGAGTTCCAGATCTCGCCGCTCCTGCATCCGCTCGCCAAGATCGCGCCGGACCAGCTCAAGCTTGGAACGCGAGTCGGGTGGCCCTGCAGCGTCCGAAGTCGCTGGCCCGCGCAGACGTCGTAGACCATGATGGGACCCGACGAGAGACCGACGGCGAGGTGTCCGCCGTCCTCGGTGAACTTGAGACTGCAGACGTACTCATCGCCCTCGGTCAAAGCGCTCGAGTCGCCCGAGTTGCTGCCGACGGAGCACAACTCGTTCACCTCGCCCGTCTGGGCGTTCCAAATGTAGACGACTTCGCCGAGACCGATTGCAAGGAGATTCGTCGAGGACCAGTCGACGACGTTGAGGTAGTAATCGTCGACCATGCCGGGAGCATCGAGAACTCGCTCGGGCTGAGTAGGGATGCGGCGGCGAGAGGCCGCGTGGGCAGCAGAGGACGAAGAGCCGGCTGATCCCTTGTTGGGCAGGCGGGCGTACTGAGCGAGAAGGGAGGATTGCTCGGTCTGCGGCATCGGAGGTTCGGCAAAGAAGGAGAGGATGCGCTGGTCCGAATTGATGCCAAGCGAGCGCGACAGGTCGGCCGTGTGCTGTGCATCTTCGGCGTTCTGTGGGCTCGAATCGGAGCCGGAGTGAGGAGTAGGAAGGAGGATTGGCCCTGTGTGGTCGCCGCTGCCAGACTGCCGAGACGGGATGTAGCGGTCGTACTGCGTGCGGCGAAAGTCAATCAGTGTCAATCAAGATACTCGAACCGCTTCGCACGCACATGACGGCCCTTCTTCGACGGACTCCGCTTCGACTCGCCCGCCAACGAACTTGGGTCCCAGTCGTTGCTGACGACGCCGGACCTGCCAACTCCTCCGCCCGCCGCCAAGCTCGCACTCGACTGCTTCGACGGGCTACTTCGCCTGCTCGGAGCATCGTACGTGCCAGTCAAGTTGCCCGTGAGGTCGTCCTCGCCCGAGTACCGCGAGCGGGAGGTGCCCTTTGTCGGGCTCGAGCTCGCCTTCTTGCGGGTCGTCTGCGTGGTCGAGACGCTGCCTGCTGTCGCAAAAATGGACTTGGGCGGCTGCTTGGTCGACTTGGCGAGGGGCTGGCGCGACGGAGAGGCAGAGTTGAGTGACAGGTTCGACAGCGGGAGGGCGTCTACACCGCCTGCGCGGCGCTTGGTCGGTGAGCGGGACATCGCGGGCCAGTCAATGCGCGTGCGTCTGAGCTGTCAGGCCGTCCTGCGAAGGAGGTGTAGCGGAGCCGTCGAGGCGAACAGCGAGGCGAGGCTGTCGACCAAGGGATTACAACTGCACATGACTTTCCGAGTGTATTGCCGGGTAGTAATGCAATCGACTGCGCCGGCGACCTTAGCCAGGGCCAATACTTAGAGCTTCCCCGCCGAGGAGCCGAGCTCCGCTCCATCCCTCCATTGCCGTGCCCGTCCCCTCTGCCTCTCCCTCGTTCTTGGTCTCCCTTGCTGTGCTTGACGCCGTCCGACTGCTTATCGCAGACGCCTGCTCGATCTTGAAAGTCCCTGGCAGGTTGTGGGCAGCCTTCCCTGCGCATCGCTCGGGCTGTCGATCCTCGACTTGAAGGCGGAATGGCGTCGGATAACGGGAATGGGCTCGCCTCTGCCATCGAAGGGTCTGCGCGGTCGAGCATCAGCACAGACGGCTCCTCAGCTGTCTACATGGACGCGCAGGAGGAGCAGGGACAGCTGCCAGGCGCGTGGCCAGAGACGGCGACCGCTGGACGAGGAGAAGTGAGTCCCGCTCAAGTCCCGTCGCGGTTCTTCTGTTGACAGGTTATCTCTGCAGAACTCGCAGGCTGGCGGGGATGCAGATTTGCGAACGCTCGAGGGCGCACTCGCCTCGACATCCTTAGCCAACCCGTCGACCGGTACAGCCGCGGCAGGCGCACGAACGACGGCGCCGGTTGATGAAGAGGTTGAAGCGCTCGCAGACGACGCGACAACGCCGACACTTCCGTCCACCTCGAGCGACAATCCTCGCCGCAGTTCTCTGAGTCGCTCGCATGGCGCGGACCCGACCGCCTTCCCGCCTTCGCACGCGGTGTTCCCGACTCGGCGGTCGTTCGACGGCACGAGCGTGTACAGCGGCAAAAGCCATCCGTACGCGACGGCGAAGAACCACTTCCCGCTCGTCAAGCAGCCGAAGAAGGCGAGGGACTCGACGCCTGCCAGCCCTTCCGCCGACCCCTTCCTCTCCCCCGCTCTCTCCGACCCCGCTTCGCTTTCTCCCGCACCTTCGCCGCACCATCCGCATCGACGGACCTCCGTCTCTTCCGGTCTCTCCGTACCATCGCCTCGCGCCGCTCCCTCCCCAGCCCCGCGAGAACGCACAGCCAGCGGCAGCGTCTTTCCGACAGTCCCTCGCACCAAGTCGACGCCAAGCGGTAGCAAAGGCCCGTCGCCGCCTTCTTCAGATGCCGCATCGACGACGTCCGGCTCGGCAGGTCGAGGGCAACGGTCTCGTCCTCCTGCGAGCATCAACATTCCACCCGTCGGCTCTCCGCACACGCAACGAACGACATCGCCAGCAACCTCACAATACACTCCTTCTATTGCACCCTCCGCCCGCTCCACCGCAACCCACGCGACCCGGCAAACGAACCCCTTCAAACCCTCATATACCGCCTCTCTCGCACCGAGCTACGCCGAAGTACACCAAGCGACCTCCGCCGAGCCCATCGAAGGGCCAACATCCATCTTCCTCAACCCGACTCCTCAACCTCGTTCCGTTGCCGAGCTCCTGCCAAAGAAGAAGCTCTCGTCTTTCTTCTCAAAGGGCAAGAGCAAGCTCACGGGTTCGAGCTCGAGTTCGGTGCAGAGCGAGGCGGCAAGGATGAACGACCCGTCGTATCGCGGCAGGTCAGCTACGATCCTCGACGCAGCGCTCGCTTCGTCCGCGACCTGGGCGCAGCGACGCGGCGAGCAGAGTCGAATGCCGATCGGTGGAACGTTCGGTCCGCCAGCAGGGTACAGGCCGGCGCACCAGGTCTTGCGGCAGCAGCAGCAGGCGCGAGAAGCGGGAGGCGAGACGCCTCTTGGTCCGGCGATGATGGGAGGCGGGACGGAGCAGCCCGTCACGGGCGAAGCGATCGCTGAAGCGTTTGCGCGGAACCAGGGAAGGAGCGGGAGTAGGAGGATGAGCATGGTCTCGCTGCAGTCGACGGCGGATATCGCTTCGCCTGCGGGCGGAGCGTTTCCTGTCCGAAGGGAGGTGTTTGCGACGAAGCCGAGGCTGAGACCGTCGGGTGAGGGATTGCAGTCGACGAGGGAGGAGCCGGCAACGGCCAAGGACGAGGCGAAGAGCGATAGAGAGGCGGAGCAGAAGGGATTGGGTATCTCGTAGACTTTCTTATCTCTCGGGTTGTCGGACATGTGTATCGGTGTTGTATGCCTTCTATGCAATGACGGAAACGGGTATCGCAAGCTGACTTAGATCGCCTGGACGAGCAAGCGCGAGTCTCCTGCCGACCTTCTCAGGCTGTCGCCTCGTGCCACAGCGTCTCCTCGCGCTGCACATAACCAGCTCGTCAGTGAAATCCGAAATTTGAGGGAGGAAGCGCGGCGTCGTGCGCACCATTCTCCGAGCCGCCTTCAACCGTCTCGCCTCGATCTCCTCATCCGTTGACCCTCCTCGCTCCTCACTCGTCTCGCTCGCCGCCCTCTCCATCCTCCTCGATCCTGCTCCGAGAGTCGCAAGCTCCTCCTCGTCATCCGCCAACCGAGCTCGTCGTCGTCGTCGTCCAGCAGGCGAAGGAGGTTTGCTCAATTCGTTGAAAGAGGTGGTCGGACGGCCTTTTTGGTAGTCCTGCGGGCGGGCAGACCGAGGCGTTCGTTTTGATCTTGAGGGGAATGGAGGAAGGAGCGCACCTGGAAGATTACGAAGATAGCGACTGGTCGCAAGCCATTCAAGTCAGCCTCTCCTGCGCTTCTTTTCGCGCCCAGAAGAGCGCAAGCACTCACGCGCGACCGCAGCAAAGTATCCGACGCCCATCTTCCACACGTTTGCGAACGTGCAAGGGAAGAGGACTAAGCCTGTTAGGACGCCGCCGATTCCGAGAGAGACGAGGACGAGGATAGCATCCCTGCGTTCCCGGTTTTGCGATCGAAGGTGAGCATGAACATTCAGATGTGAGGGGAGACGGCGACGCACGTCCACCACAAGCAGTCGAACCAGGCATGCGAGATGCCGAGAGCAATAGGAGCGCCGATTGGGTAGACAAGAGCGAGGATGACGAGGATGAGCGAGCAGCAGCAGGTTCGGGCCATTGAGCGACGAACAGAGCGAGGCAGTGCGCCAGGCGAAAGAGGGGAAGGAGACGAGAGAGGGAGCGAGGTCGAGTTCGGAGAATCCGCGGAGACGGAAGCTGCGATGAAGCGACGTCGCCGCACTTTGGCCGCACTGGTCGAGCGCGAAGGGGCGAGCAAAGCGATACATTGCGTGAGAGAATCGTCAAGAGAGTCGGGTAACGAATGCTGGCGACCTCGTGCGCCAAAGTGTCTGTTCCAGGCCGCTTTTCCTGGACTTCCTCCTCTCTTCCACCTCATCCACCGCATCTATCCTTATCAAGCAAGCGCAACGAGGCCCGCAACGCCGGCGAGCGCCGCGCCCGCAGCCTTCCACGATCCAGCGCCGAGCGAGACAGCCCCGCTGAGCGACTTTGAGTCGACAGCCGAGTTTCCGCTCGACGAGCTGTTTGACGAACTGGCCTCCTTGAGCGTTGACGGAACCTGGCCGTCCGCAAAGCTCGATCCGCAGTACGACGAGATGGCGCCAAAGACGGACGATTCGGTCGAGGACGACGTGCCGTTCGACAAGGCCGACCCGAGCTTGGTGACGAGTCCGTGGGCGCAGTCGGTGCAGACTGACGAGGACGGGATGGACTGGAGCGTGCTGGCGCTGAGGGAGGTGAGGGTCGAGAGGGAGATTTGCTGGCCGGTCGCGGACTGGACGTTCTGAAGGAGCGAGGTGATGCAGAAGGTGCTGTTCGAGCTGTACTGGAGGCAGATGCCCTCCTTGACGGCGTTGAAGTTGGCGACGACGGCGCGGGCGGTCGTCTGCGAGCGAGACGAAGTCAGTCAACACATCGTTTCCTCCTAGAGCATGACTCTGAGCAGCCTCCCCGAAAGGGCGCAGCCCTCAAGAAGAAGCACAAGACACGAAAGGAGGAACGGAAACGCACCACAATGGCCTGACCGGAGCTCAACTCGCTCGAACAGCCGTTGTCAATGACGCTTGTGGCGTTCTGAATCGCGGCAGTCGAGCAGTTGGATGCCGAGCAGACCGATCCAAGCCAGTTGTTGACTGTGCGCGTGCGCGGGAGGGAAAAGACGCGTCGATGGAGGGGTGCCAAGGAGATACCGAGGAGGTCAAGGGGTCAGCTTGTGAGCAAGCGGGAAGAGCGGGAGAGGGGACGCACTCGGGTCGACGACGCTGCCTGATGCAGTCACCACGGACAGGAGCCCGCTCAGTTGCGAGCAGGAGGCAAAGTCGCTGCCGAGGAGGGAGGTTGCGGCGGAGGTGCACTGAGACGAGAGGCCGTTCAGGAGCGACGACGCGGACTGAGCGTGTGCGCCTGTGGCTGCGAGTGCGGCGGTGAGTGCGATGGCAGTGCGTGCGAGCATGGCGATGAGCGATGTGGACGAGAGGAGAGCAAAAGAGGAGCGAGCGAGACGAGGACGAGGCGGTGCGCGGTGCTGCGAACACAAGTTGCCACTCGCAAGCCATTACAAGGGTCCATACACTCTTTATAGCTCATGCAAATGCAATGCAGTCACACCCGCCATCCATCCAAATCCCACGCGCACACCCTCACCCGCTCCCTCTTCCTCCCGCGACTCACAAGCTTGATCTTGCGAATCGCCACCTCGCGCCCCTCTTCGTCAACTTCGATGTTGCCTTCGTTTTCGAGGGCGTAGGTCGTGGGCGTGAGAATCGGTTCGAGCGAGATGGTCACGGAGAGGGTGGAAGCGTCGAGGGGGACGATCCGAGGTGCCGAGAGAAGCGAGCGCGGTTCCTGCGGGCCATGCACTCCCCCATCAGCTCTTCCACCTGTAGAATCGCACACGCGACGCGGGACGCACCCATCCACCCGTCCCATCCCCTCTGACACAAAACACCTCCCAACTCTCGCTCCCGCTCGTCACGTCTTCCCACCCAACCACATTCGCCAAGTCCAGCGAGCCGGTCAGCGTGAGGTCCTTGACGACGCGTGGCGTGACGAGCGTCAGGCCAAAGTGGTCGTCTGCTTCGGGGGCTATTCGTGACTTCCGGTCAGCTTCGTTCAGCGAGAGGCAGAGAAACACGAAGTCTTACGCCTGAAACTCTCCCAACACGTCTCCGTCCCCCTCCCATCAACCGCAAGATGCCAACTCCCGTTCCTGACCCACCACTGCTCATCCGGGAACCCAACCCTCCCTCCTCCTCCTCCTGCTCCAAGCGCGTTAAATCGCGCCTCATGTTCCTTCACGCTCCACCCCCGCGCGAGGGGGTCAAACACACTCCGCTCGTCCCGTCCGCTCTGGCGCTCGACTCCCAACCTTCGCATAACCCGCTCAAACTCCCCGGCTTCCTCGTCCCCCTTCCCTCGCGCGAACCACCCCCTGCGCTCCCATTCTCCCGCGCGCGTCTCCGCATACGACTCCGCCAGCTCTTCTGGCCCTGGGAAGGGCGTGAGACTGGTGACGAACAAGCAGGCGTCGTTGGCGCATGGTGCGCGGGTTAGGGACTCGGCTGGGGGTGGAGCGAGGGGGAAGGGGTGGGGTGTCAAGGGGTGAGAAGAGGAGGTGGTGGAGAGTGAGAGTGTGAGGGAAAGGGTGCGGAGGGCGGTGCGCTGCGAGCGAACGGGTGAGTATTGGGGAGGAAGGAGGGAGGAGAGAGGGGAGGGGGACGCACGATATTTGAGTAGACGACAGCCCACTGATCCACTCCCTCTCCTCTACTCCACCCCACCTCTCCTCCCTCGACATCAACAGCCACGAGCTCATTCGGCATCTGCTCCGGGTAGGTATTCGCCCACAGCGAGAAAAACATGTCGACTGTCAGGGACTGGCCGCGCGAGAGGGGGACGGGGGAGACGGATTGTTGGGTTAGGAAGCGGGTCGAGAGGGAGCGAGGGGCGAAGGAGCCGGTGCCGAGCCAGGTGAAGCCCGTGTGGAGGTCGATGTCTGTCCTCCTTCACCGAGTCAGCATGCCCTCTCTTGAGACTCGGCGGGATGAGCAAGCGCAGCGCACCGGGGTTCGCGAACCGCCATCGCCGGTGCTCGAGGTGGATGATCGGCAGCGTGTTGCTCGAAATCCTCCCTCCCTCGCTTCCGCCCGTTACGCCCTGTCCCGCACAACACTCCAAATACTTGGAATACGTCGTGTCCATGTACCTACCATCCGACCCTCATTAGCCCGCGCTCAGAGAAGGGATAAGGGTGGACGCACACGTTGAGCCAGTCGTCGTCGTTGAAGTAGCAGTGCGAGTAGGTCGCCATCGAGCAAGCGAGGTGTTTGCCTGCGTCGTGGACGTTCGAGGGGGAGTTGACTATCCGCAACGAGGCGGGCGGGAGGGTCGAGTCGGGCGGAGGGAGAATCGGAAAGTCCTGCGTGCCGCGAAGGTCAGTCGCGATGAGCCGATAGGCGCGAGGGTAGGTGGGCGCACCTCCTTGGTCAAGTCGACCCCAGGCCTGTTGTTCCACACGATAATCTCCCGAATGAACGGATACCTTGCGATATGCCTCAAGACCAACTCGAGCCCCCTCCTGCGCTTCCAATGCAACACAACCGCCGTGACGCCCACGACGGGTGAGCCATCGCCCCTGAGTGCAGAGCGGGTGAATCGCGTGTGCGAGTAGGCTGATTTGCGGAACGAGATGAGCGACGAGAGGCGCGCGTGGTTCGCTTGTTGCTGGGCTGTTGGAGCGGAGGGGACGTAGGTTCGCGCGAGGGAGTCTTCGAGGTCGTAGGGCGAGGGTTGGGTGACGATGGGCGGGTTCAGGCGCGCATGGAGGGAGAAGAGCGAGCGGGAAGAGAGGATCAGGAGGAGGACAAAGAGGACGAGGGCTGATCGGCGGCGGGTTGGGTTGGTGTGGGTGAGAGAGCGGAGGAGGCAGTCGAGTACGACGACGGGGAGTGTCGCGGGTACGAGTGGGAGGATGTCCTGCATGGATGCAAGTGGGGGGTTGAGAGATGCGAGAGTTGGGTGAGGAGGAGAGGGGGACTCGCCTGTGTGGTCATCTCATGGCGTGTGTGATTCAGTCTAGCAGTGTCCAGTCCAGCAGCAGTCCCAGCACGAGTCTAGCGAGCAGTATAAGGGTGAGAGAGAGTGCCAGTCGTCGTCTTCGCTGAGTTGTGCCTCCCCTCGAGTGCGGTGGTCTCATCGCAAGTCTTCACGCATTGACAGCCACAACCACCTCGCACGCTCACTCGCTAAGTACTGGCCAAGATGGGACTCGGAGGGTCATCAGCCAAGCAGCGCAAGACGCGCAAGTTTGCCCAGACAAAGCGCATGCTCAACCCAAACGACCAGCGCCTGTTCGTCCCCCTTCGCTCACTCCGCCAACACGGGCTGACCGGGACTCGTGCGCACACAGGAAGGCGAACCAGGAGAAGCAGCAGAAGAAGGAGCAGGAGAAGAAGGACAACGAGGTCAACCGGGTGTGCGTCCATTCTCTCCTCCTCCTCGTCGACTCGCAAAGTGGCGGTGCACACCACTCACGCTCGTCCGCACGCTCGCAGAGAAGCGATGCCGACCTCGCTCTTCTTCTCGCACAACGAGGCACTCGTACCGCCTTACCGCGTCATCGTCGACACCAACTTTATCAACCTCAGCCTCGAGAACCGCGTCGACATCGTCCGCGCAATGATGGACGTCCTCTACGCCAAGGGTGCGTTCAGTGGACATTGAGGGTGGGGTGACGGCGAGCTGACGAGACGCCGTGATCCGCAGCGATTCCTTGCATCTCGGACTGCGTTCTGGCAGAGTTGGAGAAGCTGGGCCACCAGTACCGACTGGCGTTGCGGTGCGTTCAGGCTCACCGGATATGTGAATGTGCGGGATGACAGTGCTGACCTTGCTCTCTGCCCGCTGTTCCGCCTTTCCGCCCCGCTTCTCCCGCCTTTCCTCTCCTGCCCCGCTCCTCCTCGCCATTCTTCCTGCACTCACTGTCCTTTCTCCTGCACAATCTTTTGGCCACAGCGTCGCCCGCGACCCCCGCTTCGAGCGCCTCCCCTGCTCGCACAAAGGCACCTACGCCGACGACTGCATCGTGAACCGGGTCACGCAGCACAGGTGCTATATCGTCGCGACGTGTGATAGGCAGTTGAGGAGGAGGTTGAGGAAGGTTCCGGGCGTGCCGGTGAGTCCTGTCGTTCATCGCTTGCTTGGAGAGTGACGGAGGAGGTTTCTCGCTTCCGACGTGCGCGCGCCCCTTTCAGAGTCTGACGCTTACCGCATCCTTCTCTGCAGCTCATGTACATTGCGAAGAAGCGGTACGCCATCGAGCGCCTCCCCGACCAGGCCATTGGTTAGGCTGCGCACCCTTTCCTCCGTCCCTCTCCTCGGTTGTTTCGCTCGTGTTTCCTCGCGGTTGTCCCTGTCCCTCTGTGTGTAGTTTGTACGCATCCCTGCATCGTCGTTCGCTTTGCATACCACCGAGAAAGGCTCGCTCGACGGAGGTCAGCACCGCCACTCTTTGACCTTGGATCTCTCCCAAGCTCAACTCGCTCTCACTCAACAAACTCGCTCACCTCGCCAAGCTCTGGCACAATGAGCACCGTCATCCCACCCCCGCCCAAACGCGCACGCACGACAGGCCCACCGTCAGCCGCCTCGCTCGCAGCGAAAGAAGCCTCGTCCCTTCCCGTCCAGACCATCGTCTGCCAGTTCCGCAACGCGCAGGATGGCACGCTCCTTGGACCGGCGGTTAGCTTGCCGGCTGATACGGGGAGGGAAGGGCTCGAGTTGCTGGTCAACAACCTGAGGGGGACGGTGAGTCCCGCTTGATTTCGAGGAGGAGGAGATGGGGCATGGAGCTGACTGAATCGTCGGGGGACAGGCTGAAGACCCTGTACCCTTCTCTTTCCACCTCCAACTCCCCTCCGCCGCCGCGCCCGAACCAACAGACCCCTCTGCCCCTCCCACCAAGCCCGAAGAAGGTCTCCGCCTCGCCATCTCGCGCTCAATTCACCAAGACCTCCTTACGAACCCTCGACACGCCAACAAGCTTTCGACGGAAGATGTGTTTGTGATCGAGTGTGAGCCCGAGGCGGTGTTTAGGGTTAGGGAGGTGTCGAGGTGTAGTTCGTCGTTGGATGGTGCGTTGCGCTCTCCTTCTTGCTCGTGAGGGTTTCGCTGACGGAGACGGATTTGCAGGCCACGCCTCTCCGATTCTCTGCGCCTCCTTCTCGCCAACAGGTCGCTACCTCGCCACCGGCTCCGGCGACAACACCTGTCGCCTCTGGAACCTCGACTCCGAGACTCCCGCCTCGACTCTCTCAGGCCACACAGGCTGGCTCCTCTGCGTCGAGTGGGACGGGCTCGAGAGGTTCGTCGCGACGGGCAGTATGGATAATACGGTCAGGTTGTGGGACCCCAAGACGGGTAAGGCGGTCGGTGAACCGATGAGGGGCCATTCGAAGTGGATTACGAGCTTGGCTTGGGAGCCTATCCATCTGTGCGTTCGCTACTTCTCCTCGTCTGCCGTCGAGCGAAATTGACGCCGACTGGTCCCGACACGCCCGCAGGAACGCCTCCTCCCCGCGCCTCGCCTCCTCCTCGAAAGACGCCACCGTGCGAATCTGGAATGCGAAAGCGCGCAAACTCGACTTCTCGCTCGGAGGTCACACGGCGAGCGTCAATGTCGTCAGGTGGGGAGGCGAGGGGGTGATTTATACGGCGAGCAGCGATAGGACTGTCAAGCTCTGGGATGGCAAGACGGTGAGTCGCCTTGCCGGGGTCTTTGCGAATGGTGTTGTGTTACCCGCAGCACCGGATTCGCTTCGTCATTCCCACGTAGGCTGACTCTGCTTTCGTTCGCAGGGCAAGCTCATTCGGACGCTGTCTGAGCACGCGCACTGGGTCAACACGCTCGCGCTCAACACCGACTTTATCCTTCGGACCGGACCTTTCGATCAGTTTGCCAAGTTCCCGGCATCCGACGAGGAAGGTGAGTCCGCGCGTTCTCCATCTCTCGATGTATCTTCGCTCACGCTCTCTCGCCCTTCTCGCAGCCCAACAACTCGCCCTGAAGCGCTACAAGACCTTCACCTCCCGCTCGCCCGAACAACTGATCTCCGGCTCAGACGACCACACCCTCTTCCTCTGGCCGCCCGTCAACTCCGATCCTCCCGCCGCGACGCCGAAGAAGCCCGTCGCGCGGTTAACGGGACACCAGAAGCAGGTCAACCATGTTGCGTTCAGTCCGGATGGGAGGTTCATTGCGAGTGCTGGGTTTGATAATGCGGTCAAGCTGTGGGACGGACGGACTGGCAAGTGAGTCGGCTGTCGCGCTCTTGACTCATGTATCTGCTGCTGTTACCCAGCAAGCGCAGTTCTGCTGCTGTCCGAGGCTGCAGCTGACACAACTTGCTTCGTCCGCAGGTTCATCGCCTCGCTCCGAGGACACGTCGCAGCGGTCTACCGTGTCTCCTGGTCCGCCGACTCTCGCATGCTCGTCTCCGCTTCCAAAGACTCGACTCTCAAGGTCCGTCGTCTCCCCCCCTCCCCCTCTCCCCTGCTCATCTCGCTGACCCGCCCACCTCGCAGCTCTGGGACCTCAAGACGTACAAGATCCGCGTTGATTTGCCTGGTCATTTGGATGAGGTGTACTGCGTCGACTTTGTCGCGGACAAGATTGCGAGCGGTGGGAGGGACAAGAAGGTCAAGATGTGAGTTCTGTCGGCTGAGATTCATTCTCTCGCTCGCCTGCTCTTTAGGGGCTTTGAGCGTTTACTGGACGATCAGTGATGCTGACCGTCTTCTCCCGACAGCTGGCGCCACTAGAGTCTCATTCTTTTCTCGCTGTTGTAGCATCACCGCACCCTGCATCGCTTTCGTCGACGGCTTGCGCGTCACCGCTCGAAGAAGGAGAGATGCTGACTCGCTAGCGTTACAACAACATGACAGAGCGCTAATGCGACACATTCGACGCGCCCGTCAGGAAGACGAGCCAGGATTGGGAGAGGCGGGAGGAGGAGGCACGACGATGAGGTCGACGTCGAACTGCTCGATGAACTGCTCGTTTCCGACACGGACTTTTGGGCCGGCGTATCTGCAGACCAAGCGAATCAGCGGCCGTGACTGGCGAGAACAGACCAAAACGACGCACCTTCGGTACTCCTCCAAGGTCGCCGTTAACGCCCAGTGCTGCAACTTCCGCAAGCAGCCGATGACCGTACCAGTCCTATGCCGTCCTTGTCCACAGCACACGAGAATGGGCGCGTTCGTCGGATCGAGGATGAGGTCAAGCGCTTGAAGGACGGTTTCTTCGGATAAGGGGTCGTAGCTGGCAGCGAACTCGTCGGCAGCGAGGTGGTGGAGAGTGATGTTGCGGTCTTTGATGTAGTTGCGGCTGCGGGGGAGACAAGCGTCAGCAGGACGAGCCGAAGGTGAAGCGAAGGAGACGCACAAGGGTTCGTTCGCCTCCTCAGGCGCCAGCCAGATCACCGTCCGCAGTGCCAGCTTGTCCAAGAGCGGAAAGTTGGCCTCGGTAGGCTGTGAAGAGCGATAGAGCCCTTCCTCGACGATGCCAAAGTTCGGCGGTGGGATGAGCGACCGCTTCGAGGGCTTGACCCGACAAACTGCCACGCGCTTCCCGTCCGACGTCGTGATCGCGCGCCCACATGCTATTGTTTCCCGCTCTTGACCGTTTGTCGCGGTCCCTCGATGGGTGCACGAGGGTGTCGAGGTCGCAAGACCGGAAACTGATGAACTTGGCGAGGATGAGATGGAGGGTGTTCGAGGCGCGGTGGTGGGCGTGAGCGTAGTCATATGCTCTTCACCAGCCATGTCGGCACAGCAGCAGGCTCTCTAGCGGTAGCGAGGTAGTGGAATGAGATCAAACCCGCGCCCTCCTTCTCTCGCTCCTGCCAGCGCGCCTGGCTCGTCATGTTCCCGTCCAGCAAGCTATTCGGCTTGTGCCCAGACTGGAGCACATGCAAAGCCTTCCGCTGCCCTTTCTCGCACACTCCGCCCAAGCCAGCGCCCACCGCTCGACCCACCGCCTCGCCAAGTTCAGCGATCGCTTCCGCTTCGACGGTCCCCCAGAAGCGCTCGGCGACCGGTCAAGGGCAAATTACGTTGACAGCAAAGCGAGTAGCAACGGCAGCTGCGGCGCAGGAGAGGGTGAAGAGTCTGGTTGGCCTCGACATTGGCAGTGCGGGTCCTTCTGCGGGTCGCAGCGCGAACGGGACAGGTGCAGGGAGCGGTTCTGCAGCGTCAACGTCGAAGGTGAAGCTTGAGGACCTGCTGAATGTGCGTCACATCTTGCCTCGTAACCACTTGTCCTGTTGTTCAACCTTGTGTCGCGCAGGCCGGTCCTCCTACGCTTCCCATGCCAAAGACTCTCACGCACACGCCTGCGGTCACTCGACAGAAGATGTTGAATGCGCTCTATCACCAGTACGTCCGCTCAAGCTCGACGTTGATTCGCTCGCTCATCTCGCTACGACTCAGATTCCTCGAGATCTACTCTCCCGGCATTCTTCCTACCTCACTTCGCCAGCAACTCGCCTCTGAGCATGCGTTGCGACAAGAAGAGTACCTGTTCTCCCGAGCAACGAAGGCGACCTACCGCAACTCGATCATCTCCGCGCTCGCGAGGCTGAAGAAGCGGCCACCCGCTCGCTCAGTCGAGGAGACGGGCACGCTGGAGGAGGAGGCGGAGCGGAATGCGAGAATGGCAAACGAGGAGAAGGGTCGCTTGACGGGCAAGAGGGTGGCCAAGTTCGTCCACCCAGTCGAGACGCTGCGGAAGTTCAGCTATGTCGTCGAGGTCCCGTCTGGGCCGGGCGGTGACAGGTTGACCGAGGTGGGTAACCCGATTGTGTGCGAACGGTGCAAAAAGGAATGGGTGGTGTCGTCTACGTTGACAGAGGTGCGTTGTCTGCTTGCTTGAGAAGGTCGGATCGCTCATTCGTTTTTTCGTGCCGCAGGAGGATAAGCAGGCGTGCCACTACCATTTCGGGCGAATGGTGACGGAGAAGGTGGCCGGTGCGCATGAAGTCGACTCGCCGCGAGCCATGAGAGGTGCTGACAGGGTTGCTCGACAGGCGTTCGGCAACGGGTCTACTCGTGCTGTCCAGCAGTCGGCGCGGCACCCTGTCAAGTCGGACCGCATGTTTTCAAGGTGAGGATGCGGCCCTCTTCTGCCGAAGCGGCGCTGACGGGGCTCTCGCTCGCAGGACGAAGATCCCGCTGTCCTGCACTCCCGCGTCCCCTTCGTCACCTCCGCCTCACTCCGCCAGACAGCCTCGCCAGATCATCCTTCGTCTGTCGACATCTGCGCGCTCGACTGCGAGCTGGTCTACACCACGGCCGGCATGTCGCTCGCCCGCGTCACCGTCCTCTCCTCGACCGGCTCGATCCTGCTCGACGAGCACATCCGGCCGCCCACAGGTGTCACAATCCTCGACCTCAACACGCGCTTCAGTGGCGTTCAAGACGAGGACTTAGAGAAGGCGGTCTTGGATGTGAACGGCGTGCGGAAGGCGCTGGCGCAGTTTGTCGACGAGAAGACGATCTTTGTCGGACATGGCCTGGAGAACGATCTTAAGGCATTGAGGCTGGTGCACACGAGGGTGATCGACACGGCTATCGTGCGTCAATCCGTCCTATTCAGTCGCTTCCTGTGGGTTAAGCTGACTTCCGCACTTCTCCAGCTCTTCCCGCATCCAAACGGCGGCACCTGGCGTCACTCGCTGCGCAATCTGACAAAAGACATCTTGAAGAAGGTACGCTACGAGCCTTGCTCTCTCGCTAACTCCCGCTGACCCGCTTTCGACTCGCAGTTCATCCAGGAGGGCGACCCAACGATTGGTCATTCCGCTCGCGACGATGCGGAAGCTGCGCTTGAGCTTGTGAGGTGGAAGGTCAAGCAGGATGCGGAAGGCAAGCTGTAGCAGGAGTTCAGCATGCGATGGAAGGAACAGGCAATTGTCATCCTATTTCGCCTCGTTCTACGCGTTCTCTTCGCGCCCTTCGAAGTGAACCTTGCGAGCTCTGTTTCTACAGCACAGCTGCGCCGTTTCGCTGGTCCGTTGTCACGGGCCTTCTGGTCCTGCCGCTGCTTGTCCTCCTCTCTTCACCCCCTTTACGCCCGAACGGCGTGGCTGCCCTCCTACCGCTCTGTGAGCCGACTTGGAACGACTACACGACCCCTAGACTCTCCCAGCGGTCTCCACCTTTCACTCGGTCCTCCCTCATCCTCATCAGCCAACTCTCCTTCACCGGCTTCTCACACCGCCAGCACACCCTCAGCCGGCCGCGCAATCACATCCAAGTTTGTTAGCAGCCATGAACAACCCGTACGAGGAGGAGCAACAAGGTGCGAGCCGTTTCTCAGCGCCGTGGACCTCCTTCTCACGTCGGGGCGCGATGGGCGACCTCGTCTGGGATCAAAGGCGTTGACCGCCGGCGCTGATTCACTCCGTGCGGACACAGTTGTCATCTCGCGGATACTGGGAACGGTCGAGAAGCTCAACGAGAGCATGCTGGAGTTGAACAGGTCCATCGAGGTGCGTCTTCCGCTCGCCGGCGATCCCTGTATCGTGTTCCTACGGCGAGGGGCACCGACAGGATGCTCCTGGACTACGGTAGTCGAGCCGCGCCGAGTCGAGTGAAGCTGACGTATGGAGCCCTTCCCGCCTCTTCAGCAAGTCAACGCCTACAACGCCTCAACGGCCGAGATCGTCGAGCTGTGGACGTCCTACATGCGCAACGTCCAATGGAACCTCCAATCGCAGAAGACGCTGCATCCGCCCGTCTAGCCTTTCAACCATCCTCTCCGTCCTTCCCTCTCGCACCTTGTTGTCTGGCCTATTCGAGTCGTATGCATGCTACAGAATGTACAACAACGCATTACGCAGCCTGTACATGCCGAGAGGAAACCGAGCTAGCCGTCGATGCTCTTGACTACCGCGCCGAGAGCCGCTTTGAGCAGGAACTCGGGCGTGATCTGTCCTCCGTAAGGTGTCCTGCGCGACGACTTGGCGTCAGCAAGCGATCCGAGTACGAGCAGGAGCGGCACTCACGTGTCCACCATGTCCCGCACGCCGAGTTGAGGCTTCAAGTCGTCGTCGAGTTCTTGCAGAAACGCGCGGGCGTCCGGATCATCGCCAATCTGGATGAACTGGATGCCGAGTTGGTACGGTCTGCGGAAAGAGCGATCAGTGAGGGTTGGAGAGTGGGCCGTGGAAGTTGGCGGGACTTACGGTGCGCGAACCTCGTCGAGTCGTTGCGCCATCTCGACAATCACGTCTGCCGTCCGGAGCGTCAGCGCACGGCCAGCTTCCCAACGTGACGAGCTCGGCGTACCTCGAACGAGATCCGTATCATCCGCCCTTCCGTCCGTCAAGACTAGGAGGAGTAGAGGCTTGACCCGCTCCTTCGTCTGTCGCGCGTCCTCAACTCGCTCGACGTAGTCCCGCAAGATCTCGTCCATCACGACGCCGGTACTGTGGTGAAGAGGGGTCAGCGTAGGCCAACAGAATGACAGGTAGACGGCGAGACTCACGGAGTCGACCCGAACGGCTCAATCTCGCGAAACGCCCTCGCAACGACCTTCGTGTCGATGACATTCTCGAGTTTCCGGTCCTCGTTATTCACTGCGCAGTCGGGCTTGTCAACGAGACTGCGAAGAGGCGAGAGAGCCGAACGTACTGAAGTACAGATCAATCCCGTCTCGGTCGTACTTCCCGCACGCTTCAACCACACCCATCAATGCCGTTCGCGTCTCGTCCCAGTAGTCGATCATGGACGGCGAGCTGATGGATGCGCAGACGGTCAGCAGCCACCTCAACCAAGCGAGCCGGCGGGGCAGGAAGAGCGCAGTGAAAGAGGAAAAGCGAGACTCACTCGTCGACGAGGATAACCAGGTCGTATTTGCCCAGCGGCGCAAGCTTGTCCTCGATACTGCTCCGCCTCGCAGGCACTGCTCGTCTTCCTGCAGATCCCGCACTCATGCTGACAGCCTGATACGGCGGTGGAGCAGTCGCCGTTGAAGCTCCTCCCGTTGATCCAGCGAGCGACAATCCCGACATGCTTCCTGCTAGTGACGTTCTCCTGGCTGACGAGGTGTTTGATGATGGGAGCGAGTTGCGAGTCGAGGGAGATCTGGCGCTGTTTGAGGCGGACGAGGGAGCGGCACTCGCTGGTTGTTGGCCCTTGTTTGGTGCGCTGTTCGTCGAGAAGCGTCGAAAGACCATGTTCTGCGCCGTCGACGAGTCTGGCGAAAGTCGGACGGGAAGTGGACAAGGCCAAGAGAGGAGCCAGTGGGGATGAGGCGGTGCGCTGCCGGACTTGCCACGGACAAGCGCATCGAGTGTAAGTTAGTCGAGCCTTGTTCTGCTCGACTTGCAAGATCAGAGCTTGTACGGGCAGCGGCTTGGCATTGCATCGCGAGACGTACCGAGAAAGGCGTTCCTCCCAAACCTTTCTCGACTCGGCTCGACCTGATCCTGTGCGCTCCTCTCTCGCCATTACGGCCAGCCTATGCCGTTCCGTCTTGACAGCCTCGCCAATGAGTCGACTGGAAGAGGCGGGGGAGCCGAAGAAGAGGGCGGGGGTTTGGCGGGCGTGAGTTGGGCGATGAGTACTTGTCAAGCGGCCCGTCGCGCTGCATGCGCGTTCTGGCGACGGCGGACGAAGAATCACTTGTAGACTGTGTGGAGGAGCAGATCAGCGAGGCTGTTAGAGCAGAAGAAGCAAGCGCAAGGGGACGCACTGTGAACGAGCGAATAGAACACTGCGAATGCATTGACAGAGTCAGCCGATCGGTCTCAGCTTCGCAACAAGAGAGGACTCAAACGCACATGTCCAAAAGAGGATGAAGCTGAAGCAGTTGCCGAGTGTCCCAGACAGGAGCGGTTCGCTCGCCTTGGGGAAGTAGCGGCTGGGCTTCATGCCGCAATTGACGGCCGAGTACAGCGCGCCAACGCCGAAGGATGTGATGAAGAAGAGGACGAAGCCGTGCAGGTTTGTCAGGCCGAGGATGCCGGCGACTGAGCCTGCGATACAGGCGGTCGCTGCAAGAAGAGGAGCGAGAGGAGCCGTCAGCTCATTCTGCCGCAGTCCAAGGCGCGCCGTTCTAAGGGACGTAGACTCACTACTCTTGACGTAGTACAACGCCCGCTGGTTGTGCACGAAGTTGGGAACGAAGATGGGGGAGCCAGCCGAGGTTGTTGGGGCGGTAGGAGGGGCGACGGCGGCCACTGCGGGCAGCGCGACCTCGTCAGCACGTTCACTGGGTCAGACTGCGTCTGTACGCACTGCTTGCGAGTCCAACGAGGCGAGTCGAGGTTGGTGGTCTGGCCAAGGGTGACGACGACGAGGGTCTGCTTGTTGTCCATCCGCTCACTCGCTCGTGCTGCCACTTTGAGCCCAATACTGCACTGCTTGACATTGATTAGACCCGCCCGAACCAGAAGCCAGCATGTTCAGCAGGTGCGCCGCGTCTCCTCACCCCCGCTTCAACTCCTCGAGCTGACATCGCTTCAACACGCCTCTGTGCTCATTGTTGCTGGCCTTCAGTCGCTCTGAATACGACCGAGGTGTACGTGTAGCTCATGACTGTGCTGGGTGGAGGGGTTGCGACCGCACCGCCGACTCCTTGACCCGTTCGAAGGAATCGCTCGCTAACCCTGCTTGAGCGCCCGCAGGTCAACACCTTCTCTCCTGAAGGGCGTCTCTTCCAGGGTACGCAGGCGGATCGGCTTCTCGAGCGATGAGGATGGCCAACTTACGTACTCTCTTCCGCTTGCGACAGTCGAGTATGCCATCGAGGCTATCAAGGTGCGCCCTCCCACGGCGAGAAACACGCGACAAAAGCGCGACTGACCCTCACGCTCCCCCGCAGCTCGGCTCGACAACCGTCGGCATCCAGACCTCGGAAGGCGTCGTCCTCGCAGTGGAGAAGCGCACGCAGTCGCCCCTGCTCGAATCGGACTCGGTGGAGAAGATCATGGAGATTGACCGACACATCGGATGCGCGATGAGTGGGCTGACGGCGGACGCGCGGACGATGGTTGAGCATGCGCGAGTTACTGCTCAGGTGCGCTGCGTTCCCGCTACTCAGCTTGTGGGCCGAACTGATCAAAGTCGACCCACAGAACCATGTCTTCACCTACGACGAGCCGATCAAGGTCGAGTCGGTGACACAGTCGGTCTCGGACCTTGCGTTGCGGTTCGGCGAGGGTGCGAACGAGGAGGATGCGAGCATGGTGCGTGCTCTTCGAAACCTTGGCTACTTGGGGACGCTGACACTGTCTTTCACAGTCACGACCATTCGGCGTCGCCTTGCTCATCGCAGGAATCGACCACCACGGACCTCAACTGTGCGCACGCCTCGTGCTTCTCCTTAGGCACTCGCTAACCCCGTCGACGTTACAGCTTCCATGCCGACCCCTCAGGAACGTTCATGCGGTACCATGCGAAGGCGATCGGCTCGGGCAGTGAGGGAGCGCAGAGCGAGCTGCAAGATTCGTACGACAAGGTGCGCCGGGTTCTCTCTCGGCTGACTTCCGCCTTTCGAGGTTTACAGCAGCTGATCGAAGTCTGCACTCGGGTTACACAGTCGATGACGCTTGCGCAGGCCAAGGTTCTCGCGCTCAAGGTGTTGAAGCAGGTCATGGAGGAGAAGCTGGACCACAACAACGTTCAGCTCGCGCAGGTGCGTCTCTCCTGCGCTTCTACGGCCTCCTGGTCTCGTGCTGATGCGCCAGGACTCGCAGGTCGTGCCGGAGCAGGGATACTCGATTCTCAAGCCGGACCAGTTGCACGAGATCATTGCGCAGATCGAAGCGTAGCGACGTCCCGCCCGCCTCGCCTGCAATCGCATCGACTGTACAGACTGGTCGAGTACAGACCGCACAGCTCACGCTCAAGGTCGTCGACAAACATTGCTCGTCCAGCCCTTGTCCGCTCGGGAAGAGGCGGTGCATACTGATCTCCTTTCTCCCCACTTCGCTCTCCGCTTGGCGCTTCGCTCTTCTCTCTCTCCCGCCGTTCACTGACATCCGCAATGGGCTTCTTCAAGCGACTGACAAGCGGATCCAAGTCGACCAAGTCTGCCTCCTCAGCTCCCACCGCCTCGCCTTCGACCGCTCCCGCCTTCACGCTCGACAAACGAGGCGAAGACGCCCTCTGTGCACTGGGGAAGTACGATACGGTATTCTTGGTGGATGACTCGGGCTCGGTGATGGGCGTGTGGGAGGCGCAGTTGGCGACGGCGCTCAGTGCGGTTGTGAAGACCGCAGCGCAGTACGACGACGTGCGTTCCCTTTCCTCCCCCTTTCCTTCCAAGTGTCCTTTACCCGGATAGCCTCGATCCCCACTCTCCCGACCTGGCAGGACGGTGTCGACATCGCCTTCTTCAACTCGCGCGAACGCTGTACCTCAACAAGTTCCGACGAGATCCTCGAAGTCTTCCGCCGCGTGAAGCCGCGGTACAAGACGCCGACGGCGGATGCGGTGAGGAGGGTCTTGGAGCCGTATATGCAGGTGCGTCCAGTTTCCTCGCGCGCGGGAGGCGCCGTTCCTTATCGCAAGCCTCCCAGTTTTTGTCGGATGGTGGTTCTTCGTGCTGAATACTGAGTTCTAATCTGCGCCGTAGACTCTCGAAGAATGGCAGCGGAGCGGCAAGGAGAAGGGCAAACCTCGACCGAAACCGCTCAACTTGGTTATCCTCACAGGTGCGTTCTCCTCGCTCCTCCCTCCTTGAGTCGTCCATTCTTGACCTGGATCGCTCGCAGACGGCGCACCGCACGACGACCAGAACCCTAGGATGGTGCTCGTCGAGACGGCGCGCCGACTCGATGCCGGACGCTTTCCTCCATTCCAGGTCGGGTGTAGCTTTGTCCAGATCGGCAACTAGTGAGTTGGTCGGATTCCATAGCATGAGCGTGCTGACGCTCGCGAACCTCGCAGTACGGAGGCGGCAGAACACTTGCGAATGCTCGACGACGACCTCAAGGAGAAGCACGGGTGCGCCAGCCTTTCTCGACTCACCCGAAGCCGGCTGCTTGCTTTGAAAGCCCAAAAATTTGAAGCTGACTCCCTTGGCCACGCAGGATCCGCGACATGGTCGACACGACGTTGTTCGAGGGGTCCTGCAGTGCCGAATACCTCCTCAAGGCTCTCCTTGGCGGCATCAACCGCTCAATTGACCGGCAGGGGCAGTCTCGCCGCTTGAACAGTCTGCTCAATCTCAACAATGTCGTACGGAAGTTGCGGAACTGTGTTTCGAGGTCGAGGGAGGAGAGAACGCGTGCGGCCCTCGCAAGCTGGACACACGGCCTCGCTGCACGTCTCGCCTCTAGCTGTGCTCGCCAATACGTCGAGGAAAGTCTCTGCCAAGGAAAGTCTTTGCCACCGTTCCTGCGAGTTCCTTGCTTTTGACATTGGTGAGCGGACCGCCGCCGTCCTCCACCCGCGCGATGACATCCTCTTCGCCTCCGCCCTCACACGCCCACACGCTTGCAGACTCGCAAGAGTGCTCACCAGCTTCGTATTGCTCACATAGCACCACTCGCCACCCTTCGCCACCCGCCGACGGCCTCCCACACCCGCTACGACCATGCTCCCCGCCGACACTCCCGTCGTCCCGTTCGAAGCGTGGCACGGCTTTCCGCAGGGCAGCGGCACCTGCCAAGTGACCGCGTTCTCCCCTTCGACGCTTGAGATGCCCGAGAGCTGGACCATCCACCCCGCCCGCTCCGTCTCGCACCGTCACCCTGTCCTCGTCTTCCTCATCAAGCACCAGCCGACGGGCAAGCTCGTCCTCTTCGACCTTGGTCTTACAAAGGTGGTTACTCGCATATGTGCCAACCTACGACCCATGCTGACGCGTCGACCGCCCGCAGGACTGGACAAACTACATCCCGCACGACCAGGTCTCCCAGTACGAGATGTTCGCGGTCGAGGTGCAGGAAGACCTGGCCGACGTGTTGGCGAAGAAGGGCGTCAAGACGGAGGATATCGACGTCGTCATCATTTCTCGTCAGTTGCGCTCATTTGGTACATCTCGACTCTCTCGCTCACCCTCTCCGTCTCGGCAGACCACCACTTCGACCACAGCACCAAACCCGAAATCTTCACCAAAGCCGAGATCATCGTTGGACCCGGCGTGAAAGAGCGCACTGTGGCTCTCCAGGGCCACAAGAACGTCCGCGAGCTCTCGTGGCATCATTCGCCTACGCACCTCGCAACGTTCGAGCATAGCTACGACGTTTTCGGCGACGGCGCGATCGTCGTTGTCCCGACGGAGGGGCACACCGAAGGTCACATCTCTGCTGTCGTGCGCACGGCGACCGAGCCCTCCGTCGGGCAGGGAGAAGGCGAATACGTTGTGCTCGCCGCCGATTGCTGCCACCACGGCATCCTCCTCGCGCCGAAACCGAACGAAGCGCACTACCGTCTCGGCAGGTGGCGCAACCCCGGCGAACCCATCGACGTCCCGCCTCAGCACTCGAACTACGACGACTACCTCAAGGCCGAGCAGACGCTCGAGCGCATCAAGGCTATCAACAGGAAGGACGAGGTGATGGTTGTCTTGGCGCACAACTTTACGCAGTGGGAGAAATGGGGCGGGAAGGAGAAGGCCATTGAGGGAATCGAGCTGAACAACTGGAGGAAGAGGGGTTTGAAGCATTACTGAGGTTGTGCATGTGCTGGAGGAACCGCATCGGATCGCTTAGCTTGTTGTAGTCGTACTCGCGCATCATCGGAACCCGCGTCTCGCATCTCTCCTCGTTCTCGACTGTCGCAAGAGAGGGTATTGCAAGATCTACGCACTGGCCTGCAGCGCCTGCGCCGACTTCGCCAACTCCGCCTTCACGAGCTCCTTGATGTCTATGGCCCGCTGTACGCCGCGTAGGTAAAGCCATCGCTCGCGACCGACCATTTTGGTGTAGCAAAATTCGGAGAAGTGTTGAGCGAGGAAGGTGATGGACTGGTCGGCTTCGTCTGCGCGTGTGACAGTGCGTGAGCGAAAGTTAGAAGCGAGAGGCGAAAGGACGACGCACCGAAACCGATCGAGAGCAGCGGGCTGTTCGCGACTGCCGTACAGACCTCCTCAAACAGCATCGGCCTTCCGTTGAGCCTCATCGCAACGACATCCGCAACGCTTCCAAGCCGACTCATCATCGCGTTCCGCTTGTGGATGTCCTGGGGCGTGATGGGCGCCGAGATGCTGTCTGCTGCGTCGAAGCCGTCGAGTTGGCCGGCGTGGCGCTTCAGCGAGCGCTTTGTCGGCGACGACTCGCCCGTGGAGAGGGCCGAAAAGGAGGCGTGGTAGGCGGACTTCTGGTGCGCCGCCTGTTTCGCTTGGATCTGTTCGGAGCGAGAAGCTGTCAACTCCCGCTCAAGGTCGAGGAGAAGGGACCGAACGCACTCGCTCTCGTCGCGCCCTGTCGCGGTCAGCGACACTCCCGCCCTTCGCTTTGATCGGCTTGCCCTTCAGCAGCGTATCGACGGAGTTGGCGGGCGAGACGATCGGAAGCTTCGCCTGTCCAGGCGTGGGCATCACCGGAGTAGACGCCTTCTTTGGGCTTGGCGTAGTCGTGGACGGGATGGCGGGGACGGCGGGCGTGAGCAGGGGAAGGGCGGCGAGAGGGACTCTGTTGTCGGTTGAGCCGAAGCGGATCGAGTCTGGCTCGTCCTCGTCCATCTAGCGGAGCAGTGCGCTGTGAGCTGAACCTGCTCAATGACGAGAAAAACCACGAGGAGACGCACCTCTTCGGCCTTGACCTGCCTTTCAGCCCACCTTCGCAACCTCCGCTCGACCTCCTTCCTCCTCTGCTCCTTCCCCTGCGTCCACAACGCGACGATACTCATCCCGTCCCTGCCCTTCCCTACACTGCTAGGGCTGGGCGGCGCAGCGCTGTTCCGCCTCTTTCCGCTCGAAGGCGAGACGAGCTCGAGTTTCGGGAGTTGCGGGTTCGTACGGAGCGTGACGGAGATGCCCAGTCCGTAGGTCTGCGAGACGCGAGGGCCTGCCGAGGAGGAGGTCGAGGCGACGCGTGCGCGGGACACGACGAAGCCCATCCCGCCGACTTCGTCTTCGCCGTCACGACCCAAGACGACCGTGTTCCGTCCCCTCGGCGATCCACCGAGCTCGTCGGCCGTATCGCCGCGCGACAGTCCTCCAGCACCCTGCCAAACCCACACGAGGCGCCTCAACTCGTTCTCGCCAAACCTTTTGCCCGAACTCTCGAGCATGCGGGTCAAAGTCGGCAAGTCGATCAAGTTGGCCATCTTGACTTTCGCCTCGTTCGATGCCGAGTCGACGTCTGAGATGCTTGAGGCGATGGTGGAGCCGGCAGTCGACAGGTGGATGATTAGGGCGCGTTCGAGGGCGGAGTGGAGGGAGAGGAGCGAGGCGAGCGGCGCGGGGAGAGGTGTTGCGGTAGATGTGCGTGGCGAGGACGTCTGGAATGCAAAGGGGAGACCGAGAGAGGGTGAAGGGCTGAGAGGGAGCTTGGTCGACGGGCGAGGAGGAGGTGTGACGGGTCTGTCGCTCGAAAGACGAGGCGACTTGGTGGGCGTTGCGAGGGAGAAAGCCGGCGCCTTGGCCTTCTTAGGAAACGCAACATCGAGATCGTCGTCGTCGCTGTCGTAGACGAGCATCCTGCCCTTCCCCTTCCCCTTGTTGGACGGACTCTCCGTCACGTCCCTCATCCGCTCGCGCTGCATCTCAATCTCGATCTCCTTTCGTCTCTTAGCGCGCTTCTCCAACTCGAGGTCTTCGACAGTTTCGATAGGCTCGGAGAGAAGCATGTCGGCTTCGTGTTCGGCCTTTGTGCGCAAGTCGTCGGGCGAACGGGGACGGTAGACGCGTCCGTTTAGCTTGACGAGGAGTTTGGGAGAAGCGGGCGAGGGTGATGTAGCGGAAGACGTTGCTGCAGAAGCTGTGCGTCGGCGGGAGGAAGAGGGAGGCGTGGGAGGCGCTTGTCTGGAGGAGACGAGGATGTGACGGTCAGTTCGTGCTGGCCGAATGGCTTCGCGGAATGAACGAACCTTCGCTCTGCAGCCTTTGAACCCTTCTGCACGTCCTCCACCTTCCTGCGCTTCAGACCTGTCCCTCGAGCATCACCCGTCCCCACAGCATCCTCGGCGGTCGAAGCGGTGCGCGTCGGTGTAGCCATCGTGCGAGTCCCGCAGAATCAAGGAGCCGTGTCTTTAAAGAGTAAGCAAGAAGCCGGACGAGCAACAAGGCGAGCGAGCGAGGTGACGGAAGCAGAGCGAGGGTGACGGTCGTCGAGGAGGCCTTCGCGGTCGCGTCGCAACGTGAGCATCAAGCGAGGAGAGGCTCAGGGGAGTATCACAGGCTTGCAAGGACAGCACAGAATCGTAGCGGAGACTCCCAGCTGGCAGGCGAGACAAGCGGGCGGACAGAGGCGGACTTCGAGCGGGCGGAGGAGAAGTAGCAAGACTCGTGCGCCTGGGACCAGGCTCGGGAGTCCAGTCGTGCACTTGTGTCGCATATGCATCGTTGCGTGAGTGAGGCGAGAATAGTACAACAAGGTGGAGAGGGCGAGAGGCGTGGGAGGGGAGTGGAAGCCGTCCTAGGGCGCCTTGGTCTTGAGTTGCAGGCCGTGCATCCCCTTGATGTCGTCCTTGAGGAGCTCGTTGACGATGCGATGCTGCTTGATCATCGAGAGACCCTTGAACGATTCGTGCTCGACCGAGATGGCGTAGAAGGTGCCGCAACCGCCTGCGAGGAGGAGAAGGGAGGGCGAAGATAACGCAGGAAGGCCAGTGCGGAGTTGTCAGTACTTCTGTACACCCACTGAATATGCACGACTGCGAGCCAGCCCCCAACAGGCCTCCAATCCCAGCACACTGTCGTCAAACCTCGGACGGGGAAGCAGGAGGAGAGCGAGGGGCAACACACCTGAGACGTCCTGCACCTGGACCTTTGCGCCCTCGAGAGACTCTGCCAGCTTCTTCCTGAGTGCCTCCTCGCCGTCTGTTGCGCTGTCACGGAGTGGTGCGGTCGAGCTGATGAAGCGGGGGAACGAGGAGGCGAGAGACGGTCGCAGTGGTTGCGGGCGGGCTGCGAGGGCTGATGGCCGTGTCCTGAGCAGTACACGGGCGAGCATGTCTCCTACGTCTCGCTGTTGGCTGGGTGAAAGGTGTCCAACCAGCGACTTCACGAATCTCTCCCCTCGACGAATCGCTTGAACCGCTACAGTCCTCGTCCGAGCGCCTGTTCTCTGCCTAGACAGACAGCGCAACCTCGCCATGGTATCACATGCTGCGTGGCGGCCACTCGCAGGCGCCGCCGCATCCTCAGCACGACTCGCCGTCCCCAAGTCGACCTCGACTCCGGCGATCGCACACTTCGCTCGCTCGCGAGCAGGCGTGCAGGCGTGGGGGACAGCCGTAGGGGCACGGAGACTGTACTCGGCGGGCGCGGGACAGGCGCGGACAGCGGTTGAGGGAGGATTCCTTGCGGGCGGTCGGGTCTTCGCGGCTCTTCGACAGGTGCGCTGACTTCCTTTGTTGCTGACGGGCTTTGTACGACACGAAGGCGTGCTATGCGGGCGAGCCGAGAACCGTCGCGCCAGGCCGTGTTGACGGAGCGATCTCGAGAACCGGCCAAGTCCACCCAGGATCTCGCCTGACTCTCCGCTGCGCCTACAGCCTCGAAACGCATCCTTCGCCGCCTCGTCACTCACAGCACTGCGACAAAACGTCGCTCGGTCCGCCCGCTCCCTTGCAACCGCTGCCATCGACTCCTCCTCGTCCGGCTCCTCCTCTTCCACCTACCCTGATCCTCCCGAAGTTCCCCTCACTTCGCCCCTCGTCTCCCGGTACCTGTTCGTTATCGGCGGCCTCGTCTTTGCCATCGTCGTGGTCGGCGGCATGACCCGCTTGACCGAGAGTGGGCTGTCCATCACCGAATGGAACGTTATCAAGGGCGTCAAGCTGCCCATGTCGCAGGCCGAGTGGGAGGAGGAATTTAAGAAATACAAGCTCACCCCCGAATGGAAGATGTGCGTCCAGTTCCCTTCCAAGGCGACTCTCTCAGCTGACCTTCGCAACGCCAAACAGCAACAACCAGCACATCACGCTTCAGGACTTCAAGACGATATACATGTGGGAATGGTCGCACCGCATTCTCGGCCGCATCATCGGCGTCGCCTTCCTCGCCCCGATCCCTTACTTCGTCTACGCCCGCAAACTCGGCGGGGGCGCGCTCTTCGCCCTCTTCGGTATCGCCTCGCTCATCGGCGCACAGGGCGCGATGGGTTGGTACATGGTCAAGAGCGGACTGGACGAGCAGAGCGTACAGGACCTCGGTGGTGTCCCTCGCGTCAGCCAGTACCGTCTCGCGGCTCACCTCGGCTTGGCGTTCCTCGTCTACTCGGCGTGCGTACGATTCGGCATCGGTGCTGCGAGGGACTGGAAGCTGGCGAAGAAGATGCAGGGACTCGGTGGGTGGAAGACAGTTGAGGAGACGATTCGCGGGTTGGAGGGCAAGGTTGCGGGCCGGACTCGCGTTCTCGTCACGGCGTTGACCGCGCTCGTCTTCACGACGGCTCTCTCGGGTGCGCATACTTCTCGTGCTCCGTTCAACGTATGTTCTGATGGTTCATCCCGCAGGCGCCTTCGTCGCCGGGCTCGATGCTGGCCTGATCTACAACGAGTGGCCGCTCATGGGCGGCAAGCTCCACCCGCCTTCATACGAGCTCAACAAGGATTTCTACTGCCGCAAGGCTGACAAGTCGGACCGGTGGCGCAACCTCTTCGAGAACCCGACAACGGTCCAGTTCGACCACCGCATGCTCGTGCGTCCTATTGGCTCCAGCTCACAGACCTGTCGCTGACTCGTTTCCACAGGCCTACACCACCTTCTTCTCGGTGGTCTCGCTGTTCCTCTACGCCCGCCGCCCTCACATCCGCTCGCAACTTCCACCTCTGACCTACCGCCTTATCAAGGGCTCGCTACACATGTCGGTACTGCAGCTCACGCTCGGCATTACGACGCTCCTCTACCTGGTTCCGACACACCTCGCCGCGACGCACCAGGCAGGCTCGCTCGTCCTCCTCAGCCTTGTCCTCGCCGCTGGCGCGACTTTGAGAAGGCCGAGCAAGGTCGCGAAGGAGGCGCTCAGGATCGCACAGCTGAGGCAGAAGGCGGCGCAGATCAAGGTATAGAGGGCGCTTCCGTGGTTTCCCTAGTCGTTCCCCCCCAGTTGTACCGCAGGATAGATGTTTCCCTTCCGCCGCTCACCCTCAGCAAACCAGCATTCTCGTTCCACGGACTTTCCGGCGCTCCTGTCTGGAAAGGAGGCTCACGAGCGCCTTGACCTCGCGTCTCTTCCAGACGAGCTGTCTTCGTCCCCGCTCGCCTCTTTCCTTCTTTCCTCCCCTCGTTTGGGCTCACCTCGCTCTGCAGGCCTGCAAGCGCGCTCACATGGCTTCAGAGCACTCTCCGTCTGCTGTGGAGCCCGACTCTCCGAGCTCCACCGCGCCCGGCGCCCTCTCCGCCTCGACCACCCCCTCCCGCTCGTCGAACACCGCATCCTCGACCACGAGTAGCCCCTTCTCGCTTCTAAACCGCTCTAGTGATATCGAGCTCGCCACAAGCAGCGGATCCGAGGCGGGCAGTACAGTCGCTGGGGAGAGGAGGTCGAGCGGAGGGAGTGAGGAGGGCGAGTTCGAGTACGTTCCGAAGGGTGGTGCGGGGAGCGCTTGGAAGGATGTGTCGAAGGGCGAAGCGTCGGCTGAGACGGGCCAGTCCGGTGGGTCGTCTCCTTTCCCGCTTACCAAGACGCAGACTGACCTTTTCCTCCTTGCATCCCTCAGGCGTCCCTTCCGTCTCTCCTGCTTCGCCTCCGCCTTCTCCTGTCGCCGTAAAGACGTCTACTACCTCGACGAGTCGTGCAAGCTCGCCTGTCTACTCAAAGTGGGCGCCTCCCGGCTACGTTCCCTCGACGCCCAGTCCCGCTTCCCTCGCCAAACCTACCGTCACGCCCGCTTCGACCTCGTCTCTGCCTTCGAAGTCCACCGTTCCGAAGCCGGAAATCAAGGCGAAGCAGGCGACGCTCGCCAAGATGAGGGCGCTCCTTCCGCCGGAAACTCCTGCAGCCGCCTCCTCGATTCCCTCGACGCAGCCAGCCGCTCCGTCGCACAATTATCCTCCTTCGCCTCCCTCACCACGCACGAGCCCGAAGCTCACCCCGACTCCACTCTTCGAACGCGCTGTCGAGTCGACCATTCAGAGCAACCTTCGCGCCGACAATCACGAAGCGACTCGTCTCCGCAGGCAGCATGAGCAGGAGCTTGCGTCGGCGAACGAAAAGCTCAAGGAGCTCGAGCAGAAGCTGAATGACCGGGAGAAGCTGCTTCAGGAGGTGCGAGATGAGGCGGGTGCGCGGGAGAAGAAGCAGGACGAAATCGTCGAGTCGGCTCGTCGTCAAGTCGATGTGCTCGAGTCCTCTGTCTCGCGGCTCGAGGCGCAGGTCGAGCAGTACAAGGCGGACGTCGCGGCGAAGCAGGGCGAGGTCGACGCTCTTGAGGTCAAGCTCAAGGATGCGGTTCGCGCGCTCATCTACTCGGACGACCACCTCGACGAGCGCCAGAAGGAGGCCGCCGAAACGGAGGAGCGCTTGAACGAGACGATCTCCCTTCTCGAACTCGCTCGAGGGCGTATCACCGAGTTGGAGACCCTCGTCGAGCTGCGGGACATGGACATCGAGGACACGCACAAGCAGACCGACATTGTCGACGCGAAGCTCCAGTCTGCGCAGGAGAAGCTCGAGACGGCCACCGAGCGTTGCCAGAAGGCCGAGAAACTCGCGATCAAGCGACAAAAGGAGCTCGACAAGCTTCTCCAGGAGACGGCACGGCTCGAAACCGAGCTGGCCGTCGCGCAGAACAGCCCGAGGACGGAGGCGCTCCTTTCGCCAGTCGAGCACGACGAGGCGGCCCGACGCATCGCTGACCTCGAAGCCCGCCTCGACACGGAGGTCGCGGAGAAGAAGAAGCTTTTCGCCGAGGTCGAGACGGTTCGCTTCCGGCGTCAACAGCTCAGCGAAGAGCACGAAGTGCTCAAGGCGACGTCGGCGAAGCGGATCGCAGAGCTCGAAGCGGAGAAGAAGATGGTCGAGCGTCGCGCGACCCAGTTTGCTGCTCAAGCGGTTAAGGCAAAGGAGGAGCTCAGGAAATGTGCAGCGCGGAGCGGTCAAATCAGGACGGCTTCCGATCCTCGCTTCGTCTACAGCGCCGAGCAGCTACTCATTCTCGCCGAATCTCCCGCTGTCCCGACCCTCGCTCCCGGCTCTCTCCCTCCCGAAATCGACGCCAACAAGCCCAAGGCGCTGTACGACGACCCGCAGGCACCTGTGACGACGTACATGCAGGTGCGTCCGACCTTCTTCCTCAATTTCTCGCTTCGCGAGCTAACGTTCCTCCATCTGCAGATGCGCGTGCGCTACATCTCTCTCCGCAACCGCTTCGCCGACCTCGATGCGACACTGCAAAGGCTCAAGCGGGAGAAGGCTTCGCTCGAGGAGGACAACGCTGCGCTCAAGCACGAGGCTGACGTCCTGCGCGGCGAGCGCGACTATGCGTACGATCTCGTGCGCGAAGCCGCCCAGCTACTCGACGCCCACATCGACGATAGCGGGTCGTCAACGCCGAACGAGGACCGGTGAAGGTTGAGTTGCGCGGCGTTCCCGACTGCTGTCAACGTTCGCTAACAGTGACGCCGCGTAGTTGAACGAGAGTGCTGAGCGAGTAGCAGCTGTCGGGAATGGACGTGCCGAGTAGGGAGAACGCTTGAGAATGGAGACCCACTTCGCAGCGAGACGTAGTGCTCTTCCCGCATCTTGCAGCGTTTAGGATACTGCTTAGTTACTGCACGTAAGAAGAGGACTACAGAGACTGGGCGATGGCTGGCACGCTTAGATGAAGGGCCTCTCGGCTTGAGGCGTGAGACGGGCGCCGTGGCGACGTCCTCCGTTCATGCCCTTGTGCCAGTCGATGAGCGCTGAGTGAGCCGTGATGCGGTCTGTGGGACACATACGAGGATGTCAGTCTTGAGTCGACATCATGAGTGCTGGAAGAGACGTGCTGTCCCAGAGGGTCACCGTGCCAAGCTCTCCCCAGCGGACGCGAGCCTGGAAGTCGTGGCCTTTCTCGATGTGGTCGCTGCAAAAGTCCCAGTCAGCTTCACTTGAGTGCAACGAGGCTGGAAGATTTACTAGAGGATGCGAAGCAAGCCGTCGCTCTCCTCCTGCTTCAGGCCGACGATCCGGCGGGAGAAGCCTGGGTTGACATAGAGCGCCTTGGCGCCAGTAACGGGATGGCGGCGAACGAGCGGGTGGACGTTCTTGACCGGCTGACGCTTGATGGTGTTTTCGCCGTGAAGAGCGGCTGCGCGGCTGGCCTGCTCGTAGCCAGAGTGTTCAACCTGAAGCGTCTCGAGGTAGGCGCGGAACGAGGGCGACAAGCGGTTGTACGCCTCGACCTGGTCGAAGAAGAGCGTGTCGCCGCCGGAAGCGGGCGTGTCGAACAAGAAGAGCGCGGTCAGGCCGGGCGGCTGCAGCTCGTACGAGACGTCCCTGGGCGAGGGGAGGTGTCAGTCTCGCGCAAAAACGTCTTATAAGTACGCTGAGCTCACGAATGAGTCGTAGTGGTGGTGAGGCGACCTTCGTAGAAGCGCTCGTCGGTCGTGCCCGTGTCCTCGCGCCAAACGAGGTGGAGCTCGGGGTAACCCTTCGGTTGACCAGAGACCGGGTGGATGTGCGGCCTGCCAAAGTACGATGTCCAGTCCTTGACCCACCAATCGTAGTCGGCGTCGATGAAGTTCTCCTGTCCGCGGAAGGCGACGACGCCGCGTTGAGCGACAAAGAGGGCGAGTTGATCCCTCTCGCGGTCAGTGAGCTTGGTCAGGTCGATGTCGCCGGAGATCTCGCTGCCGAACTCGGGCGTGATATCCTTGACGATGGCAGTCTTGAGGAATGAGCGAGGCTCTGGGTCCGACAGCGCCCGCTTGCCCGGGTCGACATGCTCGAAGGGCTCCAGCGGCGGCAGCTTGAGACTGGTCGTCCATTCGGGCAGGAAGCGAGCGTACCTACGGATGGATACGTGAGGTTCGGTCAATGATGGGTCCGAGTTTGCAATGGTGGGCGGAGGAAGGGGACGAACTTGTACGGGGTTCCGCCAGCCTTCGACGTGCTCTTCGGCACTTCGAGACTGTCGTACTCGCCGTTGAGGCGGAGGGAGGCAACAGCAGGCTCGATTTGAGTGACGGAAGGCATGAGGAGAAGGTGTGGAAGGGTGAGGAAATGGAGAGAGCGGGAGGCGGGTGAGACGAGCGGGGCTCAGCACGATACATGGAGCATCAGTAAGCCAAATCAGCACGAAGACCGGTGAAATGGCGTGCGACGACCCAATACGAGCGAGTGCGCGATGGAGCGGGAGAAGCACCGCTTCGGTCGGCTTGCGAGCACAACTGCGGCTCGCAACAGAGTGTGCGCAAGGATTGCATCAGCCGAGCAGAGCATCCAGCTGGAGCGAGGTTGTTGGCGAAGGGAGAGCGAAACTGATGAGGATCTTGCACGCTTCCACAACGGTGCACAACCTCCTGCTGGGCTGCTGCTATGCTACACTGCTGCTGATGGACCACTGTGAACAGGCGGACTGGTCGGCGCGTCGCCCGCGGACGACCCTCACGGCGTGCTTTCGTGCACGAATGGCGCGAGGACAGCGGGGCAACGCCGTCGCGAGCTAGCGTTAAGGGGCTCGCTAGTGCACGATACGCTTTGCGTGAGGCAATCCGATCACCCTTTGCGCCATCTTCAGCCGGGAGACGCCGTACGGCCGCTCTCTGACGAGCTTCCGGTTCGCTCGACTTGCGTGAAGGTCCGCTCCTTGCTGTATCTCATTCTTCCTTCGTCCTTGCGCTCGAAATCACTCCTTCGCGCATCCCGCTCCCTCAGTATGGCTCCCTCTCTGGCCAACGTAGAGATTCTCCCGGCCCAACCTCAACTTCATGTTTCGCCTGCTCGTTCTCCCTCCGCCAACTCCCTCGACGACTTGAAGGACGACAAGGTCGACGCATACGGCAAGAGCGAGACAACATACGACAAGAGCGAAACAACCTCTCTCTCGTCCCGCGCTCCTCTCGCCCCTCGCGCCGATATCGCCTCTCACAGCGCAGGCGCCGCGATCCTGCGTCTCCTCGGCGTGCGGAAGCGTTCAGCTTTCGACGACCCTGACGCTGTTGCGACCCAGGAAAGCGTCTACGACGGCCCGCTGGCGGCGGCGTACGCTCCGAGCGACGAGTGGGAGAATAAAGCCGCCTTCGACCCGTCGTTCCGCTGGACCAACCGCGAGGAGAAGGCGCTCAAGCGGAAGCTTGACATCAAGATTTTCCTATGGGTCGCCATCATGTTCCTGGCGCTCGACATCGACCGTGCAAATTTGGCCAACGCCACGGCCGACAACCTGCTCAAGGACCTCGGCTTGACCCACGGCGAGTACGTCCTCGCGCTACTCCTCTGAACGCACATGGAGGTTCTGACCTATCGCTTACAGCTACAACCTCGGCAACACCCTCTCGAAGCTCGGTTTCCTCATTGCCGAGCTGCCCTCGCAGATGATCGGCAAGAAGATTGGCGTCGACATCTGGCTTCCGACTCAAATCGTAAGCTCACCGCGCCTCTAGATCTGGGCGGTGCTACGGTGCCACGAAACTGACGATCGGATCCGCTGCAGGTCGTCTTCTCGATCCTGTCCTTTGCACAGTTCTGGATGAACGGACGCACCTCATTCCTCGCGCTGCGGTTCCTCATCGCAGCAGGACAAGGAGGGTTCGTCCCCGATGTCATCCTCTACCTCAGCTACTTCTGTGCGTCCGCCCTAGCTCCTCATCCCGCTCTCTCACTGACGCTATCCGGGCCCCTACAGACACCAAGAGCGAACTCGTCACCCGCTTGTCCTGGTGGTATACTATCAATTTCAGCAGCAATACATTGACCGCCTTCCTCGCGGTCGGGCTGCTCAAGATGCGCGGAGTCGGCGGATACGCAGGGTGGCGCTGGTGAGCCTCACTCTCTGAAGGCTCGTTCATCCCTCGACTAAATCGACATGCACACAGGATGTTCCTCATCGAGGGCCTCCTGACGCTGCTCGTCGGAATCGCCTCTTTCTTCCTCCTCACGCCCGGTCCGTCGCAGACGAAGGCGAAGTGGCGTCCGAACGGCTACTTCACCGACCGCGAAGTCAAGATCATCGTCAACAAGGTGCGTCAAAGTCCTCACGCGAAGCTGTGTAGTCTGCGCGCTTTGAACGGAGCTAACCTTCGATTCTTCGCAGGTCTTGCGAGACGACCCGACGAAGGCCAGCATGCACAACCGGCAAGCACTCACACCGAAGCTTCTCTGGAAGTCAGCTTGCGACTATGATCTTTGGCCGCTTTACTTGCTCGGCCTCACGTTTGGTATCCCAGGCAACCCGATCAGCTAGTACGTCCCGCTGTCTTCGCTGAGACGCTCGTTACACCTTGCGACTGTGCTCACTCTGACCTGATCATCCGCAATAGCTACTTCCAGATCTCGATGAAGTCGCTCGGATTCTCGACGGTCATGGCGAACGTCCTCGCCGTGCCAAACACCAGTTCGTCGACCCTTCCTTCTCTCCCGCTTACCCGCTGACATTTATGTTTGGCAGTCATCTCGATCGTTACGCTTCTCCTTCTCGCCATCGCGTCAGAGCTCACGAACAATCGCTGGGCCATCTGCGCGATCCAGAACGTCTGGTTCGTTGCCTGCCTCATCCCTTTGCGCGTGCTGCCCGACCCGATCAGCCCTTGGACGTACTTTGCGCTCGCGTACGTTCGCACCGCACCCTCCGAGCCGTAATGCTTCGAAGTCGCTGACCTCGCTCGCTCTGCAGAACGGTTCTTCTCGGCTCGCCCGTACGTCCGACCTCTCCAGCCTGTCACGCCAACTGCTCAGAAGCTGACGCTTTCCGCATCGCGCAGTACGCGCACTCGGTTCAAGTGACCTGGTGCTCGAGGCTGGCCGGCAGTGTTCGCACTCGCACCTTCTCCGCGTCGTGAGTCTCGCTTTCCCCACTCTTGCGTCGCCGCTCTTGTTCTTCGTCGTAGTTGATTACAGTTCCGACCCCGCAGGCTGTACAACATGGCAGTGCAGACCTCGGCAATCATTGGCGCGAACAGTAAGTGTCCTGCCTTCGACGCTCGAGCGACAAGGCTCACTCCCTGCGCCTTCCCCAGTCTACCAAGCGGATGACGCTCCTCGCTACAAGCGCGGGAATACCATTCTGCTCGCCATCGCTGCCTGGAACTTGGTCGTTATGTAGTGAGTCGCTCCCTTCCTCGCCCTTGCACGTCTCGCTTGACTCATGCCCTGCTTTCTCCGCAGTCCCGGCATCTTCCTCTACTACCGCGCCCGCAACGCACACAAGGAGCGGAAGTGGAACGCCATGTCGGTCGAGGAGCAGAAGCAGTGTGAGTTTCGCTTCGTTCGCGCCTGCAATCTCCCTCGAGACTGACCGCGTCCGATGCAGATCTCGAGACGACGACCGACGAAGGTTGCAAGCGCCTAGACTTCCGCTTTGTCTACTAGAGAACGGGAAGGGGGAGTGGGACGGACGGCTTCGAGTTGCGTTGCGGAAGGAGGATAGGTTTCGGGATTGTCGTTATGTGCTATCCGTCTGCATTTGGTTTTGTGCTGCTTGAGCATACGTCGTGGATTAGACGCTCTACCTGATCACGCGGGAGTTCCGACTAGCAAAGCGAGGTAAGCGAAAAGCGAGTGAGCGAGACGGACGCCTCTCGCCTCTCGTGCGTCTCAGCATCAGACTGCGCAGAGAGCTTCACAACAATGCATGTACAGCGCATCAGGCAGCCATCCTACCGAATTCATCCTTCCTTCGACGCTGCCCCAGGTTGACCCGGCGCCTGTTTCCGCCTGCGACCCTCCTTCTCCCACTCGCGCTGCAAGTGCCTCTGCAGGTCCGGTATAGTCCTGAAGGTCTCGTAGGGCGGGTAGGTAGAGATGAGCGGTTCTTTGAGAAGGGCTTCGTATGATGCGCGCGAGTCCTGCGGAAGAAGACAAGGTCAGCAAGACGCGGGCGAGCGGCGTCGACGAGCGCAAATACGCACGAGCACGTAACCCCCTCCCTCTACCTCGCGGATGACGTCGGAAAGATGGAGGAAGTAGCCGAGTGTCGGGTGGAAGGAGTTCCAGTGTCTGCCGCGAGAAAGCAGGAGGTGAGCAGAGTTGCTCGGCCAACTCGGCCGCGAGCACACCACAGCGTTTTTAGATACACCGTGCGTCGACCGAAGGGACGCACTTCTTGTTCTTGAGTTTAGGCGAGAGCATGTCGCTCGAGATAACGTGCAGGTGCACATGTCGCATCGACTCGACCTGCGATGACCAACCATCAGTCTCGTCCAAAGTGGATACGCAAGATCTTCTGCCAACGCACCGCATGGAAGCCTATCCGCAGATCCCAGCTCCAGCCTTCCTCCTTCTCCATCTCGTCGCGGATCATATCCTGCTCGGCTCGCGAATTAGCGCCGATTCCGAGAGGGAAGAGTCTCCTCGACGCACCTTCACCTCGTCGGCTTGTCTCTCGAGCACTTTCAGCACTTCAAGCGCGTGGGGGGACTTGAGCAGGGAAGCGAGGTTGACGAGGTGCGAGGCGGGGACGGTGTCGCCTGATTCGAGCGGGAAAGGAACGCGAGCTGTGGAGCAGTGAAATCAGTTAGACGAGGAGTTTGCAAGCATAAGAATAGTCGGGACGCGAGGAAAAGGGCGTACGCATGATCAGGAGGTGATACTTGGCCTTCTCGTAGCCGTCGAAGATCGTCAGCCTGCGTGCGTCAAATCAATTTAGACGTTCTACATCGTGCTCACGTCCGAACAGAGGTCCAGCCGAATGAACGCCGAATGAACTTCAGCCGAATGAACGCGCAACTTACGTCTTCTCGTCGCTCGTGACCCACACACCGGGCGGCAACTCCTTCTCCGGCCTCTTCAGTTTGGCGTAATCCTCCAGCACTCTGTCCCATCCTGCCCGAGAGCCCATTGCGCCGGTCGAAGGAAGCGGGAAGGGGATGAAGCGGGCGCGCAGTGAGGTCGAGTCCCAGACGCGGTGAGAGGCTGTAGGGGCGTGGGAGCGGTGCGGGCGCAATGTAGAGGTAGAAGAGTGGCTTCTCGCGTGATTGACGGGTAGCAAACGAGTCACGGAGCGGTGTGAGCGAGCGAGCATGAGGCGAAGCGGCCAGAGGGGCGGTGCTGGACTCTCGAGAACGGTGATGAAGCGATAAACGAGTGTCTTTGCACGCTCTGAAGGGTCGTCTAGGTGGAGAAAGTGTATATACGAAGGAGGGAGAGGCGCCGGCTCAGCTGGCGGCGTGCAACACGATATGAACAGGGAATCGGGAGTCTATCGTCTAGATGAGGAGAGAGAGGGCGAGGCAGCTGGCTAGCGCGACGCCAGCAATGCGTGCGAGGTCGTGGCGAGATAGGGAGAGTGCAGGTACGGCGCTCGACGTGCTGTTCAAGCCAGAGGGTCAGTCTCGGAACGACCTGCTGAAAAAGCGGGAAGACTGACGATTTCACGCTTCCGTTCGAGGTGACCTTGACGGTCAGCACAGCGACGACGCCATCCGTCCCGATACCGTGATTGATCTGGCTCGTCGTAACGTCGGCGTAGTAACCCGGACCGGAAGCGTTTGCGACCGTCGTCGTGAACGTGCGATTCGTGAGGGGAGATTTGGTGCCGCCTGATGCGATAGCGCGCTGGACAACTTGATCCCGACCGAGGTCGTACCTAGCGGAAGAAGCGGACATCAGCCATGCACGAAGGAACGGCAGACGAGGGATCTCAACTGACCCATTCGGAGGAATCCCGTGCTGCAACGTCAAGTTCTGCTCCTGACTCGCCGCGAGGAACCATGCGCCCGAATCCGCTTCGGAGCCGTTCTGCCGCCACACTCGGAAGTGGAAGCCGCCTTTGACCGTTTCGAGGCAGGTGCCGAAGGAGGGGTCGCCGAAGTTCTCGCGCAGCAGGGTGGTCTGGTTGACTGCGATGGCGGCAAGTCGAGTGAAGCAGCGGGAAAGGGGGCGAAAGACAGCGCAGGGGAAGAAGGCTGTCAGCTCTCCCGACGAAGACTCTGGAGGGAGGAAGCGTGAGCGCACTCATCCCCTTTCCGTCTCCCAGGTTCGCCGCCTGCCGCAAGCCACCCGTCTGACCCAAGCATTCGCCGCTAAAGTTGATCGACTCGCAAAAGTCGAAGAAGCCGTCGTCCGTCATGAGGAGGCCATCCGACTCGCTCGAGACGACGAGGTTGATCGGCTCGCCCAAACCGGGAGGGTACGTATCCCGTGCGAGCTGTGTGATTGAGCTGATTAGCGAGGCCGCAAGTCGACGGGAATGCCTTCATCGCCACCCTCGCTCGGCGAAAGGGTGCTCCGGCAGGAATCGCCAACGCACCGTGAGCCACTGCCCGCCATTTGATGTCGGGTTGTAGTAACCTCCTTCCGACACTGGACTCCGCTCGACCAGGTTCAAGGGTGAGGCTGCCGCGAGAGAGATGATGCTGGCGAGCGAGAGGAGGGCGGTGCGTGGTGTGCGGGAGCGCGGCATCGGATCTGACGGTTGGCTGGTGGGTCCGGTGTGTATGTACAGGAGCTGTCAAGCAAGCGTCTAGCGTAGCAAGAAGAGTAAGAGTGAAGAGCAAGAGCTGAAGCCGAACGAGTCGGGGGCCGAAGGTGCTCGCTCGCCGAGGTTGTCGCTGAGCGATGTTGGCGTGGACTGTGAGTACTTATCATACTATCTGACACGCCAGAACCTGAAAGGAGCGAAGTTGCGACGTCGACACCCTCGCGGACCTCGACGACGAAGGTCCTCCTCGACACTCTCGCTCGCGGCTCCCCGGAAACGCTTGTTCAGACGCTCAGCTTGCTAGACGACTCGATACACCCGTCCTTAGCCACCCAGACTGCTCCCAGACTTCGCCCTTCCGTCCCCGTTTGCGTCGACACACGACCCCCTCGATGTCGACATCCACGGGCGCAGACAGGCGTGGACACGTCCGGGGAGATTCTATCGCACAGAAGCGGACTGGCGCAGGAGCGAGGGCGCCCAGCAGCCCGAAGAGAGGCGCGGGAGGATTCGATGGCGTCGCGGTTCGAGGTGGGGAGGGTCGAAGCGGAGGTGAGAACAGCTTACAGCGCTTCGTACGATTCGCCAGGCTGATATGTCGTCCTTACAGGCCCGACGGCGGGCTTCACGATCCGCCCCAGGCTCGCAGTCCGCCTCATTGCCGGCTCTCTCATCCTCTTCGCCGTCCTGCACTTCGGCCCGTCCCTCATGTCGCCCTCCGCCCAGTCCATCGCAGCGCAGGCAAAGCACCGCAAACAGGCCATGGCCGGCTCGGGCGAGTCGTGGATCTTGCCGCGAAAATGGCGCGACATTCAGGCGGGCGAGGGAGACGTGACGCTGAATGGCGAGACTTTGCCCGTCTGCAAGCGCGTCATGCTCTTCAAGTTCGGCAACTCGCACGGGTTCAGTAGCGAGATGCTGCATTACCTGCGGGCGGGTGTCATCGCGCAGAAGCTGGGCTACACCCTGCTGGGCGATGATTCTGGTTGGAATTACGGTGCACTCCGCTTCTTCTGCGTGTTCTCATTCCTACGAGCTGACAACACTTTGCGTAGGCTCGATCACCGACTACTTCCTCCCTCGCGCGATCTACTGTCGACCACCTGTTGACTGGTTCTCGCCCGACGTCGCGACAAAAGTCGGCACTCGTCGCTGGCAAGGCAAAGACCGAGTCTGGCTGAGTCGCGAGCAGGAAGTCGAGTCGGACGAGTGGGTACGGGACGAGATGCTCGACCCGAACGCAGTCGAGGAACTCCGCACCCGTTCGCTCGGGCACATCCTTCCGGAGGGCGAGACTCTCCCTCCCGCGCTTGAGGACTCGTTCTCCGACTTCTCCACCGCCCTGCGCGAGGTCTGGCGGCCGAACGACCACCTCGCGACGTTGATTAGGCGGCAGCGGATGGAGCTGGGTTTAGGAGGCGGCGGCCTGCGGCACCGCAAGCACTCGCCAACCTGGGGCGGGCGCAAACTCGGCTCAAATGCCGCCGCGGTCGAATCGCAGTCTGCGGAGGAAGAGGAGGAAGAAGAGTGGGAGTACAGCGTGTCGCGCCGATCTGACCGCGGGCCGGTCGTCGGCGTTCACCTGGCAGGAGACAGGCCGCGGGTAGACCTGTCGATCTACGGCATCCAGAGACAGCGGGCGGGCAACCTCAGCGCGGTCTTCGAGGGCGTCTCGGATGCTGTGCGCCGCCTCACGCACTCGTCGATGGCTTCGCCCAGCTACTCCCGCTCGAGGCCGACCATCTTCCCTCCGACTGCGACACCTACCCTCGTCGCACTCACCAGCAACGCCACCCTCTTCTCCCTCTTCACCTCCGACTCGTCCGCCGTCTCGTACAACGTCCTTCGCACCTCTCCTCCACCCTACGACGAGCTCAAGCGGTACAACGACATCCTCCGACTCGAGTTGACGCCCGACCTCGCCGCGCCGAAGGGCAGCGCCAACAAGCTCTTGAGAGAATGGGATCAGGCGGTCTGGAACCGTGATGTCCCCAAGCCGCTCAAGGTGCTGTTGACGCAGTACTTCCTGCGCGACTTGACCGTCTTGAGCCAGCACGCCGACGCGTTCGTCGTCTCCGGTGCGTTCGAGCCTTTCTCTCACATGGGACTGCCAGCTAACAGTCGCTTCTCACAGGCGCCTCTCCAACCGGCCGCCTCGCGATCCTCCTCTCAGGCGAAGACGGCGCGATCGGGCCTCGCGACTTCCATGGCGGCTCGTTCGGCGGGCGTGTGAGGAGTATCGACGGTTTCTGGGTACCGACAGGGAAGGCCAAAGCGTTGTATGGCTGATTGCGAGGGTCAGCGTCGCAATTGGCGTGCATCCTGCATTGCTCTCCCGGCATCTGATGCGTGCGAAAGCCATGCGAGTTGCGTTGCGAGGAGAACTTGCGAGATCAGGGAGATTTGCTAAACGCTACAACACCAAAAACAGCCCGTACCAACCAACCTCCGCTCACCACGCCTGCTGAGGGTTACGCTTGTACTCGTCGTACAGCACTCGATTGAAGAAGGAGACCTCCGTCTCGTTCTCTGCGGAAGACGAGCGAGGTGAGCTTCCGTGCGAGCAAAAGCACGGGGAGGGCGCACCGATACCGACGTCCGCCAGGATCTTGCTGTCGTCCTCCAAAATGTCGTCGTCCGTCTCGTGGTTGATGATGAGGTCCATGGTCTGCGGAAGAAGCTTGTAAGCGAGGGAGAAGAAGCGACGGAATGGCTTGAAAGCTCACCTTGTGCCCGTGCGCCTTCGTATACAGCTTGAGGGTGTCTGCCAAGTACTAGCAGTCAGTAACCAGGTTCGTAAGACGCAAGACCAAGCAAAGCGCACCCAGTTCGACGGTTCGGTACGGCTTGAACCCAGGAGACGTCTTGACTTCTGCGTTGCGCGGACAGGAATCCCGGTTAGCGCACGCTCTGCCGTCAAAGATATACTGGCACTCACGCTCACGACACAAATCCTTCAGCTGGCCCACAGTCATCGTCGTCGCGTCAATGTGCGGGAGGAGGAGGTTCTTGGTCGTCCGGTATGTGAACGACTTGATGATTCGCACGGTGAGGAACACGTCGGTCAGAGGTCGCAGCTCGTTCGTCAGGGCGTCCATCTGAGCCGGTTCGAGAAGAGGAAAAGCGGACGAGGGGAGGGAAAGTCCGAGAGGTCGAGGGAAAGGAGCGGGCGGATGGGTCGGCACAGCGGCGACGAGGACGGGGGGATTGACGTCGCTGACAGAACTTGAGCCTATCAGGAAGAGCAACGGCGCGCGGGAGGATTAGATGTTGAGGGAGACCTTCGCTTGCAGCTTGGTCTCGGGCAGTTCGCTCTCGTTCAGGCTCACCTCGCTCTGAGACGCCAGAACGGTGCCGACTGCTCTTCTTGGCTCATTTGCAGCCCATACAGCGCGGCCGATCACGCCCAGCAGCCATCCTCTCGACACCCTCGCCTCATCAGCTACCCGACTTCGAGCGGGGTCAAGCAAGGCCTAAACGGGTTCAGATGAGCTGGAACGGCTCTATGAGATAGCGGAAGAATTGTATGTGCCCCATTTGACGTCGAGTGCCACGGATTTGCGCTCACTCCGCCGTGAAACGCTTCAGAAGGCTTCCTCCCCCTCCTCATGCTCGTCTATCTCGTCAGGAAGAGCGTAGCTTTCGTCGACGGTCCAGCGGACGACAACGTGCCACCACACTCGTCGCTGGAGCCGCTGTTGCGCTACGTTGATCCCGATTCTCGGCAAGAAATCAGCAAGTTTCGCTTCTTGCGAGATGCCCGCCGTGCGTTTGCCTTCCTTTCGCCCGACGTTCCTCGCAGCGTTCCAGCTGATCAGAAAATGTGTAGGGTGTCTGCTTGGCCGGCTGCTAGCTCGCTACGCTGCGCTTGCTCAGCTTGACGGATCCGATCTCTCTTGGTCAAGCCTTCGATTTGGCCGCAGACACCGAGGAAAGCCCTACATCGTATGTCTGATTCGTCCAATCAATACACCTGATCATTTGCTCACCCTCGTCACGCAGGTCAATCTCCCGAACGGCATCTCGTACGACTACAGCATCTCGCACGACGCGGATCTCGTCGTCCTGGCTGCCGCAGCGGGCACTTCCGATGCATCTAAACAGATCGGTGCAGATGTGATGCGGATCGCGGTGCCCTGGGAAGGCGGAAGTACGGACAAGTTGGTCGAGACGATGCGGGATCAGGTGCGGACCGTGTCAGCCCATCCTGCCGTCGTTGCTGATCAGCTTCCTTTTCCAGCTCGACCCGCGCGAGCTCCGGCAAATACAATCAGTAGCATCAGAGGACGTCCGACTGGCCCTCGCCCTCGCTTTCTGGACGCTGAAGGAGGCGTACATCAAGGCGATCGGCCAAGGCTTGCACTTCGACCTGCGGCGCTTGCGCTTCGATCTTATTGGAGCTGAGGATGCTCAAGCTGCCGGCTCGCCGCGCGGACTTGCAGGACGAGCGTTCGTGGACCGGACGGAGGCGGTCGGTTGGCGTTTCAGGCTCGTGAAGCTGGCAGGACATGCGGGAGAAGAGGACTACTGGCTAGGCTTGGCATGGCAAGGTGCGGACGGCAAGGGTGAGGTTGATTTGCAGACCGAGAGACAGCCGGACTGGCTCGTAGAAGTTTCTCCCAAGCAGCTCCTTGCGAAGGCAGAAATCGTCGACTAGTCACACTCGCAGCGAACGCGAGACGTCTGAAGAGAGCATTTGTTTGCACAGGACGTGGAAGCTACAGGAAGATCCGCTCCTACTTGCCGGCCCGCCGCAGGATTCCCTCGACCTCCTTGCGCCGCTCAGCACGACGCTCCTCGACCATCGACGCCCGACTCTCCGTCCGCACAAGTCCGAGTGGCGGTAGCTGAGGCGGCGCCGATGACTGCGCCTGCGCATGCATCGGCTTGACGGGACTGGCTGATCCGTCGCTCGCACCGCTGCTGAATTTCTTATTCGGCGTGAAGGCGTTTTTGAGCGCCGCGCCAAGACCGCCTGACGAGATGCGCAGCCGGCTCTTGCGGCCTGACGGGCTGTCGCTCGGTGTCGGAGTCGCAGTCATGGTCGCGCGAGACGGAGGGCGAGGCTGCTGGGCCTGCGCTTGCGCTTGCGCGAGGAGTCGCTGCTGCTCGAGCTCGAGCGCCTGCTGCTCATGCTCGAGTGCTAGTTGCTCGTACCGCTGCTGCTGCTCGTAGTACGCCTTTGCGACTTCCGGACTGGCGTCGGCGGGGAGTTCGGGGAGGTCGCGGTTCCTAGTGCGCAGGCTGATCGTCGGCGACTGCCTTGCAGCGGCACGAGCGCCTTCGTCGAGGTTCGCGCCCGCTTCGAGGGCCTGGAGGGCGCGCGCACCGTCCGAGTCGCTGTACATGCGCGTCGGCGAGATGAAGGACGAGGCGGTCGCAGGATTGATGGAGGGCGGCGACATCGTCGGGAAGCGGAGATGGGAAGGCGACGGAGGGCGGACAGTCGTGTCCTGCGATGGAAGCGTCGTCAGCGAGGCACTACCTGGGTACGAAAGCGGGACACGCACCGACATCTTGCTCTGCCTGGCGCCGGTTGACGGTGCATGCAGGGGAAGGGGAAGTCCGAGGCCTGCCAAGGACGTCGTGCTCGAGCTCTCCGCCAGGCTCTGCCGCCGAGCGTCTGCGAAAGTCGTCCTCGAAGGCGTGTCGAACTGCCTGCCGTCGCCAATCGAGAGAGGCGACCGGACATGCGCAGACTCGCGCCTGTTGGCGGGAGAGGGCGTCTCGGCGAAGGCCGAGGAGCGGACGCCGCTTGATGCTGCGTAGCCCAATGTGTGTCGGCGATTAACGAAGGCGGACGAGCGGTCCTCGGCGGCCGCTGAGTCGACGAGCGGACTGCGAAGGACCTCGCGAGCGAGCGCAGGCGACTTCGCACTGGCGTGCGAGACTGTCGCACGGTCGTAAGGGCTGGCCGTCGTGGCTCGTCGTGGCGGCGAGTGAAGCGCAGCGACACCGTTGACTCCGCCGACCGAGTTGCGGTACGCGCTGGCTCGGCTAGTTGGTCGGCTGGCCGCATCGCCGTCGTTCTGCATGCCGGGCGAGGTGACACCGTTGACGCTCCGTCTCGCCCTGTCACGCTCGCGATCGAAGCGCACAAACGCGACGAGGTCTTCCGTCAGGCTGCGGACCTGGTCGTCGCTCGTCCTGAGCAGCGCGTTGACGTTTCGCTCGAACTGCGCGACCGCCAGCATGGGCGAGCGCTGATCCTCGTCCAGCTGCGCCTGCACCTGTTCCTCCTTGACCGCTTCGACGAGTCCTCGCAAACCCGAGTTGAGCTTGGTGGTCGAAGAGACGAGAGCCGTCATGCGCTTGACGAGCTCCTGCGAGGCGTAGTCGGTCTGTCCGGCGCTGAAGTTCTTGTCGAAGTGGTCGAGAGCGGAGAGGAGCAGCTTGTGGTGCTCGGAGGCGTCTGGCCCGGCTTGGCCGATGAGTCCTCGCAGGGCAGACTCGAGGCGCGGTGCACCAGCCATTCCGCCTCCTGGAGCTGACGATGTGACGGAGCTGGACCTGCTCATTCCCGTTGACGCGCCGCCTCTTTGTCCAGCTGGCTGCGAGAGGTCATCGTGCGCGCCTGATACCGACGACATTCGCATCGCATACGCGCTTGTCGACTGCCGCTTGCTCGGCGAAGAGTTCGAGCTCGGCGGTGTGCTCGTGCCGACGAGACCTGGCGCAGCTGTTGCAACGATCCCTTGACCAGCAAGGAGAGCGTTGATGGCGCGGATGGTTCGTTCACGCTCGGCTTCGCTCGGTGAGACGGGCGAAACGGCATGGCGGGCTGAGGCTGCGTCGCCGCTACTGCCGGAAGCGCGAGAACGCATTGTGCTGCGCGTCGAGCCGTCGACTGTGTGCCATCACGTCCGTCAGTAAGCGGGCGCACCAGGTGTGAAGAGACGTAACGCACAATCGTTCCGCCAGGCGTCGGAGCTTCTCATCCTGTCCCTCCTCTCTCTCGTCTCGGAAGACAAGCTTGACTGGCGGTCGTCCGACCGTGCCGAAGTCGACGGCGGAGGTGGAGGCGTGATTGTCCCGCTTCTCGACGTCGGACGGATGGAGCGAAGACCTGCAGCAACAGGAGTCAGCATCTCGCAGCCAAAGCCAGCCTTGCGAGATACGAACGCACCCGTCGCCCTGTCCACTCCGCTCTCCCTGCTCGTCTTCTTCGCCGACTTTGGCGTTCTTTCGAGCTCGCCATCGTACCCATCCATCCCGTCGTCCTCGCCCTCGAAAGTCGCCTGCCTGCTCCGCGATCCACCCGCACGAACATCCTCGCTCCGACTCCACTCCCGCCTGCGACGGCGAACTTCGGTCGAGGGCGTCGAGAGCGCTGACTGAGGGCGGTAGGAGGAGAGGGAGGTGGGGCTGCGGGCGGAGGAGGCGTACGAGGGCGAGACGGTGGTCGCGCGGCGATGTCGAGCGGAGTACGAGGGCGAACTCGCATCGTCACCGCGAGTAGAAGACGAAGCGGTGAGGTCAAGGTCAAGCGGCGCAGGGCGCGACGTGCCGAGACTGGTCGCAGCGCGTGACGGCGTCCGGTCTGGCAAGAACTCCCTCGGCAACGCAGGCCTGTTCCTCCCCGTACTCCCGCCACTCCCTCCTTCCACTTTCGACTCGCTTCTAACCCTCCTCCGCTCAGCACTGCTCATCAACGCCTCCTTCGAAGCGAGGTTCCGCAACGAACGCTGGATTGCTTCGTCGCGCTCGGCTGTGCCGCCGAACGCAGAGGCTGCGCGTGTTCGAGCGGAGCCAACAAGCTCGGAGCGACGAAGAGTTCGGTAGGGAGTCGAGGAGGTGCCGGCCGAGGTGTAGTTCGAGAAGGAGGTTGCGGCGCGGTCCGGGAGGGAAGACTGGTGCGAGTCGTCGAGCGGAGTAGTCGAACGCAACGCTGCGCCAGACCTGTTGCCATACGTCTGACTGCGTCGCTCGAGTGCCGAGGTACGGCCGTTCTCCCTCCCCGCCGCATCCAGGTTTCCCAGCGTCCTACTCCGCGACACACTCTCCGACCTTCTGCCCGAGTCCCGATACCGCCCAAACTCGTCGCTGCGTCCATACGACGCCCGGTTCTCCTCCAACCACGTATCCTGACCCTGGGCAGGCGAGAACCGCTCATCGGCTAACAACGCCTGGCCATTCGCCAGTTCACGGATAGTCGAGGCGGTCGAGCTGCGCGTCAAAGTTCCGCCGGCGATGCGTGAGGCGGGGGACGAGTTGATCGAGTGGAGGATACGCTGGTTCTTCTCCTTCAGCTCTTCAGCTCGCCGACTCCTCCGCTCGCGCCGCTGCTCGAGCGTCTCGTCCTCCACCTCTGCATCCTCCACCTCTCGTCCAACACCACCAAGACTCGACCCCGCCCTAGCCCTCAACCTCCGTCTCGGCTCAAGCGTCGGCGAATCTCCCTCCTCTCCCCCAACTGTCGAAGCGATACTCGCAAACCCACCCTCCTCGTCAGTCCTGATCGGGCTATTCGGCGCACTCCCGTTCCGCCTCGCTTCGCTCTTTGGCGGTCGGAGCGGTTTCGGGATTGAGGAGGTGGGCGAGTCGGGAGCGGGTGAGTCGGTCGAGTCGCGCGGGAGGAAGTGGTGAGTTAGGGTAGGGGAGGAGGTAGGTTCGTCGCGCGAGGCTGTTGAGCTCGTAGAAGGAGAGGGAGGAGGTCGATTCTTGCCTCCTCCGCCGCCGTAGATTCCCATTGTCGAAGTCGAGGCAAACCGAGGATGCGCGGGGGAGTGGTTCGCAAGCGAGGGTGAGACTTTGGCGAAGAGGGACTGAGAGCGAGAGACGGCGCTGCTTGATGATGAGGGGGAGGCGCCGCGAGCGAGGGAGGAGGAGGAGCGGGGAAAGTCGAGGTCTGCTGCGGAGATGGCTGCTTTGGACGAAGCTGAACGACCCTGACCGTCCAAGAGGGACGACGAGGACGAGGTCGAGGCGGAAGAGAGCGTTCGGGACAAGGCAGGATGTGCTGCCGACCCGTTCGAACCAAGATATGGTTCACCTTCTGCCGTCCCTCGCGGCGCAGCATTCCGTCTCCGCCTGTTCTCGCTCGCGGATGAGCTGCTTCTCTCCATCCCAGCCGAGTCAGCGCCCCATTCGCCGTAAGCGGGTTGAGGGCTGCCGTTGTTGTCGTCGGACGAGGAGGAGGAGAGGCTGCGCGAGTGGGTCGGCGGGACGGGCGGGGGGAGCGAGGGGAGGCCCGAGTCGTCCATCGTAGCGCCTTCAGAGCGCGATCACGCCGATCAGGACGGAGCGGGCGATGGAGCGGAGGGAGAAGGGGAAGTGGGGAGGTGAAGGTGGAAAAGCAGTATCTAGGCGGTCATACGCTGCGCGAACGGCCGGTTAGTTAGTCTGCGGCTCGTTCAGACGTGTCCTCATGGCAGCAGCGCCTGGCTTGCGAGCCCCGCCTGCAGCGAGACGCGATCAGGAGAGCGGAGAACGTACGCTTGTTCTCCCGCCTCCGCGCGTTCTGGCGGTTGTGCTGGTGCGCAGTCGTAAAGCAGAAACCAGTCGTCAGCCAGCAGGCGTCGCTTGAGCGAGCGAGCGTGTGTGAGAGGAGCAAGACGGACGTTCGCAGGAGGCAAGGGTCGTCAATCTGGGCACGCTCGGGTAAATCGCCTGCCTGCTTCTTCTGAGCTGTAATTCGCTCGCTAAGGTGCAGACTGGACCCAGAACGAGCTCAGCAACAAGCGAGGTCGACGAGGACAGGGAGGACCCGCTCACTACCCTCCTTCTCCCGCCTCAATCGCTCGTTCTGAGCCCTTGTTGTCCCAGTAAATCATTTCAAGCAGTTTTGCATTAGTTGCAGATACCGCAGAACCCGCCGGCCGTGTCTGCTCGCAGCCAATGCTGTCTGCTCCGTTCGACTTCGCCGCGAGCGGCTTCCCTCCTTCGCATCGCTCTTGCTCTCGTCGCTTCGAGGATGCTGCGCTCGACGGGACACGCTGCACGCTCGCTGGGCTCACCAGCACCCGCGCTCACCCGCCGCACCGCTGCCTCGCTCCCCGCCCGCCTCCCCACCTCGTCCATCCCACTCGCAACTCGCTCCGGCCCGTCCGCCCTCGCCAACCGCAATGCCAGCCGCTTCGCGCTCCCCGCTGGCCTGCGCACATTCTCTACCACTCCCCGCGCGAGACAAGCCGAGCCCGTAGACCAGGAGCTCGACTTTGAGGGCGTCGAGCGCGTCCAGGACGAGGTCGATGTCTGCATCGTCGGCGGCGGACCGGCAGGTTTGAGCGCCGCCATCCAGCTGATGAAGACGGCGCAGGAGAAGGGGGAGGAGATCAGGGTCGTCGTCCTCGAAAAGGGCGCAGAGGTCGGTTCGTCGTCTCGTTCTTCCGCGTGCAATTCCCCTCGCCAATCAAGCTGAACCTTTGGCGATCGCAGGAGCGCACATCCTCTCTGGAGCCGTCATCGAGCCTCGAGCGCTGGACGAACTCATCCCCGACTGGAAGGAGAAGGGCGCGCCTTTGAACCAGGAGGCGCTGTCCGACTCGATGCGATGGCTCACTCCGACCGGCTCGTTCGCGATGCCGCACCCGCCGCAGATGTCCAACAAGGGCAACTACATCATCTCGCTCTCCAAGCTCACCCGCTGGCTCGGCGAGCAGGCGGAGGAACTCGGCGTCGAGATCTACCCTGGCTTTGCCGGCGCAAAGATCCTCTACACTGAGGACGGGACGGGCGTCCGAGGCGTCCAGACGAACGACATCGGCCTCGACAAGAACTTCAAGCCCAAGGACTCGTTCGAGCCCGGCATGGAGTTCCTCGCGAAAGTCACGATCCTCGCGGAGGGTTGCCACGGCAGCTTGTCGAAGCAGGTGCAGGGCAAGTTCAACCTCCGCGAGGGCAAGGACCCGCAGACGTACGGCTTGGGCGTCAAGGAGGTGTGGAAGGTCAAGCCCGAGAAGCACGAGCCGGGCAAGGTCCAGCACACGCTCGGATGGCCGCTCGACAACTCGACGTACGGAGGCACGTGGCTCTATCACATGGAGGACGAGATGGTCTCGCTCGGTATCGTCGTCGGACTCGACTATAAGAACCCGTACATCTCGCCGTACAAGGAGTTGCAGGTGAGTTCGTGCGCCCCTTCCTCTTCATCCATGTCTGACTCTCGCTCCTCCCGCAGCGTCTCAAGCACCACCCGCTCTTTGCCGACCTGCTCGAGGGCGGCGAGTGCATCGCGTACGGCGCGCGTGCGCTGAACGAGGGCGGCTACCAGTCGATTCCCAAGCTTACCTTCCCGGGCGGCGCCATGATCGGCGACTCGGCGGGCTTCCTCAACGTGCCCAAGATCAAGGGTGGGTGCGCGTGCGACTTGGCTGCAGGAAGAGCGCTGACAGAACCGCGTTCGCAGGCACGCACACCTCGATGAAGTCGGGCATGCTCGCCGCCGAAGCCGCCTTCAACGCCATCACCTCTTCTCGCGCCTCCGAGTCTGACGCGTCCTCCGAAACCGCGCTCGACGTCTCCGAGTACGAGAAGCTGTTCGAAGAGTCGTGGGTTGCGAAGGAGCTGAAGGAGGTTCGCAACTTGCGGCCGAGCTTCCATACCTCGCTGGGCAACTTTGGAGGGATCATCTACTCCGGCATCGACTCGTTGTTGCTCAAGGGCCGCGTGCCTTGGACGTTCCACCACCCCGAGGAGGACTACGCCGCGACTCTGCCCGCGAGGTGCGTTCGCGAAGTGCTCGGGTCCTTCTGCCCGCTCGCAGTCAACTGATCCATGCTTCTGGAACCGGCCACAGGCAGTTCAAGGAGATCGACTACCCCAAGCCTGACGGCAAACTCTCCTTCGTGCGCCGGACCCGCCTTCCACATCCATCGCTTCCTCGCCGCTGACCCGCCTCTCCCTCGCAGGACATCCTCGAAAGCGTCAGCCGCACCAACACCTACCACGCCGAAGACCAGCCCGTGCACCTGCACATCGAGCCCTCTGCGCGCGCCGCGCACGTCAAGACCAACGTCAAGCAGTACGCGGGCTTGCTTGGACGGGTCTGTCCGGCGGCGGTCTATGAGTATGTGGATGCGGAGGGGAAGGAGGAGGAGGCCGAGGGGAAGAGGCTCGTCATCAACTCGCAGAATTGCATCCACTGCAAGGTGAGGGGCTTGTCGCCACCGCCCTGCGAGGCGGTCTTTGCTGACCGCCCATCCTTCCTTCCCTTGATCTCGTATACAGACTTGCTCGATCAAGGTGCGTCCCTCTTGCAGCAACGAAGCCTCCATCGCCGGCTCCCGCTTCCGTGAGGGTCCGCTGACCACTTGTCCCTCCTCCTTCCGCTCGCTCGACTCCTCCCTACTCGCAGGTCCCGACCCAGGACATCCAATGGCGGGTGCGTCAAACTCTCCACCAACTCCGACTTTTTCCGCCCTCGACGACCTCGCCTTCGCTACAAAAGCTGACTTTTTTGCCTTCGCCGTCTTTTTTTTCGTCACATATGCAGGTGCCGCAAGGGGGAGATGGGCCCAAATATGAGATGTAACTGCAGGACTCCCCTTTCATCCGGAAACCGACAGAGCTGACCTTAGCCGTTTCGCGACCGCAGGACCTGAGCCGCTGTCCCCTCTTCCCGGCACCTCCCTCGCCTATCAGACGCTGCAATGCACTTCAAGGCATGTTGTACTCGACCCACGAAGCTCCAGCGATGCCAGGAGCGCCCTGCGGAGAGGACAGGCGGCCTTGCGAAGGTCCCGCTGACGCGCTGGCGGAGGCTTCCTGCTCGCTCCTCAATCGCATTCACAGCTTCTCGCTCAGGCTTCGTCGTCGTCACAGCAACTCGCCGGCACACGCACGAGCCTTGCCTCGCTCTACACGCCGACGAGCCGTCCTCGCACAATTCGTTCGCCCGCCCAACATTCCACCTTCCCTCTCCGCGCTCGCCCGTCCGTCTCGCTTGTTCCAGCGCGAGAGGGTCGATGGGATCGCACCAACTTTTTCGGAAAGCGCGATGAGGAGCGGGTGGGTTCTTTCGAGCGGCGTGGGCGGGTGCGTGACGCTGTCGGTGTGATCGAGGAGGAAGGCGATAAGACGAGCAGGGGGTTCTCGGCAAGCTCGCTGGCCGTCCTGGCGACTGGCGAGGGTACGAGCAAGTACGAGGGAGGACGCTGTTCTGCTGCCTGTACCGGAAGAGAGAACGAGACAGCTCCTCCCTCGCAACGACTTGGCGCCGTCAAGACGGGCGCAAAGCTCTCTGCTGCGTTGCCGAATTCGAAGATTTAAGATGATGATCGCTGGTGCTCGCCGCTGCTCAATCGCGAATTGCTCGAGTCGTGCCTCGCTCGCTCCTTTCCTCTTCGCCTCGTTCGCGAGCTCGCCGTCTCTTTCGCTTGGACGCTTATTGCTGCTGCGTGTGTGCTCGTGCTCTTCGACGTCGCTCAGCTGAGCAGCTCGAAGGAACAGCGCGTAGCATTGACGGGGCCCTTCGCCTCTTCTCTCCCGCGCCGCCCGAGTCGAACGATGGCGTCCAGCTGTGCGGTGGTGACGGGGCCGCCGACAGTGACCTCGCTGGTGTCGACAACGACTGTCCTGGCCACCCAAGTCGTGCGTACACACCGCTCGCTCGCTCCATCGCTCGAGGTTGACCCAACTTGCCGTTCCCCACAGTCGACGGCTCCCGACTCGACACTGACAACCTCGACAGCCGTGGTGACCTCGAATTGCCTGCTGCCGACGGTTCTGGGACAGCTGGCGTTGTGCCAGACCACGACGAGCTTTGCGCCACTCGAGACGGTCGTGCCCGTGCGTTCCTCTTCTTCCCCGGGCTCGCATCTCGGATCGTGCGTGAATCGCCCCGCTCACACCTCGGCGTTTCTTTGCGCTGCGATACAGGGCTCGGTCCTGCAAGTAACGAGCACAGGACAGTCGCTCGTCACCGTCGTCCAGACGCTGCCGGGAGCGACGAGCACAGTATGCGAGGCCGTTCAGACGACTCCTCCGCCCAGCTCGAGCAGTCCGTCCTCGACAACAACGACGACGACGCCACGACGGACTACGACTACCCCGCCACCAGTCCTCGTGCCGTCCCCGTCAGCTACAACATCGTCAGTACCTTCTTCCTCATCCGCCGTCGCGCCGTCGACCCCGACCTCCGACTCAACTTCCTCTCCCGATCCTTCCAGCAGCAGCCCATCTCCCATCGACGTGATCTCTCCCTCATCTTCTGATACCCCTACACCGACTACACCTCCTTCGACCGCGACCGAAATCGTCGACGGACCCCGCCGCTCAACTTCCTACATCACCTCCTATGTCACCGTCGTCGACTCGTCCGGCCAGACACTCACATCCGCATCGACCATCCCCACGCTCCTCAACATCCCCGGCTCAAACACCTCGCGTGCAAGTCCAGGCGCGATCGCAGGCGGAACAGTCGGCGGGATCGCTGCCCTCGCACTCGCGGCGTTCTTCCTCTGGATGATGCGGAAACGGGGTTACTTTCGTCGAGGGGATGAGCAGATTGAGGAGGACGCGTGGGACCCGGCGGGACATGGGGACTATTTTGCGGGAGGCGGACGAGGCGGGTCGAGGAGGTCTGCGGCGGGAATGGCGGGGGTTGGCGCGGGCGGAGGACGGAGTTCGCCTGGAAACAGCAGCGACGAGAAGCACGACCCGCTCTCGGAGAAGGACCGCGAGATCGATGCGGCGACGCTCGAGCGGCACAAGAGCTGGTACCATCGCAGTATCGCCAGTCACGGCGACGACCTCGACCTCGAGGAGGCGTACGGCGGCGAGATGACTCAGCCTGCGGCATTCGGGTACTTGCCGACGACGAACGAGAGCGTCGGGCGACGAGCGTCGACTTATGTCGCTCCTTCCGCCGCTCCGCCTCGGAGGTCCATGTCGACCGCCATGTCGGTCGCGTCGCGCTCGTCGCACTCGCACGAGTCTTACCCTAGCCGACACCCTTCCCTCGACGCGGACCGCCGGATGTCGCACCCCACCCGGCGTCCTTCGCTCGATGGAGACCGACGCGTGTCGCTGGCGCTTCCGATGCAGTACCCGTCTTTCCAGTCTTTCGTTCCCCCTCCTGAGGGCTATATCGACGAGCCCGCCTCCTACGCCTCTCGCTCGCCTCCCCTCCCTCAAGCGCCAGTGCCAGCCATCGCGCGCCCAAAATCCGCCTCTCCCCCAATCGTTCAGCACTCGCCGTATCCGACCGTTTCGCGCCAGAGCTCGCTGCCCGGCTTGCAAGGCCACCTCCCCATTCACATGCGGTCTGCCTCGCTTGGCGGTCGTCCGACACTCAGCGCCATCCAAGCAGGTCGACCTTCGACGCACTCTCGCACCGTCACGAGCGACTCGATGTCGACCGTCTCCACGCCGCAGAGCCACTACATGCCCGCGCTCACCTCCTCCGCAAGCGAGTCGACCCTCGTCTCGACCATCCCTTCCACTCCTTCGACCTCCCTCGCGCACGACAAGTCCTCCTTCCTCGCTACTCCGCCTCTCCCCGTCTTGCCCAACATCGAGCGCCTCAAAGTCGAGCACCCGAAGCGTCCCTCGATGGACCGCAACGTCTCGTCCGACTCGATTTTCCACCCGTCTCAATGGCTCGGCGCGAGGGTCGTCAACGCGGATGACAGTCGCAGTACGACGACTACCGCCGATACCGATACCGAGACAATCGCGAGCAACGTCCTGGCGGGCGAGAGCTCGGATAGTCTCGCCGCGGCGGAGATGATTTCGCGGGCGCAGGTGCGGATCGATGGCGCTCGATAACACCCGTACGGTCCATACGCTTCTTACGCCCTAATCTTCTGTGCATATCTGTCGGAACGAACCTTGCTCTCCTCTCCTGTCGTACTGAATACGCTCCCTCTTGCCACGTTCGTTCGAAATGCATGCCACGCAGCGGGCTTGTATCGTTACATGTTCTAGGGCTACATGATGAGGGTATCGAGAGGATGCTGGGGTGCTACAGGCGGAGAGTCGATAAAGATACAGGCGACTGGGCGAGTCTAAGGGAAGGGCAGCCGCCGGCGGTGCGAGAGGACGGCTCGTCGAAGTCTGCGAGGAGAGTGCCGTCAGTAGAGAGACGCAGATGAATGGAAGCGCCTGAACGCACTCGAAGAGCATGAGGTCGCCCCAGACGTATCCTCCGGGCAGAGGCGGAGTATACACGGCGTTCCCTTCGTGGACCATCGTGTGCTCCTGCCCTCGCATCAACGCGCCCCACTCGTCGAACCGCAACAGACCTCGCAAGGACGTCTCGTCCGTGCTGAGGTTGACGTCCTTGATCCGATCTTTGCTGCCGATGCGCTCTTTGACGCGGTTCAAGAAGGGAGCCTTGTTTGACATGCGGTCCTTGAACGTCTTCTTCCGTCGGCCAGTCGGACGGACTCGTCGTCCCGCCTCGGAGCGCTCAACGAGCAAGGCGGCCTGCGCCTCCTCGTACCGATGCTGGACGAGGAGGTCGAGCCGCTCCTCCGCACCGGCTCGGTTGCGCGCCTCGTTGAGCGCCGTGACGACCTTGCGCGAGAGCTGGTCGAGCGCAGCGACTCGCGCCGGACTCGTCTCGTTGAACTTGGGCGTGTGGTGAAGTGTGCGCCAGAGGAGGGGAGTGTCGGGGAAGACGGAGGAGAGGTCGGCGAGCGCATGTACGAGGCGAGAGGAGTACCAGGCGAGGCGCTCGGTGGTCAGCTCGCTGAAGACGTCTTTGCCGGCGAGCTCGTCGAGAGCGGCGAAGTGTCGCAGGTCCCAGAAGCCGGAAGAGAACTCGATCATGTCGGGCTTGGTGCGATTAAGCGAGTCGAGGAGAGGCAGGACGATGTGAGTGAGGCGGTCGTCGACGGCGACTACGCAACCAGAAGATCAGCTTTGCAAACGTCGAGCTCGACGGAAACCTCCGACTCACCAGGAGGGTAGAAGTGCGGGTTGTACAGCAGCGACTCGTGCTCGAACTCGACGCGATTGGCGAGGCCGAAGTGGAAGACCGAGACCACCATGAAGTCGTACTCCTCGAGGTAGCAGACCGAAGGACGAGTCGCGCTCGAGCTGTTCTGCTGGGCGCCAGGCAGCTTCTCGTCGATTCCGTTGACAAACGGTGGAGGCGAGAGAGGGTGGTCGCGGTCGATCGAGGCCCACTTGCCGCCAGCGAAGCGGCAGAAGTCCTTGTTGTGGTTCCGCTCGACGTGATCGCCAAAGAGCAGGACCGTCTTGCCCTGGAGCCACGACAGCGACTTCCTCTTCGCCTTCGTCCTTCGCTTTGGAAGCGGGAACTCGAGCGTCTCGAGCGAGTCCTCAACGGTCGGCTTCTTCTTGAGAGTCGAGCGCAGAGTGGCGAGAAGGGGCGGAGGAACGCATGAGGCGTCGTAGGGTAGCCAGCGGTTGCCTTCGGGTGTCGAAGAGTCCGATGAGATGCGACCAAACTCGGCGTACGGGTTCTCGCAGACGCTGCACGGCAAGTTGGTCAGCTCATCGTCGCGAACCATGAGGGAAGGAAGCGACGCACGAAGGGTGGGAGAGCTCGAGCCCGTAATCTTGAAGAACATCCTTGACACCCCACCAATGCTTGGCTCGCGGATCATCCAGCCGCGACAATCCCATGATCCCGCCGAGGAGGAACAGCGTCAACGCAGCAAACGCAGCGCCCGTCAAGTTCTTCCTCTTCTTCCACCACGGTGGCCTCCTCGGAAAGCTGAACGGCGAGTAGAGCGGCGACAGCTGCGAATCGTACAACAACCGCTGCTTCTCGTCAAACCCTGCGCTCGAGAGTCGGCCGCTCGAGAGGGGCGAGTCGGGCGCCTCCGAATCTGTTCGTGCGCGGATCTGGGCGACGCCGAGGTCGAGTGAGGCGTGTCGTCGCGAGCGAGGGTTCTGGGAGAACGAACGGCTGTTTGCGAGGTTGCGCTGAAAGTCGGAGAGGGTTTCGATGGGGGCGGAGGAGTTTGACGGGGCGAGGTGGCTATGCGTCGACATGCTGGAGGCGGAGCTGGTACCGAGAGCGAGTGACGGACGGTGTTCTGCGAGGACGACGACCGCTCTGTGCATTCCCTGGCAGTCGGAGAACGATGGCAAGTGGGGCCGCCCGGCTTCTCAGCACACGAGCAGGGCGTCAAGGGCGTAGTAGATCGGTAAGGACAGGCGATTAAGCGAGTGTGGCAGCAGAGCAAGTGGTGACGAGGGAGCGAGGGCGAGTGAGGAGGCGAGCACTGAGAGGCGACGACCGGCGAGTCCAGTACACCTCTGCGGCAGCTGGAGAGTTGGAGACTGGCCGATCAGGCGTCCAGGCAGGTCCCTTGGCCTGCCTCAACCCTGTCATTTCGAGCGCTGCCTGATGAGGCCGGAGTTGGAAGGAGGGCGGGCGCTGGCTGTGCTGGCTGTGGGCGGCCTCGCATAGCAAACGGCAACAGAGCGCTGTCCAAGCATGGCGGCGGATGAGCGTGCCAGAGGTCGAGGGTCGACGTCGAGGTCGAGGTCGAAGGGAGGAGCGAGAGGTTGAGTCGCTCGTGCGTGTGACTTTTTCTCGCGAGAATGTGTCGCTACAAACGTTATTGCAACCAGTGCAGAATAGGCGTTAAGTCCGGGAAAGCTACACCGGCGAGGAGGAAGACCTTCGCGACAACCTCGTCTCCTCCCGCCGTATATGATACAGCTCGTCGTGCAGCTTCCTCCCGCCTCAAATGAGCTCCGTCGGACCCGTCCGCCACGTCCTAACTCGGAGAGCGGACAGCGTACTCTGCGGGCTGCCCCTCGTCCCAACAAACGCCGCACTGCGACTCTCAATCGCCTGATCCATCACCTGCGGATCCCACCGCCCGAACCGCTCCCTCAGTTCGCCGTCATCGTAGTCGAGCAGCGTCCAGCCGAGATTGGACAACTCGCCGAGGAAAGCGAGGTCCTTGACGTCCGTCGAAACGACGATAGAGAGGTTCCTCGCCGAGTGCCGGTGCTCGCGCGACTTGCGTCCCGCACCCTGCGCGACGAGGTGCTTGACTCGGTCGACAGCGCGCTGGTACTCGATCAAGTTGGGCTGGCACCGGTCCGGCTGGTTGAGGAGGCGGCATTCGCTCGCTTTTGCGCGGGCCGAGATGTGCACGGCGATGAACGGCGCGCGGTGGCCGAGCAAATAGGCGACGATGTCGCCCGCCGCTTCATGCACATCCGCAGCGAAATGCAAGTGCCGACCGTGCTTGAAAAAAGCGGTGTGGTCGCGCGGGTCGAGGTGCGTCGTCGAGTGCTTAGTCGTCGGGTGCTCGGGGCGGTACAGCGAGTGGTCGATGCAGAAGACGTGGTTTTCGGGATTGGCGTGTCGGCGAGTCGATCCGGTCGTCGAGATGGACGAGTCGTGCTTCGCTTGGTTGATCAAGCCCGTCTTGGCTGTCGAGTCGCGGTCGAAGCGCGAGAGGAACGCGTGCGTCTCTGCAGGAACGCGACTCGTCAGCGAGAAGCTCAGCAAGTGAGCGAGAACCGCAAACTCACCCTTCAAATCATCCCCTTGCCCCGACTCCTTCTGCCCGAGCGCCAACCTCACCGGCACAAAACTCGGACTCAACCCCGTCCCCTGCATCTTCCTCGTCCTCTCATTCCTCTCCTCCTCACCCAGCATCCCAATCCAACATCCCAGCGGCTCGGTCTTTCCCGCCTCCGCCGCCTCGTGCGGACGGAGGTCGTTCCAGTCCAAGACGGCGACGGACGTGCCGGCGCTGAAGCGGGACATGTCGAAGATTGTCGAGACGGGGTGAGAGGTCGTGAGGGTGGGCTTGTCGGGGTCGGGCAGGAGGAAGGGATGTGCGATAGCGATGCGCTGGAGGATGGTCGAGAGGTGGGTGAGGTGGTAGAGGTTCATCGTTTGCTCGGCTGCGGGAGAAAATGGAGAAAATCGTCAGCAGGAGCTCCTGAGCGCCGGAACTGGTTGCATACGCACCGAAGTCGCCGTGCGGAGGGCTGATGAGGTACTTCGAGTCGGTACTCAGCTCGTCTCGGAACGAGTCGTGCGGTCGAACGGCCTTCTGCTTCGCCTGCAGCGCAAATCCGTCAGCTCATGCGCGGGAGTCGCAAGCAGGGTACGCACCATGTTTGGCGCAGTCGGCGCCAGACTCGCAGCGAGGATCTGTTCCCGCCGCTGCATGTGCTTGACGATGGGGCTCTTCCCCTGTCTGCTCGCCCATAAGATGACGACAAGCATCAAGACCGCAAGGGTGCCTGCACCACCCGCAATCTGCTGCACCGTCAACCCCTGATTCGACGCCGCCTTCTTCCTCAACCTCGCGATCTCCTGGCCCTTGTCGCGCCAATTCAAGTTCCGCTGCTTGTGTTGCCGCGCCTGCGCGATCGACGAAGACTTGCTGTAGAACCCGCTTTTGGATGCTGGTGCCGGCGCATCTTTCGGAGGGGGAGAAGGCGGAGGAGAATACGCCGCCGACGAGATGACGGGGAAGCTAAAGTCGGGTTGGCCTGCGTCTGCTGGCTGTGGCTGGGAGTCGACGAGCCAGACGTCTACTTCTGTCTCGACGTTGTGGGTTTGCTGGACGGGTCGTCGTGCGCGAGGCCCTTGGTTTGCAGAGTTGGGAGGCGGAGACGAGCGTTCGGCCGTTGCGGTCGTCGTCGAGAAGGGGAGCGAGATAGCTGTTGTGCCGTTGAGGGTGAACTCTGAGCCTGGAGAACGGTGTCTTCCGCCAGCAGCCATTTCGAGCGCAGGTCAAGCGTGAGGGATGCGAGTGACGGAGGAGAAGGGGAAGCGGGCCCGTCACACAGGCGTCGCTTCGCCGGGGCTGTGCCGGGCTGTCTCGCCTGGAGTGGGCTGGCCAGCGTGTCAATCGGGGGGCTGGCTGGCGAGTTCGAGAGAAGCGGATGGCTTGCGACCCAGCCGCGAATGGAAGGTCGCTCGTTCGTTGGCCTGGCATCCTGTCGGTGAGCGGTGCGAGCGAGACAAGCTGATAGCTGGCGAGTGTAGAGTGAGTGTGCGAGTGTTCATGTGTCCTGCGAGCCGTGTTAGCGAGAGCGAGCGGGTGAGGCAAGAGGACGAGATGAGACGGCGCGGCTGGTCGAGTGGCCAACTCTCCCGGAGCAGCTCTTCCTCTGACAACTCCTCCTCCTGCGCTTCTTGCGGGCTGACAGCGACCTGGCAGAGCTCTGCAGGCGCACAGCTACTCGCTCAAACAACAGCCGCTCTTCTCGCTCGCCTGCATCTCTCACACCCGAGTCGCCTTCCCGCATCCCTCAACCTCGCTAACTCGCCCCGCCATGGCGTCTCACATGCGCAGGCGGAGCTCGCGCATAGGCTTCAGCACCCCTCTCCAGCCAGACGAACAGCGACCGAGCCCCTTCATCGGCGGAGTCTCGCGCTCGCCTCGCCAGCAGCAGGGGCGGGTCCTGGGTCCGGCGCCAACTGCGGGACAGACGACGGGAGTGGGATTGGGGCTCGCTACGCATGACGAGAAGAGTCGGTCGGCGAGGAGGGACCGCAGTCGGAGTCGGGAACGGACCAGGACGGCGGCGGGAGGAGGACCGACGGCGCAGGAAGCGCTCCGTCGCTTTGCGGCGCTCTTGTTCCGCCTCTTGCGGACGCCCAAGGGCTTCACCCTCTTCTGCACCGTCTCGCTCTTGTGGTTCACGACGTCATACGTCAACAAGCACTCGGAGCGGCTCTCTCGTCGACCTGTCCACCCTCGCCTCCTCCCTCTCATCCGACACAGCGGCAACCTCGCGCAGTACGTCTCGCCGCGCTTGGGGAACCGTCTCAAGGACTGGCACGAGTGGCAGGTGCAGAACGACCCCAACCGGCCGCTCACGCCGGAGGAACTCGCCGTCCAGACTCGGCATACGTTCCACCCGAACGGGCTCTTGCTCGTCAACCCAAAGGGACGGCACCCGATCCCGGTGTTGATCGAGCAGGCGGAGAAGAAGTGGAAGGACAAGGTCGCGAGGCAGAGTCGGACGTTGTCCGAGGCCGTCAAGGAGTACAAGCAGCGGTACAGGCGCAACCCGCCCAAGGGGTTCGACGACTGGTGGAGGTTCTGTGAGGAGCACAACGTGCAGCTTCGCGACGAGTACGACCAGATCAACCACGACCTGGCGCCGCACTGGGCTCTGTGGGTCGCCTCGTTCCTCTAGCTTCGAAACTGCCGCTGACTCTCCGCGGCTCACCTGGCAGGGAAGCGCACGACTCTCGCCACCGCAACCGCGTGATGCAAGAGCGCGACCACACCTTCACTATCGCGATGCACCCCGGCGAGCCGCACCCGACCATCCACGGTCCCTATGCGCACATCAAGCGCGCAGCCGACATTGCCGACATGCTTTCGCTCTTCACCGGCAGGATGCACCGACCGCTCAACATCACGTACATCATAGACGACAATCCGGCGGTCATGCTGCCGTATGCGCAGCGCGAGCGGATGGTTGAGCTGGGTCAGCAGGGAGAGTGTGCGTCCCGGGTTTCTCGCTCACTCGGAAAGGACCTCGCTGAGGCTCGCACTCGCAGACTACGGCCCGTCCGAGTTCATCGAAGGCGACGACCCGAACGTCTCGAACTTCGCTCGCGCCTGTCCTCCCAACTCTCCCCTCCGCCGCTCCGAGCGGGGCGAATTCACGACCGACTACTCCGGCGACGTCCAACGCTCCTTCATCTGGCGCCACCAGAAAGCGATGGATATGTGCCTTCACCCCGAGTCGCGCAAGTTGCACGGTCACACGATGCAGCAGGGTGTCCCGTTGGGCCCGCTCGTCCCGCTCTTTGCGTTCGCCAAGACGCCGCTCCATTCGGATATCCTTACCGTGCCGATCGAGCAATGGGAGGCGCATTATGTTGGGTACGAGCCGCCTTGGGAGGGGAAGAGCATGAACAAGCTTCTCTGGCGAGGTGCGTCCGCGATTCTCCTTCTTCGTCGACTCTCTCGCTGACTCGGTCGCACGCGCAGGCTCGACAACCGGAGTCGAATTCAACCGCCACACGCCCTGGCGCAAATCGCAGCGCGCCCGGCTGCACATCATGTCGCACGACCGGGAGGGTACCAAGTCCGTGATCTGGTCTCAGCGCGGCCAGCTCCGCGAGTCCCACTTTTCACTCGCGACGATCAACGACCTCTACATGGACACGAGCTTCTCCGGCGCGCTGCAGCAGTGCGATCCGGAGACGTGCGACTTGCTCGAGCGCACGATGGACCTCAAGCCTACGATCGGTCTCGACGAATCCAACACCGTGCGTTCACCATCTCCCCTCTCCTCTTAATACTCGCTGACGCTCGTCGAGGCGCAGTACAAGTACCTCATCGATGTCGACGGGAACGGCTGGTCCGGTCGTTTCCATCGCCTCATGTCGACTCGCTCGGTCGTGCTCAAGTCGACGGCGTTCCCCGAGTGGTACCAGGACCGCATACAGGAGTGGGTGCAGTGAGTTGGAAGCTCTCCTCCATCTTCGAGCGAGCAGACCCCGTCTCGAGACTTGCTTTGAGCTCGTCGTTGATGGACAGCTCTGCTTACGTGCGTCCTTCGCTGCGCAGCTACGTCCCGATCAAGGTCGACTACTCGGACGTGTACGACACGATGGCCTTCTTTGTCGGCACGCCCGACGGCCAAGGCGGTCACGACTCGATGGCGGAGAAGATTGGCGAGGCGGGCAGGCAGTGGGCGAGGGACTTTTGGCGGTATGCGGACATGGCGTGAGTTGCGCTTCCTCCTTCCCAGCTCGCAAAGTAAGAAACTGACGGGGAGGTGATGTTGCAGCGCCTACATGTACCGCCTCTCGCTCGAGTACGTCCGTATACTCCACCACGACGAAGGCGACGTAGACTACATCGAGATGCCCTCCTTTGACTTCTAGAAGAACTCTTACCTCTCCCTCGTACCCCTCATCCGCTGCATCGGCTCCCTCACGAGTCGCTTATATCCCCGCGTCGTATTCTTCCTCATCTGCATTGCTTTCTGCCACGCTCTCATTGCCGCAACGTCAAGGGAGATGCGAGATGCGAAAAAGATACAATGCAAGATCTTTCGCTCACACCTTGACACCCGTGTGGATTGCCGCGATACCGAACGTGAGCGGCTCCCACGGCTCGTTCTGCGCGACCTGGAAGCCCGCTTTGCGGATGACCTCGGCAAACTCGGGCGCCTTGTAGAACCGCCGGATCGACTCGACGAGGTAGGCGTAGCTGTCGCGGTCCGAGGCGAGGATGTGGCCGAGCGCGGGGATGACGTTGAAGGACCAGAGGTCGTATGCTCTGCGAGAGGTTGGTGTCAGCGGCAAGAACAAGCGGAAGACTCAGGCGAAGGGTCGCACTGCGAAAGAATCGGGTTCGGGACGTTGCTGAACTCGAGAACGGACAAGACTCCTCCAGGCTTCAAGACGCGGTACGCCTCCTCGACGACCTTGTCGGGGTGCGTGCAATTCCGGATGCCGAAGGCGATGGTGTACAGGTCGAACGTGTTGTCTGCGAACTGCTCGAGGTGTTCGGCGTTGCCGAGGTGGAACGAGACTTGCGGGGCTGCCAGGAACGTGGTCAGTGGTGAAGTGAAGACGGAATGAGATCGCTCGTACGCACTGTTGTGGTACATGGTCTTGGCGAAACGCTTCTTTCCCTCCTCGAGCATCTCGGGGTTGATGTCCAGCATCGACACGCTCGTCTCCCTGTCTCGGTACTTCTCCCTCGCATGGTCCAAGATCCGCATCGCAATGTCACCCGTTCCGCCCGCAACATCGAGGCACTTGAGGCCGCCGTGAGGGTCGAGTTTCGAGACGTAGTGATCCTTCCACAGCCGATGGATTCCGAGCGACATGGCGTCGTTCATGACGTCGTAGGATGACGCGACAGAGGAGAAGACGCCCTTGACTGCCGGGACGAAGGAGAGCGAGCGAGAGAGGATGCGGGCAGTCAGCGGGAGGAGTGAGAGAAGGGCGAGGACGGCCCAACGCACCCAGCGACTCCTTCATCTGCTCGGGTACATCGCGGAAGCCAAAGTGCGTCGTCCCAGCCGAGCTGCTGGCTGTTTCCGTTCGATGGTCGAAAGTGCCGATGAAGCGAGGCGTCGAGATTGTCAGCTCTCTCGCTCATGCTGCGTCTCGGCTGGACTTGTAAGAAGTTTGAAGCGCACCTGAGGGTCCTGCTGCAGCATTTGGCGCTGCGCTGGGACGAGGCGGAGGTGGTGTTGCCGGGGTCGAGTCGGGGCGAGGAGGAAGAGGGTCAAGAGGCTGGGTCGGGTGGGTTCGCCGCACAGCAGTCGACGAGAGCAGTGCGCGCTGGGCACTCTGCCAAGCAGATCGCGCAGTCTGTGGTCGTGCCAGCATTCCGTAATGGTATGAGAGAAAGTCGCGATTACAAACTGCTTGTATTCAGTTGATTAGAACTGACTACGAAGTCCTCGTCGACGCTCTCTCACTCTCGCATTCGCTCTTCTCCCTCGTTCAGGATGGCAGGCGTCTTCTCGGCACAGCGTCTCGCAGGCAAGACTGTCCTCGTCGTGCGCTCGCTTCTCTTGCCCTCCTTCGACTCCCCACCTCCGTCGGCTCACACGCATGGCGTGCTGACATCCCTGCTGCTGGCTTGCGACGACAGACGGGCGCCTCTGGAGGAATTGGCGCTGCGACGGTGCGTACCCCTACCTCGCTCGTCCAATTGCGGTGTACTCACTGCCGCTCGACCCCATACCTCACAGGCCATCCTCTTCGCCCGAGCCGGCGCATCCCTCATCCTTACAGCCCGCCGCCAAGCCCAGCTCGACGAGGTCAAGCGTGCAGCGGAGCAGGCGAACAAGGAGGGCGCGACGGGCAAGGGCGGCAAGGTCGTTACCCTCACGCTCGACATGCAGGACCGCAAGCAGATCAAGGGCTTGCTGGACAGGATTCCGGAGGAGCTGCGTGAGGTCGACGTGCTGGTGAACAACGTAGGTCACCCCTTTGGCCACTGTTCGACCCGCGACAGCGTCTTGACTCTGCCTCTCCCGCAGGCCGGTCTCGTCTACGGTCGAGAGCAGGTCGGAGACATTGACGAGGACGAGATCGACACGATGATTAACACGAATGTCGTCGGCCTCATCTCGCTCACCCAGATCTTCGTCAAGGGTGCGTTGCGCTTCCTCGTCCCTCTCGCCGAGCCTCCTTCGACTCGACCGCCTCCTCTCCCCATCTTCATGAGCTACAGCTGACCGTCACTATCCGTCACAGAGTTCAAAAAGCGGAACCGTGGCCAGTACGGCGCCCCTACGCTCACTCGGCTTGACCTTCGCAAATCACCTTTCTTGCCTGCTCCTCCCCCTTACATAGCGTCATCAACCTGGGATCTATCGCAGGGATCGAGCCGTACGCGGGCGGGTCCATCTACTGCGCGACGAGTGCGTTAGAACGCTTTCTCAGCCTGCATCTCTTGGAGGAAAGGCGATGAGGGCTCAACCCGTACGTTTCGACACGCAGAGCACGCCGTGCACGCTTTCAACGGCTCGCTTCTGCGAGAGCTCGTAGGCTGGAACATCAGGGTTACCTGTATCGCTCCGGGAATGGTCGAGGTGCGCATCCCTCCTTCTTTTGAGCTACGCGAACGCCATCTGACCGAGCGACCTCTTCACGCCGCAGACCAACTTCTCCATCACCCGCTTCCGAGGCGACGAGGACGCAGCTAAGAAGGTGTACGAGGGGATCACTCCGCTCAGCGCGAACGACATCGCGGAGGAAATTGTCTGGGCTGCGAGCCGGCCAGGTGCGCTCCTGCCGGATCTTCAGAATCATAGAGGGTGTGCTGATACGGCGTTGCGGGCGCAGAACACGTCAACATTGCCGACGTTCTCGTCTTCCCGAGCGGTTCGTCCACTCGCTCCCTTCTTTCCCTCCTTCTGCCGCCGCTTCGCCTGTCCCTCCTTCCGTCCCACACCTTAGCATCTCAGCGTCTCGCCAGCATCGACATACCCGCAAGTCTGGCTTGACAAGTAACCGGGACTGACCTGCCGCTCCTCTCGCTCGCAGCCCAAGCGTCGGCCATCATCAACCACCGTGGCCCTCAGAATGGCGGCAAGTAGGCACTGTGCACTTGCAAAGAGCAAGGAGTACTCGTCGGAGTGACCCCCTGTTTGCGAGATTGCTCCCGTCGAGACGCGCCCGTCGAGCACATCCTCTTCGACTCTCTCACACTCGCTTCCGAATCTCGCTTGCTTCTTGCACCGTTGGAGAGCGTTGCTACAAGGCTCGACAACCTCTCCGTCGCCCGCCAGCCGCGCCCGTCCGCCTGTTCCCTCGCCTCCGCCCCACAACACGGTCGCGATGCTTGAACAGCTCGACATCGCGTTTCGGCCACAGCGAGCGCGGTCTAGCGGAGCAGCGGGCATCCTGAACACGAGCAAGGTCGCGCCATTCATCCCCACGACGTCCTTCGCCTCGACAGCACCCGTCCCTCCCTTCGCGTCCTCCTCGCCCCGCTCTCTCGCCTTGCCCATCGGCGACTGCAGCGCAAAGACGAGCGTCCTCCTCCCATCACCGCGCTTCGCACTGCCCTCCTCCTCCTCATCCACCTCGTCGTTCGAGACGGCTCTCACCACCCGTCCTCCGAAACTGAAGCGACGCGTGACGTTCTCGCCCACCCCGCTCGCGTCGCTGCAGTCTTCGCCGAAGCACAAGGGGAGGTACTCTTCGCCGCTTGGTGCGGGACGAGGCACGGCGGGAGACGAGGAGAATGCGGGAATGGGCGGTCCGTTCGGGAGGGAGAGGAAGCGGCCTCGGCTGATGCGGAACGTCTACTCGGACAACCCGCTCTTTGAGGCGAGGCGGACGGCTGGACGTTTGGCGGCGGACGAAGATGCGGCGTCGAGCGGCTCGGACGTTGCGGCGGGCGGAGAGTCGTCTGACCCTGCGCTTTCCTCGTCGCCCGCTCGCCTCGCCACCTTGCTTCATCCTCCAGCGCGACCCGTCGCCAACCGCTCGGTGCAGATGCTGAGATCGCCACCGCGTCCGCCGCAACTCGCTGTCGAAGTCAAGTCGAAGCGGGCTGTGCCGAACGCAGGCGATGCAGTCTTGCCCTTCAGGCTGCCTGGCCTCGTCATCGTCGAGCAGCCGCAGGACGCGCAAGACGACGCCGATGCGGACGGCACGGACAGCGAGACGGAGAGCGAGGTCGTCTCGTCCCTTCTACTCCCGACGACTTCGGCCGCTGCCCTCAATCCCTCGCCCTCGCTTTCCTCAGACACGCCGTCCTCTTCCTCTCCGCTCCGTTCGCCTTCTCAGCGACTTCGCCCTCCCACGTCCTCGAAGCCTTCCATCGACCGGCCTATCCTCCCGCTCAAGCCGATCCTCAAGCCTTTCCCGCAGCCTCTTCCCGCTTTGCTCGCAAAGGACGAACGGGAAGGCCAGCGCAAGAACGGTCGAGGAAGGCGCCACGTCGTCGGCTGGGAGAGCGAGAAGAGGGCGAAGGAAAAGGCGGAAGAGGTGCGGGAGCGGAGGAAGCAGTTGTCGGAATCGAAGAAGCGGAAGAGGGAGGCTGTCGATGCTGGCGAAGGTGCTGGCGGGAAGGGGAAGGAGCGGGCTGCGGCATCCTCGTCGACATCGGCTGCGGCCAGCTCGACAGCCGCCGGGTCGAAGAGTCGGGGCAGGGTGACGAGGTCCGGCAAGACGAGCGGTGATGGCGGCAACGGAGGCGGGAATGGCGACGATGACCAGCGTCGCCGAAAGCGCCCTCTGCCGTCAGGTAACGGGAATGGCGGCCCCGGAGCACCGTCACAGACGCCTTCGCCAGCGCTCGACAGCATCGGCACGAAGCGCTTCGCGTATGCTGTTGCTGCCGACGATCCGGTTCTCCTCATGACGCCTCTCCTTACGCTGCGCTCGTCTTTGCGCCCGACCGAAGCATTCGACTCCGCCTACGAGGGCGCAGCACCCGCTCTCCCGCCTCGCCCTCATCCCGACGTTCCTCCACTTGTCGAGGTCGAAGGCGCACCCGGCGTACCAGTCTTCCCGTCTCCGCCGACCCTTCTCAACGACGTCGAGGACGCCTACGTGGCGCTCAAGAACGCCCTCTTCCAGCTTCCCGCGACTTTCGACGCCGCCGTCACCCTCACTCCGCTCCGCACCCATGCTTCAACCCTTCTCGGCGCACTTACTCGCGACATCGGAAACATCAAAACGTTTCCGGCTTGGGTTAAGGAGCAGCCTATCTCGCAGAACAACGACGGCGGCCTGTCGAGTCCGTTCCCGCCGGCTTCCGACGACCTCATCTCGAGTCCGGCTGGACAGCCTGCCCCGTCGAGCGAGTCGAGCAGCAACGGCGCAATGCGGACGAGCCTCACGGAGAGTCAGATGCGGCGCATGAGGGACGAGGTGGCGGTTGCTCAGGCGGCGATCAAGTGCGCCGCTGTGATCGTTAGGGATGAACGGCTCATTGAAGCCTTCGAAGGTGAGCACCCGCTTCCCTTCCAGGGCGCCGCAGCTGACGCCCGTCCCTCCCGCAGCCGAGTCGCTCGTGTCGCTCGTTTCCCTCGTCTCGTCGATTCCCCTCGCGCCCGACATCCTCGGCATGGTCCAGCGAGACCTCTTCCCCTTCATCCCCTTCCTCATCCAGTCACAACAATTATCGCCTCAGCGCATTCAGCCGCTTATCGTTCCGGTCATACTCCCTGCACTCCGGGCGACGCTATCGATGGGAACCAAGATCGACCGGTTCCGCTTCGCCTTCTGCGAGTCGCTCGACGCTCTCGCGAAACTCCTGCACACAAACGCTCCCGACCTTCTCGCCGACGATGCACGCGGAATCTGGCTTCGTCCTGCGACAATGGGACTGTGGGAGGTGTCGAGGAAGGGCTTGAGCACGCGCGAGAAGACGATGCAGGTGCTCGGCAGGGCCGTGCGGGCTTTCACGATGCCGCTGGAGGAGGGTCGCGATGCCGGTGAATGGGAGGGCCAGCGCGGGGTGGTTCGTGAGAAGCTCGCCTCGAACTTTGGCGCCGACTTCCTCGTGCGTATCTCGCAAAATCACCGTCGCCCACGTCGTTACTGACCCTACCCTCCCCATCGCAGGAGATTCTCAACGAGTCGCCGTCAGACCTTCCGGCTCTTCCGACCGATGAGGAGTCCAAAGTCACGTTCCGCGACATCCTGCTCGAGCAGATCACAACACCGCCGGCGGTGAGCGAGAACGCCTCGCCTGAGCAAGGTGAGTCACAGCAACTCGTCGCATGCTGTCGGAGCGTTGCTGATCCCGACGATGAGCAGTCGCAGCAGTCCGAGACTCGCACGACCTGTCAAAGGTTGCGAAGCTCGCGCTCATGCCTGCACTACTGCAGAGCAGCTTCCGCAAGTTCGAAAAGGGAGGAGTCGGACCCTGGATCCGCCCATACAACACGTTGACGAGCTCGACCTGCGCGCCCGTGCTCACTTTGTCTGCGCTCGCATGGTCGAACCTCATCTACGCCTTTACGAAGACTGCGAGCGGCAAGACCAGCGCGTCATGGATCTTCCGCGCCGACCAACGACCCTTCGGCATCATCGTCAACCTGTTCACCGCGCGAGCCGCGCGCTGGTCGCAGAGTGCGCAAGCCGCGTCCGACCCTGCGAAGCGGCAGAAGGCCAAGTTGCACGCCAAGGCGCTCGCCCTCGCCTTTGCGAGCGTTGTGTACGGCCTCACCGTCCACGCTCGCCACGGAACATCGTCGCACCGAGATGAAGACGCGCCTGTCGACAGTCCTCTTTCCGCCGCGCGCTTCGACCACCACAGCTACACCTTCTCGCACTTGTTGGAGCCGCATCTTGCGCCGATGGCGCAGTCGACCGTGTCGGCCGAGGTCAACTCGCTTGCCTGGTCCATCCTCGCCAATATCGTTCGACCGCGAACACCTACCGACCGCCATGCTGTCCTCGAGACACTAGTCAACCCTATCTTCCTCGACTTGCCGATCAGCGAGGTCTCGCCCGACAGCCCTCCTATGGAGCACCTGCTTGCGGTCGGCATGCATCGCGCCGTCCAGCCGTCGCAGATCCCCGGCTGGGGAGCCCAGTGGGTCGCGTCGAACGTCGAGCGCATTCTCAAGCTCTTCGAACAGTGCCTGCCAGCCGCAAACGAGATCCCGCCGCTCGTGCAGGTGCGCCCTCGTACGAAGGTCTCGCTACTCTCCAACTGACAAGAACTCCCTGTCCCTCAGGACAACATGACGCTCGCATGGCAAAGCCTCATCCGGAATCTCCTCGACAGCCCGAAGCGTTTGCGAACGGCCCTCAACTGGCTTGTCCAGCTTACGCGCAGCCGACCGACCATCGCTGGCGAGTTCTGGGCGGCGACAGTCGCCCGCTCCGAAGCGCCTCTCGTCGAGGCGGTCGCAAAGGTCGCATCGGCGGACCGCGACGTCGTCGAAGCCGTGACGAAAGCCTGGCTCGGTCTTCACGAAAAGCCTCAGCCACCCGCAGCTGCACTCGGTGCGCTTCCCGCCGTTTCGGCGTCTTCGAGCCTTGCTGACGTCTGCCGTCCTTCAGCTCGCGCATGGACGAAGGTTCTCTTCGCCGGCGATCGTGCGGACCTGACTGTTCACCAGCTCGACTCGGTCATCTCGCTGCTTCGGTACCACCTCGCGTGAGTTGAGTCTCACTTCACGTCAAGCTTTCGCTAACTTCGTCACCGCAGAACGGAATCGGCAATCAGCGACGGCGTCTGGTTCGAACTTGCGCGGGTCGTCAACGTCGCGCTCTGGCAAAAGCCTCGCGACGCCCTTTGCTCGCACCTGTCGATGCTGTTGAGCAGCCCGACAGATGCCGGCGCCAATCTGCGCCTCTGCGCTCTCCTCGTCCAGGCCAGTCACGGCTTGCACGTCGACGCGCAGAACGACGTCCTCGCGCTAGCGACACACTCGGTCGACGTCGTTCTCGGAACCGAGTCAGCAACAGAAGACAATATCGAGTTGATCAACCGAGTTCTCCAAGCGGCTTCCGACCAGACCGTGTGTCCAGTCTCTTGAGTCGAGCGTCAACCCCCACTTACCCTTGGCCCTCACAGTTCCCGACCCTTTACAAGCACATCCTACGGCACCTCGCGCCGCTCGTACAGCCGACTTCGGAGCACCTGCGCCATTTCGCTCCTCTCCTCACGCCCTCCCTTGAACGCGCCTACAACCTGGCTGTCAACGACCCCGAGAGCCAAGCCGGTCTTGAGGCGTCGATGGCTGCTCTCGAACCGACACACATCATTATTCAGCCTCTCACGTCGTTCTACGAATTTTGGAGGGCGACGTTCGGGCGGGCGACAGGTCATCTCGAGATCCCGGCCGACATGGTCGATTCGCTGCACATTATGAGGCGCATCTCGACTAGCTTCGACGTCCCCGGACTCGCGGACACGCAGGCATCCTCGCTCGGCTCGATGCGTCCAGCTGCGGCCGCCGAGATGCCTGCCGCTGCGCAGCCTACGGCTTCTACCACCCGACAAGGTGAGTTGGACCAACTTCACGAGTCAAGTGCGTGCTGACCTTCTGCGTGGCAGCGCCACGACCGGCGACCCTTACGACGCCCTCCGGACATCGCTCGGCAGGCTACGAGGCGAATCAGTCTCGCTTCGGCGCTGGCGGCGTCTCGAATGACACTGCGACGGGCTCGACTTTCACAGCGTCTCCCCCTCGCGAAGGAGGCGGACCATCGCCGTCGCTCTATGCAGACCAAGAAGCGACAGACCAAGCCGCCTTCAAGGACGATGCAGTTGCGGAAACGCAGGTCGTCGAGGAGACGCCGAAGGCTGTTGACGCCATGCGGACTCGCGAGTCTATTGCAGCGCTGCTCAGCGACGCTGCGATGGCCGAGCACGGGTTGGAAGCGAGCACGACCGCGTCGGAAAGTTTGGGGGAGCCGAACGGACGGATTGAGCGCCCCGGTGAGTCCATGCGATCAACCTCATTCGCGGGCGCACGCTGACGAGCGCATCTGCAGAACTCGTCGGCGAGACAGCCAGCTCAGCCTCCGCTTCGCCTGCGCAACCTGGACCGTCGCGAACAGCAGCCGGTCCGAGCAAGAAGCGCGCCCATCCGCGCGACGTTGAGGTCGAGATTCCGGTCAAGAAGCGAAAGGCGGCCTCGGGCTCTCGCACGAAGGGCAAGCGAGGCAAGGCATCCGGTGCGTCGCGACCTCGAGCCTGCCTCTGCGCTCACGGCTGACACCCGAACGATCGGCAGCATCGCCTACTCCTCCGCCCCCTCGTGCAGATGGTGATGAAGGCGGGACACAGGAGGCTTCGGCATCGCTCGACCGGCTCGGCGACACGCAGGACGAGGAAGTCGTCCGCCGCTTTTTCGCGCTCCCGATCGACACGGTCGTCCAGGTCGGCAAGCGCATTGGCGGCTCGCCATCGCTGAAGCGTCTGATGGACCTCGGCGAGCGGGCGAAGGAGTACATCGAGTCGTTCCAGTCGGGGTCGTCGTCTTGAAGAAGACGAGGAGGGATCGGATATTCTTTGCAGATCTCGCATGCAACATGTTGTCGTATTACACGTTTGCCAATATCAGCGCTGCTGTCGTTCGTTCTGGCTTGTCGCGCAGCCGTCGGAAGCGAGAAGCGAATTGACCTTGTCCTCTGCTTCGTACGCTGCTCGCTGAGATCCTTTGATCTGCTCGGCTGCTGCATACGCCCGCACAGACTACACAAGCACCCATCGCGTGCTCGCTTGCTCGCGCCGTCGCTCGCCCTTCCCCACCCTCCATCCTCATCAACCGAACACAATGCTCGAGTGCGTCCGCTTGTTCGGGGGCTGAGAGACGGGAGGCAGACTCACAGAACTCTCCTTGCTCACAGCGCACCTTTCGCCAAGTGGATCGACGAGCACCAGGACGAGCTCATTGCCCGTCTCAAAGAGGCGGTGGAGATCCCCTCTGTCAGCGGCGACGCTTCCTACCGGTGCGTGAGCTTCGCCTTAGGACTCTAGCCGACATACTGACGACTGACCGATCCATTCGTTCCCGTCGCGTCCTCTTTTCCCCTCCGCTAGCCCTCACGTCGTTCGCATGGGAGAATGGCTCAGGGCTGAGCTCGAGAAGCTCGGCGCCGAGTATGTACAAGCGCTCGAATGACCGTTGAGATGCGTGCTAACCAACCGCGCTGCCAGGATCCGCTCCGTCCCGCTCGGCAAGCAGGTTCTCGACGGCCAGGAGCTCGATTTGCCGCCGGCGCTTGTGGGATCGCTCGGGAAGGATCCCAAGAAGAAGACGGTGCTCGTCTACGGGCATTACGATGTCCAACCAGCGTCTCTTTCCGACGGCTGGAAGCACGAGCCGTTCCAGTTCACGCACGACAAGGAGACGCGGCGTCTCTACGGCCGTGGTTCGACTGACGACAAGGGCCCGATCATGGGCTGGATCAACGCCATCCAAGCCTTCCAGGAGACGAAGACCGAGATCCCCGTCAACCTCCGCTTCTGCTTTGAAGGAATGGAGGAGAGCGGAAGCGAGGGTCTCGAGGAACTCGTCATCAAGGAGGCCAAAGGCGAGTTTGCGGACGTCGATGCAGTGTGCATTTCGGACAACTACTGGTTGGTCAGTCGGTTCGCTAGTCCCGACTCGCTGAAACAGCTGACTTTTAGTTTCGCAGGGAACCACCACGCCTTGCCTTACCTACGGGCTGCGCGGCCTCTCGTACTTCTCAGTCTCGATCTCGGGTCCCGCGGCGGACCTGCACAGCGGCGTTTTCGGCAACGTCGTCCACGGTGCGCAACGCCTCGGACTACTTTCGCTCACCCAGCAGCTCACCTCGTTCGCTTGGCAGAGCCCATGACCGATCTCTTCGCCCTCTTCTCCAAGCTCGTCACGCCGCAGGGCAAGATTCTCGTGCCCGGCATCAACGAGAAGGTGCGCTAAGCCGCTGCGAGGCTCTTCCTCGTCCGACAACCCTGACTTTGCGCTTCGCAGGTCGCGCCTTTGACGGACGACGAGCGCAAGCTGTACGAGGACATTGATGTTACGCTCGGCGACTTTGAGCAAGCGATCGGTGCCAAGGTGACCATCAGCGAGGACAAGGCGGAGGTGCTCATGGGCCGGATGCGCTATCCGAGTGCGTCTCCAGCTTCCGGGCTCCAACCGTGGCAGCGTGTTGACAATTCCGCTCCTTCGCCAGGTCTGAGCATTCACGGCGTCGAGGGCGCCTTTTCTGGTCAGGGAGCGAAGACAGTCATTCCTGCCGCTATCAAAGGTAAGCGGCGCTGGCTTTCTCTCAGCACTCAGCCTGCTGAACAGGACGCCTTCATAAACGCAGGCAAGTTCTCGATCCGCCTTGTGCCCGACCTTGACCCGGACGAGGTGAACGAGCTGGTCCAAAAGTACTTGAAGGTGCGTTCGCTGTCTGCTTCTCCGAGGCTGATCGCACTAACCTGATGCACGTCACCCAGGCCGAGTTCGCCAAACTTGGCTCGAAGAACACCCTCAAAGTCGAGATGCTGTCGGGAGGAAAGCCTTGGGTCGCTTCGAGTGCGCTATCTTCGCTGCAAACGGAGAAGCACGTAGCAGAATTGACTCTCCTTTCCACTCGCAGTCGACCACTGGAACTTCCGCGCGGCCAAGGATGCCATTGAGAAGGTGTACGGCAAGACGCCCTCCTACACCCGCGAAGGAGGTACGTCCGCTCATCCGTCATCGTCTTGCTCTGCTCCAACTCTCCTCTCTCCCTTGCTGACGCTCTATCGCTGTCTTTCGCCTATAGGCTCCATCCCTAGTCCGTTTCGCAGTCTCGTGGCTTTCTTTGGCCGGGAGGTGGCCTCGCTGACTCTGGCCCCCTTCGCTCGCGCAGTCACTCTGACGTTCGCCGAAGCGCTCGGAAAGAACGTCATGCTCCTGCCAAGTGCGTACCGCTACTTTCCCTCGAACCGCGGTACTTCTCCTCATGATCGAAGCGGAAGGATATTGACTAGTCGCTTGCCTCTCTTCGCCCACCAGTGGGTCGGTACGGATGTTTCTCCCTGATCTAGCCGTGCCCCAGACTAGCCGCTGACGACTCGTCCCGTACAGCGGCGACGACGGTGCTCACTCGACGAACGAGAAGCTCGATCTCGCGAACTACATCGAGGGCACGAAGACGCTGGGCCAGTATTTGCTCAACGTGCCCGCTGCAGCAGCGTCCGCATGAGACCTTGAATCATTGTTCGACGAGATCTGCCCACTTGACGACCAGCAGCGAGAGGAGGCGAACGCACGCCGGTCGCCATGTTGCCGGGTTCCTCGGTCGACGGTTCCGTCAGAAAAGATCGTCGTTTGCTCTTGTTCTTCGAAAGCTTCTGTGCGACCCGATCGAGAATTGCTTTGCTCTTCGAACTCTCGGCGACATGGCAACCGAAGCCAGAGCTCTGCGTGAGCTGCAGACGCCGCCTCTCACGCTCAAAAAGCTGCTGCGCTGCTGTATCATGGCGGGAAGCCTTCTGTTGCCGCCGAGACGAACGTGCCAGAAGGAGAAGAGGCAAATGCAGGAATATCACCCAGTGAGCTAAGTTATGGAGCGGAGAACGATCTGCGGAAAGAACTGAAGGGTAAATCTTGCCAGAGGCGGATGCGATGCGAGATGCGAGAGTATGTAACGATGCGAACAACACGAGACAGGCGGAAGGAGGAATGGATGAACGAATGGAGGAAGCGGAATGGAGGACATGATACGTGACGACCACACGGGTTGGGCGACTAAGGCGCACTGCTGAAGAGGCGGAGGACGCGCTCGTCTTCTGCAGCACGCGTGTTCTGCCGCGGAGAGAAGCGACCTTGATCCCGTCGCTCGTCGTCGAAGTCGTCGAGGAAGGTCCCGTGCGACAAGAAGCGCGGCGGAGAGTCTCCTGCTGACGCAGGGAGACCGGCAGGTTCGAGGCCGTCCAGCGGAGGGAGATGGCGAGGGAAGGGGTCGAAAGGAGAGGCGGTCGTCGTCGTCGGCGCGGTAAAAACGGAGGCGGGCGAGGGTGCGGGCGAGCTGTACAACGAGGGGAAGCGCGACTGTGTAACTGACGACGTCGTCGAAGGTGGGCCATCGCGAACGGGGTCGTATGCGAACGACCAGTTGCGCGGCGAGGTCTGCAGTGGGCGCAAAGGGTCGAAGCGGGCTGGCTGGAGGAGTGGGCTGGGATGTCGTCGGTCTTTTGTCGAGGTGGGCTGATTGAGCGAGCGTGAAGAGGGAGAGGGAGGGCGACCCGCCCAGGAATCGTACGAAGAGGAAGGTCGAGGTTCAGACGTCGACGTCGAAGGTCGAGTCTTCTCCGTCACCGCACCGCCTACTGGTCGGGTCGCCGAGCCAATATCGACGAGGCTCGATTGGGAACGGTGAAGGTAGCCTTGCGCGACGGCTGGATGAGGAGCGAACGGAGGCATGTGCGAGGGAAAGCCGTCGACAATAGGTGTTTGTGGTGCGGAAGGGGCGGCGACAGGTAGTGGTGGGGGGACGGCGGGCTTCTCGCGAGGATCCCTTCCGCTGTTCGTGCGCAGGGCGAGCATATGCTGGATGAGGGGATCTCGAGCAGCGAGCGGGAGCAACCCATTCGCACAGGCCGACTTGGACGTGTAGGCGATCAAGTGCATCTTGGTGCCGTTCGCATCGACGGAAGAGAAGGATTGCTTGACGAGCGTCTCCTCGCCTCGAGCTGGAATCTCGGTGTAGGTGAGGAAGGCGCCCGAGACGCGCGAGGCTGCGACGAACGGAGGACGCCTTAGCGAGTATTCGCTCAGCGCGAACCAGAAGGAGGACGCACGACTCCATTTGATGTGGTCTGTCCACCGTCGGATGCCTGCCTCCTCCTCTTCCCACACGAACACGGCGCCTGGCCGGACGAAGCGGAGTCGCCTGCGGGCGCGAACAATCAGCCGGCTTGCAGAGGGATGCAGGGGTGAAGCAAAGGCATGGTCGTACTCGTCATCCGTCAGACGGCGAGTGACTCGGGGAAGGAGCTGCACGACCGAAAAGCAATGTCAGTTCTCTGCGACAAAGGAGAACCCGGGGGCGACTCACGCCCAATTTGCTCGCCTCGAGGATGGCGTGCGCCTCTTGCGCCGAGCTGACGATGCCAAAGTACGAATCTGTAGCCGCGGAGGAGGCGACGATGAAGCACAAAAGGTCAGCGAGCGCGGCCGACGGCAGAAGCGAGTCCTTTTGTGACGCACGGCCGGAGCGGGGCAGCTCCGCCTCCATCGTGGTGGCCGCGAGAGACGGCTGAGGATGTGTTGTAGTCGATGCAGGCGCGCCGCGGTCGTCCAGAATAGGGAAGCGAGCGGCGAGACGACACGAGGTGGATGTCGGGCGGAGGAAGCTGCGGATGCGCGGTCGCCGTCGAGCTGGGCGGGCGACGTTGCGCTGGAAAGGTGAATGTAAAGGAGCGTGTGTGAAGATGGCAGGGCGGCTATGAGAACGCCGAGGGCAAGCTAGGCCAAGGGAACGTCGGGTTAGCGTTCTCCGTCTCGCGAAACAGAGAGGATCACTCACGTCGGCCGATGGAAGCCCCTTCGTTAGCGCCGTCTCTGCTATTAGCGGCTCCACTTGCAAACTGCAAGGTCGAGTCCACCGAGGCCTGGACAGACAGCGGCGGCCTTGTGCGTGCGAGCTTGCTCGCTTTGACACGCGTCGAGGGAGTGACGGCTTGAGCGAGAAGGGGCACAAGCGACCGCGAGGGCCCTCCACCGTCTCCGGACTTTGCCAGGGCGCGCGACCTGACAAAAAGCGTCTCCGGGCGATCCTGCGTGTCCTTCCAGGCACACCGTTCCAGGTCGGCACATCAATTGAGCAGAGAACGTTCTCGATGGACGCCTTCATCCTGAGAAAAGCTTGCGAGACGCCCCCTTCGGAGATGGCAGGGCGCGGGGAGCGCCCCCTCGCTTGACGAACGCTGTGCAGCGAAGCGAGTTGGCCCGTTCGCAAGATCGTGGATGCGGCGCGACGACGGGACTGCGAGCCCCGCACAACCATTAAGCCGGAGAAGTGATGCCCACCGAACAGATCGTCCGCGCGTTCTTCGGTGGAAGCGCCTCCGAGCTAGCAGCGGGTGCGACAACAACAAGAGGCTCCTCCGCCCAGACCGGCAACCTCTTGATCGTGGGTTGACCGAGCGGAAGCGAATGCAGCGGGGAAGATGCAAGCGAGGGAAACCAGTCGCGATACCCTTGGCGTCAGCAGGAGGGCCCTTCAGTCGAGGACGCCTGTCTCTCGGCGCCCTTTCTCGGTTCTTCTGCTGGCGATCTTCTGGACGACGGTGATCCGTCTTAATGAATGCACGTCTTCTTGACGTCCTGGGGGTCGCGCTGGCGAGAGCGTTCCGGAGAAAGCTGCTTGATCTCGCGATTAAGCGAGAAGACGAAGTGTCGCAGAGCGAAGCAGATGCAGTAGGAGCTGTGCCGGAGAAGCTCTGACCTCCACGATCCGTGCGTGCGTGTCGAAATGCGAGGCAGGGCGAGCAGCGCAGATGCCGCCCGACTGGGAGGGGAATGCCCAACTCAAGTACGGCCGTGGGTGGAGACGCTGTACGCTTGCGCTATTGCCGGGCATGGTGCAGGCGGAGCGCCTTCAGTCGAGATTGTGGTCGAGGCAACCGAAGTCGAGGTCAAAGTCGGGGAGGCGAGGTGTCGTACGTCTCCAGGTCGTTGCCTTCAAGGCCGTCGAGATTTGGTATGGTCCTGTTGACCGTCTTAGGATCGTCGCACAATAGCCTGCCGTGCAGTGAGCCAGCATACTCACTGCCGGTAACGTTTCTCAGGAAGAATGCCTCCAACACACCGTCTGCTGCCGAGCTGTCCGTTCCATCCGCACCGACATACAGCGTGAAGCGACATACATCTCGCCCATAGTCTCCCAAGCAGTACATCCTCCAGCGAAAGGTCGAGTCGCGTGAAGAAGGCGAGGATTGTGCGACGAGGAAGGCGACCTCGGGAACAGCCGGGCAGCAGTTCGTGTGAATGTTGGCTCGTCTTGGAAACGCAGCAATACCAGCAACACGGCGCACGAGGCCAGCGAGTGAGCCGTTGCAGGACGAGGAGGGTCTCCTCATCTTTCGCGTTAACAGCACCCCACTCTTGCTTGCTGTGGGGCGCTGCCACCTCCTACTGCTTCATTGGGAGCCCTGTTGCTTCCGACCATAATGCCACGGTCGCCTGAGCCCCAGCTTGTCCGCCGACTCGAGATGCCTGCCGGTGGGGCAAACGACGCTCCCTCATCCGACTCGGAGAGCGAGGATGGCGCGGCTAAGGGCGAGGAGGTGTACGAGGTCGAGGCGATCAGGGCGTCGCGGTTCGATGCGACAACGTCGGCGATGAGGTGCGTTTCGCTCCGTCGCCTCCTCTTTGCCCTCTTGAGCCAGAGTTCTGGAAACGCTGGAGCTGACACGCTCGATTGGCAGATACTTGGTCAAGTGGAAGGGTTACAGCGAGGACGAGAAGACCTGGGAACCCATCGAGGTGCGTACTCGCTCGACTGTCGAGGACGCTGGGAGTCCGTTAACCTGCTGCACGCGTGTACGTACAGAACCTCGAGAACTGTCTCGACCTCGTCACGGAGTACAACAAGCGCAAGGAAGAGCGGGAGGCTAGGCGCGCTTCCATCACGCCAGGTGTTTCGCTTCAGGACGCGCTGAACAAGAATATACGTTTGCCCGGCGCCAGTGCGGACGAGTCGTCGGATCAGGGCCTCAGCATGAAGGAGTTGGATGCGCGGAGGGCAAAGGCGAAGAAGAAGCAGAGTCGGGCGAGTAAGTCCTTTTTCCGCTCCCTCCCTCAGTCTCGCTGATTTCGTCGGCTCACTCCGTCCCCTTTGCAGGCACGACATCGACTTCGGCTGGACGGGTTGAGGACGCCGTCGCAGACAAGTGGGAGAGGAAGGCGACGGGCAAGGATCAAAAGACAAAGTCCGCCTCGACTGAGGCATCGCCTGTTGCCTCGACCAGCAAGGCGTCCGTCCAGCAACCGCCGAAGAAGAAGAAGGCTTCAAAGTCTGATACGACGGCGGAGAAGCCCAAGTCAAGTCAGAAGAAGCGCAGGGTTGAGGATGCCAAGGTCAGTCGCTATCCCCTCTTCGCAACAACGTCTCTTGCTGATATGTGCCTCTCACCTCGCGCAGGCTACACCACCGCCTGCCAAGAAGCCTAAAAAGGCTCGGCCAGTGGTTGCTTCGGAGTCGTGCGTTCAGCTTGCGCTCTCCGCCGTCCGATGCTGATGGAGCTGTTGCACAGATCCGATTCTGACGACCACGCTGCCACGGTCCGCCGCACGAAGCAGCCGACTCCTCTCACCGCCGCCACTAGCTCCACGAAAGAGGGTACCGCTCCTGCCGCCCCGCCGTCGACTGCCGCAAAGCCAACTCCGAGTCCGCCGACGGCCGCCACTCCAGATGCCGCACCGGCGCCCACAGCATCTACCTCTGCGCAGCGCCTTCCTCCCGAACCTACTCCACAGCCACAGCAGACGCAGACAAACAAGCAGGAGCCGCTGAAGACAGCGCTCGCACCGATCATCGACGACGCTGCGTCGCAGGCGCGGACCGCCGATCCAGTCTTTCAAGGACCTTGGGCTGGAGCGCTCGGCAAGCTTCTTTCCAAGTCTTTCAGGAAATCTCCTCCTCCTCCGCCACCTCTCGCCGAGCAACTCGCCGCCGTGAACGGGCGCGTGCGGTTCTCCGAAGATCCTGTCAGGCTCGCGCAGGTTTCGGCAGCTCCTCGACACTCAACTGCCACCCAACCGCACTCTGCCCTCCGCCAAACCTCGCTCCAGCCTTCTCCGATCGAGCCGAATGGCGCCACCCCTCCGCAACCTCTCGGCTCAGTCAGCCCGAACCTGCGATCTCAGCAGGTCCCGGCCGCTACTGACCCTCGCCGCCGCCCGCAAGGCTCGCCTGCGCCTGTTGCAGCCCAGGTCAACGGCTACGACTCGCGTGCGGCCTCGCCGGTTGAAGCGAAGCCGCAGGTTCAGGTCGCTCAGCCGCAGGCAGCCGCCGAGGATGTTGCCGCGCGAGAGAAGAAGGTGAAGGACCGCGCAACGCAGCTGCAGAACCTCGAGAACCGCCTTCGCCGGTCGCCCTGGTTCCAGTCGCGCCCAGAATTCGTCACGGAAGACTTGACCGTTGCGTGCACCATGGCGATTCCGATCGACCCGCACCTCGTCATGCGACTGAAGGCGTCAGTACAACGGGTCTCTCAAGCGTTGAGCGATGCTGAAACCTGCCCTCGTTCGCAGGAAAGGAGTCGCCGTCCTCGTCTCGCATGGCAGGGATGAAACTGTCTCCGGTGAAGGGCTTGCGCTCGCTTATCTGCTCATGCGTATGTGCGCGACGACGCCGAGCAATATGCAGGAGGTCGAGGCTGTCTGCATCCACCGCAAGGAACCGCTCGTCGCCCTCGAAGCGCTGTACTGCGAGCTCGTCAACCTCGATCGCCACTTCGTCGAGTTCTTCTACTTCGGCGGTGACGAGCCCGCTACGCCCGTCTTCACGCATGGTGCGCCATTTGGCCCTCCTGCGTGCAAAAATGGCGCTGACGAAGCTTGTCGTTGCAGGCTACCACGTCCTTCCGACTCTCGCCGCGCTCCAGCAGGGCGCTGCGTTTGATCGCTTCTGTCAGTTCAGCCGCGATCCCGTCAGCGGGCACTGCGTCGTCGCAGTTCATCCGGCGACGGTTGCGATGGCTCGCAAGGAGGTCAAGTGCGTTCTCCCGAGGAAGTCGCCTTCTGCCTCGTTGCTAACTCTGCGACTGCCTGGTCAGCTGGCCTCGCATCCACGACAGTCTATCCGGCCACCAGATCGACGTCATCGGGCGCGAGATGATCAAGCTCGACTCGGCTTTCGCGACGGTCGAGAAGAGCGAGCTGCTCGAGAGGGCGGTCACGTTCCGACCTCTTCCGCACGTCACGTCGGGTGCGTTCTCTCGCTCGTGTTCTCGTTGTTGTCTTTCGCTGACGGGTGAACTTGTCAGAGTCGGAGTTCGCCGAGATCATCAATCACTCGGTTCACGTGAGGGCGAACTACCCGACTGTCTGGCGCCGCTTCATCGTGGTTGTCAGCGAGTCTGTCGAAGAGCAGGTGCAGAAGGCGAGGACGTGCGGTGTGAGTGGCCCTCCCGCCTTCCTTTTCGTCCAGCGAGCTGACCTACTCGTTTTGCCAGGTTGAGGTACATACTTGGTCGTCTCTCGCTGAGCTTGTCACGGCGAATCCGTTCGGCTGAGCGGGAAGGGTGTGTTGTGCTTGTAGGAAGTCTGGACATATCGCTAGTCTCGCTTTCGGAGTTGTTTCCCGGCGAACGAGTGCGGGAGAGTTTACCGATCGTCTATTGCTGCTTGCTCGTTTCCTTCAAGAGATCCGGCCAGCTATCCAACCATGGCTGTCCTTCAATCTTCTCCGCCACCGCTCCTCGCTTCGCGCCTTCACCCCATTTCGAGGCTGGCACTAATCGCCACAACTCGCGCACATTCCGTTCACGCAGATATGCGTATGCCCGGTCGTAGTGCAGTCCGACAGCTTGAGGACCATGCGAGTCGTCCGAGAGCGTGAAGCGACCGCCCTTTCGCAGAATGAGCTGTCCCGAAAGAGCACGTTAGCCTTGCTACGAGACTTTCACGGAAGGGCAGTACTGACGTCAAAGACCTCGACTCCCGGATATGCTGTGCTCCATCCTTTCCTGAATGCCGACGCATTGACCTCGAAGAGAGCGCCATAGCCGACGGCGAAGTCGACGTTCCGCTCTATCCGTGACCATACCTCGGGAAAGCTGAGGAAGTCGGTGTCGGGGTAATACAGCCGGCACAGATCGAAGTGGCCGATAACTTCAGGTTCGAGCCGCTTCATGAGCTCGAGCTGGTTGTCAAAGTAGGTGGCGAAGAGGCGAGAGAGGCGGTCGTGCTCGGATGAACCGGTTTGCGAGGCGAGGCAGCCGTCGAAGCGTTCCTTGTCGAAATCGATAGGCTGCTCGTCGCAGTGATGGACGCTGCCGACGAGATACTCGATGGCCTCGCCTTTGCGAGCAATCAGGCGCTCGAGTTCGTCGAGTCCCCGGTCGTCGATGTACTCCGTTTCGAGCCCGACAAGGATGCTGAGCTCGTCTGCCTTCAGCTTCTTCAGCCTATGCGCTTCGACGAGGTACTTGTCGAACGTTTGGGCGAGGTCTTGCGTTGTCAGGTGCGCCTGCGAGCAGAGAGCAGGACCTGTCGGCTAAACGCTCGGAAAGGAGGACTCGTCAATACTTACCTCTTCAGGGTACAAGTGCGAGAGCTCGTATCGTGGAACATGCTCGGAGAGACCGAACGTCGTGAAGCCTTGTCGAATCGCTTCGTCGACAACCTCCGCCAGAGTCCCCTTGGCATGGCAGGAGAACTCGCCCGAGTGGCTATGATGGCTGACTGTCATCCTGGACGTTCAGTGTGCACCTCGGCAGCTCTTGGGTGTCGCTGCGCGGCTTGGTGGCAGCTGTCGAGCCGGGGAGGATTCGAAAACTGATGAAGCTGAGAGGATCGTGAGATAAGCGTTGCGGGAGGTAGCGAAGGAGTGTAAGCAGTTGTGAGTGCATTTGGATGTACGACGCGACGCACGAAGAGTCCTTCTGCCGATGCCAGGATGGAGGAGAGGAGCGAACCGCCAAAGACGCTCCCTCTCGACGCGAGATGAGCTGGCGAAGGCCGTCCTCTTCTTGCCCGAACAGCGAGCAGGCTTCCTCGAATGCCAAGAGAGTCCCGGAAAGCCATCGGAGCGGGAACAGCCGCAAGAAGCGAAGCGACGGAGGCAATGGTTGAGGATTGCATGAGAACCTGCGATGTTGAGATCAACACAAAAGACTGCGACAGAACGAGACAGCACTACGAAGAGACGAGGGAACCAGGTAAGCAGGCAAGTGATGCGAGTCGGGTATACGGGAGGGAACGGAAGTCGTCGAAAGAGTCCGTGGGCATAGCTTCTATATCGGTGGATGCGCTTGTCGCTTATGCGTCAATGTCGGCATACGCCTCGACGTCGGAGCATTCGCAGAAGAGGTTGAGGTCGCCGTACTTGTCGTCGACCCTCGAGACGGTCGGCCAGAACTTGCGAGTGCGGAGCGACTTCATCGGGTAGGCTGCCTCCTCGCGCGAGTACGGTCTGTGAGAGCAGGTGAGTCAGAATGCGCGAAATTGAGGACGGAGGAACGAAGTGAGGGGGGAGAGGCGAAGACGAATGCAGGAGGAAGTCGAGGAGAGGAGGAGACAACGCACCGGTCCCACTTCTCCGCGAGCAGCACCTGCTGAGTGTGCGGCGCGTTCGTAATGATGTTGTTGTCGCGCGGCTGCTTGCCCTCGATGATCTCGTCAATCTCCTTGCGGATCTTGATCATGGCGTCGCAGAAGAGGTCGATGTCGCGGAGGCCCTCCGACTCGGTCGGCTCGATCTGGGATTGGCGCAGCAACGTCAGCAGTGCGAACAGACAACTCAAGACTAGCGCGGACAACGACGTGACTCACGAGCATCGCCGTCGAGATGGGCCACGAGCAAGTCGGCGGGTGGATGCCGAAGTCCTGCAGGCGCTTCGCGATGTCCATGACCTTCAAGCCTGCCTTGTCGTCAAACTCGGCGAGGTCGATGAGGAACTCGTGCGCGCAGCGGCCGGTCTTGTTGACGAAACGAACGCGGTAGTGGTCCTTGAGGCGGTTCATGGCGTAGTTGGCGTTCAGGAGCGCCAACTTCGTTGACAGCTTGAGGCCGTCGGCACCGAGCATCTTGATGTACGCCCAGGAGATGGAGAGAATGCTGGCGCTGCCGAAGGGAGCGGCCGAGATTGGACCGATGGCGTCCTTGCTCGCGCTGGGAACGATGGGATTGCCGGGAAGGAATGGGATGAGGTGCTCGGCGACGCAGATGGGCCTGTGTGTAGGGGAGAGGGGGGAGAGAAGTCAGCGGAAGCCTCGCGGAAGCCTCTTGGGCGTCTGGCGGCCGCTGAGGCTCGCGCGACTAGCTCATTGCTTCCGAGGGCTTTGTCGAAGCGTACGCACCCCATGCCCGGGCCGCCACCACCGTGTGGAATGCTGAACGACTTGTGGAGGTTGAGATGTATCGCATCTGCGCTCTGGTGCTTCTGGCGGACGTTCAACCGACCCGGAGCGACCAGTCCGGCCATAGCGTTGAAGTTCGCGCCTGCAGGGTTGACGACGACCATCGTCAGCTACATCTATAGCCCAGAAGAGGCAGTGTACGAACCGTCTAGGTAGACTTGTCCCCCTGCTTCATGAACGAGGCGGCACGCTTCCGTAATCGTGTCCTCAAAGACGCCAAACGTCGACGGGTACGTGACCATGAATGCAGCGAGGTTGTCGCGGTGCTGGTCGACCTTGGCCTTGAAGTCGGCGAGGTCGAGAGAACCATCGGCGAGGTTCTTGACGGGAACGACGCGCATGCCGGCCATGATCGCCGATGCCGGGTTGGTGCCGTGAGCTGACGCGGGAATCAAGCAGATGGTGCGATGCTCGTCGCCACGGCTGCGGTGGTAGGCGCGAATGACGGAGAGACCGGCGTACTCGCCTTGGGCACCCGAGTTGGGCTGGAGGGAGCAGCCGGGGAGGCCGGTGAGCTTCGACAGGTCGTGCGCGAGCTCCTGCGAGCCGAAGAGAGAAGGCGGAGCAGGAGGGCGGAGGATGCGGGCGATTGCGGAGGAGAGAGCGGGCGATTGTGGAGGAGAGAGGAAGGAGGTGTAGGAAGAGGCGAATTTGTCGATGGTCAGTTCGCTTCCCTTCGACTGCACCGCCTTTCACGCACGTCAAGCATCTCCTTGTACCCGCGGGCCTGGTCGGCGGGAGCGAAGGGGTGAATCTTGGCAAACTCGTCCCAGGTGAAGGGAGTGAGGGCGGTGGTCGGGTTGAGCTTCATCGTGCAGCTTCCGAGCGGGCTGTTCGTGCAGTTGTCTGTCAGTAGGGTTGTACGAGAGACGAGGAACGAGGGGCGGAAGCGTACATGGGAGCGTGAACGAGCGAGAGATCCTTCGACTGGAGGTGATGCATGTACCTGCAAGTTCCGTGTCAGCGTCACGTTTTCGCCGCTTCGAGCGACTAAAACGCACCGGATGAGGTCGGTCTCCGAATGGTGCGAGTTCCAGACGGACTGGGTGAGGAACGGACTCGTGCGAGCGAGATTGGAGGGGATGGCGGGCGACTCGATAGGCGGGATGCCCTCGCCGCTCGATTTCTGGCCCAACGTAGCGCGCATAGGCTTCGGCGCCTGTACGCCGATCGACTGGGCGAAAGCGATGAGCGACTCGTCGGTGAATGGCTGGACTTGGCGGCTCTTGACGCTCGTCTGGATCGAGACGAAGACGTTCAAGAGGTCGAGGACGTCCTCGAGCGAGTGGCTCTCGTCGAACGTGACGGCGACGTGGTGGTCGTCGACGCGGCGGAGGTTGATATCCTTGGCGACGGCCGCCTCGTGCAGGACGCTCGCGGCAGTTCCGCCGAGGCGGATCGTGAGGCTGTCGAAGTAGGTCGGGTTGAGAACCTTGTGCCCGAGCTTCTCGACGGCAGCAGCGACAACGCGGGCGAGGCCGTGCACCTTCTCGGCGATCTGGCGGAGACCCTCCGGACCGTGGTAGACGGCGTACATGGCCGAGATGTTGGCGAGCAGGGCCTGCGGACGTGTCCATTAAGCCACAGAAGTAGCTCATAGACTGCATGGGGACGCACCTGAGCCGTGCAGATGTTCGAGGTGGCCTTCTCGCGACGGATGTGCTGCTCGCGAGTCTGGAGGGCGAGGCGGTACGCGGGGCGACCCTCGGCGTCCTTCGACAAGCCAATCAACCTGCCGGGCATCCTGCGCTTGAGCTTGTCGGTGCAGGCGAAGAAGGCGGCGTGCGGTCCACCGTAGCCGAGAGGCACACCGAAGCGAGCGGCGTTGCCGAAGGCGATGTCGGCGCCCCATTCACCGGGCGGCTTGAGCATTGTGAGCGCGAGGAAGTCGGTCGCGCAGAGGACGAGACCGCCGAGGTCGTGCGTGCGCTTCGCCATCGCCTCCCAGTCCGTTACTTCTCCTCGCATCTCCGGGTACTGCGCAGCAACTAAAGTCAGCTTCCACCTTTGAGAAAGGCTGGAGAGTCGAATCACCTGCACGAGAACACCGAGGAGGTCCTTGTGCTGCTCCTTGTTGCCCGACTCCTCGGAAAGAAGCGAGCGAACGTCTCCAACGACGACCTTGATACCGAACGGCTCAGCGCGAGTCTTGACGACGCCGACAGTCTGCGGCAGGACGCTGCGGTCGACGAAGATGGTCTTGCGCTTCTCGCGAGCCTGACCGAACGCCATGATCATGCCTTCTGCGGCGGCCGTACCCTCGTCGAGGAGGGAGGCATTGGCGATGTCGAGGCCGGTGAGCGAGGTCGTGAGACTCTGGAAGTTGATAAGCGACTCGAGGCGGCCTATGTGGGCAATCATCAGCGCGAGAAGGACGGAAGTATGGCCACGCGAGCGAACCTTGCGAGATCTCAGCCTGGAGGAGCGGGAAACAGTCGTCAATGTCGCTGCTCTCGTCACAGCGCAGCTCGTTGACGAACCTGGTAGGGAGAGTACTGCGAGAACCAGCCGTGGTTCTCGAGGATGTTGCGGAGGATGACCTGGGGGAGAACCTGCATGCCCGAGCGAACTCAGTCCCCGCTCGTTTCGCTCGCCGCAAGGAAGCGCAACAAACCGCCTGGTGGTAGCCAAGTCCGATGAAGCTCCTCGTGACCTTGTTCTTGCGTCCCAGCTCCTTTGCGCGCCTCAGCAACTCGGTTTCGCTGAGTGCCCGGATTCCGTCCTTTCCTTCCGCCGACACTGCGTCCTCCGGCAACCTGATGTCCTCGGGCACGCAGTCTGCGACGAACGCATCGAGGCTCTCGTAGCCAAGGTAGTCGAGCATCTTGCGGATCGAGTGCTCCTGAGGTCCGACATGCCTGCGCGTGAAAGTGTCGAGGGGCGCAAAGACGGACGAGGCGGGCGTCGGCGTCGCGTCCTGCGAGAGACCGGTCGCGAATGACCTGAGTGCGAGCTGGGCGCGCGGTGTGCGAGCACGGGCAGCGAAGCGAGTTGGGGCCGCCTGCGAGATAGCGGAGATGGGACGGCGGGGTACCGTCGACGAGATGCGGCGCAACATGGCGGCGGCGCGGGACGGGGCTCGCGTGGGTGCGATAGATCTAGCGAGTGGTAAGAAGGAGGGAGAGGGGCGACAGAGCCCGCCCCAAGCGCGACGACCGTCCGGGCATCTAAAGGCAAGCAGGCGCCTAATGGCAGCGGGAGTCAGGGGCGCATGCGAGAGCGCAAAGGCAGCAGCAGAATGGCTCGGCAGAACGTGTAACAAGCATCGGCCGACCGGCGAGAGAACAGCGGAGGCAGGAGAGCGGCAGGAGGCGAAGGAGCGAAGGAGCGGACGATGTCAACGAAGAAGAGTTGGTCTCGCAACTCTCTTTCGCGACCAGTAAGGACTTCAAACGCAAGCACTGTTCCAGGCGAGGCGCAACAATAAACTATGTACGAGCGGGCGCTCAAGAGGAGACGGCGGGAAGCGCTTAAGGGTAACTTCGGAGGGGAATGGGCAGAGGAGAGCGGTGCCGATTAGGTGGTAATGGACAGTACAGAGTGGAGAGAGAGACGAGGGGTGTTTACGACGCAGACGAGGTCGTCGCGAGCGTCGCGGGAGCGGCCGACTCGCCCGACGTCTCGACATGAGTCTCGCCGTGGGTGTGGGCGTCCGAGGTCGAGGCTTCGGGTGCGCTGCTGCCGATGGGAGCGCCGAGGATGGGAGCCCCCTTGAGGTCGTTGGCGAGAGCAGCCTTCTCGGGGACGCCAGTGCCGGAGCCGACGTAGGCGGGGAGGGTCTCGCTCTTCATGTAGAGCGAAGCCGACTCCTCGACGGGGTTGGTCGTCGATGTGGCCGTGGCGGGGTGAGGGGTCGAAGGCGCAGTGCGAGCGATGGCCATTTCGTCGTCCGAAGCGTACTCCTCCTCCGACGATCCGCCGCCCTCCTCACTGTCCTCGTCCTCGGCGTGGTGGACGCTCGTGCCGGTAGTGGTGCTGCGAGCCTGCTCAGGCTCGACAGTCTCGGTGGTCGTTCCGGGAACGCTGGCGACCGAGTGAGCGGTGTGGGTGGTGGCCGAGTCGGGCTGGGCGTAGCCGACCTGCGAGACGGCGAGGCCGACCGGGTCGCGCTGGACCTTCTGCGTCGGCTCGCGGTCCGTCTTGGTGTCGCGCGAGAGCTGGTCAAGGACCTCCCACCACGCCATCATCTCGGCATGGGTGCGGGCGCGGAAGGTGTACGCAATCTCCTTGCCGCCGAAGCGAAGCGTGTTCTTGAGCTTCGTCTCCGCGCTAGACCGGTGGGCGCGGTTCCCTGACACGAAGAACTTGTGCGAGCGGGAGGATTCTTTCGCGGGAGCGCCAAGCGTGCACTCGGGGAGGAAGAGCGAGAAGGTGGGGGCGGTGGTGTCTTGCGGGTTGCTGTGGGTAACGAAAGAAGTCAGCAGGCGACTAGAAAGGGCGAAGTGAAAGCGAAATCCGCCGCGAGGAAGGAAGACTCACGACGACTTGCGCTCGTGGAGGTATCCCGACGGCGTCAGGACGTAGTACGCCTCGGTGTACTTCTTCGAGAAGCGCTTCTTGCGCTCGAGGTAGCCCTCCTTGAGCGGCGAAGTCGAGGCGTGGTTCTGGCCGGGGAACTGGATCGCCTCGATCGAGCGGAGCGGAGTCTCGGGGTCGATGAGGGAGTTCTCCGTGCGCGACGTAAAGTACTTCCACTCAAAGTCGGGCTCGATGCGCTGGAGAGCGGTGGCGATCGTCTTCTGGAGCTCGTCGATCTCCTGGACGTGGGTCTGGCGGGCCTCCTCGTAGAGCCTGCATGCGGACTGGATTTGCTTCGAGATGCCCTCTTCGAACGCGGGCTGCTGCTGCTGGAAGCGGATGAGGGCAGCCTGGAGGTCGTCTGGGAGAAGGCGAGGGATGTCAGCGACCTGTGCAAGGAAAAGCGGGTCGGGGAACAACTTCTCGACGCACTCTCCTTGTGAACCTGCTTCTTCAGCTGGTTCTGGACGATGTGGTGCGAGAGGTAGGGGTCCTTCTGCGGGAGCATCTGCGTCGCGCTGTTCTCGAAGGTGTCGATGCCGTGCTGAAGCCCGGTGAGGTGGTGCTTCGACGTCTCGCGCTGCAAGGCTCGTTGCGTCAGCTCGTAAGTCATATAGTGAGGCTGAACTAGGCGAGACGCACCTCGCGCTCAACCTCATCGGCCAACGCCGAAGCCTCCTTCTCCACCACCGTGATCTGCGACTTGATGTTGCTGCGAACATTCTCCAGCTCCTTCACGACCGTACGCTCGATAGTCGAAGCAAAGTTGGTGTGTCGCTCAGCGAGAAGCTTGGTGTTGTCGCGGACATCGTAGAGAACCGCCTGCCATCCCTCGGGCGAGAAAACGTGGCCCTCGTGGAAGGGGACCTGGATGGTTTCCTGCAAGGCGGACGTCGACCTTGCAGAGGCATGCTCGATCTCGGCGAGACCCTGGAGACCGCGAGTGATGTTAGCGACGAAGTCCCGAACCCTGCGACGAAGATCGCGCTGCAATGAAGCTCACCTGCTTGTTTAAACGGGCATGGCGAACGGCGATAGAAGCAGCAGATTGTCAGCTATACTTGAGCCGGAACAAGCGGGTCGAGAAAACCGCTTAGAGGAGCCGAAACGCACCTTGTAGTAGTGCAGGAGGCTCTTCGCAATGTGTTTCCACTGCTGCAAGCGGTCCACCATTTCATGATCCGGCCTATACAATGACCACACTATCAGCTTCGACTTGCGAGCGCTCAGACCGTCTCAGGAGGCCAGCATGCAGCGGAGACGAGGAGCGAGGTGCGATGACATACCGGATCTGGCCCGTCTCGCCGACGGGCTGGTGGCCTCGGGTAGGCTTGGCGACGCGCACACTCTTGTGCGAAAGAAGGGAGGACATGGCGAGTTAGAGTCGCAAGCTTGTGCGATGTGTGAGGAGGGAAGGGAGGATGGTCGAGCGAGGTGCAGGTGACGGCTCGGGGCGTGGCGCCCGAAACGCATGAAAATGACGTCGTCGGCGCGATCGACCCGCCTGCGCAATCGCGGAGAGGCGGTGCCGTCGAGGGCTTCTGCGGCCAGGGTTGAGCGAGCACGCGCAGCAGACTTGCTGATCGTTCAAACTGGTCGAAGAGCGCAAGAGCGAGCGCCGGGCGAGATTCGTGGCAACCTTGCTGGTGTTGCGAAGTGGCCTGGAGCCGGAGAGGCGGACGGCGGGTGGGAGGCTGGCTGAAGCGGAGGACGGCGTCGCAGGCAGGTGCAGTGTCGCCGAAGCCTGCAACGTGACGGGTTCAGTAAGCAGGCCTGGGAGCCGTCGAGCTCAAGGGCGGATGGCGATGCCAGCGCGGAAAAATAGCTTGCGAAGGTCGATGTTGACGATGTCGCCGCACGCGCAAGGCAGCAGACTTCTCGAGCTACTGGCGTAGAGCTGTGATCTGCGTTGCGAAGGATGCAGCGGCTGCCGTGTCTTTTGGAGCGACAGGCCGGAAAAGCGAGTGAGAGTGAGCGACGCACTCTCGCCGTCCAAAGCTTCAGCACTGTCGAAGATTCGAAAGCGCTGGTGCCCTTCGACGGTGAACATGGGTGCGTGGCGCCTAGGAAGCCAGTTGGGGGAGGGGTTTGAGACAGAAAGGGAGCGAGATGTCGAAACGAAGGCAGGGAGGAGTGGGACAGAGTCCTTGTCCTGCAGCGAGTGCCGGTCTCAGCGACCGGGATCTGCGAGTGGGAACGTCGGGTTAACGAGGTTCGACCGGAACGCAGTCTCAGAATGTGGCGACGACGGCGCGCATCTTGTCAAATAAGCAGAATGAGGGCGCGCTCCAATCCGCAGACTTGCTCACTCTCTGCAGGCGTGAGCTGCATCGAAGGTCCGCTGATCAAGTGAGTGCAATTGCTCGCGAGATTGTCGTTGGACGTTGCGTCCCGGTGAACCCGCTGTCAAGAGGAGAAACGAAAGCGACGCACCAAGTTCGCCTCCGCAATCCTCCTGATTCGCAATGAGCATGAGCATGGGCTCCGTCGCACTTCTCCAAGTATATGTGAGAGCATCGAAGAACGAGCGGGTAGAAGCAAGGAGTTTGCTAAAGACGAGTAGTTCGGCGTCGAGCAGGCGAGTTGGGTCGTGATAGGGCGTTAGCGATGCCTGGCGGGCTGGCCTGACGGTGTCACTTTTCCCGGCTGTATGCCCCCGACCAACTGGGTATGTGCTGGTCTTGGGCGCAGGAGAGGCCCTCGCGCTCAGCAGGAGTTGCGAGGTCTGCGCAGGCACGGCGTGTCGAGGGAATGGGGGATCGCGACAGACAGCAAGGCGGCAGGTATAGGATCGTCTTTGCAGCTGAACAGGGCCCCACGAGATGAGCGAGCGTGCAGAGTGAGCGGTCGGAAGCGAAGAGGGGGTCTTCCACCGAAAGAAGCGACCGCTCGCTACAGCACCCGCTTGACTGGCTCGAACGTTTACCTGTACCCTGTATAGCTTCTCAGCGACCACTCCACGCAGCGGCAGGACTCTAGGCGCGGCGGCGGACGTGCCATGGTCCGAGGAGGACGACTCGCGCTGTACGGCGCCGTGTCGACGGTGCTGGCGGTGTGGACGGTGCTGAATGCGTTTAGGCAAAGGAGCAACTTCTACGCGGCGGCCGTCTACCTCTCCAAGAGCAACGCGTGCATGATGGTGCGTCCTCTCCCGCTCAGCCCCCACGACCCGACCCGACGTGTCCTGACGTTACACGCTCGGCAGATCCTGTGGAACCAGGGCATCTTCCAGACAGTCATGCTCGGCAAGCTGCTGCAGGCGGTCTTCCTCGGCGAGCTGCGGTTGATCGAGGTCGAGGTGCGCATCGACTCGAAGGCTTGTGAAAGGGTTGTGCCGGAGCTGACCTGGACCTGTCGATGCAGCGGCTACAAGAACGAGGCTGGTTTGCCGTCACCGAGACCCTCCTCGCCCTCACCATCTTCAAGGACGACTTCGAGAGCACCTTTGTCGTCCTCTTCGTCGGCCTGCTATTCCTCAAGGTGTTCCACTGGCTCGCCAGCGACCGCATAGAGATGGTGAGTGCGCCATGCAACCTGCCTGGCGATTTTGACTGACGACTTGCGTCGCGCAGATGGAACAGGCCGCCCAAGTCTCGCGACTTGCTCACGCCCGCATGATCGGCCTGCTCTCGCTGCTTTGGCTCGCCGACATCGCCTGTCTCTTCTACGCCGTCGAGTCGATCATGCTCGACGGGCCAACCGTCATGATCATGTTTGCGTCCGAGGTGAGCACGACGAAGAGGCACTCACTCTGCTCAGACGCTCACGCGCTTTCCGCAGTACATGATCCTCTTGGCGACTGTATGGACCACGACGATGAAGTACGCCCTGCACTGCATCGACACGCGTCGCGACGTTCCTTGGGAGGCGAAGAGCATCTACATCTTCTATGTCGAACTCGCCGCAGGTCCGTCCTGCCGCTCAGTCCCTCTCAGCTTTCCAGCTGACCCGTACCTCTTCACAGACTTCTTCAAGCTCTGCACCTACCTCACCTTTTTCGGCCTCATCCTGACCTTCTACGGCCTCCCCCTCAACATCCTCCGCGACGTCTACATCACGCTTCGCTCTTTCCTCCTCAAGCTGCGCGACCTCCGACGGTACCGCCAAGCGACGCGGAACATGGACGAGCTGTACCCTAACGCGACGAGGGAGGAGATGGACGCGATGACGGACAAGACGTGCATCATCTGCCGCGAGGACATGGAGTTCCGGCCTGCCGAAGGCGAAGTCGCAGGTGCAGAGGGCGCGCGGGATGGTCCGCAGGCAGGAACGGATGCTGGAGCGCAACCGCCGCAGGCAGTGCAGCGAGTCGGTCTCAACGACACGCCGAAGAAGCTGCCGTGCGGGCACGTCTTCCACTTCCACTGCTTGCGGAGCTGGCTTGAGCGCCAGCAGAGCTGTCCAACCTGGTGAGTGGCGTGGTGGGTCTTGTGTTGGCCTTCGCTAACGTAGCCTTGTCGTGCAGTCGCCGCCCCGTTTTGCCGCAAGAGCAGCCACGCCAACAGCCGCAGCAACAACCACCATTCCCTGGTGCGCAGCCTGCCGGCCTGGCTCCCGCAGGCGCCCCCAATGCACGGCCAGATGCGCCTGGCGCCCCTCCTCCCGCTCAAGACGCTATTCGCCAAGCTCAGATCAACCTCGCTCGCAACCTCGGCCGCGAAGCGTTCGGCGTCCTCCTTCCCGGCGTCCCCTTCCCGCCCGAAGCTGAGGCTCACCTTCCACCTGCGCCGACAGTTCCGCCAGCAGCACAGGCGACAGCGGCACAGGCTGCTCCTCCTCCTGCGGGACCCACTTCTCCGCCGCTCGCGAGCGACAGTGCGACTACAATCGCCGGTCCCTCTTCAACCTCCGCCACACCGCCTGTCGACGCCACCACCGCCGGCGACAACCCTCTTGCCCGCTTCAATCTCCCTTCTCTCCCTCTCCCTGAAACGGGTGAAGGCGGTCTCTACCACACTCCTCCTACGATGGCATACCCCTCGCCCGGCTCCTCTTCCTTCGCCGACCTCGCCTACGGCTCTTATCCCCAGTTCGTCGGCGCACCCCTCCTTCCGCCTCCTCCAGCCGGTTCGGCACAAGCTCGAGCGGTTCCTCCAAATCTACTCGACCGCATCGACCTGATACGGAGACGGTGGCAGGCGCTTGGTGCTGCTGGTGGAGAAGCGGTCGGCGGGGCGCAGGCGAATGGCGATGCGAACGGGGCGGGTGCGGACGAGAAGGACAAGCCGAAGGTCGACAAGGGGAAAGGAAAGGCGGTCGCGACGGAGCTTGCTGCCGAGTCGGAACCAGAGTCAGCAAAGACGGACGAGGAGCTGACGCCTCGCGAGGCGGCACTTCGAGCGGCCGAGCGAAGAGCGGGCAAGCAGCCCGCCTCGGCCCCGCCGCGCCCTCTCCCGACGTCCGATCCTTCCGACAAGACCGTCATCCGAGTAGACGCCGCGTCTCAGTCAGAGCCGTCCAGCTCAGCTGCCCGCCCGTCTGCCTCGCCTAGACCAGTCACCCTACCTCGCCTGATCCCGCTCTTCGACCCATCGAACCCGCCTGCGCCCTCCCTCTCGTCAGCCACCCTTCCATCTCTATCCGACGTCTTGCCATCATCGTCCGCCTCGAAGACCAAGAGCGAGCAGCTCAGCGAGGCAGACGAGCTCGTCCGTCGAGGTCTTGAGGAACGCTTGCGGCTTCTCGTCGGCTTCCAGGACCGCATCGAGCATCTCGTTGGCGATATGCGTACCGCGCTGATGGGTATGGACCTGACGACTGGCGCTACGAGGAGTGGTAGAGGCACAGGTGGAGGACTTGGAGGAGTTTCGACACGTGAAGGTACCCGCGACGATGGCGCCTAGTCTCGCACTGCATTCGCATTGTTTCCGCATCCTTCGCCCCGCCAGGATGCCTCGTCGCAACTAGTTCAGCTTCGTCCGCCTCCTCTCGTCGGACAGTCCGCGGACCCTCCAACTTCATCAGTTTGCCCGGCTCTCTCTCTTGTTCTCCTTCGTTGTCGCTCGCTGCTGCGCGTGCTTTGCTAGAACCTGTGCTTCGGGACGTTCACCTCGCCCGGCGCTTGACCTTCGCAACTCTCGCCGACGACTTCGCCCACCGCTTCGCACTCACGCCTCCTCCATCTGCTGCCTAAGCCTTGCGAATCTTCCACGGCCCGTCGAACAAGCATCATTGCTCGACACAATGGCCCGGTGCGTCGCCCTCCGCTTTTCTCCCCTCCCCCCTCCCATGTCACTAACCATCCCCTCCTCATCTCCGGATGAAGTCACTCGAAAGGCGACAAGATCTCGAGTCACCGCAAAGACTCGAATCTGCGCCATACGTTCTACGTCGCAGCGCCGTTTGCGGCTGCGGCGTCGTCCTTTTTGCTCGCGTTCCTGAGTAAGGCCGCTTCCTCTCGCGTCCTCTGACCAGTCGTAGATATGCTGATGCTTTGTGAATCGCAGCGGCGTGGCTTCAAGCGCAGAGTAAAGATCGTACGTTCCCGCTCCTCGACCGGCCGTGGTTAACAACGAGCTCCCGTCAAACGCCCTCTACTTACTTTCGACTCTCGCTCTCGCAGTGCTTCCCGACTACGTGATGATGGTCGGCGTCACGAGCGCGGTCCTTGCAGTCGGTGCAGGCATCGCCAGTATCTGGGCCGGCTACATGTCCGTCTCCTTTCCCATCCTCTCTTTCCCTCTTTCCTCCCACTAAACCGACTCTCACAGGCTGCACAGAGGCGCTAACTACCACGACCGGCACTACGACGACGACACCGATCAAATCAAGCACAAACACCCGTTCAAGGCGTGGCACCGAATGCTCGTGCTTGGCTTGCATGCGGCGACGTTCCTCAGCGAGTGCTGCTATCTCTATATGCTTATCTCGACAACCTTGGTTGGGGATAAGAAGGAGTATTGGTGCGTGTCGTTCGGAGGCTCGCAGAAGAAGTGTCGCTGACTTTCGAGACGATACGAAGCGTCACCCTCTCGCAGGCGACCTCCCTCGCAGACTGCGACCACCCGATCTACCCCGTCCTGATCCTCGTCCTCGTGCGTCCCTCCCTTCCCCACCCCAACCCTACTTCGCTGAGCGTCTCTCGCACAGCTCGTCTGCATCACAGCCGCGATGGCCGTCCTACTCTTCATCGCCACGCGCAGCGCCAAGAACGATTTCCGCGCCAACGCGGACGAACACGCGCGGTTGCAGGGAGTCGATCTTGACGACGACGCTGAGAGGGGTCGGAGGAAGAGTAGGAGCAGGAGCAAGAGTCGTGGGAGGAGCGCGAGTCGCTCGGCGAGCAGGGCGAGGCAGAGGGACGATACTGACGATGATCCAACGGAAGATGAGTCTGGCCAGGACGATAATTACGGCGATTCGTATGGCGATAGTGGGAGGAAGGGGAGGAGCGGCGCGGCGTATTGGTGATAAGCTAGCGGATAATCCTCTCAGATGGCTCGGGTAGCTGCAAGGACAATTCGTTGAAGAGACATAGTTACGAATAGTGTCACAGGCTCGAGAGGGGAGGAGAAGGAAACAACGAGGACACGCAACAAACTACACTTTAGGCGGCACGGCTCGTCGTCGGTCCGCCCGCTCACTTGCCCGAAGGCGGCGGACCAGGCGGCGGGGCATAGTAGGGCGTCGTGCCTGTTGCGGCGGCAGGAGGGGTGGCCGGAGGGGCGTACTGCGAGTTGTGCGTCGAGACGGGCGGGGGACCGGGAGGAGGCGAGTAGTGCGAATTGGTGTCGGGGCGGTAGTTCGAGTCTGTGCGCACATGACATAGACCGTCAGCGAGGAACAGAGCGAGAAAGAGGAACTTGGACGCACATTGCGGCGGCGGTTGGGTGTAGTCTCCTCCCGCTCCCGCTCCTCCTCCCGCCGCAGCCGGACTCGGAGCTCCATACGCCTGACTCTGCCCATACGGCTGCTGAGCTCCCCACTGCTGTCCGTAATACCCGTTCTGGCCCTGCTGGCCCTGCGACTGCTGATAGTTCGACTGTTGGAGCGGGAACGCGGCTTTGAAAGCCCGTGCGCGCCGGCGGCGCATGAGGAAGCCGACGAGCAGGATGATGAGGGCTACGGCGACGGCAACTGCGGGCGAACGGAGAAGTCGTCAGCTCGAGATGCAGGGCGGGTACTTGATGAGGTGAGGGGACGCACTGCCTATTCCCACGCCTACGCGGACGCCGTACGATGATCCTCCGTTGTCTCCATAGTCTGCGTGCGTGCAAAACGGTCGCAAAGTCAGCGATGCGAGGGGTGCCCAGAGATGGCCGCCAAGGGGCAACAAGACGGAGTGGGGTGTGAGGGGGTGAACGGACAGTACTGCGCGTGTGCTGGTGCAGCAGCGAGTGCGAGTGTTGCCAGCAGCAGCAGCATGGTTCACTCGGTTGTAATCTGGTAAGTTGGCGAAGTCCTGCAAGTCGAGAGTGGCGGAGGACAACGTCGCCCAGGGCGGTGCAACTCCGCTTTGCTCGGCTGGCGAATCGACATCGACTGATTACTCTCCCTTGTAATGCAATCAACTCTTGGACAATCATTGCAAGCGCGACTTCAAGCACAACAAAAGCGGCGCCGCCCGTTCACCTCGTCTTCTTTTCGGGTCCGCACCCGCTCAAAGCTGGGTGAAGCGGAGGTACGGGTACACCTGTAGCGACGGGAACGAGGCGACGAGCGGCGAAGAGGCGTCGAGAGAGTCAGCGAGGCGAACGGAGGAGACGAGTAGGAAAGAAAGACTTGTTGACGCACCTCCTGCACCTCGTTGGGGAAGATCTTGCGCGCGTCCTCGGTCTTGACCGACGGGTGGACGATGACCTGCGCGAGCGAGCAAGCGAAAGCGTCAACGGGCGCGATGCGGAGGACGGGAAGAGGTCGAGATGGGGCACACCTTCTCTCCAGGCTGCCAGTTGGCCGGGGTGGTGATCTGCACAAGCCCACTCAGCACGTCAACGGCTACATCTCGCTGGGACAGGGAAAGCTGGGACGCACCTTGTTCTTGTCGCCGAGCTGGAGCGAGTCGATGCAGCGGAGGATCTCGTTGAACTGGCGGCCGGTCGAGGCCTGCGTTGAGTCGTTCTCGGTCAGTAATCTGCGACTACCTGTAATGCGGTTATCACGCAAAGCCAGGAGGGGATCAACGCACGGGGTACTGGAGCGAGAGGCCTGTTTCAAGCGGAGGTAAGAAGGTCAGTCTTGCGCACTGCCGTCACCAGCGAGGCCCTCGCTTTTCTTCACGCGCAGGCCTAGCTATGCAACTGAGGAAACGCGAAGACGCACGGACGGTCTTCTTCGGGTCGATGATGAAGACGGTGCGGACGGTGAAGGGGACACCCTTCTCGTCGAGGTTGGTCAAGTCCTGCGAGCGACAACGTTTGCGAGTCAGATTCGCTCGCAGCAGCGGACCTCTCACCATGACCCAGGCGACAAGGCGAGAGTGACATGCGGCCGTAAGCGAGCGAACTGACCTGCTCATCAAGCATGTCGTAAAGCTTTGCAACCTCGCGCGACGGGTCGGCGATGATAGGGAACTGGACGTCGACCGACCCAAACTTGTTGATGTCCTCGATCCACTTGCTGTGGCTGCCGAGCTCGTTGCACGACAAGCCGATCATTTGGACGCCGCGCTTCTGGAACTCGGGCGCAAGGCGGGCGGCCTCTGCGTGAGCGAGGGAGAGGTCAGTCCCGCATTCGAGCGGTGTGATGTTGGGCGGGACGAACCGGCAAGCTCGGTGGTGCAGACTGAGGGACGGAGGGAGGGTCAGCAATTCGCCTCGACAGGTCGCTCGAGAGAGGGAACGCACCAGGCGTGAAGTCGCTATCGTAGCGCAATGGCAGAACAGCATGTCAGTCAAGGAACCCGCTTAGGACGCTGGCCGGAAGCGAAACAACGCACGCAGGCTGCGAGCAAGGCCAACCCGACCGTCAGCATCCTCTTCCAACACCTCACGACTCGCCAATCGCAGTCAGAGGGAATCTCGCACGCACGTGGGAGAACAAGATGGTCCACTTTCCGTCGATGAACTCGTGGAAGCGGATCTTTCCCTGAGTCGTCTGCGCCTCAAAGTCGGGCGCGATGTAGCCGAGGCGGGTTCCGGTCTTCTGGGCGGCCATTGTGTGCGGTGTGGGAGTGCGCTGTGCACGCGAAGCAGGGAAAGGAGGTCAGCGGGGGGAGTGAGGCGGACACTCGATAGGCGGATGGAGGTGGGGGGCGAGCGAGCGATGCGGAGCTGCCTGTGTATGCGTGGCAGATGCGAAGGACGCTGCCGTACTCACAGAGTCTGTGTGTGATGAGAGCGCGTGCGATGAACTCGTGCGAGAGCGAGGTCGAACCCAGGCGAGGACGAGGCGATGGTGTGCTTGCCGGGTGATGTGGCGAACCAATGCACCGGGAGAAAAGGGGGCTCCACTCGATTTCGCCCGCAATCGAAACAAAGCAAGAAAGAGTGGAGGCCGCGGTAATGAAACGGCGGCCAAGGTCAACCTGCTTGAAGCACTGCACAGTCTACAGTCCGTGCTCTACGTAGACATCCTCAGAGTGACGCGCTCAAGCGTACCCCCGCTCCTTGCGCCACGCCTGCCACTCCTCATACGACACCTTGCACTTCTTGCTCTGGTACCGACTGACCCTCGCCGCCCTGCGCATCTCCTCCGTCACAGTCCCCTTAAACCCAGCCTTGCGCATCGCCGCATCCACCGCATCAACCTTGCTCCATCCCTGCGCAGGCGCAACGTCGGGCAGGAACGTCGCGTGCAGGACGACCTTGAGGTTTCGAGGGTTTTGCGAGCGCGGAACGTGGACTTCGAGTTTGGGCAGATGCGAGAGAGAGCGGTAGGACTGTTGTGTGGGCGAGGTGCCGGGTGGGAGATGCGTCGAGTACCCGTTCGTAGGAGGGAGGTTGAGCGCGGGGTTGACAAACTCGACGTAGATGCCGTGCGTGCCGAGTTCCCAGTCGAGGTAGTCGTCGCACGTCTCGAAGTCTGTCAGGAGCGAGACGCTGCAGAGAAAGCGGGTCAGTCTGGCGAGAGAAACGAGGCAGAGGAAGACTCGACAGACCCGCATTCTAGCCGTGGCAGCTCCTTCGCCGAAACAGGGTCGAATCGGTGATCCTGGAAGGCGCTGCTCAACTGGACAGAGTCAACGACCCACTCAAACCGAGGAGCGAGAACTCCCACGCACCTAATCTTCGCATAATCCGCCAACCCCTCTCCCAGCGGCAACGCCTCAAAATTCCCGATGCACCCTCGCAGCCTCGGTTCTCCTCCGTTCCGCGAATGAATGTTCCACGTCACGAACAGCGGGCTATACCGTGTGTGAAAGTCAGCTTCGGGGAGATCCAGAGGTGGGGCTTCGAGCGCGAGAAGAGCGAGAGAGCGGGACGTACAACTCTTCCGAGTCGTCGAACGGCGCTGGAGGAACCTTGCTTCGACCCAGCTCGGCGTTGATCGCTTCGAAGCAGTAGAGAGCGTGTTCGGGGAGGGCCATGATGTCGCGAGGTGATGAGGCAAGGAAGGGGTGGGAGGGTGGCGAGCCGTTGGGCGGGAGGGCGACTGGCACTCTATGATACGAGCGAGGGAGCGTGAGAGAGTCTAGGCGGCGAAAGAGCCGAGAATCGAAGTGCAGAGTGAGGCGAAAGAAGCGAAGAGGCGCGGGAGCGGGAGGCACAGAGGTCAGTCTCGCTTGAAGCGGAGGCAAAGCGTTTCTGAGTGATATAGAATGTTGCAAGATGCAGTCTATCGAGCGGACGACCCAAAAAAAAAACCGACGCCGCGACGCTGACCCTCTACTTCTCCTCCTTCTCCTGCTGCGCCCAATGCGCCTTCCCCCAAGTCCCCGCCACCAGCATCGGGAACACAAGCGTCGCGTCCGCATAGACCTTGACGCTCTCGCCATCGATGCGGATCTTGCCCCACGAGACGGCCTCGTCTGGTCGGGCGCCGGAATCGGATCCGTCGAATTCTTGGCCTGTGTTGATGTAGACGGAGAAGTCGGCGCCGTTACGCTGCAAGCAGGAGCAGCTTGTCAGCGCAAACGATCGAACATGCGACAGTGTCGGCGGGACTCACGAAGAGCATCGAGTTGGCGATCTGGTGCTTGCAGACACCGCCGCCGAGAATCACCATGCCAGCCTTCTTGCTCTTGATGGACAGGTCGTTTAGTCGTCGGATATCGGAGACGATGTCGATGGAGAGGGGCGTCTCGGTCTTGTCTGTGCGGAAGAGAAGGACCGAATAATCAGCGAGCCGCTCGACTGAAGATAAGGCAGTGTGCGCAATGAGCCCCGTGACGCACATGTGTGGAAGTAGATCATGTCGCCGAGCGAACCGTCGGTGAGAGCGGGGCAGAAGACCGGTATTTGGTTCTGCGAAAGTGGTAGTTCAGCTCGAGACTCGTCAACACTTGCGCAAGAGCAGCCCAACGCACCTTGTGCGCCCAGTACAGGATCGACGACTCGTCGTTGATCTCCTTGCCTAGCCGGTCGATGACCTTGCTCGGGCTCCATCGCACCTTGTCGCCCGTCTCCTGCTCCTCGACCATCTTATCCAAGATCGGCACGACCCAGTCCTCAAACTTGCAGTAGTTGTCGTTCGGGACGAGGAGGTTCCCAATCCTGTTCAAGCCCCTTCTTCGCAGTCCCGCGCCGTCCTGGTTGAAGTCTCCTCGAGGCGCAAGGAACGTCGGCCCGAGGCACTTGATGAGGTCCTCCTCGATCCCGCCGGCGGTCGTGACGAGGCAAGAAACGTAGTTGTGCTGGACGAGGAAGCGGATGATTTCTCGCAAGCCGGACGAGACGAGATTCGAGGTGTAGCCGAGGAAGATGGAGCAGCGGGTGTTGGCGCGGACTTCAGGGTCGAGCTCCTCCGTCTGCAGGTCGGGGTTGACTGGCTCGTCGGACAGTCGCCAGTTTCGCTATCAAGCGGGAAGAACCGAGAGTCAGCCTTGGATTGACAGTTCGAAGCGAGGGAAACAGCCACTCACCATCTTGTCGACAAGCTCCATCGCCCGCGCCAGCCCATTCGCCTGAAACCCTATCCGCTCATAGCTCTGCAACAGACTCTCGAGCGTTTGCGGCTCGTTGAAGTCGGGCCCCTTGATCCGAGTGCCCTCGTACTGCTCCGACTGGACGAACACGGCCGCCTTGGCTGCGACGGGTCCGGACATCCTCCTGTTCTGCCTTTTCGCGTTTGTACAGTCGTCGCTGGCGTCCCTCGTGCGGTTTGAGAGTCGAGCTCGCGAGAGGCGGTGAAAGAGCGGGAGAAAAGTGACGGGACGTCGACGACGAACTCCGGTGCGAGTTGCGCGTGTGTCTAGCGGTCTAGCGAGGTGCAAGAGCGGAAGTTCGACTCGATCTAGCCGTACAAGCGGGTGTGAGCGTTGTAGACGGGTGCCAACCTTCGCAGCGTGGTGGTCTCCCGCCGACGCACTCGCCATCCAGCACAATGTGAGCAGACGAACTCGCTGATGCACTCGAAGCACACAGCAGAAGCACGCCAGCCATGTCGCGCAACTCCCACATCGCCTCGTCCGGTTCCCGTCTCGCTCACTCCCCTCGTCCACATCTCGCGTCGTCCGCTTGCTGCACACGGTCCTGCTTGATTGGAACGGCGCGGAACTGACTGACATGGATTCGTGCACGCAGGGCGGCCACGTACGACCCGACGGTCGGCCTCAAGGTGACCCACCGCGCTGCCATCGCCAACGCTCCCTTCCCCGTCGAGGGCAACGGCTCGTTCTCCAACGTCCAGCTCGCCGCCGCCGTCCTCATCGTTCCCTACTTTCTCTCCCGCTTCGTCCCCTACTTCTCATTCCGCACGACCTATGTCTTCCTCCTCCTCGTCACGGGCATCCCGACAACCATCGCCTACTGGCTCCTCATGAGCCGCGCCAACGTCCGCGTCCGCGACTCGGGCATCTTCCCCGGCAAGGACATCGAGCACTACATCACCAGCAAGGACGCCGAGCTTCGCGAAAAGTACAACGGTCAGAAGAAGATCCCGATGCAGGTCTTCCACGACGCCTACTTCGAGGGCAAGATCGACATCAAGGGTGCGTGAGAGGTCTTCTCTGCTGAGTGGGGAGTCAGGCTGACGAACTCGCTGCACAGGCGACATGCTCGAGCTCCTCGAATGGCGCCACGACTGGATGTCCTTCCCCATGACCCTCGAGCTCATGAAATACGTCCTTACCAAGCTCATTCCCGACGTCATCTTCCACTCGGCTGGCCAGGACGAGGAGCAGGTCACGGACCACTACGACCGCGGAGACGACTTCCACGAGTGGTGCGTTCGGTCGTTCCCTCTCCCAGCCAAGCTTGCGCTGAACAGCGCTCTTCCGCAGGTTCCTCGGCCCCCGCATGATCTACACCTCCGGTATCATCCACGACGTCGACCGCAAGGAGACGCTCGAGGAGCTCCAGGACAACAAGCTCGCCGTTGTCTGCCAGAAGCTCCAGCTCAAGCCGACCGACACCCTCCTCGACATTGGCTGCGGCTGGGGCACGCTCGTCACCTACGCCGCGAAGAACTACGGTTGCGACGCGACCGGCGTTACCCTTAGCAAGAACCAGGCCGAATTCGGAACCAAGAGGATCGCAGCCAACGGCGTCGACGCTTCAAGGGCCAGGATCCTCAGGACCGATTTCCGCAACCTCGACAAGTCGAAGAAGTTCACCAAGATTGTCTCGCTCGAGATGGCTGAGGTGCGTTGCAGCGCTTGCCTGCGTCCGATGAAGAGTTGAACCTGACATCGCCTCTTCTCTTATAGCACGTCGGTATCCGCCGCTACAACACCTTCCTCCGCGACGTCTACAACCTCCTCGACGATGACGGCATCCTCGTCTTCCAGGTTGCCGGCATTCGTCCTTCGTGGCAGTACGAGGACCTCATCTGGTTCGTTTGCCTTCCGCCTTCACGATTCTCGTTTGCTAATCTCCTCTGCATGCAGGGGCTTGTTCATGAACAAGTACGTCTTCCCCGGCGCCGACGCTTCGTGCGCTCTCAACTGGGTCATCGGCCGCCTCGAGAACGCCGGCTTCGAGGTCACCAACGTCGACGTTCTTGGCGTTCACTGTGCGTCGCGTATCCTTCCTTCAGCTTCCGCTCGTGAGCGAGAACGGCGCTGACATGCGCGATACGCGACTTGCGACTCGCGCAGACTCGGCGACGCTTCACAGGTGGTACGAGAACTGGATCAAGAACAAGGAGAACGTCCTCGCCAAATACGGCGAGCGCTGGTACCGCGTAAGCCGCTTCTTCCACGCTCTCTCTGTCGACTCCAGCGCTAATGGCCCATCATCGCCACCGCAGGTCTGGCTCTACTTCCTCGCCTCATCGGTCATCACGTCTCGCCAGGGCGGCGCCTCGGTCTTCCAGATCACGCTCCACAAGAACCTGAACGGCTACCACCGCGTCGACGACATTCCCAGCCACACGAACATCTTCCCCAAGCTCGAGAAGGAGCCGCAGTAAGTCTCGCTCTCCAACTGTCTCCCTGCCAACCTGGCTTCGTCAATCTCGGAGCTGTTCTCCTGTACGTGCACCGAGACGTGCGCTGACCCGTTCTTTGCGCGCAGGCTCGTTGTCTAAGCTCCCCATCCCTCCGCCCTCTCCGTCGCAAAACTCAACTAGAATCCGCATGCATCGCCTCCCCGATACTCGCATGGACGCTCTCCTCCTTTCTTCGGCCTCTCTGGAACGGTCACCACAGCTGTTGGATGTGGACGTGGGACAGGACTTCGGTGAAGTGCAAAAAGGAACAGTGATACCTCTCCTCCGGCTGCCTTCTCCTTGCATTCCACTGCTTCTTGAGAGTCCTACGACAGCGATGCACGCTCATTTGCGACCCTTGATGGACTGTGACAAGTGCTTGTTCGGCGACGGACGGGAAGTCGAGGGTCGTCCTTCCACCTCGCGCTCTCCACCGCTCAGTCTGTGCCGGCAATGGCTGCCATGCGTCGAGTAGCTCGCCAGACGCTTCTCTGGACCGAGCACGCGCCCGTCGCTGCGCCGTGCCCAGCGTGCACTCGCCCATTCTCCCACGCCGTCCCGCTTCCACCGACGACGCAACAGGGCCCGCAGGCGAGCACGAGCGGTTGGAACACGTTGCAGCAGGCGTCAAGGGCATTTCTTCAGACTGGCGAGCCGTCTCAGCCCCTCCCCGCGACGCATCGGCAGTCAGCACCCAGCTCGACATCGACTCCGCTGCCGCCGACCGTACAGGCGTTCATCAGCGAGGTCCAGTCGAGGCCACCGAACGGGGACAAGGCATGGGCGCTTTTCGAAGAGCTCGACTTGCAGGGCCAGACGTACCTCGTTCCCCTCACAACCCTTCACCGCCTTCTCGCCGTCGTCCGACCAAGGTCGACGCCTTTCAAAGAGAGAACGCTCAAGAAGGCGCAGCGAAGCGCTCAGGCCTTTGACGCCAAGGCCGACCTGATTCGGCTGGCGATACGGCAGGCGGGAGGGACGTACACCCCGGGTGACCTCAAGGCGCTGCTCGCCGCTTACCAGTCCATCGGGTACGGCCCCGGCGCAGTCAAGGTGTGGGACGAAGCGCTCAAGTGCGGTATCGTGCCAGGGAGCGCAGCGGGAATGTTAGCGTTCGAGGCCCTCGCCCGTTGGGTCGAACTCAATAAGGCGGCGGACTTGGAGAGGACGATCCGTGACTTCAAGAACGAGGAGGCGACTCGGACGAAGCCGGGTCAAGCGGCCGCGCGATCTGTCATCTCCCGCATGTTCGGCATGCTCTTTCACGACTCCAATTTCGTCCCGGCCTATATGAGCGACGTCGTCGACAACATTCTCAGAAGCTTCTTCGCCGTCCTAGCAAAAGCCGGCGACCTCGCCATCGTCCGCGCTACGCTCAAGAATCTGTACGGCATCAACGTCGACTTGCCGGGCGGGCTTATCGATGCGACCGTGGCAGATCGGGCGAACCTGCGCACTATTCGCGAGCAGGACGTCAGGTGGATGGTGAAGTCCCTCGCTTCTACTGGCGACTTCAACCGGTTGATCGCCCTCTTCGAGTACTTCGACCGACCGTCGCAAGTCGATGTGCCGTTCGTCGACGATGCGCCGCCGCCAAATGCCTACTTCACGTCCCAAGGCTACGACTCGCAGCCGGCTCCTGCTGCGAATCTCGAGTCGCAGTCCCATCTCGTCGGAACACGAGCAGTCGCCGCACTGGTCGAAGCGGCTGCCGACGCAGGCAATTTCCCTCTCATGCGCCACTACTTCGATCTCCTTTTTGTCCGACACGCGGCATCCACGCATGCTCGCTTGCAAGAAGTTGAGCAGGCCGTCCAGATGCCGGACGTCCTGCCTCTCGGTGCGCCTAGGTCGCCGTGACGCCGCATGACTGAGTGCTAACGTGTCGCGCCCCGCAGATCCTCTCGATTCGGCAATCGAGCTCGCAGAAGGCCCGTCCGATCCCTCCTTCATCTACACGCCCAGCGGCACATCGCTCGCATCCCTCGACTGCGCCCATCTTGCGCTCTCGCCGTCTGAACCGTCCCAGCCGTGGTGGATACCGATCCGGCTCTTCCGGCACATCGCGCACGCAGCGTTCGATCATGCTCAAGGGAGCACAATCAAGTGGACGCTCTCGCGTGTACGCCGCGTCGTCCGGCTCAGGGAGGAAGAGGTCCGCCGGATGGAGGCGGTTATCAAGGCTGTTCAACCGAGCCTTCAGGCGTCCGAAGTCGGCGGCGAAGCGCAGGGCGATGTTGCGACCGAGACGGGCCCGGATGCCTTTCCCGCCGACCTCCTCAACCCCGTCCTTTCCTACCTCCGCGAGTCTTACGATTCCGCTCTAGGCAAGCTCGAGGCGACCGAAGCCGTCTTTGAGGAGATCAAGGTCCTCACTCGTGTCATCGCGACGGGGCATCGGCTGTCGAGGTTCCAGCACGAGGTCAGCTTCCGCGAACGCCGACTGGCCGACGCTCAACTCAACAAGCAGCGGTACTATGCCATCTCGCGGCAGCGGGACAAGAAGGCGATGAGCGTCCTCACCTACAATATTCACCTCGCCAGATACAAGATTGCCAAGCTCCGCTTCGAGGGGGTCGGGCGGGGGGACAAGCGATTCGACTTCTTGACGGCGAAAATGCAGAAGCTGGCCGGCGAGGCATTCCACAAGCAGGCGCAAGGGCAGTGGGAGGGGCAATCAGGATCGCGGGGCAGGCCGTTGCAGCAGACCGCTGCGGATGTCACTGCAGGGATGAGGGCGGCGATCGCGAGGGAGCAGGCAGCAGTGCTGGCCGAAGAAGCGAAGCTGACGGAGGCTGTTCGATAGATGCAGAGGTGCTATAGACATTGCGCAACGCAGCCAACCGCAAACGACATCTTGCGAGCGCAATCCATCTCGAGACTTGAAAGCTTCGTCTCGATGTCAACGCGGCCAGTCTACGCCAGCGCATCCAGCCTCTTCACGACCTCGCTCATCCGTTCCTCGAACGCCTCCAGATTGCCCTTGAAGCGCTCCTCGTTCTCCGTGAAGCTCGTCTCGAGCCCGCTCAACACCTCCTTCAAGCCCTTCTCGCCGTCGCCTAAATGCTCGACCTCGCTCTTGAGCGACGAGAGGGTAGTCGAGAACGTCGTCGCCGACTCGTGAAGCGCGGAGAGGGAGCGAAGGCGGGAGAGAAGGCGAGGAGCGAGGGGGATGAGCGGGTCGAGGCGGGGCAGGAGAGCGAAGAGGGCGTCGATCTTCTGGAGCGCATCGGGCGGAAGTTGTGCTGCAGCCGATGCGCCGCCAGTCGACGCGCTGAGCGAGGGGGCGGCAGTGCGAGTCGCCTCAGCACCGGTCGTGAGCGTCATGCCGCCGCTTAGCGCGACATTTAGCGGCCGTGTGTCGCCGAGCTTGCGTCGCGACTCATGGATGCGCTCAAGGTCGGAGACGAGGACTTTGACGCGGCGAGAGATCGAGTCGAGGTGGCGAGGCTGGGTGAGGAGTGTGAGGAGATGGTCGAGTCGAGAGACCGACTGAACAAGCGGCGGCGGAACGGCGTGGGTCTGCGGATCCAACGCGTTCATTGGTCAGCGAAAGATGTGGAGCGGGAAGTCGTGCGCACCTCGTCGATACCGGCTTCACTCGCCCCCAGGAGTTCCTCCAACCTTGCTATTCGCTTCTCCATCTCGCCCTCTTCCTCTTCCGACAAGGCTGGGTGCCCTTGCGAGCTCGACGCAAGCAGAGGTGCAGCAGCTGGCGTCAACGCCGGCTCGGGTGCGCCGAGCTTGGAGAGCAAGCTAGCCGACGCCTGCGCGCGCTGAGCGAGAGGTCCGTCCATCTTCGCATCGTCCTCCTTTTCCCCATTCGCCTCCAGAACTCCCTCAACGTTCGGTGTCAGGCCGTGCAGGTCGCCTCGTAGCAGCTGAAGCTGCTGCAAGATGACTGCTGCGGAAACCTCGCGCTTCTCCTTTCCTTTCCCCTTCCTGTCCACCTGCGCCTCACTGCTGCCCTCCTTATCCGCCTCCCCGACAGCCGTCTTTTCCTTCTCGGCTTCGCTCCTCTGCACGTCTTCCTCGAGCGCCGTAATCTCCATGCGCAGACGTCTCAAGCGCTCAACGGGAGTCTCCTTCTCGCGCTCGTCGGGGTCGGTGCCGACAGAGTAGACGGTAGTGGAAGGCAGCCGTCGAGAGGGGCGCTTCGTGGAAGAGTCTGTCGAACCGGAGCATCAGCTTGAGCGCTGGAAGAGGGACGGGAGTGCACATACCGCGTTCACGCCGTTGCTGAGCTGCCAAACTCGCCGCTCCGAACCTCCTTCGCGCTTCTGCTGCGTCCAGTCTCTCGCCATCGATGTTCTCGCTCGTCGGAACGGCGGGAGTACCGCCAGGCTGGGCGCGACGGTAGGCTGTAGGAGAGCTGGCTCGAGGGAGAGGGTAGTCGTCGTCCGAGTCGGTATCGTGCTGCGATCCAGGAGTCAGCGAGCGATTGTGAGAGTTTGTCGAGCATGCGCACCGAGTACGAGAGCTGTTCTGGCACGTCTGGCGTCTCGAAGACGTCGGCGCCCGTGTCCTGGTGGGGAAGGCGAGCGTGAGCGCGACGGACGCGGTTGTACGGCCGAGGGAGATCGCACGCACGATGTCTGGCAGTGTCGCGTACTTTGACATCGCGTTTGAGCCAATCCAAGCGAGAGCGAGCAACACTGAGCGAGCGGTTGAAGGAAGAGGACAAGTTGGCTTCTCCCGCTCACCCAACCAGCTCGTGCGGCTGAGTGAATTACTCTGAGTGCCTCATCAGGCTTTGTCCATGATACTCGGCATCGGCGTCGACGTCCTCCACCTCCCTCGACTTCGCTCGCTTCTCGCCCGTCGCGACCCAACTGCACTCGCTCGCAGGATCCTTTCACGGGATGAGCTGCTTGAGTGGAGCGACTTGAAGATGGACAGCGATCTCAGCGAGCGATACCTGGCTTTGCGGTGCGTTGGGTGTCGTCGAGTGGCATCTCGCTCAGGCTGACCTTGCTCATTCCTCTCAGGTGGACTGCCAAGGAAGCGGCATATAAGGCGCTATACCCGCACGTCAAAGCGAGCTGGGGCGACTTGCGGGTCCAGAAAGACGGCCCCAAACCACTCGCCCGCTTCGCCGACGACTTCAAGCCTAGCTCCACCGCTCTTAGCGACCTGCGCCAACTTCGACTGCACCTGAGCGTCTCTCACGATGCTGATCTGATGGTGGCCTACGTCGTCGCGGAAGTGCAGCCCTGAACGAGGCACATTGACAAGACGGGTCCGTGTTCCTCGCTTTTCGCCCGACACCCCTTCCTCTGTTTGACGATCATCCTTGTGCAGATCCCGTGCATCGTGGTGCACACTTTTGCCCTCGCTCCGTCATTCATTCGAGCGCGTCCGTCCGTCCTCCCCGGCGAGAGTCCGCGGATTTCCCGGCAGACGCCTTGCTCTCACCTTCCTTCCTCCCCTTCACGTCCTTCCGCCATGGGCAGACGACACGACGACGATGATCCGCCAAGCGACGACGATGGCGCACAACAAGCGTCGACAAGCAGCGGAGCGGACCCGTGGCGGAAGAACCACCGGATCGCCTTCTTCGGCGCGACAGGCAGCGCCGCGTTCTTCGATGCGGGCTTCGCGGGCATCGTGTGAGTGCGCATCCTCACGAGCGTAGAGGACAGCATTCACAGAGTTTGCGGTACCGCAGCTTGTGGGAGAACTTCGGCGTACCAGCTTGTTCGTCTCGAGCCTTCTGAGCAGCGGCAGCGATGCTGATCTTATCCGCACTAGACGTCTACGGAACGGCAATCGCAATAAGCATCATCGAAGCGGTCTACATCGTCGTCTCGGTGGTCCTGATCGAGCGAGGAATTGGAACGAGGTCTCGCGTCGACATGTCGCTCGCCTTGATGGTGCGCGCGCGTCTCCTGTTTCGTCAGATAGCAGTCAAGCTGACTACACCATCACGCAGCCCATGTGGGCCGGCTCCTTGACAATTAACATCGCCTTCCTCCTCGGCGCCAACGCTGGCAAGACCGAAAGTCCGACAGCCTTCATGGCCGCCGCGGCATTCGCCGCGCTCTCCCAGCTATGCGGCCTCGCCCTCGCAGTGCTCGGAATCATGTACCACATCGTGGAGCTGAGGGATCCGCACCCGAAGAAGCACCACTTCAAGGAGAGGATGAGGCGGGCGAGGGATAGGCTGCGGAGGCATCACAAGCGTCGGCATCGTGATGACTCGGAGGACGACGGAAGCGGTTCGGAGGACGACGACGGGCGGTGAGGCGCATCAAAGCAGGAGGAGCTGTCGCAGGGCGGCCGGCGGAGGCTGGGCGAGGCAGACCGCTCAAGATTGCAACAATGCGCTATATTACTGAGAGGCTATGCGGAAACGAGGGAGAGAGATCTAGGTAGTGTCTGTTGACGAGAGAGAGAGAGAAAGAGAGATGAAATGTCCAACGTGCGCGAGGGAGTCCAACTGAAAAGTATGCCCCTGAACTCCTACTGAACTCCTAGAACGCAAAGTCTTCGACGACGAGGCTGATCTGGCCCCTCGGGTCGCCACGGGCCACCTTCTTCAAGTCAATCCTGCTTGCGACGAGGTTGCGGACGACGCTATTGAGGCTGGCGGGACCGCAGCATGCCACGATCGTCTTGCCCGCCGAACGCTGGACCTCCTCGTCGAGCAGCTGCTTGAGGCGCGGGTAGCCCGTCTTGGCGAGTTCGGCGACAGCTTCGATATCTGCCTGCTCGGCGTCCGTCACGTCGAGGAAGAAGCCGTCGTCGCGGCCGGCGCGAGTCACCTGCGTAGACGGAAGGTACGCGAGAGATGTTTCGGAGGCGAGATCGGCATGGCTCGTCCGGTTTGAAGCGAGGCCCGGCCGAGCTGCCGACTTGACGAGGTGGCGAGTCGATGCATTGTCGCCGAGGGTCGCATCGTCGTACGTAGAGCTCCAGTCGAATGAGCCGTCGCGGGGGAGAGGAGCCCGGCTCATCTGGCTGAGGTCACCGAATGACGCGGCTGCGACGCCTGAGTAGTCGTAGGGCGTCGAGTAGGCCGAGTGCGACTTGGGCTCGTCGCGGTGGTCGAGCGGCAGAGCTTCGAAGCTCGGCTCGGCGCTGAGCATGGCGGGTCTGGGCTGCTGAGGCGCATCTCCGGGGCGGCGAATTGAACGGCCTTGACCGCGGCGGGAGAGGGCGCGACGCAACTTGCCCTCCTTCTTCAGCTGAGCCGACACTCGCTCGTCGCCTGCCGTGCGGTAGTCCTCCTCGCCGTCGAACAAGACAAGGTCGGTCACCGAATCGACCTGGTCGCCGTATTCCTCCGGAAGTTGGCCAGCCTGCGGCAAGCCCGCCGAGCTCGACTTCCTCGACGGAGTTCCTTCGCCATCGCTGTAGTCGCTCAGATCGCTGGTAAAGCTTGGTCGACCGGCGGGCGAGCTAGACCTGGCTTCCCGTGCGAAAGGAGCGGTCGGCGGAGCGAGTTCATCAGTCGAGGTGAAGCCGCTTGCGCCGCCGTAGGAGGAGTACGGAGGGGCGGATGGGCGTTGGGAAGGCGGCTTGGGTGCGTCGTGCGTCACGAAGAGATCGATCTGGAGTTGCGAAGGATCGCACATCTCCATGCAGCGGCGCAGAGTCGGGGCGACCCAGCTCAAGTGAGCTGCAGAACAAGAGTGTCAGGCTCGAGCTGCGATAACCCCGAAACGTGGACGACGCACCGTACTCCCGCAGGATCCAGACGAACCGCACCCGCGTCGTCTTCCACTTCGCATCGCCCTGCTGATCCCGCCTGGCCATCCTTCGACACGCATTCTCGAGTACCGAAATACCGAACGTAATACCCGTCCCGCCGCAGACGATCGTCAAGCTCTCGTAGGCGCCCCAGTGCACCCGTCCGGCGCTGCCCATTGGCCAGCTGACCAGCGCACGCATCGTGACGCCCTCTTCCTGCCTCGCTCCGCTCCGCTTCGATCTGGCGCGGACGATGTAGTCCCACAACGCGCGCGAAAAGCCTTGCTGAGCACGAATCAGGAGTACGATCTCGCTGCCCTTCGCGACGCTCTTCCCGCCGACAGGTCGAAGAGCCTTGGTGCGCTCGTCGATACCGGCGATGGTGTATGGGTGCGACTCGAAAAGGCGAACGGAGGGCATGTAGAGGAGGAGGTGCTGGCCCGCTGCCCAACGAATCGCGTGCGGAGTCTGGATGGTGAGACGGATGGTGCGGCCGGGGAGAAGCTGCGCATTGGCAAAGCCGGGAGGAGGGAGCGCTCGTGGCGCAGTCGTGGAAGTCGGCTGAAGAGGAGAAGACTGGTAGAGCGTTGGCGAGGAGTGAGCCATCGTTGGGCTCTGGTAGGGAAGCGGGGCAGGCGAGGAAGGTGGGTAGTGCTGCGAGACCGGCGGCACAAAAGGCTCGTCGACGGTCACGTCGTCCTTCTCGTGAACAACGCTGAAGTCGCCGCCGCTCGAGCGGACGGCGCGCTTCGACGGCCGCAACATGATGCCTTCGAAGACGCCGTTGACCCAGAGGAGCGTAACGAAGCGCCATGCCCGCTCAGCTCCCCACCACGCAAGCGCGACGATCGGCCAGTACATCAGAGGCTGCAAAGCGCGTGCACCGAGTCAGTACGATTCGAGAAAGCAAGCGGAGTAGGGAACGCACCTTGTGGTGGATGATCGCCGTTACGAGGACGAGGATGACGAGGATGACGTGCGACCAGTAGAAGAACTCGTAGAAGCGGTTGCGGAGCGGGCGGAACGAGAAAGCGGTGAGGATGGTGAGGAGGAACCAGCACTGCGCAGGCAAAAGGTCAGCCGGCTTGTGTCTGCAGCAGGCGCGATGGAGAAGCACGCACGACGATGCCTGCGACAAAGCGGTACCACTGGAGAGCTGGTACGAGGACGATGCGGCCGAACGGGTCGCGATCCATGCAAAGCTCGTAGATCCAGCCGATCGCGTGTCCCGTCGAGAAGGCCCAGACGACTCGTCCTGTCGACAGCAGACAGTCAGTACGCGACCGTGAGCCGAACGAGCCGCGCTTACGTACCAGACCAGCGATGCAGGATGGCCGTCTGCACAACGGGAAAGAGGTCAGCGCGGCAGAGGAAACGGCGCAGGAGCCAGCGTCGTACCTTGTCGAAATGGTAGTTGGTCAAGAACGGCGTTGCCCAGATGTTGAATGGCCATTGTTTGAGCGCGAGGGTGATGACGAGCGGCAGCATGGCGTACGAGATCAAGCCGAGGCGAGCGGCGGCTGTCCAGGCGTTTGCGGCAATGTTCGTGTTGGAGGAGGCGAGAAGTGGGTCGTTGAAAGGGGCCTGCAAGCGTGAACATGGTCAGATGCGCTAGTAGCCGAGAACAAGGAGCGTTGCCTACCCATCCGTTCGGGTTGTTGACGCCTCGCTTCACCAACACCGGTTCCGCGACCTGCTCGTCTTCTCGAAGAGGCGCGACAGTGTCAAGCCACGTCTGTGCGGTGACTGCTGAATCAACTTGGCGAGATGAGAGGAAGCGGAACGAGTCGGGAAGAGCGAGCGCTCGCTTGGCGCGGTAGGTCGATTTGGGTGGGCCTGCGAAATAGATTGTCGGCACAGATTCAGTAAGGAGAGAGGCAGGCCACGCACTCGAAGCTCCGTAATACGCTTGGTAGCCGCAGTCGCCGCCGAAGGTGCAGGTCGTGGGCTGCAAAGTAACCAGCGAGTCAGCGAAACTCGGCGAGCGAGAAGCGAGATGCACTACGCACCGCGATGTAGTCGTCACCGATAAAGCTGACCAGAAGCGCGATCAAAACGAGCACGCCGACCGCAATCATCTGCGCGAACGTTGGGCTCGCAAAGACGACTCTCTTGCGCACGCCTGTCGTTCCCTGCGCGCCCTTCTCTGCCTCACCCGTCCCTGCGCCTGGCCCTGTACCGCCCACCTTCTTCGTCCAGGTGATGCGCCGAATCGACCATTTCCTGAACCAGGCTCCGAGTGCTGATCCGCCTGTTCCCGTTCCCGCGAGGTGGTACACCGCGCTCCAGACGATGAGAGTGCCGATGATGGCGAACCAGAGGATATAGGCGTATCGCCAAGTCGGGATCGAGAGGGTGTGGGCGTCGATGTACGGCTTGGTAAAGTACTGCAAGAGGCTGGACGAGTCGACGCCGCCTGTCGAGTCGACAATCTGGGCGGTAGTCGTCGCTGAACCGGTCTGGCTGGCGATATGCGCGAAGGACAGCGAGCCTGTCGTCTTTGTCGCTGCAGCGGCAGTCGTCGTTGCCTTGGTTGCGAAGGGCGGAATGTACGCTCCGCCCTGCGAGGCGGCCGTCGCACCCATGACGTATCGCGCTCGTATGAGCTGTCTGCTAGTTCTGCAGGCGGACAAGGAGACTCAGCCGGGGTCGAGGGACGGGTCGCAGGGAAGGACAGTGAAGTTCGCTCCTCACAGCGTGTTGCTACAGATCCGTCACCTCTTCCGCAAGATCCGGTGTTCTTCAGACCCTCTGACTGGCAAGCGGCACGTTCGGGCGTGATGTCGCTGCTTCCGTTCCCCTTGAAGTCGTCGGTGTTGATGAAGCGAATGCGGCGGTTTGGCGTCGCAGGAGGGGCTCGCCGGTGGTCGTCAGAGATCGTGAGTCGTAGCCACTCCAGCAGCAGTAGAGTCAAGCGTGCCCGTCAATGTCAGGCGAGCGGCGTGAGACGAACAGCTTGCCGCAGCAATTCTCCGCTCGCGCCGGTGCCGACAGACTTCCCCTTTGTGCGTCCGCAGGCTATTTGCGTTGCTTTCAAGTATCGGCGGCGAGCAATCTTCGAGGGAAAGCGCATGTGAAGCTGCTGAACCGCTCGTCACCGTCGCTGAACGGAACTGATCCAAGACCCCCCTGCTCGTTTCAAGCGACCCAAGAAGCGTACGTCCTTCTCCACTGCGCATTCTACGCCCACCAGCAAGAAGAGCTCCGCCCAGTCCAGCCGCCCAAGATGCGCGCCCACTCAGCACCTCGCCTTCGGCCACTTCCGCCTCATGGCCTCCCTGAACTCGACGTCGTCCGCATACATCCCTCCTTGACACGTCCCTCCAGACTGAGCGAGTGTCGTCAAGTGACCGTGCTTGGCGACGTCGTGGAAGGCGGTCTCGGCGAAAGAGGAATCGGCGGAAGAGAGGGGAGGCAGGGCGGAGTCGGTGTGTCCGGGGTTGGTGAAGCCGGTCTGACGAGTAGCCGCTACCTCGTAGACGCGGTAAGGCGAGTCGAGGCCGTCGTCTGATGCGAGAGCGGGGTCGCCGGCTGGCAAGTCGACGAACGAGGCGGAGAGGTCGAGCGAGTCGACAGGCTGGACGGCGAACACCGAGTCGCCCAAAGCACCCGCTTCGAGACAGTCGCCATGTCCGACCTCGTCAATGAGCGAGCGGGAGAGAGTCGGTTCCTCGACCTGCTCAAACTCCTCCACCGTATCCATCGTAGCACCCATGTCCCGCACTTCGCTCCCTTTCCCCACCTCATCCAGCATCCTCGCGAGCGACGCAGTCCCGATTTCAGTCTCGCTCGCCTCCCTGAGTTCGTCGGCTCCAGGGAAATTTCCGCGATCGTGATCTGCCCAATCCATCCCACCAAGGTCTCCGTGTCCAGCATGCGCCGTGACGTCCGCTTGGGCACCAAGAGGAGCGTACAGCGTCGGACGCGGAAACTCTTCCTCCTCCTCCCTCAGCTGGTCGACCCGCCCAGCCGCAGGCCCCCAATCCTTCTTCGCCCTCCTCCGCCGCGCGAGCGAAGCAGCCGATAACACGCTCGGGTGCGTCGAGGCCTCGTCGGTGACGACCGATGCCGCAGGCTGGAGGTGCGGGCGCTGGCGGGAGAGGGAAGAAGCGGGTCGGGAGTGGATCTCGATCCAGAAGTTTGGCTGGGGCGAGCGAGTTCGAGGGGTCTTGGTCGGTGCTGCGACGGCGGGAGAGGCGGGCTGAAAGTCGTCGATGAGAGCAGCGAAGTGCTTGCTCGTCCGCGCGCTTCCTCGGCGGCCGGAACCGTACGTACGTGGGCCGGTGGGTCGTGCGGCTGCAAGGGTCGGGCGGACATTCTCGGCGTTTGAGCGAGAGGATGACGAGCGGGAGGAGGATGCGGAGGAGGGTGAGGACGGCTCGCGGCGTGGAGCGTCGAGGAAGGCGAGCTCGGAGAAGGCAAGGTCGCCAACTATGAGCAGCGTGTGCGACGTCAGTTGATGTCGCAGCACTAAGCGAAGAGTTCCTGACGCACTCGTCCTGCCGACTTTCGTGCGGACAGACGCCTTGCCCTTGTTGAATATGCCAAGCTGAGGCGCTGGCTTGAGCTGCAAAACCAGTGACTCAGCGCGAAGCGTGATGATGACATGACATGGGACGCACCGTCAATCTGCCAGCCTTGACGCCGCTCGGCTTGTCCATCTCCTGCACCTTGCGCCTCGTAACCTCCTCCTTCGACCCCCTCTTCCGCTTCGACTTGCGCCTCGCACCCTCCTCCTCGTCATCGCTGCTTGCGTCATCTCCGCGCTTCTTTTTCTGCGCGGCCTTGACTCTCGAGGCGGCGGCGGCTCCGACGGCAGCGGAGGTGACCGTGCGGTCTTTGCGGATTAAGGCGCGTTCGCGTCGGCGTTCGCGACGAGCTCGTAAGCCTGTGCAGTCAGTCCGTGTGTGAGCGAGGAAGCAGCGGGAGCAAGGGTGTGCAACCGTACGCTCCTCGACCTCGTCCAGCTCGTCCGCCTCTTCCGCCTCGGCGCGCAACCTGCCCTTGCGTTTCTTCGGACTCGCCTTCTTCGCCGACTCCGCGTCGTTCTCCTTGCCTTTCCCCTTGCTCCTCCTGCGCGGCTTGACAGGCGCCGCATCAAGCACCTCGAGCGCCCCAGCGCGCGGGATCAAGAAACTGCTCGACGGGCTCGGCTCGGCGTCCTCTCCCGGCGGACGCGACGGGCCCGCTACGGGCGTCGCAGAAGCCGACGACGACCGTCCCTTGAGCTGCATCGCCAACAGAGGCTTCTTGCGCTTGACTTCCGCCGACTCGCTTGCTCGCGGTCGCGCAAAGTGCCCGTCGTCCGCATGCAACACGAGCGCCTCGTCCTTCCTCTTTCGCGGTCCCGTCTCGTCTCCCTCGATCTCCTCAAGCGCGCGTTTCCGTCCCGCATCCTTCGCTCGAGGCGGAGTCTTCACGCCCTCAAACTCGTCGCTCGGCGGTGGTCCGACCTCGTAACCCTCATGCGCCGTGCGAGAGACGTAGGGAGCTTGTTGGAGGACGTAGTGCGTTACTGTGCGGCGTGGCGCGGGTGGGTTTGAGCGAGTGTGCGAGGCGAGGTTGGTTGACGAGAGCGGGGCTAGGGCGGGGTGGGGCAGCGCGGCCTGCAGTAGGCCTTGCATGTGGGTGAGCCAGGGAGTCAAGAAGCGGGATCAGCAGCCCAGCACAGTGTGGTTAGCAATGAGCGAGTGTGTGGTCGAGTGCAAACAGGCGGGACGAGTTGCGAGGGTCCCACAGCACACGCGCTAATTTCGTTCCAAGGTGTAGATAGGGCATTCAGGATGCTGGCAACACGATCCGAGCATCGCCATCGTCCCTCGTCGCCTTGATCCCGCCAGACGACGACTCCTCCCGACCCCACACGCAGGACAATGCCGAAGCACGTCGCCCTCCCTCCTCACCCTCACTCAGACGCACGATGCCGCCGAGAGAAACCGTCCTCAAACAGATCGAGGGAGCCTCACGAGGGTGCGCGACTCGCCCGTCCAACTCCCGCCTCGCGAGCTGACGTCCTCTCCGCAGCTTCGAAGCCCTCCTCGATAACGACCTCGTGCAGGCAAAGCAGATCCTCTCCAGAGATCCTTACTCGGCGTTCCACCTCGTCGGACTAGGGCTGTCCGCTTTCCTCGCCGCCATCCTCTCGCGCGAGGACGACGAGCTTCGAAACGTGCGTCTGCCTCCTCCTCGGACCTCCTTGGCGAGCGCTGAGCGTCGTTTTCGACGTACGCAGGCTCAGGAGACGCTGATTAGGGCAGAGACTATGGCCAACAACGAGGCGAACGCGAAGCGGGCAAAGGGAGAGACCGCGGGCATCTTTCCCGGAGGAACCGAGTACAAGGTGCGTGCTGTCGCTCAGAGCGTCGCTTGATATCGACGTTGAAGGCTGTTGCTGACGACCGGACGACGCAGCTGTTGACGGGCGACGCGACCATCGGGCAAGCGTTGATCGCCATCATGTCGGAATCCTACGTCGAGTTCGTCAAGGCCATCTGGAAGATGAACAAGAGCTACAAGATCTTCATGGGCATCTTCAAGACGGTCTTTCCCGAAAACGTGTCCGAGCACGACTCGCTGCACGATATCTTCACTCGCCTGAACGACCGGTACCTCGAGCAGACGACGAAGCCTCACCCTGCTGTCGAGTCGTCCGGCGGGTTCTTCTCGTCCTGGGGACGCAAGAAGCCTTCTGCGGTCGCGGCGCCGCACCTCCGACACGTCAGCTCGTCGTCGGCCATCCCGACCCTCCCCTCGTCTTCCGCCTCGAACGGCGAGCCAGCAATCGCCGCCTCCGCGCCCGTCTCCGAGCTCCCGTCCCGTTCCGGCTCCTCGACGGACCTCTCCTCCTCCTTCGCAAACAAAGTTACCCTCGCCGACTCAGCCGGCAATGCCGAAGTCGACTCGTATCCCTCCCCTTTGTGGGCTAACGACCCGCTCACCAAACTCGTCATCTCCGGCGCGGCACTCGGATCTGGCATGTTTGGACTCATCTTCTCGATGCTGCCGCCGAAGATGAGGAAGATGATCTCGTGGTTTGGCTTCTCGAACTCGAACCGCCCCGTGGCGCTCAAGCTGCTCACCATCGCTGCGAGCAGTGAGTCTCGCGTGGTCACTTTTTGCCTTCTACCCGTGAGCTGACGGGCACTTCCCTGCAGCCGGCGACGACGTCCACGGCTACTTCGCCTCGCTCACCCTCGTCACCTTCTACGGCTTCCTCCTCCTCATGTCGGGCTGGCAAGCCTCCGAACCGACCTACCTCCGCTCTCTCTCCTCCATCCTTCGCCGCGTACACGACCGCTTCCCGAACGGGACGCTTTGGGTCTTGAATCGGGCAAAGCTGGCGAGGTACGAGCGACGGAGTGAGGATGCGGTGGGGATCATTGTGGAGGCGTTGGGGAGGGAGGCGAAGGAGGGGAACTCGTTTAGGGAGGCGGATAGCTTGTTGGTCTTTGAGGTGAGCCAGCCAGGAGCTGGGGGGCCCGAGAAGACCAGGCTGACTCTCTGCCTCGCTCGCGCAGCTTTCTTGGCTGTACCTCTCGCAGGCTTGCTTCGTCGAGACGGCCGATGCGATGGAGCGGATGTGCACGTACGTCGAGCGGTTGACACTGTCCGCGCAGCCGAGCTCACCTGACAGACCTCCCTTCACAGTCTCAACAGCTGGTCTCACGCGACCTACATCGCCATCGCCGCCGGTGCGCTCGTCGACGAGATCAACGACCAGCGACGACGAGGCGAGACGCCCTCCCCTGCGGTCGTCGAGCGGGCCGACAAGTTGCTGGCCAAGCTTCCCGGCCTGTGCGGCTTGAAGCGCGTTTTCGGCGAGAAGCCCGTCACCGAGGTGTTCATCCTCCGCCGCCTCGAGGCGCAAAAAGCCAAGCTCGAGCGGTGGATCCGCGCTGGGCGTTTGAAGGAAGGAGCGAAGTTGTGGGAGGTTGTGCGGATCTCGAACGCCTCGGAACTCGGGTTGTTCTGGGCGACAATCGGAGGCCGCTCGCCTGCTTCCGGTGTTCAGAAGCAAATCGACTTGCTATCGTCGTTCTCGCCACCGCCGCGCTTCGGTCCGGCGTCCAGCAGCGCTGCGCCCGCGCCGCCTTCCTCGACTCTCGGCAGGACCGAGACCCGCTCTTCCACTCTCAGCGGCAACACCTACCGCCGCCGTACCTCCGTCGCTTCGACCACTCCGTCCGCAACTATCCCTCCACCTTCTTCCGCGACCGACGACCTCGACACGACCGCCGAGATCTTGCAGCGCGACCTCCTCCTCGGCATCCTCTACACGGCCCTCGGACACTACGACTCCTCGCACTACGCCCTGGCAGTCCAGTTCCTCGATGCCGTCTTGAGCGCCTCACCCGTCGAAGTCGGCGACGAGAAGTGGGTCGTCCCTTTCGCGGGCTGGCACCGCGCTGTCGTCGAACTTAAGGTTGGGGATGCGGAGACGAAGGAGATGGATGGCGCGAAGGCGAGGGAGGTGTGGAGGGGCAAGATGGAGAAGGCGAATGGTTGGCTCGATGCGGTCCTGGCGACCGGCGAGTACGACATGAAAACAAGGGTGCGTCCGCGTTTTCCTGTCGCTTGCTCCGAGTTGATGCTGACTGTGACTTGCGCGCAGCTCGAGTCTCGCGTCCTGATGCTCCGCGACGAGATTCAGATGAAGAAGGTCAAGGTTGGACTCGCCTAACCTGCACGACTTGCGCCCCACTCGCTTACGTACAGGGCCCATGTATCCTTTCGCATGTAGACACTATCGCAATCGTCTAGACGGATCTGTCGTTGCCGCCTCGCGCTCTCCGCCTGCCGTCGCTCGAGGCTGGTCTCTGCATCCGCCTCCTCCCGCTCCCCCTCATATGCTCGCCCATTCAGCGCGGCTTTGCACTTCGCTGCTGTATCGCCACCCGCTCTGCCTCTCTCGCAGCCTCCCGGCGACTCGCCTCCAATTCCGCTTCATTCTGCGTCGATTGCAACCCGGCTTCCGTCGCTGCGTTCCTCGACAAGACTCGCTTCCGCGACATCGCGAGGCTGTCGATGTTGCGCCGAGCGAAGGAACCGATGGCGGAACACGAGTCTGCCTCGCCGTCGTGCTCCCGTTCCGGCGGCCGTCGCGCAAAGATAGCGGGCCAGCTGCCTCCACAGAAGACTCGTGCCGAGAAGTCGCTTTGCCTCGTACAGTACTTGCCGCCGAGACCGCACGCCGGCGTGCAGCAGAAAGATGCTCCTCGCCCTCCTCCGCGCGCCCTGCCTCGTCTCTTCTCGCCTCGCTCGTCCGGCCATCGCCAGAGTCCGCTCGTCGTCGTGCGGTGCGGACAACCTGTCCCGCCCGTGCCGTGCCGTGCCGAAACTGATCAAAGGAGGGCTGTGGAGACTCCGCATCCCTTCCCGGGTCAAGCCGGTCGGGGAGGAGCAACGCTTCTTCGCGACGAAGCGAGCGATGGAGGTCCTGCCCCACTCTGAAGCTCTGCAACGCTGCGCTCGCACGTTCCAGCCTGGCGGATCCAGCAGCGAAGACGCTGGGAGAAGCCTCGCGTCGTGAGAAGCGACCTGCCGCGTCTCGGTCGAGAAAGGGCTTGCCGTCTGACGGAGGGCCAAGCCGTCCCCTTCGTCCTGCGAGCCACGATCGGGACATTTAGAGTTGTCTGTGAGCCTGCGACGTGCTCCCAACGCCGCACCGTTTCGTCCTGCGAAGACTCGCGGCCGTGGACGTCCTCGCACGTTGGCGAGCGGTCGTCGGTTGCGAAAGAAGCGAGGCCGCGATTCGGTTCAGCCGCAGCAAGAGGCAGCAGCGGAAGCGAGCAAGCGCAAGCTTGAGGCGAGCAAGCGCCAACGGGTCGGTGCGGAGGCGGAGCGCGGACCTTGCGAAGGTCACCCTGGCTTCTCTCCTGCTTCTTGCTCTGCCTGCTGAGCCATGCTTGTTGCTCTCCAAGAGCTTGGAAGTCGACTCGGACGATAGAGGGGGACAAGCCGGGCTGGGAGGACCGGGTCGTCGCAGGGTCGTCGCAGCTTCTTTTGTTTCGCTCGCTGCTGGTCCACGGTCGTCGTCTTCAAGATAGGGATCTGATCTGCCCGTGTGCCAAGCTGTCTCGCTCTGTATATAAGGACAGCAGGGCGGCAGGCCGGAGAGTCGTGCGATGCGTTGCGTGCGAAGGCAACTCGACGACGTGAGGGAGGGCGGAGGAGAAGCGACAAAGAAACAGCGTTGCGCGAGTGAGCAGTCACCTCGCCTCACCTCGCCTGCTCGCCGACGCTCGTCGACTGCGTCGCTTGGGAACGAGCAAGGTCGAGAGACGAGTGCGAGGAGGAGGCACCGGGATTAAGGTTGGAGGGAAAGGGGGAAAGGAACCGAGGATGTGTACGATTGCACCTTTCCCAGAGTGCGTTAGCGCGCTCAGCGATTAACCCGCAACCGGACTGCATTGGGTTGAGCCACACCCGCGCCGTGCAAACCAGCGTCGACTGTTGGCCACTCCGTCCTCGCGGCAGAGATAACAAGTGTGCTCCCGCTCCGTGAGCCTCATTGCTTGCGCTCCTTCTACGCCCTGCTCGAGCTCGTCGAGCCCGCACACCCGCTGCTGCAGCTCGTCGCGACAACAGCCAATTCAGCGCACCTCGCCTTGGGGACATGGCGACCATCCCCGCTCCCTCGCCCGACAAGGCCCGCTCGAGCTTCGTCGTCAAGCTCCACCAGTGCGTGCAGTCCTCGTCTGACCCGTCAGAACGAGCGCTGACCCGAGGGAGAGCGTCTGCAGACTGCTTTGTGCCGAGCAGCACCCCGAGTATCTCCACTGGATCAACAACGATACGTTCGCCATCACCAGCGTCGAGCCACACGCACGCCACGCCCTCTCGCCGCAGTGGGACTTTCGCTCGTGAGTCCCGCGCCGCCCGTCCGCCTCTTTCCCTCGTCGTCGGCACCTTCGAGCTGTGGGTGGGGGAAACGCTTTCCGCCCTGCATCGGGCGCCTCGCTCGCTGCGACACGCGCGTCGTGTGCTTCGTGTACGCGTTGCAGGCAAGGAACGGGCGCGCGATCGGACAAAGGACGCCAGGAAGACGCGACTCTGCATCGAGGGACTGCCCAGTTTGACATCTCGACTTGCTCGCTTGTCAACAGCCTGTCGTCCTTCATCCGCCAGCTCAGCTACTACTCGTTCAAGCGTCTCTCCGACCGGCGTCGTTCCGCCGAGCGCCGTTCGAGCGTCCCCTCGTTCATCGTCTTCACGTGCGTTTGTCCCCACCTCCGTCTCGCTTCTCGCTCGGATTCGAAGCCAGTCCTGACCGCCTCTAGCTTTCTCCTCGCGCAGGCACCCGTCGGGCAACTTTGTCCGCGATGACCAGGCGAAGGCCGCTCTAATCCAGCGCAAGCTGCGAGCGCGCAAACCCGCCCAGAAGCGCAAGAACTCGACGGCGTCGTCTGCTGGGACGGGCCAGGAGCAGGACTATGGCGACCGCTCTCCTTCGCCGAACGACGGCAATTTCGAGCTGTACGAGCACGAGGACGAGGCCAAGCCGAATGTGAACGCGACGCAGCTTGGCCTCCAGCAGTACCAGCTCCCTGCGTGGAACGCGCTCGAGGCGCAGGGCCGCACGATTCATTCCTCACCGCGCACGATTCCCGGAGCAGCGCCTGTCGCTTCCGTCGCGCCCCATATGCACCTCGCGTACGGTCCGCTCAAGGAGCAGGCACCGCCCTACGACACCGGTTACCCCTCGCCCATGTCCGCCCCCTCCTCAAACGCCTTCTTCCCTGCGCAAGGTCGTCCGCACAGCTACTACCCAACAGCCCCGCCGCCCGATCAAGCGTACTACTATCCTCCGCCGTCGACTTCGCTGCCAAACACAAGCTCCTACGGCGCGTACCCCTCGAACGAGCTGCCGCCCATCCGCACCGTCACCTCCGGCCTCGTCGCACCTCCTTCGCCTCCGCCCGAGCCAGCGTACCTGCATCACCCCGCCACTCAGACCCGACCTCCGCACGACGACGAAGAAAAGACGCCTTCTCCGCTCGCTTCTCACGCGGCGATGCAGCCGCAGCTCGCACCCATCGAGCAACAACAGCCTCGGCTGATGTACGACTCGAGTCCGCTGCGTCACGCGCCGGCAAACATGCCCCCTCCGCACCCTCATGCCGTCGACCCCGCCTACTACCCCTCCGCCTTCTCCCACCAGCCTCTCTACCATCACGCCTACCCTCAGCCTCACGCACCTGCACCTTTCGACGCACGGCATTACGCGCCTCACGAATTTGCCCCGCCCAAAGCGTACTACCAGCCTGCGGCAGAAGGCGAGCCGCCGTCAGGCTATCCTCCCTCAGCCGGACCGGCCGCCGCTCCCGTCGTCTCGCACGCATGACCTTGGCGACGCGATTGCCGTACTCGACCTTCCGGGCCTCTTTTGCCTTTTCGCCAGCTGTTCCCTCAGTTTTCCCGCCGTCCTATTCTCGGGTTTCGTCGTCCTCTTCGATGAATGAGCGCTTGTTCAATTCTCCGCTTATACACATCTGTTGTCTCTTTATCTCCTTCCCCTGCTCGAGCTGTTTGTACATAGACACTTTCCCCTCTCTCCTCTCTTCGATACACGCATCCTTGCGACCCCGCCACCTCACTCAGTACCCTTCCTCTCTCTCGCGACCTCCTCCAGCAGCGGTTATACGCTCGAGCCCAGTCCCTCCGCAACCTTCGTAGTCCAGCCTGGCGCGCCCTCAGTTTTCAGTGCGACGCTTTTTTTCGTCTACGCGCATCCTCTCTCGTCCTTGCAGTTCAACCTCGTTTCGCACTCTCTTGACTCGAGAGAAGAATGTATGAGACGAGTTCGTAGGAATCTTTGGTGCATTACTCTAAGAAAAGGTGGATGGCAAGACAAGCAGGTGAAAGGTCGAAAAGGGCAGAGTGAGATTATAGAGGCTGGGGCTAAGCGGGGCGCAAGGGATGTGCGAGGAGTATGGGTAACGAAGTTGAGTGGGTGTCGAAATGCGAAAGAGTCGGAGGAACGATGAGAAGCGAGAGGCGGAGGCGGGGGCGAGATTAGGTGGGTTGGGTTGGCTAAGGGGAGACGACGGATTTGGCGCGCAGGGAAGCGGAGTATTGAGGGGTCGAGCGACCGAGTGCCCAGCCTGTCGCAAACGGCGTCAGCCTTGCGAGCGACAGTGGGACGGGAGAGAAGGCGGACTCACCCTTGACGGCGAAGAGGGCGGCGATCCAGAAGAACCAGACGCAGACGGCAGCAATCGTCAAGTTGAGGAATGCCTGCGCATCGCTGTTTGTCAGCAAAGTACGCGAGGAGGAAGCGAACGAAACGGACCATGACATCGTCCGCGTTGTGCCTCATCGCCGCAAACGTCACCTGCTCGGTCGACAAGATGAAGACGACTCCTCCAGCGGTCAAGCAAAGCGACGCGAGCGCTTCGGTCGGCGGGCGAGACGGGAGGATCGATGCGGGCGGGCGGAGGTAGGTGAAGAAGTAGGTGAGGAAGCGGAAGAGGCTGAAGCAGCCGAGGAGGAGGCCCCAGAGGGCGTGGACTTCGACTGCGCGGTAGCGAACAACGCCGGTCAGTACTAGCTTATAAGAAGCGAGAGGAGACGCCGGCTCACCCTGGAACTGGTAGGTCTGGTGGTGCGCCGACATCGCCCAGCCGGTGATGCCGATCGCAATAGCCGGGAACGGGTTGAAGCTGGCTGCGGCGGACGGCGGAGGGGGGATCTCGTCGAGCGAGCGGCCGGAAGCTTGGGCGGCGGGAGTTGCGAGCCAAGAGCGGATCGTTCGCGACTCGAGGACCATGCCGAGTGCGCCGGCTCCCCAGAACCTGTAAGACGTAGAGTCTGTCAACTACCGAGAATACCGAAAGATGCGGGACTGAACGCACATGACGGCAATCGAGATGTGCTGGATGTCCTTGATGCTGTACGCGCCCGTCTTGCCCATCCGCTCCATCCAAGTGTTGGTTGATCCATAGACAAAGATGACAAACGACTCGACGAACTCGGCCGTCCAAATCGAGTTGTTGCGTGCCGGGTGACGGTTCCATGCCCAGCCGAGGGAGGAGAAGGCGCCGCAATAGCGGGCGAAGCTGAGCAGGCCGTACCAGACGAAGATCGAGCCCTTGATGATGTGCGCAAGGCAGCTGCGTGGGAGAGTTTGTCAGCCAACGCTGTTGCGAAGTGAGCCAAGAAGCAGAGGAAGGGAAGGTCGCCCACTCACCCGTTCAAGTAGTTCTCGCGGCAGGTCCCAGTCCAGACAGCGACGCCGGTGCAGACCTCGACGTAGGCGAGGAGGACGAGCATGCGCTCGGCAAAGTCGGCAGCGAGACCCAGGTAGCGGCGGACCTTCTGCCTCGTCGACTTTGGCCGCGCTGGCTCGCGCCAGTCCGCCTCGTCGCTGTGGACGGCGGTGTCTTCGTCGGAGAACGAGAGCGAGTTGCCGCGCGTCGGGGAAGAAACGGGGTGGTGCATCGCAACGGGGGATGAGACGAGTCGCTCGGCCTCGTCGCCCTCGTCCTCGTCGGCGCCGAGCTGGAAGACGGATCGCTCGTCCTTCTCGTACTGCTCGCTCAGGCTCAAACCGGCGAGCTTGGCGTCAAGCTTGTTGCCCCAGCGGGTGAAGCGCAGGAGGAAGCGGCCGACGTCGAGGATGTTGAGCGCGACGGCAAGGACCATCGTGATCCATCCCCAGGTGGTGTGGGACGAGCCCTTATACATGTCGGGCGTGAGGCCGTTGTAGACCTGCAGTACGCAAGTCGCCGACCAAGGTCAGTTCGTTGCTCGTTGACATCGGGACTGCCGGCCGAGCTTCCGCTGAGGAGAAGGCGCGCGCACCTGGCCAAAGAACAATCCGAGGACAGAGGTGACGAGGAAAGCCGTCTGCGGGATGATGGACAACGCGGATCGACCCGCTTTGAGGAAGAGGGCTGCTCGGGCAGCGGGAGGACGAAGGAAGTCAGCTCGGAATCTCGATCGAGCAGGCCGGGGAACGCGCGAACGCACCCAGCGGCAGCAGGACAAAGAAGGCGAGGGTCATGAGTGCGATGTGGACGTAGAGAACCGCCGGCTTGCCCTCGTCCGAGTGGTCAAAGTCCCAGTACGAGGGAGGATCCGGCGAGTGCGTGAGGAGGATCTGCGTCTCGTTCAGCTCGAGCAGCGGTTTGGAGTGCGAGTGGCCGTGTGCGTGCTCGTCTCCATGGCTGTGTCCTCCCGCCTCGACCGAGCTGGCTGGCGCGGCCGTGTCGTCGTGCGCCGAGTGTCCCGAGGTCATCGCTTCTGCGTGATCCATCGCGCCCATGTCGTCGTCCTCGTCGTCGCCGTGCCTCGGTACGAGTCCCACGAGGTGCAGTGCATCGGCTGGTCGTCGTCTGGCGAGGTCCTGAGCTGGTGAGGACGAGACCGAGGGGAGTGCGAGAGTTGCGGTCGCGGTGAGGAGGATGAGGGCAGCGGCGCGCATCGTTGCTTTGCGCTTCGCAGGTGGAGTGAGGCAGCTCAGCAGTGAGTGGCAGCAGTGGCCTCGCAAGCCAGTCGAGTCACAGCGAGTGTCGTCGAGCGTGGAAAAAGGCGCAAGCTGACGGCTGCCTGCCTCGGACTCTCGGCGGCAGCCTCTTCTCGTCAGCACAACTCGCCAAGTCCCGCGCACACTCTCGCTGAGCCTGTCATCACTTGCTCAGACTGCTGCCATCTCCTCAAGATCCAGCACCCAAGTTCCCTCTTCCTCGCCCGCCTCTTCTCTTCCCGCCGACGCTCACAAGGCAACGCAGTCGCCTCGGAGATTTTCTCTCTCGTGAAAGATGAGACCGTGATGCCGAGGGTGAGATGACTTGCTCTTGCTTGGCTAAGCAGCGGCCGAACCTAACCCACCTCCACTAACACAGGCAAGTCCACTCCGCTCCCTCCTTCTCGCCAAAGCGCGCTCAACGTCGCCGCTGGCGCTTCTGCGACCGAGAGATGTTGCTCTCCTATGCTCCTGACGGACAGCTCTCGACCACCCGCCAGCAGAGGTCGATGCAGCGACACAAACCTCGTCCGGCTTTGCCAACCTGCGGAGACCTCGGAACCTCCCTCAGCGTGGTCCAAGCCTTCCGCCGCTTCGACGACAGCTTTTTTTCGTCGTTGCAGAGCCATGCCACTCGCACCGAAGCGCTTCCGACTGCCCGCTTACCCTGACACCCAGACCTTCGCGACTTCCCTCTCCTGCTCTCGTTCGCTCACAGGTGCCGCTGACTCCCTCGTGCTTTGCTTTCCTGAGTACGAGCGTGGAATAGATGCCGAACCCACCACACGAGTCGCGCCCGAGCGACTCGCAGCGTGTGGACGACGTCGCTTCTCGTTTTGCTCCTCCTGCGTTGCCGTCTCGCGCATGCGCTGCTGTCGCCGTCGAGCTGTGAAGGAAGTCTTGCGCTTCTTTGCAGCTCTTTCATGGCTGCTCTCTACCGCCGAGCTACGGCAACTCTCCAGCAAGTCTGTCCTCCTCTGCCGCCTCAGCGTCTCTTCCGTTCCCTCCTCCGCTTCCTTCTCCTCTCTTCACCTCATTCCAAGGAACTGCGCTGGTATAACTCATTTTCATGCACGCACTTTTGTCACAAAGCTAGCTCGAAAGAGGCAAGAGGCGCTACTGGTGCATCGTACAAAGACCCGAAACGAGGAAGGGAGAATCGCAGAAGAGGGCGAAGGTAAACTAGACACGGGGTGGTTGGTAAACGATGTGAGCAACATGGGGAATCGAGGCGCGCGAGGAGATAAGAGCGAGGCGGGTGCATCCGACGGAAGACAGAGGGGAACAGACGAACAGTTGGGTAACGGAATGAGGAGGAGGATGTACTGCCTGGTACTGCTTTTTGTTTACCGATGGCGAGGAGTGGTACATGCGGATCACCACAGTGACTGCGAGGGAGCCGAGAGCGCCGCCAGGGCCGCCGAAGCCCTCGGGTCACTTCCCGACGACGACGACGCCGACGACGGAGGCGACGCGGGTCCTCCACTCGCAGGGATGTAGAAAGCCGGCGTGCTCTTCGCTGGATGAACGAACGGGCTGCGGAGGTTGATCTGCGGCTGCTTCGACGCTCCACCTTCCTGCGCGCCCAAGAGCGCCGCAGCGCGCTGACGCTGTTCCCACGCCTTGGCGAGTCGATCAAAGTGCGAGTGCGGGACGGACGAGTCGACTGGGGCGCTCATCGAGAGGGGCGACGAGAGGCCGCCCATGGCGGCTTTCAGGTCGAACGTGGCGGGCGTGTTCGACTTGAGCGACGTGCTGTTCGGCAGGTCGAAGCCTGCGACGGGGAGCGAGAGGCTCGGGTAGGTCGTCGCGTAGGTGGCGGAGAGGGCGGCGGCGAAGAAGGACGAGTCGCGCGGGATCGAGGCGGGCGAGCCTGCGCCGAGCGGGTTCGACAGAATAGGGAGTGAGAGCGAGCTGGTCGTCGCGGTAGCTGCCGACTGCTCCGCTTGCGACGTCGCAGGTGCAGGTGCAGGCTGCGCATACGTCGGCATAGGCGTCGGGAGACCATAGCTGAGCCCGACTTGGGCGCCAGGCGAAACGCCAAACCCGCTCGAGTACATCGCAGCCGTCGCGGCGCGGTCGCGAGCCTGCTGGTCCGCATCGGCGGACGAGATGATCGAGTTGATGTGGGCGGCGAGGTCGTACGACGCCGAAGCCTCGAACGACTGCGACGGCTCGGGGTGGAGAGCGAGCGCGGACGAGCTCAGCGTGCCCGAGGGAGGAGTCGGGTACCGCTCGACGTCGGCCTGCGACTGCGACTGCTGCTGCGCGGCTTTGGCCTTCTCCTCAGCCGTCAACGCGATCGGCACCGGCGCACTCAAGTCGTTCGCCGTATTGCTCAGCAACTCTTCGAGCGTCGTCGGGATGTTGCTCGACATCTTGCGCGCGAGGTTCGCCGGTCCCGGGCCCTCGATCGACGCCGCGAACGACTCAAAGTCGAATTCGGGCTGGGCGGTCGGGGGAGGTGAAGGGTGGCGGTGGCCGAATGCGCGGGAGGGGACGGGGTCGTTCTCGAGTATTGCGTGGAGGTCGGTGAGGTGGTCTGCGTGGAGAGACGAGGGCGAGTACGACGAGAAAGCCGGGGAGGGGTAGTGAGACTCTGGCGCGACGGGGGAGGCGACGCCGCACTCGACGCCGTCGAGGTCCGACGCCGCGGTGCTCGTCGCCGACCCGCTCGAGACCTTGCGGTCCGAGTCCATCGGGTCGTCGCCGTCGCCGTCCTCGTCCGACGAGGCCGTCGACTCGTCGTCCTCGGACATGCCCGCGTCGCTCGCGACGGGCGAGTTGGCGAGCGAGAAGCAGCCGAGCGATTCGGGCAAGCCGGCGAGCGTCAAGGCGCGGGGACGGAGAGAAGGGCGGGGCGGGCAGCCGGCGCCGGCGCCATCGGTAGCTTCTCCTCCTGGTCGTCGTGCTCCTGCTCCTCGCGCTTGACTTGGGTCTGGTGCTCCGGTTCCGGGGAAGGCGGCGGAGGCGGAGGGAGCAGAGCGGCCGTATTGGTCGGTGGCGAGAGACGTTCCGTAGCCAGCGTCGCTGAAGCGACGAGGCAGAGGGATGACAGCAGGGTCGATGGATGGAAAGTGCGGGAACTCGGGCTGCTGCTGCGGGGTGGTGCCGATGCCAAAGGCGTGAAACGAAGGAGGGGCCACCGGGAGGCCCATCGTGAGACCGAGACCCGGGAACGTTGACGAGGAGGAAGTCGAGGGACGAGGAGGAAGGAAGCCCTGCGAGGGCGTGGAGGACGAGGGACCGCCGACGAGGATGTCGCCTGCGCCAATCGCCGAAAAAGACGTCGACGCCATCGCCTGCTCGGAGGAGCCGGCGCGGCCGGACGAGGAAGACGACGAGTCGCTCCCGGTCTTGGGAGGGGTCGGCGGCTTGGCCGTCGCCGAAGCGTTCGATGCGCGCCGTTTCCGCCCTCCTTTCGCCGTCGGTCCGTCGTCGTTGTCACGCAGGTGCAGCCGTCCATGGCGGTGGAGCGTGTCTCTGCGGCGGGAGCGAGAGCGTAAGCGGGAACGAGTTTCGAGGACAAGGACGAGCGGGATCGACGACTGACTGCCTCGCAAACGTCTTGCCGCACTTGTCGCAGGTGTACGGGCGGTCGTTTGTGTCTGTTTGAGCGAGCGAGACAGTGAGCCGGTGAAGCGAAATGTAAGCGTTCGTGGGAAGGGCGACGGGGTCGTGCGCGGTGAAGGGGAGAGCGTACGGGTTCGTTCGTGTCGCTGAGCGTGTTCAAGCTTGCGGAATGTCATATCTGCATGGCGTGCGAGAATGTCAGCTCGCTGTGGTCGTCGCTGTCGTGCGCTCAAGTGGTGCCCTCGGAGTTGGCGAGCCAATGGGACGCGGGCAGCCAGCGCGAGCTGGGGGGCAGCGTGAGTGAGGTGGACTGACCGCAGTACCTGCATGTTGCGACCTTGCCCTCCTTCTTCTTCGGTGGCCCTGCATCCTGCTGCTGTCCTCCAGGCGGCGGGCTCATCGTGCGAGCGGGTGAGCGGGGGGGTTGTGGAGGGACGGTGAGGGGCCCCCTTCGAGTCGCGGTGCTCGAGTGGGCTGAGTGGGCGAGTCGCTGGTCGAGTGTAGCTGGTCACTGCGAGTGTGCACGCTGGTCGCCTGAGCACGGGTGAGCGGGCGAGGCGAGGGAAACGAGCCAGCCAAGGGGCAAGCGGCGCTTCCTCGTCCCTTTACCTCGCCAACGCTTGCACGCTTGCAGGAAGTGGACACTCTCACTGCACAGTACTCGAAACTCGCGTTGTAATAGTTGCAAGCTGCGCCACCCTCTTCCCGCAACCTTCTCCTCCTCCTCGTTGCCCTTCTGGCCGTGGTCTGCTGCACTGCTGCGCCGCTGGTTCGCTCGGCAGATCGTCGAACCGAGGTTGCAACCTGGAACACTGAGACTGTCGGAGAACGCTGTACAAAAGCTCCGGGCGGAGCAGAGCAGCCCGCTCGCGAGCAATTCGAAACAGAGCGAGAGCGAGCAAGCAAGGTTCGTTCGCTGCGTTGGGTGACGCTTGCAGGCGAGCGAGAAGGAGCGTGGGAAGCTCTTGCGCAAACGTACGCAGGCCACGTACGCAGGCCCGCGAGAAGTCTTCGCCAGGACAGGAGAGAGCAGGACGACGAGGAGAAGGACTGCTCCCGCGCGTCGCTGCTGAACGAGTGTGCTAGAAGACTCAGTTTCGTACATTCTCAGGACTCTAGCAAGCTCGCGCTCGTCCTTGACAGCGGTCGACACGCCGCCACTTCTTGCTTCATCCTCGCTTCATCACCAAACAACGAACAACTCGCTCTTCCCGCTCACGCTCGCTAGACTGCGCTCATTGACCGCCAGATCTCGCTCATCTAGACAACCGATCACGCCCTCATGCGCGCGACCCGCCCCACGGCCCGCATGTCGCTCAAGCGCCCGCTCCCCGCCTCGACTCCTCCTCCCGCTCTCCCTCCCGCCATCCCCCTCGCCCCGCCCGCCGAGCGCATCTACCCTCTCGCCGGACCCTCGAAGAAGCCGAAAAAGGGCGAACCGGGCTACGGCGAACCGCAGGAGAAGCGCCTGAGGGTGTTCAAGAAGAGTTGTCCGCTCGCGACGCAGGAACGCGCCGATAGGGTCTTCCTGCAGAGGTTCTTCTGCGTCGAGAGGAATAGGACGGGCGAGATCAGTGAGGAGTTCAAGGTCCTCGGCAGTACGGGCAATTGCTACACCGTCAAGATCCAGCATGAGCCGACGTGCGACTGCCCGGACGGCGCAAAGGGCAACAAGTGCAAGCACCAGGTGCGTAGCTGCTTCCCTCTGCCTCGAAGACCGGCGCTGACTCGCGTTCCCTCACTCGCACAGCTCTTCGTCCTCCTCAAGATTCTCCAAGTCCCGCAGTCTTCGAACCTCTGGTGCGCTCCGCCTCCCCTTCCCCTCCCTGCGCACGCTCACTGACTCCTCGCCATGTCGCACAGGTACCAAGCCGCCCTCTTGACCTCCGAACTCCGCGCAATCTTCGCCAACGCCCGACCCGCCCCGCGTACACAACTCGAGGAACGCGTCGCGAATGTGTATAAGGTCGCGACGGGCAAGGCCAAGGCCGAAGAGGTGGAGGGAGGGGCGGGCGTGAGGAAGAGGGTCCCGCAGGAGGGGGATTCGTGTCCGATTTGCTGTGCGTTGCCGCGCCCTCTCATGCCTTGTGCTCCGTCTGTCGTCTCAGGCGTCGTGAGCTGATATGCGGCGAGGTCATTGTACCGCACAGACGAAGACTTCGAGCCCAACTCGGAGACCGGCCTCGTCTTCTGCCTCTCCCCCTCCGGCTGCGGCAACGCCCTCCACGCCGAATGCTTCCGCAACTGGGCCATGACCAGCAAGCCGACCACCTGCCCGCTCTGCCGCGAAGAATGGAAGGGACCCGATCCCGCCGCGAATGCGGGAGCGGGACCGTCGTTCTCGAGGGAGGGGTATCAGAATTTCGCGGCGCAGGCGGGGTTGTCGGCTACGAGGGATACGAGTACCTGTGCGTTCTCGCGCTCGCTCGCGCTTTCGTCCCTCCCATGCGCCAGGTGTTCGAGCGGGCTGACAATCTTGCGCTGCGGTCCATCCGGAGCAGACTACAACGGTCCCCGCCGCCGCGCAGACGGAGGATGGGCCCGCTACGACTCGGACTACTACGACGGCATCCCCGACGCAGACTACGGCCACAACCCGTACAAGAGGTGGAGGAGGTGGTAGGCTTTCCTCCCTTCCCTGTCCTCGCTTGTTTAGCTTTCGCCTCGCCGCTTCGTACCCTCTCTTCGTTACCGTGTCTCACGTGTTGTGTCGTTCGCTTGCTTGAGTGCTGTCTCGTGCCGCTTGAGTACCCCGTAGTTGCCTTCATTACGCATTGCCATCCTCTCGTCCTCCTCTTCGTCTCTCGGGAGTCCCGCTCACAATCAAGAGGGTTCACGAGTACACGAATAGCCCATTTCAGTCAAGAGCGAATAGAGAGATAGGTAGCAAGACCGCAGGGAGAGACACCTTTGTAAACAAGACAAGGGGCGGAAACGACCGTCTCGAGACGGCGGGCGCTTAGTACGCCGACGAGATGTTGGACGCCTTCTCGTCGGTCATCGAAGCCGACTCGCGGTGCAGAGGCTGGCCGAGCTTGTTGTGCTCCGGCGCCTTCTCGACGTCGTGGTGCGCGTGCGGGTCCATCGCGTCCTCGTCGACTGCGTGCGCAAGGGACACGAGCATCAGCACTCGCTCAAGCGTGAGAAACGAAGGACTAGAGGGACGCACGCTCCTCAATCTCATCGCGTCCACCACCCTTCTCGAACGCCGCCTTTCCCTTCTCAAAGTGCAACCCAAGCTGCTCCCTTCCAAGCAAGCAGCACCCGATGATCCACGCCGCGACGACACCGATGAGGATCGCGCCAACTTTGCCGTACGCGGGCTTGCCGGTAGCCGTCTTGAGGTTCGCGCCGGCGGTCGCTTCGATTTGAGCGGAGGCGGAGGAGACCATGTTGCCGAGTTGGTAGGCGACACTACGAGAAGATGTGAGCGTTAGCGACAAGTACAGGGACTCAAAAAAGGGAGGTGAAAGAGGGAGAGCGGCGCGGAGAGCTGCTGGGGCGAAGGAAGGGATGGAGCGGAGGAAGCGATGCGGGATGCGTGGTGGCTGTATTCGGCGTAGGAGAACGTGGAAAGAGAACTCACCCAGGCCAGACAGCACGGAAGGCGACCGGAGAGAGCTCACTGCGAACGCGGAAAGACAGGAAAGGGCGAAGTCCTCGTCAGCCTCCGGAGTGAATGAGCATGGAACGAAGCGTTTCGTACGCCAAATACACCGGAACGACGCCCCACGCCCTGTACGTTTAGAAGCGTCAGAAGCGAAGCAGGGGACGAAAGAGAGCGAAGGACGGACCCCTGGACGCCCATCTGGACCATGAAGGCTCCCGCCGCGAGACCACCGAAGGACTTGGGGATAAGCCACAGGGGAATGAACGCGCAGGTCCACAGGCAGCAGACGATGATGGTCAGGCGGCGGCCGAGGAACTGAGAGACGTCTGCAGGAGGAGGAGGTCAGGAAAGGTGAGGGTCGGCGGAAAGTTGAGAAACGCACAGCCGGCGATCGTTCCGCCTGCAATAGCACCGCAGTTGCCGATGATAGTCGCAATGGTCGCCTGGTGAGCCGAAAGACCCTTCGAGTCCTGCATGTAGGACGGGTAGATGTCTAGGTGCGAGTTGGGAAGGTCAGCCTGCGTTCATCCTCTGCGACATGCTCAGCGCTGTATTCACCTTGCGAGCCGTGCGAGAAGAAGCTGCGAGCGAGGAGAAGCAGGCGAGCGAGTTAGCAGCAGGCGGCGGAAAGGGGAAGGCGCGAACTCACTTGAAGCCGGTCATGAGGCAGAGGGCGAAGATGCAGCGGACCCAGTGGAGCTTGAGCGCGCGGCCAGCCTCCTTGATGAATATCTTGGACTTCTCAGCCGAGCTGACGACGTTGCCGGACGCCTTCTCCGCCTCGCGACGCTTGAGGAAGTACTCGGACTCGGGCAAGCAGGCGCGGACGATAGCTGCGAATGCCGAGACGGCAGCCGCGAAGTAGAAGAGGATGCGGTAGTTGTTGTGGTGCTTGGGCACGAGGGTGAGGTTGATGACGGCGGCGAGGAGGTACTGAACGAGAAGGAGGTTAGGACGGGCTCAAATGGATGCGAAGATAGCGGACGCACCCCGACAGCGTATCCCTGCTGCAAGATGCCAGAGAACATGCCACGAGCCTCGACGGGCATGTTCTCGAGGCCGAGAGCGGCGGAGAGACCCCAGATACCGCCCATGGCAATACCGAAGAGCGAGCGGACGGCGAGGAAGGTGCCGAACGTCTTGCAGTATGCGGTTGAGAGCGACAAAGCGCCGCAGATGAGGAGGTCGAGAATCAAAGGCCAGCGGCGACCGTAACGGTCAGAGAGGAGGCCAAAGATGACGGCGCCCAGGGGACGGAAGAGGAGGGTGAGGGTGAGGGACGTCGTGATGGTCTTGAGAGGCTTGCCGAAGTAGATCGAGAGCGAATGGTTCGACAGCGAGACGGAGAAGTAGTCTGCGAAAAAGGACGTAAGCCGAAGGACGAAGCAGGAGGCGGAGGCACACGCACCAATGGCATCCACCGTCCAGGCCAGCCATCCCGAGAAGAACAGCATGTACTGCATGAAGGTGAGGGAGCGGAAGATGGCGATGACATTGGTCGACTCGCGACTCGACTTGGGAGGCGGTCGCGGAAGGTTTTCGACTGCGCGAGAGGTCTGTCAGCATCGTTCGCCACTCGTGTCTCTGCAAATCGACGTTGTCGTTGCTGGTGATCTCAAGGAGGCGACACAAGCGTGCGCGGACGTAGCGGCAGCAAAGTCCGACACCCTCGCACGACCTTCATTGTTGTGGCCGTCGTCGCTGAAAAGGATTCGTTGACGTACTGAAGGCTGAGAGGACACCCATGCTGGACAGTTAGACGTCGTCGGCGGGGTGAAGCAGGCGACGAGCAGCGGATCGTGTGCGAAGGAGAGCAAGCAGAGAGGTGTCGACGACGAGGCTGGAGCTCCTTTGCCCCCACCAGACTGCCAGAGGGCCCACCCCGGTGCTCCTGCTCTTGCTAGCCTCGATTGCGCCCCCCTCCGCCCAAAATTGGCTGCGACTCGCGAGGACGAGCAAGGGCTCCGCTTTTCCTGCCGGGCTGATTGGCTCGAATGCGCCCGCCGACGACTCCGACCGGCGCAGAAGTTTCTGCTCTGCAATCAACCCCTGCCGACGGGATCTCGTGCAAGGCGTGGCATGCGGAACGGACTCGTTCTTGCTGGTCCCGCTCGACAGCCATTTCGCAATTGTCGCCCGCCCGCAGAAGAGGTTGAGCCGCCTCCACGCAGCGCCGTGAGCACGCCGCAAAGGCCGCAACGCAGAGCGCTTCTCAGAAAGCTTGGCGACGCCGAAGCGGGCAGACTGTCGGTCGAGAAGCATCCGTCACCCTCTCCACTTGACGACAAACGGGATCGCCCTTCTATCCCGGCTGCATATCTCGTTGCAGCTCGTATCGTGGGGTCAGGCGTCCACGGAACGCCAAGGAGATACAGGGACGCGGCAGGGGATCGCGGACCGATTCCCTCGAGGTGCAAACGCCGGGAGAACTCGCGCTCACTTCGTTTTCGCTCCGCCTGTTCAGCCCGATGCCTTGCTCTGCGCCGGAGCGACCCGACGCAGCTCCGTGACGAGCGTACCGTGCTCGGCGAGGAACCTGGGCGACCAGTCTTCCTCGACGGCGAGGGCAAAGTCGCGAAGGCGAGAAACGTCGAATCCGTCCTCGACGCCCTTGGTTCGCAGCTCGGCGTACGTGCTGAGGAGAGTCCAGACGACCGAGAGAGGCTTCATGCTGCCCGTCTCGTTCATCTTGGCGTGAACGTCGTCGAACGAGAGTGTCGGGTCGCTGAAGTAGCCGAACAGCTCGAGGCGACGAGGCGAGAGAGCGGCGAGGGCGGCTTCGCGGGGAGCCGCATGTTCAGCGTCCGCGGCAGCTGCTGGCGCCTGACGAGGGACGACGTTGCGAGGTGGCGGCGAGTCGGCGAGGGACCGCAAGTCGTTGTGCGCTTCGTCCGGGGTGAGGTCGGCGAGCGAGTGGATCGCGTGCACGACCATCAGCGACGAGTAGACGTCGTTTGCAGCGTCTGTAGACCAAAGAGATCAGCACGAGCTTCATGATCTGGTTCGCTAGACGCACATTCGAGCTGCTGTTCCGAGAGGCGCTCATGCCACCTGCTGCACCTGATGTCGCTATCCTTCGGCAAGTAGCAATCGAGATACGAGCCGACGAGCTGCTGCAGGCTGACGAGGCGTCGATGCGCGATAGTCTCTGGATCGTGCCGGAGGCGGATGCTGTTGAGGTCGAGGACGCCGCGCGGGCTGTGATCAAAGTCCTTCCTGAGCTTGGTTGCATCGCCTGGAGGGTGCGAATCAGCATGGAGAGACTGCGAAAGTAAGCGAATGTGCGACTCACCGCCGATGTTCACGCCGAGCTTGATCTTCGAGTCGTCCTCGATGAACTCCTTGAGCGCGTCCGGGAAGGCTGCGCGCGCACTCGTGAGCCGAGAACAATACGAGGAGGCGGTCAGACTTACCGAAACCCTTGCGCTCCTTGCCAGAATCGCCACATATGCGAGCGACGTGCACGAGGAGGACGGTCTTACGATCGCACACCTGGACGAGGGCGGCACGACGGCTTGACGGCGGACCGTAGATGTTCCACTCGAGGTCTGTCGGAGCAGCGATCGGTCAGCAAGGGAAGGGTTTGCATCCAGCGGAAGCCGTCTCACCGAAACCGAAGGGCCTGCCATCGAAGACGGAGAATGGGTAAGCACTGCAAAGTCGAAGAGAAGGGGCGATAATGAGAACGCACCCCTCCATCGTGGACAGCACCTGTCGGACCTCGTCGGCGTTGGTCGAGTAGATGACCTTGATGTCGCGAGGCGCCCATTCGCGGAAGTTGAACGTCCTGGCCCACTTCGCTCGCGCTGCCGCATCCTTCTCCGCTGAAGCTTGATTCCTGAGAGCCGTTGCCGACAGAGGACGTCCCTTTCGCGTCGTCGCCTTCGGGTCGTTCTCCTTGTCGGCAGCGGCACTTCTGGACCGTGCGGTCGGAGGTTTGCGATGCTTCGATACCGGCTTGGCGGGAGGCGGAGGCTTGGCTGCAGCAGGCGTAAGATGCCCCGTCTCCGCTGCTGGTGCCGAGGAGACGGGTTGGCCGCCACGGAGGTGCAGGTCCTCATCGTCAAGCAGATCGTCCCAATCCATAGCAGCCTTCGAGGTTGTCGCGAAGCTGCGTACTGACGGAGGAGGGAGTGACGGAGAAGAGTTTGTCAAGTCGATAATGGCGCTGCAAGGGCGTAGGGGAGTGCGGCGGCGCGAGGCGGCCGACAGATGAGGAGTGGCAGGGCGCGGAGGAGTCGAGGCGAGGCGAGGCGACCGCGGAGGCCACGCTCCAGCGAGCGGAGCAGCGGCAGGTAGGGTGGGCGAAGAAGGTAGGCGCGAAGTCGTCGGTCGAGGTTGCGCAAGAATCTCGACCGAGTCGTCCAGGTCTGTCGCATCAAAGCCATCCGAAAAGTCGATACCTGAAACGAGGTTCTCGAGCTCGCGGCGATCCAAGGATGGCCCTGGCACCATTAGCGGAGCGGCATCGCTCGAGGACGGCAGGTCCTCCTCGAAGTCCACGCCGTTGACGAGCTCGTCAATCTCCGCTTGCGAGACCTGCGTTGCGCCTCGAGGTGATCGCATCGAGCTTGAAAGTGCGCAGACGCAGGGCGCAGGAGGCGGTAACGCGCTGACTGAGGGAGCTTGAGGGAGGTATGGCGGCATGGCTGGCTGAGGCGCTCCATGCTGGCTCGGCGAGAAGCGGGCGGTACTGTCGAAGCTGTCGTCCTTGTGAGCGCCGGATTCGACGGAAGGAGAAGGAGACGGCGGTTCGAAGCGATGCGAAACCCAAGAGGCGGAAGAACGGTCGAAGGGCGAGTTCGTTCGCGGGGAGGACGGACCTGTCGCCCTCGTAGCGATAGAGTACTCCGGAGGTCGTCGTGGGGAGGGAGTACTGCTTCGCAGAACCGTTAGGCGGAGAGTACTGCTCGAGAAGAAGGGTGCACACCTCTTCCGAGCCTGCTTCTTCGCTGGACTACCCGTCCGGCCAGCGAACGTGCCACGGCTCACTTCCGCGTCCTCATCAACTCTGCCAAAGCGAATAGGATCGCCCGGCGACCATCCTCTCACCGCCCTCTCCTCCCGCTCAGGACGCGAGGCGAAGTGAATCGGGTCGCCTGGCTGCCAGGCCTGCATGAGCTCCTCTCGCGCCGCAGTCGATGTCGAGGAAGAAACTGGCCGACGCGTCCTGGCGACGCAGATGCGGTGAGGTGTTGCGGATGCTGTGGTTGAGCGAGAGGCGAAGCGAAGCATGCGTGTCGCGCGAGCTGGACGGCGGGTGTGCGCGGCAATAGCAATACCTGACCGTATATAAGTGTACAAGCCAGCAAGGGCGCGTCGAGCGACTGGCAAAGCGACGAGCCGAGTATGGTCGCGCTCAAGGGGAGATGTCAACAGCGAAGTCGAGTGCTATCTGCTCTCTCCTGGCGCGGCAGGCATCGCTGAGAACGTATCGATATTGGCAAGTGTATCAACAGTGAAGGCGGACAATAGGCAGAAGTTGGGCGAAGTGAAGGGATTTCAGCGAGACTCGCTCGCTCGACAGCTAGTAGTCGGATTCGCTTTGCTGCGAGAGAGAGAGCTCGTGAGCACACGGGACAAGGAAGTGACTGGAGTGGGCGAACGCACCTGCGACGACTCGTCGTCCTCGTCGTGTCCAAGAACGGCAAAGGCGCGGTCCTGACTCTTCTCCTCCTCCTCGCTGCCGCCTTGCCTGTCCTGCGACCTCCTGTGCCGCTGCTCGAGAGAAGAACGTGTCCGGCTGCGCGAGCGACCTCGCGGCGGGACCGTGCGGAAGCGCTCGGTCAAGTCGTCCTGGATGTCGATGGACGACGCGTTCGACACCATGTCGGCATCGCGAGGCGACATGCTGTGCGCCTGTGAGAAGTGTGATGACGCTGGCGGCGAGGCCGACGAGACGGTGTGGATGGAGGGCACATGGGCGTGCGCAAGGTCGGACGGGCTGATCGAGGGGGACGAGGCGTTTGTCGTGTTCTCGCTGACATCGTCGATGTCGTACTCTTCGGCCGTGTCGTCGCTCTCGTCGTCCCCCTCCTCGTCCTCCTCGTCGACGGCATCCGGCTCTTCCTCCGCCCCACGGTCACCGCCTTGACACGGATCAGCCGCAAAAGTCGCATGCTTGCGCGGGCTTGCGCTCTTGGCGGCGGACGGCGACGTCGGCTGCACCTTCTGCTTCTCCGAAGCCGTGCCGGATGACGAGCGAGGCTTCTTCCGCCCTTCCTCGAGGATGACGAAGCTCTTCTGCCGTTCGCGCTCGTTCCATTTGAGGGTTCGCGCAATCGAGTGGAACCAGTCGGTCGACTGCTTGTCGGCGCAGACGGTCGGGAACGGGTACGGCGAAGCCGTGACCTTGATGTGGTCGCCCTCTGCGGTGGACGAAATTCTGGTCAGTTGCGGCTTGTCGAGGGGGGCAAGAGCATCACTCACGCTTCAGCTCAACCCGTCCTCGTCCGTCGAAGCTTGCCCAGGCCGTACTGCGCGAGTTGTACGGAACGCAGATGCGCAACTCCATGCTGTCGGGTAGAAGCATCGGGCGGAAGGACAGGGTGTGTGGGCAGATGGGCGTGATGAGGATGGCGGGAATCTCAGGGTGAACGAGAGAGCCACCTGCCGAAAGCTGCAGAGGATTCACTGGTCAGCGAGTTTCGGTGGGCAGGGAAGGACCCAGACATACGGAGTAGGCAGTCGAACCAGTCGGCGTCGACACCGTCAGACCGTCGGCCTGAACAGTCGTCATGTGGTGCTCGTCGCCGAATAGCTCGAGCTGGGAGACGTAGGGACTGGGGCCGCGGTCGACGACGAGGTCGTTCAGAACCTCGAAGCTCTCGACCGCCCGAGTCGAGAAGCACTTGATCTCCTTGTCCCGTCCGCCAGGCGCGTTCAGCGGTTTTCCGCTCTCGATGGCGTCCCAACCTTCCCGCGTCAAGCTCTTCATGAAGATCCCGCCCGTCTTGCCGCTCCGGATCGCGCGACGGCGACAGACCGACTCGTCCTCGACGGCGCGGTAGACGGTACAGGTGAACCGCATGCGCAGGTTGACACGAACACCCGTCTCGATAGCGGCATCGAGCGTCTCGCGGAAGTGGGCGTAGTCGAAGTTGGTGAGGAAGCCGAGCGAGCCAAGGGCGAAGGGGATGACCGGCGGAACGATCTGCTGGAAGAGCCACGAGGTGTACAGGACGGTGCCGTCACCGCCGAGCTGCAAGGAACGAGAGATCAGCGGAGGCGTTCTGCGCGAGCGAAGCAAGCTAGGACGCACCGTGATGACGAAGTCGAACAAGTGCGGGCTCTTCCGACACATCTCGTTCGTCCAGTACCGCAGCTGACCCTCCTCACCATCTGCACCCTTCTTCGCGGGATGGGTCGAGTCGCCCGTGACCGAGGTGATCGAATTGTTGCGCTTGAGGAGCGCCTCGCCAAGATTCGTCATCGTCAAGGGTGTCAGGGCGCCTGGTCGTGCGGGCGTCGATGCACCGTTGGCGGCGCGTAGAGGACCGGTCTCCGTTGCGAGCGAAGCGGACGAGGCTGTTCGAGAGTAGCGGCGGTTCGGTAGCGGTCGCAGGAGCTCGGGGTGTTCCCGCTCAATTCCGGCTGCGTCGAAGCGCTTGGACTTGCGCAACTGCGAGTCAACGTAGCTGGAGGAGTACGAGACGTCAGCACGAGTCTCGAAGAAAAAGCCGGCGAGGGAGGGTACTTACACAATGAGACCGCGGTCCTTTCCGTTTCGCGGCGTCTGCATCAGCCACAAGGCCAACTCGCGCGTTAACCGGGTGAGCTGGTTGTCCCGAGCCTTGGTGACGATCATGACAGACTGGATGTGCGAGACGACCCTGGCTCGTCCTGCACGACCTGGATATCAGCATCGATCCAAGCAAGCACTCGTCGAGACTTACCGAGCTGCTTGCTCATCTCACGCACGCTGACAGCCGTCTCTGCGAGCTGCCGCGTCCAGTTGTTCTTCTCATCGTCGCTGTCCTCCTCACTGCCCGACTCGGACTCGGCGGCCTGCTCCGGTACCGGCGGCGTAGACGACGCTCCGTCCTCGCCCAACCGCTTAGCTGTCGCATCCTTTGCCGACTCGCTCGGTTTCGCTCGGGGCTTCTTCCGCCCGCGAAGGTACAACTCGCCCTTGTCTCCCGAGAAGGGGCTGCCCGAGTCCCGCTTCGCGACGTTGTGGAGCGTATGGTCGAGATGCGTGTGGACGAAGCAGGGACTGGCGAGCGAGGGAGAGTAGCCGGTCGTCGCAGGCGCTGAAGCGGAAGGCGTCGTCAGGCTCGAGTGGTTGACCCGCGGCGGCGGGGTCGCAGAATGGTCGCGGTCGATCTGCTGCGACAGGTGGGATGGTCCTGCAGCCTGACCATATCCTTGACCAGCCGGACGAGGGTGCGAGGGGTGTCCAGCGGGATCGGCGGGGAATGGGAACTGGCCAAGAGTGCGGTGAGTCTGCGCGCGACCTGGGCTGACGGGTGCGGTGGATCGGGTAGGAGATGCCAAGCTCGTCGAGATGGACAGCGGCGTCTGGTGCGCCCGACTCGAGTGCATGCGGAGGTAAGGCGGGGACGATGCGCCGGAACCGCTGGGAGAGGCAGAGCGGCTCGACTCGGGTGCCAAGGGCGATCGTGGAGGTCGATAGTCGACGCTGCTCATCGTCGAATCGTTCCCAGTGCCCCGCTGAGCGTCGATTGCCGCGACAGAGGGAGGCCGGGGTGTGCTGATGCGACGGTCGTCGGCGAACGTTCCGGAGTCCTGCACGGCCGGGCGAGGCGTGTCCTGCGGCCTGGCGGTTGTTGATGTCCCTCGCAAGTCTTCTGCCGTGCCTTTGTGAGCGTGAGCGAAGCGAGTCGTGGGCGAGTCGCTGTCGTCGGTTGCAGCCTCGAAACTGATGAGAGGGAGAGCGAGAGGTGGAGGTCGTTTGTGGGCGGGTGTGCGGCTCGCTGGGCCAATCACTGAGCTCGTCGAGGAGGTGAATGGATCTGCAGAGCTGTCAGACGAGGGATCGCTGGCGGGAGCTGCGTGAGCGAAGCGAGGGAGGTCAACCCGCGGAATCGCGGAAGGAGTGAGGAGGTGGGGCACATGGCATGGCTCGTTGATAGGGAGCTCATAGGGGCCAGCCGACCTCGCAAAGGCCTTGGAGACTCACTGGAAGACTTCCCGCGGTCCCACTCTTCGGCTGCTCTCCTGCCATCACCTCGTCGTCGTCGCCGAACGAAAGTCGTCGAGTGCGAGGACTGGGGGTTCGGGAGCGCGCCGTATGCCCACGATGGACTCAATGAGGCTCGAAAGGGAGTCACCGAGCGAGAACAGCACGGAGCAAGGTGAAAACGGGAGGACAAGCGCAGGCGAACGTTGCACGAAGCGGTTTCTCCCCCTCACCAAAGCGTGTGGCTCTTTCTTCCGGCTGTATAGGACGCCTGAGGTGAGCAGAGTCTTTGGATAAGTAGAACCAGGCAGGGCGAAGCCAGCCTCAGGAACGAAGAGGTCCACCAAAAAGCCTCTCGCGAGGTCCAAGGAGGAAAACGATGCAAAGACTTGATTAGACGGCGAGTACGGCCCCGACGGTTGTCTACTGATGCACATGCACTGCCTGTATAGACGGCCAACACAGCGCCCGCGAGACCAGCTCGGCGGAACGCAACCCAAACACTTGAACCCTCTAACTCGCCCGCGATCCTTTCCTTCCCATCGCCCGACTAAGCAACCCGCCCTTCGTGCTACTCGCCCTGCTACTCCCTCCTTCGCTCTCATCACTCCGCACCACCCCGCTGATGCTGCCTGACCCGCGATCGCCCGGTCCTCCGCGACGACTGCCACTTCCTCCGAGCCCGAACGAGCTGAAGCCCGCCGTGCTCGCCCTGCGCCCGCTCAGCCCTGCTGCTCCGCCACTGCTCCCCGCGGCACCTGCTGAGACCTCTGCCGAGATGCTGACGCTGCTGCTCGACGCCGTCAAGCTGCGACCGGACAAGACGGTCAAAACGCTGTGCGCCGAGGTCTGACTCGTCTGCATACGCATGAGCGGCGCAGAGAAGCCACTGAAGGACGACTCGAAGGGCGTGCCGTCTTCGTGCGAGGTCGGCGAGAGCGAAAAGTCATCGTCGACCGCGGCCGGCGAGTCGCCGTTGACGAGTGAGAGAGCCGTCGTCGCATCCGGCTCGTAGCTTGTGGTCGTGGTCGTCTCCTGGGTGATGCGGATGCGACTCGTAGGCGCCGCAACGGGAGACGCCAGCTGACTCGAGCGCGAAGTCGAGCTGGTTCGCGTCGAGGCCGATGTAGAGAGCGGTGCCGAGGGTGTCGCGGAGGGCTTGTTCGACCGGTTCGGCGGGAACGCGCACTCGGAAGGGGCGAGGATGCTGGCTGCTGGAATCGAGCGACTAGCGTAGACCTGCGAGCCTTCGTAGGACGGTCGGCTTGGCTGGTTCGCATACCCCGACAGACTCGTGAGGGTGACGCTTGTCGGCAGGGGTGATGGCGAAGCGGCGCCTTCGCGGATGTCGTCGCTCGACGACGAGCGCAACGACGCCAGGAGCGAGAGATCTTCGGTCGAGAACGACTTCGGCGCTCCTCCTTGCAACAGACCGCTGATCCCGCCTGCGCCCGCCCCGTTGATGGTAAAAGCCCGGTGATTCCGCCGCGACATGACTGAGTCGTTCGACTCGACGCTGACGTCCCTCACATGCGTGCGAGCGAGATCGGCGCTGACCGCCTCGACGTCCTGCTCGACCGACTGGCTCGTCGGTTTGCGGATGTACAAGTCCTCAGAGCCAGTCGACTCGGCTCGCGCATTGCGATCGGTGCCAGCGAGGCCGAGGGAGCGTCGCAAGCCGGCTGTCGACACGTTTGACGAAGCGGTTGGCGGCCGGCCGGTCATGGCACGCTTCGCACGCATCTTCGGGTCCGGCGTCTTCATCCGCACGTCCGGATACTGCGCCGCAGATACGAGTCCACCACCTCGCCGCCGTGACTCGCTGTAGATGTCGAGGCAAGCATCGGCGAAGTCGACGAACTGCCGAGAACGTCCACCCCGGGACGAGGCGATGGACGGGGTCTCGCAGCGGTCATTGTAGGACGCAGTCGACTCCTCGACGATGGGCCCTTTCTCCGCTGCAAGGCGTGCGACGCGAGCAGCGAGCGCACCGAGCTCGCGTGGAAGGTCGACCAGGTGCGGCAAGAGAGGAACACCCTCCTGCACGAGGGGCGAAAGCGAGCTGCGGAGGCGATAGGGCGCGAGGTATGCGGGAGCGTTCGGCGAGGTCCATTCCTGTCGGAGGACGGCCGATGACCCAGGAGTCGAGACGTGTTCGAGAAAGTCGACCAAGGCGGCGTGGTTCTCGCGGACGAAGGCGTTCATCGGCAGCATCCAAGGCTCCTTCTGGCCGAAGGACGAGAAATTGGCGAGGCCTTGGAGAGTCTTCGCGACGAGGGTGAGAGTCCGTTGGGCCTTCGGGTCCGGCGGATTCGAAACGATGAAGAAGAGCTTCGGGTTGAGAACGGCGGGGACGAAGAAGCGCAAGAAGATGAAGGCGCTGACGCAAGTCCAGCGAGTGTTCTTCTGGTCATCGCTTTGGCCGTACTTTTCAACGACGACCGTCTGGATGTGCTTGAAAATTTGGCGCAGATCGCTGCGGTTGAGACGATGTCAGCGGCAGAACACGCTGCTCGGGAGAGAGCGAATACGCACTGCGGACACTTTTCTCGCGCATCGTAGATCGAGTTCCACAGAGTAAGCGTCCACTCGTGCAGGGCATGCGTGTTGGCGAGCAGGTCCTTGTCTTTCGTGCCGGGCTTGACCTTCATCGGGTCGATCTCGATCTCGACCTTGTCGGCGCAGATGCGGCGGATAACGTTGCCGATAGACGCGTCGAGATACTCGGCGCCGATGAGGCGAAGATACAGCTCGATCGTCTTGGTGAGAATCGTGTTCCCGCGGAACAGGATGGCGGCGGAGCGGTTATTGCGAGCATTACTGTCGATCTCGAGGTCGGCCAGGCGGAGAACCCGTGGCAGGAGAAGCGACTTGGCGGAGTAGACGCGAAGCAAGATGCGAGTGACTTCCTCGAGGTCCGCCGGGAACTCGTGCGCAATCTCGCTGGCGAGGTCGGCTTCCGGATCGTCGGTGAGCAGCTGTGGAGAAGAGCGAGTCAGCTATGCACCGAGAAGCAGGGAAGGAAGAGCGCAATGCACATTCAGGATCTCCTGGTAGTCTCTGCTCGGCAGCACGACTTCCTCGTTGATCTTGAGAGACAAACTCAATTCGCCGACTGCGTCAGAGCTCTTCGATGGGTTCGCCGGCTTGACCGCCCACCAGTCCTCGACGATCTGCTGCCGAGGCAAGTCGGGCACACGGACGGTGGCTGTGCCGATGAGCAACGGTTTTGTCGCATGCTTCGACGAGGACTGGAGGACGCGGATGCTGATGGGCGAGACGAGTGGCGGCAAGTCGGAGAAGACGAAGGTCTCATTCCAGAAAGGCGAAGTGCCTTTCCGGACGGCAGTCTGCGCAACGACTTCGCCGCCCATCTCGATCTCGCAGAACGCCTCGGACGACGATGACGAGGAGCCATCGCCGCCGGCGCCGCGTGAGTCGTGGCTTGCCCGCGAATGCAGACGCGGCATGGCCATGGACGAGACCGACCTGGCCGGCGAAGCCTCTGGTCCGAGCGAGCTGCTGTCGAAGCTGCTCGTCGTCAAGTCCGGTTCGTCCTGCGACGGGCGCTCCCACGACGCCTTCGGGCCTGGCCGGACAACCTCCGTAGCGAGTTCTCCCAGCGCCCGACCCTCATTGATCGAGACCTGCAAGCTCCTGAAGATCCGGCAACTCGACTCGAGCTCGTCTGCCTTCCCGTCCGGCTCGCTGTCGCTGCCACTGTCGGACGAGGCGGGGAAGCCGCTCGGCCCGCCTCTTCGCGCAGTCGAGGAGCGGAACGGGCGAGGGGTGGCGGCGCCAGATGAAAGGTAGAACTCGGGCTGGGCGAAGCAGTGCGCCATGACGAGCCACACTTGCGTCGCGATGATCGAGGGAAAACAGAGGTAGACCGAGTCGTCAGAGCGGGAGAGGGTGATTGAGGAGGAAGACGAAGGGAGGAAAGAGGCTCGTCGAGGAGTGCTGGGCGAGACGGCGGGACGAGCGATACTGATGCAGTTTGGTCGGCCGAAAAGCGAATGGTCGACGAGATGGACGTCGGTTCGGCGGAGAGAAGGGAGATGGACCGAATGAACGACGGTTTTGTCGCTCTGCAATCGTCGACGTTAGCGCGCGCCTAGAAGCTATTCAGGAGAAATGGACGTACATCTGCGAAAACCCGAAAGAAGCCATCGTCACGTAAGACTGCCGTAGCCCGGCGCCATCTGCCATCGCGCGAGGCAGCCGCTGGACCAGCCGGCGCCTTGTCCTTCCCCTTCTCCTTGCTCTTGTCCTTTTCCTTCAACGAGCTCGGCTTGCTGCCGCCGCTCTTCGAGTCCTCGACGTTGAAGAGGAGGGCTTCGGCGGGCGAGAGAAGGTGATGCGCTGATTCGCGCTTGTTGCTCTTGCGCTTGAGAGCGGCGGGGACCTGTTCAAGCGGAGGTCGTTAGCCAGCGCTCGACAGTGGCAGTCAGAGCGGCACGCACGTCGCGGATAAGAGGCGCCTTGCTGAACTTCCCGCTCATCGCCGCAAACCCACCAACTGATCCGCTCGCGCTAATTCCGCCCGAACTTCCCGGCTTCACCTCGCGCTGCCAGACCCAACACGTCTGGCTCCACTCCCTCGACTCTTTCTGCCTCGTTCTCCGCTCCCTGTCCCTTCCTCCCGAACCGCCCTCCAGGCCATACTCGGTGCGCGCACTCGCACTCCCCGACATCCCGCTGCCGCTGAAGCTGGCGCTCCCGCTGTGAGATTTCCCCTCGCGACCATGCGAGGACGACCAGGGCCCTGTTGCGGCGGACGAACCGACCGAGCGGATTGAGCGAGTGTCGTCTTCCTGCGGAATGGAAGGGGACGGTGCGGGGGAAGGCGCGCCGGGAAAGAGCGGGATCCCAGACTGGACGTCTCGTCGACCATCAGAGGACTGTCGCGCGCCGAATGTTGGTGCAGGTGCTGAAGCGGGCGGCTCGACAGGCGGTGAGGTTCGAGGCGGATCAGGCGTGATGGCGCGGTGGCCCGCAGCTACGGCCGACGCAGCCTCTGCATTTCGCCTCATCTCCTCCATACTTGCGCGCTCCTTTATACGCTGCGCTTCCTTCTCGATATCCTCGCGCAGCCTCGCAGCTCGCAAGTTGCTCGCTCGCAAAGCGCTGCTCCCGCCGGAGAGGACGCTGCTGTGCCCGCTTCGGATCGAGAGCGAGTCGGCGTCGGCGTCCGCCTGCGAGGAGCTCGACCCCCAGGGCCGCTCGTCCGCCAGAGCGCCGACCTCGCGAAAGAAGGTGAGGTCTTCGAGGGGCGTACGGTTGTTGACCGGCGAACGAGGGAGCAAGCGGAGGGGTGAACCGCTCCGTGCAGTGTCGGGAAGTGGAGAAGGGGTAGGTCGGGAGCGACTTCGAGGGGATGCCGGCGTCGAGCGAGAATAGGAAGCATAGTGGGCGGATGAGGAGCGGTAGACGTCGGGAGAGTGTGCGCGGTCAATGCTGCTGTTGTCGTCGTACGTTTGTGCGGAGACAGTCCGAGTACGACCCCATTCGCCCTGCGAGACGGAGGGAGTCGCATCGTCGTCGAAGTCGTGCCTCGAGCTGTAGACGTCCGACAGCGCCGACGGCGACCTGACGGTTCGCGGATCGTTCGAAGAGCCGGGAGCGGCATGCGTCGAGTTGAGCGAGTGAAGGGACCGATTTGAGGATTGATGCGAGAGGTGCGAGTGCGATGAGGCGCGCGAGGTCGTTCGTGGGGGAAAGCCGCCGCTACTGGATGGTCGGGGTCCGTCCATCTTGTCCATCATCGCCTCGAGCATGTCTGCGAGCCAGCGACGAGTTAGCCGGGACATCGTTTGCGAGGTGCACTCCCGTCTGCCGTCCAGACCTCCAAGGTGTGCAGATTCGCTTGGATCCGGGATACTCACCCAGCTCGTCCTTCGTAGGCTGCGCCCTGCTGCTGTGCGGAGCCATTCCTCCGGTGAATGAGCCGTCTGCACGCACAAGCCTTCCCTCGTCCTTCGACCTGCTGGTGCCCGCCTGACAATCCTCCAGCTGCTAGTGTAGTTCCCACAAGCCACTGCCCCGCTAATCAGGCTGCTCGTGCGGTAGCGTTGCCTCGACGGGCGATGAGGGCTGGTCGGCGGGATGTGGAGAACGAGCGGGCCGTCTCGCGCACCGGGACGAAGGCGGAGTAGCTACGCGGGTTCTGCCGCGTCACAGAACAGTCCCAGCAAGCCGATCTAGCGTACGAACAGCTGAGCGAGGTGGTGAGCGTCGTGGTCGAGGCCAACGGGGAGGTCGAGTGGGAGGGGTTCGTCCATCTCTCCTCGAGCGCTCCTTTCTATAGATGAACAGTATAGCTATTCTCCTCGGACTTGACTACTCAAGGAACCCGCGCAAACTCGCGGAAGCAGAGGACGAGACGCTTTCCTCCTCGCTCCTCTCGTGCAGCTTCTCTCTCGACCACTCGCGTTGATCACTTTGCTGTGCTACGCTGTGTTGTCATACTTGACTCAGCATGCTGCTGGGCGCTCGCTCTATGACCGCACCGCCGAGCGACGCCGCGACCCACCGTTCGCGACTCTCCTCGACGCACTCGACGCAACTCGCCTGGACACGACTCCAGCCCGCACGCCAGGACGGCTAAGCGCGCTATTGCTCAGTGCAGACGGCGTTATCGCAACCTACCAAGCGCCAGCAGCCCTCGACCCGGCAGCCACGACCCATCGTTGCTCCCCTTCCGCATCCGGCGCACCTCCTCGCACCACGCACTTCCGCATTCGAAGCAAATGCTCGGCCGAAGAAGGATCATTGACGCTCAGGACAGAGCTCGCGTGGCATCGAGGCAGATGAGCGGGGGCTACGCCAAACCCTCCTCGCTCCGCTTGCCGTCACTTTGTCCGGGTCTTGCTTTGCTACGCCTGGGCTTGATCCCGCTTCTCCTCCCACCATGCCCTTCCTGCGGGCTCTGCGCTCTTCTCCCCTCCCTCACTCGCTGAGCGACAAGCCGGCCGGTCCGCTCTCCTCGCACGACGCCGACTCCTCTGCCGCCGCCATGCTGGTCATGCCGCAGCCCGCAGACACCCTCCAGGCTGGTCCCAGGAGGCTGAAGCGCGACGACAACAAGTTGAAGAACAGGGTGCGTGCAGTGGGAGCCGCCATCAACGTCAGAACTGACCGTTCCGGACAACAGGTCTCGATGGCCTTCAAGAAGCCCTTCTCCTTGTCCAAGCCGCCGCGCTCGCCTGAACCCCATGTCGCCCCGTCGCACCATCCTCCTCCTTACTCTGCCGCCCAGCCGGCTTCTCAACCGAAGACTCGACCCTCGACCGCCCCTCCGGCTCGCCGTTCCTCAGCTGGCAGCGGAGGACGCAGCAACAAGCCAACGCACCCAGCGTCGGACGGACTCGTCGCTCGGCGCTCCCACATCGGCGCAGGCGCCGTCGGGACGTCGCCTCCTCTCCCGCCCCTTCCTGCGGCGACGCCTCGCGTGACGGACGCCCAGGCGATCCAGCTTCTCGGCGCCGACTTGAGCGCGCAGCTCAACCCTCTCCTGCCCCGGAACTCGTTCGGTCCCGACTTTCAGCAAAGCATGAACGGCTTGGGAATTGGTATCGAGCAGCAGATGCAGTCGCAGTCGAGGACGAGAACGCCTTCGCCCGTTTCGACGCCGCCTCCGCAGGTTGAGATCAAGCCGTTGCAGATCAGGCGCAGGTCGCCTTCGCCGCCAACGGGTCAGCCGCAACAGCGTCCGCTCACCATTTCGGGCGACCTCGAGAAAAGGCGGTCTTTGCTCGTCAAGGACAACGGCCAGATGACCGAGGCCAATCGTCGACTTTCGATGATGAAGCGCGGGCCGCCTATCCTGTCGTCCGCCTCCGCAAACAGCTCGACCTCGACGCTCGAGGTGTCGGCTTCGGCAGCTGCTCATGCCGTCGACTCGCTCGAGCCGAAGATCGTGACGCTTCCGCCTCGCGTACCGTCACCTCTCGCCGTACCGCCAGTTCAGGCGCTGCGAGACGACGATGCAGCTCTCAGCAGTCGCGACAGGATCGCCAAGCTGCGAGGCGGGCGTTCGAGTCTCTCCGGCGCTTCGGGTCAAACGGCGCAAGCTGCAGGCGTTGCAGCTCTTCGCGCGGTGAACAGGAAGGACGCGACCAAGAGCCACACCATTGCGGATGCGCCGGCCGGCTTCGACGTCTCGTTCGTCCAGAACGCTGCCAAGTCGACCTACACGCCTCTCAAGCCGCTTCATCTGCCGGCCGCTGCAGCGAGGTCCGCCGCGCCTCTCCACCCGGTTGTGGTCAAGTCCACTCTGCCTCCGCCGCCAGTCCCGCCTGCGCCCAAGTCGAGCAACCGATACTGCCTGCGACCGACTGTCGACGCAGCGACGCAGACACCCAAGTGTTGGGCGAACATCTCTTCGGCTTCAACGGCGAGGCCAGCGGTTCGCAACCACCGTCGCAGCTGGACTGCATCGGTTTCGACGCCGCCGCAGGCGTACTCGTCTTTCCCCGTCCCGTCACCCCTTCCGCCGCCTGTCCCGCCTCACGACACGCCGCCACAGAAGCACACCATGCCATCTCCGTCCATCTACTCGGTCGCGTCCTTCGACATTCGCCCATCTCGCAACGGCGGGACTCGCGCGAGTCGAGCCGGCCAGGCTTCGCTCTTTGGCGGGACGGAGGATCTCGACGAAGTTGTCGAGAGCGTCGAGGAGCGCTCGCCTGAAGCGCAGGCCGAGGCGACACCGGTCAATTACGACGTGCCTTACCTGTCGCCCTTGCCGGACGAGGCGTCGATGCGGGCGTTCGACTTGCTCGCCACGCCAATGCCGCTCTCCCTCCCTCAGTCGTCCCCTACTCCGCCGGCAGCATCGCGTGGAGGGCAGTCGCCTGTCGACGAGAGCACCCCGACGGTCACGCCGGTTCCGCCCGCCTCCTCCGCGTTCGTTCCGACAACCCCGCGCAGCAGCTCACCTGTTGCGGCGCACAACTTCGCCTGCACTCGCACTCGCTCTCGCACGCCCTCGCCTGTCCCTGCGCTGTCACACTCGCACTCGAGCAGCTCCGACGAGTCTGAGCCGGAAGGCGACGAGACGGCAAGCTCGTCTCTCTCGCAGCGCAGGCCTAGCGAGCCTCTCACCCCGCCGACATCTGCGACGTCCAGCACATTTCGTTCGGACGACATTGGCCGCGAGGACGACGAGGACGATCTTGACGAGGCAGCGATCGTCACCGTTCGTAAGGCGTCGCTCGTTGCGCCCCAATTGCGCAAGGCTTCGCTCGTCACGCCGCCTGGCTCGCGTCCGCAGTCTATCCTCCTCCGTACTCGACGAATCAGCTCGACTGGCTCGCTTCGCAGCATCGAGGAGGTCCCGCGCAGGCCCAGTGTGGAGAGCGCAAAAAGCCCGTCGCGCTTCCACCTCGACTTGCCTGGCCAAGGTGACGTCCCGCCCATCCCCGCTGTGCCATCGCCAATTAGGCGCGAGCTCAATGAGGCGGGCTTCCCCTTCCCTTACACGCCGTCGAAGGAGATCTCGGTGGAGTTGGGAGCGCCGCAGGGAGACGCGGTCAAGACTGAGGCGCCTCTGTCGACCGAGGACGTGCTCGCCATGCCTGTCATCATTCCTCCTACACCTCTCGACGCCCCTCTCCCTCCGCCTCGACCCAGCTCGCCCTTTTCCGCCCTTCTCGCTCTCGACACCGTTCGTCCCGCCTCCGCACCGCCCGAGGAATCGCCTTCTCTCCCGCTCCGTCGACAGAGCGAGTCGGACAAGCCAATCTTGCGCTCGCGGACGCCCGGAGCGACGATGAGCAGGGAGGAGCGTGCGGCGAAGGGACGGAGCTACTTCCTCGTGCAGGCGCTGATGGGCGAGACTCAGCCCGAGGGAATGGTGAGGGACTGGGCTAAGGATGAAGACGACGACAGTGATGACTGTGCAAGCATCTTCGGCGGTCGGGCGGAGGTCAGCGACGGGGAGATGAGCGACATGGAGGACGAGGTGAACTAGACATCTGTATCCGACGACCCTCATGTAGCCTCATAGTCTGTTCATCGGCATGGAATGCCTTGTCGCATTCTCTGTTCGTCTGCATGAGTCGCGAGAAGGAAAAATGCCTTGCAAAGCAGGGTCGGGCATATTGCGAGAAGTACGGCGCTGACTAGTCGCACAGAACGAAAGACGAAGGTATGGCGGCGGAATCGAGTGTCCATCAGGGTATCCAAGACGGCGAGGAGGCGAGGGTTCCAAGAGAAGCGAGGGATCAGACGACAGCGTGGTGTTTTCGCTGCGGGCAAGTCTGGGCGTGCATCGTCTCGTACATATCCCTGCGAGGATTCCAGATCAGCGCATGCTCTATCGAAGCAATGGAAGGAGGACGCACTCGAGAGCGTCGGCGTAGCGCTTGACCTCGCGAGCCTTCTCCTCGAGAACGTCGATGCTCTTCTTGAGGTGGGTGGCGAGCATGCGACGCTTGTTCGTGTCGGTCCGCGAAGTCATCGCCTGGTACTCGGCGGTCAACTCGAAGTAGATCCTGCAGGCGAGGGGAAGTCAGTAAGCGTCTTCTCGAAGGAGGCAAACGAGGCGAATCACTTCTTCTGGACAGCAAAGTCCTCCTCAAGACGGTCGAGCACAGCCTCGAGCGTCCGCCTGTGCTCTTCACGCTCCCTCGCCTTCTTCTCCCTCGCCCGTCGCTCCTTCTCAGCCGCCTCACGCCGTGCCTTCTTCTCCCTCTCCTCGACCTTGACCCGCTCACGCTCCTTGCGCTCCCGTCTCCGCCTCTCGCGCTCCTCGTCAACGGGCGCGAGGTCCTCCTCGTCCGCGTCGGCTCCGTCTCCGCGACTCCTCCGCCTCGAAGTCGGCGAAGCACCCTTGAGGCCCTGCTTACGCCCGTGGCAGTTCGCGCACAAGTTTGCGCTTGGCTCGTCGAGGAGCACGACGCGATCTTTCCGCGCACGAGTTGACGGGCGAGTCTTGCGGCGATGTTCGTGCGAAAGGACTGACTCGAAAATCCGCTCAGCACGTGCAAAATCGGGCTCGTCGGCAGAGTCGAAGGATGAGGTGGCGGAGAGGGTCGTGGCGGACGTGGCGCTGACGAAGGAAGCCTCGGACGCTTCTTCGGAGTAGGAAGGAACGTAAGTCGAGTCGTACGAGGGTTCGGCGGGAGCGAGAACGGGATCCGAATGGCGAGGCTGCGGTGGATAGATCTGATCAGCCTTGCTTCACATGCAGAACAGATATGACCGGGGCGCACCTTGCTCTTCGACTTGCTCATCCGCCTCGCCTCCTCGCGCTCGACATCCCGCCTGAGCGCCTCGACCTCCTCCCTACTGATCCAACTCTCCTCGCTAACTGGCGTCTCAGGGACGTCGCCGACACCGACACCGACTCCATCCTTCCTGATTCTCGCAGGCTTGGGCGTCCGCTCATCCTCCTTCTCCTGACGACGAGCCAACTGTTCCCTCCTCTCCTCTTCTTCAGCCTCCCACTTCCTCCCCGCATCTCGCTCCTCCTTGTCCCTCAACAACTCCTCCACGACCGCCCGAACTCCATCAACCTCGAAGCCGAGCGCCGAGAGCGCGTGCTTCAGGTCTTGCACTTCGGAGCGGAGGGCGTAGTCCGTTTCGCGCGGCTTGGGAGAAGAGGTGGGTTGCGCGGTGGCGGCGGCGGCGGCGGCGGCGGACGAGGCTTGGCGCCGGAGCGCATCGAGCGAGGTGCGGTGCGAGGCGAGGGTTGCGTCGAGGTGGGCGTTCTGAGCGCGAAGGGATTTGACGACTTGCTCGAGTTCTGTGAGAATCGACCTCGATGTCAGAATCAACTCGTCGCTCCGTGAATCGAAGCAGCCGCCGAGGAGTCCGTGGAAAGCGAAACGCACCTTCCCTCCTCTCCCTCTCCTCGCCCAACAACCTCTCCACCTCAACTCTCACCTTCCTCCTCTCGTCCTCATCTACCCTGTCTCTGACCTGGTTCTGATTCTGCGAGTGCTGAGCAGCCCGCAACCGAGCTTCGAGTTCGGCGACGCGCGCGGCGGAAGAGGCGTTCTCGGATTCGAGGTGCGCGAGTTTCGAGGTGAGGGAGGAGAGGGCGTTGGTGAGGAGGTTGGCTGCACGCACGAAGACCTGTCATCAGCTATCGCGTTCTCGCAAGGCAGGGGACCGAACAGCAAGAGGGTAGCGAATCGCGCAACGCACCTTCCGTACTCCTCCTCCCCTCGCTACTCGACCCGCTTTCGCCCCTCTGTCCCGCCTGTGCCTGCGCGGGCATCCTCCTCCTCGCCGGCGTGACCCCACTCCTCGCCTTCTCCGGACTCCTCAAGAACTCCGTCAACCCCGTCTTGTCCGGCAACGCCGTCCTCACGCTCCTTGTACTCCTGTTCGCTGCATTGTCGCGATCGTCATCGCCGTCCGAGGAGGTGACGTAGTCTTCGATCACTACGCCGCCTGTTCGACTGGTCTGAACAGATTGGAGCGGAGACCTTGCCTGCGCCGAACCATTCTTCGGCGACCGCGCCACGAAAGACGGACTCGACACCCCCGTCGTGGTAGTCGTGTTCTGCGCAAGGATAGGCGAGTTCCGACCTAGCGGCGAGGGGCGGTGTGGGATTGCTGAACGGACAGGAGCTGAAGCGGGCGAGGGAGCGGCGGGGGAGAAGGAGTGGAAGGGGGATGTGCGGGGTGGAGGGATCGAGGGGTACGAGGCGGAGCGGGCGGGAGGGACGTTCTCGTTGTTGGTGGCGGAGGAGGGCCGAGGACGAGGAGAGGAGGAGAGAGGGGTTGTGCCGGCGGTTGCGGCGGCGGACGAGACGAACGGGCGAGGAGAGGCGAAAAGGTTCGTCGATGCTGCTGGAGCGCGCGAGAAGGGAGACGAGCGAGCCGGCGCAGGAGCGGCGGCTGTAGTTGCGGGAGCAGCCGGCCTGGCGGGCGAGGCGACGGGCGACTCGTCCGTCCGCGGGATCGTCATGTACGTCAAGTTGTCGTCCGTCGTCTCGGCGTTGTTGTCGTCGAGCGCAGCGGCGAGAGACTGGTGCTGAGCGGTGGTGCGTGTGCCGGTCAACCCGATCTTGAGGCTGCCAAAGCTGCTGGCGCTCGACCGGCTCGCATCGCTCGTGGACGACGCCGACTCGTCGTCAAAGCGCCTGTTGCGCTGCTCCTCACCGTCGACGGACGACCCGGAAGTTGACGAGAGGCGGGCGTTGCGCAGTTCCTCCATCTCGCGCTGGAAACTCGCCTCTGCCCTCCTACGCGCGAGCTCGGTGTTGTCCGCCTCGATGACGTACGCGTGCCCTGCACCTGCTCCGAGCCCGTCGAGGTCGGACGCCTTGAGCGAGAAGCCGCTGCCCCGACTGTTTGGCCTGTCGCCGCCCGCCCTGTTTGTGTCCATCTGCGCGAGCCCCGCACGCTGTCCGCCCGCGTACCCGCCGAGAGAGTGCATCTTTTGCTGGTGAGTGTGCTGCGCGCTGCGCTGTGGCTTGAGCGAGGTGAGGGTGGTCGTGTTGAAGGATGCGCCGGACGGCGGGCGGGTCGGGGTGTCGTCGACGAGCGAGTGCGAGTTGTGGCGGGTGTGTGGGCGCGGGGTGGTCGATGCCATTCCCTGGGGCAGTGAGTGTGGCCCTGCGATGCGGGTGCAGCGGTGATGGACGAGGTCAAGAGGTTGTTTGTTTGGCGAGGGCGAGAGGGTGGGTTGTCCTGCTCGGTTGGCGGGAGTGGGTTTGCTCTGTGTGTGGGTGTACTCTGAGTGTGCGTGCGAGTCTGTCACTGCGAGCCAGCCAGCCCAACGAGGCGCAGTGCGACGAGCAGCGAGGCCTGCCCCAGCCTCAGTGAGCCATTTCGCCGCACGTGCACCGAATTCCCTTCCCTCGTCCTCCTCGAGACTCACTCTCACTGCTGCTGCTTCTCGCTGCTGGCACGCTCAGATCACCATGCCCACCTACATCATCGAGCACATGGAGGACGACAACCCCGACACGTCCTTCCCGCACTGGATCGCACTCGAGTACGCACAGATGATCAAGTGGGCCGGCGACGGCAACACCGTCATCTTCTCCAGCCTCTCGCCCTCGTCCGTAAAGTCCCTCTCAGAACAGCTCATCGCTCGAGGCGCCCGCGAGGGCTCGTTCCGCGCAGAGACCAGAAGCGTACGCCAACTGATGAACGAGGAGGGCGTCCCGCTCGAAAAGGTCTGCCTGCTCGACCCGCGGGCCGAGAAGGAGATTGCGCCAGAGGACGGCAAGGCGTACGACTGGTTCCTGTGAGTCGCCGCGGCTTTCTCGCGTGATGCGCTCGGGAGGATGGGTTCGCTCGACTCGCCTTGCAGGCGCTGTCAGTCCGGGACAGGCTTCAAACTGACTTCAGACGATCTTTTTGCACAGGTTCGGCGGTATCCTTGGCGACGACCCTCCCCGAGGTGCGCTCCTCGCAACTCCTTTCTGCTGTTCCTCGACTGACCTTTGCTCTGCTCTTTTCCCTGCCCTCTTCCTCTCCCTCGCCTTGACTGTGCCACAGACCGCACCGGCATCCTCCGCCGCGACGGCTACCCAGGCCGCCACCTCGGTCCCGTGCAAATGACGACCGACACCGTCCGTCCCCCTCCCTCCCTCGTCCCTTCCTTCCTACTAACCCTCCCTTGCAGGCACTGGGCGTAACCTCCCTCATCGTCTCACCTCCTCACAAGACCCTCTCGACAATCACGTTCGTCGACCACCCTACGATCCGGTTCGACGAGCACGAGGGAGTCGAGATGCCGTTCAGGTATATCGTCGACGAGGAGAGTGGTGAACCGGTGTTGCCAGAGGGGATGAGGGAGCATTTGAAGTGCGTCTTGACGGGATCTTGCTGTGAATGAGGTGCGCAGGAGCGAGGAAGGGAACTGAACTGATGAGCTTGTTTGTGCGAGCAGGGCTGACATGGACCGCGGGCTGGACGACTTTTGAGCTGCCCACTCGGCGCAAATTGGCTCGGCTCGACTCGATGGCTGAGAAGGAGTCGACGAGGTACAGTAGACGGGAGGACAGAAGTCGGCGGCGGGACAACCTTGTAGCTTTTTACTTTCTCCCTTCTCGCAACGGTGAGCTCTCACTAGACTATTCGTCGTGCTGCGTCGTTGTGAGGGAGAACGGTCTTTGCAGATGCGAGTGTTGCGGCACAGATACAGACACGAGCTATGCACAGAGGGGAGGCAACTCGACCAGCGAGGCGAGACTCGTCGACAGAGGGAAAGCTATAAACAACGGCGAAGGCTCTGTACAGGAAAGGAGAGGGCTATATACAATCCCCGAACGAAGGCTGCGTCTCGCAAAGATCCGCAAACGAGTGTCGCGGAGAGGTAGTCGTCGAAGGTGCGGCGCTCGTGAGGGGTGTGTCTTCCGCCGTCTGGGGGGAGAGCGAGAGGGTGGAGAAGACCGAGTCAATCGAGGAGCGAGTTGAGCGGGGTGAGAGGGCGGAGGGTGAGGTGGAGAGCCGGCGGGAGGGGAGGAAGGAGGGGAGGTCTGCGAGGGGTGTTGGGAGGGGAGTGACGAAGGGAGTGGAGGAGGAGGCTGAGAAGGACGAATCGCTGGAAGGGAAGGGCGAGAAAGGTGCGGACTCGTCGTCGACGTCGAGGACGGGCGTGCCGTGTGGAAAAAGAGTCGGCAGCCAAGGTAGCTCGAGTTGAGGCAAGTCGAAGCTGGTCGCGCCCGCGTGTATCCGCACTGCGTCTTCGAAGCCTGTGCGGGTGCTGGTGATCTGGGCGAGCTTGGAGGTGAAGGCGGCGATGCGGGCGATTCGAGGTGAGAGCGATTCGGAGGAAGTCGAGGCGGAAGGAGAGCGGTGACGAGGGGAGAGAGGTGGAACGTCGTCCCAGTCGTCGCAGAACGCCGATACACCCAAGCGCTTGCGCCGAACGGACGACGACGGCTCCAGCGAGCGACGAGATTGCCAGGACGGTCCGACCGTCTCGTCGAGGGTGTCCGAGTACCGCCATCGAGCCGATCGTCGCATGTGGACGCCGACGTCCTGTGAATGGCAGAAGGCGGCTGCAGAGTCTGGGAACGAGGGAAGGTGTGCGGCTTCGGAGGTTTCGACGCCATGCGAGCGTCTTCGAGGTGCTCGAGCGGCTGTACAGGTGTCCGTCGAAGCGTAGTGAGCGTCCCAAGGCGCGGATCCGTAGCCCAGCGTCGATTCCATCGTTCGCGCGTCGAAGGCCCGGCGCTTAGATAGCGGTGAGAAGCGGTACGTCGGCGCTCGAGGGCGACTTTGTCCGGGACGATTGGACGGGTCGCAGGCGTGGGAGGGGCCGGCGTGCGTCGCTGCTCAAGACGACAGGAAGGGTAGAGAGCAAGGAGGAGACGTTGCAAGCCCTCGGTCTGACAAAAGCACGGGACGGACGCTGTCTTCCTCGCGGCGGCCGAAAATTCCTGTGGGCAGCTGAGCCGATCCAGGACATCCATTGCGTGGCACGAGTTCCGCAAGCGTCCCTGATGGACGGATCGCTCGTCCTGGAAGAGGTATCAGCACGACTCTGGAAAGCGACGCAAAGAACAGGGCTTGAAGAGGAAGGAGGCGGGAGGGGAACTGTTCTGTGGAACCTCCACCTCCGTATTGTTCTCGCACGTTTGTCTCTCTCGCATTAACGCATTGACGACGCATCGCGGACGGCGATTGAACCCCGGCAGCCGGCCGGATACCTCCTCCTCGCGGTGACCGCTGGGCATCCTCCGCTTGACAAAAGATGCAAGGCGGGATGTGCCCGCCTCAGCTTGGCAGGCAGCGCATCGCTGCTTGTACAGTACTGGCGCCTGCGAATAGCGGGAAAGGGGATCGACAGTTCTGAGAGCAAGTCATTGAAGGGGACGGAAGCAGCAGGAGGTGTTCGCGAGGCGTTCTGCGCAGATCCTGGTTTCGCGATGCCGCTAGCCTTGTGCGAACGACAAGTGTTCTTTGCAGCCGACGGGCGCTTCGGTCGGCTGTTCAGCTGCCTCTTCCGGCTCCTGGCGCTTCTTTGAGGACACAAAGCGAAAAGCGATGGCTGCTGCGACGCTGTAAGACGCTTTGAACATTGTATGCGGTCTACAAAGACAACAACAACGACGAGAAGGGACCGTAACCATGCGAACAGACGGAGAGCTCGCGATCAAGTCGTCCCAGCGGCGAAGGCGGCGGAGAAAGGGTCGTCGAGGACGATGGTGACGGTCGTCGGAAGAGGCGAGTTTCGCAGGCCGAAGGTGTCGGGAGAGCTGTATAGGGAACTTCGACGTCCATCGTCTGAACTCGAGGCAAACGAGGAGGAGGCGACGCTTTGGGGGCGCGAAGGACTGGATTGACGAGCATGGCTTGACGCGTGACATGGCGAGAGGGACGCCTTCGTGTCCAGAACTTGTCGCCATGGGGCAAGAGAAACGCAAGGAGGCGGGAATGGCGATGCGAAGAAAGGTTTCGGCACGCGCGAGGTTGGTAGCGGGTCCCCTGCCTCGTCCTCGGCGAGGCTGTCCACCGTCGAGCTGAAGGTACTGGTAGTATCTCCTGAAGGTATCGATGCCGTCGGCTTCGTGCGAGTGGACGGGCTCCTCCGCGAAGGGAAGACGAGTGGAAAGCGAATGTCGATGCCGGAAGGTGAGCGGATGACCGTTTGCTGGGCGCATTCGTCGCCAAACAAAGGATCATGCGGACGGAAAGCTCGCGGCGACCGAGGTTCGAGGGACATGTGCGGGTCCCTGTGAGGAGACGCGGTTGCGAAGGTTGCGCTGGCGAGCGAGACGGGCGACGAGATGGGCGACGAGGCGGGAGATTGGGGTGTGCGAGGCGTTTGTAGCGCGTCGAAGTAGGGGCTGACGGGCTCGTCGGAAAAGCGAGAGCAGCCAGTAGTAGAGGGAGAGATGGAGGGCATCGTCGGCGAAGATGGGAAGGCCTTGTAGGCGTGGGTCGCCAGGAAGGGCTGGTCTTTCGAAAGTGGGCTGGCCGACTTCGACGCTGTCCTGTCGCATTGAGCCGTCGGAGCGAAATCGAAGTCGTCAACGGCGGGGCGAAACGGTGTAGTCGCGAGCGGCTGAAGAGGGCCAAGCGAGGGCCGCCTTCGTGGCGCAAGGGTTGCGTTTTCCAGCCCGTGCATCATCTCCTCCAGCTCGACTAGGCTTTTCCGCCTCTTGCCCGGCCCCGTCTCGATGGCGAGAATCCTTCGAGCCTCGACGGCAGCGACGGGGCGGAACTCGCCCAGGTCCCGCCTAGACTCGCCGTCACCCTCGCTCACTACCCCTGCAATACTCGGGGAGGTACGAGACTGGCTGCAGGCGGCGAGAGACGGCTTGTCGGAAGGCGGACGCGATGTCGGAGAAGCGTTGTTGTCGCTTGGCTCGTCGTAGGATGAGGTGCTGGTAGCGAGTCCCAGGACGGATGCCAGGCGCCTTGGCTTGAAGCGCTGCAAAGGGGAACGGGCGTAAGCTGACTGAAGGAGCCGTCGGTGTTGAGGAAACGACACTCACGCTCAGTGCACGTCCCGACGACGACCCTGTCGAGTCGCTAGCGCCCATGATCGAGATGAGGCTGAGCGTAGCAGCACGAGGCGGGCGAGCGATGGCAGAGAGAGGAGGGAGAAGCGCAAAGTCGAGCGGGACGAGCAAGCCGAGGAAGGCGCAGCGAGGGTTCCTTCGGACACCGTCCTCGTCCCGATTGATCGGTCTGATAGCCGTAACAGCCGCTTGAGTGCACGCCAACGCCGTCTGCGATCGAGTGACCGGACAAGGGAGGAAGGACGACGGCGTCGCCCGCCTCGGAGCCAGGTTAGGAAGGTCAACACTGGCAGACGGCTTGCGCAAGACCAGCCGCACAGTCCTGAGTCCTTGCTGGGGGCCTCAGCAGAGGGCGCATACAAGGTCTTGCGCGGAGGTGCGCCCGGTGTCGCTGAGAGCGATTCGGCGATGGGAGATGCGTAAGCGGGATCCGTCGTTTCGTTGCGTACAGCGAGGCACGCCAGGATCGCAGGACTGGCCGTCAGGAGAGCGTAAAGATCGGGCGGTGAGCAAGAGAAGAACGTTGCACAGAACGGGGTGACCGCAGGCCTGGAAAGCGAAGATGGCAACTGAAGTTGTAGGCAAGACGACTGTACGTCGTTCTCCCAAGAAGCTGCGGGCGGATAGCTGCGGAGACGGTACTGGCAGGGTGGACGCCAGCGTCGCCCACTTCGAAGTGGTCAGCGAAGACTTGCAGCGGAGCAGAGGAGATCGAGGAGGAGGAGGGGCGGACCTCGACAACCGCAGACGCACCGGTCCTTCGTGTCCGCGTCCTGCGTTTGTATCTGTCTTGCGTCGCGCGCTCGAAGCCATGTAGGAGACGAGATGCCGCACGGAGATGGCGGAGGAGGAGGAGGGTTCGTCGCCCGCATACTGCCAGCCAGACATCGCTGGACCAGCCCGCTTTGCTGCTTAGATCGTTCAAGCACACCGTTCCTTCTATCCTGCTGCTCCACGACACACTCCTTCGCCTCCAAAGCCTCCCATCGCGTCCTCCTCGACTTCATCAGTTCCGACGAACCGATCACTCGACAGTCGGGCGTCGTCGGCGTGTGGTGGCTTGTGGCGGATCACGACTAGTAGTCAGGGTATCTAGTGAGTCTTCAGCTTCGTTCCGCTCGTTCTGTTGCTGTGCCGGCGCGGGTAGACCTCACAGCTTGGACCGTCGATGAGTGGGGCATGAACGACGACGGGGCGTTGTGCGGCGCTGGAAGGCCCGGCATCCTGTTGCCAGAGGCAGTGTGCAGTATCGCTGGTTTCTGCACCGTCGGACGAGCTGTGGGCGCTCAGCTTCACCTCTCGTCCAGAGAGCACAGCCTCGCAGTGTTGACATCGCCCGGGCACAACGGCGTCAGCTGCTGGACGAGCTGTACACGTGTTGACTCTCGCGTGTCGCACTTGCAGATTGCGACTGAATCGAGCGGCAGACAGGAGACGCCGCTTATGCCGGGTTCACCCAGCTCCGCACCGGCAGCGGCTCTCCCCTCCTTCTTCTTCGCCAACGATGCCGATAATCGCATGACCGACGAAGACTACTTGCCGTCCTGGAGTAGGGCATCGGCGACTTCGCCGCATCCAGCAGCCGTCGATGCGGAAGGCTCGGGCCAAGCTGCCGCAGGACCTTCGTCCTCGTCGAGATCTGCGGGAGCCAAGGCAAACGGGCCGGGAGCGACGCAGAAGGACGTCGGGATGGGACAGAGTCCGGTGCTGAACCCGACACATCTCGTCGGGCTCGACCTCGACATGGCAGAGTCGAGCGAGGCTCTCTCGCGCGCCATCTTCGGTGGCAACAGCGCAAGCTCCTTCGCTTCGTCATTCGCCAAGTTTCAAGACAGATCACCCGACCTTGCTGAGACCCGCAAGTCCCCTCGCTCGCGCCGCAAGACCTTGTCAAACGACTCCTCAGCACCCCTCTCTTTCGCCAACGTCGCCTCTCTTTCCGTCACTTCGCCGGCTGGTTCGCCGTCCGTCTCCAGAGCGGGCTCGAGCATCGTCGGCACGCAGCTGAGCACCGACCGGCCAAGGACCGCATCGTCGAAGCAGCACGCTTCGGGCCCTGCTGACTACGCTGGCGCGCTGCCGGACGGCCTGCACAAGCGGTCGACGAACGCAAGCGGTGCAACAGAGCTAGACGAGCTGCGCATACAGGTGCGTGATGGACGGCAGCCGGTCCTCGCGAGTATACCTGACGAGCGTCTCCCTATAGGCTTTTGCCAAGCTCGAGTTCCCGTCCTTCGACATCTACATTCAAAAGCTGAGCGTCACTATTGGCCGTCGACCCGTCACGCCACGAGCTTCGACCTCTGCCGCAGCCGGTCCCTCCGTCCCTCTCTCCCTCGAAGAGGCCCAAAAGGCCGGCATCTCGCTTGAGGAGTACATTCTCAACCTCGATCCCTCCGCACTCTCCGGCGTCGAGCCCCTTGCCACGCCGGCATCTGTCAAGGGCAAGGAGAAAGCGGTGGACGATCCTCTCGCCGACTTCCTCATCATGTCTCCTCCGCCCCAAACAGCGTCAGCCGTCGCTGCCGCGAGTACGTCAGCAAGCGAGAACTCGCGAACACCGAGCGCGCCTTCGACTCCTCATCCCGACTCCTCCACCTTCACGGATGTCGACCTTGGACCCCTTCGCGCTGTCTCCCGCCAACATGCCCGCCTCTACTACGACTTTGACGCTGGCGCGTGGGTGATCGAGGTTCTCGGCCGGAACGGTGTCGTCGTCGAGGGCAGGTGGCGCGCGAAGGGTCAGAAGGTTGTGCTCACGAAAAGGACGCGGATCCAGATCGCCGAGCGCATCTTCCACTTTGTCCTGCCGACCATCGACGTTGTCGCGGTCGAACCGAATGGTGCTGTCGAGACGATGGCGGACTCTGCGCAGGGCGCGAAGAAGGCGGTAGAAGGGGCCAAGCGCAAAGCCAGGACGAGCACGACAGGCTCGACGACTGAGCATAAGCTTGCGGGAAGTCTGAGGAGCGGCGGAGACACTGTGGCTGTTGAGGCCAGAGCGAAGCAGGCCGGACCGGTCCTGTCGACGAACCCGCTGGCACCTACACCTCTCACACAAGCAACCTCGACCGCCTCTGATGCCCCGCCAACCTCTCTACCGCCGCTCCCGCCCTCTGCGATTTCCAAAGCGGCTCCGGCAACCTCCTTGTCTCGAGCCATGCCCATCGCCTCATCGTCAAAACCCCCTCCTCCCGGCAAGATGCCTGCTGGAAGTCCCGCGCCTTCACCCGCGCCGTCGTCCGCACGACCATCTCCCTTGCCGACACCGACAGCTGCGTCCTACCGTCCGGTGCGGAGCACGGCGAAGAAGCCGCCACCTCCGGCTCCGCAGGCTGCCAGTCCGGCCGCTCGCGCTTCATCTCTCGGCTTCGCTTCGCGCGCCAACTCTGAGGAGATGGACGAGGCGAGCATCGAGGCGGCTCGTCAGCGCGCCGCCGTCATCGCCCAGCTCCTGTCCGGCGGAGCTGGTCCTGCTGCGAGCGGCAAGAACAGTCTCGTTCGCGCTGCTGCCGAAGCGAAGCGCGCAGGAAAGGGCAAGGCGCCGATGCGTATGGCGGGCAAGGGTCCTGGGAAGGGAAAGGGGCTCATGCCTCCTCCTCGACGACCGTCGGATCTCGGCTGGAGCGACGACGAAGACGACGATCCCTTCGCATCCTCGGACGAGGATGACAGCGACGACGAGGATGACGGCGCCTCACCCATGGACGTCGAGATCGTCGCTGCTGGTCAGAGTGGAGGAAAGGCTGTCGTCAAGCGGAGTGCGTCCGTATCGACGGCGAGTGCATCGCCGGCACCTCCGCCACCTGTCCCGTCAAAGGCCCCTCGCAAGGCCGGGAAGATGCCGGCGAAGCAGCCTCGACAGCGACGAGACCTCCCTGTCGACTCGCAACCCGAATCGACGGCGTCGCCAGCTCCTCAAGCGGCGGAAGTCTCTGCTCGACCTAGCGTTCCACCAAGCCTGCCTTCGACACTTCCCGCTCTTCCTTCCATCTCGCCCTCTCCCGCTGCCGATACACCACCCGCATTGCCGACGCGCAGCCTGCTCCCGCCTCTTCCGCCGCTCAAACCGTCTCCCAGTCCGGCGGCACCGGCTGCTCCGCTTCCACCCGTACCTACGCCAGCGACATCTCAGAAGATTAGCAAGTCGAGCTCCTCGGTTGCGGCTCCGACGGCACAGAAGGCGAAGCCGAGCAAGAAGAAGGGCAAGACGGAGGACACGCCTGCTCCTGCCGAGGCGAAGAAGCTCGAAGCGTCGTCTGCAGCCAACAAGGCGACTGAAGGCGACGCGGTGTCACCCGCCAAGCCTCGCCCATCGCCGTACGCGCCCGCCCCACTTCCTCCTGGCGTCCCTCCTCCCGACGCTGCGCCCGCCGACAACCGCACCGCCAAGCCGCCGTACACCTACGCCTCGCTCATCGCGCAGGCGATCAACTCGTCGTCTGCGAAGAAGCTCACACTGCACGAGATCTACGACTGGGTGACGGACAAGTGGCCTTACTTCCTGGAGAACCAGAAGGGGTGGCAGAACTCGATTCGCCACAACTTGACGCCGACGAGAGGGTTCCTCAAGGTCGTTCGGGAGAAGGACGACCTGTCGGGCAAGGGCTCGTTCTGGGAGATTGACCCGACGCAGATGAGCAACTTTGACGGCCATCACTATCGCAAGAAGCCGGACGGGCCGACGGGCGGCACGGCGTCGAACAAGGCCAAGGCGGATGCGGCGGCGAAAGCTGCAGCGGCGGCGACTGCGCAAATCACGGCGGCGGCGTCGCAGGCGCCTCCTCCGATGAGCAAGGCAACGAAGAAGCCGACTCCTGCGAAGGCTTCGACGCCGAGCAACGCGCCTCTCTCGAAGCCTCTGCCGGTCATTGTCGCGCCCATCCCGGACTCGTACGTCCGGCCGTCGACGCCGACTGACGGAAGTCAGCCGACGGACGAGTTGACCGCCGCCCTGCTCGCCGACCCGCCCATCGTCCTTCACGAAGGCAAGCTCATCCTCAACCCGACTATCTTCTCGGGCCTGAGTGAGACGGAGCTGGGCGACTTGCAGCGCCAGCCTGCGAGTGCGGCGCTGCAGACGCTTCAGGCGAAGGTTGTTCAGCACTTCAAGGACAAGATGAAGAACAAGAGCGTGCACAAGTTCGGTGAGTGTGCGCGGACGACGTTTCCATGGTGAACCTGCTGACATGCCTCGCCGTTGTCGTAGCTGCCGCCGCCAAAGCCGCCGCGTCCTCCTCGAACGGCAAGCCCGCTTCTTCCGCCTCGCCCAAGACCCCCGCCGCCTCACTCCCTTCTCTTCCGCCTCTTCCAACGAAGGCCTCGTCCGCCTCGAAGGGGTCGCCCGCCCCGAAGGTCGTCGCCGCCAAAGCGCCGCGAGCTGGTCTCGTCGCCGCCAAGGCTCCGCGGTCCGCCGCCGCTTCGAAGGCATCAAAGGCGCCCAAGTCTGCGTCTGCCACGACGACGGGCAAGCGCGCGCGCGAGGCCGACATCGACTTGACCGCGCCGACTGCGCCTGCCAAACCTGCGAAGGTCGCGAAGAAGAAGTAGCGATCCGACTTTTCGCCGCCTCTTTCGCCACTAAGTTAGCTCGCCTCTGTGAGTCTCTCAATCGCTCAGCGTCGCGGACAGCGTCCTAGGCGGTCCATCTGCGAGGCGGACTTATGAGCGGAGCGGGTGCCGAGAGCGAGACGGGGCGATCCCTCCTGCTCGATACGGTCGCGGACGGGAAGGAGGGTTGGCTCGCGTTCCGTGTCGATACGGAACATTTTTCTTCGCGCGTTCTTCTCGTCTTTCGTACGCTCGCCGTTGTTATCCCCTTGTTGCGGTGCGAATAGAAGTCCCTTTGTTGCCTTGCCCTCGACTTCGGCGTGGCTGGCGTTGGACGGCCTTGGTCTCTGAGTGCAGTGCAAGTGTGCTGCTCGCATCGCTGGTTCCCCAGAGAGCGACGAGAGCGATCCCGGGTCGCCCGGGCGGGAGGAAAGGGACGGTGCATGCTCTCTCTCGCACTCGCACACCTCCTGTTGGCTCGACGCTGGGCTCTTTCGCTGCAGGACCACTCATGGCTGGGTCTGCTGCACCCTTCTCGTCCCTCGCCGTGCTCCAGAACGCGCACGCCCCCGAGCAGCTCCTCACGCAGGGCGCCCCAACCTCGTCGGCGCAGGCGGGGCCGTCGTCCAACACCGCCACGGGGGGCCAGCCGGAGAAGAAGCGCAGGAGGAGGACTGCAGAGGACGGGAAACGCTACGCCTGCGACTTTGAAGGATGCGGCAAGGGTGCGCCTGCGCCTCTCGCTCGCCTCTTCGTTGATCCCCTCCCTGGCCGAGAAGGCTCGGGCTGACACAGCTCTCGCGCATGTCGCAGCGTTCTCGCGGCCTGACCATCTGAGTCGACACAAGCTCAACCACAACCCGAGCACGATTTACCAGTGCGAGAGGCGAGTCGACTACGAGGCACGCCTCCGAGTGAGACCTCGCAACAGCTGACCTCGTCGCTTCGTCTTCCCTGGCGTCTTGCGTTGGCGTGATGCAGATGCCCAAAGACGTTCGTACGGATGGACCTGCTCGTGCGGCATACGGAGCGACATGAGCGGAAGGAGCGAGGCGAGGAGGCGCCCGATGCTGCTCGCAAGGCTGAGCGCAAGCGGGCGAATTCGATGGCAGGGCAGGGTCAGGCTGGGACGAGCAGTGCAGCGGCGAGCGGGCCGTCGATGAAGAAGTATGACATCCCGGCGATACCTGCTGGACCACCCTCGTCGGCCGCAGTTTACGCCGCAGACCAGACGCAGGCGCTCCAGCAGTCCATCTTCAACGCCTTGCCTGGAGCCTCCGTCAACATTCCTCCCATGCACCCGTACGGCATCATGCACAACGGAGACCTCGGCGTCAACACCCCTTCCTCCGCGACCTACTCGACCTCGTTCTCGCCTCACGCCATGTCCAACAACTCTGCCTCGCCAGCCGACAACGCCTTTTCTGCCCCTTCGACGGGGCAGACGTCGCTTCCCGGTCCTTCGCCTCCCGGCGTGTTTGCCAGTTCGTTGGTGATCCCGACAGATTTCGCTGGCCGAACGCCCGAGACGCAGATGGTCGGCCTCCCTCCGCATGCCGCCCAGCGCCCACCTACCGCGCCTCATCCGGTCCCGCCACAGCCCGGCATGTCGCTTGTGGACCAGGCACTTGCGAATCAGGCTCTCTCCGCACAGCAACATCCCCCTCCGCCTCATCCGCCCCATCCTCCTCCTCCGCACGTCATGACGCACCAGTCTCCTTTTGCCTTCAACGCCAACCAGCCTCTCCAGCCTATGCCGTCCCACCACGACTTTGAGGAACCGATCAACTTCCTCACGACCAACTACGGCGCGCCCTTCGCCTCGAACAACGACTTCCTCTGGCTGTTCGACCCGGCACAGAGCGCCGACGTTCACTTTGCGGCGAGTCGACCTGCGAGTCCGAGTGCGGGCGGTCACGACTTTCTCGCTGGACTGGGAGGGTTCGGGATGCCTGGCGGACATCTGGGCGGGACGCAGACTCCCGCACGCTTAGCGGCCGTCGCGAACGCGCTCAGTGGACACGTCGGGATCAGCAACCAGCTCGATAAGGTTTCGCAGCAGCTCGAGGCCACGGAGAAGCAGCAGCAGGCTCAGCAGCAGCAACAGGCGCAGCAACATGCGCTTGATCTGCTGGGCTTGCAGGGACAGACGCCGATGAGTCCTGTCAAGCTGGAGACGGTCAAGGAGGAGGATACGCCGCCGACGTCGATGCACGACTCGGTGGATGCGGTGCGCTTCGTTTCTCGTTGTGAGTGTGCGGCGTATCCTGACGGCTCTTCGCAGATCCCGAATGGCTACCACGACTCGAACGACGTCGTGCCCGATCCGGGCGACCAGACAACGTTTGTCGACGACATGACTCGGCAACGAGTGCTCGACTACCTCGGCGTCCGTCCACTCGCTCCGTCTCGCCGAGTTCTCTCACACTGACTCCTCTCCTTGCAGCCGGAATGGGGACACTTGCGAGACGACCCTCGACTCGGCGTCCAGCAGATGGCGCACTACCTCGCCTTGTTCTGGGTCAAGGTGCACGAGACGCAAGCTCCGGCCGTCCACCGCGCTTCTTTCCGGCCCAACTCGGCGCCGACACCGCTGCTTCTTGCGATGGTGAGTATCCCGTCCCCGAAGGAGGATCCTCATTGCTGACAATTCGCCTTACAGATGCTCCTCGGCTCGTACTTCGCCCCGCCCGAATCGTACCAGCTGGCTGTGCAGCTGCATCCGTGGTTCCGCGGCAAGGTTCTCTGCGTATGTCGTTTTCCGTTGCTCGCAGTCCGCTCGCTCGTCTCGCTGACTCTCGCCTTGACAGTCTCCCGACTTCCGCCCTCGCTCCGAAACCTGGCTCATCCAGACGATGCTCCTCATCGTCGTCTTCGGCAAGCTCTGCAGCAGTGCGTACAGCTCCTTTCTCCATCCCAGTTTCTCGCTAATCGGCTTGCGAGCAGCCCGCATGGACCACGAGATGTCGCACATCTTCCAATCGTCGTTTGTTCAGCTCGGTCGTCGAAGCGGTTTGTTCTCGCAGAAGACGGTCGAGCTGCCGGCCGAGAAGCGCGACGATGTCGAGGCGCAGTGGCACGCTTGGATCGAGGAGGAGGTTGCGAAGCGGCTGGCGCAGATCGTCTTTGCCATCGACGTCGAGCGTACGTCTCTGCCGCAGTCCTCTCTCTCGCGCTCGTCGCTGATGTTCGCTTGACTCGCAGATGCCGCCTTCTTCCGCCACACGCACACCCTCTCCGCCTTCCAGATCCAGCTCCCCCTCCCCTGCGACGAAGACCAGTGGGAGGCCCCGAACGCGCAAGAATGGAAGCGCCTGCACGACCGCCAACGCCCGCCGATCCAGTTCATCTCGGCGCTCAAGGCGAGCTTGACGGCTGTCAGCGAGACGACGCAATTGAACCCGTTCTCGAGGATTGCGGTGTTGCATGGGCTGCTGAGCGTCGCGCAGGACCTGCATTGGTGCGTTGCCTACAAGTCACTCGACTGAAGCTTGTTCTGACGCCGTCCGTTCCCAGGCGCGACCGTGTCCTCGGCTTCTCGTCGCCCGAGCGGCAGTCGCACAACTGGCGCGACATGATGTGCGCCGCCGTCTTTCAAGCCTCTCGACGCAAGTCAATGCTGATTTTCTGACATACCTTCGCAGCTCGTCCGCTTACAACGCCTGGAAGCAGCGCCTCGACGAAGCCCTCACGCACGCCTCTCCCGCTACAACGCAGCTCCTCCGCGCGAGCATCAGTCTCTACGCGACCGCCCAAATCACCTTCAGCATCGACATCCACGAGTTGCAGATCTACGCTGGCGCCGAAACGGCCCTCGGATTGATCGTCTCGCCGCAGGTGTTCCATGCGACCGAGCAGCGCATCAGGATGTGGTCTGGCTCGAGGGAGGGGAGGGCGTCGACGTGGCATGCTGTGCACTTCTTGCGCAGTTGCTTGCAGCATTGGAGGCAGTCGACGGCGGACTTGGCGTGAGTCCCTCTCGTCGCTTCGAGGATTCGGAATGCGGTTCCTGACGAGACTCGCGTGCGCAGGGGATGCTTGCACCACCGCTGGACGGTGTACATCGCTTTCCTGACCGTCTTCGCCTTCGGACGCTCCAGTGAGTCCTCTTCCGCGCCTCCATCGTTCTCCAGCTCACAGCTCTCCGTCCACAGCGAGCGGCCATCCCGCCACGCCCTCGTCGCCGTACCAAGACGCGGCAATGCGCTACCTCGACACGATGTGCACGGCCTCGCCCGATGGACTCCTCGCCGTCAGCGGGAAGCAGAACTGCCTCGACCTGTGCTTGATGGTCCAGGACTACATCAAGGATACGCGGTGGGAGCTCGGTGCGTCTCATCTCTGCTCGCCGCGAGACGTTGGAGGCGGTTGCTGACGAACGCCGACTTGCAGTTCAAGACGCCGCCCACATCCTCCAGAATCTGGTCAAGCAGAACCCGGCCACCCCGTCCTTCTAATACCCTCGCTCCCTCGTACATGATCGCCCCTACGCCCGCCCTGCACATACCAGCACACCTCGCGACCCTCGAAAATAGAAACCCTCGCCTCCAAGACGACGTTCTTCGCCCTCAGCTTCTCTTCCTCCTCCTCGTCCGCTCGCCTTCATCTTTAGCTGTGACTTACCTGGTCTTTCCCCTTCTCTTCTGCGGTACATTTAGCGGTTCTTTTCGGAGTAATCTGGTCTTTCGTCTTCACGCCTCTCTCGCAATGCAGGCTTCTTGTCCGCTCCTCTCTCCCCGCCGTGTTGACGATTCTGCTCGAAGGGATGTGGGAATCGACTTGCCCGTCGTCACCAGCTGCCACAGGGAAATAGCAAGTCGACGGGGGGAAGCGCTGACAGTCATCTTTCGGGGATTGCCTGGATTGGATCTTGCAGTACTTTCTGCTGTGACGCTGTCCAGCCTGAAAAGCTTCCGCCAGAGCGCGCGAGGAAGAAGTTGCGGACTTGTTCGGTCTCTGGTGAACGCATCGCAAGTTCGCTTCTTGCTCTCCACCACACCACACCCAAAGTGAGTCGTACAGCACGCCAGACACGACCAGAGAGACTGCAGACTGACCAATACCACGCCGCACCTGCAGCCGTGCGTCGTCGCCGTCGTGCACACCCTATCGATGCCGCTCCACTCGTCGTCCCTCGCTCACACGCTCACACCCCGCGCAGACCATGTCCAACACCCTCGAGCAGCTCAAGAAGTACACCACCGTCGTCTCCGACACCGGCGACTTCGAGTGTGCGTTCTCGCTCCCTCACGGCTTGACGTCGGCGCAGGTTGGGTCGACAGAACCTCGGGCCGCCTCGCTCGCTTCAAACCGTTCCGCTGACCGTCTTGTTCGTCCTGCTGCTACCATTCGACGTCCTGAACCTTTACCGCCCACCCGTCCCGCGCCGCACCGCCCTCGTTCGCCTCCTACCGCCACATCACCTCATCGCTTGTCCCGCACGTTTCCCCTTGCGCTCCTACAGCCATTGCCGTCTACAAGCCCCAGGATGCGACCACCAACCCGTCGCTCATCCTCCAGGCTGTCAAGAAGACCGAGTACGCCCGCCTGATCGACGTCGCGACCGAGTACGCCAAGAAGAAGGGCGGGTGCGTTCAGCGTTCCTCTCAGCTTCCCTTTTGTTCGACTGCTGATCTGTGTCATCGCAGATCCCTCGACGAGCAGATTGAGAACACCCTTGACCGCCTCGTGCGTCCCGCCACCACCCGACGTCCTCGACGTTCCCAATCAGCTGACTCGCTTTTCCTCCCTGCCTCGCCCGTGTTCAGCTCGTCGAGTTCGGCAAGGAGATCCTCGCCATCGTTCCCGGCCGCGTCTCGACCGAGGTCGACGCCTCGCTCTCGTTCGACAAGGAGGCTACCAAGGCCAAGGTGCGTTCCGCTCCCAAGACCCTGCTGCGGTGTCGGCTCGCCTTGCTGCCGCTTACTCGTCGCAGAGAGCACCGTACTGATTCTCCGGCGTTCGCCTTGCAGGCCCACCACCTCATCGAGCTTTACAAGGAGATCGGCATCCCCAAGGAGCGCGTCCTGATCAAGATCGCCTCGACCTGGGAGGGTATCCAGGCCGCCCGCGAGCTCGAGCAGCAGGGCATCCACTGCAACCTCACCCTCCTCTTCGGCTTCCAGCAGGCCGTCGCTTGCGCCGAGGCTGGCGTCACCCTCATCTCGCCTTTCGTTGGCCGCATCCTCGACTACTACAAGAAGCACGCGCCTGAGGGCGACTACGCTGGCGAGAAGGACCCTGGTGTCCAGTCGGTCACCAAGATCTACAACTACTAGTGCGTTGCAGTTCCCTCGGTTTGGGTGCGGTACCGCGTGCTGATCGAGACCCTTCCGCTTCGCAGCAAGCAGCACGGCTACAAGACGGTATATTCGACTTACTTTTGACCGCGATGAACGGTTGCGCTGACCTTGTATCCCCTTGCTCGTTACCTTCTCGTTTGCGCCTGACGTCCCCTTCCTCCGCCTTTGCCTTTCTTTCTTTCCTTCCCAGATCGGTGCGTGACCGGGTTCTTGTCGTTCTAAGGGCTTCCGCATGCTGACGAACGTGTCGTACTCCAGTCATGGGTGCTTCGTTCCGGAGTGCGGAGGAGATCAGGCAGCTCGCCGGCTGCGACTTCCTCACCATCTCGCCCGCCCTCCTCAAGGAGCTCCAGGCTTCGTCCGCCGACCTCCCCCGCGTCCTCTCCGCCGAGAAGGCCGGCCAGGCCGACCCCATCCCCAAGACGACCTTCATCGAGGACGAGCCCGCGTTCCGCTGGTCGCTCCTCCAGGACTCGATGGCGTTCGAGAAGCTCCACGAGGGCATTAAGAAGTTCGCCGAGGACGCCGTCACCCTCAAGGACATCCTCAAGGCCAAGCTCCAGTAAATCGTGCGACGGTCTCACGGTTTCTAGGCGCAGGACGCGGATAGGCTCGACGACTCGATAGCATTCGTTTTGGCTCTCTTCTTCCTTCTCCCACCCCCACACGTACAGAATATGCAAAAGCAACTTCGGAAGTTACACTAGACCATCGAGACCGGGTGCGAGAGACGAGAGAGGAGTACGAGAGGCAGGAAAAGGAAGCAACAACAGGGAAAGCGAGAATATTATGTACAACGCATCGGCTATTCAAGAAGAGCAGCTTGCGCACGCCGCTGCTCGCGCCGCCTCATCGCTGCTGCGCCAGGATACTCGTCCGTCGTGTCCCTCTCGCTCGTGGCCCCTGCGAAGGGCAACTCGAGCGGCCGCTCCTCTTGCGTGTTGCTACCTTCTGCTGCCGTGTCGGTCGAGACGCTGTCGGATGCGCAGGTCGTCGAAGGAGGCGAGACGGCGGAGCGGTGGCAGGCGGGACAGGTCGAGACGAGGGCGAACCAGCGAGCGAGGCAGGCGGCGTGGACTGCATAGGTTGAGATGATGTGAGTTCTGGGTCCGCGAGAGCAGGAACAAGCAGCAAGAAGGGGTGAACGCACAGGAGTGTCCGCATGGCAACTCACAGGCCGTCGTGAAGGTTACTTGTTTCGCCCCACCGTCTGTCCCCTCCGGCTCGAAAGCGCCTTCAAAGCAGACGAGGCAGGTCGCATCACCCTCGCCGTCTCGACCCGCTGCTTCGGCCCGAACTGCGCGCCGCGGAAAGGCGGAGGCGAGCTTGCAGACCCGTTCCGCTTCGGTCGCCTTCTTCTCCCGCACGACGGCGAGTTCTTCAAGCGGCAAGAGAATCGCGTTCAGAACAATGAGGGTCGAGAAGCTGAACCAGCGGTGCGAGGGCGGCCGGGCGAGGACGAGTTGCAGGACTTGGAGGTTGGTCAAGAAATTTGTTGCGAAAGGCGAGAGAATGGCCGATAAGAAATCGTCGGTCGGGAGGCGGTACAAGGGTGTTGCTTGAGTCGAGGTAGCGGACGTGTAGGAAGGCACGAGGAAGGTGGCCGAGATGGAGGAAGGTATCCAGCCGAGGCCGACGACGAGAGGCGTGATGGCGAGAAGTGCTTGGAGTAGAGTGCTGACGAGCTGCTCGGGATGAAAGCGTGAGAACAGTGGAAGCGGCGATGATAAGCGCGTGGCTCACCTCGAGAACGACGACATTTCGCAACGGCGCCCAGCCGCGAGCGCCTGCCTTCACAGCTCCTACACCCTCCGCCAGTCGCAGGTCGCCGTACCATCCAGCGCAGGCGACGACGTTCCAGCCTCGCGCTCCTGAGTCATCCGACCAAGCCTTGACGAGAAAGGCGAGAAGACCGCCTGTCACCGTGAGCGAGGCAAGGATGCTAGCTCCACAACGTTTTTTGATAGTACTGATGCGCCAACGAAGTCGTCCGATGCGCTTGGCGAAAGAGGCGGACGTGGGCGCCGGTGCGAAAGGAGGAGGAAGCGGATTGGCGATGAGTGCGGTAGCGATGGAGTTGCGGACGATATGCAGGATAAGGCGAGTGGCGTAAAGGAAATGTAGATGGAGAAGCGTGACGTGAAGCGGTGTGAGGCGATGGCGCGTCGAGGGTGAAGGCGTTGCTGCAGAGGCGGAAGGTTCGGGACCGGATGCACACGTCGCAGCGCTGGCTTCGTCAACGGCTGTATCGGGACCCGCATTGTCGGAGTGGCGCAGCGGCGTGCGCGGCCCTTCGCTTCTCGCCGCATCTGGCTTGACGACAGCCGAGACGGCCGGCGGCTTTTCAGACAGACTCGGCGTAATGAGCCATCCCGACGAGGTGTTGGCGTCTCGGCTGGTCGAACCTTTCACTGGCATGTAGGTTGACGAGGATGAGCTGGCGGGCGCGGCGTCCCTACGGCAGGGGAGGTCCGCCAGAGTCGGATCGAACGGCGCTGTGACGGGGACTGTCTGCGATTGCTGATCGGCGGGCCGCGTCAAACGTTCCGTACGTCCGCTCGCTCCTTCCCGCAAAACATCTGTCCCCTCGGTTGTGCCGGCGGCGCTAGAAACGAGCGGCGAAGGAGCGGTGCAGACTGGTGGGCCCGCTGTAAGGTCGACATCGCTCGACGGGACGACATGTCTGCTTGTATAGGATGGTGAGAGCGACCAGAGCAGGTAAAGCAAGCAAAGCCTCGAGCGGTAGTGCCGGATAGAGGTTGACCAAGTCTGCAGACAGGACGAGGCAGTCAGCGTCGCTGGCTCCGACAGCGGCCCGCCCGGCTCGTCCAGGATACCAGAGCATCCCAACTAGCTGTGTCGCAAGCAGAGTCACCCTCTCACGTCTCTGTTCCTTCGTCGTTGTCACCCTTCCCCACCGTCCCGAACTGATGAGGACATCGGGAGGAGCTGGCTCACCTCTGGCTGGACCCGCATGGGTCCTGGTGGACTTCCGACGCAAGGAAACCCTGGCTGAGCAGCGCGTAGGTCGAACAGGCAAAGACAAGGCGGCGTGAGGAAGCTGTTCGAGGACAAGCTGCTGCTTCGCCTCAACCACGACCTGCGACTGGCTCGAGCGCGTAGTGGGGTTGCTTGGCTTGCCTAGAAGCTCACATGGCACCGTCACCTGCTCGGCCGCGGCGCTCCACAGCCGCGACTTCGTTCTCTCACCTCCTTCAACCGATCGACCTCGACGACTCTACCTCGTCCTCCTCGGGCGACGAAGCGAAGAAGGACGGCGCGCCAAAGGAGAAGAAAGACAAGGGCAAGAAGAAGGCGATCTACATTCCCGAAGAGTCGTCGGGGAGCGAGTTCGAGGCGGGCAGTGCAGGAGGGCCTGCCGCAGACGAGGAGAGCGAGGACGACTACGGCTCCGACGAGGTGGTCAGCGAGGAGGACGAAGGAGGGTCCGTAAGTGGGGCGAGCGACCTGAGCGGAAGCGTCGTGGGTGGGTCACCACCTCCAGGAGGAGGCGGACGAGGGAGAGGACGAGGTCGCGGTCGAGGCAGCGGGAGCGCCAAGTTCGGCCCTCGTGGCTTGAAGCGACCTTCCGTCGTTGTGACGGCAGGAGCGGCGGCCGGCAAGAAGAGCACAGATCACGACATCCCTCCTCGCGCTCATCCTCCCGCCAATCATCCGCCTCCCGCTCTCGGCGCGCAGTACAGCTTCTTCGGCCCTCTGGCGACTCTTCAGCCTTACTCGCGCTTGAAGGAAGATATATCCACTCGAATGAGCGAGGCTGCCGTGGACTTCACGTCGGCGAGCTTGGCGGATGGCAAGATCGAGGCTATCTTCGACGAGTGGACAGGCTTTACCATGGGGCCGGACAAGGGCTTGGTCAGGGATTTGAGCTGGCAGCCCGGCAGATGGGAATCCGAGGCGGACTCGAAACGGGAGAAGGTGAAGTGGGGCGGATGGTATCCAGAAGTTGCGGTGCGAGACGAGGACATCGAGGCGGTTCCCGCGGAGTGAGCACCTTCCTATGTTCCCGTCGCGCTCTCGCTGACGCAATGATGTTTATCTCATAGCGAGGTGGACCAGTACCTGCCGATCCAGAGCTACTCGAACCGCCCGTCTGCTGTACACGAGCCTACCGAGGCCGTCAAGGACCCCTCAACCGTCCCCGGGACTCCGGCACCTGAAGCATCGCCCAAGACAGCAGCGGCTGGATTGCCGGTTCCACCAGCCGAATTCCAGTTCCCAACGGCAGGACCTTCTGGAACTCAAGGCGACTCGCAGCCTGGAGGAGCGACGGCCAGCGACGGGGAGCTGCGCATCAAGATGGGCGGGGTCGATTCCTCGAAGCTCACGCAGGAGGAGGAACAGGTCACGCTTTCGCGCTTCGAAGCTATCAGGCTCGGTGCGTCCGCGAGATCCGTCTCCATCAGCGATGCGTTCTGACCTTTCCTCACGGCTTTACAGACTCTCGCATCCCTCGCAAACCTGGGCACATGCTCAACGCCGGCGGTTTCGTCAGCTCGCTTGCCTGGCTGCCGCGAGCGGAAGGACTGGCGGAGAAAGGTGACCTCGCTTGTCCCCTCCATATCGCTTGATCGCTGACTTTGCATATCGTAGAGTACCTCGCCGTCTCGACCGTCTCGCAACCCGACGCCCCGCTCCGCCACATTTCCGCTTCAGCCAACCCTTCCCTCCCCGCTTCGATGCTCCAGATCTGGTCGCTTCCGTGCTCCGACACCTGCGACCTATCGATGGAGACGTCCTCGGGCGAAGGCGACGACGAAGACAAGCCGGGCATGCGTCTCGAGCTTGCGCTTTGTCTGCCTGCTGGAGCAGAAGGAGACGCGAAGCAGCTCGCTTGGTGTCCGCGGGGAGGTCGATCCTTCGCCCGCGCAGGTGCCGCGAATGATGGAGAGGACGATGCGCAGCCGGTCAAGGGCGAAGGAGAGGCCGGCGCGAAGAGCAGGGGAAAGGGGAAGGGCAGGGCGAGGACGGGCGACGTCGCGATGGACGTCGACCAGGAAGGTGTCGTTAACGGCGCATCGCACGATAGCAAGCTCGGTCTTCTCGCCGGCACCTTCAGCGATGGGAGCCTCTCCATCTTTGCGGTTCCTTCGCCAGACCAAGTTCGCAAAACCGCGGAAACGAACAACGGCGAGGTCGTCTACGGTGCGTCGCCTCTCTACAAAGTGTCTGCATTCCCACTAATCGTCCTCTGTGAGCTGCAGTCAAAGCAAAACCGCTCCTCAAGCTCAGGCTGCCGGACACGACCATCACATCTCTCGCTTGGGGAGGTTCCGAAGTCATCGCTGCTGGCTGCATCAACGGTGCGTGTCACGTGGACCTGCCGCTGTCTCGTCCCGGTCAAGCTGACGAGCCGTGGGAACAGGACACATCGCTGTTTGGCATGTTGGCGATGCCTTGCGGAGCGGGCAACAGCCTGGTACGTTGCGTTCCCAGCGACGCAATGCGGACGATAGCTGACCCATTCATTCCCTAGAAACGCTCCTTCGACCTCGCCAGTACCTCCCCGCTCACACCGCGCCGATCCGCTCGCTTGTCTTCGTCGACTCCCCGCCGCCTTCGCTTGCCGACCGCGCCAAACACGACTTCGAAGCGCCGCCGACAGGCATCATCTCCGCCGGTTACGACGGAAACTCGGTCTTCACCGACCTGCGCAATCCTGGAGGAGGCGGAATCGTCCTTAGTCACGAGCGAGGTGCGGCCCACCGCTTTTGCTCGGGTCGACTAGCGCTGACTTCCTTCCGCTAGCGCCTATCTACGACGTCGCTTTCTGTGCTCATACCGGCCTCGTCTACACCAACGACCTCGACGACCGAGTCCGCGCCTTCTTCCTCAAGCCAAGCGTGCTCGGCAGCGAGGGCAGGATTGCCGCTCACCGAGGCACCGTCTGGGTGCGCTTCAGTTTACGGTTCTCCGAACGAGTCTCAGCGAACTGACTCGAGACTTGTGCGACGCCCGCAGTCAATCTCTGCCTCACCTCACCATCCCTTCATCCTCTCGACCTCAGCAGACGGCTCGGCAGCCCTCTCGTCCGGTATTCGGGCTCTCCGGAAGCGTCGCGTCCGTGGCCACCTCGTCCAGAAGCTCTACCGCCTCGAGTTCAACAGGATTACGGGCGACTTGCGCATGTGGGATAACCTGCAGATCGAGGTCCGTCTCACTTCGCCTCGTCATCCCTTTCGTAGAGCTTGTACTGATGCTCTGTCCATCACGCAGTACCGCACCGCCCTCGACCCGTCGAACCCGAGTCGCGCAGGCAAGTCGAAGAGTATCATCGAGGAGGCGACGGAAGACTCGCCGACGGCCGCCTGGCCTCTCGAGCAGGGCATTGTCAGCTCTGCTTGGCACACTAACCTGACGAGGAGTGCGCTATGCGCGACGGGAACGGCAATTGGGCTGGTCAGGGTGGACTGGGTCGAGGCGGACAAGCAGATGGCGGAGCAGTGACAGGTCCTTGACGGGGACGCGCTTGTCGGACTGGAGGATCGCTGTCGTAACAGTAGGACTGCAAGGTCGTCGTGCTTCTCCCAGTCTGCGATGCACTTCCTCATCCGCCTGCTTTGGCTTGCTTTGACTGCTGATAATGCTAATGATGCCTTCACAAGCCTCGAGAAGCACAAGACTGCGTAGTTTAAGCTGTTTTTGTGGGACCTTCCGCGACTTCATTGCGAGCGATCCTTTCGACTTCTCCGCTTCCACTCTCCTGCTCTCGCTTGGTCCAGCTTCTCCATGGAGCGCAGAGCAGCTCGCAGTGGAGGGCGAGCAGCTCCAGGCTGGCTCAGCCCTGCGCTGTGGCTCGTCGCCGCGCTCCTCGTCATTCGGTCGCTCCCCACCTCGACAGCCGTGAAACGATACGACTTCAAGACGTGCGACCAGTCTGGCTTCTGCAGGCGCAACAGGGCTCTCGCAGACCGTGCTGGCGAGGCAGGCGCGAGCTGGCAGTCGCCGTACGAGGTGCACGCGCCCAAATTCAGCGGGGGCAGCTTCCGAGCAGCCGTCTCAAACGCCCTCTTCCCCCAGATCAAGTTCTCTCTCGAGCTTCGGTTCCAGCAGGATGGTACGGCGCGGGTCTTGATGGACGAGGTGGATGGACTGCGGCAGCGGTACAACGAGGCGGCGAAGTGGACGCTTGTTGGAGAACCTCAGGTCGAGGAGAACGATGGGCGGTACGAGGCGAACGTCAAGGAGGCCTTTGCGACGATCAAGTACCACGGCGGACAGAACGAGGCTCGCATCGACTACAAGCCCCTCACCATCACCTTCTTCCGCGACGGCCAGCCTCACATCATCCTGAACGAGCGCAAGCTCTTCAACATGGAGCACTTCCGCGTCAAAACCGTCGGCAACCAGCCCGAAGAGCTCGTCGTTGAAGACCCCGAGCACCCAGACGAGCAGCTTGTCGTCGTCCAGAGCGAGGCCTTTCCAGGTTTCCTGCCTCCAACGGAGGACGGCATGTGGGAGGAGTCGTTCAACGGGAAGACGGACAGCAAGCCGAAAGGTCCGTAGACCCCTTCTTTCGATGCTCGGAAGATATCGAGCTGAAGACGAGCCTTTGTCGTTGCGCAAACTCTTTCCCGCAGGCCCCGAGTCGCTCAGCCTCGACATCACCTTCTCCGGCTACGAGCACGTCTACGGCATTCCCGAGCACGCCTCGACGCTGAACTTGAAGGAGACGAGGTGAATCCAGCTCGAGCCAGGAAGATCGCGCTCGTACAACGGCCTGAACTGACAGGTGTACCTTGACAGGGGCGGCGAGGGCGCGTACACCGACCCGTACAGGCTGTACAACCTGGACGTCTTCGAGTACGAGGCGGATTCGGAGATGGCGCTCGTGAGTAGGCGAAGTCGCAAGCTTGTCTCGACGAAACGCTGACACTCGCGTTCCATAGTACGGCTCCATCCCGTTCATGCAAGCCCAGCGTGCTGGCTCGTCGGTCGGCGTCCTTTTCGTGACCGGCTCAGAACTGTGGGTCGACGTCACCCGTTCGCCCACCGCCAAGTCTGTAACTTCCGCCTTCAAGAAGGGCAAGAAGGCAAAGGGAGGGGCCGAGGACGGAGGTCCGTCTGCTCGCACAACGTCGACGCACTGGATGGCCGAGTCGGGCATTCTCGACCTCTTCGTCTTCCTCGGACCGACACCCGCCGATGTCTTCGACGCCTACACCGCCCTCACCGGTCGCGCGCCGCTCCCGCAGCTTTTCGCACTCGGCTACCAGCAGTCTCGGTGGCAGTACTGGGACGAGCGGTCGGTCCTGGAGGTCCAGAGCAAGTTCGACGAGGCCGACATCCCCCTCGAGTCGATCACGCTCGACGTCGACTTTACGCCCGATAAGCGCTACTTCTTGTGGGAGCCGCACAATTTCCCGACGCCGGAGAAGATGCAGGAGAAGCTTGCTGAGCGAGGGCGCAAGGTGCGTGGAGACGGTCTTCTCACCTTCCATCGCCGCAGCTGACTTTGCAGCCGTTCTCGCCAGCTCATCACGATCGTCGACCCGCACATCAAGCGCGATCCCGACTACTACATCTACAAGGAGGCCCAGGATCTCGACATCCTCGTCAAGCAGCCCGACGGCAAGAGCGAGTTCGAGGGATGGTGCTGGCCCGGCTCGAGCTCGTGGACCGACTGGTTCAACCCGAAGAGTCACGATTGGTGGATCAAGCAGTTCCGCTACGACAAGTACAAGGTGAGCACCGGGTCTCCTCCTCCTCTGCACCTGCGACCGATCGAAGGTAGAGGCGATACGCTGACGCAGCTCCCTGACGCAGGGTTCGACGCCCAACCTCTTCATCTGGAACGACATGAACGAGGTGCGCTCACTCACGCTCATGACGGCCTTCCCAGGCTGACTCGAACTTCTCCCCAGCCCTCCATCTTCAACGGTCCCGAGATCACGATGCAGAAAGATGCCGTTCACCACGGCGGCTGGGAACACCGCGACGTGCACAACATCGTCGGCATGATCTACGTGAGCTACTCGCTCCGCGCTCCCGAGTCGACTTCAGCTAACTGTCATCTCGCGCAGCACAACTTGTCGTCGCAAGGCGTCATCGAGCGCGAAGACCCGCCTCGTCGACCCTTCGTCCTCACGCGTGCCTACTTCGCCGGCTCGCAGCGATACGGCGCGATGTGGACGGGCGACAACATGGGCGACTGGCCGCATCTCGCGAGCACCGTGCCGATGCTGCTCAGCAACAACATCGCGGGCATGCCCTTCAGTGGCTGTGAGTACCGCTCGCTCCTGCTGTAGTGGAAACGCTTTGACGTCCCGCATCGCAGCCGACGTCGGCGGCTTCTTCGGAAACCCTCCGCCCGAGATGATGACTCGCTGGCATCAGATCGGCGCCTTCTCGCCCTTCTTCCGGGCACACGGCCACATCGACACGAAGCGCCGCGAGGTGTACCTCTTTGACCAGCCTTACCAGGGCATCATGCGCGACGCGATCCGCCTCCGATACTCGCTCCTGCCCGTCTTCTACACCGCGTTCTACGAGACGAGCAAGACCGGCATTCCCATCATGCGGTCAGTGAGTCCGCCTTGTCATCTCAGCCCAGTCCTGACGAGTCTTCCTCAGGCCACAATACGTTGTCTTCCCACAAGACCCGAAGGGCTTCGCTCTCGACGACCAGTTTTACCTCGGCAGCTCGGGTCTCTTGGTCAAGCCCGTCGCCGAGGAAGGCGCGACGAGCCAGGACGTCTACATCTCGGACGACCAGGTGCGCCACTTCGCAAAGCCGATTCTCACTTCCAGTCTGACGCTTACTTGTCCCACAGCCATACTACCACTATTTGACGCACGAGATCTACTTCGGCGCTTCTCACGGCGGTGCCAACGTCAAGGTTCCTGCGCCGCTCGAATCGATCCCTGTCCTCCAGCGTGGCGGCCACATTCTCCCTCGCCGGGACATCGTCCGCCGTGCAGCTGTCCTCTCCTGGCGCGATCCTATCACACTCGTCATTGCGACGGACCTTGCGGGTACCTCCGCCACAGGCTCGCTCTACCTCGATGACGGCGACACCTTCAACAACGAGAAGGGCGACTACGTGTACCGCTCGTTCGTCCTCGCACCCGAGTCGAAGGGCTCGAAGACCCTCAAGTTGCAGAACCGCGCTGCCGTGCCGTACGACGAGTTGAACGCGTACGCGCAGAAGATCTCGGACGTCCCTGTTCGGGAGATCGTCGTCCTCGGTCTGCCCGCGAAGCCGTCCTGCGTCAAGATTGCCGGTGAGGCGGTCGGACTCGAGTTCGAGTGGAAGGATGGCGTCGCTGCCACCGGCTCGAGGCGTTCGTGGGGCAAGCCTGCGAGCGTTCTCGTCATCAAAGACGCCAACTCGCCCATCGTCAAAGACTGGGACCTCGTGTTCGAGTACGACTCGTCCAAGGCATGCCCGGTTACGCCAGCCGTCGACTACGAAGCCGCGCTCCAGTCGCCCGAATGTCCCGTCGGTCGCTTCCGCTGTCGCAACGAGGGCCACATTCCCGGCTGCGTCCTCCTCTCGCGTGTCAACGACGGCGTCTGCGACGAGGAATGCTGCGACGGGTCCGACGAGACGGACGGCAAGACGCTCTGCCCGAACCGCTGCGCTGCTGTCAACGCCGAGTACCGCAAGCAGAAGGCTGAGGTGGAGCGGAAACAGCGCGTCGGCGCTTCCGTACGGAGCGACTACATCAAGTTCGGCGCTCGCGAAAAGGCCAAGCTCGAGGCGGATCTCGACAAGGCCATGGACGAGATCGCCGACCTACAGCAGCGGGAGAAGTCGGCTAAGACGGCGCTAGAGATCCTCGAGCAAGCTGAGGCTGGTGAGATCGAGCGAAAGAAGAACAGCCAGCTCTACCAACGCATCGTCGAGATGCAGACGGTTATCAAGGCTCTTCGCCTGCATCGCCAGAACCTCGAGGGTCACATCGCTGACTTGAGCGGCATTCTTAGCGACCTTTCGGTGTGTTGGCTATCCTCGGCGCCTTCGCCGCCTTTGACTGACAGCAGCATCTCCCACAGCGCGACTTCAATCCCAACTTTCAGGACATGGCGGTCCTCGGCGCCACTCGTGCGTTCCGCGACTGGAAGGTAGCGAACGGCATGACGGTCGAGGAGGGCGAGGGCGTCGAGACCGGCCAGGAGGGCGAGACGGCTGCTCCACCTGCAGAGAAGCCGACCGAGGAGGAGCTCGTTGCGGACGACTACACCGACGACGAGCTGAAGAAGCTGGAGGAGGAGGACCCGCTCTCGCTCATCGACTCGGTCAACCTGCGCGTAGGTGCTCCAGTGACATCCGGTGTCGCGAGCAGTGCGTCCCCGCTCGCATCCTTCGCTTTCCACCAAGCTGACTCTCATCGCCTCGCGCAGTCTTCCGCCTGGACGACTATGTCCCCGACAAGTGGCGACCGCTGTACGACAACTACAAGAAGCAGCTCGTCGAGTTCCTCGTTCGCACAGGTGTCGTCTACGCTCCTGTCAGCGAAGGCTCGGACCGACCAGAGCTGATGCGCGCGCGGACGGCGCACACGGATCTCGTCGACGAGCTGCATCGCGCGGAGGGTCGGCTTGGAGACGTCAAGAAGCAGCTGGAGAAGGACTGGGGACGGGATTGGGAGTGGCGGAAGCTTGACGGGACGTGCATCGAGAAGGACGCGGGCGAGTGAGTCGACTCCCATCGGTCTTGCTTTTGCACGTCGCTGACATGCTGTCGGTCTGCAGGTACACCTACAGCTTGTGCTTCTTCGGTGAGGCGACGCAGAAGTCGAACAACAACGGCGCGCGCACCAGTCTCGGTACCTTCAAGGGCTGGTCGTCGGATGCGGCGCAGGGTTCGGACGAGTACTACATGAAGCAGCTTTACACGGACGGGCAGAGGTGCTGGAACGGTCCGGCACGTAGCGCCAAGGTGCGCTCACCTCGCTTGCCAGATCGCAAGCGCTCCGCTGACCTTGACTCTCGCAGGTCGACCTCGTCTGCGGCACCTCGAACGTCTTGGTCTCGGTCGTCGAGCCCGAGAAGTGCGAGTACCTGTTCCAGGTCACGACTCCGGCCGTGTGCTACCCGCCGACGGCCGAGGCGGAGGAAGGAGCGAAGGGAGCGAAGGACGAGCTGTAGCTCGACAGCGGATTCTTGCATTTTTCGCATTCGGAATCGTACATAGCTTCAAGGCACGTCTAAGGCACGTCTCCTAGTTGCGATGGGCTGCGCTACAACCGCGGGTCCCACAAGTCCCCCTGCTTCCACACATTCGCAACCGCCGCCACAACCATCCAACACCTCGCCCTCCCCTCCGCCTCCTCCTCATCCGCCGTCCGCTGCTGCATACTCCGCCCAGTCCCAGCCGCTACGCGCGTCTCGACGCTAACCTTGTGTGACTCCTCCGCGAGCGAGCGCAGCGTCCGCGCGAGCTGTCGCAACGTCGCGAGGTCTTCGCCGTCGAGGACTTGTTCGAGCCGCGTCAGGAGCGAGAGCATCCAGTGCGCTTCGTGTGCCGAAGGAAGCGGAGGGCGCGGTCGACCTGCGTCTGTCGTCGCAGCGGCAGGCGCAGCCACTTTCGCCGTCGCTCCTTTCCTCCGCAAAGCAGGCGGCGCAAAGATTGTCGACGGTACGAAGTTGAGCTTCTCTTCGTACTGCTCCAGTCGCTCGTTGTACCAGTCGTCGAAGTGCGAGAGGACGTGGATGAGGTACGGACGCGGGATGGAGATGAGGAGTGCGGGAGAGGGAAGTTGGGGGAGTCGTTCGTATTCCGGTGCGGGTGCGAGGGCTGGAGGAGCGGGAGCTGGGGCAGAATCTGGTGGTGCTGTTGTCGCGGCTTCCCCATCGTCCAGATCAAGCGCCGCAAGAACCGCCCTCTTCGCAGCCGCCAACTCGTCTTCCTCCGTGACCGCCTTCTTCGCCGCAGGAGGATTCGGTTTCGACCGCTTGCCGTTGATGAACACTCGCCAGGCTCCTTCGTCGCGAGCGTTGGGGATGAGCGCAGGGTCGGCGGGAGGGAGTGAGGATTTGGGTGCTACGAGCATGCGCTGCGGGCGGTCAGAAAGCACCGTCAGCATGCTCTCATCTGCTCGAGAACGAGAGAGAGACGAAGGAACGCACCTGTCTCGCCGCCTCGAAATTCCGCACAAACACTTTCCTCCAAGCCTCGTCCGGCCGACTCGCAGGCGGCTCGTCGTCCTCTTCCTGCGCCGCAGCCGTCTCCTCGTCCACCTCCATCGTCATGAACGGGTTGGCGACGCGCAGGACCCGCGCGTGGGTGGAAGCCTCTCGTCTACGGATGTCAAGCGGGGGGTCGAAGTCAGCTCCACCTCGCCCTCCTTGGGACCAGCGAAATCGAGAAGAGAGTAGGACACACCTGACGAGGAACAGATACTCGGACCCATCGCCCGGCTCGCCCTCCCACTCGTCGTCCAGCTCCGCGACAGGCAACACCTGCGACCCGAGTCCGCCGCGCGGGGCTTGGTCGCGCTCGCGCTCGCGTGAGGAGGGTGCATCGAAGGTGAATGTCAGGCCGATCAGGGGGTCTGCCATCGTTGCGAGCGAGAGTGAGCGTGGGTGAGATGGGATAGAGAGAGGAAGGCGGTGCTATTTCGCCAGGCAATACAAAGGGCTACAATCGAAAGCTATTGGAGGCAGGTGGGTATGCACGAGCGCCAGCGCAGTCACTCCTTCTCGATGATCTCCCTCAGCCTCTCCCAAACCCTGCTTCCCACCTCTCCCTCGGCCCATTTCGGCCATCCCAAACTCTTCAACCTCTCGTTCGACGCCTCCAACCCCTTGCCCCTCGCCAGCGGATTCGCACCGACGTAGACGGGGATTTCGGCGTAGGTTTGGGGGAGGTTGCCGAAGGGGAGGAGGCGGGCTGCGAGCGGGCCGACGAGGGAGTAGGCCCAGAGGAGAGGGGAGGGGACCATCCCCGTCGAAGCGAGGGCGTTGCTGCGGGATGTGAGCGAGTCAGTCACTATGCTCTGTGCGTGGGTGAACCTAATCAAGCGATGGAAGGGCGGGAGGGCGTGTTGCCGCCCTGAAAACCCAGTTGCGCGAAGGAAGAGGATCGCTCCGACTCACGTATAGACGAAGCCGGGGAAGAGGTGGACCGCACGCAGTTGCGGAAAATGGCGAGTGAATTGCTGCCCGACCATAGCGAGAGGCAAGCGACGAGAGGGCGTCAGTGTCGCTTCCAAAGGAACGGACCTTCCCAACCTCGCGGAGGAATCCTCGAGGCGAAAGGACGACGAAGAAGCGACACTCACCACGGCGGCGGCATCATTCAACGCCGAATCCTGTTTCGCCTGTCCCAAGATCCTCTGCACAGTCCACTTCTTCCGATAGTCGTCGCCAAGCAATTCGATGTCCTCGACGTCCGGTTCCGGCCCTTTCTCGCCTGCGGGAGCGCAGACAGAGATCCAGGTGTCTTTGAGCGTGCCGGAGGAGGCGAGGAGGTAGGCGAGTCCGAAGCGGGAGAGGGTTTGGATCGCAAAGTGCGTGTCGTGGGCGGGAGTTGTGGAGGTGAGAGACGTCGAGCCGTTTGGGGGGCCGCCTGCGTGGAGCTCAGTCAGGTGAGATGACTGTCGAGGAACAGGAGCGAGACACACCCTGCGTTGTGACGAGGTAGTCGAGTCCGTTCCTGCCCGTCTTGCGCTTGACCTCGTCCGCAACGCGCTTGATCTCCTTCACCGAGCTGCGCGGCGACGCACGACGTCAACAGTGACCTTGAGAACGTTGTTCACGCGCACTCACGACAGGTCCGCCTTGATAAACTCGAACGACCTGCGATCGCCCGCCTGTTCGCGCAGCCTGTTGACGACATCCTGTCCGAGTTTCTCGTTCCTCCCGATGATGAAGACGTTTGCGCCTGCTTGGGCGAAACGGAGTCCGATAGCTGCGCCGATTCCCTGGGCTGTTCCGTCGCTGGAGGTCAGCTGGAGAAGGGATAGGGAAGGGAAGGGGAGGGGACGCACTTCCACCTGCGACGACTGCGGTCTTTCCCTCGAGGTTGAGTGCGATGTTGGCGTTGCGTGCGTCGGTTGACGAGGGCATGGCTTGTGAGTGCGATCGTGAGGGAGGAAGGCGATGTGGGGAGGAGGTGAGAGTTGTGAGGAGAGTGTGTGTACGCTGGGAGTGGATGCGAGTGGAGACCAAGATGCGTGTGGTGGTGTCGTTCTCCCGCTCGCTTACGAGGTTGGGTGAGACGAGCGAGTGCCCGACCCGGCCCAGCTGCTCGAGGGGATCGGGACAGCCAGAGTGTATGCGCTCGCTTGGGCTGACGAGACACGGCTCGACGTCTCCTCCTCACCCACTCACGGCCGACGATGGCCGACAACGCCGGGGCTGCCGCTGCTCAGCCTGGCCAGGACAACGCCGGAGGAGGCGGAGCGTTCAGCGGCATCATCAAACAGGCCGCCTTCGCTTACTTGACCTCGAGGCTCGTCAGCTACCTCTTCACCGGTGCGTACAACCTGCTGGGTGTGCAGAGACGCACGCTGACCATCTCGAGCGCGCACGCAGGCAAGTCGACCTTCTCGCCTCCCCCTCCTCCTGCGACCGTCTCGACCCCCGATACCCAGTCCACCGGTCCCGCCTCTCCCGCCTCTCCCGCCAACTCCGCCCCTTCCTCGCCATCGACTCCCTCATCCGGGCAAGAACCCCCTCTCCACCCCCTCTGGCCACCCAAGACCCTCCTCGACTTCCACCTTACCCTCTCGCCCGAATCCGACCCGTCCAACGTCAACCCGCACGACTCGCGGTTCCCGAGCGTTACGTGGGAAGGTGTCGAGCTGGGATTGGCGAGCAAGTGGAGCAGGGTGTGGGAGACAGAGTGGGACGTGCCGGAGAGCGTGCAGCACAACGGGTCGTTCTTCCTCGATGCGTTTGTCGCGCGGGCGGGGAGCGATCTCGCCAAGGACGCTGAGGAGGGACAGGTCTTGCATGTGCGCAAGGCGTTGACGAGGTACTATCCTCAGAAGCGGGTCAAGGTCGTCAAGAACCTCCTCTCCGGCGAGCCTGCCAACGACGTCAAGGAGAAGGAGGACGAGCCCGAGACGGAAGAGACGGAGGAGGAACGCAAGGCCCGGCCGATCGTCTCGTTCTACCACCCGAACGTCACGCTCGAACTCGTCACCGAATCCGGCCCGCTCGCATACGCGACCCTCCCTCCTCCCGTCAAGCAACACGTCCACATCGCACGCAACGGCCAGCGCACGTTCGACTCGAAGCAGACCTACTTCCCCATCGTCCACCCCAACGATTTCTGGCTCCTCTCGTCCCACATGTTCCCTCTCAACTCGAGCACGACCCGCGTACCCTTGCGCGTCGAACTCAAGCCCACGAGCCACTTCAAGTTCCAGATGTTGAGCACGATGGACGAGGCGTTCACGAAGCAGAGCGCGGCGACGGGCGGAGGGAGGGGCGAGTTGGATGAGATCAAGCGCATCCTGATCGAGACGAACCCGACGCTCCTCATCACCACCGTCATCGTCTCGGTCCTCCACATGCTCTTCGAGTTCCTCGCCTTTACGAGCGACGTCAAGCACTGGCGGGGCAAGAAGGAGCTGGTCGGCGTCTCGGTCCGGACGATCCTCACCAACGTCTTTGTCCAACTCGTCGTCCTCCTCTACCTCGTCGACCAATCCGAAGAGACAAACTACATGATCATCGCTTCGAGCGGGATAGGCGTCGCGATCGAGGCGTGGAAGATCACCAAGGCCGTCGACATTCGCGTTCGCCCGAACCCCGCTCGCCCGCTCTTCCCGTACTCGCTCGAGGTCAAGGACAAGCATGTCTTGACCGAGGACGAGCTCAAGACGCAGGAGTATGACAAGCTCGCGTTCAAGTGGGTCGCGTGGGGCACGGCGCCGTTCCTCATCGGGTGCGTTCGCGCTTCACTCCCTTCCTCTTACCCTGCTGACCTCCTCACTCTCGACTCTGCCTTCTGAACGCGCTCCGACGGCAGCTGGACCATCTACTCCCTCCTCTACCAGCCCCACAAAAGCTGGTACTCCTTCACGGTCCAAACGATGTACTCGTTCGTCGGCGCCTTTGGCTTTGTCCAGCTCGTCCCGCAGCTCATCATCAATTACAAGCTGCGGTCTGTTGCGCGTGAGTCCGGTTTCTCGCTCTGTCCTGCCGGCGGGAGCGTGTCGAGGAGGCAGGAGGCATGGAGCGTACTGATGCGGTTTGTTGGCCCGCGCAGACATCCCGATGAAGGCGATGGGCTACAAGGTCCTCTCTACAGTCATCGGTACGTCCACCCATCCCTTTCGAGCGAAGTCAGCCCGCCAAACAGCCCCCGACCTCCTCGTACTCGCTCCTTTCGACCTCCCCGACTTCCAGGACTTTCGCTGACTCGTCTGATGCGTCTTCAGACGATTTCTTCGCCTTTATAATTCGTATGCCGTGGCTACACCGTTTGGCGTGCTTCCGGGACGACCTCGTCTTCCTCATCCTCCTCTACCAGGTCCGTCCGTCCCTCCCTCTGCGTTCGGCCTTTGCGCCTCCCTCGCTCGTTCTGCAGGCTTTGACAAGCTTTTTCGCTGTGTGTGTGCAGATGTGGATCTACCGCGTCGATCCGAACCGCGAAAACGAGTACGGTACGTCCCATCTCCGCTTCTCCCTTCCCTCCTTCCCTCCCTCGCTTCCTCTCACTGACTCGCTCTCGCAGGCCAAAAACTCACGGAGGAAGAAGCAAAGAAGCTTTTGGAGCAGCAGGCGAAGAAAGACAGGGAGAAGGTTGAGGCGGAGAAGGCGGAGTCGAAGAAGACGCAGTGAGCGGGGGTGGGGGCGTGGGTCTGTGGGAGGCGGCGTGGTTGTGCAAGTTCTGGGTTTATCTCACCGCTCTCTCTTCTCTGATCTCGCGTGCGTGAGCGGCTGAGAGCGTCGCGAAAGTGAGAATCAACGATCCGCCCGTTTCAACCCCTCACATCCGCCCCCTCCCCCTCCGCTCCGCCCTCCCCTCTCAGCTCAGCAACCTCGTCCCTGACCCACTGCGGCACAAACAAGTCTTCGTGGAGGTCAGAGAAAGGCATCGAGGGGTCGGGCGAGTACCGCGTCAGGTCAGAGTTGGTGAACCTGCGACGCGTGAGGCGGGTGAGTCAAGTGGGAGAAGGAGAGTAGGGAGGTAGGACGCACCCGCGCATTCGTCGTAGCGCAAGCTCGTCAATCTCAAAGTTTCCTCTGCGCAGCACATCCCGTCAGCATCTCGCACGACGACCAAAAGAGAAGAAACTACACACGAATAGCTTCGCCCGTCTTCTTCCAGCATTGCGAACGCTGCGTCTGCTACGATTGAGGGATCGCGCGAGGAGCGGTCGCGGCCTTCTGCGCCGATGAGGAGGCGGATCGCTTCGGTTGAGATGTAGGTGAGGGGCCAGAGTGCTGCGAGACTTGACAAGCGTCAGCTCGCGTCTCGTTGGGCGGAGAAAGAAGGGAGAGAAGCCTGGACGCACCGTTCACGCCGACTTTCCCCTTCAGCTCTCCTGCCAACCCGACCGTCGCAAGGCTCATCGCAAACTTGGCCATCGAGTACGCCGTACACCCACCAAGCATCTCAGGCGTGAGGTTTCCTTGTAGCGGTGGGGCAAGCGAGAGGATGTGAGGGTTTCGGCCTGCGTCTGCGGAGCTGAGGAGGTGCGGGATCGCGAGCTGCGAGGACGCGGCATTAGCGAGAGTACTGGATAGACTGGTGCAAGACGCACTGCGGAAGTCAAATAGGTTCCGCGACCGTTGATGGCTGACATGAGGTCGTAGGTCTTGACGGGCGTGTGTTGCGAGTCGGTGAGCGAGATGGCGGAAGCATTGTTGATCACGATGTCGATCCCGTTGAACTTGGACGCCGTCTCCTCGATGGCCTACGTGGTATACTGTGTCAGCACGCATGGGAAGCGGAAGGACGAGACACAGACGCGCCTTCTCGACCTGGTCTGCCTGTCGGATATCGACGACGAGCGGGAGAGCCTTTCCTCCTGCCTCCTCAATCGCTTCCGCCGCAGTGTAGATAGTTCCAGGTAGCTTTGGATGAGGTGTAGCACTGAACATAGCGACAGGAAGGGAGGTAAGCGGTGTGGAAGCGGGAGGGAACGGACGGACGCACGTCTTCGCCGCGATGCAGACGTTCGCCTTGGCCTCCTTCGCGAGCTTGAGTGCAATCGCAAGCCCAATGCCCCTTGATCCGCCGCTCCTGTGTCCAGCGAAAGCGAGCAGGTCAGGGAGAAGCCAGCGGTGTGGGGACGGCGCGGGAACGGGAGGGACAAGCTGGCGCACACGAAGACAGTCGGGTTGCGTGCGATGGGCATCCTTAAGCAGTCAGTCTGAGCCTGTAAGCGTGTGTGAGCGGTGTGGACGAAGCCAACTCTTGCTCGGGTCGACTTCGCCGGCGCACCGCCTCGCCCGTCTCATCGCTCCACGCTGTCCACACCTCAACTCGCTCACAACCCGCTTCGTGGGCCTGGCTGGCACCTGCACCAGCCTTACAGACGAGCTCAGGGACCAGACAAGCCGGCGACGGAACTCAGTCGACGCCGAGCGCCGTGCACGCGCCCACTCGAGCCCTCGAGCGCCAGGCTCATCACGGCGTCGCTGCCTGGTCTGGAGGTGTGGACTGGGTGGAACAGCATCTCGGTAGGCTCTGTAAGTCCGGACTGGATGTCAAGACTGGACTGACCCGCTCGAACCGGACAGGACTCGACTTTCGCCTCTGACGACCTCCCTTACGCCCCCTTAACGACTCTTCACGACCTTAACGACCCTGGCACGACCCTTGCACGACCGGGACGACACACTACGACCCCCTTGCCGACCATACCGCCCCTAAACGATGTCCCACAACTACACCTTGACTGGCTGTCCTGCACCGGAAGTCCTGCCTCGCGACCCAGTACCGTTCTTCCAGAATGGCAACATCAACTTCAAGTGTGCGTAGTTGAGCAAAATGTCTTGTTGACTCACAGCTGACTAGCCTCGAGTAGCGCACGATGTCGGCTGGATCTGCTGCGCCTTCTTCACGCTGATCGCAAGCAGCACCTCAATCTGGCTCATCTCGAAGCACTTGGTGCGTGCACTATCATACCCTGGAATGATGGCGTTGACCTGGACGTGTCCGCAGGCCTTCTTCTACCACCCGACCGAGCAGCGTCACATCGTCCGCCTACTCTTTATGCCCGTCATTTGTGCGTCAAATGTCTACTCTACCCCTTCATGCTATGCCTTCGGCTTATGGCACAGCTCTGCGAGCTGCACTGACACCCTCCTGCCCGCAGACGCCGTCTGTTCGTTCCTCAGCTACTTCTTCTACCGCCAAGCTCTGTACTTCCAGCTCGTCCGCGACTGCTACGAAGCCCTCGTAATCGCCTCATTCTTCTTCCTCCTCCTCTCGTACCTCTCGAACCCGCCTCCCTCGCCCGAGACGCCTATCCCCAAGCCGTACGCAACGAAGCGGGAGCGGGATGCGAGGTTGAGGGCATCGGTCAGGGACTTGCACCTCAATAAGTGGATGTGGCCGCTCGGGAGGTGGAAGTGGAGACCTGCGGGCGGTGGACCAGGAGAAGGAGAGGTGCGTTTCTCTCTTCTCCTCCTGTTCCTCAGCTCCGACCCGCAGACCGTCGCAGGCTTTTCTCTGGTGGATGCGCGTCTGCATCGGCCAGTATGTCCTCGTTCGGCCGCTGTCAACTCTCGCATCCGTCATCGGCGAAGCGACAGGCTACTACTGCCTCGCGTCTTGGTCGCCCAAGTTCGTGCACATCTGGTCATCGGCGGCGATCTCCGTCCCTGTCACAGTCGCCATGTAGTGTGTCCTGTTTTCGAGCTCGATGGCAGATGGGGACTGACAAGCCTGGGTGCAGCTGCGTCCTCCAGCTGTACATGCCGCTGAAGGAACAGCTCAAGCCATACTCACCTGTTCTCAAGGTAGGCTTTCCGTCGCCCTCGCTCGATTCCGGCTCACTGTTACCGTCTTCAGTTCCTCTGCGTCAAATCGGTCGTCTTCCTCACGTTCTGGCAAGAGTCGGACGAGTTTCCGCAACCCCTCCTCGCCGTCCCGCATGGTCGCTGACACAGGATCGCTCGCAGCGCTCAGCTTCCTCGTCACCGTCGGAGTGATCAAGAATCGACAATACTGGTCAGCCGACGAGATCGTAATCGGTCTTGCCGCCCTCCTCTCGTGCTTCGAGATGGTCCTCTTCGCCTTCCTTCACGTCCGCGCCTTCACCTACCTGCCATATCGCGCGCTTGCTGCCCCTCTGAACGGTGTGCAAGACCCGGAGAAGGCCGCAGTGTGGGACCCGCTCGCCGGCAGCGACGCTCCCTCGCCTCTCAAACGCCCCAAGCATCCCTACGACTCCACCCACCCTCCCCCTCGCCGTCCAGACGGCTCACCAATGCTCCAACAGACCCGTCGCTGGCCCGCCCTTCTGCGCGTACTCGACTTGCGCGACTTGTTTGTCGAAATTAAGGAGGAAACGAGGTTTGTCGTTCGCGGTGGAGAGGTGGGTGAGGAGGCGTTGATGAGGCGGAAGCGAGAGGAAGCGCGGAAGGCGGTGACGGATGCCGAGAGGCCGGTCCTGGAGAAGGCAGAAGAGGAAGAGCGGTATAGCTGGGAGGAGGAGGAGGCCATTGGTCGCGACGAGGCCGACTTGCGACATGGCGACCTCGCTTACATGCCGCTCACCTATGGTAGTAATGTACAGACGGCAGCGTCATCGGCAAAGCCCGCTCGCGGTCGACCTGAGGCAAATCGTCCACCCTCGCAACCTTGGAAAGACTCTCTCCGGCACCTCCGCTCGAATCCTCGCCTTGTCCCTTCCTTCCTACGACCTTCAGAGCCCGACGAGGAGATGAGGGCGACACAGTACCGACCGTATGAGCCGGCGTTCGTCCCGTTCCTACCGCCGAGCGACTCGGTCCTCCTTCCACCGCCTCACCGCCTGCAGACGCCTCAGCTTCGCCCGCCAGCTAGTGCGCCATATCTTGCGGTTCCACCCCCGGCTCAACAGGTCACACCGCCGGTAGCTGTTACAGCACGACGAGAACCTTCGTCAACTCCGTCGTTCGCCGCCTCTTCCGATTCGTACGGCCATCTTCCGCACACGACGCTTCGTCCGACCTCTTACATACCCGCAAGAAGGCTCGAGACAGCGCCGTCCCCACCGCCTTTCACAGCTGCGTCGCAACAGCCGTCAGTCGCTCGTCAAGATTTGCCGTTCTCTGCGCTTTCTGCAGACCTGGTCCCTCCGGTCCTCTCGATGGCCTCGGAAGCGTCGAAGCGCTCTCAGGGTCTCCCACCGGGCGCAGCTGCACCCTCTCGCTAGCTAGTTCCCTTCACGACTCTCATACCTCTTCGGAACGCACTATTCCCTTTCGCCGAGATACTCAATGATTCATTGCGAACCCGAAACGAGATATCTATTCCTCCAGATCCTTCCTGTCAAGCGTGGTCTGTCCCTTCCGTCCGAGCGAGAGCGAGAGCGATGCGAAGTTTGGTCTTCATGTAGTTGACGAGACGAGACGAAGATGCTGGTGTCGAATTCGAGGTCGAAAGCTGAGTTTGCGTGTCGGTTTCAAGCTGCGGAGGCGACGAGGAGGAAGCGAGGATCTGAATCTCCGCTTTGCGACCGAGGTGAAGCATGTACTGGAGTTCGCGGCTGACGACGATCGTCAACGTGCCGCCTTTCCGCGACAGCGCGAGAGCAACGCACCTCCACTCGTCAGGCAGACCCTCCCTCTTGAGCATCGCAAGCGCCTTGCGCCGGTCGTGGAGCGAGAGAGGAAGCAACTCGTCCCTATCAACCCCGAGATCGTCCCACTCCGTGCCCTTGACGCCGAGCCACTCGAGGCGGGGAACGGCGAGGTTAGCGGAGTCGTGTGAGAGCGCCGCAGACCCGAAGCGATAGGTTGAGAGGATGTCGAGCCCGTGAGGATCGCTGTCGACGAGGGCGAAGAGAGGAAGACTGGAGGCAGGGGTCAGCCGATGTTACGACTTGAAGGCCAGGAGAACTCACGAAGGGTAGCTGTCCGAGAGAAGCTTGAGCAGGTCGCGAGTGGCGATGTCGGGGTAGCCTTTACCGGTCAAGATGACACCGTTTCCGAGCTCAAGGTCGTTGAGGATCGGCGAACTCGCCAGCGACTGGAAGACCGCCTGTAGGAAAAGATCAGTCAGTCATGCCGCGGTAAGGAGGGCGGAACGCACCTCTTTCTCGATCACGAGCAGCCACTCGGCCGCATCCGCCTCGACGCTCTCGAGAGTTTGCGCCGTAGGGATGAGGACCGACTGCGAGCGAAGGCTCAGATGGAGTCTCGAGCGAAAATGGATGGCTGCGCACCTGTTCGGGGCCGTTCTGCACCGTTCTGTCCTTCATGACGAGCTTGATTGTGCCGGCGACCAGGCCTTTCGCCGCAGCGACGACGTTGAGCTCGCTTCTTCGCACATCGAGAGTTGCGGCCAAGTTGTCGATGAGCTGTGTAAGTCGTCAGTAAGAGCGGGACGGGTTCCGGTGAGACGCGCCCACCGAGTCAACGATGGTCTGCTTGCCGAAGAGGGCGACGTCGCGGTAGTACAGGTCCCGCTTTGTCGACACCTTCTCGTCCCGCAAGCCCTCCAAGACGAGCTCGACGAGTCGCAGGAGGCAGGCTGTTTGTCGGAGGCAAAGTTAGCGTTGGTCCTCGCCAAACGGGTGTTGGACTGACCGAGCTCTTTCGCGCCAAGCCGGACCTGATCGCCTTGGCCATATTTGCGAGGGAACCTGATAGTCTGACGAGAGGCGGAGCCGCTACTGACGGTCGAAGGGAGGATCAACCGGATGAAGCTTGGGAAGGTCAAGGTGAAGACGCACTCCTTTGAGCTCCGTCGCTTCGCCAGCACAACTCGAATCTGCTTCCAAGGCGGTCGCGTGGCTGGTTGAGAGCTTTCGGCGGGCTGCGGGGCGGGCGGAGCGACGTTGTCGACGATCTGGCTGAAGACGGAGAGGGCGAGCTGTTCGAGCGAGGAGATGATGGCGAGTCTACGAAGGGAGCGAGGGTCAGTGGAGCTTCGTTAAGGGCGGGAAACCCTTGACGTACCGACGACCTTCGAGCGAGAGCGGCAAGCTTGTCGACGAAACCGTCGGAATGGGCGCCAGCTGGAAGTACGCCTCGTCGACGTCAGGCGGTTTTTGCGCTTCGGCGGAGCTGTCGATAATGTCTTCGAGGTGCCCAGGGACGAAATTCGGCTGAGGAGACGCCTCCAGGACTTGACGTGCAGAGACATCCGGCGAGGTCGGGTCTTGGGCGTCCTCCCCCGTGATGCCCGCCACCGCTGTGACCGCTGGAATGCGAGGAGGTTCCTCGACCGGCGAACGCGCGCCAAGAGGGTTGACGAAGCCGAAGAAGGCGTCCATTTCTGCCTGCGTCGGGCTGCGAGGGCGAATTGGCGGCGGAAGCTCGAAGCGGGCGGGAGAGGGTGCGCGCGTGTCCGGAGGCGGAGGACTTGGCGACGTTGAGCAGAAGCGTTTCGCGGAAGGAGACGGCGAGTGCTCCTGCTCGAAGGTCGGAGTAGAGAAGGCCTCGTCGAAGTCGCGCTTGAGGGATTCAATGACGCTGCTCAGTCCTGCGGGGTCTTCGATGTTGCACGGCGCCGGCTGCACAGATGCCAGATCTGGATTGTCACTCGCGCCTTCGGGTCCATCAGCATCGGGGGCAGGCGAATGCGAGGAGCGGGCGAGGTCGAGAGGGTTGACTTCGAGCGAAGACAGCTCGTCGTCGAGTATAGAGGCGCTCGGGAGCCCGTCTAGAAGCTCGCGAGTGTCGCCGATGTCGGGCCACAGCGCTCCCTCCGTCTCCCCGCCGCCGTCGCCAAAGGTCCCTTCCTCGCCCTCCTCGTCCCACTCGAGCGGCAGCGTCTCGGTGGCCTCGCCGACGCTCGCTTCCAGCTCGTTCCCACCCTCCGTCAAGACGCTGAAGGCTGTGCTGGTCCGCGATGGCCCGTGAACGTTGTACAAGCTCCTGCAAGTCGCGAGCGATTGGGAAGAGGCGAGCTCGTCGACAACCGCCTGCGGGCCGTCCCGGACCTCGTCGGCGGGCCAGTCAAAGAGCATAGCCATCGAAGCGAGGCGGACCGAGCCTGTGTGGGGTGGAGCGTGCGAGGTGACTGAGCGGGAGGAGGACAAGAGGCGAGGCAGCGACGGGCTCACCTCTCTCGCACGGTGCGGGTGCTGCGATAAGTCAGTAGACCAGTGAGAGGTGAAGAGAGCAGAGCAGAGCGAGAAAGTGACAACAGAAATGCAATTGCGACAAGCGAAGCCTTCCCTCTCCTCCCTCACTTCGACGACCCGATTCCGTTCTTGCCGATGCCTCCGCCTTTCTGGACGTGAGTGAACGCTCCGTCCGCAAACCACTTCGCATTCGCCTCGTCGACCTTGCTGCGCATCTTCGACGGGTCGACCAGCTCGAGACCTGCGGGAAGCGGCGGTCAGTCAGTCGTGCGATTCGAACGGGCGAGACTACAAGCTCACCTTGGACAGGCGTAAAGGCGAGAGAGGTAGCGAGACCGGAAGTCGCAGTACCGGGCGTCGTCTTGATCGACCCGAGTCGACCCTTGAGCTGCTTCGACAGTTTCGCTGCAAAGTCGAGCACCGTCAGCCACTTTCCGGAGCAGCCAAGAAAGAGTGACACGCACCTTTGCTTCGTGCCTCTGCGACATTCGCCCGCACCTTGCCGCTCGACGACCCGATCATGCCCATGCCCGCAACATCGTCGTAGGCGCCAACCTCCTCCTCCGCTTCGCCAAACTTGATGCGGTTCTGTTGTTTCCGCAGCTCCGTCATCGCGTACGCCTCCTTCGCCTTGCGAGCCCTGCGTCCGAAGAATGAGCGTCAGCGGAAGTCGAGGGCTCGGAAGCAAGAGATGGAACGCACCGCTTTCCACCACGTCGCGCCTTCTTCTTCTCGTCCGGCCTTGGCAGCGCCTTCGTCGCCTTCTTCGGAGGCGGCCGTGCCAGCCTCTCCATCTCCGCCTCCAGCTTGCCCTTCATCTCCTCGCCGAACGCTCCGGTAGGCGAGCTCTTCGCGATGTCGACACGGGCTGCGAGCGCGACCTTGGCACCGACCTTGCGCTGTGCCTTCATGCGGTCCTCAGCGCGTGTATGCTGAACGAGAGGACATTGGTAGATGAAGCCGGTGTGAAGGCGGTCGATCGAGTGCGAGGCGGTCGAGAAACCTGTGTTGGCACGTTTGACGGCGCCGAGGAGCTGTCGCAAAAAGTGTCAGCACGAGAAGCGAACATACAAGCGTGAGAGGCTGCTCACGTAGATGTTGGAATGGGGGATGCGGCAGAGACCGTGAAGACCGCCAGCGATACCGAGAATCTTGGTCGCCGTCTGGGTGCCGACGATCGCAGAGATGTTCGGTGCCAGAAGGGTGATGCGCGACTCGACGTATTCGAGGATCTGCGAGCGAAGTTGGTCAGCTCTAGCCGGTACGGGCGATGGGAGACGCGCAGCCGCACCTTTCGCTTCGACTCGTCGAGCTTGAACATCATGTCGCACGCGCCCTTGACGACATTCCACTCCTTGTCCGCCAGCTGCTGACCCTTCGTCGTCGCCGCCGTGACTTTCACAGCCATGACGGATCCCGACGGGAGGATGCCGGAAATGTCGCCCTGAAGTTCCGGTCCGTTTCCGAGGGCGAGGATGACGCGGCAGTACGGCAAAGGGGCGGAGACGAGAGAGTCGAGTTCAGGGAAGCGAGGGAGATAGTGGTCGCGAATGAACTGCGGAGGAAGCCGGTCAGCAAGAGGCAGGAAGCGAAAGACGAGGCGGACTCACCTTGTGAACGACCAGCATCTCGTTGTCAATCTCGACGCTCAAGTTGTTGGCCTGCACGATGAGCTGGTACTCGTTGCTCTCTGGGTCGCTAGCAAGGTTCGGGTCGGGGTGTTCGCGGTAGTAGTCGATCTTCTGCGATGGGCTCAGCAGGTCAAGGTGAGCAGGCGGGCCTCTCAGCGGCGAGAGCGGCGTGCTTACCTGCAGTACTTCACGCATGTTGCGCCCGTTCTGCAGCTTGGCGACCTTGCCGACCTCTGTCACCCCCGTCAAGTCCATCTGGTTCACCGCATCCGAGTCGAGTTCCTCCGCCGGCTTGATGCCTCCTTCAGGGACGTGCACCTCTCCAGCAGGGACGTCCTCCATTCCTGCGTCGCCCTCAGCCTCGCCGTCCTCGTCCGCGCCGCCCTCGTCCCCCGCCATCGCCTCGTCTGTCCCTCCGTTGGTCCCGCTGGGCCCAGCAACCGCCGCATCGAGCTCGTCGTCGAGTTCAGAGCCGGACCCGAGGTCGTCGAGGTCGTTCATCAGCTCATCAGCTAGCGAAGTCATGGTAGCGAGATGTCGAGTGAAGTGTCTCCAGGCAAGAAGTGCCGGTCGAGGAGTGACTTGGGTCGACCTCTCCGAACGGTGTTCTGGCTCGTACGAATGCATGAGGAACAGCTTTGAATGCAGTACAACACGAGAGACGCAAGAAGATGCGAGGGAGGGCGAGGACAGGAGAGCCACTTCAGGCAGAAGTCGCAACTTCAGCTCGCGGCACTGCAAAGTTCCGCCGATTGAGCAGGGCACCTGTGCGGAACCAAGCGTCAGTACCAGAGTAAAGCGGCGAAACGGAACTAGCGGCGCTACTCACCCTTCAGCGACCGAATTTCCGCCTTGAAGTTGTGCGTCACCTCCTGCAACGCCTTCCTCTCGCCCGTAGCAGTCGACATTCCACTACTTCCATACGCGCCGTACGGCCTATACGTATGGAAAGTCGAGGCGGAGTAGATCTCCGAGTCGAGGTACTCATTGAAAGTGACGAGCGACCGCATGAGCGTTCCTTGTGGCTGGACGAGGTTGGAGGGGTTGGAGCTGCTGTGTGCGGAAGAGGCCGAGAGAGCAGAGGGCGAGGCGGACTTGACTTCGGCGCGAAGGGTCGAGAGAGCGGACTTGACGGGTTCGAGGAGCTGAGGTGGAGGAGGGAGAGAGGGTGTTGACTGTTCCACCACGCCTTCCGCTTCTCCCTCTGCCTTTTCCTCCGCCAATAGAGGTTGCTTCTCCTCTTCCCTGCCCTCCGCGCCCGCCTCTCCTGCCTCATCCTCGCTCACAACTGTCCTCGCAGCCTGCTCCTCCCTCATCTTCCGCTTGTACTTGATCGCCTCCGCGCCGCCCAATCTCGCAACACTAGACGATCCAGTAAAGGTTCGAAGGGCATCGTAAAGCTTGGCATAGGCGGATTCGTGGATGGTGAAGAGGCGGGAGCGGGCTTTGAGGGCGACGACGAGTCGAGGGTAGATGATTGACTGCGTTTGATCGCCTAATTAGCTCGCACGTGGGTGCAGTAAACCTAATGGACGCACCTTGTACACCCACGCGACTGCCGCACTCAGTGTTCCACCGACGAAGAGGAGGATGGAGAGTGTCCTGATGAAGGTCGGTACGGTGGAGTTGGGCGCATAGGCGGGCGGCGGTGCGTAGATTGGCAGTTGCGAGTAAGTCCGTGGTGGTACAGGTGCCTGTAAAGCTGTCCAGTGAGCGAGGGAAGCAGGCGAGAGTAGCCGGACTGGGGACGGACCGGTTGAGGCGTGGTGGGGGGATGAGCAGAGTCTGTAGAGACTGTGGGAGCGGGAGCAGTGACGACTGCGCTCTCTGTAGGCTCGGTAGGAGGCTTAGGAGCGTTCGACATGGCCAGCGGACGGGAACGAGTGAACGGGCAGAAGTCAAGAGGAGGAGGGATGCGAAATGCGAGGACTAGAAGTACAGGGACAACTCGTACGGCTCCGTCTACGGCACGATGGCAACACCCGCCGACCTGCAAGACCCCGCGACAGCCCTCGCGATGCTCTGAAGCGGGAGGTGCCGCATCTGTTCGTCCCGCTGCTTGATCTTGGCAATCTCGTAGATGTGCTTCGCGCTCAAAGTCGCGACCGGCGCGGCCCGCCCTGTCTCGCCTGACGCCGTCTCGATACCCGCTGCCTGCTTGACGAGCCACATTGTTGGAGGTGTGTGGATGGTGAAGGTGAAGGAGCGGTCCGCTTGGATGGTGATGTTGACGGGCGTAGGAGTTCCGGGTACCAGACTCGCCGTCCGTGCTGCGAGCGAGTGCAGAGCACGTCAGCCTGGCTTCGGACAGCGTTGACCGAGAGCGAGACGCACCGTTAAAGTCCTTGACAAAGTCGATCGACTTGACACCGCGCGCACCGAGTGCGGGACCAACTGGAGGCGCAGCAGTCGCCTTCCCTGCCGGTACAATGAGCCTGCGCACGTCCAACGAGCCGTGGTGAGCGAGTTGTCCGGCCGAATCGAGCTTCTGAGCGATGAGGAGGACAGGAGGGTGCAACGGCGTCCCTCGGGCTCTGGACGGCGGGGAAAGACGCACCGGACCATCTGAGCGGCTGCCTGTACTGCTGGCTTCGACATCTTGGCGCCTGCGCGGGGTGAGACGAGCGGTGGAAGCCAACTTGCTCCTTCACCTCCGACCGTTCACCGCGTCTGACGCTTGCTCTGCCATGGTTTGAGACTCGCTAGCAATGCTGTACCAGGCTGCGCGCATCGCGGACTATCTCGCTTCGATCGGCGCAGCTCCGTTCCTCCACCCGCCTTGACCTCGTTTGCACCCCTCGACTTCATCGCGCTCGCCTCAACCTCTATCCAGTCGTAAGGACGCTGCAAACGATGGTACACGGGAATGAGCGGTGCGCTGGTGTAGGCGAACTCCATGCGCGCGGTGTCGCCGAGTCTCGTCACGACCTCCTTCGTCTTGTCCTGCTACTCGACCCGGCAGGATCCTCTTGGCTGCAGCTCACAGCGCAAGTCTGAGAAGCTGCTGGTATCGGCGATGGACGGGACTCCCTTCACTTGGTCCTGGCGGGCCGATGCTCAACACCTTTGCCACTTCGTGCTCGACTTGCTGATGCGCTTCATTCGCTCGATCGAGGCACAAGCACCAGATTGACTGTCACGTCTTGAAGGATGCGCCCGGCGCGCGAGGAAGGGCAAGGCGGCCGAAGCAGGTCCGCTCACCTCTCCTTCCCTCTCACAAGCTCGCTGACTTCGCTTCAGGCGGGACGAGCGCGACTCACTGTCCGACTGATAGACGACGGAACATGTGGAATCGGAGAGGCGATTGCAGAGTGAATGGTTCGAGGAGCACACCCACGAGGGGCAGTTGGCGACCCGACGGAGTAGCGAACGACGGCGACGCGTTCAGTGCGATTTCCCTGGGTTCCTTTTGGCGTACAAGGATTGTAATTGCTCTGCAAAACCCCTTGCGCGCGGTCTGAGAGGGAGAGATGGCGCGGTGCTGTATTTGTGTTTTGCTGCGGGCGACGTCGAGCAGCCATCTCTCCCGCCGTTGACCTCATCCTCGAGCTCTGCGCTGGTGTGCTGCTGTTGTACTTGCTCTTGCACTCTGCATTCGCTACAGCTCTCCCGCGCCGATCAACCCTCGCCCAGAGCATTCCTCGTCCGCTCACACCTTCCCTCGGCGTGCGCACGGAAATCCCGCCAACTCGCTTCTCGACGCCGTTGGAGGACTTGCGGCAGTAGTGGGAGGATCTAGACAGCAGCAGGGACTGTCAGAGCGCCACATCGCTCACCAGCAGCCGCTTCGTCCCCGTCTTCGGCCTCAGCGCCAAGGTGCGCTCGAAGCCTTATTCCTCGTCCTCGCATGGCACCGTGGGAGCGCTGACACCAGCCCGAATGCAGCAGTAGACTCTCTTCTCTCCTTCTCGAGAACCAGCGACCCCCGCCAAATCACCCGTCGTCATGGCCTTCAACGGGATGAGCCAGGTCCCGTCAGTCACGCAGCGCCCGCTCGCCGTGACGGCGACGCAGTTCTCCTCCTTCGCAACCCCCGCCATCACCGTCCCCTTCCCCTCGATCTACGCCGGCCAGTCGCAGATCCCCTTCCAGTTCACCAACACGGCCACCTTTGCCGCAACTCGCATCCCTACCACGATCGGTGGGGTTGCTGCGACGTCCGGTGTCGCTTCCATCAATGCGCAGGCGAGCTCGGCGGGGTACAAGACCTCTGGGTACGGCAACAACGGCGGAGGGGGAGGGTGGCCGACATGGGCGACTGCCGTCATCGCTGCGTGCGGTGGCGCGGCAGTCATCTTGATCGTCATTGGACTGTTCTGCTGGCGGTGGAGGAGGAAGCAGAAGGCGAGGAAGAGGGCTGCGGCGGTCCTGGCGGCTTCTGGAGGTGGACCGCCCAGACATCGCAAGCTCGCCAAGGACGGTGGCTTGACGGAGAAGCCTGCAGGAGGTGTTGCGGCGGATGCACGGAGAACAAAAAACAGGCGGAACGAGGCGGCTTTGGCGGCGGGAGTGGGTGCAGGAGCTGGATTGGCCGCAGCAGATGCCCGGTCTCACTCGCAGGGCAAGTCCCGGAGACAGCGCGGGCCATCGCCGCAGGACGGGGCATACCCTCCCATGCCGTTCGCCGAAGACGCTGCATCAGGTCGCAACTCTCCCTCTCGAGCCCGCGCACGCGACCTCGCCGCCCTCGGAATCAACCGACCCGCCTCTCGCTCGCCGAACCGCCAGCGCAACCACCCCGACTACCCCGCGCTCGCCCAACCCGCACCAGTCTTTGCGCCGCGGCACCAGCGCGACTTCTCCGCCGGCTCGACGAGCGAGCTCCTCCCGCCTGCCGCGCCGTTCGCATACCAAGAAGGCGACTCGCGGCGACGGAAAGGCTACGAGACGCCTCCCCCTCGTGCACCGAATACGCACTGGGACGACGGCTCGCCGGGCCAGACTGGCTCGCCTGCACGGCTGCTCGCGAACGCGGACGGCTACGGCTCGGGCTACGAGCAGCATGGTGATACGCCGCGCAGTAGCATGACTGTCTCGACCCGCGGGACAGGCGGAGCGCCGTACAGGTGGGATCAGGAGCGCGACCTGCATGCGCAGATGTCGCCGGACGTGTATGATGCGTCGGCTGCACTTGGGCGGGCGATGATGGGCGGAGAGGACGACGCGAGTCTGGCGGACGCATCGAGTGGATCGAGTGGCAATCGTGGCGGGGTGGGCGTCGTTCTGGCTGGACCGGCGCAGGACGGCAGGTGGGCGAACGAAGAGTCGCCGCAGTACCCGCATGTCCGCTCCAGCTCGCCCAACTACCCGCCTTCATCCAATGGCGACCACGCCTCTGTCGCCACTTCCCGCGCTCCCTCTCGGCAGCACCAGCACAGCATCCGCCGCTCCCTCTTCGCCGGCAGCGCCGACGGTCACGGCGTTTCTCGTTCGACAACTCCCGTCGACCACGCCGGCCTCGCTTCTTCCGCCTCGATGCCCGCTCTCGGTGCACCTATCGCTCTCGACCACGCACGAGCGCCCAGTCGAGCCGAATCGAGGCGGACGAGGAACGAGAGTCAAGCGTCGACCTACGAGACGGCAAACGACGAGGCGGCCGGTCGGAGCAGCGGCGAATACCCATCGCGCTCGCGCACGCCTTACTAGGCGAACCAGGGTACCCATAGACTACTACATTCGTTATATCCCCGCGACGTCTTCTCGAGGACTCGCTCGTGTGCCACTATCCTTCGCTCTCGGACACTCTCCTTCTTCGACTGTTGCCTTTTTGTAGCTCGCCCCGTTTCGCAATCAGCAGACACTGGACTGTCAGCATTCTCCCTGCGAGCAAAGCAAGCGACCGGTCGACTTGCTTGTGTCATCTCTCGGAGACGGGTTGACTTCCTCCTCCTCACCTCGACACCTCCGACAGCCATGGTGAGCCGGTAGAGCGGTCAGCCCTCGCAGTACGGAGCTTGCTGACCCGTCTCGCGCCGCACAACAGTCCACCGCCTCTCGCCGCCGTCTCGGTTCGTCCGCACTCGCTGGACCCGTCTCCCTCGCTTGCCTGCTCGCCGGGCCAGGTAGAGCGAGGGTCTCTCAGCTCGTTGAGGTGCTGACACATGCTCCGCTATCCGCAGTCCGCGACTTTAAGCGCCTCTCGACTGATCCTCCCGGAGGCATCTCCGGCGCGCCGTGCCCGGACAACATCATGGTGTGGAATGCGGTCATCTTTGGACCTGGTAAGTGCTCCTTTACGGCCCATTCAGGCGCTCAGCTCGAAAGGCGGAGTGACACGGGCGCGATGGAGGATTCGGGTCGACGGGGTTTGAGGGATGCGATCGCAGGCTCGAACGGGAGGGAGTGGACTCTTCGCAGGCCAAGAACTGCTCGCACGAAGGCTTCAGACGCTGACGGATCACTTGTCCCTCGTTCGCTCCTGTTCATCCCGCTCTCGCAGCCGACACCCCTTTCGAAGACGGCACCTTCCGCCTCGTCCTAACCTTCGACGAGTCCTACCCAAACAAGCCCCCAGTCGTCAAGTTTATCAGCAAGATGTTCCACCCGAACGTGTACGCGAACGGCGAGCTGTGTCTCGACATCCTCCAGAACCGGTGGTCGCCTACGTACGACGTCGCGGCTATCTTGACGAGTATCCAGAGTTTGTTGCACGATCCGAATCCAAATAGGTGCGCGGCGAACTGCAGAAGACGTTGGTGGAAGGCCGCGCTGACGTTTCTTCGCTCCCTCTCCTTGCCGTTTATGTTGCTGCCCGCGCAGTCCCGCGAACGCCGAAGCCGCCCAGCTCTACCGCGACAACAACAAGGAGTACGTCAAGCGCGTGCGGGAAACAGTCGAACAAAGCTGGGTCGACGAGGACATCCCCGCTTGACTTCCCCACTCTCGTTCCATACCCCTTTCGCTTCCCTCGTAGGACTTCCATCGGATCTCTCTCCCTCTCTCGCCTCTCGTTCTGTACCTGCTGTAGCCTCATGCTCTTGTTGGCCCCCTTCACTCGCATCGTCCACTTCCTTCGCATCTCTGTAAAACTCGCCTTCTCCCCTTCCCGCGTCTCTCCTCCACGCTTCTCGTTTGGCAGCAAGAGGGAGAAGAGCAAGGGGAGATAATGCACGCATTCGAGCGCTCTTCTTTTGTTGCAAGTCGCCTCGAGCGAGATGAGAGGGTATACAGGGCACGGACGGGAGAAGGGTGCAGGCGGAAAGGCGATAGGTGCGCGAGGAATGGGGGAGGAAAGAGTCGAAAGTCCATGTATCGTGCGCCGCATAGCGGAAGGGAGCGAAGGCGCAGCGAGGGAGAGGTGCAGAGGAGAAAGGAAATGGGCGCGGCGGATTAGCGCGGGTATCGCAGTAGGATGGAGGGGTATCTATATGTCGGTCCTGGGAGGTGGAGTTGCCCGGCGAAAGGCAGACTAGCCGAGAACTGCGAAGAGAAGGACCGTAAGCGGTCATCTCCAGCGCATGCATCCCCTCGCCGGGCCCGCAAGCAGCTCCGAAGACTGGAAGCATCAGCGGAGAGAGGACGCACTGTACATGCTCAGCCAGCAGAAGAAGCCGAACAAGACAGGCAGGCTGAGGTTGTCGTCGAAGCCGAAGAAGTCGATGGCCTGCGCAAAGCGGGTTCGGTCAGTCGACTCCGACACTTGACAAAATCGATTGAGACTGTGTGACAGCGTCCGCATCGATGAGCAAAGAGAGCGGCGGACTGACCTCGGCGAGACCTGCTGTTAGGCCATTGACGACGACGAGCGTGTGCAAGTCGAGTGTGCTGTGAGAGTGCACGCGACAGGGCAGAAGCGTCGTGCGGAAACGTCAGTCGACCGCACACAGCGCATCAGAGTCTGGCACGGCCACTCACCTCTGCGGGTTCGGCAACCTCCTGATCCCCCATGCCCTCAACGGGTCCTGGTTCACCCTCCCCCTCCAGCTACTCGCCACCCTCGCCGCCACCCAACTGACATCTCCCTCGTCCCCTTGCACCGCAAACCTACTCCAAAAGACATAACTCGCCGCCATTCCGACTCCGATGGCGGCGAGCGTGCCTGCGAGGGACTTCTTGGCGCCGAAGAGCGTGCCGGAGAAGGGGAGGCGAGGGGTGTAGCGTCCGAAGAGGCGGCCGAAGACGGAGGCGGAGGTGTCGCACAGCGAGAGCATGATGATCGACAGGCAGGCGATGTCTGCGTTAAAGTATAGGGTCAGCAGCCGCATTCACACGAAACGAGACATCCCGAGCACCCCGTAGAGAGCCTCGAGACGCCTTTCTCGAACAGCGAGCGCCAACACACCTCGAGGATAGAACGAGAGGCACCAAAGGACGCCGACGAGGTAGTAGATCGTCCCGTTCACCGCGTCTGCGGGTGAAACGACTAAATCAGCATCTCGTGTACTCGTTGACGAGCAGGGACGCACGTCGCTCGGACTCGCGCTGCAAGAAACAACGAGAACCGTCAGCTTCCCCTCGTCAGATCCGACCAATCAACTCCCGACGCACCATAAAGTACCCCAACAGCCCCTCATACGCCCTCTCGAACCAAGCAAACCTGAACCTGAGCACATCAGCTGTGGCGATGACGGTCGTCGCGTAGGCGAGGTAGCGGAGGAGGGTGAGGAGGTTTGGGTGCGAGAGCCAGAGGTAGAGGACTACGAGGGCGATGGAGGAGTGGAGCAGTTTGCGGGGGATCTGGGCGCGCGCGGGATGAGTTAGTCCGTGTGAGCGAGGGGACGGAGGGTCGGGCGGGGAGAGGTGATGAGGCGGAGGAGAACAAGCGACATCAACACACCTCGAGGCTGTTGCGCGCGGATATACAGCGGTCAGCATTACACCAGAGACCCACTGCCGCGCGCTGGAACGCACCCAGAGCGCCACCTCCCCTTGTCAACGCGGTCCCCTTCGACCGCGATCCCCTCAGGCGCCTTGAGCGGCTTCTGCGCGACCTTGTCTTCTGCAATCGCCTGGCCGTTTCGTGTGCGGTGTCGGAGATTGGACATCCTCGTGAAGCACTGGGAAAGTGAGAGTGATAAGTCGAGAGGGTTGGTCGACGTCGGCGAGGAAGACGAGGAGCGGGTCGTGCGACGACGACTCGCTCGAGTTGCGTCGTGTGGATCCTGCTACGGCTTACGAGCATCTCAGAATACCGTCTCATCCGACTCGCTACTCAGATGGCCTCTGCGCGCTCTCCACCCCCTCCGGCTCCCCTCCCCTCCTCCTCATCGCTCAACACCTCCTCCACCTCGTCCTCCACCCAATCCAGCTCATCCCGTCCCTCGTTCTCTCCCACACCCCGCCAACGACGGTGTGTCCCCCCTCTTCCCTTTTCCCGTCCTCGCTAACCCTCGAGGATGGAGTAGATTCAACCCCGACCTCCTTCGCCCTTACTTGAAACGTCTCCTCGCCGCACCAGAAATCACAAGCGCTGTATGGGACAGGGATGCGGAGAAGCTCGTGAAGAGGGCGGAGGAGATCAGTGCAGAGGTCAAGAGGAGGATGGTCGGTGCGTTCCATTTCGCTCGCCTCCTTCGAGTGGAGTGCGTAGAGGTGGCCAGGGCTGATGAAGATATGGGTGATGCAGACCTCGAGCCGAGCGGGTACAAGTACCTCTGCCAAGTCTCGTTCGTCCTTTCCGCTCCCTCCTGCCCCGAAGTCTCTCATCGTCTGACCCTTTCTTCGTCAAGCAGCGTCTCCGAACGACCACGCGGCACCCTCTCCTCCTCCTCCTCAACGAACACAAGCTCCAGCGCCGGCCCAGGCGCAGGCAAAGCCTTCCTCTCGTGTGTCTGGGACCCCAACTCCGACGCGATCTTGAGCGAAGTGTATCAGAACGTACGTCTCATCGCTCTCACCTCTACTTGAAGTTTTGTGGCTGACGAGGGCACGGGGGGAAAAGGAGACGGTGGTTGTAACGGTTTTGGCGGTGGCGGTGAGGATTGGGTATTGAGTTGCGCTGGGTCGAGGGACGCGAGGTTAAGGAGGTTGGTCGGGTTGAAATTGTTGCCATACTATTCCTTCGTCTCTCCATCACGCCGCGACTTGCCGAGCGAAAGCAAGACGGATCCGCACGCGACAGCCTCTCTCGCTCAATCATGCGCTCCTCTCGCCCTGCAATCCTGTGCGAGTGACCTGTGTAAATACTTTTGGGTGGTTCATTGCGAGTAATGTGTAGAAGTGAGCGGGGTGGCCACGAGAGGTGCAGATGCGAAGTTCGGGTCGAGGAAGGGGAGGCGAGAGGCGGGATGGAGAGGGGAAGACGAAGTGGGCTGGTAGGAACGACAATGGTGCGTGGAAAGTAGAGGTGTTGGGTGGTCTGGGAGGCGGAAGGGAGTCGAGTTGGCGAGGTTTACTCCGAGATCTTTGCGATGATTTCTGCGTCCCGGAAGATGTGGTACTCCTGCACTCCCCTCCCAAGCATCAGCACACGCTCTGGTTCACTCGGAAGGACCCGCGCAACGCACCTCCTCGCCGACCTTGACGGGCACACCTCCGAACCCAGGCAAGACGACACGGTCACCCTCCTTGACGCTGACGGGGACGACCTTTCCGTCCTTTCCTGGCGCACCGGGGCCGACTGCGAGGACGGTACCCTCGGGAGGCGGGGACTGCGATGCGGCCGAGGGGAGGAACAGGCCCGAGGCGGTCTTCTGCGCGCGACTCGAACAGACGAGTTAGCGCGGTAAGGGGAGGGAGGGAAGGGCGGAGCGCACCTCGACGACCTTTGCGCGCTGGACGAGGACGCGGTCGAGGAGGGGCGCGAGGGACTTGATCGACTTGATGGAGAGGGACTGCTCGCGAGGGAGGTGAGCGAATCGAGTGGGAGTTTGAGTGAGTAGGATGGGCTGCTCACCATGGTTGCGTGTGAGTGTCACTAACACTGAACAGCAAGATGAGTGAGAGAGGGAGAGTGTTGTGTGGAACGCGAAGGAAATCGGGTGTGCCGCTGTGTCCCGATGCCGCCGTCGCTTGCTCTCTTCCTTGCTCTCCTTGCCACACTCTACTTAGCGACTCAAGAGACCCAGCCATGCTCCGCACCACCCACGCAGCTCGCAGGGCCATCCCCGGCATCCACACCCAGGTCTCGGCGCGCCGCTTTGCTCACAAGGTGAACCCATCTTGCATTCCCCCCGAGGCATTCCCTCTCTCTCACACACTCTCGCGCCCATACAGGAACTCAAGTTCGGAAACGACGGACGACAGGCTCTCCTCGCAGGCGTCGACATCCTCGCAAAGGCCGTCAGCGTCACCCTCGGACCAAAGGGCCGCAACGTGATCATCGAGCAGCCCTTTGGCGGACCCAAGGTGCGTGTGATGCAGGAGTAGAGCTATCGAGAGTGCGTGCTGATGGCCGTCACTTGGCGCAGATCACCAAGGACGGTGTCACGGTCGCAAAGAGCATCTCGCTCAAGGACAAGTTCGAGAACCTCGGCGCGCGGTGAGTCCTGCTGTGCGAGTTACTGGACGAAAGAGTGACGACGGCGTGCTGACTCGGGCATTCGCACGTCGGCAGCTTGATTCAGGACGTCGCGAGCAAGGCCAACGAGGAGGCCGGCGACGGCACGACGACGGCGACCGTCCTCGCGCGCGCGATCTACTCCGAGGGCGTCAAGAACGTCGCGGCGGGATGCAACCCGATGGACCTGCGCCGCGGGACCCAGGCGGCCGTCGAGGCCGTCCTCAAGTTCCTCGAGGCCAACAAGCGCGCGATCACGACCAGCTCCGAGATTGCCCAGGTCGCGACCATCTCGGCCAACGGCGACGAGCACGTCGGCAACTTGATCGCCCAGGCCATGGAGAAGGTCGGCAAGGAGGGCGTCATCACGGTCAAGGAGGGCAAGACGATCGAGGACGAGATCGAGGTCACCGAGGGCATGCGCTTCGACCGCGGCTACATCTCGCCGTACTTTGTCACCGACGTCAAGTCGCAGCGCGTCGAGTTTGAGAAGCCCCTCATCCTCCTCTCGGAGAAGAAGATCTCGCTCATCCAGGACATCCTCCCCGCGCTCGAGACGGCCGCCCAGGCCCGCCGCCCGCTCCTCATCATCGCCGAGGACATCGACGGCGAGGCCCTCGCCGCGTGTATCCTCAACAAGCTCCGCGGCCAGCTGCAGGTCGCGGCCGTCAAGGCCCCCGGCTTTGGCGACAACCGCAAGTCGATCCTCGGCGACCTCGCCATCCTGACGGGCTCGACCGTCTTCACCGACGAGCTCGACATCAAGCTCGAGAAGCTCTCGCCCGACATGCTCGGCACGACCGGTTCCGTCACCATCACCAAGGAGGACACGATCGTCCTCAACGGCGCAGGCGACAAGACGCTCATCCAGGAGCGCTGCGAGCAGATCCGCTCGGCCATGAACGACCCCTCGACGTCCGACTACGACCGCACCAAGCTCCAGGAGCGCCTCGCCAAGTTGTCGGGAGGAGTCGCCGTCATCCGCGTCGGTGGCTCGTCCGAGGTCGAGGTCGGCGAGAAGAAGGACCGCTACGACGATGCGCTCAACGCCACCCGCGCCGCAGTCGAGGAGGGAATCGTCCCCGGAGGCGGCACGGCGCTCCTCAAGGCCTCGCGCGTGCTCGACGAGGTCCCGCACGACAACTTGTTTGACCGCAAGCTCGGTATCAACATCATTCGCCAGGCGCTCACCAAGCCTGCGCGCACGATTGCCGAGAACGCAGGAGAGGAGGGGTCGGTCGTCGTTGGTCAGCTGCTCGAGAAGTACTCGGGCGACTTCGAGATGGGCTTTGACGCGTCCAAGGGCACCTACGTCAACATGATCCAGGGTGAGCCCCGAGCGCGCTTGCTTTCGTGAGTCTGGCTCCTGAGGCTGACGAGTTTGCCCGTGCGCAGCCGGCATCCTCGACCCGCTCAAGATTGTCAAGAACTCGCTCGTCAATGCTTCGGGTGTCGCATCGGTGAGTCGCTCCGCTCGCGGCGTCGCTGGTGCTGTCCTTGCCCCTTGCCCACGGGGACGGGACAACCAGCTCGCTGCCCGCCAGAAGACCTGCACTAACGCTCATCCTCTCCGCAGCTCCTCTTCACCACCGAGGCCAGCATCGTCGACGCGCCCGAGGAGAAGGGCCCCGCCCCCGGCGGCATGCCCGGCGGCGGAATGGGCGGCATGGGCGGCATGTTCTAAGCCCCTCATCCCTCTCCCTCCTCTCGCTTCTTCGCACCACGATTCGTTCCTTAGCTAGACATCTTTCTTCGCACCACTCCTCACTCATATCGCTCTCAGCTCAGCATGCATCTCCCTCCCTCTTCCAGGTCTTGTCGTTCCTCCCTCCTCCCCTCCTCCCCTCTCCTCCTCCTATCGCCGCGTGTACCACCACTCCCCTCTTTCCCTTCCGAGCACAACAACAAAATGGGTCGTCGAAATCCAGTTCTAATTGGTTTACCAGGATGCGCCGTTCGATGAGTAGCGTAGGAGGGAAGCGAGGGAAGAGAGAGAAAGAGCTTGTCCTCGCCCGTTTCGAGCGCAGCGTGCGTCCGTCAGCGATACTCTCGTCTCCTCAAGTTGTCCTACACGAGCCTCGACAAGCGCTATCGAGAGAGCAAGCGAGGAAAGCCGTGGGCCTTCTCAAGCGGGTCGCCCACTGCGTTCGCTTACCTCGCTTGTTGGCCGGACGACTCGTCCAAGGGATCGCGCAAAATCTATGTCATCAAATACTGCGTTGCGTCGCGTCGTGTATACACCCCTTTTACCTCCGCTCGAGCCGAGGGCTCACTTCTTGAGGTCCTTGCCGATAACCGTCTCGAGATCCGTTCCCTCCTCAACATGTTTCCTAACGCGCTTGATGAGTCGCTCGAGGTTGTCCATTCCTGCTCACGCACCCAGATTAGCGTGGGCAAGGAGGGAGAAGAGGGGAAGGGGGAGTGGGGGACGCACCGCGCTCGATTTCGGGCATTGGAGGGCCGAAGGAGAGACGGACGAAGTGCTCGCATGGTGAGTCGAGGAGGTTGCGGCTGTGAGGTGGGAGGAGAGCGTTAGTAGGTTGTTTTGAGGGGGGAGGAGAGGGTAAGGGAGACGGACCGGTGTGAGGGGTCTGTTGAGCGGTATCAGAGCGAGGGTCCGTCAGCAATTGAGCGAAAGGATAGAGGGGCACAGCGGAGGGAGATGAGGAGGTGAAGCGAGGAGGACCAGGCGAAGGGAGAAATCCGGGAGAGGCGAGAAGAGAGCGCAAGAACTGACTGAGGTCGAAGAACTGGCCAGGCCTGCAAGATACAGGCATGGTCAGGCTTCAACTCTCCCAATCGAATAGAAGTGACGAACGCACACGACGATGACCTTCTCCTTCAGCGCCTCCTCGAAGAAGACCAATCCCGAGTTGAGCGGCTTCGGCAACGACGACAAGTCGAGCCAGAGGTAGAAAGTCGCCGTCGGCGGGTTCTTGATCACGAAGCCCATGTCGCGCAGGCGCTTGAGGACGTAGTCGCGCTTGTTGCGGAAGAGGGTTTGGAGAGCGATGCGGTCGCCGTCGAAGCGGGCTGGGTCGATGAGAGGGATGGCGGCTGCTTGCAGAGGGTGGGGTGCTGCAAAGAATCCTAGGGTCAGGATACGGCTTTGAAGCAGCCGAGAGAGGAGGCGCACCTCCTCCGTCGAGGAAACCGCCGCTCTGCCCGAGAGCCTTGATGAGCGACTCGGGTCCGACAACCCTGTAGAATGAGGCTAGAGTGAGTCTCGAAACATCTCTCGGAAGCTCTTGTTGACTCCAAGCGGGTCTCTGAAGGCGACAGACGCAAAGGCTCACCAGCAAACTCGCCAGCCAGGAAGCCTCCAGCACTTTGTCATGCCATTGATGAGGATGACGTTGTCCTGGTTGACGTCCTCGATGTACTCAGCAGCCGACACCTTGGCGCCTTCGCCGAGGTCGTAGACGTAGGATTCGTAAAACTGCGGAAGTCGCTGTCAGTCGAGCGTCAGCGGAGAACCAGGCCGTAGCGCACGCACCTCGTCAAGGATCATCGTCGTCCCCTTCCGCGCCATCTCGACCATCCGCTTCAGCTCGTCGCCGTAGATGACCTGTCCAGTCGGGTTGTGCGGATTCGAGAGGAAGACGCAGGTGATGCCCATGTTGTGGATCATCTCAGCGAGGTTATCGACATTGAGGTGGTACGCGTCTTCTTCCTTGAGCGTCGTAGGGATGGGGACGAGTCGCTTGAATGAGGAGAGGAGCTGGTCGTAGGAGGTGTACTCCGGGACGCTGTAGCAGACAAAGACGTCGCCGACGACGGCAGCGACGCGGGTCAAGCCTGCTCGACCGCCGGGAACGATGCAGACGTTGTCGGCCGTGCTGTCGACAGGAGTATGAGCGGGACATCTTTGGAGACGGAGGACTCGCCACGCACTACTGGCTTTGCTTGCCCTTGCGGTAGGTCTCGTTGTAGCTGCGGAACGGCGTGGGATCAGCTACGCTCACTCAACCGAAGTCGACGGACGCACTACTTAGCGACGGCTTCGCGCAACTCGCGCATGCCAGTCGTTGGCGCATACTCGTTGACGTCGCTGCCGTACGTCGCGGACAGGTCGGAGAGCTTGATCGTGTCGGGACGGGGGGAAGAGCCGTCGATGTGCGAGACTGTCGAGACGGAAAATTAGCTTGCGAAACCGAGCGAGTTGAGGAGTTTGAGCATGCCTTCGGGAGCGCCTTGACCCTGTTGACAAATGAAAGAAGCGTAAGCAAAGCTGTGAAAGGCAAGGGAAGAAGACGCTGACGCACGAAGTTGGCCCACTGCACGACGAGGAAGGAGGAAAGTCAGCGTCGACACGGGTTGAGCGTGGAGCCCTAAACGTTTGCCGGTCTCACGCACCTCAGGGTCTCCCGCGCTCCATCCATTCTTCATCGCCCTGTCGCTGACATAGATGACGCCGGTCTGGCCTGGCGCGACGATTCCAGCGACGTCGTGTTGAGTCTTTTTGGCGCCGTGGCGCTCATGGCCGGGGACTGCGAGCGAGCGGGAGCATGCTTCGTCACATCGACTCCTTCACAAAGGAGGTCCTTGTGCCGTCGAAGCGTTGCTCGAAGCGCAAGACCAAATATAGCGAGCGAGGACGAACCGGAGCGGAAGAGCTGAGGGGAGGAGAGGGAAGTCAGCCTTCGCGACAGCCAAGCTCGGATGGAACAGTAACGCACTCTGTGGGCCTCGCTGTCACTCTCATCTGCACACGGCGACAAGCGAGACGACGAAGCGATGTGAGCGTCACTGGGAGAAGCTGCGGGTTCGACGAGGGCACGCACGGCCTTTGCGCTTTTCCGCCGTGTGCTTGAGGTGGTGGACGACGCTGTCGAGCATGCTGGGCGCGGTCAATGTAGCAGTGGAGAGGGCGAAGCGGTGTGGGAGGAGCAAGAGAGAGCGTCCGTCGCGAAGTGAGGAGGAGGCGCCCCGCTTGTCCGGAGCCACTCGGTTCGGACAGCGACGACGCACAGCGTCGTACGGCAGCGTTGTAACGAGCGTGACAGGATTACGAAGCTGCACACAAGTCGGGCGGCGGAGCGCGAGCGAGCATGAGCGAGGAAGTGAAGAGGCAAAGGAGGGGGATGCTCAGCACGTTCAGGCGATCCTACGAGATACTGAACAGCGTGAAGAGGTCGCATGGAGACTGCACAGAACGCAGTACGACTCTGGCAGAAGCAAGCAAGGCGGTCGCTTCCTCCTGTCGCTGCGTTCGCCTCCTCGCCGTTGACATTGGACCTTTGTTCCCCTTGCTCACATTTGCTCGATGTCCCAGCTGAAGCAGAAGACGCTCTCGCTGACGCAGGAAGGCAGCGTCGCCATCTCTGGCAAGTCGCCCGCGCGGCGCTTCCGCTCCCTCTCGCCCGACTCGCAGAAGCGGGCAGACCGCATGAAACTCGCCCAGCGCAGCGCGGAGAAGCACCACAAGCCGACTTGGACAGAGCAGATGGAGGACGGGAGGATCGTCGACCATGGACAGGAGGTGAGCGAGGATGAGGACGAGCCGGAACTCGAGGAGCGGGTCGAGTTGGTCGAGGAGGATGAGGGCTCGCAGGAGGAGGACGAAGGCACGGCGCAGGAGGATGAGAGGGATCCACAGCGAGTCAAGCTGCCGTCCTCGCCGAGCCGCGCGAAGTCGACGCCCCGGATTGTCCTGAGCAGTGACGAGGAGGACGAGGTGAGTTCGCGGCTGTCTGCTGGCCTGTCGAACGTCGAGACTTCCACTTCGGTCTCACAGCGCGCTACCACTCCGAAAGCGCCCGTCGCCTCGACTTCCGCCGCCGCCGCGAAACCTCCCCCTTCCCCTCTCGACCACCTCTCGAACCGCCTCGCCTCTCCATCCAAGCGCTACCGCTCCCCCTCCGTCTTCGAGGGCGTCATCATCTACGTCGATCCGAAGAAGCGACTCCCCGGCTCGGCGACGAAGGGGAAAGCGCCTGCTCGCAAGGTCACGCCTATCCAGCTCGACAGCGACGGTAGCAGCAGCGACGAGGTGGCTGTCTCGCCGAGGGGCAAGGGGAAAGGGAAAGCTGTGGTGCAGGACAAGGGCAAGAAGCGCGCCCGTTCGCCTTCGACTTCCTCCTCAGCCGCTTCTTCCTCCGCCGCTTCCGACTCCGACTCCGACTCCCTCGCCGTACCCGCCACCATCGCCGCCTCGAACCGACGTATCCGCTCACAGCGCGAAGACCGGCTGAACAAGAGCGCCTTGCGCGATTCGGGCAAAAAGGGCAAGGACGGCAAGCGCCGCAAAGTCGATACGAAGCGCAAACTTGTTGCGCTTAGTCAGGGCGTCAGGGATCGCAGGAGTGCGGATGAGGACAGCGAGGGATTCGACTTTGTCGTTGACGATGAGGTTGTCGAGTATGATACGCCTACGGACGAGGACGAAGAGGAGAGGGATAGGCGGAGGGCGAGGAACGCGAGGGTGAGGGCGAAGGGGAAGGGGAAGGGCAAGGAGCGCGCCGTTGAGTCCGAGGATGAGGAGGCGGCGAACGAGTCGGACGAATTGGGAGATCGGAGGAGGAAGAAGGGCAAGGGCAAGGCGGTGAGCGCAACGTCGCGCAAGGCGATCCAGCGCGAACTCCTCGCGTCGGACTCGGAGAACGACGACATAACGGGCGTGTCGGCGAAAAGTCGAGCGCGACAGAAGGCCAAGGCGAGGAAGGAGGCAGAGGCGCGCAAGGAGAAGGCGCGGCGGAAGAGGCGGCGCCAGAAGCGCTCGGACGACTCTGACTCGGGCGAGGACGACGAGGACGAGGACATGAACGACCTCGAGATCCTCGACGAGCAGACTGTCTTTGAGGAGCGCTTCAGGTCGCGCAAGAGCGGGGTCGGCAAGTTTGCGAGTCTCAAGGCTGCGCGCGAACGTGCATTCTCCTTTCCTTTCTAACGGCTCTGCGAGTGCGCTGACTGTCGCTCTCGTCGCAGAGAAACAAGCGAAGAACAAGGCGATTGTGCTCGACTCGGACGACGAGGCTCCGCCACCTACCGCCCGCAAACCTGCTCGCACGAAGCGCAGCTCCCCTCGTTTCATGGGCGACACTGAGCACTCTCCGTCCTCCGACTCGAGTTCCGACTCGTCTGGCAGTCCCGACACCGACTCGACCTCGTCGGGTGGCGACTCCTTCATTGTGGAGGAGGAGAACCCGGACGGCAACAAGTTTGTCGAAGAGTTCCGCGAGTCCATCCGAGGCCAGATGCAAGGCTTGCGCTACTACCTCAAGACGTACCTCCTCTACCTCGTCCACCTCGTGATCGACCCGGACCGCGACTGGCTCGCCGCTGACGAGGAGTTCAGGACGGCGGTACACCGCATCAACGAGCACTTGGCCGGACATCTCAACAGCTTGGTTACGTCTTCAGCTTGGAAGGTGCGTCCTCATCGCTTGCGCTCGCTTTATTCACACGCTGACTCTGCCCCGCTTTCCGCTCGCAGCCGAGATTCCGGAAGGCGCTCGAAGCGCGGCCGAGCATGGACATGGAAGAGCTGAACAAAGACTCGAAGGGCGATCCTTGCGGTGCGTTGCGGTCCACCATGACCTTGTCGCTCGAGGCTGATGGTTGTTCTGCAGAGGCCTGCTCGATGGGCAAGGCCCGTCACTCCTTCTACCTCTTCACGGTATCTGTACGTCTCAGCTCTAGTCCACGGCTCCCACGCGCTCACGCTTCCGTATGCTCGTGCGCAGGGCCCGAAATACGACCGCGACAAGCTCCAGCCGATCCCGCGCTCCGAAGACTCTTCTGAATCCGATACGGATGACGACGTCCCGTTGGAGAAGTCGATCGAGTTCAAGCGTGAGTCGTGACCCCTCACAGTCGCGAGGCTGTCAATAATTGAGACTGAGCGATTCTTCGCGCAGTCGGCAAGATGTGCGCCGCCCGTGCCGAGGTCGCCCACATTCTCCGGCACTGGGCCTACAACACGAAGGAGCGCGTCGCCGACCGCGTTGCCTCGCTCCGCAAGCCCATTCCCGCCGCCAAGATCTCCCAGGACATGTCGCCGCAGGAGCGCAAACGCGCGAGGCAGGAGGAGCGGGACCGCAAGCTGGAGGAGGCGACGCGCATTGTCGACAAGCTCGACAAGGACAACGTCATCACTGCGCTCGTCAACAAGCTCGACAGCGAGCTCTCGGATGCGGTCAACGCCTTGGCGACGTCGAAGTGAAGAACGAGGACGAGGAGAATACTACGAGCGCCTTCACACCGCCTCCGCCTCTCGCCAACGTACCCGCCGACTTACAGGACATCTCTTGTACTCCTCTCCTACCCGTCTGTTGTTGTCTGCGTGCCGCGTCTGTGTCTTGCGCCTTGCCTTGCAACTTGGGTTTCTTCCGTACCGCCGACGCTTGCTTCGTTCCGAACTCATGCCAGAGAGCCTCCTACGACCGCAGTCGCCCAGCCACAGCCGCTTCTCTGACTCTCGCCGTTGACTCCGTCGTCGTCGGCAAGACGACCCGGGAGCGGGGCTTCCTTTGCGCTCTTCCTCTCGCCTCACATCGTCTGCCTCGCTCGCCTGACCTTGCTAGACTTCGAAATGGCTCCCCAAGTCGTCCCGCCCACCTCCGACTTCGACTGGAGCAAGGTACGTCCTTCCCGCTCGACGAACCCCCTCCACTCCGGCGCCTGCGAGAGCAGCGCGGCTGGACTGACAGCGCCTCTGTCGCGTTCGCAGCTCGCATTTGACCTCTATCCGACTGCTGGCTACGTCAAGTACGTGAACAAGGATGGGCAGTGGGGAGCAGCGGAATGGGTTGAGGAGCCTTATGTCAAGCTGCACGGTGCGTAGGATGGTCCTGAGCAGTTGGGAAACATCGCTGACTAGATCCCGCAACAGTCGGCTCGGTCGCGCTGAACTACGGTGCCTCTTGCTTCGAGGGTTTGAAGGCGTTCCGGCACGAGGACGGCCAGGTCAAGCTCTTCCGGCCGCAGGAGAATGCCGCTCGCATGAACTACTCGGCAGCCGCCATCTCGATGCCCGAGGTCCCAGAGGAGATGTTCCTCGAGGCGTGCCACAAGGCTGTCGCGAAGAACCTTCACCTCGTCCCGCCCCATGCTCCTCACGGCAGCGCCGGCTCGATGTACCTGCGGCCCCTGTACTTTGCCAGGTGCGTTTTGGATGCACTGAGTCGTCGAGGTGGAGTTAGGCGGAGGATGCGGTCGTCTCGGCGTCTCGGAAAGGCGGAACTGATCCACCTCTTGCGTCTACAGCGGCGCCCAGCTCGCCCTCGTCGCCCCCAGCGAGTTCACCTTCATCGTCTACGTCACTCAGACCGGCAGTCTCTACGGCTCCGCAGGCGGCAAGGCTCCCGCTGTCGACGCCTTCGTCATCGAGGACTTTGATCGCGCCGCTCCTCAGGGAACTGGCACATACAAGCTCGCTGGCAACTACGGTCCCGTTCTCCGCCACATGGCGCAGGCGAAGAAGAACGGCTACCCTATCACTCTCCACCTCGACTCGAAGACCCGCACTTTCGTTGACGGTGCGCTTGGAATCGCTTCCCTCGTATCGCCGAACCAGTCTTGACCGTCTTCGCTATGCAGAGTTCTCTACGTCGAACTTTGCCGCCTTCAAGAAGGCTTCTTCCCCCGACTCTACCCCGACTCTCGTCGTTCCGAAGAGCGAGTCGATTCTCCGCTCGGTCACGACCAAGTCCTTGATGGACATCGCGAAGTCGTTCGGCTGGAACATTGAGCACCGCCCTCTCAAATTCCAGGAGGTCGTCGACGGCACGCTCGAGGAGGTCTTTGCTTGCGGAACCGCTGCGGTGCGTTCATCCCCTCCTCTCAACAACCCGCTCTCGCTTACGCATCTTCTGCAGGCCATTACACCCGTTCGATCGATCACCTACACCGCTCCTGGCGGCGCGCTGCAGAAGGTCAGCCTCGGAGACGGCCAGAACGCAGGGCCGAACACTCTCAAGCGTGCGTGGGCGCTTCAGGCTTACCTCTGCTCCTCCTTATTGACGGCCTCTGCCTCCATAGTTCTTGCCGAGCTCACCGGTATCCAGGCGGGCAACCGGGAAGACAAGTTTGGCTGGACTTGGCCTGCTGAGGGTGTCGATGCTTCGAAGGCTTGATTTGCCAGCCGTACAAAAGGGGATCACTCGTTCCCGAGCCTTGCAGTATAATGACCATGTAGTACAGAGTCTGTCGAGCGAGTTTGCGCCTTTCTAGCGAGTTGACCCTTGCGAGCCGTCCTCGTCCACTTCTCTCGCTTCGTCCGCCATGTCAGGGTCGGCGGTCCTCCCGCCCAAGCGGCCCTCGAGGTCACCGCTGAAGCTACAGCTGCCAGGAGCAGACACACCACCCGCTGTCCCCTCTCGACCCGCACCTCCCAAGCTCTCGCTCGCCCCCGCTTCACCTCGTTCCGATCAACCCGCTCCAGCGCCCTCGGGACGCCCAGCGCTCAAGCTCGCCGCCGTGACCGATGGACTGGCTTCCCTCTCGCTCGCCATCCCCAAACAAGGACCCTCGCACTACTCGTCCGCGCTGAACGGGCCCTCCGAGTCTGACTCCGAGTTCGACGAGGACGATGAAGCCTCGGCGCATCGGCCGTGGGCGGCAGGCGAGCAAGAACGGATGGCAGACGAACTGCTGAATGTGATCAAGGGGCCACCGCCCGGATTGGAGGACGAGTTGAGCGGCAGGACGAGGCGAGCGCGGAGCAATAGCAGGGTCGCGAGTCGCAGGCCCAGCTTCAATAACGAGGCTGGAAGCTTACAGGCAAAGGGAGCGACACACCTCTCGCCGCCGCTCTCGACGGGCGAGGCGGGCGGGTCATCCAGTCTCGCGCCTCGACTCGGTCTCTACGGCGAGCATGTCCAGGCTGCTCTCGGCGTCGGCGGCGGAGGGAGCCATCGAGCGTCGCCGCTGTCTTCGCCAGCACTCGGTTCGACGTCCTTCGCCCAGTCTGGATACGAGAGCGGTCTCAGCGGGACCGAGGACGAGGAGGAAGAGGAGGACGCGTTGGACATCTCGCCCCCGACACTCGAGGACCTGGGCAGGCTTGGCGAGGGAGCTAGCGGAGAAGTGCGCAAGGTGCTGCACAAGCCTACGGGAATCGTCATGGCGAGGAAGGTGCGCCCGCTTCCCTCTCTCTCTCTCGCAATGCCAGGTTAACTCTCCCGCCGGCAGACTATCACGACGTCGCCGAACCCCAAGTTACACAAGCAGCACCTTCGCGAGCTCCTCTTCATGCGCGACTGCACGCACCCGAATATCGTGCAGTACTACGGCGCCTACCTCGAAGCAGTGAGTACTGTCTTTTCCGCCGAGCGATCGCCTGCTGACGTTCCTTTCACGCAGAACAACACCCAAATCGCCATTTGCATGGAGTTTTGCGAGGCTGGCAGTCTCGAACGGCTGTATAAAAAGGTGCAGGAGAAAGGCTGGCGGACCGGGGAGAAGGTGCTGGGAAAGATCGCGGAATCGGTGAGTACGGCAGCTTCTCACCCCTTCTGCGGTCTGCTTACACCCTGCTGCGAAGATTCTCGAAGGACTCGTCTACCTGCACGATCAGAAGATCATCCACCGCGACATCAAGCCGTCAAATGTGCTGGTCACGCAAGACGGACTCATCAAGCTGTGCGACTTTGGCGTCTCGGGCGAGCTCGTCAACAGTTTCGCTGGCACATTCGTCGGCACCACGTTCTACCTCTCGCCAGAGCGCATTCGAGGCGGACAGTACTCGTGCGTCGACCACTAGAATTGCAGAGGCGGGACTCGGCTGACTTTGTCGTTCTGCAGAATCAACTCGGATGTCTGGTCGATGGCGGTCACCGTCCTCGAGGTCGCCTTGAACCGCTTCCCGTTCCCTGCGGAAGGCGAAGCGCCGCTCAACGGCCCCATCGAGCTCCTGACTTACCTTCTCAAGATGGACGCCGTTGCGATCCCCGACGAGCCCGCCATCGGCATCAAGTACACCAACGCCTTCCGCAACTTCATTCAGGTCTGGTGAGCCAAGTCGCGGTGGACCTCCCAAACCCCCCAGGCTGACCTGCTCGATTCGCAGCCTCGACAAAGACCCGGCGACTCGTCCGGGCCCGCAGGCGCTTCTCTCGCACGGCTGGATCCGTCGAAGCCGCGAACGACAGCCGCCGGCCGACCTCGCAAGCTGGGTCAGGGGTCTCGAGGCATGAACTCGACGACTTTCGTCCGCCGCTCTCCTCCATACCCTCCCGTTCCGACTCTCGCACAGCATCATACCTCTCGCCAATTCGTTCTCACGCGCCCATGTATCCGCCCGATACCCTCTTTCGCACCTGCAACCGGTTGACCTTTTCACTCGACTCGCGGGCGGGAAGAGAGGCTGGTCACTATACTGGGAGGGTGGCTCGCTCCGCTTGCGCCTGTCGTGCTCGACTCGTCCTCTCCGGCGCTATCCGATCGTGGCTTGCAACCAGTTTGCCCAGGCTGAGCCGTGCCAGTCGACGACACAAAGTGCGAGAGGAGGGAAGTTCGAAGTTCCCTTGTTTGGCGCACCTTGGACTCGACGCTGTCGCCCACAAAGCTCGCTGTGGACGCTGCCTGCTCGCTTGGATTCTCTATAGCTGCGACCGTGCTCTCCTGCGCCACGCCTTGCGCCCACTTCGCTTGCCAACTCGCGACCCGCCCTCATACATCCACCTGCCTTGTCTCGTCAGTCTCGCGGACGTGGTGAGTCGCCGTTCACCGTGCAGAGGGTGGTGAGACGCTTTCTGACCTCGCACATACACCCTACAGCTTCACCAACCCGCCCGCGCTGCGTGTTGATCGCGCTTCGCCCCCTTCCTCCGCTCGTCCTCGTCGTGCGTGCCACACCTCCTGGGCGGGCTGCGCCTCTTTCTCGAGCTTACAGATAACCAAGCGACCTTCTGCAGCCACCCCTCTTGACCTCCCCGCCAGCTCGTCGCCTTCTCATCTTCTCGCTTTCCACCTTCCCGAATGAAAGGCATTCGGCGATCCCTCAACAAGGACCGCATCGGTGCGCCTGCGCCCGGCTCAGTGACCAAGAACGGTATCCCTGCAGCGCAAGCACTCGCGCAACGCCCTACCGCCGCCCCTCCACCTCCAAAACTCGTCATCCGCGCGACAACAGCCTACCGCGCCCAAACCCCTCAAGAACTCAGCTTCAACGTCGGCGACTTCTTCCATGTGGTCAGTGACGAGGGAGGCGAAGACTGGTTCGATGCGTCGAACCCGGTGACGAATGCGCGAGGACTCGTCCCGGCGGATCACTTCCAGGTGCTGGGGCGGAACGTGAGGGAGACGGCGATGCAGGGCCAGCAGGCGAAGAAGCTGTCGAGCGGGAGCATGAGCAGTGGGAAGTCGGGCTCGCAAGGGCCTATCGCAGGAGGCGGGAGCTGGAAACCGGGCGCTCCGGCAGCGGTCGGCGCCAACAGCAGTTCGACCAAGTCCGCCTCCGCCAGTCCCTACGGCGCAGCATCCTCTCCCACCTCTCCTGCCGGCAGCACATCGAGCGGCGCACGACCACCGTCCCAACCCGCCGCGAAGCACCAACCCCTCTACGGCGTCGTCCAATACGACTTTGTCGCCGAACGGCCAGACGAGCTCGACGCAAAGAAGGGCGAGCCGATCATCGTCATCGCGCAGTCGAACCACGAGTGGTTCGTCGCGAAACCAATCGGGCGACTGGGCGGACCGGGCCTGATACCCGTCACGTTCGTCGAGATCCAGGACATGGCGACGGGCAAGCCTGTCGAGAATGTCGAGGAGCTAATACGAAGCGCGGTGGTGCCCAAGGTCGAGGAGTGGAAGAAGATGACGGCCGAGTACAAGCAGGCGTCGATCCCGCTCGGGCGCTTCGACTTCAGCAACCAGCCCTCTGCCCTCGCCTCGACTTCTGCCGCCTCGACCTCCGCCTCCTCCGCAGCACATCCTCCCGACCAGTACGCCTCGTACGACTCGCATCAGCAGCAGCAACATCCGCAGCCGTATCAATCCCCGACAAGCCCTCACGACCAGCCGCACGACCAGCAGGGCTACGACGACGGTTGCGAGCAGCGGTACTCGTACTCGCGCGAGCGAAGGCAGTACGGCCTCGTCACGTCTGCGTCGGTCGAGTCGTTCCACCAAGAGGAGGGCTCGTTCTGGTTCCACCTGCGCGCGTTCTTCTCGACGGGCGCCTCGCTCGTCCTGTACCGCCTCTACCAAGACTTTTTCGACTTCCAAGTCGCGCTGATGGCCGAGTTCCCTGTCGAGGCGGGACGCGCCCCGGGCGACGACGGGCGAACAGAACGCATCTTGCCGATGATGCCCGGCCCGACCGACTACGAAGACGAAGTCGTCTGCGCACAACGCGTTCACGACTTGTCCATCTACCTCGCCGACCTGTGCGCACTGCCCGAACACATTCGCGGTTCGGGACTCATGTACGAGTTCCTCGTCCCGAGGGCGGGAGACGTTGAGGTGACGCCCGGGAATGTGCAGTTCAGCGCAGAGCCGAGTCCGGTGCCGAGTCAGGGTGGAATGGAGAACCAGTATGGAGAGGTTGTGGACTACCTCGACCAGATGGACGGGCGGAGCGGAGGACCGAGAGGGTCCAGCGGTGGCCAGCAGCAGCAGGGGTATGGCGCGGACGTTGCGGACCAGATGGGACGGATGTCGCTCAATGGCGGGCAGTATGGCGGGCAGCAGCGTCAGTCGCAGCAGCAGGGTTACAACGGTGCGTTTGTGCGGTCGTTTTCTCCTTTCGTCTGAGCTGACTCCGTTCCCATTCACAGGTCAACACCCGTACCAGCAGCAGCAGCAGCAGCAGGGCTACTACGACGGGCCGTCGCAGCCGGCACTGCCGCCGATGGGCAACGCGAATCAGGGCGTCCCGTTCATCAAGATCAAGATCTTCCACCGCAACACGGACGACCTGATCGCGATCCGCGTCCCGCCGACCGTCTCGCACCCTGCGCTGCTCGACAAGGTCCGCGAACGGCTCGGGAGCGACGTCACGCACCTGCGGTACCGGGAAGAGGTGGGTTCGGTTGCGCCGACGGCTGGGTCGCAGATCGTCATGGCGGGCGGCGCGCGGCTGATCATGCTCGAGAACGACGAGGACCTCGAGCGGTGGGTGCGGAGCGGCGCAAAACTCGTGTTGGTGCGTTCACCCTTTCCACCTTGTGCCACTTCACGAGCTGACGATCCTCCCTCGTCTGCACAGTACGCTGACTGAGCAGGCGGTGGTCTCTCTTGCGTTGTGGTTGGATGCTCTTTCTCTTTTCACGCTGTCCGTATTCGTAGGGCCTTTACCGTCGAGTCTTCCCTTCTCTCCCTCCGCACTTGCAATCTTTTCCTCGCTCGCGATACTGCCGTCATTCGCTCGCTCTCGTCGACGAAGCAGAGCTGCCAGTGCTTGCGTAGTTGCACGCCTAGAGAGTCATGCACTGGGCTGGATTAGCAATTGTAATCCTTGTCAAGCGAAAGGAGTCAAGTTGTGAATTTGTGAAGACCCTCCACCTCGTCTCGTCTCCTCAAGTCTCTCTCGCTGTCCGTCTTCCAGCTGCCTGCGAGATACACTCAGAAATGTGCCCGTCTGCTGCGTCCACCTCTGCCGACCCGGCGCCCGTCCCTACGACCGAGGGCGCCGTCCCGCCAGAGTTCACCCCCGTCGACACTCACGCCCCGAGCCAGCCAGAGGTCGTCGCTGCCAAGAACGGCACGACGCCCCAGCACAATCCGTACGCGCCCAGGGCCAGCGACTTCCTCTCCAACGTGCGTCGGAGCATGTCATCTCGACTCGACTCGGCAGATGTGGACGGGCTTTTCGGCGGGCGTGCTGACCTGCTCCTGGCTGGCGCAAACAGGTCTCGAACTGGAAGATCATCGAGTCGACTCTGCGAGGTGCGCTTCACAGCCCTTCACGGCGTCGTCGAGACGAGCGAGCGGCGTCGCCGGGTCCGCGGGGAGATAGGTCATGGCAAGCGGGTTGGCTGACACCCGCTCCCGCACGCACGCAGAGGGCGAGCAGTTTGCCAATGCCTTCTTCGACACCGAGACCAAGATGAAGATCGCCCAGGCGCTCTCGGACTTTGGCGTCGAGTACATCGAGCTCACCTCGCCCGCCGCCTCGGAGCAGTCGCGCGAGGACTGCAAGAGGATCTGCCAGATGGGCCTCAAGTCTAAGATCTTGACCCACATCCGCTGCCACATGGACGACGCCCGCATCGCTGTCGAGACCGGTGCGTTTGACGGCGAGGAAGAGCTACGGCGAGGAGATAGTGCGCTGACTTGGGGGGCGCGCTTGCAGGTGTTGACGGCGTCGACATCGTCATTGGCACGTCGTCGTTCTTGCGCAAGTACTCGCACGGCAAGGACATCACCTACATCATCAAGAGCGCGATCGAGGTCATCGAGTTTGTCAAGAGCAAGGGCATCGAGGTCCGCTTCTCGTCCGAGGACTCGTTCCGCTCCGACCTCGTCGACCTCTTGTCCATCTACCGCGCCGTCGACAAGATTGGCGTCAACCGCGTCGGAATCGCCGACACCGTCGGCTGCGCCAACCCGCGCCAGGTCTACGAGCTCGTCCGCACCCTCCGCGGCGTCGTCTCGTGCGACATCGAGTGCCACTTCCACGACGACAGCGGTTGCGCCGTCGCCAACGCCTTCTGCGCACTCGAGGCCGGCGCGACCCACATCGACACCTCGGTCCTCGGAATCGGCGAGCGCAACGGCATTACGACCCTCGGAGGCCTCATTGCCCGCATGGTGAGTTGCGTGTGATCCACTTGTGCCGCGGAGACGGCTTTGGACCGAGGCGGAGACGAAGGAGGCGGTCCTTCGCTCCGGCGGGCGCTGGACCTCTCCCACGGCCTCTGGGACATCCCGGACGCCTTCGCTGACGCTCTACACGCTCAAATAGTATGTGGTAAATCCGGAATATTGCAAGAGCAAGTACAACCTCGCCATGCTCCGCGAAGTCGAGAACTTGGTCGCCGACGCCGTCCAGGTGCGTCCCTGCCGCCTCGACCCGTTGCTGCTGCGTTACTGACGGTGGGGTTGTTAAATGGTTCGGGCACATTAGGTGTCCGTTCCGTTTAACAACCCTATCACCGGCTTTTGTGCTTTCACCCACAAAGCAGGAATTCACGCCAAGGCGATACTCGCGAACCCGTCGACGTACGAAATCCTCAAGCCCGAAGACTTTGGCATGTCGCGCTACATCGACATCGGTTCGCGCCTGACTGGATGGAACGCCGTCAAGTCGCGTGTCGAGCAGCTCGAGCTCGAGTTGACCGACGAGCAGGTCAAGGACGTCACCGCCAAGGTCAGTTGTTCCCCCGCTTTCGGCGCACCGTGACTTGCTCTATCAGCATGCGCAAGAGCGTGTCGAGCCTATCGCGCCGGTGAAACTCGCTGTACGCCTTCGCTGACTCTCCCTTCTCTATCTCGCCCTCAGATCAAGGAGCTCGCCGACGTCCGCACGCAGAGCATGGACGACGTCGACACCGTCCTCCGTGTCTACCACAAGCACGTCTCGAGCGGCGCTCTCGGACTCCGCCAACCCGCACGCTTCGACGAGCTCCTCGCCGAGCACAAGTCGCAGAACGGCTCCGAGGCTGGAGACGAGCCCGCGGCCAAGAAGCAGAAGACGTCTGCATAAAGAAGCATGTTTCAGTGCTGTATACCTCCCCCCGCGCCTGCCTCGTTCTCCTTGTAACCATGTCCTCCGTCGTCCGCTTGCACCTTGTCCGCTCTCGAACTCCGAAGCGAGAGACGGCTCTCCCTTGATCGCAATGGTTCTGCGCCGCACTCCATGCGCCGAGAGAACGTTACCGATACCTTGCAGGGGGAAATGAGGACAAATGCGAGGGGAAGGGGGTTGCGGATGCTACGAGGGGTTCGGTGGTCCGGTGAGGAGACATGGTATGGCTGCGTGGGTACCGCACAGACAAGGCGTAGAGACATGCGAGGTGCTACAGCGGGATGGTGTCGGAAAGGCCCAAGACGAATGAGGCGAAAAGGCGAGGTGAAGGTTGCGACGGATCTAGACGGACGCAAAGTTGGGCGGAAGCTCGCGGATCGTAACGCGGAAGAAGGATTCGATTGAGCGGAGCAAATCGACCTCGTTCGGCGTGACGACGTTGAGGACCATGCTGTTCTTGTTATGGCCGGACGCGCAGGCAATCCTGGAAACGCAGGTGAGTCAGCAGGCGATCTGCATTCGCTGCGAGGAAGTGGCGACGCACCGGTGAACGTAGTCCTCCACGGCCCTCGGCATGTCAAAGTTGATGACGAGCGGGACCTGCCCGACGTCGCTGAGTGACTTGCTCAAGGCGTCGTAGACGACGAGGACGCGCTTCGACGAGAGACCGGGACGGTTCGGCGCGAGCGAGCGGAACTTGGCGATGGTCTGTTGGCGAGCCGAGGGGCCCATCTCCGAGTGCAGCGCGAGCGCGTCGATCGCGCGGTTGCCGAGCTTGTACGTGACGGCCTCGACCGACTCGAGCGACGAGGCGAAGATAACGGCGTGCTCAAAGTTCGAGTCCTCGCAGAAGTCGGCGAGCGCCTCGAGCTTCCACTCGCGCGAGCCGCTGGCTTCGTGGCGACCGGCACCGGGAGCCTTGCTCTGCGCGGCGGGATTCGAGGCGACGGCGAGGTACCTACGGGAGCAGTAAGCGAGGGTCAGCACAAGCTCAGCGCATCCAGCTCGCCGGACACGCAACTCACATGTAAAAGTGCTTGGCGCTGCGCATGCTCGGACTCGCGCCTCCTCCTTCTGCGTTCTCCCTCCTGACGAGCACCTTGACGGGCTCCTTCAGCTGCATGCTCGTCGCAAAGTTGAGCACGTCCTGCGGGACGGTGCAGCTGAAGATGGCCATCTGGCGCTCGACAGTCGAGAGCGTCGGGGGAGGTCCGCCTTGCGACGACGTCGGTCCGCCCGTGCTGCCGAAGCGAGACATGGGCGCCGAGAAGGGCGAGTCGAAGCCTCCGTTGCTGCCGGGAAGAGGCGTGCGGCTCATCACAGGCGACGAAGCCGTGAAGCCGCCGCCTGACGAGACGGGGACAGTGATGGTCGCAGGCAAGAGGCGAGCGATGTTGATGACGTGGTCGGAGAGGTTGCGTGCGATGAGCTGATCGGTCTCGTCGATGGCGAGGAGGCGGATCGAGGCGGTCGGCAAGGTGCGAAGCGAGAAGAGGTCGAGCAACTTCTGCGGCGTGCCAACGAGGATGTGTGGCGGCGCCTTGAGGAGGGTCTGCAGCTCGGACTGGATGTCGTGGCTCGAGCCAACGCAGAGCGAAGTCCTGATCCCGAGTCCACTGCCGAGTCCAACGGCGAGACGCTGAGCCTGCGCAGCCTGGTCGACCGTTGCGGTGACGATGACGACCTGCACACCTGGCGACGTCGGTGCCGTGCCTTCGGCCGCAGCGAGCTGAGCCGCGAGGTTTGCGTGGGTGTAGACTAGCTGGATCGCTGGGACGACGTAGCACTGGATGCGCTCCTGGATCGCCGGGGCCTGCGCGACGACGTCCTGACCGCGGACGACTGCCGGGATGGCCTTGCCCTGGATCTTCGTAGGCGGGCCGAGTCTGCGCGGGTCCGAAGGTCAGCTCCTGCCCCGACGGAAAGAGAGGATCACAGTCGCGCACCCGTACTTGGCGACTGCGCGGAACAGGTCATTTCCCACGCCCAAGACCTCCCACTTGCTGCCCAAGCTTCCAGGCGGGTTGCTGCCCAACATCGGACTCGCTCCTCCAGGACCCGAACCGATCATAGGCGAGCTCATCCCGCCGTCCCACGCCGAAGCCGATGTGACAGAGTTGACGTCCATCGAGCCGTTCGGCAGTCCCGAAGGACCGCTGGCGGACGCACTGCGCATGCTAGCCGTGCGCGCAAGGCCGCTTCCCGAAGCGGTACGAAGCATGGCGGCGGGGCGACCTGATCCTCCTACAGGACCGTTTCCACCGCCGATTCCGAGTCCTGTTGCGGAGCCAGAGAGACCCAGCGCCGGCGACCCGAGCGGGAGCGACATGCCCCTCATCGGTGCGTGACCGGTCGGCGACGCTGCGGCCGCTGCGAGTCCGGGGTTGGCGAGGAGATGCGAGACAGTCGTCGAAAGCGAGTTGACCTGCGCCGTGAGGAGCTTGATCTGCTCATCCTTGAGCTGGTCGGCGACAGTGCTGTTCTCGTTCGACTGCGACGGCTGGCGTTCGAGGTCGGCGCCGAAGAAGCCGCCTGCAGCGGAACGAGGTGAGATGGCGCCCGGCGAGGTTGCGGGCTGCGCAAGGAGTGACGCGCTCGAGGCGGTGAAGGAGGGGCGGGAGAGGGGAATGGGTTGCGCAAAGGCTGGCGGCGGGTGAGGCGACGGCGAGCGGAGTGTAAGGACGGGAGACTCGGCGCCTGGTCGTTCCACTGAGCCGCGAGCGCCCATCGCCGCCGAAGACGGCTGGTTCTGCTGTTGCTGGAAGACGAGGGAGCGCAGGAGGCCGACCTCTTCCCGCAAGGAGCGAAACTCGGTTGCGATCAGGTTCGACAAGCCTGAGACGGTGCCTTCGAGCGTGTTGACCTTTGTGGCGAGTGTCTCAAAGGAGAGGCCGTTGTTGTCGAGCGGCCCGGGCGACGATGTACGCGAGGAATTGGTGAAGAGGTTGTGGCCGCTGGAAGAGAGAGAAAGGGAGGCGGTGGAGGATGCGGCGGTCTGGTTCAGGTAGGTCGAAGGCGCAAGCGAGTGAGGCGAAGGGAGGGTGTGGAAATCGACGCCGACAGTCGGTGCAGGCTGCGAGACGCCATCGAGCGAAAGAGACGGCGTTGGCGGTCCGCTCCTCTCCCTCGTCTGCGGCAAGACGTCGAGAATAAAGGATGAAGGCCGGCTCTTCTGTCCCTGCTCGGATGCCGCGCCATTCGAAGACCCAGGCGCTGCGAGCGAGCCGTTTGCGTCGAAGATCCCGCTCGGCAATCCCAACAAAAGCTCCTCCTCCCTGCGCTCGACCGCTGGCGTGGACGATGGTGTGATTTTGCGACCATCACCAATCGCTCCAACGCTCGACTTGCGACCTTCTCCAATCGCTCCCGCCTGACCGCCTCGCATGCTGGCACTCAGGCTGTTCTGACGCTCGTCGCGCGGCACGACGACGTCGCCCGTCAGCGACGAATCGCGGAAGGAGCGTTGCTCGAGTGTCGGGTACGGCCGTGCGCTGCTGACGGCGCCGAAGGACGAGGCGAGCGAGGGCGAGAAGCGGTGATCCTCCGAGTTGAGGGTGAACGACTCGCTCGCGGGCTGTCCGAACGAGAATGCGCTCGCCGACGAGTTGGAACGCTCTGGCGGCGCAAAGAACGGCGAGTGTGGGCTGGGAGAGGCGCGAGATGCGGGTGGAGCTGCGCGGTGGTAACTCGGCGAGGACGCCATCTGGCGAGCTTGCAGTCGTGTCTCGTGTCGTCAAGTGGCTGTGTGAGCGTGTGTGTGTCCAGTCTACTGCATCTGGCGGTGGGTGTGGGCGAGGAGAGGGAGCGTTGCTGCTGTGGAAGAACGCGTGCGGTGAGCGAGCGTGTCCCACGTCTCGCGGCGCATTTCGAGCGTGCGTACCTGGTCAACAGCAGTCTGTGAGTCTTTCTGGCGGGCAAGCACGCGCAACAGAGCAAGCAGACGAGCGAGGCGAGAAGAGCTGCCGCCAGACCTGCGAGCAAGCTGCTCCTGCTCCTATCACACTCGCCAACTCGCTAGAAAGGGTCGAGAGAGCTCGGCTGGGCTTCTTGACGCTGCACAGAATGGACAAGCTTGCCACCCGCCTCGCGCGAGTCTCCCTCGCGTCGTCCTCGACCCCCCTCGCCGCCTCATCGTCCCGACTCTTTTCGACCGCTTCGACCGCCCGCGCCGTCGCAGTAACCGCCTCGTACCCTTTCTCCTCCAACGTGCAAGTTATCCCGCCTCCGCGCGACCTCTCGGTGCGGCCAGATGGCAAGCTCCCGCAGAAGCACAACCTCCTCTGCACCCTCAACCACCTCATGACGGCGCAGCACCCCAAAGCCAAGGTCTGGATGCCCCTCTTCTCCCGCCGCGACAAGCAGCGCCTCCGGCCCGGATCGATCCTCACGATCGAGACCTACGCGACGGCTCCCACCCCCGAAAACCCAAAGCCGAGTACATCGCTCTACTCGGGCGTCTTGATCGGCATTCGTAGGCGGCATGAGGGACGCGATCTCTCGATCCGACTCCGGACGCTCGTCGGGAGGCTCCACGTCGAGCAGGTGTTCAAGGTCTTCAGCCCGCTCGTCAAGAGCATCAAGATTGTCCAGCGCGCGACGAGGAGCGGACCGGTTATCAAGAACAGGGACGGAACGGTCATTCGGAGGAAGCCTGTGCTCAAGGCGGCGAGGCGGGCACAGATGTACTACGTGCGCGATCAGCCAGACAGGTGCGTGCCGCTCGGTCTCTTTTCTTCCTGTTCTTCTCTTGACTGACCCTCGGCATCCTTTACAGGCTGCCATCGGTCGCCGGTTTCGTCAAGGCGCAGCGGCTCAAGGAGGAGGGGCACGGACCGACGAAGAGGACGGGTCGGTAGAGCTACCTGGAATCAGCAACTCATCCCACCGCACCGCTGTCTTTCCCGTTCGCTAGTTCAGACATGCAAAGCGCTGAGCGAAGAAAGCGAGCGACTGAGCCTCTCGCTTGCGCAATCAGGCTGCTTGCTTGTCGCCTCAAAGAGCTGGGCGAGTTGAGCTCGTCATGTCCGCCAACATCTCAACATGCGGGACCTCTAGTCGTATTAGCAAGGGTTTGCACAGAGATGCGGCGATACATAGGGGATAAGCTGGATACATAGGCGAGACACAACTGTTCAGACTGCAAAGACGCCCTTGAGCTGGTCACGGAACGCCTCGGCGTAGAAGCGGACCTCCTCGAGCACAGGCTTAGTCGGGCGCGGTTCGATCACGCCGTCAAGCCTGCTACGGCCCTTGCCGTCGCCCTCAACGATGATGGGGTCGTCGGCGTCGACCTCGCCGGCATGGCGTCTCGCTGCGGCTTGGAAAGCATGCAGGCGCTTGTCGTGCTGGTACGAGACGAGGTCGGCGAGTTCTTCGAGCAAGAAGAGGCGGTCTTCGGACGAGGATGGCGAAACGAGGTCATCGAGGTCGATGGGCTGCGCGAGGCCGCGGCGGAGGAAGACGGAGGCGGTCCTGCATGAGCACCAGACCGTAAGCGGGCGAACGAACGGGAGCTGAGAGAGTCGACACACCAAGCCCACTGGAGGAACTCCTCGATGATCGTCTCCTTCCGGTGCACGCGGTGGAGAAAGGTGTACAGGTTCTGCTGATGTCGCTCAAGCAGGCGGGAAATGGTGCGTATGCTCTTCTGCGGGTCCTGCACACGGCTGCGGAGGGCTTCGACGACTGCGAAAGCGAGAGCTCAGTTAGTATGAGGGGGAGAGCAGGCAGCGGACCCGACGCACCGAGGATGAGCTGCTCGACAAACTTCTGCAAGTCGGCCACCGCTTGCGTGCCGTTGCCGACTCGGTACGTCCGCCTGAGGAGCTGCACGATGGGCTCGAGGACGACCTCGACTGCGGCGGCAAAGTCCTCCTTGGCGAGCATCTCGCGCAGAATTGTGCTGTCGCGGTCGCGGCTGGCAAGCGTGAGGTAGGCCTGGAGGTCGAGCACGAGCCTGACGTCCGGATCCTTGACGTGCGTCTTCTGATAAGGCGTCGGATTCGTCTTGAGCCACTTGCGGTACGCCTTCTGCGCCTGCGTGATGCGGTCGAGCTCGAAGCTGGGCAGACGCGGCTCGTCGGCGCCCCGGACAATGCACAAGACGAGCTCGATCTCGTTCTCCTCTGCGGGAAGGACGCAGTCAGCTCGGCGACTTGCCTGAAGCTAGTCAGTAAGGACGCACCCGCATACCGCCTGATGATAGCCTTCTTCTCGCGCGACTCGTGGGCGAAGGCGTTGAGCTTTTCGACCATGACTGCGCTGCCGATGCGGACCTGCAGCAGGTCCATGACCTTTGCAAGGTTGGCGGGGTCGTCATCGAGCGTGATCGCTAGGATCCTGCACGACAGCGTGTCAGATTGGGCTCGATGCGATGACGTTCACGAACGAACTTTTGAAGCAGACTCTTCCCGCCGAAACGCCGCGAGATGAGCAGGTCTTGCAAGGCGCGCGCCATGAGCTTCGAGCTCTTCAGTCGCATCGCCTGCTTCACGAAGAACCAGGGGAAGGAGGTGTTGAGCGCCTTGACTTTGGTGAAAGTCGTGCCGCTTGTCTCGGACGCGACGAGCGTCTCGTACAGCGTCTCGGCCAGGCTGGGGAAAAGCGGCGAGTCAGACTAAGTTCTCGCACGCAGATCCAGCGGACGTACTCGAAGCGCAAAATCTCCAGGACCTTCTGATACTTGGTCGGCAGACCGGCGATTGAGCGAGTCGTCTTCAGGGCTTCCGAGATGTCGCCGAGGCCGTCGCCGTAGATGACCTCGCGCTCGACCGCCGACCATTGCTTGCGAGCCGTGCGAACCTTTTCAATCGATCGCTGAGCTTCGATAGATCTGGCGGAGCGACGAGCGTCGTCGATCGCTTCTCGCTTGGCCATGTCGAGAACGCTGTCAAAGCGAGTCTGTCAGCCTCACGCCAGGAAACAAGGGACGACAGCGTGATCTTACTCGGAGTCTCGCGGCACGATTGATCCCAGCAGAAGGAATGCGGCCGTCTCCTTGTGGTGACCGACGACCTTGACGCTCAGCACGTCTCGCAGCCACGCCCTCAGTGCACGCCGGCGCGGGTCGAACGGCGGCATCTTCTTGCCAATCTCGGCGGGTACGCCGAAACGCGAGCCGAAGCTCATGGGATAGCTGCGGTAGCTGCCTGCTGCCGAGTGCGGACGAGGGGGCAGCGTCGAAGCAGAGGTCGTGGCGCGCGACTTTCGGCTCGAACGACGAGATGCGTGACCCTGCGTGTGCGTGCTCTGTGCCTGTAGACTGCGAGCGAAAGTCGAGCCGAGGCTGCTGCGGGTGAGGGTGCGGGCTGCTCGAGGCGGCGCAGTCGGGTCGGCGGCTGCAGCGCGAATGCCACCCATGAGGCGCGAGTGGGCGCGAGAGGGCGTCTCGCTGATAGGCGTGCCGGGGACGGTGTGCTGGTCGGCACCAGAGACGACAGACACAGCGCTGCCGATAGTCGGAAGGTACGGCTTCGGGCGGATGACGGTGTCGTGCTTCGGGTCTCCGGGAGGAATGCGGCGGATGTGGGCATGCGGGAAGAGCTTGCTCATCTGGAAGACGCCCAAAAGCGTCAGATTCGGTGAAATGGTGGCAGGAGGATCTGTACGCACGTTGCGAGCGAACTTGGCCCATTGGGCTTCGGTTCGCAAGACATACTCGTCGAGACGGCCAGGTCGTCGAATCCGGATGATGTAGCTCTGCGGTGAAGAGGTCGGCGACGGTTTGGAGCAAAGAGATGAGCGCAGGACATACATGCGAGAACAAGCTCTTCCTGACGCCGATCACGTCCGCCTCAAACCCGCCCCATTTGAGCTGCTCAAAGTCGGGTCCCTGTAGAAACGGCACAGGCTCGTTCCAAGGCCACTTGACGCCTCCCTTCGGCAGCAGAATGGGCTCTGGCACTTCTGCTCCCGTCTCTTCCGCATGCCCGTCTGCCGACTCCTCGGCGGTCGGGTAGAGGAGCTCGTGAGGGATCGCCATGTGGGCGACGAAGTCTTCGCTCTTACGCGGAGGAGGCGAGGAATAGGCGATCGGAACGCGACGACTTGCGGGAACCTCGTTCAACGATGCTGGGGCAAATGTCGGCGACTTGGACGAGCTCGAACTCGCCGAGCGCGAGTGCGTCTTCTTGAGGAGCGAGCCGAGGCCGAACTTGCTCTTGCTTCGCGGAGGTGTGCCGAGGTCGCTGGGGAAGTTGTCCGTCTGAGGCGACGAGATTGGGCGGAGTGGAGGCGAGGAGGGAAGCGTTCGGCGAGCAGAAGAGGTTGACTGGCGAGGCGAGGAAGCAGGCGACGCGTAGGGTAGAATGCCTGGGACAGGCGGCGGAAGCTTCGTTGCGGCGTCCTCGACGACGTAAGGCTGCACCACTCCGTCGTCAAAAGCCCTAGACTTGCCTTTCGGCGTGTCGGGGACCTCTGCTCCCACCGCGGCGGAAGTCAAGTCGAATCCCTCCTTTTCGTGCTTGGGCGTCGCAGCGGCGTCCGAGCCGTAATACTCAAGCCCGTCGATCGGCCCGCTCGCCGTGCTGCTTGATCCCTCCTTCTTCATCTCCGCCGGCTCGAGACCGTTCGACGACGTTGGCGCGAAGGACGCAGTAGGCATCCTCGGCGTCTCGGGTGCGCTCGAAGACTGGTCGAGAGCGATAGGCGGCGGTCCAGGTTTCGCCGAGGAGAAGAACAGTGAGCCAGGGAAGCGAGCCGTCTCGTCTGCCTCGCTCTCCGCGTCGCTCTCGCCGTCGTGTCCTGTCCGACTCGCGAGCGTCCCTTCGCCTGCCGTCACGAAGCTAGCCGTGTCGAAAGCCGAAGTGACGTTCGTCGTACGAGTCGCTTGACGGGAGAGGTCGAGTTCTTCCATTTCGGGATTGCCGAGACGGTCGCCGACCGGCGTGAGTGGTCGCGAGCGGGTTGCGACAGTCGAAGCGCGGCGGGACGAGGAAGCAGAGCCAGTATGCCGGAACGCGACTTCTTCGTCTGTCGGCTTCTGCGCGTTCATGAACGGAAGAGCAGGCAAGACGGCCGAGTCGGGCCGTGGTCGTCCTGCTTTAGACGGGTGAAGCCCTGCGTCGCGGTCCGAGTCGGTTTCAGATGCTGGCGCTGGTGCTCGCGAAGGTGCCGATTCGTGAACAGTGGGGATGGGCGGGGGAACGGAGACGGGAGTGCTTTTAACGGGCGTGGCAGTCGTCGAGCCGAAGAGCCGGCCGAAGGAGAAGCGCTGAGACCAGGATGACGACGACGGAGTCGAGGTGGAAGTTGAAGACGAGATAGGTCTCTCCTTATCGACCGGCGGCGGAGGGACCGAAGTCTCGACACCCGACATCGCCGCACTTCGCGCCTTTGAGCGCTGCGAGGACGCGTTCGAACGCTGTCGCTGCAAGCCTGCTGCGTCAGGCGTCGGCTCAACATGTGACGCGCTGCTGAGCTTCAAGCCAGCTGCGACGAAGCGCTCCAGCGCATTGCGCATCGACGACCCGTACAACCGCGAGACGGGTCCAACGAACCCTCGGTCGGCGGGCTTGGAGAGGTCGGCGTCGTGAATGGCGCGGATGATCGGATGCAGTCCGTCGGTCCAGAAGGAGGGGATCTCGCCGTCTTCGGCGGTATCGCGTACGAGAGGGAGGGTGAGGAGGAAGTGCCGGATGAGGTATCGCAGGATCGGGGCATCTTGCGGGTCGTGGTCGTCGCCGTCGTAGCTGCTGAGGAAACAACGTGAGCCCAGCTGCGCAGAATGAAAGAAGCGCAGAGAAGGGGACGCACTCTCCGTCGACTGAGCTTCCAGGTCGACCATCCAAGTCCCGCATCTTCCATAGCAAGCCCTCCTCGTGCCGGATCTCCTGTCCAACAAGCTCGCGGAGGAAGTACCAAGCCTCCTCCTTCGAGAAGGTCATGTCTTCCCGCGCCGCCTGTTCGTCCTCCTGGCCGTGCATGTGCAAGTCGCCGTCCCCGTTTGGGCTCGCAAAGTCGATCTGGCCATCGGGCGAGAAGTCGCCGCCGTTCAGGTGCGAGGTGCGCCGGCTGCCGGCAGACATGGGTCGACCCGCTTTCGCCGCATTCTCCGCTTCGACAGCCGCAGCCTTCCGCCGCTCTTCCTCCAAGTAAAGGTAGTCGAGAGCGCTCGTCGGCTCGCCTGTCGAGAGCTGTCCCAGGCTCATCCGGCTAGGATGGCCAGCGGGAAGACTAGGTCGTGCATGCGGGCGGAGAGTCGACTTGTTCGAGCCGAACGGTCCGGCACCCTTGCGCAGGACGTGATGCGCCGGCTGGGAGGGGTAGTCCTGCTGCACTCGGGGGCTTGAAGGTCGCTCGTAGTCGGGTTGAGCATAGGGGAGCACAGTCGAGGTCGATTCGCGGACGGCGCCGTTTCGCTCGTTTCCGGTGAGGGTCGAACCGCTTCTTTGGCGAGTCTGCGGTACCGACGACGGAAACAGGACGGAGCCCGTGCTGTCCGCTCGGTAACGACCCTGCCGCTCCTCTCCCGACATCGTTTCGCGGTGTTCCCTCCCGCGTTCTGCAAGACTCGAGGCCGGACGAGCTGGCGGAAACATGATGGACGGCGATGTCGCCCTCGCGAGTCCGACGTCGTCAACTTCCATGTTTCCCGCCGATGCCTCCCGTCGCCGGATATCCTGTTCGACCTCGTCGGCGAAGGAGGAAGAGGTGGGGAGAGAGGACGCTGGGAGGAACGAGGGGCCCGCAGACATCCTTCGTCGGTGCCGTAGCTTGAGGATAGCAGCTGGCAGTCAGCTGCAGGTTTGCTCGTCCTCCTCGAGGGATGCCAGGGGTCGCAAAGTATCTGGGGAGAGCGAAGGGGAAAGGGTGAGCGTAACTCGTTCGAGCGGGTCTGGGGCTAGCGTGCGCACCTCTCCTGCGACTGTACGACTTCAGCAACACACTCAGCACACGAGTCCAGCGAAAGCAGCACGGCGACGAGAGCGAGAATCGCCGTGACCGCGGAGGTCAATCGACTGCGGCCGACTTTTCGAGAGACATCCTCGTCCACCGAGCTCCTGTTTCCTCTTGCGCTGCCACGCACGGGCTCGCATTGCTCGTGTGCGCGAGCGAGAGCACAACCCGGAACAGACCCGGGCCGAGCAAAGCGAAAGAAGCGAAAGAAGCGGAACTCGACGAAAATGGCGTACTGAGGGCGATATGATGCCCTTCACAGGTTGCCGACGACTTGTACAATGTCGTGCCACCTCTCAGTCTACCGCGCCTGCTTCAATTCCCGCTGCTGGACGCGCGGGTCGCCCCTCTCCATCCTCTTGCGCAACTTCTGCTGCCGCTTGCTCTCCTGCTGGGGCTGCCCAACAGCTGCTTCACCGCCTGCTGGTCCTGCTCCTGCGATTGAGGCGAATGAGCCGTTGAGGCGAGCGGCGAGGGAGGGCGAGATGTAGGGGAGGGCGAACGAGCCGAGGCGGTAGAGGGCGTAAAGCGGGATCTGCGGGCGAGGAAGCGGTCGTCAGTCACGTCTTAGCCAACGACAAGGACTCGACTGGCAGGGCGAGCGGCCTGAAAGAGCACAAAGTGCAGGCCCGGAAAGAGACTGAACGCACGACCCAGTAGATGTACCACGCCTTGGCCGTCACGAGAGCCGCAAGCACGTGCACCGCCCATGTCACGTAGACAATGTCGAATGCGTAGCTGCGGGAAGCCAAGCGTGATAAGCCCACAGTCTCCCCCGCAGGGAATCAAGGACCCTCTCCTCGACAACGCCCGCGAAACGCACCTAACAAGCCCCTTACTCCCGTCCAGCTCCTCTCCCCGCCTCGCCATAGCCTTCATCTGGTTCCACAAACCAATCGCGACCGCTTCAGTCGCGGCAAAGAGGAAGATGCGGCGGTACGATCGGCCGGAGGAGAAGAGGAGCAGGTGGAGGAGGTAGATGCCCTGCAGATGGCGCGACCGGCTATGTCAGCACACAAAAAGGTATGGAAGCATGGGAGGCGCAGCAAACTCACCCCGGAGACGGCAAAGCCCAGCTGGAGCGTCTTGAGTGTTCGCGCGTTCGCGGCTGCGATGCGCTTATTGCTTGCGCCGGCCTGCGTGCGAGTCGTCTAGCGTTAGCTGGAAGCGTGTTAGCATTCAGGTGCCCAGCGCACCATCCTGTCCAATTGGGTGTGGCGTGTGGACGAAGGGCACGCCCGGCACACGACGCGGAGGTCGAAGAGGTCAACGGTCTCACATCGCCAGATGGGTCTTTCGGGAGCTCAAGAGAATCAAAACGAGTCGCCGAGGCGTAAGCGATGATCGCGAACTGAAACGACGGGGGTGGAAGCATTCCAAAGGCGTTCCCCCGGCAGCACAAGGCGTCGACGAGCTCTATTGACACAACAAGGGGTACTGCGCAGTCTACAGGTGTGCTCGCGAGAGCGATGCGAAGGCGATAGGCGAGTCTTGCGGCGTTCAAAGATGCTTCTTCGCGCTCGCCTTGATCCGCGCATCGAAGGTTTGGTTCCGTATAGGCGCGTTGAGCTCGTGGAAAGGGTTCAGGAGGGTCTGCAGGGCGCAGAAGATGTCAGTACACATCGCAAGACGGCCATGAGCAACGCCGCAGGGCGGAGAGAGGCGGCGCACCTTTACATAGGTCTCCCACGTATCTTGGAGGAACAGCCGGATTCCCTCATCATTCTTCAGCTCGTGCAGTAGGATGATCTTGACGCCTGTAGATGCCACGCAACTCAGCAACGTGGTTGACGAGCCCTTTGGGCACAGAACTTGTGCCGCGAGTTGTTCACTCACCTCCTGGTGTCAGCCACGCAGAGACCGTCCACTCGTGAAACTTGTCGATCGACTTCAGGTACCTGCGAAGGAGTCAACGGGTCAGTTCAGGGTCCAGGAAAGCCTCGCTCGGAAAAGTGGACGCACATCCCGCCGTTCGTCCACTGGACATCCTCGACGACGTCCAAACTCGCATGCGCGACCAGCTGCATCACATGCCGCCCGTTCGGACCCGTCTTGTGCCCATAGCCGACCGTACTGGCCGTCCCTGCTGCCTGAGGATTCGGTGTCGAGGAAGTGGGGAGTGCGCCAAAGATGGAGAAGGAGGAGGGGATGGAGGGCGATTGTGCGGTGACCGAGATCGTGGTGGACGAAGAGGCCTTGCTCGAAGTCAGAAAGGCCTCGTACAGCGGGTTGTCGAGCGTGCCGACGAGGACTGTGTCGTGAAGCGATGAGGATGGACGGGTCAGCGGAGCGGGCGCGGTAGGACGACTGGCGGGCTCACCGAGGTAGTAGCTCATCCTGAACAGTCCGAAACGCAGCAGCAAGCCCTATCCAGCCCCAGTTGAGCGTGTTGTCGGTGCTTGAACCTCGTGTTGACATCTCTTGCCCTCGTCCACCACGCTTCACACCGCTCAGACTGGTCAGGACTGGGCTTGCTGCTGCTGGAGACTGCTCTAAAACAACGCTGGACACCGTCACACCGCGCCCAACTCGTCTCTCGCCGCCGCCAGCGCGCCTGTCCGCCTGTTTGGCGCATCCCTCTCGCCCGCGACAGGATGACCTCTGACGACGAGGCGACGTCGTTCTTCGGTCGGCTCGCTCGCCCAGTCGCCAATGGGTCTGCCACGCGTCCGCGCAAACGGCGCAAGAGCTCGCATGGACAGGCAGCGGACGACTCGTCTTCAGCGGCCGACGCTTCCTCCGACGTCGAGATTGTCGGAAGCAGCGCGGCGAAGAAGCGGTCGACAGCGAAGGGCAAAGGGAAGGGAAAGGCGATGGCGCCGCAGCCGATGAGCAGGGCGAAGCAGGTCGACAAGCCGAGTCGTCGAGCGAAGGAGGTCTCGCTCTTGTCGTCCGATAGCGAGTCTTCCGTCTCCGACGAGCTGCCTACCGCTACTCAGATCGATGCACACGGCGCCGCGCTGCTCGCGATGGCGCGGTCCAAGGGGTATGCGGGAACAACGCCGCCGAGACGGGCGAAGCGGCAGGAGGAGCGGGTCGAGGCGTCGAACTCGGCCAAACAGCGAACGCAGCGTGAACCGGGATCGTCGTCGAGCGAAGACTCGAGCGAGTCGCGGCGCAGGCGGCGCAAGTCGAACAGCACCGAGCTGACGACCGTCTCGGACCGCTCTTCCTTGGCAACCAAGACGAAGGCGTCGACTTCCCGCGCTCAAACTCGCAAGGCTGCTCCGGTCAAGCCTGCGACGAAGACGTCGAGCACTTCGAGGCGCAAGAAGGCTGCTTCGCCAAGCCGTTCACCGTCACCTCAGCTCGAGCAGCCGCCTGAACCGCAGTCGTTCTGGCAGGTCGAAGCTCAGCCGGCACCGGGACGCGGAGCCAAGCGCCAGAAGCACGGTGAAGCGTCGTCGAAGCTCAAGGCGCTGTCAGAGCGAGGGAAGATGCTCGTCTTGCCGGACGATGAGGACGAGGACGAGATTGTCGGATCGTCGAGCAGCGCAAGCGACGGACCGCGTCGCTACGAGACGGTGGCGGCGAAGGCGAAGCGGGAGAAGGGGGAGGCTATCGGTGCGTATGCTCACCTAGTCGCGGTGTTCGGCGGTGTTCGGGCTCCCAGCTTACGCTTCCCAAGTGCAGCTGCGCTCAAAGCCAAACGAGGTCGCCAATCTCTGCCGCTACAGGACGCTCCGAATGGTGCTTCGCCTCGAGCGTCGCCACGCAAGGACAAGGGCAAGGGGAAAGCCGTGGCGGAGCCTACGGGACAATGTCCAGTCTGCTCAGAGGAGGTGCGTTCGTCTCCTCGCTGCCCTTCGAGCGTTACCAATACGTTGAGTACGCAGGTCCCACTAGATGACCTCGAAGTGCATGCCTCCGCCTGTCTCGCGATCTTCGAGGACGTCTCGGACACGCAGCAGCAGGCGCCTCCGCCCGGCCGAGCTGCTCAGCCTGCAGCTCCACGCGCCGGGACCTCCGCCGCTTTCCGACCTGCGGGAGCCGGTACGTCGGCGACGTCCACCTCGCGTGCGCAGGCGAATCATCCTGCTCCAGCAGGAAAGGCCGTCCCGCCTGCGAGGTCTTCCAGCGACCACGGCCTCGCGAACGAGCTCTTCCCCTCCTCGCCTCCTGTACAACGCAGTACGCGTGCTGCGGCTTCGGCGAAGGGGAAGGGCCGTGCAGCGACGCTTGTCGAGGACTCGGACGAAGACGACGGTCGTAGTGGGCCGAGGGCTGGACGGAATCAGCGCCGTCAGCAGTACGATGCTGCGTTCGACGGGGAGGACGACGGCTACATCGACAGCGACGCCTATGTCGACGCCGACACCTCGCTCCACAAGACGGTCGTCGAGCTCTCGGACGACGACGACGATATCGTCATTGCGGATGTCTCGCGCAATGCTGCGGCAGGCACGAGCCGCGCACGTGGCGGTGTGAGGGGCGGCGATGGTCGGGAGGGCGCGGTCAACACGGCAAGGGCGAAGGGACCGCCCGAAAATGGCTCGAGTCCGCCGAGAGGGTCGATCTACGTCTCGACGCTGGGCAGGGCCTACCGCGAGGGATGTGAGTACGAACTCTGTGTCTTTCTGTCGACCTCGCTGACCGTGCTGTGCTCGCAGACGAGAACCTCTTCACGACCGCTACCAAGTCCAAGTCTGGCTCCCGCGCGCTCCCGGGCCTCGGCAACAACGACCTTGACGACACCGATGCTCGTGCCTTCGACGCTCTCGCACCGCCAGCCAAGACTACAGGTCGCGGTCGAGGCGGAGGAGGGAGAAAGGCGAGCGGCGGCAGCGGGAGGAAGGCGAGTTGGGGTTCGTGGAGGGGACGGCGCGGGCGGGGCAGGAAGTGACGGCGAGCTTTCCGTTGTTGTTGTGTCGTTTCTGCTGCACAGGTCGTCACTCTTGCGTCCACTCCATTCACATTTCGGACCGCTCACATCGAAGGAGACTCGCTCATCAACCAACGCCGGGACGGGCTGTGAGGTCGGCAATGCTTTCTGAACTTCTCCCACGATATCCTTGCAACTTCGTCGCAATCTGTGCGACTTTGCGAAATGTCAACTCCCCCGCCCGCGACGAGCACCTCACGCAACCGCTACTCGTCCGCTACCTTCCTTGCTGCTTCAGGATGGCCAAGTCTGCTCCAGGGGCCTCACGCGTAAAGCCCGACCAGCTCAAGGTCCGTCTCGCGGCCTCGTTCGCCCACTCCGTCCTCATCAATTCGCTCCAAGCTCAAGCTGACCTCTCGCTCGCGAACTCGCTCTGACAGGCCAGCATCGAGGCTCACAATGCTTCTTTCGACGAGCTGCTGAGGCACGTCCCGGCCAAGTACTACATCAGGCCAGAGTCGGACGATGAGGATGAGACTCCGAAGCAGTCGGTGCGTCCAGCCCCCTCTCACGCTGCCGTTCGAGAGGCTGCTTGGCTTGTGTGGCTGAACCTTTCGTGCACAGGGCAAGCTCACAAAGGCGCAGCGAAAGGCGCTGAAGAAGGCGAAGCAGGATGAGACTGTCCGGGCCGCGAAGAACGAGGCGAAGCGGGAGGCGCGGCTGGCCAGGGTGGGTGTCCAGCTCTCGCAGACGTGCAGACATTCTCGAGCTGATGCCTGTCGGATCGCAGTACGACCCCGACGAGCCAAAGACGATCGCAGAGATCCAGGCAGCCAAGCTGTCGGGCGTCGCCATGGGCAAGAAGCGCGCTGCCGACTCTGACGACGAGACGGAGGCTTCGTTTGACGGCGAGCTGAACGGCGATGCGTGGGAGGACGAGGAGGACTCGCCGAACGAGACGGACTTTGCCGATTCGGACGACGAGGATGGCGAGATGCTCGAATTGAATGACGAGGGGTTGCTGCAGCAGGACGCAGCGAAGAAGAGCGGAGGACCTGCACCGACAATCACGGAGCTGAGGGAGAAGCTGCAGCGCCGGATCGCGGACATCCAGGCGAAGAAGCGGGGCGAGAAGGCGGCTGCGTCCGGCACTAAGTGTGACGACGCTTCGGATGCCGAGGAAGATGAGGACGAGGAGGGCAGCGAGGCCGAGGTGAAGAGTAAGGACGATCTGCTGGCGGAGCGGAGGCGTCGGGCGGCTCTGCGTGACAACCGGCGCAAGAAGCTCAAGGAGCGCATCAAGGCGGAGAAGAGTGACGGGGCGAAGAAGCGGGCGAATGAGCCTAGCAACGGGCGCAAGGGTGGAGGAAAGGCGAATGCGGTCCAGGACGACGAGCGGCCAAGGAAGAAGGCGAAGGTGCGCTCTCGAGACTGTTCTATTAGGCCCTGTTCGCTGACATCGATTACTCAGGCGGACGACGCTACCGGCGACGACTCGCACTCTGTCGTTCCCTACGACTCCGCCGCCGCATCCGCCTCGACTTCCAAGGCCAACCCCAACTCGATCGCGTTTTCGACCCTCGACTTCTCCTCTTCCTCCCAGCATGCCGCCGACGCCGGTCTGACGCCCAAACAGCTCAAGAAGATGCAGGCAGCCGAAGGGTCGTTGAAGAAGAACCGCCACGCATTGCCCAAGGACGCGAACCAGGCGCTCGAAATTCTTCAGAAGCGCAAGGAGCGCCTTGATGCCCTCGATCCGGAGAAACGCGAGAAGAAAGAGGAGAAGGAACGGTGGGAGAAGGTCATGCTCAAGGCGGAGGGCGAGAAGGTCCGCGACGACGAGAAGCGGCTGAAGAAGATGGCGAAGAGGCAGGAGCGCGAGAAGCGCAAGTCGGCCAAGGCATGGTGCGTGGCGTCTTTGTGCTGCTTTTATCTCGCCTACTGACGTTCGCCCGCTTCCGTAGGACTGACCGCAAGGCGACTGTCGAGAAGACCATCTCCGACAAGGTTGCCAAGCGCAACGCCAACCTCGCCGCTCGCTCCAAGGCCGTCAAGGACAAGAAGATGGGCATCAAGAACAAGAAGAGCGGCAGCGGAAAGAAGGTGTCGACGAGCAGCGGCAAGGCGCGGAGCAAGGGCAGGCCCGGGTTCGAGGGCGGCGGGCGGAAGAAGAAGTAGAGTCGCGAGGCGGCTGTTGTGTTACTATCGCTCTCTTTCGCATTCTATCGTCTTCTGCCTGCCCTTTTCTGATTCGAGAGTCGTCGAACTCCTATTATGCCGGATCAACTCGGGACTCGAGGGGGCGGTCTGCCTCAGCGATCCGCTTGCTGGTCGCTCGTGGGCCGATTGCTAGGCTCAGAACGCTAGCTCCATTGCACTGCAGCCGGCGTTTCTCCTCTCGACGCTCGCGCTGGCCCTCACTCGCCTCCTTCGTCTTCATCAGTTTTGGGTGAGTTGGCCCTAGGAATCCGCGGCCTCATTATCTGCAGTGACGTGCCATCTGCCAGGACGAGACGCTGACCATGATGACTTCACAGCCGTCTCGACCCGCCCAATAGCGCGGGACACCCTCTTATGCTGAAGCCCGCTCTTGACCTTGACGAGTTGCCGGCGGTTGCCGTCGACACGCAGCGCGTACAGCCCCTCTTGCCGTACGGCCTGCGCTTCAACCGACTCCTTCCGTACCGGGACGAGACTCTTCTTGATTCCCAGTTCCCATTCGACGAAGGTCCGATTCCCTGGACGCTCGAGCTGGAAATCCAGTACCTCCAGTTTCATCCATCCGTGTGGGATTTGCTGGAAGCGGACGACGAGACGGACCGACGGTACCGGGATGATGTGCTTGCTGAGCTGTCGACCCTGAAGAGATCCGAGGATCTTTCGACCGGCGAACGGTACGCCAAGCTGCAGGATGCGTTCTACCGCGTCTGCATGCGTAGACATGACCGATGGCACCGTCTGTACGGTGAGTATGATCGGAAACCGCCAGGTTCATCACTCGCCGTCTCAGCGCACGAACGCTGACCTGCTTATTGCGCAGGCTTGCACGACGTCCGCAAGCGATTCTACCAACAAGAAGCGGCTTCACACCCTGAATGGACTGCGGCAAGAGTGCAGGCGTCCATCGCATCAAGTAGCACTTTCGTCAAGCCCAACGCGCCGATGTTTTCCCGTATGTCTTCTCTCCTCCCAATCTTGCTCGACATCGCTGACAGTGTCACTGATCGCCACGACAGTCTGGCCGTTCATCAAGCCAGATCCAAGTCCATTGCTGGCGCCGAAGGTCATTCGCATCACGCATCTCACCATCCAGCAGTACAAGCTTCCCGACTTTAAGACTGCCGCATCTCAGCAAGCCCACGATCAGACCTTCCTCTCCGCTCCCAAGAAGGAAGACCGAACCGCGTTCGAGCGATGCAACACGCCTTCCGCCGAAGATGCTTCGAAGCCGTCGATCGAACTTGGCCAAGCGGCGGTTTCGAGAACGCTAGCCCACCGTCGTCAGACACAAGCACGCCATGAACCATCTTGAGGAGACGACTCGCGACCCCGTGGCAGCGCCAGCAACCCTATACCGGAGACCTTCCGCACGCTCTCGCACAGCAAGGTCTTCGGCATGGTCACGATTTCTGCGGGTGCACCCTTCTTGGTTGCCTTGCTATCCTCGTCACATCGGACAGCGAGGAAGAACTCGCCTGCTATGCCTCGACCATGACAGACGCGCTGTGGGACGGACCAGACAAGGTGAAGGCCCAGCAGATCAAGGTCGGCAACGACGAGGTACGCCGCGGTTTTCCGGAGCAGGCTTTAGAGCTCCCTCGTCTCACGTTGAGACTTTGTCGACTGACCGTGCTTGTGACCCACAGATCGCGCTTGAAGTCGTCCAAAACCAGCACATCCTCGCATTCCTGTTCTCCCTCGCCCGTTTGCCAAGCGGCTCTCTGATGTATGCGGGCAGAAGGGAGTAGATCAACGCTGGTGCATTACAGTAAGAGTACGACAAGGGCGGGCCAGGTGAGAAAGAAACCCAAGAGAGCGAGACCGGACCACGCCTAACGCCTGCGCTCGAAGGCGGATGAGCGGCCTAGCACGACGATGGCAAAGTCCATCGCCCATTCGCCGGTTTCGAGGACTGCAGGCAGTGCGCGAGCCAGGTCAGAAGGGGATTGGGTGGGCAGGCGAGGAGGCGAACGCACAGGTCGACGCAAGTTGGCGCAGGTCCTTGTTCGACAGGCGCGACAGAGCAGGTCTGGGTCGAGCAGTGGTCAGTCTTCGTTCGAGAGCCGTCCTCCTCGGCATCGAAGCAAGAGAGGGAGAAGACTCACGACAACCCTGTCGACCGCTTTATCCCCGCCAAGCACATCGAGATGAGGAGGGCGCTGCAGAGAAAACTCCAATCAGTACAATGGCGCAGTCTGGAGTCACGCAAGCGAGCCGATCGCACTCAAGAGCCAAGTGAGCGAGCTGTGAACAAGGAGCGTCAGCGCAGCGTGGAAGCGAGACGGCGAGCGACGCACCTTGCCAAACATCGTCCTGGCAGTCTAGCACGCTGTGCTTCGGCCTTATCGAGCGAGATTGAGGGTGTCGCTGATTGACCTCGCGGTCGAAGAGGAGCCGACGGTGGTCGTCTCCGTCCTCCACCTCACTCGTAAGGGAGAGAATCAAGGTGAGCAGACTCGCTGTTCTCTCAGGATGCCTGTACGCAAGCAGCTGACGGCGATCCCGCTCCCATCGTCCATCCCGCCATCCTCATCATCCTCGAACCCCCACATCCCGCTGACGACGCCGTTCGCCTGAACGATACTCGGGACGCCAGCTACGATGCACTTCTCTATTCCACTCGTCGCTGCGACCCTCGCAACCCTCTCTTCCGCGCTCCCACTCCAGGAGAACCAGCAGCTCGCCTTCGGCACCTCCGGCTCGACCAGGCAGGAGCTCGCCGCCGCTTTCGAGTCTCTGCCGGTCAAGCTCGCCGCCAAGCTCGAAAAGCATATCGCGAGTCTGCCGGAGCAGCGACTGGTCAAGCTCGGAGACGACGAGGCGCCGATCCCGATCACGGAGGGGGAGAAAGCGCTCCTCGTCCTCGCGGGCAAGCGATTCGTCGATGTTACCGAGGAGGACTTGACGGTTGCCGTGGCGGAGAAGCGTGAGTTCCGGCAGTCACGAAGCGTGTCAAGATTGTCTTGCTAACTTGGACTCGGTACGCAGAGTCCTTCCCCTCGAAGCTCTCCTACAACACCAAAGCCCTTCAGTCGCTCTTCGACGACCTGTCGACGAGCGAGATGCGCCGATTCCTCCAGAGCTTCACCGGCTTCCGCACTCGGTACTACCGCTCAGATACCGGCAAGCAGTCGCAGCAATTCCTCCTCGGCCAGATCAAGCAAGTCGCCAAGTCGAACAAGGACCTCAAGATCAAGGTCTCCGAGTTCCAGCACTCGTGGGGCCAGAACTCGATCATCGCGAGGTTTGAGCCGGCGTCGAGCGCGCACAACGTCTCGGACAGCGTCGTGATCATCGGCGCCCACCAGGGTCTGTCCTCGCACTTTTGTCAGCTTCTCGACGCTTGGCAGCTTCCTGACACTCTACTGGAGCAGACTCGACCAACCTGCTTCCCTTCCTCGCTGCGCCGGGTGCCGACGACGATGCCTCGGGCACCACCTCGATTCTCTCCGCCTTCAAGTCTCTCGTGCACGCCGGCTTCCAGCCCAGCCTCCACCCCGTCGAATTCCACTGGTACTCTGCCGAGGAGGGCGGCCTTCTCGGATCGCAGGCAGTCGCGCAGGAGTATGCTTCGCGCGGGACCAAGGTCCGCGCCATGACTCAGCTCGACATGACGGCCTTTGTCAAGCCCGGTACCGAGCCGCGCATCGGCGTCATCCAGGATTACGTCGACCCCGCCTTCACCAAGTTCTTGACGACTGTCGCTGGCGAGTACGCCGAGATCCCGACTGTCGAGACGCAGTGCGGCTATGCTTGCTCCGACCGTGAGTTTGCCCTTCAACCGTTCCTCGTTACTTTCCGACGGCGCCAAGATGTTGCTCAGGCAAAGCTGTCGCAAGTTGGCGCAGACGCGGCGAAGAGGCGAACCTCCATACTGACACCTCCGCATTCGCACAGACGCCTCGTGGTCCAAGGTTGGGGCGCCCTCGGCCTTCATGATTGAGAGCACCTTCGCCGATTCGTCTAAGGCGATCCACTCGAGCCAGGACACCATCGACCAGCCCGGCTACTCTCTCGAACACATCAAGCAGTTCGCCCGCGTCGCCATCGCCCTCGCCGTCGAGTTGGGCGGTGGAGACTCTGTCGTCGCTTGATCCGGTGGGGTAGAAGTCCGCAAGACTCGCGGGGAGACGTATGCTCGTGTTCAGGTCGCCTCTCTCCATCCCCTTCTCTCCTTTCCCCTCCCGCTCTTTATCGTTGTTTATCGCGTCTGTCGATGTTCTCGCACGCACGTTCTGCTGCAATGTCCCAGCCTGTAACCTCTCTCCATCCGTCGTCTTCGGGCGAGCCGGCCGACCGCGACTTATCGCTCCTCCGCTTCGCTCCGTCTGACCTCACCTCGCTTCCATCTTGCTACCACCACAGGCCGCGATAGACACAGCGCACCTGTCGCTATCTATCCCGTCGCTTCCCGCTACGATGCCGCTGTTCCCCGCTTCTCCTGCTCCGCGACAAGTCCCGCTGCTCAATAGCGCCTGCCCGTGGGCCTCGTCAGAGGAGGACCTGCGCCGACTATGGGACAGTCCGTACACCAGCGCTGTGACCACACGAACGGCGACGCTCGAGGGCTTTCCCGATGACCCGCGTCTCCATCAAGTTTGTCCATAGTTTTCTTTCTTCCCGTTCTTTTCTAGGTCTGACATTTCGTACGCGTCTGACAGGTCACGTTCTTCGGCGCCGGTGCCCATTCGACAGCCAATTCGTTCGGCTTCTCCCCTCACCCGCTCTCCTCCTACCTCTCCTGGCTCCGTCCCCTCATCCGCCAGTCAGCAAAGCGCAAACTCGTCATCGTGTCGATAGGCGGGAATGAGAAGGAGATCGAGACGATGCTGCGGATGTTGCAGGACTTTGCGAACGAGGTGGGCGAGCGAATTGCAGCCGAATACAACGCTTCTTGTCCGAACATCCCAGGTACAGACTATGCGAGCCTTCTCTGTCTTCTTGACGTCTTGCGCTGACGCCATCGAGCCTGCAGGACATCCTCCGCCTGCCTACATCGAGTCGCAGCTGTCCACTTTCCTCGCCCTCCTCGCCCGCTACGCCTCGCCAACACTCAAAGTGGGCATCAAGCTGCCTCCATACACCTTTCAGGAGCAGTTTGACGCACTCTTGCGGTGTCTGGTCGAGGTCGCGGGTAGCAGGGGCGGACCGGAGCACCCAATCTCGTTTCTCACCTCGACAAATACGCTTGGACAGGGTGCGCTTCGAGACTTCCCGCGTGCTAGCCGATCGAAGCGCTGATTGACGTTCTCGCAGGTCTCGTCCTTGCAGACCAGATGACGAACGTCCCGTCGGATCCAGTGGCGCAACGACGAAAGCCGGCGGAGGAGGTGTTCGCTCTTCCGAGCGCAACGGGCGGACTAGCGGGCGCTGCGGTGCATCAGCTGTCGCTTGGGTAGGCTCTTCAGCCTCACAGTTCCCAAAGAAGCGGAGACTAACGGTACCTCCTCCTCGCAGCAATGTCTACCGTTTGGCGTCTCTCCTGCGGTCGCCCTCGTCGCCGTACGCCAAGCGCGCCCCTTCACTCAAGCAGATCACCATCATCGGTGTCGGCGGCGCGCACGATGCGGCGTCAGTCGAAAGGTTCCGCCAGGCTGGTGCAGACGCTGTGGTGCGTGCCGCTCCTCTTTCTTCAGCTTTGCCAGAGCACGACTCGGTAAGACTGATCGACGATGTGAGCACCGCACAGGCTTGCGCAACCGCTTTGGGTAGAGAGGGAGTCAGCGTATTCGAGCAGATGGCGGGCGGAGCAGTTCAGGCCAAGCTGTAGACAGGACGAGGGAGCCGCAGAGGCAGAATGAGGGTATATGCATTGCGAGGGTCTTTCACCCAAGGTAGTTCCAGACGAAGAAATGCAGCAGCATCGATGCGAAGAGGAAGTCGCCGAACGCTCTGCGAGAACGGGAGGTCAGCGGGGAGTTCCCACCGTCCGTACGGCAGGTTACTCTCCGTGAGAGCGACTGTAGAAAGCGAGCGCACCGTTCTGGCGAAAGAGTAGGGAAAGTCTCCTTGTTCGCCGGGTTCGCCTGGATCCGCAACGCCGCGCAGAGGACGAACTGGCCGACTGTTGCCGCAAAGCTGTGCAGTCATGAAGTAGAACAGGTCGTGAGCATGCAGGAAACGAGCGGAAACGGCGACAGCGCCGTGAGACGCACCCTCCAATAAAGGCGTTGAAAGGGTAGTTGGTGATGCCGAAGCAGTAGGCGAACTGCGCGATGCCGGTGAGCATGAGGAAGAGCATGAAGCTATCGATGAGCTTTAGCCGGGGCGCAGCTGTTGCGAAGACAGGCGTTAACACAAGGCGGAGGAGGGTGGGGAGGCGGAACTCACTGTGTTCGAGGTAGCTGTCCCACAAGTCCTGCACTGCGCCGACAAACCCGCTCTGCTGCTCCTTCGCCTTGCCCTTGATGCTCTGTGCGAGCGTCGCAGTCGATGTGGACGCTGCTGGGGGTGCTGCCGACGATGCAGAGTCGACGGGGGCAGTCGACACGGCGGGCGTGTTGGAGCGGGATACGACGCGGCGGGGAGGCATCTTGAGAGACCGAGACTCGGATCGGGGCTGTTCAAGCGGGTCCTGAGCGAGTTGTAGTGCGTTGAGGCGAGCGGGAGGAGCGAGAGGGTGGTTTAGCAGCGACCACACAGCGTCAACCATGGTAGGCGACCTGTACGACTACCAGTAGAGCTGTACTGACCCTCTGAACGCTCACAGTCCCGCCATCGCGCCGTCAAGAACCTCGACCTTGCAGGTGCGCCCGCTCTCCCCTCCTCGACCCCGCTCAGGCTGATGACACGGTCGCGCTCGCTCTGCAGACGAATTGGACGATGGAGGCTTCGACGAGGGCGGTGATTACTACGGTGCGCCACTCTCAAGCCTCCTAGCTGTTCAACGTGAGCTGATCTTGCCCTCTCAAGCAGAAGACATGACGTCGGAACAGCAGGGTGAGCGGCGCATCTGGCGCTGCTTAGACAATGCGAGCTCGACTGACACGCTTGCTTGCTCGCAGCGCAAATGGCGCAGGCGCTCTCTGCGGTTCAAGCGGTTCTCGGCACCGACAGCGGCATTTCCGACAAGTCGATTCGCGATGCGCTTTGGGACAGCTACTTCGATGTGGACGGGACCATCGCCTATCTCCTCGGTGCGTTTGTTTCGCCGTACCAATGCGGACAGGAGACTGAAGGATCCTTGCAGACGAACAACACAAGAAGGAGGCCCGACGAAAGAAAGAAGAAGGTACGGCTTGTTTCTCTCTTCCTCTCTGCGTCTCCTGCTTCGGTTTCGGCAAAGAAGTGGCGCGCGAGTGGTGCTAGCGGAGCTGGGATGTTCATGGACCTTCGCGCCGCCCTGCCGGACTCGACAGACGTCCCGCCTACCGCCTCTCTCGCCTCCCTCTCGCTCGACAAATCGCCCGAGCCAGCGCCAGTCCCTGCCGCGACAACAGAGCCCCCGAAGAACAAGCTCGCGGCGAAGATGGCGGCAAATCGGGCGGCAAGGGCTGCAGCCGCATCTTCCGCTCCTCCGTCTTCCGCGCCTGCCGCTCCCACCCCGACCGCGCAAGCCGCTCCGCCTCCCGAGAAGAAGCTTTCGAAGCTGCAGCAGAAGATGCTGTCTTCTCGGGCGGCGAAAGCTGCTCCGGCTGCCGCTCCTCCAGCCTCCTCTGAATCCGGACCCGCGCCCCCGCCCCCTCCTGTCGCGACATCTCCGCCGTCGGAGTCGAGCGCTTCGGCCGACGAACCCATGGCCATCGACTCGTCAGCCTTCTCTTCGACGTCGCTCGTCGCCGGTCCATCTTCCTTCGCCAATGCCCTCACTCCTTCGCACCGGGCCTTCCTCGCACCTGTCGCGCAGCGCATCGCGTCGACCGTACCTCTCTCCGTCGCCGTCGAGCCGTCAATGGCAGCGCGCTTCGGGCCGAGTCCGGATGACAAGGTGCTGGAGGCGAGGAAGGGGACTGCATTGGGCGCAGGCGCTCGAGGCGGTCTGGCTGGTGGGCTGAAGGTCGCGAGGAAATGAAGAGGGTGGCTGAGAGTGAATGGGGATTGACTATCGAGCAAGGTCAGAGCTCTCGAGCGATACGATACAAGGTACTGACGCCTTTCCCCTCCCGCGCTGCGTATCACCCGCTCAACCTCCTTCGCATCCCTTTTTCGACTCGCAGAAAACCGCCTGGCGAAACAAGCGCGCAAGGCTGCGTCGGCGGCATCGTCCCAGCCGGGCTCGGCGAAGAACTCGCGACCAGCGACGCCTGCACCCGGAGCTGCCAAGCCGAAGAAGGTCGCGCCTGCAGCGGGTTCGTCCGCGAAACCTGCGGCAGCAGGGCCAGTGAGCCAGCTGCGGACGGATATGGAGGCGATGGGTCTTGGAGACGGCAGCTCGAGTCGAGAAGAGGAGCGGATGCAGGTGGACGAGGAGCCGGCGCCGGCGATCATGATGTCGAAGGAGAAGATTCTGAAGGAGGTCAAGGCGAAGGCTGCGACGGAGAAACCCGTCTTGTCGTTGGTCGTGATCGGTGCGTTTTCCATTCTCGCCTTCCTTGATGTCGGCTGACCAGCTGGGACACAGGCCACGTCGACGCCGGCAAGTCGACCTTGATGGGACGCGTTCTGCACGAGCTCGGCGAGACTATCGACCGGGAAGTCGCCAACAACCAGCGACAGAGCGAGAAGATTGGCAAGGGCAGCTTCGCATACGCCTGGACCTTTGATGCGATGGACGAGGAGCGGGAACGGTGCGTTACGGTCTCCGGCCGAATTCTGCGGCCAATACTGACGCGCTCTGTTCGCAGCGGCGTCACCATCGACGTTGCAATCGACACCTTCTCGACGCAACGGAAACGCTTCACCCTCATTGACGCACCCGGTCACCGCGACTTTGTGCCAAACATGATCTCGGGAGCTGCTCAGGCGGACGTTGCGATCCTGGTCGTCGATGGTGCGAGCGGCGCATTCGAAAAGGGATTCGAGGGCGGCGGGCAGACGAGGGAGCACGCGCTGCTTGTGCGCAGTCTCGGCGTGCAACAGATCATCGTCGCTGTTAACAAGCTCGATGCCGTGGGTCGGCCTGTCCCCTCCATCAAGCGCTGTGCTGAACCGCATGATCGCAGGTCCGCTGGTCGCAAGTCCGCTACAAGAACATCTTCGACCAACTCTTCCCCTTCCTCACCGACATCGGCTTCATGTCCCACAAAATCACCTTCGTGCCCGTCAGCGCGACATCAGGCGAGAACCTGACGAAGCAGACGAACGAGCTACTGCGCGCTTGGTACAACGGCCCGACGCTTGTCGAAGAACTCGGTGAGTAGCAACGTCCCGCTCTCGCGCGAGACGCATGCTGACCCGACTTCTTGCAGACTCACTTCCTGTCCCGACTCGCGCGCTGGACGTGCCTCTGCGGATACCCGTCTCGAACGTCTTCAAGGGACAGTCGGCGACAGCATCCGCTCTCGCCGTCACCGGTCGCGTCGAGAGCGGCATCGTGCAAGTTGGCGAGAAGCTTGCGGCGCTTCCTGGTGATGAGAGCGGCATCGTTCGAGCGCTCGAGGTCGATGGCGAGCTTGTGCCGTACGCAACGGCTGGCGCGAATGCGACAATCTTCCTTTCCGGCATCGAAGCCAACCAGCTCAGGTGCGTTCGCTCACCGGCCGCTTGGTAGCAGCATACTGACCTTTCCTCTTTGCAGCGTCGGATCCGTCCTCTGTCCTCCCTCTCAGCCAGTCCCCGTCGTCTCGACCTTCACTGCCCAGGTGCTCGTCTTCGAGCCGAAGCATCCCATCACGGCCGGCTATGCGGTCGAGCTGTTCCACCACAGCCGCGACATCCCCGCCTCCATCGTCGCCCTCGAAGCCATGCTCGACAAGACGACGGGCAAGGTCACGAAGACCGCTCCTCGGTGCGTTCCATTTCCTCTCAGGATGCACAACGCCGTCTAACTCGCCTCGCCTCGCTTCGCAGTATGCTCCCGAAGAACTCATCCGCCCGCATCCGAGTCCAGCTACGCAACGCTGCGACAGGCGGGCGTTCGGGCGCGATCCCGATCGAGCCGTTCGCGGTCAACAAGGCGATGGGCCGCGTTCTCTTCAGGCGGAATGGCGAGACGGTTGCAGCGGGTGTCGTGCTCGAGACATTGCAATGAGGGAGAACAACAAGTGTTTCGTCACACGTCGTCTACTTCTTCTGGGAGGACCTCTTCGTCTGCTGCGAGAGCCTTGATCTCGCGATCGAAAGTCTCTGCATCCTCCGACCCTCTCCGCATGTCGACCTTCGCGAGGACCGGCAGCGAGGCGAGCAGGAGGACGAGGATGACCCAAAATCCGTGGCGGATGTCACCCGTAACCTGCGTGACATACGCGACGAGCAGCGGTCCGAGGAAGCTCGACCCTTTGTCCGTGACGCTGTACACGCCGAACCACTGCGCGCTCTGCGAACTCGGGATGAGCTCGGAGAAGCATGCGCGCATGAGGGCTTGGAAGGCGCCATAGATGGCGCCGAAGACGCAGGCGAGGAGGTACATTTGCGTCGAGGTGCGGAGGGCGACGAGGCCCCAGAGCGGAATGATGGTCGCGAGCGAGACGAGGAGGAGGAGCGTCCGGTGTGTCGTCAGGTGCAGGCGGTGTTGCAGGATGGGGAAGGCGAGGGCACCGACGAGTCCAGCGAGGGGCGTGAGGATGGAGATGAGGACAAGGGACGAAGTCGGGAGGTTGAGCGTCGTCTTGGCAAAGAGAATCGCCGTCGAGGTGATCGTGGCGAAGCCTGTTCAACGGACTTGAGTCAGCCATCCCTCGTACAGCGAGAATCGGAATCACTCACAATCGCTAAGGATGAACCATGCGCCGAGGAAGACGAACGTCGCAGGCAGCCTCCTCCATTCCCGCAGCATCTTGCCCAGCCCTCGCCACCCCTGCGCGATATGGCTGCGTAGCGAGGTTGCCTTCGCGCTCGAGCTGATCAACTTGACGATGCTTGACGTTGGGCGAAGCCAGATTGACGCAGCTGGAGAGGAAAGAGTCAGCCTCCTTTGCTAGAGGAAGAAGCAGACGAGGGACGCACGAATGGTCCCGATGATCCACCACAGCCCGCTGATCGCCACTCCTACTCTCAGCGGCCACGTCCCATCCACCTCGCCTTCGCCGAGCCACCTCAACACCGGCAGCAGCGCAACAAGCACCGCAATCCCCGCTCCATACCCAACCGCGATCGCCCTTGCACTGATCTCTCCTGTAGCTTTACCTTTCGCGGTTGTGTATGCGTCTGTTGCGCGCGCGAGGTGCTGAGAAGCAGAGAGGAGGGTGTTGGATGAGGTGACGGATTCGCGTCTATGCCGTGCGTAAGATTGGCGGGCGTTGAGGAGGGCGGCTTGCGCAAGAAGGACGGTGGGGTGTCGACGACCGAGATCGGGGACTGCGCGAGATTGTGAGCGATAGACGGGTGGAACGGGAAGAGCGGGCGCACGGTAGGAGTTCAGGCAAACGATCGAAGCGCCGAAAGCGACATTTGCCCCGAGGGCGAGCAGGGTGCATAGCGGCCAAACCGCCGAAGCCGACGGGAGAAAGAGGAAGAGGATGCAGAGGATTGAGCCCGACGCGGCGAAGAGAGTGAGTAGTCGATGTCGCATCCAGGCTGCGGACGAAGGGTGAGCGAGATCGACGAGCTGTTCAAGGGACCGCTACGTACGGTCGTCCGCGAGCCCTCCCATGGAGATGACCGTCAGGGCTTGGACGAAGACCGACGCCGAATAGGTGATCAAGGAGAACGAAGCTGTCAACGGGAGTGAGCAGAGTTTTAGCCCGTCGTCTCACCTCGAGGAGGGATGGTCGTCACGCACCCGTATCCAACCACACTCCTGCAAGCCTGACGACACACCTCGCCGCCTCGTCTCCCTCCCCTGCTCCTCCCAGTCCAGAGGGCGGACAAGCGACCACTTTCTTAGGCGCCAAAACCCCGTTCTGCCTCGCATACGTCTCAAGCAAGACCGGTAGCAACAGCGTGCCAGTGACGATCGGAAAGACCTGCACTCGAAGCGGGTTGTCAGCTTTCGTACCCCCCACTTGCGGTGAGGAGGAGAGGAGGGGCAACACACCTCGCTCGCGATGCTGTAGGCGTAGACGCCCCGCAGCTGGCATGTATAGGCTACTTCGGATTGCTCTGGTGTGTCGGAGGGCCCGGCGGTGCGGCCGTAGCGTGAGAGGAGCGCTGCGTCTTCCCCGTCCGAGAGAGCCGAGTCTGGCGGTTCGACGGGCGGGCGGGAGAGCATGACGGGTCGGGGCTAATGGATGGGGCTTCAGTGTCAAGCAGGAGAGTCGAGCGAGGGCAGCGGTGCCATGTTGCGAGGCAGGAAGAGGTGTGAGAGCGGGAGGAAAGCGAGGTTGGCGATGAAGGTCACTCGAGCAGTCTTTCGTGAAGCAAGGATACACACACTCTCGGTGCACTAGCTCACCCTGCGGAACCGCCCGTCCCGAAACTGCCGAGGTCTCCTCTCCATCTGCCCCTCTCAACGAATCGCCCAAAGTCCCGCAAAACCACGCGCGTTACAACACCTTGCGAACGACGGCGTTTACTGGGCGTACTGGAAGACGTTCTTGAGAACTGCGGGGTGGGATGAGGGCGAGGTGTCAGTACTGGACGGGGCAAGGTGTGGGACAAGGGGGGCGAATTGGAGGGCAAAGACGCACGACCGTCCTGGGTGGCGAGTCTGCAATTGCAACGCTTGTCAGTGAGCAGTTACGACGGTAAGAGAGGCGTGGGACGCACCGGTTAAGGGACTCGTCGGCGTCGCCAGTCTCACGGACCGAGCCGCAGAACGCGTAGGTGACGTTCGAGCCAGTCATCTTGCCCGACTCGTCGACCTCGGCAACGTTGATCTGAACCGAAGCGTGGTCCTTGGCGATGATGAGGCGGTTCGTGGCGCTGCACTTGCGCGGGACGTAGAGGTCGACGACTTGGCCCTGAGCGCGTGCGAGCAAGCGTCAGTCTTTCCATTCTTCCATATGCACCGTTACCGCACGGAACGAATGCCCGCAGCACCCGGATGACCTGGTGTCGCGACCGTCGAACGAGGAGACGAATGCTCACCTGGTCGTTCTGCATGGTGTCTGCGCTGTTGAACCGGCGCACGATCCGTCCCGGAGTCAGCACAACCACTCGACGCAACAAGCGAGCGCGCACTGCTGTTGCCGCCGTTCCCTCCGTCCTCCTGCGCTCGACCGCCCTGTGCTCCTCGAACGGGCATGCCCCTGCGTCCCGCCTCGCTCATTCCGCGCTCGCGCCACCTCCAGTACACTCCGACAGCGCATTCCCGTTCATTCTGCGTCCAGACAGCACTCCGCGAGCGAGTCGAGGCGGGGTCGACGGCGGGTCGAGCTTTTTGCGGCTGGAGAGGCCCGAGGCGACGTCGGCGGGCGCGGGCAAGGCGGGTAGGTGGTTGTCGAGTCGCTAGAGTGTGATGAGGGTGTGTCTGAGCAGCTTACGGGTAGGTGGGCCAGGGGAAAGCTTGTACGAGGGAAGAGAGCGAGGGCGCGACGAACGGCTCGAGGCGGAGAGCAGCTCGCAACCCCTCGACTGCGCCCTCTCACCGCTCTGGCTGCCTCCTTCGGGTGCTCACTGGACTCGCAGACATCACTTTGCTGGACTGCGCCTTTGCACCGCGCGCGAACGAGCTGTTGCCGCCTCACACTCGCCTCCCCACCTCGACCTCGACCCGACTCGACACGCGCACAGGACACGCCGGATGGCCAGCGCACTGCCAGACAGCGCTGCGTCGTACGAGGAAGCAGTGGCAGCGCGGCGGAACCGCTTCAGGCCGTCTCGCGACTCCCTCTCTCGCTCGTCGACCTACTCGATCGACCCGGTCTTCACCATCCCACACTCGGGCACGCACATCCACGCCTTTGCAGCAGCACCATGCTCGTCGCACCTCTACACAGGCGGGAGCGACGGATTCGTGCGGCGGTACGCTCTTCACGCGACTCTGAACGGGACAGGCGTCGACAACCCGCTCGTGCCGAACCTCACGAGCAAGCCGGGCGGTCACGAACGGCCGCCTGGGACCGACATGCGGTCGGCTGTCCTGAGCGGATACTGGGAGAACGAGGAACCGGCAGACTGGATGGACGACTTGCTCTCGCCCGACGGGGACGCGCAGCATGACAAGCTCGCAAAGGTCAAGTGGGGACCCAAGTCGAGCGCACTGGGTCCGCAGAGTGCGGTGCACAGTCTCGCCGTCCAGCGGGAAGAGCTGTGGGGTCTAAGCGGGACTTCGGTGCGTTCGCAGGCTGTTCCCTGCGACCTTTTCAGCTATTTGCACGAGGCGAATGTCCACTAACCCGTCTGCCGCTACAGAGAGGCTCCATCAACCTCTGGACAGTCCGCCACGACGAAGGCCAGATCCGGCACGTCTTCCGCCCCGACGCCTCCTCCTCCTCTTCCTCCACAACACCGCAAGGCCACTCTTCCAAAGCCGCAGTCTCAGCTCTCGCACTCGACCACGACGAGACGGGTTTCTTGAGCGGCGGCTGGGACGGTCGGATATTTGTGCGCCCTTCTTCCTCTGGACCGCTCCTCGACCTCGCTAACCCAGACCGTGCACGTAGGAATGGGACCTCCACACCGGCTCCTCCACACGCTCCTTCCACGCTCACAACGCCCAAATAACATCCGTCGCGTTCCGACCGCTCAGACCACCTATACCGCTCGAGACGGGGGATGGGGACGTGGAGATGCGGGAGGATGAGGGCGAGTGGGTCGATGCGCCGGGGAGGGTGAGGGTTGATGAGGTTGGAGGTGAGAGGAAGAGGAAGGGAGCGGGCAAGGCTGAGGAGGTGAAGGAAGCGGGTGAGGATGCAGATGCTGATGCGGATGCCGATGCGGATGCGGATGCGGAAGGCGAGGTGGACGACTTGACGAACCCACACTCGATCCTTCCTTCTCGACCGGATCCAGGGAAGGACATCCCGCTCGTCGGCGCAGGAAAGGCGGATCCAGGGGAACTTAGCCGCGACGTATTTCTCAGTACAGGGCTGGACGGGATAATTGTATTGTGGGACCGACGGGCGGGTGAGGCGCAGGGTGGTACGAAGGGCGCGGTGGGGAAGTTTGCGGCGTTTGACGGACGAGGAGGCAAGAGCGGTGCGCGCTGTACTTCGGTGGGTCCTCGCGCTGCTGCGCTCTTGCCAGCTCTCCCTTTTTGACGCCATCCTTTCTGGCTAACTGCGACTCGCTGCACAGGCTTGCTGGTCACCCTCGGGCTCGCACATCTACGTCGCCCGCCGCTCGCCCTCGATCCAAATCTACGACCTCCGTTCCGCCTCTCCGCTCTCCACCCTCTCCCTTCCGACATCAACAGGGCCCGTCAGTGCCGTCGCCGCCCTCCCGAATGGCCGCCACCTGCTCAGCGCAAGTTGGGATTGCGTGCGGTTATGGGATGTCGAGCGGGCAATGGAGGCTGTTGCGGCGGAGTCGTCGATGGAAGCGGGTGATGGGAAGGCGACGATGCCTCTGGGAGCGACGGTCGTACCAGGACACTACGGCGGGACTGTCAGCCAGCTTCGTTCGTCCTGCTGGTTCCTCTCCTTTTTCTCCATCTTGTGCGCTGACTGCTCCGCCGTTCGCAGACGTCGACCCGACATGTCGCTGGATGTTCACGACGTCGGGCAACCGCGCATGGGAAGGCACGTCGACGGAGAACCTCGTTATTCACGAGATGAAGACCGTTGCAGCGGCTTAGTCCTCTCGAGGCCGAGTGAAACGATGCCCGCTCTTTCTTGGCCGCACTAGACTAGACTTCTGGTGTGACAAGTCATACTGAGAGTTGGTGCTCGCAAAGGAGAAAGGTAGAACTTGCTGCATGCGGTCGACGGCCGAGAGGGAACCCGCTGCCGTGGAGCGATCCGACTCGACCTCGTTGCCCTCGCCCACTCGCTTCGCACGGCTAGCTGCTGGTGTGGCCAGGTCTTTGGACAGCCTGACAGTGCTTTGCGACCGACCAGCGACCGCCTCGACTCGCTTGCGTCTCGCCTGACCCCGCTCCTCGAGGTTCGGCTTCAGCATCACGGCTCACTCACGCGGGGAGGCGGCGGTAGCGTGGGCAGACGGGACTCAGAGTCATCACATCGATGCCCAACGCGACTGTCGACGACCAGGACATCCGCTGCGAGTTTGGCGGCAACTGGAACTTCTTCCGAGGCGAAAGTGGGCCGAGGAACGCGAGTGGGTGGCAGGGGCAGACGTATGCGAGTTGTGGTGGACCTGGGTACTGGGAGCAGGGGAAGGACTGCGAGTTGCGGGTGCCGTTCGTCGGGTGCGTTCCCTTTCTCTCGCCTCATCGTGGACAGAGGCAGCTATTCGCCTCGTTCGCCTCGCCCTTGATGAACGTCGGAGATAGAGAGCGCACGCTGACGATGGACGCTCTTCAGAACCTACGCCGCCCTGTACGGCGATTCGAACGGCAACCACGGCCCCTTCTCGTGCCGACTCGAGCGAGACGGCCAACCAGTCGGTGTCTGGGCCTGGTACGACGGCGGTTCTCGCTGGTGGTGGCCGTACCAGCACGATACAAAGCTGTGCGAGGTGTCGGGCTTGCCAAACGCGAGTTACGACCTCGTCCTTCACGTCGAGGTTGACCAGGTCAAGAAGGGGATCGCTGTACGTTCTTTCATTCTGCTCGTTTTGTAATGGGATTGACGAAGCGCGGACGCAGTTCGACTACATGCGAAGCAGCGACACCGTCCCTCCCGGCAACACGACGCAATGGCGGTAGGTTCAGCGTTTCGTCCTGCGCTCCATCGAGTGACTCACATCCCCTTTCGCAGATCCGACTTCAATAACGTTGTTCCACCTAACAATCTGCGTGACACGACAGCCACCCCGATGCTACCCAGCGCAACAGCCTCTCTCGCCCCCGCTCCTTCCGCCACATCACCCTCCTCGGGCAGAAGCGTCAACAAGCTGGCGGTCGGGCTCGGCGCCGGCCTCGGCGGCTTCTTCCTCATCCTCGCCATCGTCGCCATCATTCTCTTCTTCCGCCTCCGCGGCAAGCCTTTCCGCCGACGACACGATCCGATCGCTAGTTACGACGCCGGCTCGACTTGGTCACCCGACGTGTACAACAGTCCGGACGGCACGTACCGCAACAGTCCGCTGGAGCCGCCCGGAACGTGGAAGGAGGGGAAGCAGGAGCTGGACTTTGCTATGATGTCGCCGAGTGAAGCGGGTTCGCCTACCTTCGGTACGTAGCCCTTCGTTGCGGACGGTCCGCTGGACTTGCTGACCTTCGCTCGCTTGCAGATTACCCGACTCATGGAGGCTTACAGATGGCATTCGACTCGCCGCCGCGCCCGATCTCATACCCAGCCTCTTCCACCTACGCCACCTCCTACCCTCCTTCCTGCGCGCCTCTCCTCGCGCCCGCGCCACTACTGACCTCCTCCCCCTCCGAGACTCGCCGCGCATCCGCCATCTCCTCCGTCACCGCTTACCCAGACCCGCAGCGCATTTCCTCCTTACTCGACTTGCCGCCGCATGCCGAACTTGACGATCCAGACACTTTCAAGAGTCGGTAAGGCCGACTATAGACACTCGATGTTGTTGTATTCGCATGAGGTGGGCAGGGGTGCTATCAAGGTGCTATGGACACTCGTCCGTTCCAGCGAGGCGAGAGCGAGGTGCTCGCGGCTTATCGACCTCCGCGGCAACTCCGGCGACCGACCTTCTCGGCTTACTCCCCTCTACTCTCTCTCTCTCTTCTGTGCCTCGCTCAGGGCTCCCACAACTTTCGCCATGTCCTCCCGCTACTCTACTTCGCTCTCGCCGGACGATCAGCTCGCAAATGTCAAGCAGCACTCCCGCCAGGCCTTCGAAGACGGTTGGACCGCTCTCAAGGGGACGGGCTCGCTTTTGCAGACGAAGAGCGGGAGGGAGACGGTCGGAGAGGACCTGTCGAAGACGTCGAAGCACTTGACGGCGCAAATGAGGCATGCGGTGAGTGGTTCGCTGTCTTTGTCGACAATCTAGGGAGTTTGGCTGACCAGCTGCTTGATCTGACAGTACAACGGCTTCGTGCGCAAGTGGGAAGAGAAGCACTCGACTGGCTCGCCTGGCGTCCCAACTGTGTGTCTCTCTCGCTCTCCCCGCCAGTCTCCCTTGTTCAGAGTGGGCTTACAAGGCGACACTCCTCTCACGCAGCAACGTCCTCCCGTCTTCAAAAGCGAGCAACAGGCCATCGCGGCGCAGTCACTCGGTCGCAGCCGCGGCGCGTACGGGTCGAACGCGGCTGGTCGCGAGTACGCGAGCAGGACCAGGTACTAGAATGAAAAGGGACGGTCTAGTTGCGAGACGGAAGGTGCGGGCAGTGAGAGAGGGCAGGGAGAGCGGAGGATTAGGATGCGAAGGCGTCGCAGACTTCTATACCACTACAAGGAATTCTTTTCTAACCAAATCTTCTCTGTTCTGTGCACGATTGCTGCCTTTCCTTGCCCTCGTCGCCGCCGCTTCCCCTTGTTTGAGAAGGTCAAGCCTTTCCTCCTCGTCGCTTTCCCCTCTTCACAGGCTACTGTGCCCCTCGAGAGTCGTTGCTGTAATCGCTTTGAAGGGTGCCGCGCCGCTCGCAGCCTCGGAAGGGTCCGCGGACCTCCCGGTTGCTCCTTTCCGCTCTCCCTCGCTCGCTTCTTCTGTCCGCTCGCCCCTCCCTGCTCTCGCTTACCCTGGGACCCGTACTTTGCCATGTCACTCTCGACCTCCTCAGGTGCGTCCCGCCCGCCCTCTCATCCTCTCGCCTCCTCACTTCCTCCTCACATATCCCGCAGCCCATCCGGTCCGCGACCTCCTCCGCACCGAACTCCAAGACGGCTGGCACCGCTTCGACCGAATGATGGAGGATAACACGACGCTTGGGAGCGGGCCGAACGGGGGCGCGATGGAGTTCACGCAGGTTGGTCGGGATCTTTGACCTCGATTTCGCTAGAGGGCGCGCTGACGGGCGGTTATTTGGCAGTGGGACGGGCTGAAGAGGGCTGCGAGTGACGCTGTGAGTCTTAGTGGCAGAGTAGGAGCCGAGGAGAGTCGCTGACACGGCCCGAACCGCTTTCCCACAGGCGAAGGAAGGGCGCAAAGACGTCCAAGTCCTCCGTTCCCGCGCCGCGCAGGCCTCACCGGTCACTCCTCTCCCACCCCGTCCTGGTCTACCTTGATCTGACGACTCCCGACGCGCGCAGGCCCTGACAAATCCCTATCCCTTAATCTCCACCCCCTCCCTCACCCACGACGCCTCCCTGCACTCGCGCTTCGCAAAGCAGTACCTCACTTACGCGGGGCGAGACGCAAAGGAGGCTGCGAGGCAGGCTGGGATGGCGGGCAGGGAGGTGTTTGAGGTTGGGAGGAGGAAGGTCGTTGGGACGGATGGGGATGCTGTGAGGGTCTCTCCGCCTCGCGCAGAGTATTAGAAGAAGACTGATGGAGGCGAGCGCGACAGGACCCGACTCATGCGAAACCAACACTCTTCAAGTCCCTCGAGTCGCGCCTCATCCGCCCGAACGGATACCCTACGAACGCAGCCATCGCTGCTGCAGACGCTGCATTGCTGGGTATTGGTATTGATCTTGGAGTGGGGATGGGAATTGGGTTTGCGGCGGAGAGGAGGGCGAGGGCGAAGCGCGAGAGGGAGAGGGCCGCAAGAGAGCTGGCGCGCGAGCGTCCGTAGAGATCCCAGGCTTCTCTGTCTCGGCTCTTCTGTATCGATGAGCAGTTTCTCTCAGCGCACGAGGCCAGCGGGAGACAGCGTGTTCATTGCGAGGCAAAACTGCGGGAGGGAGGTATCATGTGCGTGCGAGCGGGTGTGCGTACCAGGACAGACCAAGACACGAAGCGGGGGTATCAACAAGTGTGAGGGGGCGGCGAGGTCATCGAGCGTGAGGAGACGAGGAGACACCTTGAAAGGGTCGACTGAACAAGCGAGTGGTAATAAAACGAAGGAGGGCAAGAGGAAGCTGGCGAGTCGGCGAGGACGGACAGGGGCTCAGGCGCTCAGGCGAGCTCGTCGATGAGGTCGTCAACCTGCGAGAAGACTCGTCAACACAGTGGCAGGAGAGGGGAGCGGATGAAAGCCACCGCACGGTGCTGACGGCTTTCTTGAGACGGTCCCACTGCTCCACGCTCAAAGAGATGCCCTTCTTGCCCGGCGCGACGCCCTTGTCGCTGTTGTAGAACTCGCGGATGTCGATCAGCGTCTTGCCCTTGAACTTGCGGACGGTGACGCGACGAAGGGCCGCAAGGTCGATGTACTTGTCGCCCTCGTCGTTCTCCTCGACCGCGGCCTTGCCGCCATACTTGGCGGAAGCGCCGACCTTGCGCTTGGCAGTCCTGGGCGAGGGAGGGTCGTCCTCGTCGCTGTCGTCGTCCTTTGCGCGCTTCTTCGAGGAGGACGAGGAGGCCTTCTTCGACGAAGGAAGCGCCTGGATCGCCTTCTTGGTCTTGTCACTGCCGTTCTTGGCCTTCTTCGAGAGCGGCTTGTCCTCGGACGACTCCTCTGCGTCCGACACTTCGCGCTTCGCCTTCTGTTGGACAGAAGAGGGAGTGGTCAGCGGTCCGTCGCCTCGGTTCGCCCGTGCAGTACCCGTGGCAGCGTGTCTCCGGTGTGCAGCGTTATTCCTAGCGCACTGCCTGACCGCCCCTGCGCGCTCCCTGCCCCGATTCGAGATGTCAATCAACGCTCACCTTTCCCTTCCCCCCAGCGCCCCGTTCCACGCGCGGGCTGCTGCTGCGGTCGTCGTCCGAGTCGACAAACTCTTGCGAGAGGTGCCTGGGCATGGCGTCGAGCGTGTCGAGCGAGTGCGAGCGGGTTGAGCCAGGGTGAGGGCCAGCGCCGTTGACAAAGTCGCAGGCTGCTCGACGACGACGGCTCCGGGCGATGCGGGACTTGGCGCTTCAGACTCGCCTAGTACTACCTGAATTACCTCAAGTACTGGCTGATTTTCCCGAGTGTCATCGGGTCGCTCGCCTCGACAAGAACGCGATGGAACGGGTCCTGCTCTCACCGTTCACCGTCCAGCCCGAGCGTGAGTCCAGCTGGCGTGCACAGGACGAGCACAGTCACACAGACTCACCCAGACCCGATCCGCACAACAGGACGCACGCGCAATGGTCCGAGACGACCGCCTGTACAAGCTGCTCGGCGTCAAGCCAGACGCCAGCGACAACGACCTCAAGAAGGCCTACCGGAAAGTGAGCACCGACATCACACGGCTGACGGGCATCTTTTGGGACCACCACGCGCACCCGGGAGGGAAATTGGACGCCTGGAGCGGTGGGAGCTTTGCTCAGCGACAAGTGGCGGTGCTTGCGGCAGACTCGGCGGGCAGAGTGCTGCTCGGATGGGCTGAGCGGGAAGGGAGACTGTGTTGCTGGAGCTGGCAGGTCGAACGGAGCTTCTGATTGCTGTCGACACCGACCTCACCTTCCCGGACTTCCACCGACACGAGCTGACCCCGTTTCTTCTTCTTGCTTTCTTGCGTTCCTATAGCTCGCCTTGAAGCTCCACCCGGACAGTAAGTCTTACACCTTGACCGGCCGCCCCCGCCGACGTTGTTGGCCTATCGCCGGTCCCCGAACGACGAGCTGACCTTGGCCTTCCTTGCTCCTCCCGCAGAGAACCCCGACGCAGGTGACGAGTTCAAGGAGGTTTCGCATGCTTATGAGGTCCTGTCAGAGTGCGTGCGATTCTTTGCGGCGTCACCAGAACGACTCTGACCTTTGTCATCCCTTGCTCTTCCTCGTCCTGCTCTGGCTTTACTCTTTTCTTTCGCTTCGACAGCCCCGAGAAGCGCCGATTGTATGATCAGTTTGGCGAGGAGGGCTTGAACGGCGGCGGAGGAATGGGCGGCATGGACCCGCAGGGTGCGTCTCTTGCTCGCTCAGACAATATTCTGGTCTACACTGACGCTCGTGCATCGCTCGCAGACCTCTTCTCGCAGCTGTTCGGCGGCGGAGGCGGCTTCTTCGGCGGCGGCGGACGGGGACGACCTTCGGGCCCGCGCAAGGGCAAGGACCTCGTTCACCGCATCAAGGTGTCGCTCGAGGACCTGTACAAGGGCAAGACGTCGAAGCTCGCGTTGCAGAAGCACGTCATCTGCGCCAAGTGCAAGGGCAAAGGCGGCAAGGAGGGCGCGGTCAAGACGTGCCAGTCGTGCAAGGGCCAGGGAGTCAAGATTGTCCTCCGCCAGCTCGGCCCGATGGTCCAGCAGATCCAGCAGCCGTGCAACGACTGCAACGGCGAGGGCGAGATTATCAACGCCAAGGACCGGTGCAAGGACTGCAACGGCAAGAAGGTCATCAACGAGCGCAAGGTGCTCGAGGTGTTCATCGACCGCGGCATGAAGGACGGCCAGACGATCACTTTCGCGGGCGAGGCGGACCAGGCGCCCGGTATCGAGCCGGGAGACGTCATCATTGTGATTGAGGAGAAGCCGCACGAGGTCTTCAAGCGCAAGGGTGACGACCTCTTTGCCGAAGTCGAGATCGACCTCCTCACCGCCCTCGCCGGCGGCGCCTTCTCCCTTCCTCATCTCGACGAGCGCGCGGTTCTCGTCCGCATCCACCCGGGCGAGGTCATCAAGCCCGGCTCGATCAAGGTCATCCCCGAGCAGGGCATGCCGTCGTACCGCCACCACGAGATGGGCGACCTCGTCGTTCAGATCAACGTCAAGTTCCCCGACTCGCTCGACCCTGCCGCCCTCGCCCCGCTCGAGAACATCCTCCCGCCCCGGCCCGACCTCCCGACGTACCCGCCCAACGTGCACGTCGACGAGGTGGAGATGACGGACGCGTCCGAGAGGAGGACAAAGTCGGGTCTTGGCGGAGGCGGCGGGTTCGGTGACGACGCGATGGACACGGACGAGGAGGGCGGCGCAGGACCTCAAGTCCAGTGCGCCAACTCGTAAATCCGCGGACGAGGACGTCAAAACCCACGCATAAGGACGCTTTCTTCGACCCTCTCTCAGCCACACTCGCTCCCGCATCTCCTGCCCTTCTATTCCTCGCTCACCGCCTATGATACCGTGCTGTCCCTCTTTGCCTCTCTCTCTCTCTCGTGTGTATCTGCCACATCTTTTCCGTTCTCTCTCCCTAGACGAGGTCATTTGCAAGGCTGCTCTACCGTCGCATCCCATCGAGCTAGGAGACGGGGTTGACAGCAGCAATAGGAGGGAAGCCTGCTTGTGAGCCCTTTTGGAGGACGAGCAGCCGCTTCGAATGCATGATGTAGGCTTTGATGTAGCCCTGCTTGAAGAGACATCAGTTCGACACGAGGGGCACGAGGAAAGTCGGGCACGCACCTGCTCCATCAGCGCGACGCACATGCACTCAACGTCGTCAATGTCGAGCGTCGGATCATCGAATGCTATCCGCGCGGCCACAAGAAGCGCTTGGAGCGAGAGAGTCGGCGGACCGGTAGGCGGCAGAGGCGAGCCATTCGTGAGGACGAACAACCTGTTCCTCCTCGAGTCAGCCCAGCCTTCGCAGTGGGTCAGAGATGAGAAGAACGCACGTCCGTCGAGCGAGGTTGCGCCAGCAAATCGTCTCGAGCTTCTCCCGCAGGAGGAGGTAGTTGCCGTGCTGGCGGTGCCAGAGCTGCCAGCGGTCGAGCTCGGAGAGGACGATGCGGAAGTCGCCTTGCTGCGTGAGGAGGGGCGTCAGTTGTGACACGAGGAGCAGAAGCGGGGAACGTACCTTGAGGCCGGTCAGGAGAGAAGCGTAGGGCTCGTGTAGGTTGAAGTGTTGCAAGAGCGGGAGAGAGGGGAAGAAGCCGAGGGGTAATGATGCAGCGACGAGGTAGATGAGGATGAGTCTGCAAACACAAGTGTTCAGTAAACCGACGAGGCAGACTTAAAGACTCGCGCAACGCACCTGCCGTTCTTCCAGCTGTCCGCCCGACACAGCGCGAATGCTCTTCGCAAGTCATTCCTCGCCTGCGGCAGTCGTCGCTGATACAAAGATATCCGTCCGCGGTAGTACAAGAACGCGCAGCGGTCCGCTTTGGGGAAAGTGTCGAGTTGAGCAGTCGAGTTTTGCGTGTTGTTCAGGACCGTGTCGCAGAGTCGGAGGTTGGAGAGGGCGAAGTAGACGCGGAAAGTGGAGTTGGCGAGGAAGAAGAGGGCGTCGCGCTTGCATGGCGATTCGGATGTCCTGCGCGCAGAATGTGAGCGAAATCGGGTGAGCTGAAGAGGGAAATCCGACGCACCTGTCGCTCGCTGCGATACCCATGGGTCGTCCTAACATCCGCGCTGCCTCTCCTGCCCGGGTCAACTTCACGTCTCCCTTTGCTCGTCCGACCTGCAGGACTTGCGAGGTCAGAAGCGGTTCCTGCGGCGTTGAGGTCGCAAGACGCACCGCCAATGCCACATCGACTAGCCGTCTTGTCGATTTGCGCAGCGTCGGCACAAACCATCCCGTTTCTCCCTGGGCGAACAAGCGGTCCGCAGTCCTGATGAAAGCAAGTTTGTTAAGGACGCAAGCGAGGACGAGCGGACGAGACTCACTTGAAGCAGTCCTCCAGCAGGCCGTACGTTTTCTCCAGCGATCCGGCATCCCCTGCTAGTTCTGCATCTCGCACGTAGAGCAGGAATGCAGCGAGAAAGTCGGCGAGAGGGCGGTAGTCGGAGAACTGGGAGCGAGTGAGGGAAGTGTAGGTCGCTGTGCGAAAGTTGGGGCCGGTCTGCAGACTCAAGCTGTCAGTGTGGTATCTTTGCAAGCTCGTGTCATGACACGCACCTGCAACGACTGCCGCAAGAGCTGGAACGACTGCGAGGTGGGGTCGGGATTGAGGAGGGAGGCGAATCCGGCGCCGTCGCCGCTCAGCTGGCGCAACTTGACCTGCGAGAGCCACGAGTCCATTGCTTTGCGCCGTTCTCAGCAGTATCAGGCCTTCAGAGCGGTGGTGAGCGTGTGGTTCACCTCCAAGGCTTCGCTCGACTGATGAAAACGGGTTGTCAACGAACAACGCGCCGCTCTCGCCCGTTTGGCTTGGTGCTGAGGGTGATACGGTCTACGGACCATGCTACAGGCCGCTGCACAGCGCCTGACGCGCTCCTCGCCTTCCCAACCCGCATCTTCTCCCCCGCTCGAGCCGACGACTGAGCGCCAGCAACGCCGGCTCTCGCGCATCTCGCCGTCCGAGTTCGACTCCGTCCTCACGTCCGGCGAGACCGTCAAGCTCAACACCGGCACGGGCGGGCTCGCAAGCGACTCTCCAGAGGTGCTGGCGCCGCCCGAACCCTCTCCCAGCCCTGAAACGCCTCGAACAAAAGTCTCGAGTCGGCGCGGGAGCTCGAAGGGGATCGGAGCGTTCGCAGTGAACGGCTTGCCTGGGCGGGGGCAGATCTTGAGCGCGGGAAGTTCGCCGGAGTCGGTCAGGAGCGTGAGGAGGAGGAGAGACGATGATGCCGTCGAGGTGCTGGACTCGTACCAGTGGCCTGAAGCGGGAACAAGCACGCAGAAGCAGACGGTCAGCAGCGGGCGGAATGGCGCAGGCGGCGACCCCTTCCGGCAACCTCCTCGAACCGTCTCGCCAGAACGGGTCCAGCAGCCTCTCTCATCCGTTCCCACTGCCGCCAACCCAGCTCGTTCCGAGTCTTATCATAGCGTCAACACCATCGGCTCGAACGGCGCGAACGGAGGGAGAGGCCGTCTCTCGATATCGACGATCTCGACGGGGTCCTACGTCCATGTCCCCTTTCCGCCTGTCGAGAACAAACCGCAGACGGCGACTCAGCCACAGTCGAACAGTTCGACTGCGGGCTTCGACTTCAGCCCACTGCGTAAGCGGGTGTCGTCGAGCGAAAGCATGGAAGGCAAGGTTCGTCTGCTCCGCTCGTCTCGCCTGTCGCTGCTCGGCTAATTAGCTAACGGCATACAGATGTCGATTGCCGGCACGATGAGGCGGACGAGTCGGTTCTTCCGGAAACTGGGTGGAGTAGCCACTGGTGCCTCGAAGGTGAGGAGCGCCTAACTCGTGGACGCGACTTCGCTGACCGCAGCCTCCCCTAGCAGAGCACACCGAGCTCACCCCTCCCGCAAGGCGACTTCTTCCCGCATTCCACCGAGTCGCCGCCACTTCCGCCTCTGCCTTCGCCTCTCACCCGCTCCCCCGCTTCACGCCAAAATTCCTCGCCTCGTCAGAACGTCGTCGCACGAGATCCGCGCGTCAACCGCAGAGACATCCCTCAGCTTCCTTCGACAAGTCATCTGCCTGGCTCGCCTACCGACTCGTCCTCGACTGCGATGCTCCGGGACGACTCGAATAACTCGCTGCTATCCGCGCAAAGCCGCAGCTCGGCCGGCAGCGGCTCGCGACGGCGGAGAAGTCTCAGCCTCAACTCGGTCAGGATTGATGGGAGCGGAGCGGAGGGCGGATTAGCAGTTCCGCAGCAGCCCGAACGAGCGCGTCGACCCAGCAGCCGCACAGAGGATGATCGCCTTCGACGCGAGCTACGAAGATGGCGACTTGGCGTCGACGGTGTACTCGGTGCTGCGGGTACTAGCACGACGCCAAGTCCCAGCTCCTTTGGTGGCAGCCCTTCGCTGGCGAGCCAGTCCAGCCCGCAGCTCGAGCGTACGGCGTCGAACCTCAGCGCAGATCCTCGTCCGCCTTCACCATCGCTCTCGCTCGGCGCCGAGCAGCGGAGAGCGTCCGTACCAGGCGACACGAATAAGCCCTTACCGTCACTCGCGGCGTACCGGTCAGCCAGCCTGCCAACCTCGAGCCTGGCGCCGCAGCCGCCAACGACCGTTGCTGAGCGACCATCTTCGTCAGAGGGCGACACCCCAAAAATCCGCCTCTTCTCTCCGTCCCGCTCTGGGTCCATCTCGTCCGCTGTCACCGTCAATCCGGCCTCTCTCGCGCGAGGTTCGCTTACTCGCGGGTCGGTCTCCTCGATCACGTCGACTGAAGATGGAACTGGCATCGGACTTGGCCTCGCAGCCATCACCGAGACCTTGCACTCTCGCGACAGTACTCTCGTCTCGCCTGCTGCCCAGCCCGCTACTACACCCACCCGCGACACCTTCCCGACTGTCAACGACTCTCCCGCACGACTCTCGCCCTCGTCTGCCCCTGCGACGGTCAGCAACCGAAGCAAAGGCGACCGCGGGTCGATTGTCGCGCTGGGCTCCTCGCTGCCGGCGAGTCTCGCCGCTTCTTCCGTCAGTCTCTCTTCGTCGATGGGTCCTGGCGGCTCTCGCTCGAAGAATCGAGCAGCGAAGGCGGCAGAGGCGGCGGCGGAAGAAGCCATGACGGACGAAGAAGTCGAGGAAAAGGCGCGAGTGCTCGCAACACGGGCCTGGGACGAGGACGAGACGTTTCTCGAGAAGCGGAAGATCGCCGAATGGCTTGGTACGGCGGGTCGCCTGCGGTCTGCAATGCTTCGCCTCTATATCGACCATTTCGACTTCGCTGGCTTGCGCCTTGACCTTGCGTTCAGGTGCGATCGAGGACCTTTTACTCTTGCGCCAGGACTCGCTGACACCTGCAGCTCTTGTTCCCGCAGGAAGCTTTGCGGCAAGCTGTACCTCAAAGCCGAGACGCAGCAGGTCGATCGTATTCTCGAGCAGTTCAGTCGGCGCTATTTCGAGGACAACCCTTCTTCGCCCTACGGAAGCCCAGGTGCGTCGAGCTCGGTCAGCATGTTTCGCTATAGTTCTCGCATGTGTTGAATGTCTTTCTGCAGACGTCGTCCATGCCGTCTCGTACTCGCTCCTCCTCCTCAACACCGATCTCCACGTCGTCGACTCGACGACCCGCATGTCTCGCCAGCAATTCATTCGCAACACCCTCGAGGCAATCAACGCCCAGACTGGCTGGCCGAATCCAAATGTCGCGCTCGCGACGCCGCCCGTTCTTGTCGACACGCCTCCCGCTCTTCCGGACGCTAGTGCGTTCGATGGGTCGAGCGCCCGTCCTTCCACCGCAGAGACTGTGACTGGAGGCGCCGACTCGCTTGCTGCGAAGGATTCGCCTGCGCCTGCGTCGATCCCCCTTCCTGCTTCACCCGCTTCCTCGCGACCGGCTACCGCCAACAGCCTGGACCGCTCGACGAAGACGGTGATCAACGTCCCACATCGCAGCGAGAGTGCGGCTACCGTCAACTCGACGCAGTCGAACAGGACGCCGTACGCGAGTATGCAAACGGTTCTCAAGGTGCGTGCGAACCTTACCCTCGCTATGATCGCCACTTACGCGGTTTGCCCTCGATGTAGGACATGTACAACGCGATCAGAGCGCAGCCGATCTACCAGACCTCTGTCGACAGCGCCTCGCACCTCAATCTCCCAGAGCATGGTGGACGGCCATCCTTCTCGCTCGCGCCGTCAAACTCGCCATATGCGACATGGAGTGGCGGTGTCAACAGGTCCGCGAGTCGGCGCAGCTCGCAATCGACTATCAGCGGCGTTTCATCCATGGCGTACAAGCGGTCGAGTATTCGCGGCATCGGCAGCTTCCTCGGCGCTTCGTCTCTCGAGCTGGTCAGGTCCTCAAGCCCGACGAGCAGCGCTACGTCCCTCAGCGATGTGAGCGGCTTCTCATCTCACTGTCAAGCTTCCGAGCTAACTTAGCGGTCCGCGCAGGAGCGCTGGAATACCGCCTACGGCCTGCCTTCGCAACATCACGCCGTCCCGACAATCGGCTTCGCCAACAGTCTCTCGAACACGATCATCCGCGAACAGCGCGAAGACGACAACGCCTCGGAGGCGAGCACGATCGAGGTGACCGACGAGGAGCTCGCTCTTCTCGGCGCACCCTGGGCGAAGGAGGGTCTCCTTCAGCGCAAGCATTACTGGGAAATGACGGGCAAGCGCGCGAAGGACAAGAGCTGGTCTCAGGTCTTTGTCGTCATCTCGGCGGGGGAGGTCAAGATGTTCAGGTTCGACGGGAGCGGGGGCAGCATGCGCGGCGGAGCTGGTGTCGGCGGCGGCGACTGGACTGTACGAGACGTCTCGTCTTGTCTTCGCCAGGACACGATGCTCACACTCGCCTTTGCAGGCAAGCGCGTCCAACGCCGGCTCGATCAGCCTCATCCACGCGCTCTGCTCTTCGATGCCGCCTCCCGGCTACAGCCGCGACCGCCCGCCCTGCTTCGTCCTCACGATGCCGAACGGCGGGTCCTACTTCTTCCAAGCTGGCACGCCCGACCTCGTCGCCGAGTGGGTGTCGACCTGCAACTACTGGGCGGCGCGTCTTTCGAAAGAACCGTTGCCCGGCGGTGTCTCGAACATGGAGTATGGCTGGAACCGCGTCGACCGCTCGAACGACGACGAGGACCGCGAGGAGATCGCCAGCATCCGCAGCGGTCACAGCCGAATCAGCTACGCCGGCTCTGCGTTTCACTCGGCGACGTCGACCACCAACGGGAACGACCGCATCCACATCAACGAGTGGAAGGCGCCCGAAGTCCCTCTCGTCCCGAGTAATCTGCCAGAAGAAGCGCAGCTAGAGGCTCTCAAGCGTCACGCGACGCTGCTTCGGAAGGAACTGCTCGAGCACAACACCATCCGGACGTCGATGCTTCGTCTCGTGCGTTGCGCATCCACTTCATCTCGACCTGCGAAGCTGATCGGATCGCATCGCTTCTGCAGTACTCGCCTCGCAGCTCGAACGCCAGCAAGGCGCAGGCGAACTGGGAACGCAAGTCGAAGCACCTGCTCGCCGAGAACGTCAAGTACAACACGTACATCGACGCCCTCTCGAGCGCTATCAAGTTGCGCGCCCTGCAGCGAGGCAAGAAGGAGGTCGAGGCGATGCTCGAGAGCGCGGACGCCGACGCGGACGACGAAGACGAGCTGATTGCGTCTCTCTCGCCGTCGGACGGTCCAACCTCTCCAGCTGTCACCGCCACGTCGACGCCGCCCTCTCCCGAGATAACCTTTTCTCCCGCTGTCAGCGAACCCGTACCGGAGCCTGCCAGCCGCCGCCAGTCGCGCTACGATTCCGCCTCCCAAACGTCGGTTGCGACGAGTCGCACCGAGTTCTTCGATTCGTGAGTGTAGGCGCCTTCTTCACAGTAGATACGCGCTGACATGCATCGCTCTCCAGCCATGGCGATAGTCCTCCGCCGAGCACACCCTAGCCCTTTACCCCTCGAAACGATACCTCGCAGCTTCCACCTTCAGTACCCGTCTCGTTTCTCGCAGTTGGATACCCCTGCAAGCTCGTCTGCTCGTCCTCTGCTGCTGGCGAATCGTCGTCCGAGAACCTAGGGAGCATAGTACTGCAAGCAAGCGCGAACAACCCAATCCGTCTATCAAAAAAAGCCCTACCGAATCTACAAACCCTCCTCCTGCCGGTTGAGCACGACCAAGGACGACTCGAGCACGTCGACCACCTTCTCGACGTCCGCCTCCGTTGCGATCAAGCTCGGCACGAACCTGACCGTCTGCCTGCCGCACGACAGGACGAGGACCCCTCGCTCGCGCATCAGCTTGACGACCTTCTGAACGTACTCGTCGCGCGTCAAGGGGAGACCGAGAATGAGTCCTCGGCCGCGTGGAGGCCCGGCGACAAGGCGGGGGAAGAGGGCGTGCACGTTGGCGAGGCGCGCCTTGAGGGAGTCGCCGACGGAGGAGACGTTGGAAAGGAAAGAAGATGCACCGATGCGCGAGACGACGTGGTGCGCTACTCGGGTTTGCAATGGCTGGCCGCTGTTGGTACGAAGCGAGATTAGTGAGGAGAATGAGCGTCGTCGAGCTGGGCGGACGCACCCGAAGGTCGTGCCATGGTCTCCAAGCTTGATTACATCTGCCACCTTGTCCTTCATCATAATTGCGCCGATGGGAACGCCCTGCGAGACAGAGACCGGTTCAGAAAGGGTCTTCGGGCTCGACAGATCGAGCGCTGCTCACATTCGCCAGCGGCTTCGCCATCGTCACAATGTCCGGGTGGCAGTCCACCGGCATTGATCCGTGCGCCCAGAAAGACCCGGTCCGCCCAAGACCGCACTGAAGGAGAGAGAACGGTTAGTCAGAGAGGGGGACAGGCAAGAGCGATTTGGAGGCCACGCACCTGAATCTCGTCGAACACCAACAATGCACCAACATCGTCGCAGCGCTTGCGAAGAGCCCGGAGGAAGTCTTCCTTCGCCTCGAGAATGCCGCCCTCTCCCTGTTCACGCTTCGGGTCAGCACTGACAAGGAGGAACGTCGAACTTGACGCACCTGGATAGGCTCAAGGATGACACCGCACGTCTTCTCCGTCACGACCTGGTTGATGCTGTCGATGTCGTTCATCGTCGCAGGCACGAAGCCGGGGACGAGAGGCGCGAATGGCAGCTGGTACTTCGGCTGCCAAGTCGCCGACAACGCGCCCATCGACCGACCGTGGAAGCCGTCGCGGAACGAGACAATCTCGACCTTCTCGTCCGTAGGCGCAGCGACGCCCTTCTCGGCTCCCTGCGCATTCCGCATCGCCGAGACGTGCTTGCCGTATTTGCGGATGAACTTGAGCGCGCCCTCGTTCGACTCGGTGCCCGAGTTGGTGAAGAAGACCTTCAAGCCGCCATCCTCCGCCTTGCCGTTCGCCTCTGCCTGTCCAGCCGGATATCCCAGTCCACCGAACTCCTTCGTCTTCTGCACCAGCAAGTGCGCCAACTCTCCCGACCACTCGTTGTGCCACAGGTTGGCGACGTGCACGAGCTTCCTGCTCTGGTCCTGCAAGACCTTGGCGACGCCCTCATCGGCGTGCCCGAGAGCGTTGACTGCGATTCCTCCGCTAAAGTCGAGGTACTCGCGATCGTGCGAGTCCCAGAGCTTGAGGCCCTTGCCGCGAGTGAGGATGAAGGGAGGGCGGGCGTAGGTGTTGAGGGTCACGGAGGCGTGCTTTGCGAGCTTTGCCTTGACATCGGCAGGGATGGAGTCGTCGAGGTGGGTCGGCTCGAGGTAGTCGGTGCAGGCCTTGGCGCTCGCCTGGGTTCGAGCAGACGTCGCAAAGGCTGTATCGCACGGGTCAATAAGGCCATCCTGGCGCGAGATGGCGAGGAAGGGCGCACCTCTGCCTTTGACTGCTGATGAGAATGGCCCAGGGCGAGCAGCGGCGACGGCGCCACGAGCGGACAAGCGGGACAGCATGGGAGACCAAGTAGCTTCTACAGAGCCCAGCAATGACCCTCAGCAGCGGTCTGGAGGGTTGATGGCGAGTGGAAAGCCCCCAACTTGTGAACTCGCCGCTCTCGCTCCCTCGCACGGCTGGCTGCTCGAACTTCGCTGCAAGAATGGCTGACGCGAAGTTGTTCCAGCGAAATAAGCTGCAGGAGTGCGTCATACGTTCTCGCCAGACCGTACGAGCGTGTACACGGCGGACGAGGCAATGTGGGGTCGATGCGGTGGACGAGGGCGAGCTGACCTCTCGTGAACGTGCTGGACAGGCTGAGGGCAGAGTTGCAGGCAGACAAGAAGGACAAGAACTTCAGCCGGCGCAAGACGGTGCTCAAGCGGGTGGTGCGTCCTCTTCCTCTCCTCTGACCTCGGCACCCTCGCTAACGCCCTGTGCGCGGTGACAGGTCGCGAGCATGACGATGGGACAGGTGCGTACTGCTGTACGTGTCACGGACATCACCGCTGACCGACTGGCCGCCTCGCAGGATATGTCGCCGCTGTACCCCGACGTCCTCGCCTGCCTCTCAATCCAGGTCCTCGAGATCAAGAAGATGGTCTACCTCTTCCTGGTCAACTACTCGCGCGTGAAGCCCGAAATGGTCAAGCACGCCCTGCCAGGGCTACTGTCGGTGAGTCGAACCCTCTTCGCTCGCTTCTCGAAGGCAACCAGGCTGAACCGCCGTCCACAGGACGCCAACGACTCCAACGCACTCATCCGCGCTCTCGCTCTCCGCACAATGTCCTACATCCCCGTCCACGAGGTCCTGCAGGCCCTTGTCGAACCCTTGCGGCATTGTCTGAAGGACCGAGATCCCTACGTCCGCAAGACGGCCGCCATCTGCGTCGCCAAGATGTACATGCACGACCGGCGGATCGTCGAGCGCGAGAAGTTTGTCACGGCTCTGCGAGACCTGCTCATGGACCCAAACCCGACCGTCATCGCCAACGCTATCGCAGCGCTCACCGAGATCAGCGAGCGAAGTGACAACATTCACCTCCGGCTCAACTCGGAGATCACACGGCGACTGGTTCAGGCGATGGGTGAGGCATCCGAGTGCGTTCCGCTGGCCTGCTCTGAACGAGCTTATCTAACCGCCCCCCGTCGGCAGATGGGGCCAGACCTACATCCTCGAATCGCTCATGTACTATGTCCCCGAGGAACACGAAGACGCCGAACTCCTCGCCGAGCAGATATCGATCCGACTACAGCACTCGAACTCGGCTGTCGTCCTCGCGACTGTCAAGGTCATCCTCTACCTCATGAACTACATGGGAAGCGAGCAGGCGGTGGACGACATGTGCCGGCGACTGAGTCCTCCTCTTGGTGAGTGCCGAGTCACTTCGCAGCGGGGTCCTCGATTCTCACCAGCTCAGCTACATAGTCACGCTCCTCTCCTCCGGTCCCGAGGTGCAGTATGTCGCATTGCGAAACATTCACCTCATCATCCAGCGACGACCATCCGTCCTCCGCAACGAAGTCAAGGTCTTCTTCTGCAAATACAACGACCCGATCTACGTCAAGCTCGCCAAGCTCGAGATCATCTACCGGTTAGCGAAACCGAAGAACGTCGAGCAGGTCTTGGCAGAGCTCAAAGAGTGCGTCCATTTTCTCCACTGTTCTGTGCAATCTACTCACGCCAGTACTGCGCAGATACGCCTCGGAGGTCGATGTCGAGTTCGTGCGGAAGTCCGTCCGGACAATCGGCCGACTCGCCATCAAGATCTCCTCAGCCGCCGACTTATGCATCTCCGTCCTGCTCCAGCTCGTCAAGACCAAGGTCAGCTACGTCGTACAGGAGGCGATCGTCGTCATCAAGGACATCTTCCGGCGGTATCCGAACCAGTACGAGGGCATCATCGGGACGCTGTGCGAGAACCTCGACGCGCTTGACACGCCCGACGCGAAGGCGGCGATGATCTGGATTGTTGGACAGTACGCGGATCGGATTGAGAACTCGGACGAGCTGCTCGATGATTTCCTCGTCACGTTTTTGGAGGAGCCGGTCGAGGTGAGTCCACCTCTCGTTCACCTGAGCTCATCCAGCTGACCTTGTGCCCTTAGGTCCAACTTGCGCTGCTGACGGCGACGGTCAAGTTGTTCATCAAGCGACCTACGGCGGGACAAGAGCTCGTCCCAAAGGTGCTGAAGTGGGCGACCGAGGAGGTCGACAACCCCGACTTGCGCGACCGCGGCTTCATCTACTGGCGCATGCTCTCGACCGACCCAGCAGCAGCGACCGACGTCGTTCTCGCCGACAAGCCGACCATCTCGACCGAATCCGAGGCAATGGACCGAGGGCTGCTCGACCGCCTCCTCCTGCATACCGGCACTCTCGCATCGATTTACCAGAAGGAGGCCGTCAGCTTCGTACGCGGCGCACGACCGAAGTACCTGCAGGACTCGCCCGCGCTCAGCCAGGAGGCGAAGGACAGCTACCTCGAGGCCCTGCGATTGCCGTCCATGCCGAAGGTCTCGGCGGCCACCGGTGGCGATGCGCCGAGCCTGCCCCCTCGGCCGTCTGCAACACGGCAAGAATCGAGCGACGCGATTGGCGGCGACGAGTACGGGATGGGAGCACCTCGACCTGCGGCCGGCGCAGGTTTGCTCGACGAGGTGGACGAGGACGACGAAGAGGAAGGTGCGGCGCTCAACCCGGCTTCTGCGTCGTCGAGCGCCGACGATGTGCCGGCAGGCGGGTCAGGCGCGGCAGGAGGAACGCCTGCAGACGACGGTCCCGACGACCCGCTCGACCCGTACGCGAGTCTGGCGAGGATGTCGCTCGACGGGTTCGGGACCTCGGGGATCGCAGGCGGCGGCAGGGCCGGAGATGCGGACGAGTATGGGTATTCGGGGCCTCAGCCGGTGAACGGCGGGAGGAACGACCTTTTGCTGTAACTACGCCTTCGCGGCGGGTGCTTTGCAACTCTGCGCGTCGTTGTTGACGCCAATGCGCGAACCTGCTTCCGTAGAGAGTCTGGCGGTGTCTCCTCCTCGCCCTCTTCCTCCTGCACTTCACCCTTGAACCGCTGTCTCCCCTCTTCTCGCTTTGGCTGCGCTCGTACGACACTGGATGGACGCAATCAGGGCGACTACGGTGCGCTCTTCCCGCCAGCTGCCGCGAGCACTCCTCCCGCTCCCTCCTCGCCGCGTCCGAGGGGATCGCTCATCACGGGCGTGCGAGACCAGCTTGTGGCCTTTCGCAGGACTGACAGGATGCTTTCATTCCCTGCAGGTCCCTTCGGTTCGCTTCTCGCGCCGGCATGGCTCTCTATCCTCCTCACCCTCGTCAGCCCCACTCTCTTCGCCGACACCTGGCTCGCTCCACCTCACGACGAACCACCTGATCTTTCAGCATAAGCGCGATGGTGGGCGGACTACGGACAGCGGACCGAGCCCGTCACAAGAGGCGGAGGCTTCGAATGGATCGCAAGTCTCGTCGAAGCAGGACGACGAGGTTTGGGTAAGCAGGCGTTTCCGGCGCTGAGACGAGGTCTACGCTCTTGCAGGATCAATCAAGCTGATTAGACTATCTCGCAGGTCCCCCTCTCGATCTTGCACTCCGTCACTCGCTCTCCGCCCTCCTTCACCGGCGAGCCCTCCCCTCTCGTCCTCCGCACGCGGTTATACGAGACCATCGAGCTCGTCTTCGACTCTCTCGACGAGGCAGACGCTGTGTGGGACAGCCTGAAGGGTTTGTGCGGATCCTTCTCGGCAGGCGGGCTGGAGAACCGATATGCGTTCTTCTGCAATGATGCGGGCAAGGCGGACAGGAAGGGGAAGGGAAAGGCGAGCTGGGACATCTACAGTGCCGAGGAAGAGTTTGCGCGAATGGGATTGGGGACGAGGAGCAAGGCGTGGCGGTTCACCGACATCAACGCCGACTTCCAGGTGAGCCCGCTTATCTCAAGCCTTCAGCCGTTGCTGACTCGCTACGTCGCCAGTTCTGCCCATCGTACCCGGCCAAGATCGTTGTCCCCGCCAAGATCTCCGACACGACCCTCTCGTACGCCGTCAAGTACCGCAGCAAGAGCCGTATACCAGGTCTCGTCTATCTGCACTGGGCCAATCTGGTGCGCATCCTTCCTCTTGCTACATACATCCACTAGCTCACACCGACTTCCGCAGGGCTCGATCACACGCTCGTCCCAGCCCATGGTCGGCATCACCCAGAACGCCCGCTCGATCCAGGACGAAAAGCTCATCGAGGCCATCTTCTCCTCGCACTCTCAGCACTCGCACAAGTTCCAGCCCATGTCCCTCGGCGACCCGCTTTCCTCGTCCTCCTCTCTCGACCTCGCGTCAAGCGGTCAAGTCGTGTACGGCGCGACCGCGACGAACGTCATCATCGACGCCCGCCCGACCAAGAACGCCTACGCCAACTCCGTCAAGGGCGCAGGGACGGAGAACATGCTTTACTACAAGAACTGCAAGAAGGAGTACCTCGGCATCGACAACATCCACGTTATGCGGTCTAGCCTCAACGGCGTCTTTGATGGTGTGTCCCGCGCCTCTCTCTCGTTGGCTAAACAGCTGACCCTTCGATGCACAGCGCTCGCCGATGCCGAAGCTTCTGGTCGCCTCGACCGCTCAGCACTTCGCCGCACGAACTGGCTCTCGCACCTCACCAACATCCTCGAAGGCGTCCTTATCGTGCTCCGCACCGTTCACCTCTACAACTCGCATGTACTCGTCCACTGCTCCGACGGATGGGACCGCACCTCGCAACTCTCGGCTCTCCCGCAGCTCTGCCTTGACCCTTACTTCCGGACCGCACGCGGCTTCGCCGTCCTGATCGAGAAGGACTGGATCTCGTACGGCCATCGCTTCGCCGACCGTTCAGGTCACCTCTGCAATGACCGAGTCGACTTTGTCCAGAAGTCGGGCGCCGACGTCTCGACTCAGCAAGCCTTCCTCGCCTCCGTCACTCGGCAGTTCGCATCCTCTTCGCACGCCTTCAAGGAAACCTGCCCAGTCTTCCAACAATTCCTCGACTGCGTCTACCAGATCCAGCGGCAGTTCCCGGACCGCTTCGAGTGGAACGAGCAGCTCCTGCGGCACCTCGTCCACGAGACGTACGCGGGCGCGACGGGCTCGTTCCTCTTCAATTCGGAGAAGGATCGCGCCGACCTGCGCGCACGGACGAGGACGAGGAGCGTGTGGGGGACGGTCTTCGACGTCGACGAGGCGGGCGAACTCAAGCTCAAAGCGGAGTTCCGCAACCCCGACTACAATCCTTCTCTCGACAATCCCGACTCGAAGGCGCACGACGCAGATCAGGGTGTCCTCCTTTTCGACCCGCAGAACGTTAGGTGGTGGTTCGAGCTGTTCGGTCGGTCCGACGACGAGATGAACGGGCGACCGTTTGCGAATGACCCCGGCGCCGCGCCGATCGAACCGACCGTTACCGAGTTCAAGGTTGTCGAGTCGCCTGAAGACGACCCAATGACGAACGGCCTCATCGCGCAAGCCGGCTCGCTCGTCCTTTCCGACTCGCCCGCCTCCCCCGTAACCTCCCCCTCCAATCTCGCAGCCCCTCTGCCTCCGTCACGTTCCTCTTCTCCCGCCGCCTCGCGCCAAGAAGCGATCCTCTCGCAGCAGCAGCTGTCCGAGACGGTCGCCTCGGTGCAGAAGCTCGGCTGGTCGGCGTGGAAGAGCGTGCGGAAGTTCGGCGAGGATGCGGCACGTCAGCTACAGGAGCAGCAGGCGAAGCGAGCAGCCGCGGCGGCTGCGGAGGAGGCGGAGCGACGAGAGAGCGGGTACGCAGCGGACGAGCGAGCAGCGCGGGATGCAGGTGGCGGGGGAATGTGGAGCAAGCTGTCGACGAGCAATCCCTGGGCGCCTGCGGCAAACGACGAAGCACCGGCTACAACCTCTGCTCCCGCCTACAAACCGTATCAGCCTCGGCACACGCCGAACTCCTTTGCTTCGACTCTTTCTGGGACCGAACCTTCTGTCCCAACACCCGCTTCAGCACCCTCGTTTCCTCAGCGCACTCAGCGACAACCCAGCAGCACGCTCTCGATCAACCCGTGGGAGACGGTCTCGCGCGAAGAGGCGAGTTTGCCTGACCCCGCCGGACCGACTGGTCGTCCCAAGGTGCAGAGCGAGGCGGAAGGACGAAGCGGTGATCCATTGGGCGTAGGATTGGCATGAGCGTGGGTGGCAATGCAGGCGACGCTCGCACCTCTCGGCATCCGCGCAAGTCCGAGGATGCTGGCGCCTCCTCCCGGCCTCGCTCCTCTTATCTCTCCCTCCTACACCTCTCTTATGGCTTCGGCGGCGACGAGTGTGACCTTGAACGACGCGGACAGCAGGATCCAGTACTCTACCGGCTGGGCAACCTACATCAAGGACCAAGGCGGTTCGTTCCTTCTCTCCTGTCGGCTCGAGCGAGGCTGACAGCCCTTCGCTCAAGGCATGAATGCGACGGCATGGTTCGGCAGCGACTTCCACTCCTGCGCCGCCGACAATCCCTTCTACACTGCGCCTGCTTGCAACGCTACCTTCTCCTTCACCGGCCGGGAAGTTACACTTGTCGGCGACTTCAACCCGAGCCAGCAACGCTTCTACGTTATTCTCGACGATGCCCTCCCTTGGCGGTGGTACAACGCGTCGGCGCTGGCGCCGAACATCCCGGTTCGCACTCCCGCTCTCAACTACAACCGCGTTCAGATTCGCGGTCTTCCCTATGGCGCGCACAAGATCACCTTCGGCCAGGATCGCAGCGACGTGATGGCCAACGGTATTACGCTGGACTCGGTGAACTACAACACGAACACGTCGGAGGAATCTCCAGTCTGGACGAGCGACTTCATCCCAGCCAAGCCCAATCCCGCCTACATGTACTCGACGCAAACTGTGGCGAATCCGACACCAAGCGCGACATCGTCTTCCATCACGAGCGCGATCTCATCCACGACATCGTCAGCCGCACCATCCGCGACAAGCCAGCCTTCGCACTCGTCCTCGAACACCGTCGCACTCGGTGCGGGCCTCGGCGCAGGCTTGGGCGTCGCAGCGATCCTCGCACTGACGGCGCTGCTGTTCTTCGTAAGGCGGAGACGGTCGAGCGGGACTTCGGTCGATTCAAAGTCCTACGTTTCGAACGGACTGGACGTTCATGGCGCTGCTCGAAGCGACTGGGGCGGTACCCAGCATGTTCCCTCGCCTAGCACGTATGGTGCGCTCAATCCATTACTCGAACCTTTCCGCAGAGCTGCGCTGACAAGTCCCGTCTAACTTCGCTCCAGCTCCCTCCGCCGGCATTCCCGAAGTCCAGGAGCAGGCGCATTCGCCTCTCTCGGCACAAGGCAACTCGCCATACTACTCATCGCGATCGCAGAAGAACCTCTCGGTGGAAGGTCTCGACAGCCCCCTCACTTTCACCGCGCGAGGTCAACTCTAAGGACGCTTTCTCTTCCCTCAAGTCCTACTTCTCTATCTCTTCATTTCCTGCTGTGCAGGGGCATGCCGCAATGGATATAATGCAGTCGTGACTGATATGCGATGAATACGGCGCTCCGCCGATTAAGCTTCGTCATCCGAATCCTCGTTCGCCGTGACGAGACGCGCGTACTCCAAGCACAGACGGAATACGTAAGCCTGCAAACAGCGCGGTGTCAGCGGAAGAAATCAAGAAGGCGCAGCGAGCGAGAAACGCACTTCCATGTCCTCCTTCCGCAAATGCCGCTGCTTCCACGCCGCACCAGCTTCTGCGATCTCCTTCAGCGCCTTGTCCGTGTCGAACGGCGTCCCATCGCCGTTGTCGGGGAGCTCGGGGAGAGGCGAAGGGCGTGTGAGGACGGTCGGAGCAATGGCGGAGTGGTTGCCCCGCTTGCCGACGAGCGAGGTAGGGTAGCCTTCGAAAAAGGTCTGGATGTTGTGCAGCTCGGAATAGGACGACGAGAGCGGGATGTAGTGTTTCCTGCAAGTCGAGAAGGTCAGTGGTCTGTGAGAACTGAGCAAAAGAGAGGAAAAGCGAGGCGCACCAAGGCTGCGCCCATCCTCGCCAAAACTCGCGCTGGATACTGCTCTTGACAACCGCGCTCTTGCTCTCCATCAAGGCCGGGAACCTCGGCGAGAAGCCAATCTCGTCGATGTCGAGCACGAACTTGTGCTTCCACGCCTCGCTCATCGGCGCAGGCGGCTCGACGCGGTAACCGAGTGAGCGGAGGTACGAGCACTCGCCGAGTGAGGGGTCGCAAGCCATGGCGACGTCCGACGTGGCCTTGTTGGCGATAGCGATCGGGACAGACAGCGCCGTGATGGACGCCGTCTTGGGCTCGAAGCCGACGAGAACGCGATTTGTCGCCATCGTCTCCTGGTTAGCCATCTTGACGAGCCGCTGCTTCTGGAACGACGAGCCATGACCGGGCGGAGTGTCGGCTCCGCGAGTGACTTTGCCTCGCCAGTACGACGTGTTCTTCTTGAGCGCCCAGTCGATGTCGGTTGGACTCTTGGTCAAGCCGCGGCGGAACTCGGCTTCGTAGGTAAACTCGGACAAGGGCGACCAGTAGTGGTGGGACGGAATGAGGATGTCGGCGAAACCAGCCGGCTTGGAAGGCGAGAAGACGGGGTAGAGGTATTCGATGCTGCGCTGGTCCGAATAGAACGCCGAGTGGAGCGTGTGAAGAGTGGGGTAGTCGCAGACGTTGAAGTCGGCGTCGAGCGCGTGGCTGAAGGTCATCTCACGAGTCGAGGGGAGGACCGTCTTTGACTTGACGCGGCGAGTCTGGGGCGCCTCGAGCTTCGACGTCGCGCGGCCCTGGACGACGAGCGCGCCGTTTGACTCGGCGGACCTGACCGTCTCGATCAAGCGGCGGGCGGCAGAGTCGGTCGGGCACGAGCGGCGGTACGCCTCCCAGACGGAACCGTCCCGCTTCCACTCGGGCGTGAAGTTCTTGATGATGGGCTTGATCATTGGGTCGGTCATGTCTGCGAGAAAAGCTGTCAGTCTCGGGATTCTTGTACAGCAAACTCGCACGCGGACGCACTGATTGGCGGCTCGTCTCCCTCGAGGCCGTAGTCTGACTGGTACACCTTCTTCTGCCTCCTCGGCAAGACTCGCCCCTCAGGCTTCTCGTTGATGGCGATGTCCATGTCGGGCAAGTCGCGCACGAACGCTCCAATCATCTGCTGGAACGCATGCGCGGGCGCCCACTTCCCGCTCTTCGAGTGCACCTGCGCGACGCCGCTGCGGATCGAGACGATCGAGATGCCGGGCACTTGAGCGAGTTCAGCGGTTCGGCGACGGATCTCTTGAGGCGTGAGCGAGCGGAACGGCTGGAGGTCCTCCATGAGCTGGTCGTACTCGTCAACGAGCGAGTGGTTCCGCCCTTGAGTTGCGAAAGCGAACCATTTGTCGAAGCCGGGAGGAGGCGACATGCCGTACCGGGCCTTGTAGGTTCGGGTCGCGCGGTCGAAGGTGAGCGATTGCGACGAGACCTTCTTGTCCCACTTGGCGCGGGCTTCGGTGAGGAGGGGGACGATGGGATGAGGCGCGGAAGGGCCTTCGACTGTCGCGAGGAAGCTCCGTACGGGCGACGGCATGAATGAGGCAACTTTCGCGGCGTGGTGCTGGGGGATGAAGGAGAGTCGTACGAGGAGGACGATGAAGAAGAGGATGCCGAACATGCCCAGGAGGAGCTTGACGAGCGTGTCGAGTGGCGAAGTCGCCCGCTTGCCCTTCCTCTCCTCGTCGTCGAACCCGCTGCGTCTGAGCAGAGTGTCCCCCTCGCCCGCCGATGCACCGTAGCCCTGCCCGCCGTATCCGCCATACTTTTCGCTCCCTGGAGGAGGAAAGTGCGCCTTTCTTTCGGCATCAGGAGAGGGAGGAGGCGAGATGATGGGTGTGGTGGAGAGGTTAACGGGGATGGCAGAGTGGTCGGTTCGAAGGGCTGCGGGCGTGTAGGCTGACGTCGAGGCGTACGCTGGCGAGTCTGGAGGCGCAGGAAGGCCGTCCTTCTGCGCGCTCATCGTTGCGACGGCGTGCAGTCACGTCTGCGAGGTCGCGAGTGATGAGGCTGGATGGGTTGCGAGATGGAGGTGGCGGCGCGGTGTGGGTGTACGTGGGCGACGTCAGGTGTACTCTAGCAAGTCTTCGAGGCTGTCCAGTCTTTGTCAAGCAAGAAGAGAGCGTTTGAGGAGAGAGACGAGGTGTTCAAGCGAGGCGAGTCTCGACGCGGCTCTGGAAAGCAGCGGGCGGCTTGACAATCTTGCTTGCAGGGGAGTCGAGATTGACAACAAGTCTACAGTACGCAGACGCCTTGTCTGGACAACGCGATGCATCAGTGGGAGGAAGGATCCGCCGGAATTGTCGACCCGACTCCCGCCCGCGTCCGCGAAGACGGTCTGTGTGTCATCAAGGGGTGTTGCACCTGGGTCAGAGATGTGTGTCAACAAAGCAATATCCACCTCGGTATGAATGGGCCGGAGAATCGAAGGACCAGGAGGAAAGCGAGGTCCAGAGAGCGCAGAAGCAGGAGAACAGCGACATTGACAGGCGCTTTCGACGCGGGTCATGCCGCAAAGGCTCTGCAAGCAAGTCTCTTGTATACAGCAGCCTCGATCAGCGGGTCTGACGAGACGGAGTGTTGGAAGAGAGGGTGAATGTCCCGTCCTGCGTTTCCTGCGCCCGCCCACACACGTAGAGCTCCGGGCATGTCGTGCTAGGGCACTCAGCGCGTCACAAGTCCCCAACAGAACGACGGCAAGCCTGCCAGACGTGCGTTTCGTTGTTCCCACCCTTCCCGGACCTCGAAGTGATGAAATGAGAGCGGGAGGTGGGCGGCATTCGGCGGGTCGCTGAGCGCGTCGGTCGAGTTGTGAGCATCTCAAAGCACGACAGTAACGAAGGCAGCCCCAGTCGAGCGGTGAGACGACAGCCAGCGAGCGGTTGGAGCCAGAGAGAGGTTCGCCTCCTCCCGACGCCTGCCATCCGCCACAATGGCTGCTGCTGCGCCTTCTGGCGGCTCGTTCCTCCCAAGCCACTCGTCGTCGCCATCTCTGCCGTCCAGACCTTCGCTCGAGCGGAAGAGCAATGTGGACGGGAAGGATGCGAGGACGCTGCTGAATGGCGGACCGATGGCGCCTGTGAGCGAAGGGCGGACGCGGCGAACGATCGTGCCGGTGTGGATGATTGTGCTCGGGTGGATAGCGCTGTCGGCGGTGGTCATCTTGATGAGTGAGTCTCCGTTCTCCTCCTCGACGATCACCGGAAACCCGTAGCACGCCAACATTCGATCTTTCGCGTCCCGTGTCTCGACAGAGCTGACGAACGATTCTCTTGTGCAGACCGGGACATCCTCGTTGAGAAGCACTTCGACCACCCTGTTACCCTCACGACCCTCCATCTCATCTTCCAGACTTGCGGTGCGCTGCCGCTTCCTCTTCAAAACAAGAAAAAGCGTTCAACTGACGTTGAATCTCTCATCAGCCACGCGCCTGCTGCATCGCTTCACGACGCTCATCTCGGGACCACCGCCTGCGGAAGAGTACGCCGCAGTCCCGCTCACAGACCCGTCGGAACCTCCCGAGGACGGTAACGAGGAGCATGCGGCGTTGGGGAAGAGTGCGCAGCTTGAGCGGTGGAAGCGGAAGAGCGTCGAGATGGATTGGGACACCTGGAGGCGGCAAATGTGCGTGATTCCCTTCCACAGCTTCTTTCGCTCACTGACACGCCTTCGTCCGCAGCCTTCCCATCGCCCTCCTTTTCTCCCTCTCGCTCGTCCTCTCCAATGCCGCCTACTTGTACTGCTCAGTCGCCTTCATCCACATCCTCAAGTCCTTCGCACCCGTCGCCATCCTCCTCGCCGCCTTCGCCTTCCGAACAAAGGCCGTCTCGCTCCGCCTCTTCGGCATTGTCGTCATGATCTCGGCGGGAGTAGGAATTGCCAGCTACGGCGAAGTTGACTTCAGCCTCATCGGCTTCTCAATCCAGGTGCGTGCGACCGTTACCGTGCGAGAAGTCCCACTCATACCTTCGTCCGCAGATGGTCGCCATCGCCATCGAAGCAACCCGTGTCACCCTGATTCAAATTCTCCTCAACCCTTCCTCCGCCGCAACGACTGCCTCGCCCGACTCGCGTCCTCCCGCCCCGGCCATCGCGGCTGGCATGTCACCCCTCAAGTCGCTGTATTTCTTCGCCCCAGCCGGCCTCGCCATCAACATCTTCTTCCTCCTCGTCCTCGAGGGCTTGCCAGCGATTCGAGCAATCCACAAACTCGGCGCATGGACGATCCTCTCGAACGCCAGCTTGACGTTCGCCCTCAATCTCTCGGCTGTCATGCTCATTGGCGTGAGCGCGATGGTGCTGAGTCTCAGCAAGATCATCAAGGACATCTTGATGGTTGTTGGGCCGGTCCTGCTGATGGGCGAGAACGTGGGTCTTCCCGCTTCCCACCCCTGGAACGAAGGCTGACCTGTGCGCGCACAGCTCACGCTCATGCAATTTGTCGGTTACGCGGTTGCGACGGTGGGAATGGTCGTGTACAAGTTCAGTGCGTCCCGACTCGCTGAGTTGTCCGCTTTCTCCCAGCTGACTTCCGCTCACTCGCCAGCGCCCAACTGAGCTCCGCGCTGGAAGGATGTCATAGACGGGTGTTATAGGAGTCGGTATGCAGTGCTCTCGATGTTTTGGCTGTTGTAGAGCATCTAGATGGGGCAAGACAGACACTTTCCACGCTTTGTACGGCTCGATTCGCGGCTCCGAGTCTAAGGCCTCCGCTTCGCAACATAGTACGCCAACAAGTTCTGCTGGTCCGGCTCAAGTCCTCCGATGAGCTCGGCGAGTTTGCCGTCCTGACCTGAAGCCGACGGGTCGAGCGCGACTTGCGCCGAGACGAGCGCCATGATGGCGGCGCGGCGGAGGTCGGCCGACTTGGCATCGTTCAAGGCCTGCAACTCGGGAGCCGGTTAGCGCGAAGATCTCTAGAAGCGGGAAGCGGGAGTGGACGAACCCGCTTGAGCAAGTCGGCCGACTGTGGCAAGACGTCTTCAAGAACCGCGCCAGGCAGTTGCTCGAAGAAACCGCCCATCAAGCGGAGGCCGAGGGCGAACGATCGTGCGAGAGCGTCGGAAGCGGAAGTCGTCGAGGCGGAGGACAGATAGGCGGAGAGGGAGGGAGTGAGGGCGCCGAGGCCGTAGAGCGGCTCGAGACGAGAGGTGAACGAATGGGCGATCGCTTCGGTAGCGGCGACAGACTACGAAGGTAGAGGTCAGCACGGTGCGATGCAAAATGGCAAAGAGAGAGAACAACTCGCCGAGCGAGATGGATCCTCGCGCAGCTTGAAGAGCAGGTCGAAAAGGTCGGCCTCGGAGCCGGTGAAGCAGGGCGACTGGTTCTCAACCAGGTCCTTGAGCAGAAGGAGCGCGGCGTCGCGGGTCATGCCGGCCTGCACGAGGAGTTGGTGCGCTGAGCGGCTGGAGAGGAAGTCACGAAAGCGTACCTCGGGAGCATCAGTTCGCAGCAGGAGTGCCTTGACCCCCTCGTAGACCTTGTCGAAGCGCCTGTCGCCCTGCCAGAACTCGTTCGTCGTGATCTTGTCACCCTCGCCAACGTCTCGCCCGTTCGTCTTGCTCGGTGTCGGAGGGTCCGCTCTGCGGACTCCCTCGTCCTCGTTCTCCCGCACCGGTCGCTCCTTCGCCAAGCTTGATAGCTTCCGCAAGGACGTCGCATCGATCGACAAGTCCCGCAGAGACGTAAGCAAGCCGTCGATCTCAGCCTGCTTTTCCGGCGAGTCTGGCGCAAACGGCGGAGGCGGCGCCAGCGCCTCTGTCCGCTGCACCCACCAGCTACCGCGACTCGGCCCCGCACCGCTTCCGTCGCGTGGATCCGGACTGTCCTGCAAGACCGCTTGAGGTCGCGCCAGTCGCCGTACCGCGGGATTCGCCGGCGTCTGCATCGCCGCAGTCGGCAGAGTACGGTTAAGTTGCGGTGTTCGAGCAACAGCATCGTCCCTTGCCGAGGGAAGGAAGGCTTCCTCCTCGTCCTGCGCGATTTCGAGCAGTCGCTGCGCCGCTTGCTCAGCCTGCATTGCTTGATCTCGCAATGCCTCGTCGACGGGTTCGGAGACGGCGCTGCTATGCGCTACGCGCATGGAGGAACGATTCGGAGTACCGTGTGCGAGGTTGTTGGCGGATCGGAAGGAAGGCGAGACTGGCGGGCGAGTGGGCGTTCGGAGGATAGACGGGCCGGGAAAGGAGCGAGCGGGAGAGAGCGCTGGGCGAGATGGTGACAACTCTGGGGTGAGGGTCGACAAGACACGTCGTGGTCGTTCAGGCGTCTGGGCTTGTTCCGCCTCCGCCTGCTCCTCCTTCTCCGCCGCTGCCTTCTGCCGTCTCGCCGCGATCATCATCTCCCGAACGCTCGGCTTCTTTGAGCCCCCTGCTTGACCCGTCGCAGTGCTCGCGGACGGTCTCGCCTCGACCGGCGAGTCCAGCTTAGGCGCATCTCCAGCCGGCCGCACCTTGTCGAGCAGTTTCCTCGCGGCGGCATCAACCGAAGCCGCAATGAGAGCTGCCCGGTCCGGCCAGACTCGCTCAAACTCCCAGAAGGCCGTGCGACTCGTCTCCCGGACCTGCGGGTTCGCGTCTGCCAGCCCCTTCTGAAGGGCCGTCTCGAGGTCGGCAAGACCGCCAGTGTGCTCTATCGCACTTTTCGAAGGCCGGGCGTAACAGCGAATGACGGTCAGGACATGCTGGGCGGCGAACTGGCGGGCTGAGGCGGTCCTTTCGGCGAGGGTGAGGAGGATGAGCTGAAGCGTGCGATGGTGGTAGGTCGAGTGCTGAAGAAGGGTCGTGACGGTATTCTGCGACGCCGCGGCGACGATCTTCTTCGTCTGACCGGCGACGGAGAGGCAGTGCGAAAGGAAGCCGTCGAAAAGCGGTTCGAAGAGGTCGGCTGGCAGTCCGTGGGCGAGTTCGGACATCAAGGTGAGGGCGGAGATGGCGAGCGTCGTGCGAAGGGACGACGACTGCGAAAGAGGGGGTCAGCGAGATCACTGATTGTAGGTGGATGACTGCAACTCACGACTTTGATGATGCCGTCCTGCGCCTCTCGAACGCACTGTGCAAAAACGCCTCGCAACTCTCCCTTCGCTACGCCGCCGAGCAGCATTCCCCGTATCCGCGCGATGCTGCGGTCCCGCACCGTCCAATTCTGCTCGGTTTCTTTACCCTCGAAGCCCGACTTCATCGCCTCAAACTCGGCGAGCAGGTCACGCTCCGAAGCGATGTAGACCGGCAAGAGTTCGGCGGAAGATGGCGTGTGTACGTTCGCTGTGTCGGGGGGAAAGGCGGCGGAGGGCAGGGAGGATAGCAAGGAGGGGGGTTGCCGTGTCGAGCTGGACGACTGGGCGACTGCGGCGGCTCGCGAGCGAGTCATCCGAGTTGGAGGCGCTGTATCGGACGTCGCTGGTGCGGACGATTCGCTTCGTGCGCCTGAGCTCGTCAAGCTGCCTTGGCTCGGACTGCGTTCCATCGCAGGAGTCGATCCGCCCAAAACCGCCGTCAAGATCTGCTCCTGCACGCGCTTCGACACTTCCATCTTCGCCATCGCCTTCTTGAGATCGGCTTTCGCCGCTGAGCTGACGGAGGGGTGGGTGAAGACGGCAATGCAGGTGTGCAGGGCGAGCGAGCGAACGGTCGAGTCGGAGTCGGAAAGAAGCGGCAAGAGAAGGGGCGTGAAGGGGCGGAGCGGAGGCAGTGGAAGGCTAGATTCGGGCGCGGGACATCGGATGGCGGCAAGGAAATGCAAAGCCTGCGGTAAGAAGCATCAGACGGCGAGAGGCTGTGGATCGAGGAAGCGTCAAACTCGCCTGCTCCCGCGCCTTCGCATTCTTGCTTTGAAAGCCATACTCTTGCACGCCTCGCTCAACGAGCTGCCAAGGGCCCTCCTTGTCCTTCGAAGCGCCTGTACCAGCTGCGACGCCCAGTCTCAAACTCGCCTTTCCCGCGCTGATCACGCTCTCGCGGGCCAGTTCGCGAGTCGCGGTCTTCGCATCGCCGAGCTTGTCGAGCGGGAGAAGAAGGGTGAAGACGCTTTTGAGCGTGTGCGCGAGCGAATTCACGGTCGAGGTGGAAGAACGGGTCGCGTCAAAGTCGGCGGGCACGAGCAAGGGGAACAAGGATGGAAGACAGGCGAGGGCGGCATTCGAGACGTGCGAGTTGTTCGACTTGAGCGATTGCCGGACAAGCTGGGCGAGCTGTTCAGGTTCTGCGACCTGTTCGAGCGAGAAGTGAGGTCAGCGAGACAGACTCTAGGTCGGGATGGACAAGGGTTGGCGCACCTCTTCGGCATGACTGAGCTCCTCAGCTAGCCGGTGCAATGCCTGTATCCGCCTGTCGTTGTCTGTGGGCGTCGAAAGTCGCGAGGTTCAGTGAGCGGTGTGGGGTCGAAGCGGGACGAGAGCGGCGCACCTTGGTGAACCAGGTCCGTCTCCAGCCGTGTCCAGTCCATATTCGTGCACTCAGCAAGCGCTCGCAAGCCAAGCAGCCGTTCAGCGGAGAGTCGAGCGAGCGGACAAGGACAAGGACGTAGGACGAGGTCTCCCTCGAACCGCTCACGTCGAACACTCGCTGGTCGGCTGAGCGCCCGCTAATAAGCTCAGGCAGTCCCCTCGAGTCTGCCACTGCTGCTCGTCGCGCCGCCGGAAGCTCGGCTCGACCCCTTCTCCTCGTCTCTTCCTCTCATCAGTTCAGGCTTGTGAGTCGGCTGCTCGCGCTCGTGGACTCGTTCTGCGCAAGCGAGCTACCAATGACATGGTATACTGACCTTTCGAACCCCATGCAGCCTTAACAGGCCAATCAGCACCGTATCGTCGGCTCGTCGGCGGCTGAGCGTACACTGGCTCACCGCGACAGCTGACCAAAGTGTCGTGCTGCTGCCCGACAGGCGCCTCAGCCTCACCTTCGCGCACATCGCCCCCTTCGCACTCTCATCAGTTCGCCGACCTTGCTCTCAGTTCTCCCCTTCTGGCAAAAGCTTCTCCGGCGGCTCAAGACTGGTCTCTGCGACTGCTAGTGACCCCGGCACTTCAGTATGTCGGTCAACCGCGAACGCGATCTCGACAAGCTGCCCCCAATCGCGGTCGACCCTAAGGAAATGCCGCCTCTGCTGCCTTATGGACTACAATTCAACCTACTCATGCCTACGCGCGATGTCTCCCTCACGGACGGACAATATCCCATTTGCGACGAGGCCGTTCCGTGGACTCTTCAACTCGAGCTGTGCTACCTTCAGTTCCACCCGACCACCTGGGATATCCTCAAGGAGGACGATCAAATCGATGAGCGGTACTACGATGCTCTACTCGATCTTTGCGCGAGACTGGGTGACTCGGTCTACGAGGGCGACCGGCATGTCAGGCTGCGCGAGGCACTCGTACGGGTGCTCTCTCGTCGCTTAAGAAGATGGGGCCGGCTATATGGTACGTTCGAGCTCCAGCCGCAGGCTTTCTCGACGGCGAGCGAGCCGAGAATCTGCTCACGCCCCGGTCTCTGTGCAGTCCTGCATCATGCGCGCGAGCAGTACTTCCGTCAGCAGCTCGCCCTGCATCCGACGTGGTCCGTCTCCGACGTTGTCATGTCGATACCGCTCTCGGAGGAGTATCCACCCGTGCAGCCCAAAGCCCCGATCTCCTCTCGTACGTTGACGGGCTCAGCCTGTCGAAGCCTTGTGGCTGCGTGGTAGCGGACCTTGCTGACTCGCCCTCCTCACACTCACAGTGTGGCCGCTTCCAATGCCCCATCCCGATGCCGCTTTTCAGCGGCAGCTCATCCAGGTCACGATCCGCAACTACGAACCGCACAGACTGTTCGACGTCGAGAGTGTCGCCTCCGAAGCGACCTATGAGCGACTATGGGGAACGACCACGAAGAAGAGCGACCGGCGGCCGTTGACAGCGTTCCAAGATCTCACCATCACCGAGTCCTCCGTTGCCGTCCCTGCCGCGGATTCCTTTCCCGTCGCTTCCTCAGCAACGGCAACCTGCTCTCGACGCCACCGAGACCGCAGCGACGACTGAGACGCCCTTACAGGACTCGTTTCATCGGAATACCGAGTTGTAATCCAGCGTTGGCGAGTGAGCGGCGCACCTTGGTGGACCAGGTCCGTCTCCAGCCGTGTTTAGTCGGTGGTTTCGCGTGGGGTTGCGCTAGCCCGTTTCCTTCGACCTTAGTGACCGTGATAAGACAGCTTGATTAAAGACGAGGGCCAGGAAGCTGTCGAGTCGCGGCAAAGTGAGGTCTCGGACTCGAAGAGAGGGTTCGTTAAGCAACACTCGCTCGAGTGAGCTGCTGTCTGCGATGGAGGCAGATCTGCCGCCTGCTTTGGCCGTGCAGCAACAGGTTGCACAGCTTCTCGCCGACTTCTCGCAGCCCGACGCCCTGTACGCCCCGTCCCGCACCTCATCGCACTCCCCCAGCTACCAGGTCACACCAGACGCACACACTCACACGGGGACCTCGCAGGACGGCGTCACTGGTTGCACTAGTCACCTCGACGGAGTCGGCGAGCTCGCTACTCCTCTCGACCGCGCTCAACCAGCTCATCGGATCCACCTTCTCCCTCGACGACTCTCGACCCGACCCTGCACGCATCGCTGCGTACCTGCACGACTCGCTCTTTGCGACAATCGGGCGTGGAGATGACGGCGAGTCGGACGAGAACAACTTGGAGCGGAAGGCGGCGCTGGCGGACGCGATTATCGACGTCGCATGGCAACTCGACCAGCAAGTCGACACGCAGGTCCCGCTGATGTGGCGACGGGCAAACCCGCCCGCACCTGTCGAGTCGTCGGCCAACCAGGAGCCAGCTGCGGAGAAGATGGAGGTTGATACGGCGGAACCGAAGGCGGACAACCTCGAGGCGGAGAGGACGAAGCAGATGGCTGCGGCAGTCGAGGAGGCGCGGCAAAGGCTTGCACAAATTGTCAAGCAGCTCGTCGTACGTGCCTCTTACGGTCGAAGCTGTCGCGTTTCGCCTGACGTTCTGCTCGCACAGCAATCCGGAGACTTGCCTCGCGAAGCCGTCCTCGAACGCCTCGAACTGCCGTTCATCCGCTTCCTCGGCATCCTCCCCGACCCCAACTTCTTCCAGCGCCTCGAAGTGCGCCAACGGACGGCCCTCTAGTGCGTCCTCCTGCAGCGAAACGATGTCAATGCGCGGGCTGACTCTCCTGCGCTCGTAGCTACAAGCAGCAAAAGTTCAATTTGCTCCGCGAAGAGTCGGAGGGTTACTCAAAGCTTGTCGTCGAGCTGCTCGGCTCGATGGGGCCGCAGCTTTCGCACCTTGATGCGTCAAGCCAGGAGTCGGAGGCTGCGCGGATGAGGCGGGCGAAGAGCGTGAACGACCGGGTCAAGAACCTCATCGGTGCGTGGGAAAGGCGCGAGTTGGAGGCAGATGTTGACGCCCAACGAGTTTGCAGGCAACTTCGATCTCGACCCGAGCCGCACCCTCGATGTTCTTCTCGACACCTTCTCCGACCACGTTGTCGAGCACTGGCAGTTCTTCTTGGACGTCCTCGCCGTGTCCCCGTGGGCGCCGAAGCATCTCGGTCAAGCGACAAAGACCGGCGGGAGCCTCGACAAGGGCAAGGGCAAGGGCAAGGCGATCCCGGTCGATGTCGGCCTCGAGACGGATGAGGGCAGCGATACAATCGCTCAGATTCTCGGCTTCAAGTACGCCTTCTACCACGGCGACGAGGCGCCCGAAGTTCCGGCCAACCTTTACACGACGACCGCGCTGCTGATTTGGCACGGCTTCGTCAAGCTTACCGACTTGTGGGCGCATCTCTCGCCGACGGACGAGGATCTCGCCAAGCTCGAGACGAAATGGCGACACGAGCAGGCTCAGCTGGCTCGCTCAGTCGGCGGCGCAAACGCTTTGGCGATGGCTGGCGCGCTAGTAGACGACGAAGCGCCAGCTGCCAATCCTGCCGCCTCGACGTCTGTCAACGGCGCCGCCTCGACTTCGACCGCTCCTCCGCCGCCCCCTCGCGACCTCCCGAACCAGAAGGTCGGCCTTCTTCGCGCCCTCCTCACGATTGGCGACATTACGCACGCCTTCTTCATCCTCGGCCAATTCCCCTTCCTCGTATCCGCCTTCCCCGACATCGCTGACCTCCTCAACCGTCTCGCGCACGTCTCGATCGACCTCGCCTACGCCAGCATCTCCATCTCCCGCCAGCATGCCCAGTACGCCGACGAGTTCAAGGCGGCTAAGCCGAAGGTTACTGTCGACTCGAAGGGCGAGAAGAAGGTCACGATGCCTGAGCGAAAGCTCGCATTGACAGCGGATGCCTTCCCGGATCCTCGGAGGGACTGGACTTTCTTCTTCCCGCGGTGGCAGGAACGAGTGCCTCGGGCTGGCGACTGGGCAGAAGTCGTGCACCTCCTCGAGGAATTGTACCTCCCGCTCGTCAAAGTGTTCGTCGCGCGAGACTTCAAGCTCTTCACCAAGCTCATCCGCATCGCCGTGGCTGACCTCTCGGTGAGTCTCAACTTTCGCTCCTGCACTCCACGTCCTCTCGCTGACCGGCCCGTCACAGACGGAGTTCGCGCACCACCCTCGCCGCGTCAACTGGCTCGACCTCCTTCGCGTCCACCTTGTCCCCGCCGTCTCCCTCCTCGACAGTTTCACCGCCGCGCCGCTCGAGCTCTGGCGGGTCCTCTCGCTCTACCCGATCGAGACTCGCTTCGAGATCTACGGCGAATGGAAGGACGTGCACTACCGTCGCAATCCGGTTCTCGGAGTCCGCAAAGCCGAAGCTGAGCGAGACGTCAAGTCGCTCCTTCGCCGCCTGTCGACGGACAACGTCAAGAAGCTCGGCAAGTCGTTCGCTCGCATCGCGCACACGAACCCGGCCGTCATTTTCGCCGTCGCGCTCAACCAGGTGCAGAGCTACGATAACCTGATCATCCCCGTCGTCGAAGCGTGCCGCTACCTCACCGACCTTGGCTACGATGTCATGGCGTACTCGATCCTCGATGCATTGAGCGCGAGCAAGCCCAAGACGAAGGAGGATGGAACGAGCATTGCGATGTGGTTGCAGGGTGCGTCCGAGCCTTGCCTGATGCATTTTGCCTGTCTAAACGTCGTCACTCGCAGGCCTCGCGACTTTCACAGGCCACGTCTACCGTCGCTGGATTGCCATGGTGCCGTCGCTCTGGGTCATCTTGCAGTACCTTGTCAACCAGCTCGTCTCGGGCAACTCGAAGGATCTCGTCATCCTCCGCGAGCTTATCGGTCGCATGACCGGCATCGAGCCGTTCGCAGATCTCTCCGACGCGCAAGTCTGGTCGCTCGCCGGCGGGAAGTACCTCCGCAACGAAGTCTTCCAGAAGACGGATATTGCGAAGGCGTCGGCGCGAGGTCAGTTAGACGGACTCGCCAAGGCCAAGAACCGTCTCGCCAGCTCAATTCTCGACAAAGGTCTCGCGATGCCGCTCGCGGTCAACATCGCCTTGCAGCGTCAGGCGTGTCTCAAGACGGACGCCCATCTCAAGTCTCTCTCGTCCCTTTTCGACCAGGTCGGTGCATCCCGATCGCTTCGCCCTCAAACTCCTCGCTGATCATTTTATCCTGCAGAACCACGCCATCCTCTTTCAGTTCAACGAGCTGCTTCAAGCGATCACCACGCCCGACCAGCTTGCCGCCCTCGTTCCATCTGTCGTTGACCTGCTCGGGCGCTTCCAGCTCGATGCGGGCGTCGCCTTCGACCTCGCTCGTCCCCGACTCCGCATCGCCCTGCGCGAATACGATGAGAAGGAGGCTGCAGATCTCGCAGCCGAGGCGGCCAAGAAGAAGCAAGGTTTGCTCGCCAAGCTGGCGAAGGAAAAGGAGAAGGCTTCGCCCGCTCCGGTGGACGTCAACACACCTGCCGAAGGTGACGACGTCAAGATGGCCGACGTCAAGGAGGAGGGCGAACAGGAGGAGAGCGGGACGCCGCCGCCGCCGGACGCCAAGATGGAGGCGAACGGGGCTGTCAACGGGGACGCCGCGATGCTGGACGCCGTGGCAGCCGACGTGACGCTTGCTCCTTCCACCGATGTGCGTGCTCATCCTCGCAGCGGTTTCCTGCGTACTGACTACGACGCTTGTGACAGCCCTGGCATCCCGGTCTCGTTCAAGTAATCGAGGACATCGCCGAGCTGATGCCTGAGGGTGCGCGCAAGACGATCGGGTGCGGTCAGCCCTCCCCTTCCGCCTGTAGCAACGCTGACGCTGTAGTTCACGCAGGGCGCCATTCTTCGCGACGTTCTGGCAGCTCGCGCTCTACGATATCCAGTACCCGAAGGAGCGCTACGACGCCGAGATCAGCCGTCTAAAGCACCTCCAGCGCGAGGCAAGCGCTTCGACGACGCTCAAGCCGGATGACCGCCGCTTCTTCATTGACGGCGTCATGGCAATCGCGAACGGCCTCGTTGAGGAGGCGGCGAAGCATATGAACGCTCGCTCGACCGTCAATCGACGCCTGACGCGCGAGAAGGCGCAGTGGTTCTCCGGTACGCCGCCTGCCTTCGTCTTTGATCCAGGTCCTGCACTAATACTCGCGATCGTCAGGCGTCTCGACGACCGACCAGCGCCAACAGCTCGTCCACGACATCTTGCAGCACTGCCTCATCCCCCGCTCCCGTCTCTCGCTTCCCGACGCCGTCTTCTCGCACCAGATGATCAAGCGCCTCCATTCGATGAACACGCCTCAGTTCCACACCATCGTCCTTTACGACTCGGTGCGTGCGACTCTACCTTGTCGCATACCGCGTGCTGACCGAAAGACCGGTATGGCAGCTCTTGACGACTCAGATCAGCCCGATCCTCTACTCGTGCACCGAAAACGAGGCTCGCAACTTCGGTGCGTCGCCAGCGTCAAACCCCGCTTGTACCTTCGCTGACGCACTACTGCTCAGGACGGTTCCTCTTCGACGTGCTCGCCGACCTGTATCGCTGGCACAAGGACAAGAGCGCTTACGCCGAAGAAGCCGCAAACCCGCAGACTTCCGGATTCTTGCGATCCATGGCGTCGACGCAGGCTGGCGAAACCGGCAGGATTCGCGGGTACTACGATCACGCAGAGTACCAGCGCGCCGTCCTCAAGTGGCACACGACGATGGTGCAGGTGCGGGAGCGCCCCTGTGCGATTCCGTCGAGCGCTGCTGAACAGTCTTCGTCTGCAGGGCTTCGTCGACAGCTTCAAGTCTGAGGAGTACATGCACATCAAGAATTCGATCCTCGTCCTCACCAAGGTCGCCCCGTACTTCCCGCTCGACTACACCGTCGGCGAGAAGCTCGAACGTGCGGTCTCCGAGCTCGTGCTTGCCGAGAAGCGCGAGGACCTGCAGATCCTCGCGCAGGGCTACAAAGCGGTCATCTCGAAACGTCGCTCGCAGTGGATCAATCAGCCGAAGCCTGAGGTGCGTCGAAATCCACTTTCTGCCTGAGCAGCCGCTAACGCTCTCGTACAGACCACGCCAGCGCCGTCCGCGTCGAAGTCTGTCCCGACCAAGGCATCTCCCGCTGTTACGCCTGCCGCCTCATCAAAGCCCTCACCCGACCCTGCTCCTGCGCCTACTCGCTCGGCCGACACCTCGCGGGTCCCGACCGGTCCCAAGTCCTCCCTGCCGAACCGGCCAGGACTGCGCAACGCCGACAGCGACGTCAAGCCGCCCACCGGTCCCGCCGCTTCGTGAGTCGTCTCAACGAGTTCAGTCCGGGTGGTGCTGACGCCCTCGCTTGCTGCGCAGGCGCTCGACTTCCGATGCTGCTCGACGATCCGAAGCTCCCGCGCGCACGCCTGTCGGCAGCACCAGTGACGCTGACAAGCGGCAAGAACCCCCGACCAAGCCAGGCTCGGCAGCATCTCGCATGGAGCCGCCTCGTGGTCCTGCAGCATCATCAGGCTCGTCTCGCAGTCAGCCGGCCAAGGCCGACTCCGGCTCGCGCAGCTCTTCTCGAGCCGCCAGTCCACGACCAACCGACAGTGACCGAGACCGTCGGTCGCGCGAATCTCGCCACGGAGACCGCGGACGGCAACGCAGCCGTGACCGAGCGCGTGAGAAAGAGCGGGAGCAGGAACGCGAAAAGGAGCGTGAGCGGGACCGCGAGCGGGAAAAGGAGCGGGAAAAGGAGCGGGAGAAGGAGCGAGAGAAGGAGAAGGAGAAGGAGCGGGAACGGGCCCGGAGCGTCGAGTCTTCGCACTCTTCTCGCGCCTCACGCGGTGACACTCGGGATCCGAGGGACAGCCGCCGGGACGACAGACACGACTCACGGTCTGATCGGCGCGATGACCGCCGCGACTCGAGGGACGACCGACGTGGGGCCGACCGCGACAGGCGATCCAACGACTCGAAGGATGCGCGCGACGGCCGTGAAACTGATCGGAGCAATCGGAGCAGTCGAGGCGACGAGCGCAGCTCGAAGCCAGTTGACGACCGTCACGCCTCAGCATCCTCCAGCTCTCGCCGTGACGATACTCGTCGGGACGACCGACGACCATCAGATCGCGCTAAGCTGTCGCGTGAGGCCGAGGCGCGGGAGGCGGAGAAGGAGAAGCAGCGCGAACGGGACCGGCAGCGAGAAGCGCAGCGAGAGAAGGAGCGCAAGGATGAGCGCGATCGGCGAGTGAGGGATGCGGACGATGCCTCGCGGTCGCAGCAGTCGGGGCGAGGTCTGCCCGCCAAGCCTCCGCCTCCTTCGGGCGACCGTCTTCGACCCGCACCCGCTCATCGTCAGTCAGAGCCGAAGAGCGAGCAGGACCCGTCCAAAGCCTCCCTCCTCGAGCGGGCGCGCGCTAGTCTGCCTGGCGGGTCAAGCTCGACTTCGCCATCCGGTGCGGCATCTGAGCGCAACTCGCCATCCGAAGAGCCGGGTCCGCTGTCAATCAAGGGCCGTGGTTCAAGCCGTTTATTCAACTCGTTGACGTCGACCAGCGTGGGAGGCAGCGGAGGTGGCAGCGGAGGCGGAGGCGGGAAGAGGGAGGACGACGGGTCGCGGAAGCGCTCTGCAAACAGTCTAGCAGGTGCGTCCTTTCCCTCCTCGGGCTTCGCCAGCAGCTCATCTCTCCCAACACAGATCGACTTGCGCCAGACTCGCCGAAGCGAGCGCGGACAGACGAGACGCCGCCGCGCGACACCGCGCAAGATTCATCTTCGGGACGAGGTGACCGAGGCGAACGAGGTGGTGGCGGACGCGAGCGCAGCAGACGGTAGCAGCATTCGCTTCCGTTGGGTTATCTCTTTTAGCCCCATTCCTGCTGCTGGACATCTCGAGAGCGGCTGCCGTGTCGGCAACTACGATAGGTTACAAGTGATGGCAAAATACGGCCCGCACTACGCCTGAGCGATCATGAACTGCGCAAAGAAGTCTCCGATCTGCTTGTGCTCGTCGAGAGCGCAGACGAGGGAGACGGTCTGGTCGGGGCGGACGACGGCGATGCAGCCAGTCTTTGGGTCGATGCCGAGGTTCTTGTAGATCTTGCCGCGTACGTTCGGGGTGACTGGCGACGAGTCGTCGGCGTAGAGCTTGTCGTAGGCTGCGGAGCGAGACGTCAGCATTGTCGAGCGGGATGCGAGGTCAGGGAGGGAACGCACCGCGAGATCCGTACGGTTTCCGTGCAGGCCAGAGAATTGCAGGGAAAGCATTAGGCTCGACAGAAATGCGCGGGTTCGAGATGATCGTCAAAACTTCGATGACGGAGTCGAGGTCGTCGTCGGGCGGCGTGTAACGACGAATTGGGCCGTCGGGCGTGTCGAGGTAAGCGGCGATCTGCGAGTCGCAGGTCAGCATGCGGTTAGTGAAGGGCAGCTGAAGGTCGGCGTACCTGCTCAAGCTTCTCCTTCTGTTCCTGTTCGCGAACGTCGCCGGCGAAGAGGATGATCCTCCACCTGCCATCCGAGACGAGGCGGTCGCCGAGATGCCAGGGACGAGCATCGGCGAGAGCGACGACGAGGTGGCTCTCGAAGCGCTTCGAGAGGCTGCATCAGCCGAGCAAGCCGAGGGCTAGGAGCTGGCTGCACTCACCATGCCTGTCGGGAGACCTGGTGCGAGGGCAGGCTGTCGTTCCGGCGCGACCAGCATGTTCGGCAGGTAGTGGACGGCGGTACCCGATGCCCAACGAGAGAGCGACTTGAAGAACTGGAAGGAGCGGAGGCGAAGCGAGGTCAGCTCCGTGCGCTGGGAAGGTCGGCAGCGGTTTGACGCACCGCCTTGAACTCGGCGAGAGATACGCCATCCTGCGCGAGAAGAGCTTTGTCAGTACCGTGGAATGCACAGACATCGGCGCAGGAACAACCTACTCCATCACCTCCCTCTTCCTTCGGTTTCGCTGAAAACATCCTCGACAGCTTGTAGTCGAGGTCGATAAGCTCCTTCGCGACCTTGTACCGCTCCTCCTGCGAAGAGAGTGTGAGCGGACGATTTTCAGGCGCCGAGCACCTCGACGAACCGAGTAAGTCTTGAGGAGATCAGGCGTCGCCTTGCCCTGGAGGACGTGTGCCAGCTTCCACCCGAGATTGTACGTGTCCATCATGCTCGTGTTCATCCCCTGACCGGCCTTGGGCGAGTGAGTGTGGCAGGCGTCGCCGGCGATGAAGACTCGCTCGTCGTGCGAGAAAGTCTTGCACAAACGTTGTCCGACCTCGTACACCGTCCACCACTCGAAGTCGGAGCACTCGAGCGTGTAAGGCGCCATGATCTTCTTCGCCGTCTCGATGATGGACTCGGGCGTAACGGACGAGCGGTCCTGTCGGCCGAAGAAGCGTGAGTCTAGCTTGACAGGCAGTGCGGCGGAAGAGTACGCACGAAACGCTCCCCCGGCTTCGTCGAGCCAATCTGGATATAGAAGCGGACGTAGTCTCGCTCGCGGGGAACGATGAGGATCGAGCCGACCTTGGACTGGACGGTGCACTTGAGGCGGATGTCGGGAAAGCTGGTCTCGCTGACAATGGCGTCGAGGACGCCCCAGACGGCGCCGGCTGCGTCGCCTTCGAGCGAAAGGCCCATCTGCTTCCGCACCCAGCTTCGTGCGCCGTCGCACCCGACGAGGAACTTGGTCCTGATCGTCTCCTCCTCGCCAGCATTGTCGAAGGCGCCGGCCTCTTTCGTGCCCTTTGCCGCGTCAGACTCGTCGTCAGCGAGTAGGTTGCTGCGATGAAGACCATTGGGCACGGCGCCGAGCTGTGTCGGGACGGACTCTTCCTCGGTAAGGCGGCGGAGCGTGACGGAGATTGGGTACGAGTTCGGGGAGAAGTCGGCAACGAGGTTCTGGTCGACCGACATGGACACAGGCGCAGTTGAGCGCTGCACAGTCAACTCATCTGTGGGAACAGCGGTCAGGGGGAGAAACCTAGACGCGAGGAAGCGGACGAACTGAAGTCCTTCATGGCGTCAAGGAGGAAGCGCTCGATTCGGCCTTGACTGAGCACGGCATGCGGGAATCGACTCGTCCCAGGTTCGTTCTGTTCGATAAAGTAGCTAGTCAGTTGCCGTCGTGAACAGGTTCGGTCATGGACAGACTCACGTCCGGGATACGACCTGTTCGCTGGAGGTCGCCCTTCGAGTCGAGCGCCCATGACACGACTTCGTTGATATGCGCGCCCTCGTCGACGAGTCGCTGCGCGAAGCCGAAGGACTGGAAGACTTCGACGGTCCGGCACTGAGGGCAGAGAGAAGGGCGGTCAGCGCCAGGAAAAGACCATTCGTTGTGCCGGTTCGCGGGCCTCCTCGCCAGACGCACCTGTACACCGTCTGCGTGTCCTACGAGGACCTTGGTTGGCGCCTTGTCGACAATCCTCGTGCGGATCTTCAGCTTCGACAGCCAGGTCGAGAGCATCAAGCCGGCGGGACCGGCGCCCACAATGAGCACATCACAGTCGTTTGTAGCAACCATCGCTGAGCGTAGCACACGGAAACGAGAAGAGAGAGCAAGAGAGCGAAGAAGAGACGAAGGTGCGGAGGTCGTGGGGCCGCGCGATCGGCTGGAAGTCGGCAGGCGGCGGTTTTCGAGAACTCCGTGCCGAGCGACGTCGACGGCATGGCGAGAAGTGCGGGAGACGAGCTGGGCTGGCAGCGGGTGATCGTAGGTGAGCCGGGAACGAGCCGACAGAAGGGGAGGACGGTGGAAAAGCGCCGCAGCCTCGGTTGCAATGAGAATCTCGAGGCGCCGTGAAGCGGAGGTTTCTACTGTTCGACCTGCTGGATGGCGGCCTTCCTGGCGGCCGTCGGCTTGAGCAGCTCGGGGTCGACGCCCTTGGGAGCGTGCTTGAGACGGTGCTCCTGCTTGTTGCGCTGCGCGTCGACCATCTCGCGCTTTGTCGACGCCGCCTTGTGGATCGGCTTTGGCAGGTAGCGGGTCCTAGAAGGAGACGTGAGGAGTTAGCAAAGCGCTTGAAGATGAGGCAGAACGACCGCCCACGACCCGCGAGCAACGGGTCCCGAATAGCGTTCGCCACGGGGCCAGGAGACGCTCGACGCACCTCTCGATCTTCGCAACATCCGCAACAGTTCCCCACTTCTCCCTGAGCCCATCCCTGTACTCCTTACGGACCTGCTCGCGCTTGTCGACGACGCCGAGCTTCTCGGATGCGCGCGCTTTCCAGATGCGCAGGTTGGCGTCGTCTGAGCCGGAAAGGACGAAGCGGGAGTCGAGTGTGTAGAGGGTGGAGAAGACGCTGTGTACCAAAGTGGCAGTCAGCGCACAGGTCGAGCAGCTCCTCGAGTGGAACGAAATGAGCGAGGTGAAACGAGCCAAACGCACCGCTGCATCCGCTTCGTGTGGTACGTATCCCGACTTTTGCCCTCGCCCTGCTTCCACAGCCGAAGTGTTCGGTCGTAGGAAGCCGAGACGAACTCGCGACCCGTAGGCGACCAATCGCACGACATGACCCTGCAGGATCACGCGAGGCTGGGTCAGTACGTCCTCCACACTCAGAAGAAGCGCACACAGAGCCTAGATATGCAGACTCACGCTCCAACGTGACCCTTGTAGACCGAGGTCGTCGTGCTGAGGTTTCGGATGTCGAAAGTGTAGAGGTTGTGGTCTTCCGAGGCGCAAAGGAGGACGGGAGGTTGCAGAGGGTTGAAAACGAGCTGGTTGACGCGCATCTGCGGTTATGGCGAAGGAAGACGGTTAGTGTTCGCCTTTTGAGCACGAGTTCCGGTACGAGCCTCGCTCTTCGAGGCATCGAGGCATCGCGCCCAAGCCGGACGAGACGGCGACGCACCTGCATCGCTACCCGTCCCAGCGCCTTCCCACTCCGCAAGTCATACAGGCACACAGTCCGATCACTCCCACTGCTCGCCAACACGCTCGTCTCGCTCTTGTTGAATGCCACGCAAGCGACGTGTTCGCCCGACGACGAGTTCGACGTCGTGTGGAATTTGAGCGTCGAGAGAGGGGCGGTCTTCGTTTCGTCCCAGATCTCGATCTGCGTCGAGCCTGTTGCGAAGATAGGGTCGTAGCGGTGGTGGGAGATGGAGCTGCGAATAGGCTGTCAGCGTACGCTCGTAACCGGGTGCACGAGACCGAGACTCACTGGAAGCCGGATTTGCCGGTGAAAGTTTGCAAAGGCTGCGGAAGAAGCGGTCAGCGAGGGCTGGGCGAGATGACGGCCGACAGCGACGCACTCTTGCGCCCTTCCCGCTCGCGCCCTTGACATCCCACAGCTTGACCGTCTTGTCAACACCGCATGTCAAGACTCGCGGGCTGCCCCTCGCCTCGGTCGCGTCGAGATTGGCGAGCCCATCCTCATACTCCTCGTCATCCAGCTCGTCCTCCAAGCCGGCCCGTCCCTTTCCCTTGTACCCAACCTCTGTCCGTTTCCGCTTGATGCCCCTCTCGCCCGCTCCAACCTTCTTCTCGACCCGTCCCTCCTCGCCGACCATGGGGTGCGAGAAAGCGACGCCCTTGATCATGCCCCTGTGGGCGCCCTCGACGTTCCACACGGTCCTCTGCGCTCCCAGATCCCACACGCGCACCTCGCCGTCACCGCTTCCGCTCGCAACTCGTCCCAGTCCTCCCGCCTCGTCCTTCGTGAGGCAGTAAATCCCGTCTCCGTGTCCTTCAAGCGACGCGACGAACGGCTTGGCGAACATGCGCTCAAGCTTGGCAGCCGTCACAGCTCGAGTATACTCTCGCGTGCGGGCGAAAGGGTGCAAGGCAGGGTCGAGGTTGCGCGAGACGGGGGCGTTCGAGGTCGACGACGTCGGGAGGTGGTCCTCGAGGGACCGGTGCATCGTTTTGATCTTCTGCGAGTGTGTGAGAGAGGGATGGTGAGCTCTCGTCGTACAGTGCGGCGATGTGGGGACGACTGAGCACGGGCGGGTCGAGGAGGCGATGGGAGGTGGCGCGAACAGCGGGACGTACCATGGTGGCGTAGGCAGCTTCTGATTAGGTCAAAGAAGCGGTTTGAGCAGCAATCTAGCAGTCTAGCGAGTGTGGACGAGCACGAAGCGAGCAGTCGGTGCGAGAGATGAGGTCGGATAGTCGGACACCACCCACAACCTCGACCTGCCACGAAGCGCCGCTGTGGGCGGTCACGGTGCTTGTCTGACCTGTGCTACTACTGCTGAAGGTCCCTGAGCCTGTCCGACTCGACCACCGCTTGTCGTCGCCGCGTTCTCCTCTCCTCTCGCCTCGACGCTCGGGATGCGCTGTACGTCCCACACACCGCACTGAGGGCATAAAGAAGTCTTCTATACTGACTCTCAGTGCTCCACACAGACGCCGTGCTCGTCACCGGCCCCGCCGGCGCTGGCAAGTCGACCTTCTGCGCGTCGCTCATCACGCACGCCCAGTCGCTCGGCCGCACCGTCCACCTCTTCAACCTCGACCCGGCAGCAGACAAGTTCGAATACCCGCCCAGCGTCGACATCCGGGATTTGGTCAGCTTGGAGGAGGTCATGGAGGACTTGGAGTTGGGCCCGAACGGAGGATTGGTGTACTGCTTCGAGTGCGTCGGCGCTCTTTCGGCTGTTGCGTACCCCTCTGACACTTGATGAACTCGCAGGTACCTGATGCAGAACCTGGATTGGCTTACGGACGCCCTCGGAGACTACGAGGACGACTACGTTCGTTCTCCTCTCCGCGCCCCTTCTCCATCCAGCTCCGCACTCACGCTCCTTTACGCAGCTCATCATCGACTGCCCCGGCCAAATCGAACTCTACACCCACATCCCCATCCTCCCACGCCTCGCCAAACTCCTCACGACAAACATGAACATCAACCTCGTCGCATGCTACCTCCTCGAATCGCAGTTCATGGAGGACACGGCAAAGTACTTTTCGGGGGTGCTGTCGGCGATGAGTTGTATGATCGGGCTCGAGGTGCCGTTTGTCAACGTTATGAGCAAGATGGATCTGGTGCGGCGGGAAGGGAAGCGGAAGAAGGAGGTCGACCGGTGAGTGCCAGCTCGTTCGAGGGTCCTTCGTCGATTCAGCTTCGATACAAGAAGCTGCAATCGACTGAATACTCCATTAAGAAGCTGACCCGCTTCGCCCTGCAGCTTCCTCGACCCCGACCCCGAACTCCTCCGCACCTCTGTCAACCGGGAACTGAACCCAAAGTTCCACGAGCTCAACAGCGCGCTCGTACACCTCGTGCGCCTCTCTTCGCCTCTCTTCCACGCTCCAGCTCCCATCGCTGACCCTCTGCCAAATCCCCGCAGATCGACGACTTCAACATGGTCCAGTTCCTCCCGCTCGACGTGACGGACGAAGACTCGGTCGGCGTCGTGCTGAGTCACCTCGACAATGCGATACAGTACGGCGAGCATGAGGAGCCGAAGGAGCCGGCAGATGTGCGTTCAATTCTCTCGCTGTCGGCGGAACTCGTCGGAGTGCCTGCGTGTTCGCGCAGCCGATCGTGCTCGCTGTTACGTTAGTCTCTGACGGAGTACGCTGACCCGTGCACTCTGCTGCAGATGGACCAGGGCGACTTTGACACCGAAGGCTGAGCGGAGATATCTTACGCCGAGGAGGAGCAAGAACCGCCGCCGCTCTCTCTGTCCCTCGTCGATTCCGCTGTTTCTCTCTCGACCGACTAGACCAGTGCACTGTGCTTGTTGTAACGAATTGCCAGTTCTCCCGCCCTTTGACATTGCGAAAGAGTCCACCCTCGAGCTGGGAGCACAGCTTGCACTCGCTACTCTCGCTCGCTCAACGTGTGGCTGGCTGTGGTGTGCTCGGCTGGACTGCCCTAGACTCGGACTGCTCTCTGCTCGAATCTCACCCTTCCCGTCACCCTCGTTCGCCTCACCCACCTCGCTTTCACCGCCCCCTCTCACCCGCTCACAATGGTCGTCTCGCTCGCCTCGACCGGCGGGGCAGCCAAGATCTACTGCGTCAATGGCGGAGGCATGACTTCGAAGAACGCGGCGGCGTGGCTCGAGGCAAAGTTGACGGACCGCAACAAGCGGCGCAAGAGGGGCGGCCAGGGAGGGACGGGCGGAGAAGGGGAGATCAGGCTCATTCAGGTGCGTACGATCTCCCAACTGTGCGATTTGATGCTGACGCTGTCTGTCCCGCAGGACTTTGATTTCCCCGAGGCGTCGAACAAGATCAAGACGACTCGCGACGGAAAGTACTTGATGGCGACAGGGACGTACAAGCCTCGGATGAAGGTCTTTGACCTCGAGGAGCTGAGTATGAAGATGGAGCGCGTGACTGACAGCGAGAACGTCGACTTCTGCGTGCGTTCTGCGTCGTTTCCTCTCCTTCGTCGAAGCTGACTTCCTTCCTGCAGATCCTCTCCTCCGACTGGACCAAGACTCTCCACCTTCAATCCGACCGCTCTCTCGACCTCCACACCCAGTCCGCCTCGCACTACAGCGTCCGCATGCCCCGACAAGGCCGGACACTCGCCTACCACTTCCCTACTTGCGACGCGCTCGTTGGCGGAACTGGCTCGCAGGTGTGGCGGCTGAACCTTGAAGTTGGACGGTTCATGAAGCCGTTTGGTATGGAAGGAGCGGGAGAGTATGATGGCGGTGAGGGAGGCGGAGTTGGCGGCGGGATGGGCGCACCAGGAGACTTCGTCACCGGCGTCAACGCGATCGATATCAACCCAGCGCACCAGCTCATGTGCTTCGGTACCGACACGGCGCTCGGGCGGGGAACAGTCGAGTTGTGGGACCCGCGGAGTCGATCTCGAGCCGGTATCCTGCGGTTGCCGTACAACTCGCTTCTCGCTTCGAGCATGTCGAGCGCGAGTCTCAAGCACCCGCGGTTACCGGGCGTCGACGATGATGGCGCACTTGGCGGAGTGGCGGTAACGGCGTTGTCGAACAAGTCGGACGGGCTGAACCTCGCGGTCGGCACATCGACTGGCCATGTCTTGCTGTACGACTTGCGTGCGAGCAAGCCGTACACGACGAAGGACCAGGGATACGGTCTGCCGGTGAAGAAGGTCGAGTGGGTGGAGAGTGCGCCTGCGACGAGCAGCGATGCGGAGCGGGAAGGAGGATGGGTCGCGAGTGCGGACGAGAAGGTGGTCAAGATTTGGGGCAAGGAGACGGGGACGAACCTCGTCGCCATCAACCCGCCGATGCCGGTCAACGACCTCCATATCTACCCCGGCACCGGCCTCGTCTTCCTCGCCAACGAGACCTCCCCCATGACGGGCTACTACGTCCCGCAGCTCGGCCCGGCGCCCAAGTGGGCTCGCTTCCTCGACAACATGACGGAAGAGATGGAAGACGACCAGGAGACGCTCGTCTACGACGACTACAAGTTTGTCGACCGGCAAGAACTCGACGACCTCAACCTCACCCACCTCATCGGCACCGACACGCTCAAGCCGTACATGCACGGATACTTCGTCGACCTCCGACTGTACACCAAGGCTCGCGCGATCGCCAACCCATTCCAGTACGCCGAGCACCGCGACAAGCTCATCCGCGACAAGCTCGCCGCCGAGCAAGAGTCGCGCATCCGCGGCGCGAAGAAGGCTGCCGGTGCAGCTGTCGCCGGCGTCAAGGTCAACAAGCAGCTTGCGCGGAGGGCGCGCGAGGCGGAGGAGAAGCTGCGGAAGCGCGAGGTGGGCGAGGAGGACGAGGAGGACGAGGACGGCCGCAGGAAGCGCAAGAAGAAGGTCCAGGCCGAGACGCCCAGCTTGCTCAAGGACGCTCGGTTCGCCGACCTCTTCACGAATCCCGACTTCGAGATCGACGAGGCGTCGCGCGAGTTCCAGCTGCTCAACCCGTCGACCAAGCCGGTGCGTACACTTTCCCCTCGGTTCTGCTGCAGCTCGAGCTGATTCTTTCCACTCGCAGAACCAGCGACGGGAGGACGACGACGACGAGGAAGACGACGGGGACTCGGACGACGGCTTCGTCTCGCAGGACGAGAGCGACGTGGAGGACGCATCCAACTCGGACAGCAGTGCAGACGGCGACCTCGGCTTCGACTACCAGCGACGACCCATCGAGCCTCCTCAGCGATCGTCCAAGCCTTCGCCCGCACGACCCGCAGCAGCAGCGCCCGCCAAGCCCGCTCTCCCGCGTCCAACGCTCGTCGCCGCCGACGATTCGGACGACGAGACTCTCTCGGCCGCTCGTTCGCGCCCACTCGCCGCTCTCGACCGAGCTTCACAGACGCTTGCCCAGCGCGCGCGACAAGCAGCCGAGTCGGGCTCGTCGAAGCGATCGAGGCGAGCGGCGGACGAGGCGGACTCGTCGGCCGCTGCCGACGGGGACGACATCATTCGCGGCACGCCGGGGGGAGGGATGGAGATGTCTTTCGTGCCGCAACCCAAATCGGCTGCCGAGGTTGCCGAGAAGAAGAAGGCGCAGAAGGACAAGCGCGAGAAGGACAAGTCTGACAAGGCCAAGTTTGGGATGGGCCTCGAGAGGAGCCGTGGTGGACCGCAGGAGGACGAGCAGCAGCGGCGACTCGAGGACGAGGAGGACAGCGGGCGGAAACGGATGCGCAAGCCGGCGCGGTCTGCGTCGCGGAACAAGACGCGCTTCCTGTAGACTCGCTGCTGCAACCCAGCCCGACCTACCATGCTCGAACGATTTCGATGGATATCGATGCATGTAAAGTACTGACTAGATGCGTGAGAGACGGTATTTGGGATGAGAGGGCTCGAACGAGAGAGCCTTAGGCGACAGGATGCGGCTCGGAGTTAAAGACAACAAACAGTGACGGATGAGCGCTATGTGCAGAGGGAAAGAGGTACAGATGCACTGCGAGGATAAGAGAGAGAGAATATGGGAGCCTTTAGTCGGCCTGCTCGCGCGGACGAGGCCACTCGGTCCGCACCAGCGGACGAGGCGGTCCTTCGTCTTGCTGAGGATGTGTCGGGGCGGGTACGCTCGACTCGCCCGGCGCCGAGGTCGTCGACGCGCTGACGACAGACCCCTCAGCGTCTCCTTCATCAGCGTCTGCATCGCCGTCCGTCCCTCCGCTGTAGCCCTCCGCAGAAGCCGGTCGCGAAGGCGGCTGCGTCCCCATCGCCTCGTCTTCTTCCGCTTCCGCCAGTACAGACGGTACGGCCGAGCGCGACGAGCTTGTTGCTGGAGTAGCGGCTGCAGTCGACGAGGAGTGACCCGCGCGACGGGACGGACCGACTTTCGCCTCGCCGCCCTTGTGGATCTTGAGGTGTCGGCGAAGATTGGACTGCGCAAGCGGAAGCGGAAGCGGATCAGCGTGTCGTTCTTTGTGAGCGGGGGAGATAACCGTTCGGTGATTGCGCGGTCTCGAACGAGTTCGAGGCGGCGGAAGAACTCACCTGGACTGAGAAGGCCCGATCGCACAAGGGACAGGTGAAGGGCTTCTCGCCCGTGTGCGAGTGCATGTGGATGCGGAGCGAGGAAGGGCGGGCGAAGCGCTTGGCTGGACAGTGTGAGGCGTGCGTCAGCGAAGAAGGTTTTCGAGGGTGGGAGGAATGAGGACGCACGGCAGTGCGGACATCCGTAGCGGCCTACGTCGCCGGTCGGTTCGGTGGTGTTTTGTGCGTCGGAAGTCGAGGCGGGATCGTCGTTGAGGGGAGCGGGTGCGGGAGGTGGAGGCGGAGCAGGGGCGGGAGGAGTCCAGCTCGACTGGGGTGGCGGGCCGACGGGCGAGTAGACGGAAGGCGGGAAGGTAGACGTGCTTGGACCTGCCGAGGGCGGCGAGACGGTACCTGCGCCGGGAAGACCTGAGGGAATCGAGAGGGGCATGTGCGGAGGAGGGGCGGGAGGCGAGGAGTAGGGCGGATAGGGGTTGGTGAAGGGCGCATTGACGAGTGAGGAGCGTCGGTAGGCGTCGTAGGGGTATCGCGGAGGAAGGGAGGGTTCGGCTGGGTAGGTGGATGAAGGGCCGGCTTGAGGCGGGTAGTAGGGCGGAGCGCGAGAGGGTAGACTCGCGGCCGAGTCTGCCGTGCCGTAACGACCTTCTCGCTCGCGAGACGTGGCATGAGGCGCGCCAGGCAACCACGACCGCGTGCGGTACTCGTCCGCCGTTGAGATGGACAGCGCGCGCGGTCTTGACGGGTCGTGTCGAGGATCCGTCGGCGACCACCTGAGTCCAAAGTCTCCGGACGGTCGGCCGCCGGCGCTGCCCGTGTCCCTCTCTGCTAGCGCCGAGCCGGCCGAGTCGTCGTGTCGTTCTGACGAGGTGGCGAAGCCGGAAAAGCGGCTCTGGCGCGACTCGTCGAAGCCGTAGACGTGCGGGATCGAGGCGCTCCTTCCGCGCCCGCTGAACGACGACAGGCCGGAAGGGAGAGGGCGGAGTGCGTTGCCGTCGGGGAACTCGAGGGTGGTGAGTTGGCGCGCAGGTGGAGGAGAAGGAGCATCGGGCGGGTGATGGGCAGAGTAGGCGAGGCCTGCCTCTGTCGCTGCTGCAGTAGACGACGAGTGCACCGTCGGATACTGCTCGGAGTAGTTTGCCTTGAACCGGGGCGAAGGAGGCAGCGCAGACGACTGTTCTCCTCGGCTAGAGCCGTTCTGAGAGAGAAAGGTTTGCGTCGATTCCGGGGTCGCTCCTGCTCGCTCGACCTCGTCAGCCACATTCAAATGTCACAGCATCGTCGGACGACACGCGGACGCACCCAAGGGAGGCGAGTCTGCTGCGTTGAGGAGAGCCGAGATGGAGGGGAGACGACGGCTCGTCGCAGGCTGCACCTCGCCCGTGTGAATGGGCGCGCTAGGCGGGATGTCGGGCTCTTCTACGTCCATTAGCATGGGTCGCTGGTGAGCATGTCCTGCGCTGGCAGAGCGGCGAGGTCGGACGAGAAGAGCGTCACGACGGAACGGGCGCTGCTGTTCGCTTGTTCAACAGAAGGTTCGCCGGGAACGCGGGGGGTTGAGCACCGGCTGGGGTGCTGGTGTGTGAGCGAGTGCGAGGGAGTGTACGGTGCAGCACAGGCGCACACCCGCTGTCCAGCGAGCCCACCTCGGCCAGCAGGGCGAGGGAGAGGGATCGTCGACCTGGCGTCGTCAACGCTTCAACCACTCAGGCTGTCCGCCTCAGTCGATGCCGCGCAAGTGGACCTGCTCGTGCACTGGCTGGCGAGGCGCAGACTATGGACAAGTCTGTGTGTGTGCTGTGCTGTGCTGGTGCAGTCGCGAGCGAGGCGACTCTCGAGGATTGACAGAGGCCAGCAAGCGAGGACGCCGGGCGCTGTGCTGTGCCTGGTGCGACCGCAAGGAAAGTGATCGTTCTCCGGCCGGAAAGGCGACCGCGCTTCCTCGCTCGCTCGCCGCGTTATTCCGCCGCAGCCCATCTCTAAGCACCCGGAACTTGCCTCGTGTCGTCGTTGCAAGCGAGGGAGCGAGGAAAAGCTTCGTTTGCTCTCCTTGCACTGCCGTCGTCGCACTCGCCGTGGTCCTGCTGGGTTCATGGGACGCACGCTCACGAGCTCTAACAACGTCGGCCGGAATCGATGCCTCGCAGGGGACGCTGCAGGAGAACGGCTTCTTCAATCGACTGGCCTTCGCAGAGTTCTCCTCCCCCCTCCTCTCTCCTTCACGGATACCCTCTTCCGCGCAGCAGCTACTCATTTCTCTGATCCGGCGATGATCGATGGCACAGCAGCGTGCTCGAGACGGAGGAACTTTCCTCCTTCCTCCTCCTCGAAGCGAACAGCAGCCGTTGCGGAAGCGAACAGAAAATAGCTCGGAGCCACTCTTCCGCGGAAACGAGCTTCCTCCCGTTCTCCCTCGATCCGACTTGCTTCCTTGTCTGTTGGCGTGGACTCGCTCTTCGCCGAACCCGTCGCTCGCTCGCTCGCTTCCTCCTCCGCCTCCGCCGCGAGCCCGCTGCTCCACGAGCACTGCGGGCTCGAGATCGTTTGCCGCGGGGCCAAGTCAATGAACATTAGATTAGCCGCAGACTTGTGTCGAGCGCGCGAGTTGAACCTTTTCCTGCCTGGCTTCCTCGCCCGCTTCCTCGCCAAGCTAAGTTAGTCTCTCCCCTTCTTCGTCGAGTGCAAGCGAACGCGCTGTAGACGATGCCGACGCGAGTACGATTGCAACAGCAACGACACACGAAGGATCCTCAGACCTTGCGCGAGACGGGCCGGATGGTGACGCCTGGCTTGACCAGAACCGACGGGATCGTCTGGTCCCTCAGGATCTGTTCATACGCATCCGCAAATGACGACGATCAGTACGAGCTCGAAAAACGCAGCGGAGATACGAAGCTCGAGATGCAAGGAGAGAGACAAAGCCAGACTCACCGTCGACGTTGACCACTCCGGTCCGAGCGGCGTCCTCAACTTGTGTTCGTGCTGCGCCGCGCTCGTATAAGGGAACGGCAAGTCCTTGAGCATGTACTTGGCGGCCTTGCGGTCCTTGCGCTCGCTGATGATGACGTGGTTCAGGCCGGCGTCTTTGCGCGCAGACTCGTCGACGCCTGCGACCTTGGTGATGAACTTGCGCGTGTTCTTTGCCTTCTTCGCTCCTTTGCCGCCCCATGAGCCCTGCGAGGAACGTGATGGATCAGCGGACTTCGACTGATAGGCGAACTCGAGCCGGACGCACCCAGCCAGGCAAGGTGTTGTCCTCCTCTCGCGGCGCGTCCCGCTCAATCTCCTTGCGCTTCTCCTCGGCAAAGTCCTGTGGCGGGCGTGAGCGAGTCGGCAAGGGCCGCCGAGGCGGAAGAGAGACCGGACGCACCGCAACGACATCGTCATTCGCGAACGCCTCCTTCACGAGTTCGCGCTGCTTGAACGCCGCCCGTCCCTTCCCTCGCTGCGCATCAATCTCCTCCTCATCCAGCTCCTCGTCGCTCGAGCCCGCCTCATCATTGTCACCGCCGCCCGAAACGACCATCGCACCGCCAATCTGCGGCGTCTCCTCCGCCCCTCGCTTGCCCTTCTTCCCCTTCCCGTTACCAGCAGCAAATGCAGCATCAGCCCCAACCTCAATCTCGACCTTGGCATCCTCGCGCTCCGCCTCCCTCGCATCCGCCTGCTTCGCACGCGCCCGATCGGCCTTGGCAGCTGATTTCGCGACAGACGAGTCGGCTTTGCCCGAAGAGGCTTTGTTCGATTTGCGCGAGAGCTTGGAGGACAAGTCGCCTGTGGCGAGGGCGAGCCAGGGGTTGGATTCGGTTTCGCCGGAGGACAAGGGGTTGGAGAGCGAGGGGCGAGAGCGGGCGGTGGTGCGAGATGAGGGGCCCGAGATGGAGACAGGACCGGAGAGCTTGGTGGTGGTGGCGGAGGAGGAGAGGGTGGGTACCGAGTCGGGCTCGGCGGCAGCCGTTGAGGAGGTACCGCCGGCAGCCTGGAGAGACGCAAAGTCAGCGGGTCCGGCGTGACGAAGCGAGAACTAGCGCAGACGCACCTTGACAGACTCGCCAGACGGACCAAAGACCATGCGGCCAAGGTTGCCCTGCACCTGCTCAGACATGGCAAGCGGCTGGTCCTCCTCGTCATCCTCGTCCATCCGGCCCGCCTCGTCCATCTCGGCAAGTCGCAGCTTCAGCTCGTCCGCCTCCTGCTGGACTGCCCTGTCCGCGCGAGCCATAGCGTCCCGCATGAACTTCATGTTGAGCACGCCCTTGAGCTTCGGGTCGTTCGCCTTGGCCGCTGCTTCCTTCGCGTCGAGCGCGGCGAGCTCGTCGAACGCCTGTCGCCGAATCGCATTGACGTCCTCGCCGTCCTCGTCGTCCGAGTCCCGCTCGTCCTCACTTCCAGTTGCGAACTCGTCGACCGCGTCGTCCGAGTCGACGCCGGCGATCTTCTTCCGCAGCTCCTCCCGCCGCGAGACCATGTCGCGAATCGCCGCGTTCCGTTCCTCTTCCAGTCCTTCGAGCCCGTCAATCTTCTTCGCCCACCTGCCACCCTTGCCCGAGTGCTTGAGCGTTGCACGCTCCTTCGCACGCTGCAACTCGAGCCTCGCGCGCTCCTCCTCGACTCGGTTCCCGCCGTCAATCGCATCGAGCTCGGCGAGATCCTCGAGCGACATCTGCGGTCCGCCATTCGCCGCGCGCTCTTTCGCCTTACGGTGAATGCGTCGGTACGCCTTGCTCTTGATCTTGGCGACACGCTTCGCTTTCCGCTCGGCGCGGTACATCAGGTCGCGCTGGCGACGAAGCTCGGCTTGGCGGGCGGCGAGGTCGGCGGGGTCGAGGGTCGCAAGGGCGGCCTTCTCCTGCTTCTGCAGGTCTGACTGCGACATCTGCGCCGTCGTGAGGAGCGACTGGATCGACGCCTCGAGCTCGTTCGTAGGCTGACGAGAATGACAACGTTAGTCATGCAAAGTCGGGAAACGGTAAGAAGCGCTGCGCACCTGGAACTTGGCACTCCACTCGTTCGCGTTTGGGTCGCGATGAACATCTCCCTCGCCTCCGACAAGCGGCAGCACAAGTCGCTCGTGCCTCGCACCCTCGACGCCGAGCCCACTCTCGCCCTTCATGCGCCTGACCGTCTCGTTCCACTTGTCCGTCTCCTCCTTCGTCTGCTCGTACGCTGCCTCGCGGTCAATCTTATCCTGCAGCCGACCTGGAAGAGGCGCAGAGAGAGGACCGGCGGCTTTGAGATGCGAGTTGGTCGTTGTGACCTTCGAGGAGGAGGAGGCGGAAGACGAGGCGAGGGGTTTGAGCGATTTGCGGAGGGAGGCAAGACGGGGGTTCTTCGAGTCGGAAAAGGAAGAGAGCAGATCGTCGAGGTTGACTTTCCCTGTAGATCGGGAGATTGTGAGTGTGATGAGGGAAGTAGCAGAAGGGAGGGTGCGCACCGTCAGCACCGCCAGACGTTCCCACAGCGACAAACTCTCCCTCCGGGTAAGCCTCCGTCCGCTCCTGCAGCACGACCCGCTTCTTCTTCTTCCCGCCGTCCTCGTCTTCACCGTCGCGAGACTTGCGCTTCTTGCTGTCGAGGCCGGAAACGAACGAGTCGAGCTTGTCGAGAGCCGAAGGATCGTCATCGTCCGACATCTCCTCGTCTTCTTCGTTGCGCTCCTCGTCATCCGACGCTGCTGAGCCGTCGCTGCCCTCGTCCTCATCGTCGGACCCGTGGAACCCGCCGGCATCGAGCACCTCCGTCAAGTCCATCCAGCCTGCACCCTCCTCATCGTCGTAGTCAATCTCGTCCTCGTCGAGATCGACGTCCATGTCCCTCGCCTTGCCCTTTCCTGCGCTACTGCCGCCCTTCCTCCTCGGCAGATCCTCCTCCTCGTCCTCATCTTCCGCCATGTCCGAGTCGATCTCTTCGTCCTCGTCGTCGCTGCCGAGGAAGCCTGCACCGTCTTCTGCGTCCGAGTCCATACCGAGCTTGAAGCCGGCCGGCTTGACACCCGTGAACTCGACAACCTCGTTGCCGCGAACGCGGAATCCGCCGGACTCGTCCTCATCCTCGTCCGAGCCTCCCTCGTCCTCCGTATTGTCCTCCTCGTCAGACGGAGCAGCACGACCCTTGCCCTTGGCAGCGGTGCTCTTGGCCTGCTGCTTCCCCTTGCCCTTTCTCGAACCGAACGACGCCCTCGCAAGCGGGTCGACGTCTCCCCTCGGCCGCTTGATCCTCGCCGAATAGTCGTACACATCGAGTGCTCCTTCTTCTGCACTGCCAGACGCAGCCGAGGGTGTGGCGCGCCCCTTGCCCTTGGTGGACTTGGTCGACTTTGATGAGGATGCCTCGGCAGTGGCGGGTTTGGCGGTGCGCTTGGAAGCGCCTGTGAGCTGTTTCGGTTGCCTGCCTTGGCGTGGCATGGCTCTAGAGCAAGCAAGAGAGCGAGTGTGAAGTGGTCAAGGCGAGCGAGGGACTTCGAGCTCGAGCGAGCTGGACACAGCCTCGATGCAACAAGTCTCGCCGTTAGGCTGGACGGACCCGTGCAAGGCTCCGTTGCTAGTGTCTGAGCACTGCAAGGTCCGCTGAACCGCCCAACGAGCGAGTTGAACGGTCGACGTCAGTCTGTGGAAGTGGTAATCGGCAAGCTTCGCGCGCGCTTACCTTTTGTTACTTACCCGCTTACCCCTTACCTCTTGACCCTTCCTCACCGCTCCTTGCACGCAGCGCTGCAGCGCTTTCGACTGCACGGCGCTTGGCATTGTCCGATCGCTTCCCCTGCGTGCGAATCCGCGCACTCCCGCCAAGGCTGAACAGCGGCGACTGCATGGCCTCGCGTTTGCGCTCTCGCACTCTTCCTGATGCAGCCGAGAGGCGTTGCAAACGACGCTGTGTGTTGCTGCACCTTAACGACGACAGCTCGCGGAGCATTGCGCTCCTGTTTCCCGGGCCAGACTATTGCTTGACAACGCCCTCCTCGGCGGACGACCGCGTCCTCGGCTGACTACGTCGGACACTCGCGAAGCTTGTGGCCGACATGCAATGTTCCGAGACGGTGGGACGAATTGGGTTCGATGCATGCACCGGAGTTGCGCAGCCGTGAAGGCATGCGCATAGACGGAGGGGCGAGAAGCGGGTGGGACGGCGGGCGGCAGTGCTTTAAAAGCGGACTCTCCTCGTCTTCATCTCTCTCCCTCCTTTCACTCACTCCTTCCCTCAGCCTCTTCCCCTCTCCTCGCCCCGCCAACCACCACCA